ACTCGGACCTCATCTGTTCGTGTCCTTGCAGCGTGACTGTAGAGTTTTCGGTCGAGGTTCGTGCAGCTGACAGCATTCCCGGAAGCAGTCCCATCATCCAATCCACCAACAGCCGCCTCAGCTTTGAACAAACTGCCCAGAAATACGGCACGGACAAGGTCACCACCCACAAATACCAGTTCATGTACGACAAGTATCTCTCGGGTATTCGGGAGGAAGAGATCAAGGTCCTGGAAATTGGACTCGGCTGCAACATGGTAAGCAAGCAACTCTCCCCAAATACATCGAGCAGCACAGAGCGGACAGTCATACTAACACAGCTCGCAGGATTATGGCCCCGGGGCGTCGTACTACACTTGGCTCGAATATCTGCCATTCGTCGACCTCTACTTCATCGAGTACGATGCGCAATGCGCCCAAAAGTACCAGGACAAAACCGCCAACGCACGTGTTTTCATCGGCGATCAAGCAGACCCCGTCTTCCTCACCAAGTTCACTGCCGAAGCCACGACAGGCGGCTTGTTCGATGTCATTATCGACGACGGAGGGCACACGATGACCCAGCAAATCACATCGCTCGAGTATCTCTGGAAAGCCGTCAAACCGGGTGGCTTGTATGTGATTGAGGATCTGCAGACGAGTTACTGGGACACATTTGGCGGGGACCCTGCGGGCAGGCGGTCGTCGAAGGAGACGACGATGACTTATATGTTTCAACTGATTGATGACTTGATGATTGGACGGAGTGAAAAGAAGATCAGTCATGAGATACTTTCTATTGACTGTATGGCGGAAATCTGTGCACTGCGCAAGAAGGGAGACATGTGAAGGATGCTATCCCAAGTTGATACAAGCCTGTTATTGTAATTATAAAGGTACTGCAATTCTATTGCATCTAGAGACTTGGTATTTGTTCGATATTAAAGCAAAGAATGTGCGGGGAATATATATAGATTTTGGCAATTATTTTTCTTGGACATCTCTCCTTCACATGAGGGAGCACTTGACAGGAAGACCGCAAAAGTGGTCCTTGCCGTCCTTGTGCTCCCGCACAGGCTCCTTGGGTGCTGCAGCAGGCGGCGCGGATCCATTAGTCGGGGCAGCCGTTGACGGAGCAGGCTTCTCGGTGCTGGTGGACGCGGTGGTGTTGTTGGTGTTGTCGCTGCCATGTAGTCAGCCGGAGAGGGCCTGGGCAAAGGCCTCGCCCTGGGCGGTGGCGATCTTGAGCTCGAGGGCGGTGGGCTGGCGGGCGCCGGTGGGGCCGGCGTAGGTGCCGGCGCCCCAGGGGGAGCCGCCGTGGACCTCTTCGAGGTTGGTGATGTCGGGGAAGGTCTTTGCGTAGCCGAGGGGCACGTAGATGATGCCGTGGTGCGCCAGGGTGGACAGGGCGGCGATGGCGGTGGACTCCTGGCCGCCGCCGGGGGTGCCGGTGGAGATGAAGAGGCCGGCCTTCTTGCCCCAGTAGCCGCCCGAGGCCCAGATGCCGCCGGTCTTGTCCCAGAAGGCCTGTGCCCAGGAGAGAAGCTTGTCAGTCACTTCTGCGATATGTATAGGTAGGTATGTGAGATATGTAAGGGGCTGTTTGCCAACGTACCTTCCACTGGGCGGGAAAGTTTCCATAACGAGTGGGAATGCCAAACAGGAAGCCGTCGTACTGGGTGAGGGTGGCGGGGTCCTCGAGGACGGGGACGTCGGTGGGCTTGGCGGGGGCGTGCATCTTGCCCAGGACGTCGTCGGGGAGGGTCTCGGGGATCTGGTAGATGTCGACCTGGGCGCCGGCGGCCTCGGCGCCCTTCTTCTCAGCCTCGGCGAGCTGCCGGATGTGGCCGTACATGGAGTACTGTGGGAGGGGCATTGAGCGTCAGCGAGGTCCGAACAAAGGGGGGGGGGGGGGGGGGGAGCAAAGTGTTCTTGGTAGTGCGAGGAGATGAGCTTACGTAGACGATGGCAATCTTGGGAGCCATTGTGATGGTTATTTTGGTGTGTGGGGGGGTATCTTAGAAAACAGAATGGAAAGAAGAAAAGAAGGTTGCTTTGTTTGGCTGTAAAGCTCTGGGATGTGGTGAAGCTTTCTGAGGTCCGAAGGGGGAGGAGGGGGAAGGACCCCCGAGCTCTTATAGCTGAGGAGCGGCTCAACTGGATCCCCTCCCAAGAGGGAAACAGAAGGAGGATCGAATCGGTGTTAGTGTCGACTCGTAAAGTTTCGGCTGCATTCTCCCGTGGGATTAGAATTAGAGAGTTGCCGCGCGGGTGACATGTGCTGTACTTTGGCCATGGCTGGGAATCAGGCGATGAGATCATGGCCATCTCGGGGTACTGCCTATGCCGGGTTGCGTGGGCCCCCTCTTTTTTCCCTTTCGTATCGGTGATGGCGCACGTCTTTTAGCAGAAACTGCTAGTAGTAGTAGTCCTTCTCGTCCCAGTACTGCAGTAGCTTCAGATACGGACGTTGACGTCTGGAGGAATGTGCCTGGCTGGCCGCAATTGGTAATCAAGGGGGATGGGGGGCTTCAACGTCCAACCCACGATTCAGACACAAGATCTCGTCCGGCGAGACGCCAGAAAGAGGCCGGATTCCAATGCCGGACAGATTGCAAGTCATCATCGTGTCAGCAACAGCTCGCCTGCCGTTTCTTCACCTGGTCTCTCTCCGCGTATCGATCATAAGTACCTTGCCTCCAAACCATCCAGCTTGGCTGTGACATTAGTAGTACACCTGTGAAGTAGTATCAGCATTACTTGAGCCTGACAAACTGCTGCCGCACCCCGCATGTGGAGCCCGTGGCTGGTGGGGCAGAAGGTGGTCCGCCCAGAGCTTAGCTAAAGCTTAGATAAGTCGTCGATTCGATGATGCCTTTCTTTTCCACGATTGCCGCATTGCCTTTTCTCTCGCTATTTGGTGATTTATCAAATTGAAAAAGACAAATCATGCCCCTGGGGACCGTGGGGGCGGCTTCCTTGAAGTATTACGGTATCATCGGCATTGGCATTGACATCGTCAGAGGCGAGATCGTGATCGCAACCCAGTTCAAGTCCGTCCCGACTATCAAGGTGGTGGGGCATCGCCAACATGACAGACCGAACAAGAACAGCTTCCCCCCTTGCAGCATCAAGCCATCGGCGGGACGCGACAAGCTCAGGTAATACCTTGACGGCCGAGCACCAATTGAAGTTAAGAAGGTATTCGACGATGATTCTCAAGCAGCAACCGACCGTGTAGCGGTTCATGACCATCCCTCTGGACTGGACAATGCGCTGTCAATTGATGTCGCTGTCGTCAGGGGAGAACCAATTGCGTCGACCAAGCTCATCACCCGCCTCCGTCTGCTCTCAGCGATAGATCGCCCATTGAAAAAGCCGTGTACAGCTGTCTTGCTATAAACGACTCACCCAGCGTTGCATTTCCCAGTTAATTTCCTTTTTTTTTTTTTTCCTCTCCCGCTCGAACCGGCTCGGTTGCGTCGCCCGGCTGTCGAGCAAGGCGCCACTTTTGGTGCGTGCTGACCTGCATTACGCAAGTGAGAAATGAGATGGGAGAGCGCCGCCGCAGCAGCAGTAGCAGCAGCAGTTCTCGGGATACGCTCGACAGAGAATTTGCGCCCAGGGGAGAAGAGGAAGGGTATTGGCAGACTTAAGTACTAGCTGTTGTTACAACATTATGTTATCTGCCGATGCCAGGTCGACAGATTCATGGAATGGAGGGCGCATTTTTCAGTACCAAGCAATTGAGAATTCGCAACAAGGGAACCTGAAGCCTTTTGGAGAAAGGGCCTCGATACTCCGGACGCGCAACGGTCTTGACCCATCCTCCTATTCCCCGACTACTATATATATCCCTCTTCTTTTCTGTCTGCAGCAGCGAACGCAGGGATTCGACAGAAATGCAGTGGAAAGCCACAGCAGGCGCAGACGACACATCTACACACCGAGGCCCGCACGTAAATTGGACCATAAAAGACCACCCAGAAAGACGGCTCCAGCCAGCCAGCCCTACCTACGGGGGCTTTGGGAGAGGTAATATCACTAGCAGGTCAATTTCGCAACCATAGACCGACAGTGCAGTAGAGGTAGGCAGAAAAGGCGGGTCGACAAACGGTAACTCGCAATGTCGAAGATTAAATTTATACGACGGCCAGTCGAATCATAACAAACAACACAACGAAATCGATTTACAAAGAATGGCGGTCAAGACAGGATGCTTAACACACTCGGCTCGAAGTGGCCAGTTGCAAAGTATTATCTGGCCAAACAGCGAGTTCTTCGCAACTATGTAATCCCAGCGAGATCCGGACTTGTACTCCGTAAATGACACAGAATGGCCTCCACTTGACAACTTCCCGTTCTAAGCTCTTGGGATCACGATGATGAGGGTACATGTACGGCACGATAGGGTAGGTTAGTACCTAAGGTAGTACTTACCCTACCTACCTACCTACACCAACCTACAACTCACCCGCAGGATCACTCTGCATGACGAAACCACAACGTCTCATAGGTGGAAAATCAATATTGCACACTGCGATGCAAAAGAACTGCAAGCAACCAAGTGAAACATGGATCTTATAAACAATTGCAACTGCCTACCTACCTACCGTCCGTCTTATAATCTCTCAGACTACATACATTTTTCACAGTATCGAATCAAATCATCCGTGTTGTTCTATGCTGGTAAAAATAAAACCACAAAACAACAATCAACTCCCCCTCGTATACTCGCCAAAAACACCACCCAGAGAAGCAGAGAGACAAAAACAAGATCCGTCTCCAGAAGTGAAGAAAACAGCAAGACGCCCGGCTTCGCATTCGTTTTGCAAATAAAGTATTCGAAGAAGAATGTTCCAAGCATTATAAAGCGACAAGAAAAAAAAACCATCCATCAAATCATGACTCATTTCCATCAACAAAAAACAAAAAGAAGAAAGAAAAAGGAGAGAAAGAGGCAAAGTAACGTTTAAAAAGAATCCAGGCAAGGCTTCCCGTAACCTTTCCAAGTTCGATATTTACAGTCTTCGCTCAGCCTCAGCCTCAGCCTCGTGCTCATGGTCCGGCGGCTGCGCGCTTGACGGCTCCACCACAATCGCAGGGAGCTCGCTGATCCTCAGACTCGGCAGCCGAGGGATGCCGCCGACGCCGACGCCGCCGCCGGCCGGCCGCAGCGCACCCTCTCCCGGATCCCCCTCGCTCGAGGCCGACACGAGGGACGGCGACGTCTGCCCTCGCTGCGAATTCGATCGATGAGACCCCGGGTACTCGGGCGGCGGCTCGTGTATCTGCGACATCGACCGGTCGCGGAAGTCGTCATCGTCGGCCAGGGAAACGTCCTCGTAGCCCGGCGGCGGCATCGCTTCCTCGCCCAAATCTGCCTCGACAAGCTCGGGGCTCGATCCCGCCCTGGCCTCGCTGGGAGGTTGGCCGGGCGTGTTGGTGTGCGAGTCTCCCGACCGTCGGGTCAGCGCGGGCGAGGCGAAGCCGCTGTCCATGCTGATGACGGAGCTGCCGCTCATTCCGCGGTTGTGCGCCAGAGAGTGAGGCCGCACCTCTGTCATTCCAATGCTCGCAGAGTCCGAAAGCAGGCCCATGCGCTCGCTGTCGGTGCTGTTGGCGCGGATGCGCGTGCCGTCGTGGCGGGCCAGTCCAACGTCCGCATAAGACACGCTCGACACGGACAGGTTCCTGTTTTCCTTGGCCCGCTCCATTTCCCGGCGGAGCTCCTCGATGGTGCTGTTGTTGTTGCTCGCGGCGCGGGCGCGGGCCCGGAGCTCGGCCAGGGCTGCCGTGTCGCCTCGCCGTCGAGCCTCCTCGCGTGCGGCCCTCCTCTGCTGCTGTTCCTCAATCATCTGCCGCCGGGCAAGCCGGATCTGATACATGCTCTCCATCTCTTCGTCGCGCAGCGCTTCCAGCTCCTCCTCTGTGGGCAAGTCGACAATGACATCGATGCCATCTCGCTCGCCCTCTCGCCCCAGAACCTGTTCGTTGTGCGAAGCCATCTGGCGGTAGGCCGGCAGGGTCATGACGGAGCGGACCGAGGTGTTGCGATCCACGGTGCCAGCGGCGGCGGCATTGTTGCGATTTGACGACGCGGCGGGAGGCTGGGTAGATCGACCCGTTCTTGAGTTGGTCGAGGCGTTGACTGCACGGATGGTCTGCGTGGCGGAGGCTACCTCGGTGGTGTCGTCTGCGTGAGCTCGCTCGTACTTGGCTTTTTTGTTGTTTTTCCTTCGCTTGATGTATCCGATGATGAGAACCAGAACAATGATGAAGATGACGACGCCTAATAATATCTAGAACAAGCAACTCAAGTCAGCATGCATGCCATGCGACAGATTTCACATAAAGCCCAACCGTAGACGTACAGCGCCTATGATGCTACCGCTGAGGCCTCGCCGCTGCAGCTTGTGAACGTGGCGAGCCGATTGCGCCAGGCGAGCGCTGCCATCAGCACGTGGCGCCGTCCGACTGTGTAGGTACATCCTCGCCGGCCGCGAGAGACATGTAGGAGGGACCAGAGTCCGATGGTTTGGTGAGTAGCAGAGAGAAAAAGACGGAACAAATCGACGGCTGGCTTTGGGTCGGTGACAGAGCGAGGTTGTTCGTCGATAAGAAAAGGCCCTTTTTCACGAGTCTGCCGTCCGCATTGGGTCGTCTCGTCCGCCCCAATCAGCGTCTCTCTTGCAGTGACCGAGGATTCCAAGCCGACGATGGAGCAGCTCAGCCCGTGATTACTGCTCGTTTAGCGAGGGTGGGCCGGCAGCGTCGTCTCCTCCGTCTGTGCTTGTGCAGTGGTACGAGTGCGGGGGATCTGGCGGGAGCAATCAATCGCACGATGGACGCAAACCGGAGTGACGGAGCACGGGGATGAGTGGTGAAGGCGGGCGGAGAGGCGGTGGGATTCAAGAGACGGAGAGAGAAGAAGAAGCGCGGAGGAAGATGCAGGACGAGACCGATGGAACGGAGCAGGTCTGCCGTGCTGGAGCTGTTGGCCTGATTCCAGCGGGCAGAAGCCGTCTTGGTGCTAGTAACTGGCAACCTAACGTCAAAGCCCCGAAAGGCCCCAGAGAGGCGCCTCGGGAGACGCTAAAAGCGTGCGCGTCAGCCCCATGCGTGACGCTCAACCGCTTTTTCTGCTCCCAAGCTTGGTTTTTCTTACGAGGAGCCACGAGGCTAAGCCCAGCCACCGCCGGACACAGCCCAGCTTGGGAGCAGCAGAGCAGGATGGGCCTTGTCCAGCCACGCTGTCCGGCGGCGGAAGCGGGATGGCCAAAAGTGGCACGAAAGCAATCTGATAATAATGCAATGATGAAGTTTGCCAGTGACAGCAGGCGCGATTACTTAGTAGCTGGTACATACCTACTAATACAGGTAGGGAGGTATTTATTACAACCTGAGATATACCGACTCTGTGGAATCAGCTGGGCTGACACACTTTTTACCCTCCACTACTTCAGCCCGCAGGTGAAACCCTCTTTCTAGGCTGGGCTGGGCTGGGCTGGGCTTGGCTGCCAGTTACCCGCTGGACGGGCCGCCGCTGTGCTATTAATGGCTGCAAATTCGATGATTGATCCATTCCGTAGATGGATGGATCCAACCTCGAGAGCCTTGGTGTCCATTAGTGCAGCCTGTCATGCGCGTGTGTGTGGTTGCGCTGCTGCTTGCTTCTCATCCCCAAGTCCAGATACTGCTACATCTAACTCATGTAAGATGTGATATCGGTACCTACAGTGGAAAGGGGCCCACGAGGGGTCTCAGATCGGGGTGGAGAAACAATGCACACAGTCGCAGTCGCACTTTATCGTGCGCGTTCCATACGTAAGGCAAGGTACACAAGGTGAGGGAGTGATTGCGCAGATGAGGTCAGACGAGACAAGCTTTACCGGAGGCCTTCAATTCCGTTAGTATGCAAAGTATCGTCAACCTTTGAGGTGGCAAATTCAGCTCTTCACCGACCTACGACAATCACCCGCTGCTCTAGAACAACTGATAACAAAAATAGTAGCAGTGCTAACATTGATCTTAGCAACCGACCACAACGGCCAGCACTCGATAGAATAAAATGAAGAATCAAATCTGCACTCACTTTGCGTACCTCCCTATTCAAACAGAAAGCGTCATGTGACGAAACATATCTTTGGTACAATCCCGGTACTCCTGCCAGTTGGACATCCCTAGGTACCTCTGCATCCTTCAAAATCACAATCACATCCTCTCTCCCCATGGCGCGCCCGCCCTCACACCGACCCGTCTCCGTCTCCGTCGCCACCGCCTAACCAAACTTCTTCTCAAACTTCTTCAGCATGCCCGTCACGCCCCTCTCGATCCGGCCTGCATTCTCCTCAAACTTCCCCTTGCCCTCTTGCTTCGGTTGATATTTGTGGGCTGCTTCGGCCTCCGTCGGCCTGTATACCTGCTGGTGAATCGAATAATCCACCGAACCTGTTGGCGCATAGCCGGGCTGCTGCGAGTACGAGTAGTTGGAGTACCCGCCTGGCGGAGGACTAGCAAGACCTTGGGTTGCCATTGGCGGCTGAGATGCGGGTGGCGGAGGGAGGCCTGGCGATGCTGGGAAGCCCACTCCGTAGGTGCCAGGGAGCCCCGGCGACGGCAGGCCCTGGGCCGGCATCGTCGTGGCTCGGTGAATTCCAGGGTGGACTGGCGGTGCCGCAAACTGAGGAGGCGCAAACCCTGGGCTGGTGACTCCCGACGGCGGGAACTGAGACGGAGGAGGGATCCCGGGAGTGAAAGGCTGGCCGCGATAGTCATATGCCACTGCGACCGCCAGAGGATTCAGAGGATCCTCGTCCGGAGGAGGCGTCTTCTCGCGATGGCGGATGGCCTCGGGCGCAGCGGGTGCCGCCGGGTTGTATGCCATGGGTGCGAAGCTTGCCGGCTGAGCTTGAGGCGGAGGCGGCGGAGGAGGCATGGACATGCTTGGTGTTGTCTCTGACGCAACGGCCGAGGCCTCGCCATGGCCGCCGGCGGAGCTCTGCGAAGCCGACTGCGACGACACGGCTCCGTTGCTGTACTGCGGATCCGAAATGGCGGCGCTCTCGAGCTTCTGGATGACGGCGCTCATGCCCGCGGGCTGAGGCGGCGGGCCGGGCTCGTCGAGGACCTCGACCTGGGCCGGCGGCAGCACGCGGCGCACGCCGTTGACGAACTGCAGCGCATCCTGCTGCGTCCAGAAGTAGATGTCGAGCGAGTGCAGCTTGTAGTGGTACTTGTTCTCGTTGCGCGGGTCGTAGGTCGGGAGATGCCACTCGCTCTGGTCCACCGAGTCGGCGACGGTCAGCGAGACGGCGCAGTGCTGCTTGTACGAGTATCGGACGTGCGCCTGGTCGAGGACTATGCGGAAAACAGCACCGTTAGAAAGACCGACGATGGGCATGCGGCGCCGTCTGTTCCTTACATCCGTAGAATGCGTCTTGGTCTTCTGTGCCGGGGTTGTTTGCAATCTCAATGCGACACCTCCGCTCGCCGGCGTTCTCAAACAGATAGACGTAGGATCCCTTGTCGAACCGGTGATGGCGAGGCTTTACATTTGCCGGCGAGTAAAAGTAGTGAACATCTGCAAAGCTGCAGTTTCGCATCATCAGCAACGCGGTTCCGAGCAGCAACTGGACTATGCGCGACCGTCATCGACTCACAGCGTGGCTACATTCTCCTCGCCTGGCCGTGCCGCCATCTTTGATCCCGTCGCTGGTCTGATCTGGGCGAGTCGCAGAGCTCTGGGCAGCTTCAAACTGATGCGAACAAGGTCTGAAAAAGTCCGGTTTGTACTATGCAAAGATGGTCTTTATACCTTGTGCGCTCTGCAACGCCACTCGACGACCCTTTATTGCCCAACCCGATCATGCAATCGCTTCCACATGCCGACCTATGAGACGGATTCGTCCATGGCGTCTCGGCGCTTACACGGGCTGCTGGTGAGGGGTGTGAGCACAGTCGCCGGCCAATGGCGATGCGCGGCAGGGAGTTTGGTCACAGAGCTCTAGTGGAGAGCAAACCCCGCTGAATCACTGGAGCGAGCCCGGGATGCTAGCACTGGAGCACTGGAGCACTGGCACTTGTGCCTAAAGCGCACTGAAGCCGGGCATCTCAGACTTTTCCCCTGCTCATCACGTGACACCGTGTGATTGTCGTATCTTCTCCTTCACGGTCGGGCAACGCGCTTCGTCTCATGCCGGAATTCCGCTCATGCGCGAAACGACACATGACCACGCCCTGAGAGGCTCTTTTGCATATGGTCAGCATGAAACGGAATACTCTTCGATGCTGTTCGCCACATGACACTCGAAACGCGGCTTGATGGCCTCGTCGACATGACATTTGCGGAGGCTCCGGCGCATACCGAGGAAGATCAAGAGGGGAAAATCAGAGGGGAAACCCGGGAGGAAACCCTGGGGGAGAAACAGGACGATGCCTCCAAAACCCTCAAATACCACCTGCTTGGGCCTTCGCTGACAAAGGCGGGCCAAGACAAGGTCGACCAAAGCAAGGTCTCTCTCCGAACAGACTCCTGTGTGACATTGGAGCTGCATTTGTTAACGCACAGGCTCAGGTTTCGGAGATCATATACAATGCGTCCAAGGGTTCCAAGTTCTTTAACCGCGAGGAAGAACGAGACAAGATTCTCACGCAGAAAATCGAACAGATCCTAGCGCGCAAGAAGAAGCTGGAACAGCAAGATCTTACACGGGATCTACGAAATGCCGACCGTCTTCTCGCGGAGCTCGAACTTTCCAGAGACCTCACCCAGCACATCGTGCACCTCGACTGCGATGCCTTTTTTGCGGCAGTAGAGCAGCTTGACCGACCGGATCTCAAAGATGTCCCTTTTGCTGTTGGCGGCGGCGTTCTCACCACGTGCAACTACGCTGCGCGCCAATTTGGCTGCCGCTCAGGCATGGCTGGCTTCGTGGCCAAGAAGCTCTGCCCACAGCTCGTCCTCATCAAGCCCAATTTCCACAAGTACGGCGCAAAGGCCGAGGAAGTGAGGGCGGTGCTTGCAAACTACGATCCGCGATTCGAAAGCGCCAGCATTGACGAGGCATATCTCAACATTACGGAATACTGCGACCAGCATGACATTGATCCGGCAGCAGTGGTGGAGCAGATGAGAATCGAGGTTCATGAAAAGACCAACATTACAGTCTCAGCTGGCATTGCTGCCAACGCCAGGCTCGCCAAGATTTGCTCAAACATCAACAAGCCGAACGGACAATATGTCCTGCCCAGGGATAGAAGCGCCATCATGGCGTTTATGCGGGACCTGCCTACGAGAAAAGTCAACGGAGTCGGCCGGGTCCTCGAGCGCGAACTCTTGGAGATTGGCGTCAAGACGTGCGGGGACATTTATGAGCAGCGGCAGTACCTGCACCGGCTTTTCGGGGACAAGACATCCGAGTTCCTCTTTCGCTGCTATCTCGGCCTCGGTCGCACGAAGATACAGCCCGCAGAAGAATACGAGCGCAAGAGTGTCGGGACGGAGAGCACATTCCACGACATGTCGGACCCTGTGCAGCTGAGGAACAAGCTTCGCTCGACGGCTGAGGCTCTGGAACAGGACATGAGACGAAGCGAGTGCAAAGGCCGGACGCTCTGCATAAAGATCAAGCTCCATACGTTTGAGGTCTTTACCCGGCAAGTCATCTTGCCAAAGTCAATCTATCTCGCCGAAGACCTGTACAACTATTCGCTGCCGATGCTTGCCAAGTTGGAGCATGAGATGCCAGGCATGAAGCTGCGGCTCATGGGGCTCCGCTGCACAAATCTGGTCAGTACCAAGAAGCCCGATACCATGGCGTTCTTTGGGTTCAGACCTCGTCGACAGGACTCGGGAGAGTCGAGTGAAAGTGGAGTCGTCAAGAGGAAGGCGAGCACGCCGTTGGAAAGAGAAGAAGAATGGGAGACATTCGACGGAGATGATGAGGACTTGATGGCCAAGATGGACGCATACCTGGGCGACGTATCCCCCGCGCACGACGAAGAGGAGGAAAACAACGGGACACCAAATCACCGAAGACACGGAAAGGAGATTTTGCCCAACCCGCGTCCCGACGGTGAGGCTTCGCCACAAGAGGACTGGTGGGATTGCCCGATATGCTTGCGCCCCCAGGCAGCAAACGAGCGGCAATTCAACGAGCACATTGACCTGTGTCTGTCTCGACAGACTATTCGAGATGCCCTCGTCCAGGCAGACGACCCGAAAGACGCGAGGCCCGTCCCATCGCCAGAGGCGAATAAGCGTCCGAAGCTGTCGACGGAGAAGAAGCGGGGCCGGCCGCCCTCTACGGATCCAAAGCAGAAGAAGCTATCGTTTTGGTAAGAGTTGAACGGTGGCGGGATTATGAATGACGATATCACTTTTGGGAAAAAAATAATAAATGGAACTTCTTGTATACATGATGTTCGTACTGGGGACTGGTTAAAGTCGTAAGCGAAGCTTTTTCGATGTCATGAAGCCCCCCACGCTGACTACTTTTGCTGGGCTTTTGGACTCCACTGATCTGCCATATGGACTGATGTCTGCATCTATCTGCAGGTGAGAGTTGCTGCAGAAATCAACCCCGTCGTGGTATGACGTACCAACGGTGGACAGTTACTCCGAAACTCAAGTCTTTGGACGATTTACATAGCATACCGTATATACGCGGACAGATGCCTGAACGGACGATCACATCTGAAAGCAGCTGAAGTCCGAAAGGAGCGTTGGAACGGCAACGTTGCATCTAACATAGTCTTGTCATAGTTCCGCTATAGCTATGTATGTATGCGAGCAAATGAAAGCATAGTTTACATAATCATCATATCATTTCTGTTTCATCTTGTTTTGCCTCAAATGATTATTTACAGCTCCCCGTGACCCTCGTCAGTGTCGGCAAAGACAGTCTTGGCGGCGTCGACGGCCTCGGAGGCCACGCTGGCGGCTGCCTCGGCGGCCTTCTCGACGACGCTCTCCTCTGTCTCTTCGGCGGGCTTCTCGACAATGGGCGTCTCGGGGACGGGCTTCTTCTCGGGGGCCTTGACGCCCTCGATGGCGAGGAGCTCGGTCTCAAAGACTGTATGGCATCGTGTGTTGTTAGCCTGCGGCCTGGTTTTCCATGCGGCGTGGGTGAAACTCTGGGTTTGGGAGTTCAGGTAGGGGAGGATAGGAGCCACGTACTCAGGGTTGAGCCGGCGGGAATGGGGCCCATGTTGCGCTGGCCGTAGCCCAGCTCGGGAGGGATCGTGAGAGTCCTGAATTGGTGATGTAATGGTCAGCATTGCGTCCTGATAGAGGCCCAAGGAGGCAGTGAGCGACGCAGTTGGGTTGGTTCGGTTCGTCTTACCTCTTCTCGCCAATGCACATGTCAAGGAGACCCTGATCCCATCTACAAGCCGTTAGCCTCAACGTCGCCCAACGTCGTCGTCGTCGTCGTCGTCATAAAAGAACGAGAGGGGTGGGTTAGGGGGGGGTGGGCAAGACGAACCCCTTAATCACCTGGCCAGCACCCAGCTTGAAGTTGAATGGCTGGTTACGATCGTAGCCTAGAGTAGGTAGACCAAAACTTGTCAGTCAATGAGATCAAAAGAAAAGGAGGACCGTCATTGGTGTGTGAGAGAAATGGGAGGAAAGAGGGAAAGGGAATAGAAGAAACGCACTGGCATCGAACTTGTCGCCCGTCTTGGCCAGCGTGCCGCGGTAGTGCATGGACAGCTTGTCGCCCTTTTGCGTCTTGCGGTCGCACTCGACGGGGTGGGTGACCTCGATCTTGAAGTCCTCGGCGGCGGCGGCGACGAGGCCAATGGCGCACGAGGCCAGGGCGGAGAGGAGCAGGGCTGCCTTCATTTTTTTTGGGATTCGGGTGGCGATGTTTTGCGTATTGTGTGTGTGAGTGTGTGGAAGAGAGAAGAAGAAGATGATGATGAAGAAGAGGGCTGTACAAGTCGGTGGGTGGATGGATGGATGGATGGATGGGAAGGAGGAGGAAGAGAGGGAAAAGACGACACAGACGATGCTGCTGAAGTGGCCAGCTATCAAAGTCACCAACCAAAATCTCCACCACCTGCTTGAGCTTCCCGATTCGAGGCGCGAATCTGCATCTGGGCTGAGATGGGCGAGTGATTGGCCAATGGGAGCCCCGGCAGCAATTCTGGGCTCGCTTTTGCCCCCCGCCAATTGCCAATGCTTGTCATTGTCACTGCTGCCCCCAATTGCAGCCTGGTGCCATCATCCCCTGAACAGTGACAGTGTGTGCTACTAGCGCTTCAGGTGCACTTGAACGAAATGGCTCGATTATGATGACATGCAAGCACTGGCACTGTAAGGTATGTAATGTAGCCTTCAGCCTCGAGCTTGTGTGGAAGCGTGGCAATGGGGATTCGCTGGCGGCTTCTGGAATGGCGTCACCAAGGGACAATGCAGCAGCGTAATTCCTCTCGCGTGATCCAAGTGCAGCCTAAGTCTCTACATGCTATCATATACGATGAACTCAGTGGTATGGACTCGTCATTGGCGGGCTCCATGAACACTGTATGTACATATGGGATGCGGCACCAAAACTCCAGACTGCATGAAATGAATGCTTGGGCAATGTTTGATGATTTGTGTACATCAGATGGCACTCGTACGTCATGGCTCTGCTGGACCCCTTTTGTCTGGGGGTCATGTGAGTGTTGAACGAGGCGGCAGAAAATCCCAAACGGAATGCGATGATGCCATGACTGCGAATCTGAAAGGCCCCAGCTGGACAAGGGGGAAAGACGATGCTGTGTGTGTGTGTGATGGCATCTTCACAATGGACAACCGAGGATAGACGACGAATGAAGGATCCGAGGCTTCGACGAGGCGCTGTTTGCAGCACGCAGCATCGACGTCAACATGGCCATCATGAGATGCAATGCCAATTTCTTTTTCAGGGCGCTCCGACCCAAACTGTTCTGACAACTGCGACTCTAAACTCAATCCATCCATCCTCAATCGATCCCATAGGTATGACGTAGTTGAGCCCTGAAAGAAACACCAAGCCAATCAAGGTACCAGAACGCCATCAAGGGGACCACGCACATGCAAGGCTACTACCCAACCCTCTTATTACCTTCGTACTAAAGTAGGGAGATGGGGGAGGCTAATTCGCACAGCAAAAGCCACATGACTTTCCTTTTCGTCCCAAAAGCCCAAGGAACAGCAAGGCCCCTGGCGTGGAGTCCAATCGCAGATTGTCGAACAAGGCTTCGCCTCCAATGGGCGTTCCTTGCATCATTGGGGCCGCTTTCCCCGGAGAGCCTCGCTAGTAGTCTAGTAAGTCGCCCCATTTCTCTGCTGGTGAGGATGCTACTAGTATAGGTATCCCACACGCCCTGTACAGTACTGTATGAAGGGTCCTCGTGTGGGCGATGCTACCGGAAGGGGGTGCACAGTTGGGCAGAAACGGGGTAGGAAGAGGCAAAGAAAAGGAGACGGTGGTAATAATGGTCCATACCTACGTGGGAGATGGGTCGAAAAGAGGATGGGGACTGGCAAGAAGACGCCCGCTTATCATGCACCTCTCCACGTATCGCGAGAGAAGCCGGGAGAGGCGCTGCCGGCACCATTTCCGCGAGACAGCATCATCAAAGGCGCCGGTTGTTGGCTTCGAGGCGTCGGCCAAATTTTACTTGTCGCTTTACCCTGTAATGTTCCCAATCGCGAGAGGCCTGGCCAAGGACTTGTCATGTCGTCACCGAAGGAAAGAAGAAGAAGAAGAAGAAGAAGAAGAAGAAGAAGAAGAAGAAGAAGAAGACAAAGAAAAAAAAAAGCAGAAACACAGCCTACTCCTATCGTGGCTTGTTCCGCCTCCCACCAACTTTGAAGTCGTGCAGGGGCGAAGCGCTCAAAGCAGCAAGCCGCTCATTGTCGCACAGTGATTTTCTTCACGTCGAGTCGTTTGACAGCTCGTAGATACGCGTGACATGGGACTTGCATGCACGCAAGTCTCGCCTGTGGCAGCCGCGAATGCACGCTCGCATACGCATGGATAACCCTCGCAGAATTGCGGCTGCTAGAGTACTTCAGTACCAAGAGCACCTAGCGATGAGAGGCAGCCACCCAATGAACAGCATGAGCACATACCTTAGAGAGGGGAAGATGGGCATAGAAGGGGAGGGAACAACGACACGTCGTTCAACGGACTCTCTTCACCTTGTTTCTTCCAACTTCTGACGACTCATCACGGCGTTGAAGCGACGGGACAGATGGTTGATGCCTGCTCCTGCGCCTGTCTGCCTAGCATGGCCCGGCATGGTTTAAGGGACTGACTGCACATAGGTACAGGACTCGATGAGGCGCTGGAGAGTGGCTCGTGGGGTCACAGGTTGGCTACTACTAACCTCTACCTACCTGTACTGAGGTACCTCAGACTGCCATTCTCCCCAATTCCAGGACTTTCAAGCTCCATGCGAGCACAAAGAGGGCACGCAAGCGACAAGCAGTACAGACGCGCTACCCGGCCGGTACCAGTGCCGCCGTTACGTGCAGCCGCATCGACTGACGTGCCTCGCAGGTTACCCGCGGGTGTCTGGCAGCAGATGCATGTGGAGCGGCTGTGCTCGTGCTCGTGCCTGGCACTCCCTCCCTTGTTCTCCCCTCTTCCCTCTTCCCTCTTCCATCCCATCCCAATCTCCCACCAGACCTCTCATCTTCTACCTTTCCGGAATCGCTCACCGTCGCCCAGCTGTGTACAGTATGACTATGACTCCCAAGGCAGACGCGCAGCCCGTGCCATCGTGCCTCCCCTCCCCACTGCCGCTGCCGTCCCCCGGCCGTCGCTGCTTCACGGCTGTGGCCATGCTCTCCTCGGATTGCACCAAAAAGCACGACAGCGACACCCCCCCGGCTCATGCTCCAGGGCTCTCTCTCGTTCTTCGTCCCTGGTAGCCCTGCCTGGCCACACTCCCCCCCCCCCTACCCTGCTCGCAATCATGAGGCCGCTCAGGCCCTTTTTCGCCACCTTGCCCGTCGTCTCTGCTACGAGTTACTACTACTAGTGCCAAACAACGTCGAGACCCTCGCCCAGAGCCCATTTTGGGTTCTGACGATGCTTGCAAGGCTTTGCTTCGTCCGAAGGGCAGAGACAGAGCCCGCCAGCCGCGAGGTCCAATCACGGGCGATTGGCGGCCCCTGTCCGTCGCTCCGTGTCTGGGTGTCTGGAGGCTTGGGGGCCCTCGGCAGATCGCTTCCAACGCGCGTTTCCGTCAAAAGTTGGGGCCTGACTCACGAGTGCCTTCTTTGTGTCAGACCTTAGCACCCACCGCGGCTGCTGCTGCTGCTGCTGCTGCTGCTGCTGCCTCCCTATCGACTTGTCCTATTCTGGCCGTCCGTTCCTCTGCCTGTGCTGTGCTTGTCTCAAACGTGAACGTGCTTCTCTTCCATGACGGCAGTGCTGCGTTTGGAAAACTACAAATTGCTGCCCATGCCCTGTTGTCCTGAGGAAGCATTTCCCATCATCATCCTCATCACTCCCACAAAGACTACATCAGCAGAGCTTCACTATCAGTTATTGATTAGATATCAACTACAGTTGTCCTCCTTCTCACTCATATATCCTTGCTTGGCCATTACTCTTATACAGACAACTCTCATCTGCCAAGAGAGTCAGCCAAACAACCAACCAACAAACCAACAGACAGACATACAAACACTACAAACAGACCAACAACCGTGACAATGTCTTCCCGAAGCAGCGTCTACGTCCACCAGGGCAGCTCCCCCAGCTCCCCCAGCCGCCCCAGCTCCTCTGCCTCCTATGGATCGTCCGACTCCCGCTCTGTTTCAAACCGCCGGGAGTACGATGCCGGTATGCTCGTGAACTCACCACTTCTCGCCAGTCGTTCCATGCTAACGAAGCCTGTAGCAGGACATGCTGCCCAAGTGATTCGGTCCGGCAAGACGGTTGTCATCAACCACAACCGGAAGGACTATGAGAAGGGGTCCCCTTCTCCTCGTTATGGCGGTGGCTACCAGTGATGCACTTCTGCCATCGTCATAACGTGTCGGGCCCATACTCCGAATGCCTCTTCTTCTTCTTCTCGCCCTCTGGTGCGTCTCACGCTCTGGGGGTACTGTCTTACTACATACACCTACTCGATTTCACAATCACACACAAAGTACGATACTAGGACCCATCCCGCACTCGGGAGGCCTGGTGAAGATGACTACCATGCATGGTTACACCACCACATGGACTTGGCTGTCATGGCTAGTCACACAACCAAACTGCATGGGCGTTGGCGTTTCTTTTTTTTTTTTTCTTTTGATCACGATTACTTTCTTATCTTGGCTGTACGATTCTGGGGTAACGGCGACATGGGCACAGGCACGGATGCTGGAAAGAAGGACAAGGACATGGGCAAGGGATTACTACTAGGTACTATGACTTATCATCTGGGAACATACGGGAGGCATAGACAGACAGCTATAGTCTGCAAGTAAGCGAAGGATTTGCAAGTGGCGTTATTGGTTGCGAATGCAGTTTATTTTTATTCCTTGAGCTTCCCATCTTGGTTGCTCGTCCTGCTCTATTTATATCTGGCGCTGTGCGTGAAACGAAACATCCCATACGTCCATTCATCCGTCCATCCATCCATCCTTCCGATGCAGGACGTTTTCTTTTCGTATTCTCAAACCCCCAAAAGTGGAAACGTCGTCGGCCTTGTTTTGCCCTGTTTTTCCTTCACTTATAGTAGTACTTGCATTATGTTGCTAGTATTGCGTGCATTTGTATGTCTTGGATGATGGAGCGCGATGGATGTCTCACAGCGTATCAGCTAAACTAACGCAGGAACGAGATCGGCCAGGAGGCAGCCTTGGATATAAGGTAGATACCTAAGTAGGACATAGACCAGACTGGGCAATCTATTTTTGGCAGCATTGACGACTGCCCACTTGCGACCTACCCTGGGCCGTTGCGTTGCTTGTATTACAGCACAAGTTATATTACAGCACAAGTTACAGATGCATGGACAGAAAAGTAGGTATGTCTACCTAGGTAGTTACACCTGGTAGGCAGCATTCTTGAATACCTCCCTTTTATTCATTTGCTTCTTGATTCTTTAAGAGTAGAGAAAGTTCTTTTCGTTTGTGTTTTGTTTCCTTTTTCTTTTTATTGGGGTTTAGCGTTGAGCCTGAGGTCAGAACAGCGGAATCGAGGTCCGAACCTCGCGAGGCAACCCGTTTCTGTTTAAAAAGTCCTTATCGAGGCTCCTTGATCAATAAATTCCAGGCTCGCAAGTTAAATCATCATCGTCTCCATCTCTTTCGCTTTCAAACACATCATCCTGTCCAGCTGCTCAAAAAATGGCAGTCCCATCTCCCTTAACATTGTCCAGTCACTGCAATTGTCTCTTAACGGACAGCTCCTATTGAAGAAGGGGTGAACTTGGTTCAAGCACCGCCCTCCCGCTTGGCATACTCCTCCTCAATGGCCTCCTCGTACTTTTCCTCGGGGGAGCGCGGGTCTTCGTGCAGGACGCCTTCCTTGAGGAGGGCGTCGGGGGAGGGGCGGTGGGAGATTTTGTCGTTGAGCTTGTCTTCGAGCATGTGTTTTTGGAGCTTTTTCGAGATTAGGCGCCGTTAGCACTTTTCTTTCACTACTTTGTCGTATCTTGCATGTTCCTCCTTGGGTATTGCAGAAAAATGGAAGTGTTGCGGATTATCGTCTCTCGAAGTGGTTGACTGGGATGCTTACCTCTTTCTGCTGGGCGATGAGGCCGGGTGCGGCTGTGGAATCGGGGAGGATGTTCTCTGCAAAAATAACACGGTCAGCAAAACATGAATCCTACCAAGACGCAAAAGCATGTAAATCCACGCCCCGCCCACACGGCCTGCGACAATTCATTTGCCCGCAGCTCATGGAACGAAATGATATAAAAAAAAGACCAATTCGGGGCATCGTGAGACGTACTCTCTACCAGCTCGGAGCGTTCGGGGCGGTGCTTGAGGTAGTTGGACAGCGAGTTCTTGCGGGCAGAGTTGGCCTTGACGGAGGCAATGGTCGTCTCGTCGACGGGGGGAACTTGAGTTTCTGTGGTTTCCGCCATTTTGATCTTTGTGTGTCGTCGAGGTGTGATGGGTTTCGTTGCTCTTTTCTTTTGTTCGGGGGATGAAGAGGTGCAGGTTGCCAGAGTTGTGGCGAGACTGAATTGGATCCGAGCCCAACGAAGCTCTGGGAGATGACGTCAGGTGCTTTGCCAAAAGTGTTCTCCCTCGAGTCTGGGTATCGTGTGGGGGTGGGGTTATTGGGCAGCTGAGGCTAAGAAGATGGAGTGGTAAGATAGCAGATGAACGTTGTCAGATGGAAGATTGCGAAGAAGAAGAAGAAGCTTGTTATAAGAGGATGAAGAACAGAAGCACGTCGGTTGCTGTGATGGATCGGAAAGCGGGAATATAAAAAAAAGGAGGGGGATGCAACGCTGGCTTTTAAAACACCGAATCCCTCTCAGATGAAGGCATAGAGAGCCCACACCGCAACGACTCGTACGTTTTGGGCACTAGATTGGGACGGTAACACTGTAAGGTGACCTGGCCATGTGTGGATAATTGGGCATGCGGGAGCGCTATTTTCTCTACCCCGCAACTTTGTGCTGTTCATTCTTCAGGTGGTTTTTTGGTTTTGATTTTGGTGCTGCTGCTGCTGCGCTGTGAGGTCGAAGGGGGGCGGGGAGCAGGGATGCGGTTGAATTAACGGAGGTGCTGGTGATGGGGTCACACTGAGATGCCAGACGGACGTGGTTTGGAGGTCATGGGCTTGGGGGGGCGCAAGGGGATGGTGGTGGCGCGAGACGACTTCAGACACTGGGAAATTGTCTGGGATAATGCCATTGATTGATCAGGATGAACTGCACTTCTATGAGTTGAGTCTGTTTGCGGAGCATTACACTAGAAAGGAGGCATTGAAGAGGACATGAGACGTCAGTACATGAGGCGGCATGAGTTTATGCGTGCTGTTCCCAATTAAGGGGTCCCATCTCTGTTGCGCCGATGTTTGGTTTCAGTTACGAGACGCCATTCTGTTAGGCGAAGGACGACAGCAGTGGGTGTCTCTCAAAGAGAGGCTGGCGCCAATTGCGAGCGGCCACGCGAGTGGCTTGCGTGGAGGGAGGGCGGAAGAGGACATGGCTTGGCTGTGGATGTGGACGATTGGAGACGGGGAGGTTTTTTAAGCATGTTTGACCGAGTATCATCGCATCAAGATGTGCACTCATGCGGCATACCTGGTAGAAACAGAGCCTCAATGGACGCGCATCTCCAACATCACACAGTCTCTGGCAAGCACAATGGTCAGTCAAAGGTCGCATGTCGACTCGGGTTCACAATTGAGTCAACAACTGCGCTTGCACAGAATTCGGGCCCATGGACAACCCCCCCTCTGTTCACCTCGGTCCCGCGTATCGTCACCGGCCAGGAGGCGATCGTCAGGACACACATGCAAGATCCGGGTGGCGAGGGCAAATCAAATGGCGCGGTGCACTTGGCAGCAGAGCAGTGGACGCGCTGGATAGGGAGCGGCTCCACCGCCAGCGGAGCGTTGACGAAGGCATCTGGCGCCAGCAAACGCGGCCGATGCCTGACTGTCCATGGTTTCTGCTTTCTCTGCACCTCTTGACTCTCTCCTTGGCCTGTGACGGGCTCTGAGGCCCGGTATTAGTGCCATCATGACGATCCACGGGTCCGGAGCTCGGAAGGGCAGAGACCGGGAGAGAACCGGAGCAATGCGCAATCTCGACACCCGCAGGCATCCGTTTTTTTTTTCTGCGAGGAGAAGGTGAGCATCTTTTATCATCTAAATGGTAGCCTGAAGGAAGTGCGTATTCCACCAGGTAATCTGCGCGATGATGCGAGGCTACGGAGGCGCCGGAGCGACGCTGCATGGGCTCGTCGTATCAATCAGTAGTAGGTAGCCAGAATAAGCAGCAATCAGGGAACCGGGGCCGTTTTCTCTTGCTGCACATAAATTACACACGCGAGTACCGAGATTTGCAGCGTCGTGGGGTTTTTGCCAGGACAGCAGCAAACAAAACTGGAATTTGGTACCTAAAGCCCATCCAATCCATCCCTGAGGGACTTTGTACCCGACAGTAATACAGTCTTGTTGCCAGCGGTTTGTGTGGCTGTGCCATCCGGAATCAAAAACTCATCAGCGCGCTAGAATCCACCAGCCACGGAAAAAGGTCGGCCAGCGGCGCCAAACGTCACTCGTCAGGCACCGCATCATTCGGCCGCGAATCTCGACAAGCCACATTCATGGTCGTCGCACTTCTGGGCCAACCCACGCAACGCATTCGCTCCCCTCGCTCAACACCGACGATTCTCATCTCGTCACCTCCCGGCACAGAACAAGGCGTCTGATGCTCGAGTAATCCGCGTCGCTGCCCTTCTTCTCTCTCTTTTTCCTTTTTTTCTTTTTTTTTTCTCTCTTCTTTCTTCCTTCTCCCTCTCGTTCAAAACCCCCCTCCCCCTTTGCTGTGCCGTCTCTCCATCATCCACCATGGTACGCACTCAAACTCCCGCTTCTCCTCCCCCCTCCATCGCAGCCCCTCCACCACCAGACGCTGCGGCATCATTCTAACAGGCGCTCGTGTCCGATCTCTAGGGTATCTCAAGGCGTCCCAAGGACAAAGCCGCCCGGAATGCCCAGGCGGCGGGCGGCGGCAGCAGCGAAAAGCCCAAGAAGGCGACGTACGAGGTGACTAAGAAAAAGGAGATCGGTGTGTCAGACTTGACCCTGCTCAGCAAGGTCTCCAACGAGGCCATCAACGAAAACCTCAAGAAGCGCTTCGAGGGCGCCGAGATCTACACATACATCGGCCATGTGCTGGTCTCGGTCAATCCCTTCCGGGACCTGGGCATCTACACCGACCAGGTTCTCGACAGCTACAAGGGCAAGAACCGTCTGGAAATGCCGCCGCACGTCTTTGCCATTGCCGAGTCTGCATACTACAACATGAAGGCGTACAACGACAACCAGTGCGTCATCATCTCGGGCGAGTCGGGAGCCGGCAAGACCGAGGCCGCCAAGCGCATCATGCAGTACATAGCGAGCGTGTCTGGTGAGCAGTCGGGCGACATCAAGAAGATCAAGGAAATGGTGCTGGCAACTAACCCGCTGCTCGAGTCGTTCGGAAACGCAAAGACGCTGCGCAACAACAACTCGTCACGGTTCGGAAAGTACCTTCAGCTCTACTTCAACTCCACCGGCGAGCCCGTCGGAGCCGACATTACAAACTACCTCCTCGAGAAGACGCGAGTCGTCGGCCAGATTACAAACGAGCGCAACTTCCACATCTTCTACCAGTTTACAAAAGCGGCCCCGAGCCAGTACCGCGAGATGTTTGGCATCCAGAAGCCCGAGACCTACCTCTACACCAGCCGCTCCAAGTGTTTCGACGTGGACGGCATCGACGATGTCGCCGAGTTCCAGGACACGCTCAACGCCATGAAGATCATCGGGCTGAGCCAGGCGGAGCAGGACGAGATCTTCCGCATGCTGGCCGCCATTTTGTGGATCGGCAACATTCGATTCCAGGAGGACCAGAGCGGATATGCCGAGGTGGTTGACAAGTCGGTGGTGGACTTTGTGGCATACCTGCTGCAGTGTACCCCCGAAGAGGTGATCAAGGGCATCACCATCCGTATCCTCACGCCTCGAAACGGAGAGGTCATTGAGTCGCCGGCCAATCCCGCCCAGGCAATGGCGACCCGGGACGCGCTGGCCAAGGCCATTTACAGCAACTTGTTCGATTGGATTGTCGAGCGCATCAACATCTCTCTCAAGTCAAGGCAGGCCACGTCAAACACCATCGGCATTCTAGATATCTACGGATTCGAGATTTTCGAGAACAACAGCTTTGAACAGCTGTGCATCAACTACGTCAACGAGAAGCTGCAGCAGATCTTTATCCAGCTCACCCTCAAGGCCGAGCAGGAGGAATACGCGCGGGAAAAGATCCAGTGGACGCCCATCAAGTACTTTGACAACAAGGTGGTGTGCGACCTGATTGAGCAGATCCGCCCGCCCGGCATCTTCTCCGCCATGAAGGACGCGACCAAGACGGCCCACGCAGATCCCGCCGCCTGTGACCGAACCTTTATGCAGAGCATCAACGGCATGTCACACGCCCACCTGATTCCCCGACAGGGCAGCTTCATCATCAAGCACTACGCCGGTGATGTCACCTACACCGTCGACGGTATCACGGATAAGAACAAGGACCAACTGCTCAAGGGATTGTTGAACCTCTTCCAGAGCAGCGGAAACCCATTCATCCACACGCTGTTCCCCAACGAGGTCGACCAGGACAACCGCAAGCAGCCGCCTTCTGCTGGAGACCGTATCCGCACATCTGCAAACCTCCTGGTTGATACGCTCATGAAGTGTCAGCCGTCGTACATTCGAACAATCAAGCCCAACGAGAACAAGTCGCCAACCGAGTACAACTCGCCCAACGTCCTGCATCAAATCAAGTACCTCGGTCTGCAGGAAAACGTTCGTATCCGAAGAGCTGGATTTGCTTATCGACAAGCCTTTGATAAGTTTGTCGATCGCTTCTTCTTGCTGTCGCCCGCCACTTCATACGCCGGTGAATACACGTGGCAAGGCTCATACGAGGATGCCGTCAAGCAGATTCTCAAGGACACGAGCATTCCCAAGGAAGAGTGGCAGATGGGTGTGACAAAGGCCTTCATCAAGTCGCCCGAGACGCTCTTTGCCCTGGAGCACATGAGAGACAGATACTGGCACAACATGGCCACGCGTATTCAGCGCATGTGGCGCGCTTACCTCGCATACCGAGCCGAGTCTGCTACGAGAATCCAGCGTTTCTGGCGAAAGAAGCGCACCGGCGCAGAGTACTTGCAGCTCCGTGACCAGGGGCACAAGGTTCTTCAGGGGCGAAAAGAGAGGCGACGTATGAGTCTTCTCGGCTCGCGAAGGTTCCTGGGAGACTATCTCGGCATCAACGCCGCGAACGGACCGGGGGCTCCTCTGCGGCAGGCAGTCAATCTTGGCTCAAACGAGCGTGCCATCTTCTCGTGCCGTGGCGAGATCCTCGAAGCCAAGTTTGGTCGTTCCAGCAAGCCGAGCCCTCGCATCATTGTCGTGACCAACTCCAAATTCTACATCATCGCCCAGCTGCTCATCAACGGCCAGCCACAGATCCAGGTGGAAAAGGCAATTCCTCTGGGCTCCATCAAATTCATTGGTACCTCCACAGCGCAGGATGACTGGTTCTCACTGGGCATCGGATCTCCGCAGGAAGCAGACCCTCTTATGAACTGCGTGTTCAAGACGGAAATGTTTACCCAGATGCAGCGTGCCATGCCGGGAGGCTTCAACCTCAAGATCGGCGAGACGATTGAATACGCAAAGAAGCCGGGCAAGATGCAGCAGGTCAAGGTTCTCAAGGACTCTCAGCAGCGGGCTGACTACTACAAGAGCGGCGCGATCCACACGCAGCCAGGAGAGCCTCCAAATTCGGTATCAAAGCCGATGCCCAAGGCCAAGCCCGTGCCGCCGCGGCCCATCACCAGAGGCAAGCTCATCAAGCCCGGTGGTCCGGGAGGCAGGCCGTCCAGAATCACCGCCACCCGCAACACTCAGCCGAGATCAACGGGCACCGGTACCAGGAGCGTTCCTCCGCCGCCCGCCGCTCTTGGTGGCATAGTATCGGCATCATCATCGGCCTCATCGAACGCGGGCCCGTCGGCAAGCACAAGCACATTGAGCTCGTCGACGCATCAGATCCCCGTTGTCGGAAATGCCCATAAGCCGGTCAACAGCCACGCCAGAAACCAGTCAGGCAGCGCTCGAGCGCCGCCTCCTCCGCCCGCCCCTCCTGCCCCTCCTGCTGCTAAGCCCAAGATCATGGCCAAGGTGTTATATGATTTCGCCGGCCAGAAGGAGAACGAACTGACCATTAAAGCGGGAGATATGCTCGAAATCATCCAAAAGGAGAACAATGGTACGTAAAATTCATTCCCAGACCGGTACTGCCGAACTTCAACTAACGATTTCTCAGGCTGGTGGCTAGCCAAGAATGCTCAGGGACAGGCTTGGGTACCAGCAGCATATGTTGAAGAGCAGGCGGCGCCCGCTCCCAGAGCACCTCCCGCACCGCCGTCGGCCAAGGCGAAGCCTGTACCACCGACGAAGCGCCCCGTAGCAGGTGGACGCAAGCCCGCCGACCTGGCGCAGAGGGACTCTGGCATGAGCCTCAACGGCACGGGTGGCGATAGCCGTAGTAGCACGCCGACGCCCAGTCTGGGAGGCAGCTTGGCAGATGCTCTGCTGGCGCGCAAGAACGCCATGAACCAAAAGAGGGACGACGAGACTGACGATTGGTAAACTACCCACGAATGTCGATGCTGTTTACGAGGCATTATACAGTCCTTGTCTTTGCGTCCTCGTTGTGCCCGTCCTCTTTTGCTTTCTCTCCTCGACTTTGTGCCTCAATGACTGCGAAGGAGCACCTCATCTTGTTTTGATGGAAGTCTTGTGACAGAATTCATTGTATAGTACACTGAATGTGAACGACAAAATGGGCAACCGTTATGTGCGATTCTTGTTTTTTCTTTTCTTTTTTCCTTTTCGGCACGGTCCTTATTTTTCTTGAAGTACCTATAGATCTCGGAAAGCGTGTGGTTGGTTTTCACCAGGTATGAAGAAAAGGGAGGGGATGGAGAAGGGCATCGGACCTCGTGATTGAGCCACGGGGCCTGGGAAATGCTTCTGATATATCTATACATCTTTGAGAATTGCTCCTTTAGAAGAAGAATAAAGTTTCTTTATATACTTAGGTATAGCACCTACAATGCCATCTATATCAAGTACGCCGTTTAACCCATATGCTTGTTCGTCCGCCTCTGCCTCACCATGGCTATTCTATAGCTAGGTAGTAGCTCATCTCATTCATCAACATAGACGCCAGTCCCGTTCCTCCGCCGAAGCAGTTCCGCAAGGGGAACGTCTTCATCCTCTTCCTCCTCCTCCTCCGCATCCTCATCCACTCCATAATCCGCCAGACTATCGCCATCCGCATGAGTCCAGCCAAACAGCGAGCCCTCATCATCACTGCCGCGGTTCACCTGCTCATACGCATCCACCTCTTCCAGCTCGGCCATCAAATTCCTGTTTCTCCGCCGAAAGTCTTGTTCCTGGCGCCTCCTGAACGCCTCTACCTGCTCCTCCGTGCTCAGCCCGTAGTCCTCGAGCTCCATCTCGTAGTTGCGCCGCGAAACGCCCATTTCGCGTTTCGCGAGACGTAGCTTCTCCGGGTTGATGGGCGGCCACATGCCCTCCTTGCGATTGAAGCCGTTCTCCTCCCAGGTCCACCCCGGCCCGGTGCGGGTCTTGCTCACGCGCGGGTTCCCCGCCAGCGGGAAGAACCACAGGAGCACATTGGACGTGCCCATGGCCTGCGCCATGTTGGCAAAGAAGCCCACGTCGTAGGGGAACTCGACGTGCTCAAACTGCAGCCTCTCGCCGTCGGGCCCCGTGAGATCCCACCAGTCGCGCGCGGCGCCGCCGCCGCTGCGGAAGTTTGCCTCGTGGCGGTCGTGCTCGAGCTCCTCGATGGACGTGCGGTTGAGCACCCAGCCCTTGAGCGTGCCGAAGAGCATCAGGCCGAGGAGGAGGCTGGTGACGGACCAGGTGAGGGCCGTGGCGGAGAGGCCGACGAGGGCGAAGAGCGAAGGGCCGAGGTGGGAGGGCATGAGGCGCGTTTCCCAGAGGGCGAGGAAGCGCTGCCACAGGAGGTAGCCGAGCGTCCAGAGCGAGAGGTTGGCGTAGACGAGGAAGCGCAAAAAGTGCGGGAAGGTGGTCATGGAGACGCAGTTGTGCGTCCAGGGGCAGTGGTGGTCCATCTTGGGGATGCAGCGCCTGCAGTGCCGGCAGTGATGCGCGCGAGGGGGTTTCGGCGCCTGGCACTTCTTGCACCAGCGGCTGCTGTCGGAGGCGTCGAGGACCTGGTCGTCGAAGACGTAGCGGCCCGGGTCGACGGTGACGGCGCGGAAGTAGCTGATCCAGAGGCAGAGGAGGAGGACGTTGAAGACGACGGTTTCGGTGCGCGAGGGCGGGCCGGGGAGCAGGTCCGGGTCGGAGTGGAAGATGTACTGGGTGAAGTAGCTGAGGAAGACGATCAGGGCGCAGACGGCGGGCACGGCGAGGGCCTCGATGAAGGGCGCATCGCTGAGGCCTGCCATTGCGGGGACGAGGCTGGTGGTGATGCTCGAGATGGGCGAGGCTGGAGCATGGCTTGGAGGTTTGTGTGCTGACTACTCCAGAGCAAGATACTAATACCTTATTACAGCCTCGTATTGATACGATCATTTTTGGCGGAGAACGTGCGGAAGTGGTTCCATAGTACCTTATGTAAGCGCCGCGCCAGCATGGCAGGTGTGGCCCCCCCTGAAACAAGCCCCCAAAAAGGTGAGATTTGAGGCGATGAGAGAGTGGGAACGCCAATAGAAAGAAGAAGCAACACGACATCATTGAACGCAAGACGGTACCTTAGCTGGCATCGTTGGTTTGCTACTCAGTCTCCCAGTTCCGACTTCGATTGATCGGAGCAGAATGAGAGCTTCTGTCTGCCAGACTGCTCGAGGCTAAAGAGGTGCTTTTGCACAGACACAGGGCCCAAGCAAGTGCCTAAAGGCCGTCGCCTTGAACTTGTGAGCCATGGCTCGAGTCCCGGCTATGCATGTATCTGCTCTTTGGTATGATACTTACTCTTACGTCTTTCTTGACTTCGCTGTTTTGAATCAATGAAGGGTCAAGTGTCGCTGACGAGCCTTACAGCAGTGTCTTGTCATTTGTCTACATCTCTCATTCGTTGGAGCGCCACTCATTGACCGGCATGTTGCAATCCCGCGTCCAACAACTCACCACTTCAGCTAACATCAGCCTCTTCCGCCGCCACCCCCAGAACGCCCTCGGCTATCATCGTTATTAGTATTGCTCTTGTCGGGCCTCATCTGCTATGGCATCAGTGCCGCGGCGAAGTTCATCCCCGGGGCGGACGGCCGCTTCGTTTCCGCTGAAGAGCCGATGCTGGGCGTTGCCTCGGATGATGCGCTGCTCAAGGGCTCCAACGCCCATCTTCCCAAGCGGCCCCGGAGATGGTCGATCCCGGCCCTGGTGTTGATTATTGTCCTTCGGCTGGAAGTCTTTCATCTGGTAAATAAGCAGCAGCAGTGTGCTACTCCTGGGCTCGAGGTAAGGTGACGTCACCGAAGCAAGAAGATGAAGATGAGCATGAAGGGGATATTGATGGTGACGACGCGAAAAGGCGTGAGATGACGAGAATCAAAGCTGACAGACGCTCTCCATTGACAGTCCTTTCTGTGCATATTCCTCATTGCATACGAAATCTTCCAAACCCGCCGCAGATGGGGCTTCCCCGTCTCTGAAGACGACGATGACCCCTGGCGCAGCATCTTCGACGACATCTACGACTGGTTCAGCGGCCCCCGCGTCGTCATGTTCAACACCGTCGTCAGCGCCTTTGTCTTCTCCCTGGGGACGTACCTATCCCTCTCCAACATTCGGAGGTCGACGTACTTCTGCTTCCACCTCATTGACAGCCGCTTCAAGACTGTCACTCTGCAGCTGTTTGGCCTTGTGCTTGACGCTGCCATCATCATCTTGCTGTGGCGGCTGCTGGCCTGGGCGAGGACCATCAAGCTGCGACTACGCGTTCTTAGCACGGTGCTGCTGTTATCGTCCGCTTCGGTGGGACTTGTATGGGTGGTCAACACGGTCTTCAGAGGCAGCCGTGGAGTGAGGGTCTCCGTCGGCTCCCTTTACGGGTTTGACGCCCTGGTGGACAGCTTTGCCTTTGCCTCTCTGCTCATCTCGTCAATGTTTTGGATATGCGAGACGTCGACCATCACGCCCGTCAGCACCCTGACATTTCTCGTAGGCATTTGGAGCGCTTGCGACAAGATCTTCCACTATGGTGACTGGCTACACTTGTCGCGACTTGCTGCGCTAGGGCCCCTGTGGATGATCGTGGCCGGCGCCATCGTCTTTCTCTACCTCCATGACCTCCGCTCCGTCCTGTTCATCCGACGGATCCTGTTTGTGTTCCTCCTCCTGTCTCTCCTCTTGGCCACAACCATCTTCATCTTCGTAAAGAAGCCCGAAACCTTCCGCAACGGCATCCATCCTGCCAACAACCTCGTCTACACGGCCCATGTCGAGCACGACCGCTGGAAGGCACTAGTCAGCGTCAGTGCGACGCTCTCGACGGCTGTCACCGTCTACCAGGAGCGACACAACGGGAGGCTGCCGCCCCCCAACTTCGACGCATGGTACAAGTACGCCGCGGATGACTCGGTAATGATTGACGAATTCCAGCAGATCGACCGTGACCTGGCCCCTTATTGGAACGTCGCTCCCTCTGTGCTGCGCAAGAGGGCGGATGAGATGGCGGCGATGCCCGACGTGGCCACCATCGCCGTCAGGGATGGCAAGGTCTCCCGCAAGGACACGGGACGCGCGGACGACAACGAGGACCTGGACGAGCTGATTAGCATGATTGCCAAGTTCTCGCAGCACCTCCCCGACATGGTCCTGCCCATCAACCTCCTCCCGGCGCCCCGCGTGTTACCGTCGTGGGAGGAGGCCAACACCAAGAGCAGGGCTGCCCAGCTCAGCTCCGTGGCTGACTTATTGACTCGGCGCTCGATAGAAAAAGAGGCGGGCAGCGGCAACAACAAGAACGGGAACGGCAGCACGATTGCGCCAGCGGAGCACGAGAAGGAAACGATCGTCGAGCCCAGCACCCCATCGCCTGCTCCCGCTGCTGCTGCTGCTGCTGCTGCCGCTGCCCCTATTCCTCCTCCTCCTCCTGGTGTCTCAACGCCAGGAATATCGGCTAGTGATTTGCGTCGGATGATGGTCGACGCCTGCTCCCCCCTGTCGCGGAGTCGGACGAGGCCTCACTGGAATTTCATGGAGTTCTGTTGGTCGTGCGCCAAGGACCACACGTACGGCCAACTCCTGGCAAAGTGGCAGCAGTCGCTCGACACCTGCGCCCAGCCAGACCTGCGGCTGCTGCACGGCTTCTCGCTCACGGATCCGCCGCGGGCGCCGCTCCGGCACCTGGCCCCCCTGTTCGGGGCGTCCAAGACGGACGAATTCGGCGACATTGTGATACCGCTGCCCAGGACGAGGCTGGAGCAGCCCGACATCAAGTGGCAGTTTACACGAAGATACGATAGTCTGGTCTGGAGAGGGGTCGTGGGGGAACACGCGGCGCCCAATAGTCAGGCCCTGCGCGGGAGCCACAAGTATCGCCTGCTGCACCTCGCCAGCGCGCCGTACGCGCGCGACGACGTCGTCATGGTGCTCCCCACGCCCGGCGACCACGACACGTTTGGCTACGAGAGGGTGTCGGCCGCCGAGGCCAACGCCGTGGTGCCCTTTAGCGTGGGCGTGACCAACTCGACGCCGTGCGCCGGCGATGATGGCTGCAGCCTCGTCCAGAAGGCGTACGGGCTCCGCGACGAGGCCGTCGAGCCGCTCGAGTACCGCTACGTGCTCCTCATGGACGACGACGACGGCCCGCCGCAGCAGCAGCTCCTCCGCACCCTGCGCTCCAACAGCGTCCCGCTCGTGTCCACCATCTTCCGCACGTGGTACACCGAGCGGCTCATGCCGTGGCTGCACTTTGTCCCCGTCGACCCGCGCTTCCAGGCGCTGCACACGACCTTCGCCTACTTCTCCGGCACCGTCGACCGGCCCAAGGTCAACGGCAGGGACACGGCGCTGCAGGGCAGGACCGCCGACGCCGAGTGGATCGTCCAGCAGGGACAGAAGTGGGCTGCTCAGGCGCTCCGGGGCAAGGACATGGAGATTTATCTCTTCCGCCTCCTGCTCGAATGGGGGCGCCTCATTGACGACAAGAGGGACGACCTGGGATTCCGCAAGGATGACAAGGGCGCGTTCCGGAGCGACGCCTGGACCCGGCTTCAATAAGGCGAGTAGGAGAGGTAGATGGGAGGCGAGACGAAGAAAGATGAAGAGCATCTACACTGTATATATATATATCTCACTCTATTTGCAGGCCTGGCAAGAAAAACTTTGCATAGTAGGAGTATACGATTTCCCTTTTTTTCTTTTCTTTTCGATTTCCCTTCTGGATGCCAGCACGGGATCGGTGTATGGTGATTCAAAGGTCAGCGTCGAATTAGGTCGGGCCGCATCTGTCACATTCAGTTGCACAGCAGCAGCAAGCAGCGCTTCTTTCTGTGGCATAGAAAGCAAGTTGATGGCCAGCGTGGACTCTCACCATAGAGACGGAGCACGCCGATCCAGTTGGGCTTGAATTCGAGTCGTTAATACTCCGTCTGTACATACATGCGTCTGCAGACGACAGTGCGTGATTATTGGCCTGCGTCAACACAGCGATCCTCCTGTGCTCGCTAGTATAGGTCAATTATGTGAGCTGCATGAAGGGCGAGCGCAATTTTCTAACTCCCTAGTACATACATAGTACTGCTGGCACATACATACATGCCTACCTCGGTGATCCTCCATAATCCACGCATTATTACGGGCGGGTTCTCTGCCTTTCCCCTCTCTCTACTACTATCCCAATGGTAGTACATTCAGGTTGGAGCAGATGCGAGAGTGGCTCGGGTTGCCACGTGCATGCAGAAGCGGTTGGATGGCAGAGGCATATGATGAAAGAGGAATTGCCGCCCCTTTCATGCAGAGAAGCGTTTTGGGAAGTGGGCTGTGACAGGGATGGGCGCTTGCAAGAGCGGCATGTGGTGGCATGCTGTTATCATGGCCTTTGTCTCGTTGTGGGAGGTTGACTTCCAAGGAGGCTGGTGGTGGTAATACCGCAGCTCGCACCATCTTCCTAGCAAACAATGAATGGCCCTTCCCTCTTCCATGCAAGGCGGCTGCAACCAGGGTCATAGGAGGTATTAACAGGGAGACGCTAGGCGAATCCAACAGCCTCTGCGGCAAACCGAGTCAATACATGCACTACTAGTATTAGCTGTTGCCTTTGACTTGTAACCCCCGGCTGTCTTTGATGCCTTGTGTGTCAACTGAGCACGGGTGAGCATCAACGTGACGAGACTCATTGGTGGTGATGCGGCGCGCTTCTTATGCTGCAAAGACGAGCGTCTGCGGCGTTGATGGTAGGCGTCGTGATACCCCTTCTGGCTATCTCTACCGCGTCAGTAACAGCACACACACGTGGAGGGCATCGTTGAGATTCAATGGCAGCACTTGAAGATGCGGTGGGAGCTTTGCAGGGCGCTCGGTCTGGCCAGGGATTGGCTCGATGCGAAGCCGTTGGGGGGTGGGTTGCCGCCGAGACGGATTGGACCAAGGCCAAGGGGGAAGGACAGTGGCGCGAATGTTTGCACTGACAGCGCCTTTAGGGGCGAGCCGGGCCGCCGGTCAAGTCTCGGACGTACCATCGACGGCAGAAGAGAGGCGCGTTGACGATGCCTTGGCGTCATCAGTACCCAAGACACTGGGGTAGCCGCAGCATCGTCCGATATGCACGGTGGTTTGAACGACACACCTTGCAGTTGGAGGTGCTCAGGAGGCTTGAAGCTGAGACGGCACCCATGCAGTGGCGCCAGTAGCTCGTGGAAGGGTCGTTTGCCATTCAAGTCCACCGGGAGTCTAGTAATAACAGCCCTCGAGTTGCTCGAGGATTGAAGCCCAATATGACGACAACTGTCAGGTATATCATAGGTGAAGAGTTGATATGGAGAAACGGAGCAGACCTTTGGCAACGTTACTCGCTGAGACTCGACTTGTGGAGAAGACGAGCCCGACCGAAGCTGATGCGCAGCCTGAATGCTCCAAGGCTGCATATCCCAAGGGTGGAAGAGCTGAGGGAGCCGATATTGTGCAGAATTGGAACCGACATGATGATGCTGCGGCGGATGTAGTTTGAGCGAGAGGCGAGAGCGCTCTTGGAACGTAAGAGGGACAAGGTACCAAGTATGGCCACCTCAGGTGAGAGTTCCCGTCCTAGCAACCCTGTCCTTTCACGTTGCAGTTTGGCCAATCCTGTACTTGTAGCCCTGGCTTGTGCTGACTTGGCTCGACGTCGGGCGGAATGGCCACAGGACAAATAATGAAGCACGGAGTAGTCGGCCGGTAGGCGGTTTCATAGCCGTGCAAGTGTGTCTGTACAGGGTTTCAGCCGAGCATCCTGTTTGGACCAGAGCCATTGCCAGCGGCATTTAGTCACGGCGTGGGCGTTGATAAGGACAATTGCCAGATCAGCCGGGCATTGGTTGTGAGACAATGCATGGGCATGGCATCCAAGCAGAGAGCAGGCGCTTCACGCGCAGTAGCACGCTGTGTGATGTGCTTGGCCTCCTTCAGCCGCCCCCGGCCTTGGTGCGATTGAGTTACTTTGGTTTTTTTTTTTTTTTTTTTTTTTTTTTTTTCTTCTGTTCCCTCTTTCCTCTCCTTCCCACAGCATCCTGTTTCCTGGCCGTGGGCCCCTTGGTCAGCAGGCTTCTTGTCTCATGTGGTTTGGGAACCCAGGGCGGCCCGCTGCCAGAAGTGGACGATGCTGCAGCGTGTTTTTTTTTTTTTTTTTTTTTTTTTTTTTTTTGTTTCTTCTTGTGGGATGCCGGTCTGAGGATTCGTACTACTAGTCGCAGGACAAGTAACAAGTTGAAGGGCGAGGCTGCCAGAGAGAGAGGCTGGGTGGTATGGTCCTTGTACTTTTTGCAACGGCCTGTACAAGCAGTCCTTGTACTGTAGCAATGTCGGCATTTCACACTCCGTGCTCCATATTGCAGAATCGCGAACAAGGCCGGGACGAAAGCGTTAGTAGTCTCCGCAGCGACTATCGGCGAAGGAAGCGGTTCCGCGGTGGGTTGGAGGCGCTCCAACTGGAGGCCTGGAGCACTCTGGAAGAATGGCAAACCCTGTGGATTCCGCTCTGCCCTTCCGCTGTGATCGTGATCGAGTCACGGGCCAGGCGATGTGAGGGTGAAGAAGCCGGTGCTTTTGCCGCCTCTCTCTCTCAGTGACGTTTGTTTCAGTGTGGCAGATGGGGAGGGGAAATTGCAGCAACGGGAAGGAGCTGGTCCCGAGACGCCAAAAGAGCAATTGCCTCGAATCTATCCATACCTACTACCTTTCATGTACAGTAGTGCTTGCCGCCTGTCAGTTGTGGCAGCGGGCATCCCACGGCTACAGAGATACCGAAGGTACTGTACAGGCACTACGCGGCCGGTACACGTACGGAACAGTTGCGCTTGGCCTGTGCGTCGGTGGCTCTCAGTGGCCGGCACTCCGCCATGGCCCCCTCCCGCGTGCCCCCAAGTGCCTCCAAAGACCCCCAAGGCCCCATCTGCATGCACTGGACCCAATGGCCTCCATGCTCCTCAGGGCTCCATGTGCTCTTTTACCCACTGGTCGTGGCCCCTTGTACCTGGTAGGTACCGGCTGCTCGTTAGCCCTCGCTAGCCCTCCCCTCCTTCCCCCAGATTCTCGCTTGCGTCCAAGCGCTGCTGCCATCCGATCCATCGACAAAATTTTCTTTATTTTTTCTTTTCCCTTGTCTTCGGTGTGATCAGATGCAGCTCCAGCCGCCGGGCTCCTGATCTGCAGGGCCCTTTTCCGCCCGACTCTCTTTCTGTGCTGTGACACTTATTCTTTTCTTTTTGCGATCCCTTCATTTCGCTGCTTTTGCTCCGTGCTTGTGGCGTAATACAAAGCGGGCAATTCGTATGTAGGTAGGTACTTTATGTATTACCACTACTCCAAAAACCTACTGGTAGGTAGTGCCACGTTTAGGACTCAGGTTGTTCTTGTTGTCTCTTTTCTCTCCGGTCCTTGATACCTACTAAGATGTGCTGTATTACTCGTACGTACATACCTATTGCACACCTCCCGTATCCCCCTTGTCCCTGTCTCCATGCCCTCTTGCTAGAGGTATTCCCCCATTCTTCCATTTCAGGTTTCCTTTTCCTTCCCGCTGCTGCAGCTATCAACCCACCTATTAATCCACCTTTGTCTATGCCTGTCGGCATTCTCTCACACACAGCACAACAATACCTGTGCCTGTCTCTCTGTCTCTCTGTCTCTCTGTCTCTCTGTCTCTCTGTCTGTCTGTGTCTCTTGTCTGCCTGCCTGTCTGTCTGTATCTCTTGTCTGCCTACCTTATCCACCTGTCATGACGCCCCGGCCAAAAGCCCTCATGGCCATCCCTAACCCTCTATCTGCTATAGGCACATAACCAACTTCCTCTTTCGTGACACTGGTTCGTGGCATGCTAAAAGCCTCATCGCTCTCTAGCCTCTACCTTAGCCTCCTCTGCTGCCCTCTGGGCCTTAGCCCTACCTGGGTACTAGATTCAATGTGGCCCTGCGCATCAGAGACTCCGTAGCAATAAGCGAGCGTATTTGCGATGCCGCCTCTCGAAGGCTCCGTGTCTGTGCCCTGGCCGGCTCCGCCCTGGGATGGCCTCTCGTCTGCTTTGCCTGTGCTGGGACACACAGCACGGCACATGCAGTCCACGCCATGTCTGTTTGTAAGGTATGTACATACCTTGCCGACCTTACTCGTACACACATGCATCCCAGAGGTGTTGTAAGTACAGGCCTTCCCGCCCTGTGCCATAATGCCTCCCGCCTTCTGACGACGTTCAACTTGGCTCGCCTGATGGTGTGGTGGGCTGCGGCCTGGATGGCCTAAGCCTTGACCTTGCTCTCAAACAGGCTTGGTCCTCCGTGCCCGCCACCTGGGATCCTCGAGCTAGATCCCGAGCAAACCCGCTTTGTCGACTTGAGCGCTCTGGTCGGGATGCTCTGTGACGGCCATGTTGCAGGGGTCTGGTTAAATGCTTCCGGGGGGCCATTTGTCGTCGCTGGTATTAGCCTCTGTGCGCGTGTGCTGTTTGTGCTCCTTGGGTTCGAGTCCAGGTACAACCACAGCGTCGTCGACCTGGTGACCCCCTGGCCACCACGGGCTGCATCCTTGGGCGTGGGAGCGCCTGAGGTCCGGGTATGGAGGTATGGACGAGTACAACTGCGAGTAGGTAGGTAGGTACAGTACTCATACACAACCACGGCTGGATGCCACCCCTTGTCCACCGTGGGTATACTATGTACCTATAGTAGGTAGTACTACCTCCCTACCTGTGGCATCGTGTCCCAGACCGAAGCTCTGTTGCCTCTAACCTCGGCCCTGTTCCAGCTTGACAAGTGCCCAGCAAACTCGGGCAGGCCTTGGCACCCTGGTGGCGCCTCTCGCGACATAAATCGCACTCGACTGCTTTGCGCGGAGCTCAGGCCGCGTTTTGGGCCGCTGCTTTCTGCTTGAGCAGACAGGCATTTTCCTCGCTCATCTGTCCGGCGTCCTTCTTCCCTGCCAGTCAGTGCCAGTCGTTGGCCGCATCTATAGTATCTCCTGGATGAGACCCCGCGTTCCCGTTGCGCCTCTTTTTTCCCTCTCCCGAATACATACCTACCTACCTTACACTTTTTTTTTCGACCGGCTTTTTTTAAATCCCCTTGAATTTTTTCTTTGGCGGGGTTGAGTGGTCTCTTTTTTTTTTTTTACGCGCCTCGCCACTACATACATCACACTCACTCACCTGCTGCGGCATTGCCTTGCCTTACAGCTTCCCCTACCTTACCGTGCCTATCAGACGTACAGTACAGCCAGAGTACGAGTGCGCGCGCAAGGAGACAAACGGCAGAGCGGAAGCGGAACGGGCCAAGGAAATAAAGGGAGCGATCCTCAAGTCGCCGGGCTGTTACCCATCAGGTAGCCCTGCCTGACTTTTGGCTGCTTGCCGCTGCTGCTTCAGTGGTATTGCTACCGCTCGTCCACCTGAACCCGTGTCCTCCCCCCTTCCCGCCATCACCCCGTCCGCATCGCATCGCATCGCATCGCATCACATCACCATACCTAAGCACACGTCGCTTCTGCCTTGGGACGCTCGAGTAGTGGGTAATATACAAGCCTCTCTGCCCCTTTGCCCCCCCTCCGCCAGTCGTCGTCGAGTCTGCGAGACTAATCGCCTGCAAGCCGCACCAGCTCCGCGCCACTCCAAAACGTCCAGTGCCCAAAAGTCGCCTGCATCCTGCAGCGTCCGACTCATTCGCTGTCCAGCTCAGCTCGCGGCCGCGCGAATCCGCTGCTGGCATCTGCGCGCGGCGGGAGGCGGCCCATAAACCCCCGCCTGGTCGCCGTCGTGCTGGCTCACTGAGACTCTCACCATCTCGCCCTCATCTCACCTCGCCCTCACCTCGCCCTCACCGTGATCGCGCCCTTTTTGCCCCGGGCCCCGCCCCCCGCCAATGATGGGATTTTGATCGTCCGCGCCGGTCCGCCCGTTCTACAGCCATGAACTCCGTCCACAGCCTGATTGACGCTCCCGCGCCCGCCTCGGCCCAGGGCCCGGCGCCGCTGGGAGCCCAGGCCGGCCTTCACCTCCACGACCACGCCCAGGAGCAGCCGCAGCCGCATCACCACCAGCTGCACCGCCTGGCCTCGCCCACCCCGATCCCGGTGTCGGCTCCGGCCCAGGGCCCGGGCCCCGGCCCCGGCGGCGGTCTCTCGCTGTCCCCCTCGGCGCCCGCGTCGGCGCCCACTCCCGTCCATACCCCGAGGCCCGAGGACCTGCAGCAGAGGCCGCTGCCGCCGCCGGCCACGCCGTCCATGGCGCACTACGCCCCCATTGCTTCGCCGCCGATGAGGCAGGACACTGGCTCGTCAATCTCAACGCAGGCCACCACGGCTACCCTGGCCTCTACAGAGACCAACAACACATCGTACAGTGCCGACACCTCCCCTAACCTGCACCAGTCCATTTTCTCCCTCAAGGATGGCTCCGACGTCTCTAACAGCCGTCGAACCAGCAGGAGACGTACCGGCCCCCTATCTCAGCAGTCCAGAGAGCGGGCCGCCCTGATCAGAAAGCTAGGAGCCTGTGTCGACTGCCGCCGCAGGAGAGTTGCCGTAAGTCGTGGCTCCCTTCTCTCTCTCTCTTTCTCTCTCTCCCCCCTTTATTTTTGTGTGCGGTGGTGCCTCTCGTTGGTGCCTCGTCCCAGGCTTGCATCGCTCGGCTGACACAATTCTGCTCCTCCCTCCCCCCTGCGCAGTGCCACCCAAGCCATCACAACATGACCTGGGAAGACGTGGTTAGCAAGTTCCACAGGTCGCACAGCCCGGCCGTCCAGGACATTGCTCCCTCCCTCGCTGCTACGGGCCGGCCTCTCAGTCCCGCAACACCTCTCAACGCTGCCCAGCCCATGTTTACGCATGACCCCCAGGAGATGGAGATTGATGCCACCACCACCACGGTTCCTGGCGGTGCCGCGCCTGGACATCATCATCAGCCCGGCCGCCCGCCGCTTAGCGAAGCCCGCATCCGCACCCCACTGCCGACTGGTCCCAGGCTGGAGAAGTCCATGTCCCTGCCGGGCATCGAGAGCCTCAAAAACGACATCCAAACCAATGCCGCCCGCATGCTGTCCGCCACGACGCGCGGCCGGTACAGCTCGGTCCAGGCTCTCTTGCTCTTCTGGCAGGACGACGACGAGGCGATGATGGTTCAGAATGCCGTCAGGGAGCTCGCTGACGTCTTTGACAAGTACTACCACTATACGTTTCATATTCAGACCATTCCCTCCTCTTCGGAAGGCTGCAAAAGCTCGTGGAGGTGGCTGTCGCGCAAGCTCAACGACTTTGCCGAGGAGCGCGACCAGCGTGACGTTTTGAAGATTGTCTACTACATTGGCCATACTTATCTGGATGGAAACCGCGACATGGTTCTGGCAAGGTGAGACATTTCGTGCGCGCGCCTGATAGTCTGGTCAATGCTGGCTCCCCTGCTGACTGTCCACTCCTTCTGTCTTGTAGCTCCAAGGATCCCGAACGGGCCTCGACAATTAGGTGGAGTGGCATACAGCAAATCCTCGAAGAGGCGTGCTCAGATACCCTCATCATCATGGATGCCGCGTATTACCCCCCGGCAAGGATCGTACGGCAGCAGGGCGTGCTCGAGATTATTGCAGCCTCCCTATCAGAGGACCACCTGACGGCTCTCGACCGCTGTGCATTCACCCTGGCGCTCGCCGAGCAGCTTCGCACACGCGCCGCACGCCAGACGCCCCTCTCCGTTGTGGAGCTGCACTCGATTCTCATGGCCCTTTACCCCAAGATGGCCCGAGACCCGGCACCCGAGCGAGAGATGGTAGTGAGCTTCCCTGCTCCGCTACACACCATGATGTCTGGGAACTCGAGACTCCCTTCCATCTTCCTCTCGCCGGTCCAGCAAAGCAGCCCGTTGCGGAGCAGCTTCTCCTACGAAAACAGCCCGCAGCTACACCTGGCCATCAAGCTCAACGACGAGAATATTGACATTGACAGCTGGAACGAGTGGCTACGAATGATGCCCGAAGGGATCAAGGACATTAAAATTGAAGGACCATTTCGGACTACTTTCAGGTAGTTGAGGGGGAAAGGGGGGTGTGGTGAGGGTGATGCACCACACCTTGTGCTTTATCCAGATCCCCTCCACCCATGATGGCACGCCTAATTAGGCAACCCCAACGGCGACTCTCACTGTGGCATTCGCGCTCAAATCAGAGTAGTAACCGTGCCTCTACCGTAGTTCGTGGGCTTTGTTTCTTTTTTATTCATTTCAAGCTCGGCGTTGTTCCGTATTGGGGCGGTCAACAGATTGGGAGGCTTTGTTCAAAACGACGATGCTCAAAAACAAGCGCGCAAATCCTCACACACACACACACATACATATACACCCACTGATGAGTCAATGACACAAAACTGTACCTCACGACATTGTAAAGCGAAGACTCGGGACTGGCAAGGGGGGATTTTGAAAAGAGAACAATTTATGTTTGGTTGATTTCTGTCTCACCCCATGCATCTCTGTCGTAGCAGTGAAGCAGTACGGAGTAGGTATCTTGGGATAAAAAGGTACAGAAGAAGTGTTAAGCCCTCGAATTCCTGACCGTCATCTGCCGAATCGACGTCATGCCTTGCCCGCACCAATTGACCGCGTGGAGGATCGCTGCTATTCGTGTCTTGCTTCGTATTATGGACATGTCAAAGAAGATGAAGCAAGGATGTTATAAGATGCTGATGTGACAGCTACCTTGTATATATAGTATAGGTATCTTGCCTACTATTTTATGCATAAGGGTACTCAATATGACTATTTGAATATCCAGTTGATACTGCGTGTTTGTCAATGCGAAAGTGGAGCGTTGCCCAGCAACCAAACTCCACTGAGCCTCCAGTCACGCTCTCACCCCCTGTAGCGTCAACAATTCACATTTTACCGCCCCAGGCCACCTTGATGTCAACACTAGGACCCTTTTGAGCCCCCGCGTCTTTTTTCGTGTATGTAAGGTCTCGCTCATAATAGCAACTTGACACCCCTCCCCAAGCTTCACGAAACATATACAGTCATACATAAGAAAAAGAAATCACGACCAACCGACCTGCAGACGCGATGCGCTCTCCCCCGAAGCGCCTGACGAGAGCCAGGGCCGCGACCAAGGAGCCCGAGGCAGCGTCATCGTCGTCGTCGTCAGCATCAAGATCATCGGCATCATCGAGGCCTGCCAAGACAGTCACAGCTTCCGCCGCAAAAGCCAGAGGCCCCCTTTCGTCGTCTCTGACCGCGAGCACGGCGAGCACGGCTGCTAAGAGGAAGACGAGGTCCGACGACGCGGAGGAGGAGCAGCGCCAGGCATCATCGCAGGTCAAACGTCCACGAGGCCGCCCACCGAAGAAGCCCCTCGGCGGAGAGCAGAAGGGCGTCGCCATGACAGCTCCTGTCTCAGCTCCGATTGCATCCAAGGCCGCTGAGCCAGTCCGCGGAGCGCGCACAAAGCCAGCAGCAGCAGCCGCCACGAAAGAAGAATCCACAGCCCCCAAGCCCGCGCGTGGCCGGCCGAGAAAAGTCGACTCGAAACCTGCGGCTCCCGTGAGCCAGCCCGAGCCGGTAAAGAGGGGCCGCGGGCGCCCGCCAACAGTCATGAAGCAGGCAACCTCGACGACAACAGGAGCCAATAAGCCCCCGGTCAAGAAGATGGTCACGTTCCGGGAGCCCGACAAGGAGAACATGGAGCCCGCCGCAGTGCCAAAGGAGCCTCCTCCTCCCACCGGCATGCGCGGTCGTCCAGCAAGGCGAGGCGGCGCGGCTGCTGGTCGACCCGGGCGACCCCCCACGAAAGCCTCAAAGCCCCAAGCCGGAGACAAAAGGCCACTGAGCCCTAAGAAGATTACGCAGCTGATTCTTTCGCGAACCGACTCGGCAGACGAGTCCGAGGACGAGCTGGCGCTGGAGAAGGTGAATGCGAAGCCGTTGGCAAAGAGCCCGATCAAACCCCCGTCAAAGAAACCAGAACCGATTCCCGCCGAGATTGAGCCCGTGGACACGAACATCGCCGTCAACGCAATGATGTTTGATATGCCGGAGATGAGCACGACGCTCTTCGCATCGCCGGCCAGGCGGCCTACTTCGCCGCCGCGGGATACCATCAAGTCTCCGGCCAAGAGGATGGCGGTGCCCCTGCCCGGATCCGCGCTCAAGCTGAGTAGCGATGCTGTTGCCCAAACGCCTTTCAAGTCATCGGCACCAAGCCTTTTGCAATCGGCCGCCAAACGGCCGCAGTCTCCGATGAAGCCCTTTGTCTTCTCTGCGCAGCAGGAGCGGGCGGGCGAATCGTCAACGAAGCCTTCCATGCTCCACTCACCGGCGAAGCGGGCGATGCCGGGCTTCAAGCCTGTCTTGAGCGCGCATCGAGGACTTCCGGCGCTGGATGAGACTCCTGTGGGGACTCCGACGCGCGCAGCCAGGTCGTCGACGAGGCTTATGATGGAGGAGGTAGCGCAAGAGGATGACGAGGACGAAGAGCCTTTTGAGGGGCCTATTGACATTCCTCGATTTTCCATGTCATCGCCTGCTGGGCCATCTTCTGAAGCTAGGTTTGCTGCTGCAGAGGCGGAGGGAGAAGAGGAGGAGGAGGCGGTGGAGGAGGCGGTGGAGGAGGCGGAAGAGGCAGAAGAGGCAGAGGCAGAAGAGGTAGATGCAGAAGACGCAGAGGCAGAGGATGGTGAGGAGACGAAGGAGGTAGAAGTAGAAGAGGCAGGAGCTGAAGAAGGTGGAGAGACTGAAGCAGAAGAAGCAGAGCCTCAAGAAGGAGAGGCAGACGATGTTGAAGCTGAGGAGGCAGAAGTCGAGGCAGAGGATGACAACAGAGCAGAGGAAGAGCCACTGGGTGTCATGGAAACGCCGGAGCATCTGCTAACCGACGAAGAGGCCGATGATGTAGTCGAGGACAGCATCATCGTCGCTACGGAGGAGCAGGAAGTCGAATATGAAGAGGAAGTGGTTGAGGACGATGATGCCGAATCCGAGGATACAATGGTTCTCGACGATATCGAGGCGGAACCCGAGGAACCCGCCGAACCTACACCAAAGGCAGAGCCTCAGCCCAATCCCCGCTTCTCACAGCTTCGAGAGAAGGACTTGGATCCCTGTCATGACATGAGCGCAATCTCAGATTCCGAGGACGACACATTGCCTTTTGCGAGAGTCACGGCCACTCCATCTGTGAGCGGAGAGCAGACGCCCAGGGCCCGAGCCAGTCGTAGCTCGGCGAGACAGTCCCGCAGATCAACTCTGGGATTCGGAGGTCTGTCTGAACAGCTCGGGACTTGGTCAGCTGCAAGCCCCGTTAAGAGCGCACGCTCCTTTGTGGTGGAGAATGAGCCTGAGGATGTTGAGGTTGAGGAATCGAACCAGGACACACCCATGAAGAATGCATCGCAGCCTGAGGGCGTTGCGCTGCTGGACATGGAAGACATCGAGGATCAGCAGCTGGACGAGGGAACCATGATCACAGACGAAGACATGGCTCTGGCTCAAGAAGCCAATGAAATGTCGCTCATGGACCCCAAAGAGGAGGAGGAGGAGGATGCCTCCAATACACGCCACTCTTTCGACGACAGCTTGTCAGACGCCAGCCAGGAGTACGGGGACGAAAACCAAGTGCCGATCGAAAGCCCTACGCCTAGCGCGGCGCCTCGGGCACCGCCGCCGGTCACTCCCGTGTCTCGGCCGGTAACGCGGTCATTCAACACGACCACCAAGGTGCCCCTGAAAGCAGCCGACAATTCCACCCCCAGTCCGCTGAAGAAGAAGAGCTTGAGCACCCCGCGAGCGGCTCCGAAGCGCCCCAGTCAGCCAAAGAGGGCCGCCCCTGTCCTGGCTTATACTCCCGATAGGCCACGGAGGCGAAGCTCACGGAACATCAGCACCATCTCCGAGGAGCCTGAGCAGGCCGCCGAAGAACCCTCGATGCCGGAGCCGAAAACGCCGGAAGCCAAAATGGACCTGTGGGCAAGCATCGGGACACCGGCGCGTACCCCCCGAAGGGACCTCAACCCCAATCTGCTCCGCGGGGCCATTGTGTTTGTAGACGTGCACACGAGCGAGGGCGCGGATGCTAGTGGCATATTCGTGGAGGTGCTCACACAGATGGGCGCCCGGTGTCCCCAGAAGTGGAACTGGAACCCCAGCAACGCAAGCAACGGCGAGTCGACCAAGGTGGGCATCACCCACGTCGTCTTCAAGGACGGCAGCAAACGCACCCTGGAGAAGGTCCGAGAGGCCAAGGGGGTCGTCCAGTGCGTGGGCGTCAGCTGGGTCCTGGACTGCGAGCGCGACAACAAGTGGCTGGACGAGGCGCCATACAACATCGACACTAGCAACGTTCCTCGCGGAGGAGCTCGTCGCCGGAAGAGCATGGAGCCCAAGTCCATCTCGAACAAGGACGGCAGCGCGGTCAGCAGCAGCTCGTCCAAGGAGAGACGCGAGTCGGCGTCTAGCACATCGAGCTCGGCCAAGACGCCCAACCGCAGGCAAAGCAGCATCTGGGTGCGCACGCCGTCAGACCCGGGCGATGAGGAGCAGGAGGAGGAGGAGGACATTGAGTGGTCCAACCTCATTCTGACGCCCGTTCCCAAGACGCCGGCCCCGGAGGCGATTATGAAGTTTGCTACCGAGACGCCGTCCAACCTGGACGACGATGAGTATGACGAGGATGACGGGTCACCGACGAGAGAGGAGCTGTTGACGCGGACCTGCCCTCCCAAGGCGCAAAAGTACCTCGAGCTTGGCGGCGGCATCCTGTCGAGGTCCAAGGACACGGACGAGAATGTGATGCAGCGGCTGATGGCTGCTCGGCGCAAGAGTCTACAGTTTGCCCCCAAGGTGGGCAGTCCCTTGGCCAGGATGTGGCAGTAAAGGATGGATCAGCAAGCCCGGTTTATGATTTTTATTTTCTCTCTCTACTTTTTTATCGTTCTTGAAGCTGCATAGGATAAGGGTAACACACGAAGCTTGCGTTGGCTAGTCGCTCACTTGGAAAGGGGGGAAAGGTTGTTTATGCACTTGGTTTATGGGATCCCCAGGATGAATCTTCGTACATTAGCATCAGGACATGCATGGCGTCTGGGAATAACGAACAAGAAGTCATTGCATGGGGCATTGTTCATAAGGAAGCCAGATATAGAATCATTGGCACGATTTTGCCTCGACATTATTATATTGGGCTACTATGTCCATGACCTGAGATGTGCTGTCTAGGTATCTATTGGTGATGTTTGGCTATAGCGTTACACGTTGTGTGGTAGGCTGAGAGACAAGATGGAGTGTCTGTGATTGTGAGGTACATGTGTATAGGCGCGTAGTTGGTGAGTTGATGCGTTTTTGAATGTTTGAATATAGCGGTTGTTCCGTTTGATTGCCAAGAGGTCGGGAAGATGTCGAGCAGAAATCGGATACCCAAGGTTTCTATATATGGTGGTGATGTAGTTTTGGTTATCTTTATATCCCATCCCTCCATCTCGTGTTCTCCCACGCAGCACCAGCCCAAAGGATCTTCTTCCTCTTTGTATTTCGTTTCCTTTTATTTTCATCTTTAATTCTTTTTTTTTTCTTTCCCCCTCCTGCTGAAGGGATCACAGGTAGGTAATTTTCTCAACCCCTCGCCACAGCCCTCAGCGCAGCAACAGCATCGCCATCATAGGCCTTGAGCAGCTCCGTGGCCTTTGCCTTGCTGACTTCCAACTGGTCGACGAGCAGGGCAACATCAGCGGCGTCCACCTTGACGCTCTTCTTTGCCGCCGCCGCCGCACTTGCTGCTCCAGTTGCAGCTGGCTTTGAGGAGATTGCTTTGGAGACGGCTTCGTGGTCGACGTTTGCCGGGGTGGACGTTGAGGAGGAGGAAGCTTCGTCGACGGAGGACGGGGCGTCGAGGTTGGAGAGGGCGGAGGCGGCTTTGCGGTCTTCGGCGGTGCCGGTTTGGGAGGGCGGGGGGTCGGAAGCGTCTGCGGAGGACATGTTTTTTTGAGGTAGGTAGGTAGGTAGGTATATGTATGATGTAAGGGCAGAGAGCTTGTTGTTGGCGTTGGTGTGAGTGGGTGGGTGGTGTTTTGTATTTTGGTGGTTTGATGAGGTTGGGGGGTGTAGTAGAGGATCGATGGTGATGATGATGCTTGGAGGTTTGATGAGTTGTGAGTTTGGAGCTGGAGCTGGAGCTTGGTGGGGAAAAGGTACGTTTGGGTTGTAACCTTTTTGGAGGGGCGAGGTCTACCTAGGTTGCTAGGCAGTTACTAGCATGAAGCCCTACCCTGGAGTGTCCATTGATTTGGGCAATTTTGCATGATGATGCCGACTGCGTTCTTGTATGTGATTTGATGCCATCTTGTGTAATGGTTTTAGACTGGCAGAGCTCAAGTACTAATACATTACGATTTTGGGCCGGATTCTAGTAGTACAATTTGATTGAAAACCTGGTATTTATCCTTCAGGGTATTAGCTATGTTGCTACATGATATTGAACTGTGTCACCCTCGAGCTGAAAGTAAAAGACTCCGTCATGGCACACAGCATAAATAATGTGCAACATCCTTTCGAATATCCCCGAGAAGTCTCTTTGGGTACTACTTGTAAATATTGCGTGCACACAGAGAGCCTCATCTACCTATTCGAGGCACCTCCCAGCTGTTGGTGACATCAAGCAACAAGCACAATACCTGACTAAGACCAAGCGGTTCAAGTGGCCAGCCCTGTCTGTACGTAATCGTCCAATACAGCTGCAGCAGCGCTTCTGATTGGCCAATTGCCGCTCTTGCAGGGCGCTGAAACTGGGGGACAAAAACGGGAAGGAATTGGAGATGGATAAGGTACGTACCCCAAATCTGCACGGGCAGCCGCACGGGCCTCTTGATTTTTTTTCTTAGGTTGTGTGTGAATGCCAACAATAAAGTGGCACTGACTCATCGTTGATTCAGCCTTCTCGGGGTCTTGACCGGACCCTGTTCATTCATTCTAAGCCCTGACAAGCAGCATCTCTTGCCATTGACTCCAGGTAATCATATCTCTTCTTGCTGGGATTGGGACTATTGTATGTTTCTAGCAGAGTGCTGACGTGCGCTCATCAAGGCATCTCGTTGAATCTGGCACTATCAATCACAACAACTCGGGATTGCCCTCTCACCTTCAGAGGTGAAATCCTTGACTCACTGGTCCCTTGATTCGCACTCACTGCATCTCGGGGCTTTGTTGCGTCACCGAGGCCATTTTACAACAAGGCCGTCAGCCTCGTCCTTCACCTGAGTGCTCTTGCAAACACCATCCTTCCGACTCCCCATCTCAGCCAGCCTCTCCCCTCCTCAGCCTCACCACCATGGCTCAACAGTCAACCCTCCCCGAGGACATCGCCTCCCAGCCCTGGGACCCCTCGACCTGGCGCTCCAAGCCCATCAAGCAGTCCCCCGCCTACCCGGACCCCTCCAAGCTCACAAAGGCCGCCGCCGAGCTCTCGCGGATGCCCCCCCTGGTGCACCCCAACGAGATCAACGCCCTCAAGGCGCACCTGCGCGAGGTGGCCCAGGGAAACGCCTTCCTGCTGCAGGGCGGCGACTGCGCCGAGCTCTTTGACTACTGCGAGCAGGGCGCCATCGAGTCCAAGATCAAGCTGCTGCTGCAGATGAGCCTCGTGCTCATCTGGGGCACCAACAAGCGCGTCGTGCGCATCGGCCGCATGGCCGGGCAGTATGCCAAGCCGAGGTCCAGCCCGACGGAGATTGTCGATGGCAAGGAGCTGCCCAGCTTCAGGGGGGACATTCTCAATGGCTATCACGTCGATGAGCGGGAGATTGACCCCAATCGTCTCATCAAGTGAGTTGCCTCAACCTACCTTACCCCTTAACTCACTTACACATCCATCCCCACTCACTCATGTTTCCTACTTGTCCTACTTGTCCCCATTTTCATAACTATGCTAACACATTTCGCGAACCAGAGCATACCACCACTCTGCCGCCACCCTCAACTACATCCGCACCGCCCTCGCCTCGGGCATCGCAGACCTCCACCGCCCCCTGGACTGGGGCCTGGGCCACGTCCGCGATCCCGCCCTCAAGGAAAAGTACCAAAAGATCGCCTCGAGCATCCAGCAGACGCTGCGCTTCCTCCAGGTCATCAACGCCCGCCCCGGCGAGCTCGAGACGGTCGAGCTCTACACCAGCCACGAGGGCCTCCTGCTCGAGTACGAGCAGCCCCTGACGCGCCTCCTCGAGAAGCCCACGCACCCCGGCGTCAGCAGGCCCGGCACTCCCCCCAGCCTCTCGCCCACCATCAAGCCCGTCGCCGGCAGCAGCAGTGAAGAGGCCCGCAAGGAATACTACGACACCTCGGCGCACTTTGTCTGGATCGGCGACCGCACGCGCCAGCTCGACCACGCGCACGTCGAGTTCTTCCGCGGCATCGCCAACCCGATCGGCATCAAGGTCGGCCCCTCGACGCCCACCGAGGACCTGCTCGCCCTCCTGCGCACCCTCAACCCGTCCCGCGAGCCGGGCAAGATCACGCTCATCACGCGCTACGGCGCCGCCAAAGTCGCCGCCCTCCTGCCCAAGCACATCCGCGCCGTCGAGGACTCCGAGTACCGCCGCTGCGTCGTCTGGCAGTGCGACCCCATGCACGGCAACACCCTCTCGACGCCGACAGGCATCAAGACGCGCCGCTTCAACGACATCTACAGCGAGCTCGAGCAGTCGCTGCGCATCCACAAGGAGCAGGGGAGCTACCTCGGCGGCGTCCACCTCGAGCTCACGGGCGACGCCGTGACGGAGTGTCTGGGCGGCAGCGAGGGGCTTGACGAGGATGACTTGTCGACGAATTACACGAGCTTCTGCGATCCGAGGCTGAACGAGAAGCAGGCGCTTGAGTTGGCGTTTTTGGTGGCTGATCATTATTCGAGGGAGCATAAGAAATGAGCTGGTTACGAACGTATGGTATATATATACGAGGAACCAAGTCATAATGTGAAAAAAGGGGTGGGGAAAAAAAGAAAAAGAAAAGATATATATCTCATGATAGGTATGAGAGATTGCACGAAAGACGGCGGCTATTTTTGCATATGTGTATATATATATCAATCAGCAAATCTTGGCCTGAGGTTCACAAGACGGACAAAAAGAAGTACAAGAGGTGGAGGACATGAAGCAGGGCATCTCCTCAGGACAGGCCTGACGCATTTCATAACAAAACATGCTGTTCATTTCGAAGACGCTCACTCTGTGCCAACATCTAAAGAAGAACTCAATGCCCTCTCTCAGGACCATGGTCCATCAAATGCGAGGATATATGCAGGTATACGGTAGATTCACACACATAGCCCCCACGCACCCTCACTTCAAGTAAATCGTCTGCGCCCCCTCAAACGCATCCCCCTTCTCCAGCTTCTGCCACGAGCTCACCGCGCCCGCCTCGACGCAGACCATCTTCTTCCAGCCGTCCTTGGGCTCAAAGTCGGCCATGCCCGCGGCCTTGTCGACCCAGGGGTTCCACACCACCACGTCGTCGAGGTTGTCGCGCACGACGCGGAACTTGGCGACGCCGGCCTCGGTGATGACGACGGGGTGGCCGGGGCCCTTGGCCGGTGTGTAGACGCGGTCCGTCTCGCCGGAAAAGGTGACGGGGTCCGAGGACTGCGTCTTGTTCTTGACGCCGTCGACCTTGTCGTGGTAGGGGGAGTCTTCGAGGCCGAGGACCTGAACGGACGCAATGTCCTTTTTTTTTAATATCACATGCTGTGTTAGTCTTTTTTTTTTTTTTTTTGTACTGCTATTGAGTTGTGAGGATAGGAGGCCCCTAGTATAATGCTTACAGAAACTCGGAAATACGTGTGCAGCAGCGTCTGGCACTCAAACGGCTCGTCGCCCTCGTTGGTCACCACCAGCGCCGTGCTCAGGCTGTCGGGCGCCAGCGTGACGCTGTACAGCAGGCCGAACTTGTAGGGCCACAGCTGGCGCGCGGCGTCGTCGAGGTTCTCCGACGACAGGCCAAAGTCGAGCTTGACGCCGCTCGCGGAGCCCTCTGTGGAGGACTTGCCGAGGAACTCCCAGCGGGAGTTGCGGGCGAAGCCGTGCTGGGGCAGCTTGGAGGTGGCCTCGTGGTCGGGGGCGGTGCCAAAGACCTGCGTGTATGGTGAGGGGGTCAGTTATCTTCTTCTTCTCTTTGGTAGGAATGAGTCTTGCGGTATCGCTCTTGGACCACAGTTTTTGCTCGTAAACGCAGAGAGAGAGAGAGGTTGTATGTATATGGAGAGAAGAAGAAGAAGAAGACGACATACCGGGAAAACCAAAGGAATGCCTCCGCGCACGGCCTTTGTCCCGTCCAGCTTCGCGCCCTCGCTCAGCCACAGCTTCTCATCGCCGGCGGCGTCCTTCCAGCTCAGCACGGTGGCGCCGTACAGCAGGACCTCGACGCTCTCGCCCGTGGGCAGGACGGCCGTGACGCGCGAGCTGTCGTCGGAGATGGTGACCTGCGCCTGGGGCTGCAGGCCGGGCGTCGCGGCCAGGGCGGAGGGCTTGTTCGGGCGCTGCACCATTGCGTATGTATGTATGTATGTATGTTGTATGTGAATGTGAATGCGATTTCGCGATTGCGGTTGCGGTTGCGACTGGAGATTGAGCGCTGTTGGGATGTGAGAGTTGGGGCGGGCGAGGAGGTTGGAGGTTTGGGAGAAAGCTGGATATGGACCTCCTGTTAGCTTTGAGGAGTCCTAGTAGGTATGATGATGACAAGGGAGAAGTGGCTGAAGGTGTTGTTGACTGTAAGGCGGGTATAAAAGCAGCGCGGTATCTTTACCTAGTCAATCCGAGTTCTGGTGTCAGAGGGAAGAGCTTCGAGGCAGGATACGCAAGAAGTGGAAGCTCCAGAGGATGGAGATGGAACAAGAGTGACTGCATCAGCATCAGCGGCTCCATTCTGGCGGGGTACCTTTTGAAGGGCTGCTGCTTTCCTCCACCCCCTCACCCCTCCTGCTTGGAATGGAGCTGCGCCCTGTAGCCGGTACTTGCACTCATGCGGATGCACTGGGCGTATGGTGGCCATTTAGATGTACAACTACTTGTAGCCCGGCGGCAGAGGCGCATCTTGCAACAGAATTGAGCTGCGACTCTGCATCCCACTTACATGAAACGCAACGCTTGTGAACATCCAGGATGCGACTCAATCTCCAGCTTGAGGGCTTGGTTATACGCGATGCCCCTCGTGTGATGCCAAACAGACTCTTCTAGGTGGCTTGGTGGCATAAACACTGTCACTACATGAAGCAGTAGGCAGAAAAAAATGGCATACTGAGGAGGATGCTCTCTGTCAAAGATGCCAGCATCATCTTGTTATCTCTGTTCGTCTATGTTGCCGGCCGCCAATTTGACCCTGAAATTTGCCTCCAGGTGTGGGTATATGTGACCTCAGTTATCCTCGAACAGGGTCTGAGAGAGAACGAGGATCAAAGAAAAAAGAATAATAAACAGAAAGTAAGTATCTTCATGCCGCGCTGCTTGTTATAGACAGGAGTTGTAGGACAGCCTGAAAGCCTCATGCAACGGCGCTTCTATGCAGCCCATGATGCATCTTACCCCACTTTGCGAGCACTCTCCTCGTCAATGCCAATAAACATCTTCTTGTTGGCGTCGGCACCGTTGCTTCCATCGCTGCTGTTCCCGTTATGGTGCTCCGCATGGGCCTTCTCATCAACCTCGTCTACCGGAATGAGGAGCTCGCCATTCTTGCCATATCTCCGCGGCTCGATCTCGGCCTGGCGGATGACGTCAAAGGTTCCGCGGAAACCCTTGACCTTCTGGAAAATGGAGTCCATCTCTTCCAGAGAGCGGTAGGCGGTCTCGGGAAAGAAGAAGTAGACGCATGGGACCATGAAAGCGTTGATGACGGCGAAGACAACATACGTCTTCCACTTGATGTTGGTGAAGGATACGGGGGTGATCATGACAACCTGCCCACGAATATTAGTAAGAGACTCGTCGTATAATGCAGCAATGGTGAGAGCCAAACCAAAAAGTTAAAGATCCAGTTCGAAGAGGTCGACAGAGCGTTGGCCGGAGCACGAGTACTTAGAGGGGTGATCTCGGCCGGATACAGCCACGTCATGCCCAGCCAGCCAACTGCAAAGAAGGTGTTAAACACAAACAAGAAGACGATGCCCGCAATCTGGTAAGGCTTCTCATCCCGCGAGTTGACGCCAGCGAGGATGGCCATGGTGACTGCCTGACCAACCGCACCGAAGAGCATGAGCTTGCGACGTCCAACGCGCTCGACAAGGAAAACCGCAGGCCAGGAAGCAATGAAGTACTCGGTACCGTTGAGGGCCGCGAGCAGACGGGACATGAACGGAGTCATGCCAAGGTCGGAGTAGATCTTGGCAGCATAGTAGGTAATGAGATTGATGCCGGAAATCTGCTGGAACATCTGGTTGACATAGGCGATAAGCGTGCGGTGGAGTGTGCGGTTGTGGTCTCTCGCAAAGAGCTCGCCGTAGGTGCCCTTGCTCATCTCCATGGCCGTCTCCTTGATGGCATGGAACTCGTTCTCGACGTGCCTATCCTTGATGTCGACGTCTGCGATGGCGGCAATGACCTCTTTTGCCTCTTCTTCACGACCCTTGAGAATGAGCCACCGAGGCGACTCCGGCAGGCCAAGGACAAAGGCGAGAATGAAGACGCAGAAGACGATCTGGAAGGCCAGCGGAAAGCGCCAAGCAACCGAGCCAGGAGCAAAGGACAAGCCAAGGTCGATCCAGTATGAAATCATGATGCCGCCCGTAATGAGGGCTCCCTCAATCATGACCAGCTTCCCCCTTCTGTGTGCGGAACATGTTTCAGACTGCCACATGGGAACGGTAGACGTGTTGCCACCGTTGCCAAGACCTGTTATAATACGGCCAATGATGAAATGCTCCAGAGTAAAGGCGGAGGCCTGTAGGATAGCACCGATAATCATGATGGAAGTACCGAGGAATATCATGCGCCGACGACCGAGGGGATTGCCGATGAAGATGGTGATGATGGCGCCGATGAAGCACCCCAGGTTGTAAGATGCCACGGCAATGCCCTGATAGGTGGAGCGTTGAGACGCGTCGCCAGCGTCGATGGCAGCATCTGGGTTGATGACGGGGAACTGGTTGAGGAAGACGGGGAGTGTCAGGATGCCGCCCATGACACCTTGGTCTGTGGTCTGTCAGTCTATGCCAGTTAACACGGCTTGTCGAGGAGAAGTCATGAACATACCGTAACCAAAGAGGAGAAAGTCACAGCCGGCAATGGTGCCGATGGCCCAGTTGAGGGCTTGACCTCTGAGGCCAAAGTATTTCTTCATGATGGCGATTTGCCGTCAAGGCCACTCCTTGTCCCTATTCAATGCGGCTCTCCTGGAAGCAGTCTTGCTGCTTCTGTATTCCGTCTACTCCCGTTAATTGCAGGGAAGAGAAGCCAAGGAGTGAAGATGAAGATGGCAGGCTGAGAAAGGCAAGATCAGACCTCGGGGGAAGGAGGGAGATATCACGGCCTTTTTAAGTCGCATCCGCACCACAGAGCTGCAAGCCAGCCACTAACACGACCGACTGGCTCAACTGGTGCAACATCACGGACGGGGAAGGGCTCCGTCACACTCGCCAGAAAACTGGAGACGCCGAGCCTTGCAGACCGTCCATGGCCGTTCCCGTCGACCCTGGTACTCGTCCATGGTGGCTGGAGTTACAATCAAGCAAGCCGGATGGATGTATCCAGCCCTCAGCGGGAACCTGCTGCAGTAGATCAATCTGGCTGCCTTGCCATGTCCATACCTGGTACATGTACGCGGCAACGCCAGAAGCACCGGCTCCTGTGACATGTACAGTGTACGACGCCCTTGGGGGCAAGATGCGGGATGAGGGCATTCGAGGCCGGGGCGTGGAGAATGAGGAGAAGTCGATCTCTGCCTAGCAGGTTAGTGGAGGAACCAGTTTGTTTGTCTGGCGGACTGAGTTTCTGCATCCATTTCGGCTCTCCTCCCTGCAGAATCTCCACCGCCTTTCACGCGTGGCGTGTGGGAGTACTCGTAGATGCCCTTTCCATGTGGTTGCTCCTGCTTTTTCTTCAGTTTATTACTAAGCTGGGAATCTGTTTTATCACGGCAGTTGAAACTGTAGAGCCTGCCCCCAACTGCAGCTCAGACTTCATCCTCCTCTCTCAACCTCACTTCAAAAGCACTCGCTGACCTCGACAATGGAAGCCCTGAGTCTACAGTATCAGGCTCGTTACTACTAGTATTGCGAAAAGCCTCCATTGCCGTCTTCGTCGCCTGGCCCCTGTCCACTAGCAGCTTTAGCGCCTTGCCTTGCAGCCACAACCACCAACAGTTGAGGTCCCCCGTTCGCCCGTCTAAAATTCTACCGGCCGAGTCGTATTAGCTGATACCGAACGGACGCCATTTTCCACAGCACGTCACTTGAACGGGATGCAATGCTCGTGCTCTCAGCATGCTTGAACAAGCCAATATGAAGCTGGATCGCCGTCCCTCGGCCCAGGAGTCAAGGCAACGCGGGAAATCGACCGTCGAAACGAAGAACACAACCTGATGATGTTCAGCATGACGTGGGGAAACCGACGTCACTCGCTAAATCAGCTCCAATACCCCATGGGAAACATGGTGGATCCCGGTGGGAAAGCGACTCGCTACCCTGGTGCGCGCCTTTTGCCCAAGGAGGCAGCAAAGAGTCACCAGCATGCCGACCAACAGGTTCATGAGTGGGACGCGGAATGGAAGAGCGCTTGGCGGGAGTGGCTCTCTCGAGAAATGCTCTGACAACCAAAGACTCGACCAGAGTTGGCCTCGAAACGGCATCTCAGGCCGGTGGCGCGCACCAGCTAGGGAACCCGATGTCCTCTCTTTGGCCCGAATCCTGCTAGTGCCTGGTGATAGCCTTCCCGGTAGGCCAGCAAGCTGACCTTGGTGTGCAGAAGCCGGGGCGGGTGGTCAGCAAGTCCGAGGAGGAGGAGGACTGCATCGGAGAAAACAAAGTTGCACATCTTCTTGTGTTCCAGGACGCTAGCTGATCGAGGCATATCAGCCCCTGCCATCATAGCGCCTTGCCCTGATGCTGTGCAGGTCGAGCGCGGGTATCTGGCGATTAACAATTCTTCAACTCCTTCTAGATGATTTGGCAATGCGCTCAATCATCATGATAGTGGTATCATGTCAATACCTGGTCTTTGGCCGCTTTCAGTTTCCGACAAATCGATAAGAATTCAGAGTCTGGGAAAGGATCTGTCAGCAGTCTCGACCCTTCTTTTTCCCCGCGTCCCCGGAATTCGCTTTCTCTCGTCTCGCGTGCTGCCCCCGGACGAGGTCCCCAGGCTTCCCCAGACATGCAACTTTGAAGCTATTCCCTCCTTTGCCCTCAGGGAATGCCTAAAACAGCGACCCGAGGCACACTGGCGACGAGGACCCTGAGGCAAACTGGGCTGACTACTAGTCGGCAGACCAAGCTGTCAGGGACCAGCGCTGGTCCAGACTGTTCCATTGCATGCCGCTCTAGTGTTCAATGTCACGATGATTGGTGCACTCGAAATTTAGGACCTCCATTCTGTGAATGCCTGTGAATGCCTGACATGGCATGGCTGAGGAGATCCAGGCATTAACACCTCCTCTCACCACTACCTACACGAACCTTTGGTGAATAGACGGTTCCGTGGATCGCGACGCCGTCAGTTCTCACCAACGATTTCTGGGCTGACGTCGTTTGCTGTGAGGATCTGAATTCTCTTCAACTTCGAGCCCTCCTTCCCCCCTTCGCTTCGGTACAAGAGGCAAGACCAGTTGCTCGTGTGGCTTGAGTGGTTATGTGCCATTCGGCTTGAAATCTATTTGCCTGTCTCGCGGTTCCGCATCGACGGCAATCCATTAAACGCACGTCGTTAAAAGGAATAACCATTGCTTTTGGCTACAAAGGCGAACGATTGTTCACTAACAGACTGCGAGCGTCAAGGTAGCTGAGCAGCCAAGGATACGCGGGCTCAAAGCTGATTCGACTTTTTGGGTTGATACTAATGAATAGCTTGGCTTCCTTGCGCAACGGCTGATTCTTGCAAAGCAGAGACGCATATTTCCATCTTTAGCTATCCAATGCCATCTTTTTCCCTTGCTAGCCAATATAAGGCATAGCTCAACTTTACTCTTCCTTCTCTTCGTTCCTCGAAGTTGAACTTCAACGCCGTCAACATGTCCTCCTATCTCTACGCCCAAGGCCATCCCTGGGATGAAAATGAACTCGTCGGCATCAACGAGCGCTTCACACGGCCTTTCCATTCCCGCCTTCAATTCGTATTTCCCTACGTGGCTCCCCCGGAATTCAGCTCAAGCTCTCAGGCATCACCATATAAAGCTGTAGGCGCTACTCGTATTAAACACCCAACGATGTCTCGCCGGATTGCCCCTTTGGGTCATCCGAAGCGTATATCTGCGGCTTCGTCCGCGCGCTCCTCTCCACATGCCGGACTTTGCTTCGGCTCGCTTCACAAGTTTGATTTTACTGTTGATTTTCTAGTTCCTGTTTTTTTTCTCGTCATGGTGATGTCGGCCGGGCTCCTTGCTTCCACACGCTGGACAAGCCAGAGTCGCGTCGGTCTACTGATAGGGGAAACGAGGCCTTGGAGACAAAAGACAGAACAAGTGAGGCTCGACAAGGGAAGCCGGGGCATCAGCATTGGACCAGCAGCGCCTTGACTGTTGCTCTGCTTAGCAAGGCCATATTCATGGAGATTGATAGAGGCTTCGACACCTAGCTGAGATGAACATTTGAGAAAAGGAAAATAGGTAGCCTTTGTTGCTCCGAGTCTATATGTGCAATGTCATGTACCCATGCTCTAGCCACCACCCCCCCTTTTCAGCGTAAACAGTATCTACTCTACCTCGCCATGTAAACAGTCCCCGGCGCAGAATTGAAAATCATCTGCTTCTGTATTCATACAGTTTGACCCCCTATTTCCATACAGCCCAACCAGCCAAGGCTCCAATATACCACAAAAACCAAACATCTTGAAAGAGGTCAAAAAAGAAAAACAGAAACATACAAGCAAAAAAGAGAAACACTCTCGACGCCGTAGACGATGCAGCCGCACTATGCAAGTTCGTAACAAAATATCAATCATCCTTTTCAGGCTGCTCCTCCGTCTCTCCTTTCGTCCTTAGGAGCTCTGCCTCCCTCGCCTCTCCGCTTCAAACAGCTCGCGCTTCAGATCCATCAACACATCTTCCATCTTGTACACTTCGCTCCGAGGCAGCGCGACTTGACGCAGTTGCTCCAGGCTGTTTTGTAACGTCTCCATGATTGTGAGGGCCGTGTCCTTCTTCTTCTTCTTCTCCTTCTTCTTCACCTCCGCCTCCTGTTCTGTGTCTTGCGGCTCGCTTTCCGGCTTGTCTGCCACTGCAGCATCATCCATTACGACATCGACGTCTGCCACAATAGATTCCAGGGATTGCTGATGCGGCTCCTCGTTGGTGGATGGCAGTACTTCGTCTTCCGTATTGCCACTCGCTTCCTGGCTTTCGGTAGCCGCCGCATCGGTCTCCTTAACCAGCTGCGACGCCGCCTCGTCATCTGTGTCTCCACCGCGCCGCTTCTTGTTGCGCTTGCTTGACCGCTTCTTCGAAGCTGCTGCTTTCTTGTTGCTGTCTTCGAGCTGGCGTTGCTGGCGGTGTCTTCGGGCACTCCCCCTTGTCTCCATGCCTGCAGCCTCAGACACCTTCTCGCTTGCTGCGGCTGCTTCGACATCCTTTGCAGGTTTGGGCGTTTCTGAGCGTTGCTTCTTTGAACGGCCCTCGCTTTGCCGGGACCTTGACCGCTTCCTCTTCTTCTTGCTGCCCGCCCCCTCGCTCTCATTAACAGGCGCCGCGGGAGTAGAAGGAATGACCACAGAGCTGGCGCGCTTAGCTGCCCTGCGAGTCCTAGGAGGTGATGGTGCTCGGGGCTCCTCGGCACTAGAGTGTTCATCGGAGCTATCTGCAACCACCTCAATAGTGTCCTGCACGGGACCGCCGCCCGACTCGAGCTCCTCCGCAAGCTTCATCATTCGACTTTCATCCCCCTCGCTGAGAGCAAACGATGTGTCTGTGGCCCGCGGAACGAGAGTCTTCTCAGGGCTGCTCCTGGCATCGACGAATTCATCGTCGCCTGATTTCGGGCTGTCCTCTACGCGGGCGGCATCACGCAGCAGGCGTTTCCTCGTCGGTGTCTCGGGAAGCCGGGGTGGTTCCGGCGAGGGCGAGGCTTCCCTGTCCGATAGGTCCGTCAAGTCCGAGGATGACGATTCCTCCTCGATGAAACTGGAGGGAATAATTCTCTCATAGCTAATGCCAACGACTTTTGGTTTGGTTTTCGCCTTGTCGTTGGCCTTGTCTGCTTGTTTCTCTCCTGGCAGTTGGGCCTCTGATGCTGCCTCTTGGTCATTGGGGCCTGGCGAGCCTGGAGGCGATGAGAATTCCCAACTATCCAGTGAGTTGTCCATCCTAGAGCGAGACTTGATCTCCGAAAGGAGTGGGTATGGCCGAGGCACGGGTGGCGAGGAAGGGGGGTCGTTGTCATCCACCTGCATGAGTTGGCCTCGTCGAGGAGTCGGTGTCGAGCTGACCAGGTTATCAAAGGACGCAGCACGACGCGGTGTTGTCTCTCCCGCGTGACTTTCAGTGGGGGCCGGAGCCTCAACGGTCTTGGGCGATTTCTCTTCGGGAGGAGGCGACGAGCTTGTTCGCATGTCTGAATAGATGTGCTCGGCTTCACGCTGCCTTTCCCGGACCTCCTTCTGTCTCTCCGTGAGGTGCTGAGAATCGTCTACTGGAGGCGGAGACGACGATGGAACCAGGGTAAACATGACCTGAGAGTTGTCGTGGCGGAGCTTGGGAGTCCCAGTCCGTTTCGTTGCCCTTGTGCGACTTGTGTCAAGGGACTCCTCTTTTCGGCGTTTTTGGGCCGACAGTCGGGTAGTTGCCCTTGAGCTAGACGCCGCTTGATTGTTCAATCGAGAGGAATTGGACGAAAGCATAACAAGACCGTTGTCATCCGGCGGCTGGTTGAGGGACGGCTCTTGGGCACCAAACGCACCGCCATTCTTCCCAGCCTTGGCCAGAAGCTGTTGCTTCTTTGACCCAGCTTCGGAAGCGACTGACTTTAAGCTGTCCGAGCAAGCCAAGTTCTCTTCGTCTCGAGCGAGCACATTCCATAGTTCTATCGTCGTGTCGACAATGGCAGGGAGCTTGCTCTTGAACGCCGAGGTCAGGAGTGGCTCTAACTGACTGAATTCGTCCTTCGTTAGCTGCCCTCGGCCTGCAAGTTTGGTAGATATCCGATCCCAGAGATGGATGAGCTGTTGCGGGTTAGTACAGAGTAACAGTGTAGGTTCTCGTGTGGTTCTTACAGTCTTTGAGAGCAGAGATTCTTCGTCATGCGCATAGCATGACTTGTCATCCTCAATCCATAGGCATAAGCCGGTTTGGAGACCGGTCAAGGCCTTGAGACCTAGCTGAGAGAAACATCTGACAAGATAGCTCTCAATGCTCTGCATCACAGGCACTATCTCACTATCCGAGTCGAAGACGGAGATCTTGTTGTAAAATGTGCGCAGAATTTGATTACCGAGTTTGTAAAGGTTGTCAAACGGATCCAACGAACCTGATCGTACAGACGTCAGGGAAGTTCCCCACAGCCGTTGCCGTGCAGTATTCAGAGCAGTTTGATCGCGCGGAAGCTTGGCGACACCAAAAAGCACTTGAGTTGCCTTCAGAGTGGTTGCAGATGGCCTCTGGATCTCGCTTGTTCCAACACAGGCCAGGAGCACCTTTGCCAGGGGTTCAACAACAGCGAGAGCGCGGCCGGCATCGCCTAGTTGCTGCGCAACGTGTTCTGAGAGTCGCTCAAACAGCGAAAACCATCGTTCCGATGCAAGTTGTGGATGCCCAACGAGACCGCGCTCAAGTAATGAAACAATATCTCGATACTTCGGTCCCAGTAGTTTGCCGCTACCTGTGAGAATGGCCGTAGTTTCGTTATTGTCCAAGGAAAGAGACAAGTTCTGTGCGGCTAGCAGCCACGGTCCAGAGGGAGATGGCGAGTCTCGAGGAAGCAGCTGCAGGAGCTCCTGTGTGAGCTCCAGGCGGGCTTTGGTTGATTTGCCGTGAAAGAACGGCTCGAAGACGCAAAGAAAGAACTCGGAGAGAGCTTCGTCCTCAGAAACGCCTGGAGGGACAGAGGACAGCATTGAGAAGAGATGATGTAGAGGTGTCCTGACGATTCCTGGAGAGCTTGATCGGCCCTGGTTCTGGGAGGGCGTTGCAAACGATTCGTAGGTGTCGACTACCGTCATGGCCAGTTTCTTTTCTGTAAAAGGAAGCATCCCCAGCGCCTTGACTAGTATGTCGATGAAATTCCTGATACTTGCCAGAAACGCTGGTGCTGGCAAGTTTGAAGAGGCAGGTATTCCGGTTCTCCAGATCATGGATAGTAAGCCAAATGTGTGAGCAAAGAACTTGGCTGTATCTTCCGATACTTTGATATCCTTGGCTGATGCCGCGGCAACAGCCCCGACAAAGGCATACCACAAACGGTACAACAAAGATTCCTTGTTGGCCAAGTCATGGAACCTCCTGCTCAGAATGGGACCAGCCGTCCCAAAGACTTTGTCGCAGTTTCGCCTCACCCATTTCGAGTCCAAGGGTGGCAGTTCCTCTGGATTTGCAGGAGGAATCTCCATGATACGATCCTGCCTCCACATGCGAGGTGTGGCCACATCCAAGAGACTTGTCAAGATACGGCCGGCCTGCATGAGGCAGTCTCCGGGGATTTCGGGCTTACCATCCAAATCAACAAGCTGGGACAAGACTGGCTGGACGGCAACGTCCCATGTCGAATCGAGGGAGAGCTTATCGTTCCCTGGAGCGAATGCATAGTAGTATAAGTTACATGCGCCACCAATGACTGTCCTCTGGAGCCTCACGGCCTCTTCCAACTGTCTTGGGTTTGCCCGTCTTCGTAGCTGGCTCAAGAGAGGCTGGCAGAGGGTTCCCAGTATTTTTGGGCTGACCTTGCTATCAACCAAGGTAAGGTAAATGTACCGATTCCAGGCAAAGTTTGCTTCCTGCTTCGTAGTAGCATCTGCTGAGTTGAACGCAGACTGGACGAGGGTTAGCCAAGGGCTATAGTACTGCCACCTTTCTAGCGGGCACCGCATGAAAAGAATGATGGCACTCCATATTTGTGGTACAGCCGAGGCGCTGGCTTTGTCTTTGAGCATCTCCTGCAGCCTCTTGATGTAATACTCGATGTAGGTTTGATCTTCATTCGCCGTTTGGAATATTTCGCTGGCTTTCCGCAAAAGTTGCTTCTCGGACCGAAGGGCGAAGCCGGCCTCGGTTGCAAGACTGATTGCCTGGGCTCGGATGTCCTTGATGGTGCTCAGCATATCCAGGAGCATATCCTTGAGCCAGCTCGAATGAGCAACCATATGCAAGCGTGCCTGTTTGACAAGCCGCCTATATATGTGTATCCGGCTCATGACAATGCTCTTGCCTTTGAGGTGGTTTTCGATCTGATGCAGCGCCGTGACCAACCGTCCCACTCGATCCGAGGTCATAACCTTGGGCGAGAAGTTTTGAAAGGCAATGACTTGCATCAGATGCCGTACAACGTCCTTGGGAGAGCTGGCATCTTCGAAGGCGCGGATTGAGTGGTCAACAATGAATATCCCAAAGTCGGTGGAGAGGGTCGATGCAATAGCAGGGAAGTGAAGGAAGGTGGCGAGAAGCGTGAGGGCGTGGTTGACTAGTGAAGTATCAAGAGCTCCAGTGTCGTTCTTGGACGTGATGTCACGCTGGATGAAGTGCATGAAGAGGCTCATCTTGTCTTGCAGGGCGACTCGGTCAGGGAGGTTGTTGGAAGCCTTCAAGGCCCTGGAGAGCGTCATGTACGCATCGAGTTTCGAGTCGCGATCGGCGCCAGCCAGCTGCTTTATTGTCGAGTCCAGCATCTCGATGATGTTGGGTTGGCCCAAGACCAGATCGAACTCGGCACCGGACGAGACGAGTGGATTCGGCGAAGGGGATGGTTTGAGGATGCCCTTGATGGGTTTGGAGGCGGGCGAAGGAACGGAGATTGGGGAGGACCGGTGAAGCCTTTCGATTGATCGGTAGTCAACTGGGTCTTTGTACTCGGTATGCGCCGACCAAACAACCCTCTTCCTTGTACGGCTTGACATCAACTGGGAGGCTGGCACATCGGTCGACGTCGGAGTGTTGGCGGTTGGAGGAGTCTGGAGGCTGTCCTGGGGATCGGAGGAAGAGGCGCGGCTCAGGATCGTCCTGGCGGTCGGGTCGCTCTCCTTGCCTGCTTCTCGTGGAGGCGTCGGAGGCCGCGGCGGCAGCGATTCGAGGTTAGATGCTGGAGCCGGAGCTGCTGAAGATGCCATGGCTGCCATGCAGCTGTCGGCGATCTAGACAGCAGTGAATCGGCCAGGGGGGAAGCGCGGCCCGCTCGACATTGAGATCCTGCGAATTCGACCCGAGGCGGAGGAGGAGACGGAAACGGGTCAAATTTTCAGCAGAGAGGAGAAGCAGAGGGATATCAAAAGCTTCACCAGACGGGCCGCCTCGCTGCCATCACGGCCAGGTGAATTTGCGGCGAGCTGGGAGGAGGTACGGAGTGACACGGCCCATGAATTTTACCGGCAATTCAATTAAACCAGACGCGATCACGCCCCAGACACGCTCAGACACGCGTTTTAGCGCCGAAACCCCCACTACAGAGTCCACGTCCCCTATAAGTTGGGGCGGCTGGAGCGCTGTACTGGTTCGGGTCACTGAGGCGTGCCTCTGGGGCGCACGCTCAGAAATCTTCGAGGTACAAACGATTCGGCATTGTTATGCTGGCTCTTGCAAGTACCCCCGTCGCAGCTCAAGCCAGGGGCTGCCAGCCCAGCACAGGGCAGTTGAGCCGGAGCTGCACGTCGCCTATCGCCAATCTCCGCTGCAAAAGTGCGCCGTTGCCACTGGACGGATCCGCTGACTTGATGCCCTGGTCGTGGGCCAATCGCAGCCAGAAGAGAGCTGTCCACTGCGGCCATCATGGCACGGGATAGAAGACGTACGAATTACAGACAGCGATAGATCAACTCTTCATTCAGCTGAAACCCCCGGTTCAGAGAAGTACTTGTCATCAGAGGCAGGCATTCGCTCATCTTTTCATCTCACTCCTGTAACCCGTAGCCTGACCTTTGGACACTGCCAGACCTGTCGTTACTGCTGTGCTTTACCATATCTACATATAGGCCTCTCCTCCTTTCCTCCACCATCTTTCGATACCAGCCTACTCCTGTCATCTCATAACCTCATCACGAACCGGCTGTAACCCAGCGGCGACCCGTCAGGGCCCGATACTTTATCAAGGCTTGACCATTTCAAGAGTATTTCTTGAGACTATTGGCCCTTCTTTTACGCGCATTCTGAATCGTCTCTATTCTCGCTATTCTCGCTCGTCTTCGCCATGTCCAACGTCCAACTGGGCACGGCGACTGGCGCTGGTGAGCCCCTCAGCAACCAAGCCTTGAGACTGCCTGTAGCTGACCATGCCTTGACCAGCAAAACTCCAGGCAGTGACTGAATTGGTCAACAAACTTACCGAAGACCTCGATAAGGGCTCTCTATCCCCCAAAGGTTTGACATTGGAAGCGCTCTCCTTAGGCCTAGTCGCATGATATTCTGACTGCTTTCTTTAGACCGAGATGAGGCTCTGGAAGAACTCAAGATCTACGGGCGAGACCCTCGGAATGCAGATCCCATCTTCACCAAAGAGGTGTGTTTCTATGCCTCAAGACACCTTGCACGATGATAGCAAACTGACCCTTGCTAGGGCATCTCGATGCTGCTACGGTATGGCTTTGACAGTCCGTCCAGCGACACAGCCCGAGCGGCTCTGAGGGTTGTGGCAAACTCGATGCTGCTGAAGCCTGAGATCAGACGGATGCTCGTGGACCAAGGCTTCGCCGTAAAGGCTTGCGAGGGACTCAAGACCGACAACTGGGATGATGAGTTTCTCAAGTCACGCATTCTGCTGCTGTCCACCTACGGGACGAAGGAGCACTTGGCTAATCTCATTGCCGAGCACAATCTTGCCGAGAATATCACGGAGAATTTAAGGCGACATGCCGAACTCGTGGATACCAAGTCCTCGCAGTCGCAGCCCATGGAAGACATGGCGCTCGCTGAGACGTTGAAGCTCTTGTTCAACGTCACTCACTTCGCCAAGGACGAAGTTGCTCGGTTCAATGGAGCCGTTCCGCACATTGTCACACTTCTCTGGAAGCAAGACATTCCAGCCTCTAGCCCTCTCGACTCAACATTCGGACCTTTGGTCAACGCCCTGATCAATCTCGACATCTCCACTCCTTCTAATCGAGAAGCCCTCTATCCCAGCTCTGAGCCCAACAAGGTCGCGGCTCGGCTGATATCTCTCCTCGATGCAGCCATGGCATTCTACGGTGACAATGACCTCGACGCTACCGTTACCCCCTTGGTTAGCACGATACTCAAAGTCCACGAGCATGCTCCCGAGTCAGTGCGCCAGTTCATCAGCAGCAAGTTACTGCCAACCGCAGAGGACAGAAAATCGGTTCTCGGGAAAGGCACAACACTTTCGGCAAGGTTACTGAAGAACTCGACCAATCCGCTGACTCCCTCCCTACGAGACGTCATCGCCCACCTTCTATTCAATCTATCTGACAAGGATGCTAACAAGTTTGTGGAAAACGTCGGCTACGGATTTGCTTCCGGCTTTTTGTTCCAGAACAATGTACCAATTCCCGGAAGTGCATCAACAGCCTTCAACGCCGGCGACTCTACAGGTGCCCAGAGGCTTGTGAATCCCATTACAGGACAATTCCTGGATCAAGAGAAGGTCGCAGAGATGCCTCCCATGACTGAAGATGAGAAATTACGCGAGGCGGAGAGACTGTTTGTGCTCTTCGAACGGTAAGCTCTCTTATTCATGTACCAAGATCAAACAACTAACAGCTTGCTTCCAGACTCAAGAAGAACGGCATCATCGACGTCGAAAATCCCGTTGCACAGGCTTTGCGAGAAGGAAAATTCCGAGACCTTGGCGACGACGAGGTTGAGGAGCTTGACTGACCATGTCGCACGTCAAGAGATCGGCGTGCCACGAGTACTTGATACTCGTATGTTGCATAGTATAATGGCATGACATAGCCTGAACTTGGGATGATTTTTGCAGGCGGCTTGGGCATCGCATTTGGTTATGCAGTGCATATGTTCTACGCAGGTTTTTGAGGAGACTCGCCAAGGTACCTAATTGATTGGCAGCGTGTGTCGATTTTCTGTGCCCAAGCTTCGCGTAATGGGACATTCACCGTTTACGCTCCCAGCCATTAACACCCTTCCAAGCAAAAGAGATGATCTAAAATATCGTTGTCATATAGAAGTGATCATTAAGAAATTGAGTGCGTTCTACTGATTCTCGAGTCTGAGAATGGCGTAATCAAGTGCGTGGAATTACCAACTCAACCACATGAGCTCCCAAGAATAATAGCCAAAGGTGACCACGTGACCGCATACATACTTCAGATGAACTGACATTCTTTCAAGCTACAGATGAAAGCATCTGTCAACACAACCTTCTTTACGCGTTTTCTCACTTCCTTCACTCTTCTCGAGCCGTTTGACCACTCCCTGCCCCAAAGATCACCCATCTTTGACGCGTTTATTTCCGACCCTGCAAGAACAACACCATCATCATGCCCCGATTCTTCGATGATCCCGAAGACGTCGACTCCGGCGAGCTCTTTCCTATGTAAGAAGCAATGCGAAACCACCTTTGATGAGCCGATTGCTTATCTTTGACGCCCGAGTTAGGACTTTTGAAGATGTCAAGTCGAACGCCTCCAGTCACCACACCTCACCGTCTCACTCTGCGATTTCCCCAGCAGCGTCCGAGGCGTCTTCGGCGAGTCGGTTAGCTTCTCTCGTCCGCTCGCCAGCCTCGCCAAAGTACACTTCAGCCAGGTCTTCAGCGCGTTCTTCACTCGCCAGACAGTCCAACGGCGCGGGAGAAAAGGTGGAAGGCACAGCGCTTGCTAGAGCTGCAGGTAAAGAGATGACCCCGGCTTCATCATCCTCTGGATCAAGACAGTCGACGCGAGTTCGTTCAGCGCCTGAAAAGGCAAAGCCTACTGCTGCTGCTGCTGCTAAGACCACCCGGAAAGCTTCTGCTTCTGCTAAGAGAGAGCTGCGCACAAAGGGAAGGACTGATGCGAAAGGCGCGGTTCGGAAACCTGGACGACCTGCTAGGACGGCGGCGAAGGCGCCAGCCACGACGACGAAGACAGCGGCGACTAAGACAGCTGCAGTGAAGCCGGCGGCAGCACCGCGCAGGGGAAGGCCGCCTGCGAAGGAAGCCAAGGCAGCAAAGCCGGCCAAGGCGGCCGCAGCTGGTGGCAAAGCGTCCAAGCAGGAGTGGGAGGTTGAGCAAATTGTGGACTCAATGATTGACGAGGAAACGATGGAGCATTTCTTCAGGGTCAAGTGGAAGGGCTACAGCAGCAAGGACAACACGTGGGAGCCGAAGAAGAACCTGGTCAATTGCAAGGATTTGCTGGAGGCGTATGAGAAGAAGGCCAAAAAGTGAGGATTGGAGAGTGCAGGCTGTTTGTCATTTAAGGGGAGGGTATATTGCGACGGGTGCGAATCAGTGTGGTTGTGAGAGATGTGGTAGTTTCCTCGTGCTCGATTCCCATACTCAAGTTCAGGGTAGGGGAGGCATATGGGCCATGAAGGAAGAACGCCGCCTTGCAGCAAAGACATAGCTCAAAGTCATCTACTACCCATCCAAGGCGAGGATTCATTTGGGCAGGCTGAGACGCGTAAATTGCAGCCCATATCGCAAAAGCTCTTTGAAACCATGTAACAAGAATAACTCTGCGCAAGCACCCGTGATGCTTTTCTGTTTGTCCCATACTGGCAGTCTCGTAACTCAATTCTACCGCGTCTACAGCCAATTGGATGGTCGCGCCCCTTCACAAGCAGAATTAGCAAGCCAGTCTTTCATCTAATTAGCTTGCGGCCTTAGCTCAGCTGGGAGAGCGTCAGACTGAAGCCTCTAAACTTCAATCACCTTGACATCTGAAGGTCGTGTGTTCGATCCACACAGGCCGCATGGCATTTCTTTTTGGGTTTTTTCTCTTCTTTTGGGAATTGTTCCATTGTTCTTGCTTCTGCCGAATGTCTATTGTTCCAGTCTTTGTTCTCATCCAATAAGGATATGGCAATGAGACAAAGTTGGCAAGAGAGCTTATACGTCAAGCTCTTGGATTACTACTTTACTACCTAGGTAGGACTCCTACATGTCATGAGTGTGACTGACCACCTACAGTACGTGGTAGTCCACTACAGGCGATTCTGATAGGATTTGACGAAGTTCCATACATACCTAGCAAACATATATATATATGACAACCCTTTCTGCAGGTACCGTTTTGGCATGTTCACTCATAGTCTCAACGTTCAATGTATCTCCAAGCCCTTCCCATCTCTATCGCTAAATGTTCAGATATGCAGTCGCTCGGCTTTCAAGTGTAAAAAGCAAATCTGTCTCGCACCCCATGCTACACATTCGGCGTTTGGAGACAGAACCCATACAGCAGCTCCATCACACCCGGGTCTTTAGGATCCTCCTCTTCCCACGTCTTCGCCAACCTAAAGCCCAGCTTCCGCAGCACATTCTGACTCGGCCCATTCGAATCCAGCGTCACAGCCGTGATCCGCTCCGGCTGCGGCTCCTCCTCGCTGCCCTCCACCGTGCTCCTCTCCACCTTGATCTCGACCTCCTCCCGGGGCAGCGCCCAATACGCCTTGAGCAACGCCGTCACGAGCTCCGTCGCCAGGCCCTTGCCCCAGAACTCGGAGCGGAGCATGTATCCAATGACGGGCCAGCCGAGCTCGCCCTCGCGCATGTGCGAGCCTGCCGTGCCAATCATCTCGCCCGTCTCGGCCCAGCAGACGGCGAACTCGTACGCCGCCTCGCCGCCGTCGGTCCCCGGCAGCCTGTTTGCGAGTATCTTTTCGGTGTGCTGCAGGTCCGGGTCGGGTTTGCCTTGGGATGTCCACTTCATGACTTCGGGCTGTATGCGCAGGAGGTGGAAGTCGTTGAGGTCTGTAGCGGCGTAGGGCCTGAGGATGAGGCGTTGTGTGCGGATGGGCTGGCGGGTGGACATGGGAGGGTAGGGGGTTTTGGGGCGTGTCGTTTTGACTGTGACCCATTCTAGCGGAGTAGGAGGATTGCTGGGTTGTGCCATTGTGAGGATTTTGCTCGTGAAGCGTTGGAGAAGTGTTGCGTGCAAATGTTGGAAGCTGTGACAGAGGGTCAAATGAGAACTCGAGGCTCTGAAGTGAAGTAGAGGGCCGAGATACTGTTGTGTAGAGGGAACAATATAAGTAAGGTCAGGTAAAGAGGGCTAGATCTAGTTTATATAGATCAAGCAAGTGGTTCTTTTGCTTCAAGATAGCAGCGTTGCTCATTGCGTGACTCATACCGGGTTGACGCCGGATTGCTAACTGAGAGCGGTATCATTCTCCATTTTGTGCCGTATGAGTCTCTCTAGATACCCTGATTATTATTTCTCTGGCTGTTCTGGGCCGTTTGTAGGCGGGCTTCCATACGTATTAGATGGACCGTCCTAAAAAGGTTGGTCGGCCGAAAACTTCTTCACCGGCTCCGCGCCAGTCGGCGAGCCCGAATTGGAATGACTGCCGCGTACTGTCGATGGATCAGAGGAACAGACTGCTACTCTTTGTCAGAAAGCATAAACATATTTGGTTCAGGGTAGTAGTAATGAAGATGACTGGCTCAGCGACTGGAAATAGGTATTAATGTTTGAATGCTTGTTTGTGATATCGAAAGGCCCTCAGCTTGCAATTGTAAAGCTCGGGCGTGCACCTCTTGTGGATGTCCACTTCTCCAGAGCAAAATCTGATTGACGCCGATTCACACGTTTCGTGGAGGAACACTGCTTCCCTGCCATTGACAGACGCTGTAGAAGAAACCCTGAAACATTCACTTTTCTTGCGTCGTAAAATCTACACCTTGTTCTGATTTTTTGGTTCATTCAATGCTCTTTTTTAAACGAGCAAATGCAGTGATATTTCCATGATCCGTTGTAAACACCCGCAGAACCTAGCCCAACCGTCCTCAAAACCAATACAATTCTTAAGCGAAAGTGGAAGGTCGCTTCGCGCTGAACAGCTTCTGAGTGCTGGTCTTGGTGATGCGGTGGGGGAGAGGGAACTTGAGGTTCTTGGTAACCAGCTGCTTGATGTAGGGGCGCTTGATGTCGGCGGTCTTCTCGATCTCAACAACACGGAGGATCTGGCAGATTCCAAGTTAGCATCGCAGCTCGCGCCTTCAGTATCGGTGCCCGGTGGAACATACGTGGATGGACCTGAAACGAGCACGGTGGCGGGCGGCCATGTCGGAGTACAGGGACTCGACAGCATCGGTCCTGGTCAGCTCTCTGTACTCCTTGTACATGTTGTGAGTGCCGGAGCGAGAGTCGTATCGCAGCCAGATGCCGAAGTTCTTGACCTTCTCGGGGTGCTTCTCGTGGATCTATAGGTTTTCCTTCCGTCAGTGGCCGTTTTCTTCGTCGCCTAGTTGGGATCGGACACCACGTACCGCCTTGATGCTGACGATCTCACCGGTGGCCTTCTTGACCTTCTTGAGACCACGCAAGAAGTACCAGTAACGGGACTTGGCGACAGTCTCGTTAGGGGCGAAGATGGTCATCCGGTACATGGCCGGGGTAGGGTTGGCCTCGGTGGGCAAGTGGCGGCCGATGACCTCGTACTCCTGAAGGCGACCTGGTTGCATTGTGTTAGTATCCAAGGCGGAAAGTAGTTTCTGATGTATGGAGGCCGTCGAATGCGCGTTGTCTGTAGTCTCGTGCTCAGATTGTTGTTGTTTGTCGTCGAAAAGTTTTCCTCTCTCTATCGAGTTCGAGACATCTTCTAGTTATATCCCTTGCTCTTATGGCTGCAGTATGATCGATTTCAAGCCCAGCTCATTTTTTTTTTTCCTCGTGGCGATGCGCTATCCATCTCCAATCGATTGGTCGAATTCGAGTTTCCGTGTCCGAAGTTGGCGGTCGGCTGCTGATTTTGTGACGAAATTCGACGGCTCCCAAGTCCTCCCAACAACGCGCATTCTCAAACTGGTGAACTGGTGATGGAGAATATTCTTACCCATCTGGAATTATCGTTAGTATGTACAATATTTGGTTGAGGTATCCTGGCGACTCACTGTGACTGTGGTGTCCTCGACAAATCGCGAAATTTGAAGATTGTCAAGTTAGAGGTGATGCAGCGATAATTTTTGTGTGCGGGTGAGTGGAGAGGGTTGAGCACCAAACTCAGCGCAGGGCTTTAACCTCCACAGCGATTGGTCAATAGACAGATCCGCAGCCCCACGAGATTTCCGAGCTCAGTCACGTGCACGGTCACAAGCTTGTCCGGCTTACCTCATCTCTGAGAGGGAGCTAGTAAGAGGTACGTACCGTGACGGCATTGCTGAGATGGGTGAAATGGCGTAGGAGCTTCTTCTGTGGTACGGAAAGAGTCCCAGGCTGATATCAACAAACTTTGAGACCTCTCGTCACCCTTCTTCATCCCGAATAACTTTGGATTAGAGCTGCTTAGAAGCTTCATCTTCTGTCGTGACTCTTTGTGGGCTAAACGCCAATCGGGCATTACCAACCGAGCCCGACGTCCTACCGGCATCTCGCTGCAATGAACGAACTGTTCAAGGGCTTCGCCAAAGCCCATGCTGAGCAGAATGGATATCTGCTCGCGGCAACCCTCTCGCCAGTTTCCCCAGCAGATAATCCTCAGCGCCTAAGGTCCATCTGGAAGAGCAGCAATGCGCACAGCGTCAAGGGTGACATCAAGCATTGGATCAAGTCAAATACATCCAGGAATCTGGATCACGAGGAGATCAAAGGCTGGGTGGAGGTGTATGCCGCATACTGGAATGCCGTCGGGGATATCGTTGCAGGCGAAGATGGCAAGGTAGCACGAGTTCTGGTGACTGACATCTAGTTAGCATGCTGACATTGGGGACAGTCAACATGGACCAAGGTCTATGAATCATGGAAGGAGTTAACATCGGTGCTGATCCGAGGTTACAACAACTTTGGCTTCGAAGCTTGGACAATCCCCTGCCTGTATATGGTTGGCAAATACCTGAGATTATTCGCCATTAAATCCGATACGGAGCGCAGCCGCAACCTCGGCGACAATTCTGGGGGAGCCTCACTAATGCAAGACGACTTTGACCCAGAGACGGAAAAACAAGGCCAGCTGAGAGATTGCGAACAGCATCTGAAGAGGATATTTACCCTATGCCTCAACGACAGGTTTGTTTCTCAAATCCGTCTCCTCAGGAAGATCGCTGACCTTGAGTTTAGAGCACCATTAGAAGAGTCGAGGAAATGGGGCATCTACTTCATCATCAACCTGCTGTTCAAGACTTATTTCAAGCTGAACTCTGCCTCTCTTTCGCGGACTATCCTGAAGACCTTGAGCGCCTACAGAGGAGATATGCCGCCACTATCAGCGTTCCCAAAGTCGCAGCGAGTCACTTTCAAGTTTTACGAGGGTGTCTTGTTCTTCCTCGAGGAAAACTATGTCGAGGTACGGGAATTGCCTGGCCTTAACGTGCCCAATCTAACTAACAATAACCCATAGGCCGAGAAACATCTCGTCGAAGCCTGGGAGCTCTGCCACAAAGATGCTAAGCCAAACTTGGAGTGCGTTTTCCTTTCGTCCCGTTGTGTTATTGTAATACTAACGCTTCGTAGGCGGATCCTTACCTACCTCATCCCGTGCCGTCTTCTCACCAGCCACGTCTTGCCGACAAAGGCACTCCTGGAGCCGTTCCCACGCCTACAGAAGCTCTTCCTCCCGCTAGCCCAATGCATCAAAAAGGGTGATCTTCACGCCTTTGACCTTGCATTGCAGGAGGGTGAAGACGAGTTTGTCAAGAGACGCATTTACCTGACGTTGGAGCGTGGTCGCGACATTGCCTTGCGGAATCTGCTACGCAAGGTCTTTATCGCTGGAGGATTCGACGAGCCCAAAGAGGGCGAGACCACACCAGTTCGCCGCACGCGGGTACCTGTCGCAGAATTCCGTGCGGCTATCTGTATGGGGAGTGGCGGGGAGTTGATGGACACTGACGAAGTTGAGTGCTTGATAGCGAACATGATCTACAAGGTATGGTTCATAGCTCTTGTTGTTCATTCCGAGGCGGCAATCCATTCACCACCTGGCTGCGTATCATCAGAGCCCGGCGCTAACATTGGCATAGGATTTGATGAAAGGATACATTGCCCGCGAACGGGGCATCGTGGTGTTGTCCAAGAAGGGCGCCTTCCCGGGCACAGGTGTCTGAAAGCGGGTGCCCTAATGAGCCATTCTATTCTCTCAGTGAGGCACTAAGCTGCCTAACCTTGAGCGGAAGACCATATGGCTGGCACAGGCGAAGGCTGCTCTGCCTGCTAGCCCTGTTAGACTCCTGATTGATGTGGCGTGCATTCAACATTAGCTAGCGAAGATGTTCGAAGATGTCCTGGTATAAGAGGCAGATAACTTGGCCAGCTTCAGCTTACAAACGGTGGTCGCCTCGAATACATGTGCATGGCTCAGCTGTTACCATGTCTGCCATCCCCCCCATCCCTTTTTGTGTTGGAATAGTGACTCACTTCCCCAAAGACTCGAAGATCCTATGGGGAAAAAAAGCCCAAGAAGTGGTCCCCCATGCGCATATCATCAGGATGAGCGGCAGGTAAGAACGCTTGGCACTCTATCCGATACAACACCACCTGCTTCACAGTGCTCTGCCGCATCTAATCAAGACGTGCTGATACAGTAACCAAAATATGATGAGGTCCCCTCTTCGACAGGCACGCAAAAGAAAAGTGTGGTGCTGATGCAAGCCTACTCTACTATCCAAGGGCAACAAACACGAATACTGTGACTTTGGGGACTATGCGTCCTTCCATTGACGGGAGCCAGACATGCGATCTGGTCATCAGCTCAATCTAGTGTAAATCCTATATAATCCCTCCTCCATGAAACCGGATAATCGTAATTCGCATAGTGCCATCATCATTCTTGTTTCAACAAAATAGATAGGAGATATAGGCCGCAACAAGTGTTGGCCTGGATAATAGAGGGATAATTGTACAAATGATAACGGGCAGAAAAGTCATGAGTTAGATGAGGAGATTAACATTTTCCTTCAGTCTTTTTGGTGGTTTGAGTTGTGTGATTTCGGTTGGTATCGTCCTTTGGCGATAAACATAGGAAAATAAAATGCCATTCTGACAGCAGGGGCTCAAGGGAATCACACATGGCAAGTAAATCGCCTTCTCAATGGTCAATTCCATCGCAATCAGAATGGAAAGAACCAGACAACAATAACAGCACAGCAAGGAAAAGAACCTACTGCGAAGACGAAATATCGTCGACGTGATTGCACAGAGCGACAAACAGGTCAAAGAAGAGCGGGGTGCCTCCGTTGAACATCTCGAGCTGCATCGTGCCGCTTCGCTTAAAGGTGCTACGGGAGCGGATGATGAGAGCCAAGTAGTGCGCTCGCAGCTTGGAGTCGTTGTCGGGGGTGTTGGCGTATGCGTATCTGGCCGAGGCCAAGATGGTGCTGCACTGGATGCCTGACTCTGCAGGATAAGGTATGTCAGCCGGGGGGCTAAGGTAATAAGCAAGCAAGGAAAAAGTGGGAGAGTATTCAAAGGAGAGAATGAGACTTACGGAGTCCCTGTTTGCGAAGAGCCAGCTTCTTCAGTTCGTCAAGGCCATATCGTTCGGCAGCACAGTAGATGACGGTGTCCTTGAGGAGATCCCCGTCAACGCCGTGATGGTAGACTGTGCTCTCCGCGGCCGCCCTCTTGTCATCGCTGTTGGCAATGGGTTCCAGTTCCCACGAGTCCCGCCGTTTGTTGTGCACTAGACGAGGATAGTAGTCTCCCTTGTACATGAACTCCAGCACTGAGCTGAAGATCTCGGGCTCTTCGTCTGGAAGCGAAATTCTCTTCGCAGCGGCATCGGTGTAGAGGTTTCGCATGGCGTTGTCGAAGAAGGGGCTCGCGGCGAGGACGTTTTCATGGGCTGCAAAAAGGCGCTGCTCGGCACCGACAACGAGGGTCACGATGGAAGAGTTCAGGCTGCTAGAGATCACGTTAGCATACATAAGCTATGATTCATTGATGGCAAGGGTTGAATAGCTTACCTAGTCATGATGGTGTCCTCGCCTAGGGCAGCAGAGCAGGATGTAGCTGCTCTTCGATGGCGAGACTCATGGCGTCTCTTCGATATGCCACTGTCCTTGCTAAAGGGAGAGCTGGACTTGGACACCTTGTGGCCCTTGGAAAAGCTGCCCTTGGAGAAGGTCCGGCTGGAGGACTCGTGCCGCTGAGAATACATTGTGGATCTGTAGAATAGAAGGGGATTGGAACAGTAAACAGGAAGATAATAGAGCAGAATTCCATCAATAAAGAGGAAATGTACTGCGTGAAATGCTCATAGCCTGCAGGCATGAACCATTGAAGAAAACAAAAGGCGAGTCGATCGCTGCGAGGAACCGGTTTCAAGGCACCAAGCGAGACGATGCTGGTTATTCTTGCGCATAAAAGCGAGGTGGATGCCATGCTTTTTATACGAGACCGGGCCCAGGCCCATTGAATGGCGCTGGCTGCCTACGGACACCCCCTAGATCCCTTAGTGAGGCGGTCTAGGCAGGGTTGGCGATAATGGGATGACACAACGCGTCCTTTCGGTTAATTTCGCGTCAGATGTGGCACAGTGTATTTACAGTGCGCTACGGTGAGACGCCAAAAGTCTGCGAAAGCACGTGATGTTAGGCGGCACTTGTCTCGACCATCTTTGAGGCGGCCAAGGCGAATTCACAGCTCGATGGATGACCAAGGATCCTTGTTGAACCTGTCGAGTCACAGCGAGGACGGGTGGAAATCCTCGTACTGTAGAGGGAGGGGAATGGCCGGCAGGATGGTGGCCAACAGCAGACAGCCTGTTTCAGCAGCTTGATAGCCGTGCGGTGCCTGGAGCCGTGCAAGGCATCCCGACGCTGGCCTGCAGGTTTGCCTGATAGTGCAGCGCAGCTACGGGGCGTACCAGATCGAAAGCTTTGGGGGTGCGAGTTGCTGGAAACTTCATCAAGATGAACATTGGGATACCCAGCTTTGACTGGGGCCAATTTCAGAGAGGTCTCGATCCCGATCAAGGCAGAAGCTGCTCTGTCTTTCTGAACTCTCTATCTACTCTTCACACAACGGCCAGAGTCTCACAACCCACGGCTTCCTCCAAGCCACACGCTTGGGCCATGCATTGTGCCGGTGGATCATGGCTTGATTGTGTCTGCAAGGAACAGGCCTCGTTGCATCTGAGTTTCTGGGTGGGCTAATATTTGCACCAGCTAAGACGGGTAAGGGCCTCTGTGAGGTGAGTGTGGGTGTGTGCGTGTTGGGCGCAGACTTTGCCATGACGAGAAGTCGTGGCCGTAGTGCAACTTATCGGCCTGAGCTTCAAGGTATAAGATTCAGAGACGGTGTTCACGCTCAAGTTTTGCCTTTTGCCAGTCCAGACAAGCGTTGCACCTGATCATTCGAGGATTGCCGCGCCCGCGACACGGCCGAGGCGATAGACTGTGCAATGGCCTGTTTGCCGTGTCTCCGCACCATCACGTCGTTGTGGAGAGCTCCGCTGACGGTGTGCAGCTCTGCAAACAGATGAAGGTCCTTGCACCGCTGATAGAGAAGGCGGCCGTGGTCAGAGGGCACCAGTTCGTCTTTACCCGCCTCGACTATGTACACCTCCGGCTTGTGGGCTTTGGCGGCTATCGAGCCCAGGTTTGCCCAGCTGTCGAGGTGGTTGCGCAGAAACGGCCAGAGGTGACGATACGGCAGCCACTTTTGCGGATAGAGTGCTTCGAGCATTGCGCGGGTATTCGTGAACGGTGTCTCCAACACCAAGGCATTGATTGCTAGAGTGTCGCCATCTTGCGTCTTGGCTGCCAGGTTTGTTGCAAACCCGCATCCGATGCTCTGTCCCCAGAGAATGGTGATGGGCGCTGCCTGGGCATCTTTGTGCTTCTCACGATGCAGCTTTGTGATCCAGCGAAGTGCTGCCTCGGAGTCCAGGTTGATGCCTTTTTCAGAAGGGCGATCGTGGGATGTCCAGTACCCTCTGTAGCTGAGACACACCATGGTGTAGTGAACCTGTCCCTCAGTCGCCGCCTTGAGCTGGCGCAAGACACCAGAGATGTCGGGCAGTCGTGGGGGAAGAGACGAAGCATTTCCTAGACCACGACTCAGCCGGTTGATGGTTTGCAACAGCAGGGGTACGGCGGCAAACCTTGAAAGTACAAGATGTAGACTGGCGTCTTTGAGGGCTTTGGGGAGCCAGCACCAGCACTCTCCTTTCCACACGATATCTCACTTAGACACAGCGCAAGCTCTGTGCCATCTAGGGATTTGATCCTGTCCTCGCGCCACTCGACGCCACCGCATTGGCGAGCAAACTCTGATATCCTCATGCTCCTGGCATTTGGCGGGAGGAATGGATTGTAAATGATGGCGTTTTGGAACAAGACGAGCATGATGCACTTGTAGCACCAGAGAGCGAGGAAGAGACCGGTGAAGATGGCGGGCGGCACCAATGCCTGGCCAACGTGGATTTGCCTCCTAGCGATGCCTCGCCCGCGTCTGCACCCATGGTGGACGACGCACTTCCGCCCTTGATCTGCCCATGGCGCAGCTGTTCGATATTGCCTCGTGGTGACATGGATGGCCAGCCGTCTGAGATGCGCAAGCGATGGAGGTGATGCAGAGGAGAGGCGCATTACTGCAGAGCCTAGAGCTGCAGGAGAAAAGCCTTGGCTGGCCATTCACGACATGCTCAACCGCGGCTTTCCAAAGAGGCTGAGTTGTGGAGGGATTGTATCTTTTGCAGCTGGAACCAACACCATAATACTACCCAGCAGTGTCAATCTGGCTGATTGGGACGAAACAGTCGTGGTGACATTGATGGAGCTGGAGAGGAATCAAGATGCGGGTTTGATCCCTGCCGCCCCTCGTTCGCCTAAAAACGCCAACCTACCTACCCACCTATGCATTTGCTGGGTTTAGTGGGTGCTTCTAGTGGGCTTGCGCTGTATCTCGTCACTGCAGAAAAGCGCCATACCTTATCCATCAGGCTCACAAGCCTTGAAGCTTATCCCGTTGACGTATTTAAGGTACATGGCCATACATACCTAAATTCTTCGCAGGCAACCGTTTCACTCGCCCGTCTATCCATCTACAACCCATGCGGTGATACAACCGTTGCACAAACACAACTGCGACAACAGAAACCTGCTCGACCCTCAAACCCCAGACAGTTACCTATCGATCCGACCACGACCATCTTGCCCCGAGCTTTCCCCCCGCTGCAATCGGCATTGAGACCATGGAGGTGCAGCCCGAGAAAGACAAGGAGAGCGAGGGCACTGCTCACATCGACATTGTCGATGACCGGCCATCACCTCGCATCGATGGCGAGCCGAGCCCGTCGCTGAGAGACAGCAAGGGATGGGATGGCAAGCTGCGCATCCCCAAGTCCGCGCTCATGAGCAATCCCGAGGCCTTGTCGGATCCCGAGTACTCTGATGACAGCAATGTGCTGCAGGGCGAGGAGATTCGGGCAGACGAGAGTAAGATGATGATGACGATGGCGAGAGGATGGCTTTGATGCTTTGGGAAGGAGCAAAACAGAGCTGACGTACGGGTTTCATGACAGATCTGCTCGATAGCGAAGATTCCGAAGCCGAAGAAATCATGTGCTCCCACTCGCGCATCTCGTCACTGCCTGCTCTGCGGCTGGAGCGCTTCAAGAACGTGGCTCGCATCTGCCTCCGACAGAACCTCATCCAAGACATCGAAAGCCTCGACAGCCTCGCCGACACGCTGGAAGAGCTCGATCTATACGATAACCTGATTTCACACATCCGGGGCCTGGACAACCTGACGAAGCTCACCAGCCTCGACCTCAGCTTCAACAAGATCAAACACATCAAGCACATTAACCATCTGAAGAATCTGAAGGAGATATTCTTGGTCGCTAATAAGATCAGCAAGATCGAGGGACTGGAGGGCCTTGACAAGCTCAAGTCACTGGAGCTCGGCTCCAACCGCATCCGAGAGATTCAGAACCTCGACAGCCTGAAGAACCTGGAGGAGCTGTGGCTGGCAAAGAACAAGATTACGGAGCTGACAGGGCTCGGTGGGCTGCCCAAGTTGCGCCTCCTGAGTATTCAATCCAACCGTATCCGGGACTTGTCGCCCCTCAAGGAGGTTCCTCAACTGGAGGAGCTCTATATTGCTCACAATGCTCTCGAGTCATTGGAGGGCATCGAGAACAACACCAATCTCAAGATTCTCGAGATTTCCAACAATCAGATCAGCAGCCTCAAGGGCGTCGGCCCCCTCAAGGATCTCGAGGAACTGTGGGCTAGTTACAACCAGCTCGGTGACTTTGCCGAGGTGGAGAGGGAGCTCAAGGACAAGGAAGACTTGACAACGGTGTATTTCGAGGGGAACCCTCTTCAACTTCGCGGCCCTGCTCTGTACAGGAACAAGGTCCGGTTGGCGCTGCCACAGGTCAAGCAGATTGATGCTAGTAAGTTATTCTACCCCAGTATCACGCAGGCGGATATGTTTCTAAACTTGCTTTAGCATTCGTGAGAGTCTAGAGAAATGGCGTGAAAGGCACTGCGACGTTTTAATTTTGGGGTATTGAGGACGACACGGCCTGTCTGTGAGGGAATATTACGGCGTCAATTGAGTTGCATCTGATGCGCATTGTTCACTTTGAACAATGTAAGCGCTTGCGTTGATTTATCGTTCGATTATTTGGAATTATCTCGCGGAAGAAGCGCGTGAAAGAGGAAGGAAAAGTTGTGCCAATCTTGGTAGTCCACAACGTTTGGTGTTTGTATTCTATAGCAGACAGATTGACCGCACAACTATAGTAGTTCTTTGGAAGAAGATCAATGAAAGTCGTGAACCTCACGGCACCAGCGAGAGAAAGACTGAAAGACACAGGGATATTTGGTCATTATTTTTATTCTATTTTAGATCTTTCTTTGTTTCTCAAACATGTCCCTGTTTAGCCAAACAGGTAGAGCTTGTTGGCGGAGAAGTACTGTGTAACGCAAGGCTGTCAGCAGAAGGCTACAAAGGAATGCAACAAAGAAAACGACGAGTGAAGAAAATTTTGAACAAAAGGGGCAATGACTCACGTTTGTAGGCTTGTTGAACCGAATGTTCAAGTCCATGTCGGCAATCTTGGCCAGATCCTCGCTGTCCAGATCAAAGGAGGTGTTGTCCAGGTTCTGCGCCATGACCTCGGGGCGAGACGTCTTGGGGATGACGGCGATGCCTCGCTGGGTGGCCCATCGCAGAAGGACCTGGGCAGGCGTGCGGCGGTGCTTGTCGGCGAGGGCCTTGATGACGGGGCTGTCCATGAGGGGCGCGACGCTCTTCGCGCGAGGCATGTCGAGCTCCATGAAGCCCGTGGGGCCAAAGGACGAGTAGGCGGTGACGACGATGCCCTCGGTCTGGGCGAGGCTGACGAGGTCGGGCTGCTGGAGGTACGGGTGGTGCTCGATCTGGAGGGTGGCGGGCTTGATGCGGGCGTAGATGAGGGCGTCGTAGACGGACTGGGCCTGGTAGTTTGAGACGCCGATGCTGCGGGCGAGGCCCTTGTCGACGAGGCGCTCCATGGCGCCCCAGGTCTGCTGCAGCGTCGTCGTCTTGCTCCAGCGCACCTCGCTTTTGCCGTCGTAGAACCAGCCGGGCGGGTAGCGCACGCTGGGGTCGACGTACTCGAGGGCGGCGGGGAAGTGGACGAGGAAGAGGTCGAAGTAGTCAATCTGCCAGTCGGCCAGCTGGCGGCGCGTGATGGGCTCGACCTTGTCCTCGTCGTGGAACGTCTGCCACAGCTTGGACACGATGAAGAGGTCCTCGCGCTTCACGAGGCCGTCCTTGATGGCGCGGGCGACGCCCTCGCCGCACTCCTTTTCGTTGCCATAGTCTGGTGTGTGGTGGTTGAGAAGCCCCCCAAGCTGTTAGCGATGTGACTTTGGTGTTGCGGATCTTGTTGTTGTTGTTGATAGTACTGTGTGCTGTGTTTTGTGTTTTGTATGTGGTGTTGGAGTTGACACACCCCTCCTCCAAACAAGGGGGGTGAAGGGGGGTGAGGAGAGCGGGGGAGGGGCAGAATACAGACGCCCCTGTGAGAAGAAAGCTCGATGAGATGAGATGAGATGAGGGGCAGACACTGAGAGACTCTGAGAGAGAGAGAGACAAGTGGAACACAATACGTGTTGCTTCCTCTCCCGTCTCTTCTATTCCGTTCACACATAATCCTAAGAGTCACTCAAAACTCACCACAGGCACCGTCAAACAGGCGGTATCCGGCCTTGATGGCGTTGTACACGGTGTCCGCGCACACGGCATTGTCGACCTTCCAGAGGCCAAAGCCCACCTGGGGCATGTCATATCCGCTGTTGAGCTTGAGCGTGGGAGACGCCATCGTGCCTGTTTTCTGTGTCGACGAGAAGCAGCGGAGCGAAGAAGAAGAAGCCTTCGTGAGGAGAAGCCGAGGAGGACGAGGAGCGTGAGATGGGACGGACTGGAGGGAGCGGAGGAGGAGGAGGAAGGGAGAGGATGAGGAGCAAGAGGAAGGCGTTGGCCTCTTATTTATGCACAGCGCTCGAACTCCACACGAGAGGAGGCTCCCTCGAGGCCTCATGGCTAGTATGTACTTTCTTGTTCGGCAGCCTTGCCCGTTTGCTACCTATGATGGGCACCTCCTGTAGGGGCTTCCCGTAATATCTCTTCCGTTCCGACTAAGCGGAGTCTCTCTGATTGTGGTTACGGAGTGGGAGACTCGGGGGCTAGCCTGCCAAGTAAGGGAACAGGCTTGAGGGTCAGCTGGGGGGACCTGTGGATGGATGGATGGATGGATGGATGGATGGATGGCTTGGACGGGCGAGTCTAGATAATATCATCAAGGTTCCCAGCCATTGAAAGCCAGCATAGCGGACAACGCAGCACAATCAGGACAAGGCTCCCAAGCCATAATGATCCGTCGGACCCAGGACAAGGACCAGCCTTGATTTTCCTTTTTGCCGCCGATATGCAGGAGGGCGGGTAGCCAGAACTAGCAGATCTAACCGGCCCGTATAGATGAGCTATGGCTTGGGTCGCTCGAAGGCTTCTCGTGTGTAATACTGTACATACGGTAGTAGTAGTATGTATGTAGTCCGTTCCTTTTTCACATGAGGTGGGGAAACATGTCATGTTCCTACAGTAGAGTGAGTTTGCACAGGACTGCCTAGTACCAGCTTGTTGCTGTCAGGGAAGGGGGTCAATTTCTTCGCATCTGCCCTCCTATTAGTGCGTTTAAACGTGACGGCGGTTCTATGCACAAGTGAGGGCCTGATGACGATGGTGATGACGATGTGGCAGGCCAGACCTCACGCATGGCACATGAAGTCACGGCAACTTGTCTAGGTAGATATCACGCTGATGTTTTTTCTCTCTTGGTTTTTGTCTTACTGTACGGTGATGGCTTCATCCACGTATTACTATACTATACTTGATTCCAACAAAAGGCCTCATCCGTTTCTGGATATTAAACGGAAATGATAGAGGGGGCCAAAAGAGGGACATGATCTGACCATGATTATATGGCTTCTCTCGGGCAAAACGGTTGGACCATCAGACTCACCGTGAGAAGCAGGCCGGGCTTTTGATTTTTTTCTCGAAAAAAGAGAAACCGTCTTCGATAGTCCCCTCCCGGGTGATGAGGCTTCGGAGGGGAATTCTCGACATTTAGCCTAAATTGCCGTCAAGTTGGAGAAAAGACTCCGCAAGGGGGGACCCAGGATGCGGCTAATTGTCCGGTTGGTTGCCGCTCTTTTTGTGGTTCTCGGTTCCTCTTATCGAACATGTACCGACGCTTTGCGATGACAACTAATAAGACATGGAGAGACTATCCGAGTTTGCTTCGTTGGGATATTTGTATGGAGTAGTACCTACTTTGTACGAAACTAGATGGTTCGACGTGAGGTGTTTGTTTGCTGTGATGACTTGACTCGGACATGGACAAGGAATCCGGGCGATAAGGGTGAATGATGACATTTGATTGCTGTTGGTTCGGGGTGGTTGTTGATACGGCGGGTAATACTGTAGCTGCAAATCCTCGCTGTTCAACGCCCGTTTCCTTTTAGTATCATTACTCCTTCTTCCCTGGAACCCTCGTTTCCAACATCCTGCTTATGTTGAAGACACTTCCCCCATCAAGGACCAGGTTGGTGGAGACGCCGGAGATCTAGTTGCAGTGGCTTGTTTCCAATGTTCCTTCAACTTTTGAGGGGCTGTTCAATGGCGGGGTTTCGTTGTTCTTTTCTTTGAGCCGTGACATGATGCTTCGGGACAACGAGAGGACGGACAATGATGAGAAGCTCCTTGTTTGAGGGACTCAATGCAACAACACTAAAAGATTCATCATCGTCTCCGAATTGGGAGAAATTCTATTCTGGGGAGTGGAAATATGATGTTCAGGTTTCAAGAAAGCGTTCAAGATGAACAACACCACATGTTCTGTGTTGAGCCTCCCTTTGAGACTATCGTCGCGGCTTCATTCTCTTCAAGCTCATCCAGCTCACATAAATATCATAGTCACCGACGTTAGACAGTTTGAAAAAAGAAGAAATAAGAGAAATGAAATCACCGATTGCATCAACTATCTCCCCCTCCCACCACCGCCATCATGCCGCGCCCCTTGGCCAACCTCGTCGTGCACCGCAAGACGGTCGAGCAAACCCCGGCCACCGAGTTCCGCAACCTCTTCACCATCCAGGCCGCCCTCGTCCGCGGCGACAAGCACGTCACGCTGCACAACGCCAGCAGGGCCACGGAGCTGGACGTGCAGCGCCTCCGCGTGCCCTACCATCCCAAGAACAGGCCCCACGACCAGCCGTACGAGTGTCTCTTTGGCTTCCCTCCGCGCTCGAGCTCCTCCAATGGCGGCGACACGACGCAGCCGAAGCGCGTCGACGAGTACATTGAGATGCTCAACTGGGACGGCTTCCGGCTCGAATGGGTCAAGGTCCTGGGCGAGGGCGGCTTCGGCATGGCCACGCTGTGGAACGCCATCTTCGAGGACGGCAGCAGCGTCAAGGCCGTCATCAAGATCCCCGTCCGGTCGAGCGCAAACTTTGACGGCGAGCTGCAGTGGCATCTGCGGTACGCGGGCGCCTCGCACGTCACGCAGGCTCTGGACTTGCAGGCCATGGCCGACAATGTCCGGCGCAAGATGAACAGGGGATACATGATCAACCGAGGAGCGAGGTTCAACCCTTCCGACTTGGAGGTTCTCGTTCTGGAGTATGCTGATCGCGGGAGCATGTTTGACTTGCTCAACAGGGCGTCGCACTTTAACATTGTCTTTTCGATGAAGGCGCTCTGGGAGATTTGGGAGTGCCGTGAGTTGTGATATCACCAGTCAAGTACCGCTTTGTTTGTTTCTGAAGCATTTGAGCTGACTTGTGTCTTTTCTTTTTTTTTTTTTTGCAGTGGTAAAGGGAGCCGTGTCTGTGGCATTGCAGCCAGATGCGATTCGGCGATGGGGCCACGATGGCCTCGACAAGGTTCTCGAGTCGTTGGATGACCCCGACAACATGGATGAGCTTCGCAGGATCTGTACTCTGATCGATAGCCACGACGTTCATTTTGATATCGAAGAGCAGAACGGTGTGTACTCACGAGCACTCACTTGCAACTGAGGGAGTGATTGGGTCGCGTTGGCTAACTTGTGTCTGATAGTTCTCATTGCCGAGGATGAGCAGCATGGCCATCATCCCATCTTCAAGGTAAGTACGCAGCGTCCTGGCTCCATGGTTATAGGATACTGATTCATCTCCATATATAGCTCCACGACTTTGGCGAGTTCAGCCACAAGATGAGGGAAAACTGGGCGTTTTGGCCAGAGTCGGAGTACTGGAGACTCAGACGAGTTCCAAAGGTCAACCGCATCCCCCCTGTAAGTTATCTACCTACTACACGACCCTCTGCTTGCGAATGACTGCTCATACAGCAACCCCCCAGGAAACGATTGCCAGAGAATGGGACACCTTTGATACCGCCAATCCGGGGCCTTACCAAAGATTCATCGGCGACACGTTTGGCCCCGACAAGAATGTAAGCGCCGGCCGATACGGCACTTGGACAAACCTCTTTCTGATCGGCCAGATTGTGAGTCAAACCCCCCCCTTTTCTCTCTCTCTCTTTTCCTCCCTGTACTTCTTTCAGCTAACAAGACTTCATTTCGTCCGTCTAGATGGAAGCAGTCATCACCAAGCTCTGGGTAAGCCACCCCATGGTCACCATGCGATTCAGACCCTACGACGGGAGAAGCGACGGCCAAACGTACGGCTGGCGCATATGCAGACAGGACTACGCATGGATCGAAGAAGATCTCCGCTCCCTGATCCTCCAGTGCCAGTACGAGAAACCGGGAGATCGCCCGCCGCTCTCTTACCTCCTCCAGAAGATTGCCGAGCGCAAGCAGCGAGGCTTTCCCGAGGAGCCCGATTGGCAGACGCGCCAGTTCTGGGATCTGTTCTGGGCGATGCAGAGGCCCAGCCAGTACCCCGAGGACGACAACATGCAGAATGTGACCGAGTATGAGAATGATGGGTTTGTCACGGCTGTTCAGGCGCTTCAGCAAGATGCTCCTCCTCCTCCTCCTCCTCCCCCTGCGCCCCCTCCTCCTCAGAACTTCACGACGAACCCCTATAGCGCGAACAATTACGAAGAGACTGGCAATCCTCTCATCGCGCATGTGGCCGCTCTGCGCCTCAAGAGCCGGCGATCGCCACTCATGTCTACTTCTGAGGCAGGCCCCAGTGTACGACCTCCTGCACAGCACCACCCCTATCCTCCTAGTGGAGGCGACCCCTCCGCATCTGTTCCAGACATGAGGCTGTCGGATCTTGCTTCGACCGCTCCTTTGCTAGGACGACCTGCTGCCCAAGGTCCTTCAACAAGCGAGGAGTTTCCGATTCGGCCCGGGGCGGCGAGGGCGCAGCTGAGGATGCCCTTTGCCGAAGGCTCTTCCGGTCAGGATCAGGAGCAGCAGCACCCTGCGCGCCCATCTGCTCCCATGTTCGGACGGCCTGCTGCCGAGGATTGTTCAGGCGAGGAGTTCCCCATCAGGCCGGGCGCGACGGTGGCGCAGTTGGTACGGCCGCCGCCTGTTGCTGCTGATACTTCTCCGATTCCAGACTTCTTCATGAGACCGACTGCGGAAGGGTTGCCGCTGAGACGACCGCCCGCTGACTTGGGTCCTTCAGGAGAAGACTTTCCCATCCGGCCGGGCGCGGTGGTGGTGCAGCTGGGGCGAGCACCTGATGCTCAAGGTTCTTCGGGTGAAGAGTTTCCCATCCGGCCAGGGGCGACAATCGCACAGGCGAGGCCACCCACCGCTGAGGGCCCTTCAAGCGAGGTCGATGGGTCTTCTTCCAGTGAAGAGTTTCCCATAAGGGCGACGGCGGTGCAACTGGGACCACCACTTGTTGACGAGAGCTCTTCGAGTGAGGAGTCTCCAATGCGATCAACGGCGACGGAAGCTCAGGCAGCACCGTCTGCTGGTGAAGGTCCTTTGGGAGAGGAGTTGCCCATCCGGCAAACAACGGCAACGGCGGCGCAAGTGAGGCCCCCTGCTGACGACGGGTCTTTGGACAAGGAGTCTTCGATGGGGCCCGAGGCGGCGACTGCGACGACGACGACGGTGCAGCTAGGACAACCTCTTGTTATTCAACGCTCTTCCAGTGAAGAGTTTCCCATCTGGGCGACGGGGGACCTGCTGCAAGAAGGGCCATCTGTCGTCAAAGGCTCATCATCAAGTTCCGAATTCCCCATGAGGCCCGGTGCCACAGTGGCAGCGACAAACAAGAAGCGCAGCGCAGAGGAAGAAGAAGAAGCCGCCGAAGAGGCAGAGAGCACAACCAGCAGCAGTCCGCGGAAGAAGCAGCGCCGAGTCCGCTTCGACGCTGCATCGGCGTCTTCGACTGTGACCATGGGGATGCAGCCCGTGCATCTCGCGGAGACGGCAACGGACGAGAGCCCCGGGACCTTGTGGCCTGTTGTTGCCAACACGCCCACGCCTAACCCGACAATTGCAGTGACTGAAGCTGAGGGCACGTATGGCGATCATATGAGGAGCCTGCACAATCAGTATGATCCTGGCTCTACCGTTTCGCTGGTTGTGCCGGAGACGGATAGCAGAGGCCGGGTCAAGAAGGACAGCAAGCGCAGGAAGTTGGCCAAGTTCTTTCGCCTGGATCGGCTGCGGAACAAGTTCAGGAGGACGCCTTCGCCTCGGGCGGCGGGTGCTGTTCAAGTGGAGAGCACTCCGGAGCTTGGGCGGACGAGTAGAGTGATGGATGTGGATGATGAAGGGGAGCAGCAGCATGGGGAGGCCATGATGGATGAGGACGATGGAGATGCCGTCATGGGTGACGCGAGTGCCTCCAGGGACAGGGGGGGTGTAGCCAGGGATGAGAGAGTCTGGTGGGGAGACGAGCCTAGGGGGGGAGGGAACGCAGGGAATACAGCTACTGGTGAGAGGATTTGGTGGTAAGTATCGAGGTAAGTCTGATATATCGAGATGTGGAGTTGATATAGAGGGTATACTGAAAGGATAGACTATAGTGAACGGGCATGTTCCATGGGGCTTTGTTTGAGTTAAATACACATCATCGTCCTAAATAATTATAGACTCCTTTGTTCAGACTTGATACTTCATTTCCAACTTCTGTCGTGTGTACACACTGACAAGTCACCATCCGAGCCTCGGCATCCGCAACCATACCTTGTTCCCCTGAGAATCTGCGCACTCGAGCACCTTCAACACTCTTCATCCTTGCCAACCTCTACCAGACCCGTCCAAGGCCCATACTCAATGGTCCGCGTCTGCGTCAAAATATAAGGCTGCCATATCCTGCAATTCGTCCAAAGACTGGCCCAGTACGTTGTTGCCGTGTGAGTGCCTTCAAGAGCGTTATTCTTCGTTGCAGTTGGCAATTCGGTAGCAGTGTTTCGGCTTGACGAAAAGACAGAACTCTTTCTTTCTCTCCGCCGTCAAGGACCGTCATTGCAACGTTTGTAAAAGTAGCAATGGGATCATTGCAAAAGAATTCCCAATGGCCAGTCTCGTCTCGCATCATCGTCCAGAGAGAAGCACAACACAAAGCCAAGCCGCCTTTAGCAAAGAGACAACAACAACCTACCCGGGTCGGATGTGCATGTTGAGGATGAAGCTCAAAGCATCGGGTCGAATGCAAATGCTTCCGTAGGCGCGTCTGAGAAGAACCTACTTCAGCTCCCGCCGTCGTAGCCTTTCGTCTCTGACCTAAGAGCAATACGCCGTCAGCTTCCCTTTATACAAAGCGCCCACTATTCAGTAATATCTATGCCCTCCCAGACATGAACCACAAGCATCCATCATGCTAAGGGAACATATGTACGCAGAACTCACTTTGTCAGCCCAAGCGCAAGCCCAACGGCGAGCCCTACAAGAACCACCAAAACAACCGCCACAACCAGCACAATCTGGCATCTCCTCTGCAGATTACCCCCCGTCTTCCAACGCCCCTTTTCAGAACACGCGCGCAGTACCGGCGTCATCTGTCCCATGACGGTCTCTTCATCTTCATCATCGCCCTCGTCCTTGCACTCGTTCACCATCAACACCCCTGGAGGAAGATCCAGAAATCCAACGATATATGGGTTACTAGGCTGCTTCTCAGTGACATGCCCCAAGTTCCGTCTAGAGTTCCCCGGCGAGGACCGAAGCAGTGCCGGAGGCGGTAAGGATGTTGTCGTCCATGAGGGCTGCAGATGGATGGTGTTGCTGTTCTCGTCGATGACGGGCAATTGTCCTACTGAGGCGAGCGACGCCTTCGACCAGGCTCGGGTATGGAACTTTGGTAGGTGTGACATGGTTCTTTCAAATGTCAAATAGACAAGTAGTTCATTACTGTATTGCAATGCTCCTTGTGCGCAATATAAACAAGAGGAAGCAGTGAACAGCAATGAGGAGTAGAACAAGCGGCACGGGAAGCAATCGAAAGAACAATCGCCAGCCCAATGGATAAATATGCACCAAGCAGGACAGACGACGAACACCCCTGACCTTTGTTTTGAGTTTGGGATCCTGAAATATACCACTTTCCCATGGAATGAATGGTGGCAATCATGGCTCTATCTGGTTCGCTGCCAAGGCTGAGACACTCGCCGGTGAGACAAATATAGAACCGCGAACCGTCCAATATATATACTATCTGCCTTATATAGTAGTATATATTTCCCGTCCCTTGCCATCTTCATTCCCCATCTTTGCTTGACCTATTCTTCTCTCTTCCCAGTATTCAATATCCAATTAAAAAAAAAATCAGGGGCCCATACGTAAATCGATCAGCCACCAGCTCCATCTGAATGCAGGGCAGACGAACCTCAACCTCCACCAACGCATACCTACACATACTCGTAGCTTTATATAGAGACTAATGCTGTTACTATTGGCCCGTAGAGTCATCTTGCTAGAACCCAATAGCAGAAAGGACCAGAAATAGAACAGACGAGATAAAAGGAACCTCAGCTTCTCCACGCTCGCTGGTCAAGTCCGATCCGTCCAAAAGGGCGATTAGACGGACGAGTCTGGAGAGAAGCTTGTCCGTGTCTCACAACAGCGTCGCACTGCAAGTCATCGCATCAAGAGCTGAAAATGTGCGCCCGATACCTCATTCATACCGCTTCAAACATCAAGACATGCTTCCATGCTTCCAAACAGACAGAAATGTAGTATATAAACATCTCGAGACATCAAAAGGTATACCAATGCTCAAGAAACATCATCACATCAATCATTCATGCAAATAAAGCCCCTGATACACACATACCCTCACAAACAGCCCCCCTCTCCCTTCCATCCCCCTTGCATCAAATGAAACAAACAACGCTAGTAGTAGTAATAGAACATCCCAACTCCCATCTCCTTCTACTCTACCTACGCCTCAGCCGTCTCCTCAACCTCATCCTCTTGGACCCCATCAACATCAACGCCACTGCTGCTCGTGTACGAAAAAGACGGCGCCTCCAGCATCTCGCCCTTGTCCGTCCACACCGCCGCCAGCTCCCTCTCAATCTCGTCCCGCCTCCTCTTCAGCTCGTCCACCTGCGACAGCCGCTCGCGCAGCTCCTGCACCTCCTTCTCCACCTGCATCTTCTCGCGCTCCGTCCCGATGCGCTCAAACTCCCAGCCGTCGCCCTGCTCACCGACGCCCAGCTGCAGGTTAAAGGTGTGGTACTTTTTGAGCGATGCTCGTGTCGAAATGGTGATGAGTGCTATGGATGACATCGTTAGACCCAAGCTTTCTTCATCTTCCAATCGGGTTTTTTGCAACTTGTAAGGGGGGGAAAAAACTCACTGATGCCCCTCTCCTTGCACGTTTCGTACAACAACCCCTCGACATCACTCGACACGGCACTCGTGCCCTCGTCAATAATCGCATACTGCGGCTCATGGTACAAAAGACGCGCAAACTGCATCCTCTGCTTCTCGCCTCCGCTGAGCACGTCCTTCCACTCCTTTCGCGTGTCCCAGCCTCCCTCGCGATCGGGCAAGTACCCAAGACGGGCCGCCTCGAGGATCTTCTGCAGATCGTGCTCGGACTTGCGCTTCTCCCGCATATCCACGTGGCCGTCGGGGTAGATGACCTGGTCACGAAGAGTGCCGGGGCTCAGGTACGGCCGCTGGGGCAGGAACATGATGCCGTCTTGGCCCAAGCTCTTGGGTCGACTAACCAAACCTCGATAGACGGGCCAAAGGCCAGCCAGAATCCTCGAAATGGCACTCTTTCCAACGCCATTAGGACCCGAAATCTTCGGACAACTTGTTAGCTAAAACGTAGAGATGGAAGGGATATAGTGAACTTGGTACATACCAAAAGATGCTCGCCCCTCCGGACAATCATGTCCAGGGATTCTATCAGCTCCTCTCCACCCTGGGGCCAGAGACCAGGGGCAACGACGGGCACTTGCTCAAAACGAACACCATCAAACCCCTTCTGAATCGTTCCCTGAACGTCAGACAAGGAGTAGAGCTCGCTCTGCCCGCTTCGGAGGTAGTAAGCGTTGGCATGAACCCGGTGAAGAGTCGAGATGAGCGTGTACACGCGACTGGTGTAGCCAGCCAACTCGGCCAGGTCCTTGATAGAGTACATCATGCGTCCGCCCGCATCGGCCAGCGAAAGCATCAACCGCTTGTTGGTGATGAAGCTCTTCATGCGATTGCGCTCCCTGCTGCCCTTCTCGCTGCCCTCGTTCATCTCAGCCGCACCGCCAATGCCGCCCCAGGCCGGTAGGAAGACAGGCAGGGAGGCAAGCAGATAGCCGTAGGCACTCCAGCTGTACTTGAGAATAAAGTCCTCCAGGATGTTGTAACGAATCTTGAGCATGTAGATGCCCTCCATCCAGCTCTTGAGCGACTTGTACTCCTTGTTGAGAAACGTCTTCTCCATCTCTGCACCGCCGTAAAAGGCCACTTCTTCCGCGTTGGCAATCAGGCGGGCGTGGAGACTGCGAAAGTCTCCTTCTTTCCGGCCCTCAACCGCTTTCAGCTTGCCAAATGGTGGGGACAGCTTCCGCAGGATACTCGCCGTCAGGAAGTAGTTGCTCATCAGCCCAACCCAGGCGATGGGGCCCAGGGACCGGTAGAGCTGGAAGCTAAAGACGCAAATGTCGACAAATGGCTTTCCCAGGGAGGAATAGAGGTTGGCCGCCGAGGCGCAAAACAGCGTCAAATCTTGGGTGATGAACTGATCAGCTCCTTGGCCCACGCCTCCGTCTAGATTAGACAGTTTGTAGTAATTCAGATTGTCGTTCAAGTATATGTCGTGAATGTACCGGGTCAGTCGTGTTCGGAAAGCAATCGATACCTTGGACTCGAGAAACTTGATCATGGCGTTCGTATAAGAGGCAAAGGTGCCAAGTCCACACCACTAAAGAAGTAGCCATTAGGGGAAAGGTCTCCTTGCTGCCAACAGCGAGGACGCAAAACATACCTTGACTATACCCCAGAGGAAGGCCTTTCCATGGCCAGCCACGAGATCACGAACAAGCTCACCATCAAGACGAGCCACCACCAGAGACAAATATGTCCGCAACATCAGGAAAACGCTGTGGCTAATGAGCAAGCCAGCCTCCTTACTTGACCATCGCGGAATCATGATGCTCATCAGACTAAGGAACTGGTGCAGAAACGCCAGGTTCAGGCCCGGCTTCGTCTGGGCGGACGGAACAGTGCCATCACCAAGCCCAGACACCCTCGGCGGATTCAGAAACAGCCGCCTATGCGCCTCAAAGGTCAGCGGCTTCGTCGTGTTGATGACCACCTTGGACGTGCCATCCTTGTAGGGCACATAGATTGTCCGCGAGCCGTCCTTGTTGTGCAGCCACGAATTGGTGCGCACAAGCTTGCGCCCCTGCTCGCGCTCGTGCCGCCTCTTCTTCCACCACCTCCTGCCTCCCTCGGCGCCCAGGATAATGGACATGGCGAGCGATAGGGTGGCGAGGATGCGGGTTGTTCGCGACGTGGAGCGCAGCCGCTTGCCCAGGATGGTGGTCCATTTCTCCAGGAACTCGGCCAGCGCATCCTCGGCTGCCGTCCTGCGCAGGTTTGACTGCGCTGCCATTTTTTGTTCCTGTCCTATTCTCTTTGTATGAGCTGGTGCGGACGCTGGACGTGCTTCTCGGACACTCCAGGCGTCGCAAGTCCCCGTCTAGGCCGAGTCGAGGGTCATGAAGCCGAGCGCCTGCGCGTGTAGTGTATTGGATCGTGCGGTTGTCGCAGAGCAGAGAGTCAGAGGAGCAGTGTGTCAGAAACCGTCGTGTGTTCAGCCGAGTAACTGCAGAGAACCGGCCATCAGCAGGCGCGGCAAACCGTCGATGATGTCGTGTATCGTTGCGAAATGATATGGAAGAGGAATCCGTCGTGTGGTTGCGTGGGCGTGGAATCGGACATGTGAAGGTGAAGCCGCGCCCAGCTGTCCCGAGGCCCAGAAATCCAGCAGGTCCCGAAATGGAGCAATGACGGAACCGCCCCGAAGCAGCAGCCACACGTGACTCCACACTGTGGGGGAAGAAGCCCGAAGAGTCTGGGGAAGATCCCGCGATTTCTGTCAGTGGCTGCATGTGATTAAGGGGGGCAAAAAGCTGCTGTTCTTCGAGATGGGAGCTACATCACGATGCTCGAGAGGTAACAAGTGCCATCATACTCAAGACTTTAGCAAGGGAAAGCAACCATGTTGGACACTAATCAAGTACTCTATCGTGTCCTCTTTTAAGCACTCTATCGTGCCATTAGGTGTATGGCGCGTCAGTCCTTTCGCACGTAACGAATGTAGTCCATCTCAACTCCTCAACCACTCCACTACAACATCAAAACAACAACAAGATCCCACTGCCACATGATTCTATGGAAAGCACAGGCAACCATCCTTGGCTTCAAACTGCACCTCATCCAGGCTCTGGGGACTAAGCACCCGCTCCTTCGTCTTGAGCAACTGGATGGCGTCCCCATGACTGCGGATATCGTGAGGGCCCTCGATCAGATGCTTCTCCAAACCAAGCATCCGCCACCCATGGCTCTTGTGGGCCACCATTTCCCAAGCATCAACAGCTTCTGAGTCGATAAAGAGATCCCAGGTGCCAATCCACTCCAGGGTGGCGCCGCCCTTCTTGCCGCTATACCGAAAGACGGCCGCGTGCCCCGGGCCCCCGTTCCAGATCTCCACGGTCTCGAGCTTCGGCATGGCAAGCGCTACTTGGGCCGCTAGCTTGAGCATGTCGTTGATCTCGTAGGAGCTTCGCGTAGACTCCAGGTGCTGCGACGTCAGCGTCAGGGACCGCAAGTTTGGCCAGGTCCACTCTGGCTTGGACGATCGGAAGAAATCACTCGCATCGACGAGGAATGAAGCCCCGAGAGTCTCAAGCCTGAGACTTCGTTGCGCCAAGGCGGCACTGACATATAGATTGGGCGCTCGAGCCGGTACACCATCTGCCAGGCTCAAGTTCGTCCTCTCCTCATCATGATCCTCGAAGAACGTGAGATGCTTCAGGCCTTTGGGCAGCGAGCCCTTCAAGAACTTGACATAACCTAGTGGGCCACGGTTAGCACGTGAAAGCCATCTAACATCACGAGCCTAGATGATCACATACCTGCATCGGCACGGTCCTGCGACGTGTCCAGGAACTGCTGCCATGGCTCAAAGACCAACTCCTCCAGGTCGGGAAACCGGGACAGTAGTTGATGCATCGTGAAAGAAGTGGGCTGTCGGCGTGTGTGTCTCTGCATGATGAATCGGTTCACCATGTTGAGTCGAGGGAGCTGCTGGTGGAACTGGATGTGAACATAACCACCAAAGATCCTATCGGCAGCGCCCTCACGCCTGAGGCCACTCGTCGAGGGCAGTCCCCGGTCCAGCTCCCTCGCATGAATGCCTTTGGCAACGTATCTGGAGTCACTAGGCGAATGGAAGCTTATCTCCAGCGTGATACGATGATCAGGCTTGGCCCATTTCTCCCAAGCCTTGAGCCCATGGAAGAGCTTCCCGATGGCCAATTCGATGATTTCGCTGTTTGCCTCAATGTCTTCCATCCTTTCGGGTCTGATAATCGCTGGCCTGAAGATACCGAGCTCACCGCCCGCCCAGGGCACGTACTCGTTGAGCTCGATGCGAAGGCAGACGTGGGTGACGTAGGGCCTGCACCGCTTGGGGAGCATCGCAACGCCATCCAGATCATCTTGACGGAGGACCAGGCGCTGGAAATTCAACTTCTCAAAGGTCGCCTGCCAGGTCTTGCAGACAAGCGCGTAGTTGGTCAAGCTGGCACGCCTGCTGCCGCTGTACGGGTCTCGTGCGAGGGCCTCCAGCACCAGGAGCCTCAACTCCTCTGGAAGACGCTGCCAGTCAAACATGTTGGCGTGAACTGAAGTGACGGTCTTTGTTTTGAAAATCTTGGTTGTCAAGAAATATGTCTGTGTTGAATCAGAATTTGCTTGCGTCGTGGTGATGGTTACATGGTATTGCGTGTGCGGCCTGAGGCGGGATATATAGCTGGAGACTGTTTCAGACGGGTGTGGGCAAGGCTTCAGCCCATCATCCTGTTTTCTGGCCGTTCAGATAACACCAGCGGCGGTTGTTTATCTTTTGTGATGCTGAGGTTCCAGCGTTCGCGTGATTGTTGTTCAGGCTGAAGTTGAGCGTTGGCATTCGAGGCTGTTCATCCAGCTTTTGTGCGCTCAAAAGGCATTTTAGAGGCGCTCCAGATAGCGTTTAGGCGGCCCCGCAGTTCGATTGAATCTTCAACCAGATCCGGTCTGAGCTGGAGGGTTGCATGATGCTAGTACTAGTAGAACTAGACGAGGGGTACGTACCTCGTGTGCAGAAACGCCAGAACAATTCCTTTATGAGCCACAACAAGGCAATGCCAGTTCTGTCTTTGTGGCTTTGAACAGGTACATGGCGCGTTCAAAGCCTCACCTTGCGCTGCTCAGGTCCATTGTATGTGTGAATCTTGGTGTTCCTGAACACCAGCTCCTGACTGGTTCACCATCTTATTTGACAGGGTACGAACCCCCGTGGCTGAGATTGCCAAATCGATGATTTCATCCCACTCCGAGGCAGACCCGCTAGGACCTCAGATTGATTGCGAGATCCCGTGTTATGAACAAAATATGGCAACTCGTAAGAACACAGAAAGGAGGAAGCGGTTCCTCATCTTTTGAAGAAAATGATGAAGGGATGACCTCTCGTGCAACCAACGATAGATACCTAGTACCTACCAGGTATCACGCGCTCATTGATCTATCTTCTTTGACTGCCCATCTCATCCCATCTCAACCACACGTTCAACCTACCCTGCATCTTTGCTTGTCCGAGTCCAGGCCCGGGCGCCTAAAATTAGCACAAAGCTTGGCCAGGAGGCTCAGGCACCTAATCTGCGAGAGCCATCGATAGCCAAATTTCCATGGCCTGGCAGCAAGCTCCATCGTGCTCCTCAACTGGAGACCGCCGCGACCAGGCAGATGTGACGGACGTGATCCATAGGGCACTAGCTGGGTTCTCTGGTTCCGTTAGCAACTGCCAGGGGGGCATCCAGGGCGGAGCACAAAGCAGCTGGAGCTTTTTGGCCGTAGGAGAGCGCAGGACCAAAAGGGCCATTCGCTCCTCCGTGCAACGGCAAATCTGCAGCCGCACACTGCAGCTGATAGATGGATGGATGCCCTTGTACGAGATAGTACCTTACCTAGGTAGGTACACACACCTGGAGGTACGTCGTCCTCGTGCTCCGGTTCTCGTACGAGCCCGGCAACCTCTGCGTCCGGGGACACAGGTCAGGTCAGGTAAGGTAAGGTATGTTCAGGGCGGGCCAGACATTCTGCGCGAACAGCTGGCCACATGCACGGCCGCAGCGTGTCCATGTATGTACCTGTACGAGTATGTTCGTACCTACCTAGGCATGTACAAAAGGGCGGGAGCTTGGGGAGCTGCTGGCCCGCCATGTGCGACGAGGTGCCGGACATGCCAATCAAACCGACCCCATCCGATGCCGTACATTGTCTTCGTACATGCTCGTACATGGCATGGCATGGCATGGCATGGCCCAGCCAGTCACCTCAGCCAGTCTCCATACGAGCACAGCAGAAAAGGGACCCATAGCAGTCTCCATGGGCACAGAGGCGTCTCCATCCAGGTCCAGCTCTTCTCCGTTTTATTATGCGTGGCTGCTCCGTAATCAGAGGCCCGCGTCCTTGTCCGGGGGACCAGGAGTGATGCTTCCTGGCATGCCTGCATGCCGCCAATCCCAAGCGAAACACGCTCATTCACCGAGGGCCTCGACGCCGATTTCCCTCCAACGACGACTCGCTCGGCGGGTGTGCTCGTGCCGCGACTGGGCAGAATTGTGAACAGGTCGACGCCTGGGCGCCAACACGGCCAATCACGACGCCCGGGTCAGGGCTGTTGACTCGGCACGCAGGGCGAGAGGGGGGGTGGGATGGCGCCCGGGATTCTGGGGGAGGACGGAACTGGGAGGACTCGCCTGGTCCCTTTTCCTTGGTGATTTCCCTTTGTTTCCTCTTTTTCAGCCGTTTTCCTTTGTCTGCTCGTGATTTGTCTGGCGGCGGCGGCCAGTAATACTCCTGTACTCGTACTTGGGTAGCAGCTCGGAAGCCCAGGAAGCAGAGATCTCGACCCACCGCCCAACCGCGCCAGGCCACGGAACGGATTTCTCGCGCAGAATGATGGATGCCCTCAACTGCTCTGATTTGCTCTGCGGTGCCCATGATACAGCCAAGCTGCGTCCCAAGCTGTTGCGACGTCTTGGAGCTTCAGCTGCTGCGTATCAGTATTCGGTACCGCGTCATGGGCGGCAGACTGCACTGCGTGCCTCGTACCTGGTCGACGGCGCCCGGCTGCTCCAGCTGCAAGGTATGAATGCTGCATTCATTGGTAGTTTGAGGCCTGCATCGTATGGCGGGCCTGTAGACACCTGCCCGGGTGCGATAGTAGTATGTATGAGCCTGGAGGGACAAAGCAGCCAGGCGAACAGACAATCCAGCCTGCCCTGTCGCAGCGTGTGAGCGGGCCGCCGTGCAGAGCGCCGGCCGTGACCGCGCTTCTCCCAAACAGGAAGACTGAGCAGCGCCTGCGAGCCCACAGGTGCAGCGTTGGACGGTAAGATGAGAACTTGGCGGCCGCCATTAGCGGAGATTGGGACAGGGCGCCATGCAGTCGCGATTTACTGGCCTAACAGCGCCCACGGTGCATTGCGGTGCAGGCGCACCGTGGGCGTGTGCTGCGAGCGCGGGAGCGGCTCTGCAGCTCCGTCACGCGGGGCCGCTGCGATGGCGCCATGCGCCGCAGAGCTGCTGGCCGCCAGCACCCGCAGCGCCTGCAGCACCGTGCCAGCCCGCCACCCGCGCACCGTCGCTGGCTGTTCCCCCACTAACGCCCCAGCGTCGCTAGAGCCGTTGGCTAATCTCGACAAGCACTCCACCCACACCTTGAACCCCCCCCAAAAACCTCCCCCCCCAGCCCGTCCCTGCACGCCGGACCATCCCCGACCTGGCCCAGCCAAAACCCATCACGTTTAAAGGCAATCATCTCGCTTGAGCCCTCACCAGTCCCTCGGCCGGTACTTGTACTTCGTCCATGTACGCCGTGGCCGCCGTCGCCTCGCCTCTTCCGTCGTCCATCCATCTGTCCCTCCGTCCATCGTCCCTCCTGATCGCGACCTGGCCTGAACCTGTTCCTGACTTCGCCCTCACGAACCGCCGCGGCGCCTCATCGTCACGGTCGCCCATCGCTCCCCAACTGGCGCCCACCCACTGCCTCAGCTGCTCGCCTTCGTCGTTGCCCCGACTCCGCGTCTCTCTGCGACCACAAAGCACGGGCGCCCATCGTCTCGACTCCCTAAATCTTCCCTCTCTGTCGGGCGCGTCTCAGCTCCTCGCCAACACCCCGGTAATTTTTGGCTGCAAGAAAAGGGCATTTCGGAGCAACGAACGGCACGTCGCCGCCCAAAACACGCCCCTTGTGGGCTGACGTTCTTTTTCTCTCTCTTTACATCTTCAAACCTTCTTCTATTCCCTTTTTCCTTACTATTCTCCCCCCCTTCCCTTTTTTCTTTTTTGATTGCGTTGGAAGCTTGGAAAATTCACGCCAGCTTGCTTAGCTGTCTGAGTGTTTTTGAGGTACGTGCAAAGATGCATTAGCAGGTGCGCTAAAGCCCGCGCAATTTTACCTCGTCTTGTCCGCAAGGGTCAATCTGGCGCCTTTCCGCTATCGAGCCCGATGGCGTCCTTGGTCATATAGGCTTGATGGCTGTTGGTGTTTCGTCCATCCGCGATAGCTTCCCGTCCATCATCGCCTCATCATACCGATACTGCATCGCATTTCGCGGCCCAACTGAAGCTGGGAGCTCTGCCGCCCGAGCTTCCATTTTCAGGTTGCACTGTGACGTTGGCTTATTATCGCTTCAGCGTCGGATGGGGAAGGCTAACAGGCTCAACGCAGTGACTTCACAATGGCCGATACTGCCGTGGCAACCCCCGCGGTCGTCGACTTCAAGCAGGACAGAGTTCCTCTTGGATCTGGGCTGGGCAAGGAAAAGGACATGCTGGTGCCGGAGGATGGGGAGAGCTCCAGTAAGGGCCGGGGACTCCTCAAGGTGCCGTCGCGATCGTCGTCCCAGCAGAGGAACCAGTCCTCCCCGACCACAACTGGCTTGAGCGGAGCTACCATCACCGATCCGCGAAGCAGCATCGGCAGCAGATCCAGAGAGTCCAAGGGAAGCTTTTTGGATAGACAGCGAAACGGTAGCTCCAGTGGCGATGCCGAGCCTGCTCGCGCAACCGAGGTTTCCCACCCCAGCTCTCCATCAGCAAGCGAGCAGAAACGGAAAAGGAAGAAGAGCAGCGGGTTCTTGGCTCTCTTGGGATGCTGCGGCGTGCCCGACTCGGCGAACGCCGTCGACTCCCCTCAGGGGATTCATAAACTGGATAAACTACCCCCGAGGCCGATAACGGCCAAGTCAAGGACGCAGACGCCCCAGGACCAGACCCCGACGAAGCAGAGCAGCGAAAAGCCCCCCGTCCCAGCAACCACCGCCCCCCCAGCCAAGGACCATGGCGTCTCCTCGAGCAGTGCTCAGGACCAGACCAAGGTGGAGGAGGAGCAGCAGACGACTCAAGAATCAAAAGACGTTGCCCCGGCCGTTACCGTCGACCCTCCGAGCCCTTTGGAGCCGAACGAAGAAGTTCGAGAAATAGAAGAGGTGGTCGACGACGTCGAGATGCGCGATGTGCCGACAGACGAGGAAGCCCGGGACGTGCAGCCCGAGGTCGTACGACAAGAGGCCCACGAAGTTGCGCTCCCCCCTCCGCCGCCTGGCCCGATTCCCACGCCGCTGGTGACCGCAGCGCTTCCTCTTACGGATGACGGCCCTTCAGCACCGGAGCCTCAGAAGTGGCTGTTGCCGCCCATCACCCCGGAGCTCAAAGGAAGGAAATGTTTAGTTTTGGACCTTGACGAAACGTTGGTCCACAGCTCATTCAAGGTTTGTGTTTTTCCCCCCAAGCAGAGGAAGAAAACGTAGGCTAACCGAATGCGCCAGATTCTTCATCAAGCCGACTTCACAATACCGGTCGAAATAGAAGGCAATTATCATAACGTGTATGTCATTAAGCGACCTGGTGTAGACGAGTTCATGAAGAGGGTGGGAGAGCTTTACGAAGTAGTTGTCTTTACCGCATCAGTCTCAAAGGTACGTGCAGCGTCATCCTGCCGCGCGTGATGGAAATCGCTTGGACTAACATTGTCGACTCTCGAACAGTACGGCGATCCTCTGCTAGACCAATTAGACATACACAACGTTGTTCATCACCGCCTATTCCGAGAGAGCTGCTACAACCACCAAGGAAACTATGTCAAGGACCTTTCGCAAGTTGGACGAGATCTGAAAGACACCATCATCATCGACAACTCGCCAACCTCGTACATATTCCACCCCCAGCACGCTGTTCCAATCAGCAGCTGGTTTTCCGACGCGCACGACAACGAGCTGCTAGACCTTATACCCGTTCTTGAAGACCTCGCTGGCCCCAACGTCGCGGACGTCAGCCTGGTTCTTGACGTCACTCTCTGAGATACCACACACAACAGTTTCCTTTGATTTCTCTTTTCTTTTCGTCAGCAAAAAACTCAACAGCCCGAACTGCAGCATTGCCGTCATAGCGGGAGGCGTTTGGTTGAAATCTGTTCGTTTCCGAGGGGTAGATGTACTGTCTAATCTTATATAATCGGCCTTGATCTATGGAACGCAGCTCCTCGGTCTGCGAAACTTCCCCCTTTTTTCTTTTTCTTCCTTTCTCGGTCGACAGAGACCAAGCAGAGGGTTGAAGCCGACCAGGAGTTTCGAGTCGACCAAAGACCTCCACCCAACATCGCAAACGCACCTGTACGACTCGATGGCAAAGATTGACGGAAACGCTTGAGGGCAAACGCACTACAAGGAGGGAGTTCGACATCGCGGCCTGGGGCGAGAATGTGTCATTCGCCCCAAGACCATGGATGCTTCCGGGAAGCTCGCTGCGTCGGCAATGAACATGAGCCCGCCGTGAGCTTCTGCGGAAGATCGCCTCCTAACCTTGAGTGTGTTGAAAGAGAAGGCTGCTGGCATGTCTGGGTTGTTTATGCTGTTACCTTCTTCTGGCAAGCTGGCGCCTTTCTCCCTCTTTCTCTCTCTCTCTCACTCTCACTCTCACTCGTCTTCTTTTGATTCTTTCTCCTCTTCGTTTCTTCTTCATTTCTTTTCTTCTCCCTCTTTCTGTGATTCCCTTTGTGTTATCTCTTCTTTTTCTTCTTCTTTTTCACACTTGTCCTTTGCCCGCCTTGCATTGTTTTTGAACTATACACATACCACGCAGCGAGCCTGCGAGCAGGATTTCAAGGAGGACAGCGAGTTTGACGCGGAGTCTGTTGAAGCGGAGGCGAACATGATTAGCGAAGGTTTGGAGGTGTTTGCTCAGGGCCTCCGTCATACATAGTCTCCCCCAAATTGTAAAAATACCCCGAGCCTCTACGGCCCTTAGTAATGAATCAATGTGAGCTACTCTGAATATATGTTGAGAGGGGGAGTCTTTCTTTCTTTGTTGCGGGTTATTGGGCTATTACAGGCGATTATTATCCGGCTCTGACTTTCAGTTGTCTTTTTCTCTCTTTCTCTTTTTTCCTCTTTTCTCTCTCTTGTTGATGCATTGAATCTCATGGCCGATGCGAGTTGCAGCGTCTGGAGTTCTTTGTCAAGCAGTCAGCTGGTCTGTAAGCGCCTTCAGCGCTATCATCTGCATGTACTTTTACCTTGCTTTGCCTTTGATTGTATGAAGTTTGTAATATCAATTTGAAACAACACTTGGAATGGGACTCGATAAAAGGTCGTTAACGACTCAATAAGACTCCGTCGACTAAAGTACTATCTAGTAGGCTGCTCTGCGCTAAAAGCTGCATGTCTGGTGGATTCACGCTTCTCCAATGTCTCTCCCTCTGGGGTAGTAGCGGAGAAATGTTCGGCCGCCGCTGGATTGGCATTTGTGTGAATGTGGCCTTAACTTCTAGCTGGTCCTTTTGGGGCCACAATTTCACCCGCCCGGGACCTCTTTGCGCCAGAACTTGGAATTCCTCTCTATTAAACTCCATACACCTTGATCTCTTTTTGCCAATTCGACTCAAGAGTCCTGCAGTGATTCTCGGTCGATTGCTTCTCTTCCTTCTCATATACCCACCACACACTCCTTCACAATGGTATGCGTGTTCCTCCTTGCTTGTGCTTCCTTCCCATCGTCACTTCTGTGCTGTCAATGTTGCTGCCGGTTTGCGGCAGCTGGGAATCGCGTCACAAGACGGCGTGTGTGTGTCATGCGCGCATTGCATGACTCCCAGCTCGCGCGTAGCGGCGGCAACATGGCGAATCTGCGAGCAATTCTCATGGCCAGTGGCTCAGTGCTAACATGTCTCCCTCTCGTGCGCAGTCTTCTCGTCCCTCCTCACCCGCCAATGGCCCTGCCGCGGCCAGCGGTTCCAGCATCAGCCGACCTTCCTCCCCCACGCCTCCCGGCGGCCCTCGAACTGCGATCCGTCGACGTGCTGCCGCTGATCAGAAGGAGAAGCTTGCGAATGCCAGGCCGAGCAGCACACGGGCTGCTGGCGCTGGCGGTTCCAGCAGCACTATGCTGAGTACGTTGTCTCTGTGCTTGTCCTATATAGCGCTTTATGGGAAAGCTCGGGTTGGAAGATAGACATGTGGCTAACGAGAAGATCGAATGTAGGACTCTACACGGACGAGTCTCCCGGATTGAAGGTTGACCCTGTTGTTGTCCTTGTTCTGTCCCTGGTCTTCATCTTCAGCGTTGTTGCTCTGCACAGTGAGTCCCCACATTCTCAACGCCAACTGATACCACAGATGCTGACCCTCGACAAAGTCATTGCCAAGATCAGCCGCAAATTCTCGAGCTAAACACGTTATACGGCGATTGGAATGATACAAGGGGGAGAGAGAGAGGACACGACAATGGTGTAAGGCAAGGGAGAAGCAGGGTTTTGCGACGGCTCGAGTTCAACAGGCGCAAGTCAAGCTGATGCGAGTGTCTGGGCGCAAAAGAGAAAAGAGAGAAAATGAAGACAAAACCAAACAAACAATTGACTTACAGCAGCAGGATGTATGGGTTTGGTGGGATACATTCGACCTGGCCCTTAATCACCATGGAGTCTGAGAGCGGATCATGATATTTTGTACTATATGAGCAAAACGGCTTTTTCTATTTCGTTTGCACTTCTGACCACGAAGTCTTTGTACCTATGACTGAATGAGTCTCGCTTGCTGTGACTGCTGTGACTGTTCTAGGTAGGTAGCTCGCATGTCGTATTATTGCTACTCGTACGCGGGGGGGCCTGGAGGTTCCCGAAAAGGAATCAGGTATCTAATATACGCATGAGCTACTTGCCGACTTACCTGACCCTGCGGCAACCTTTGCTCGAATTCCATTACAAATTACCTACTCTCACATGTTGACTGTGATTGTTCTTTGGATAGGCAATACTTGTAAGAATGTTCATTGGACGTTAATTACTTTAATGGTAGGCGTTTTGCTGAACCGAATTTAGAAATCGGGCAGGCTGAATGCCTTACCACAGCTCTTGCGCCTTCCTGAGGTACGCGGCTCGAATACGGACGGACCGAGGCAAGTGCGACCAGGCGCTGGTTCCATTACAAGTATTCTTGTGAAATGCTTTTTGAAGCAGGAGCGAAATGTCTTTCAGATAAGACGATAAGCTTACGAGGTAGGTACTGTATATGACCTGAACAACGTAGACTTCATATTTGTCGCAATTCACATCATTTTTGCTGGATGCAGATGGGTCAACCCATGATCACTAGTATATGTCATTCGCTTGGATGTGCTCTTCCAGTTTGTTCCCCCGTCACTTATCCATGCCATGGTAGCACAGATGGCGGGCTGCTAGGTATACTGGCACTGGCCCTTCTGCTAATCACAGCCCGCTAAAAGGTAGCTCTGCGCCTACGGCTGTGGACTTTGGATGATCCCAGCGGTTCACCAGGCTTACCAGGCGCTGGGAGCAGAAGCTCCCCAATACAATCGTCGCCGCTCGTGACAGGGATCCAATGATATCAACAAGCGCGAGGCAAACTCTGGCAGCAGGTCCCAACATAGAGAGGCCTCTCACAACGGCCACACGTCATCGCCTTGCCGACTGGAATCAAGTTTGAGCCGTTCTCAGCTTTGATTCTGTCCCTGTGCTACCATTGTCTTTTTTTTGTGAGTTGGATCACTTGAACAAAACCCCCCAATGCACCACTACGCTTGAGATCGCTCCCCCATTCAAGGCAATGATGCCTCTGTATGTCTGCAGGTGACATTATCTGACCGAGCTTGCTGTGGCCTCGACGAGGCACTTTCCAAGCCTTTTCTTTGATCCTCCATCAATACCACCATATCTGGACCAGGAATACCGTACCATCTAACTCCTCATCGTCGATTCTTTTGCAATGGCGACTCCCGAAAACCAGTGGAACAAGCCCAGGCGGCAGCCCTCATCGAGACCCCCGCCCGCCTCAGAGGCCGTGGTGACGGACGGCTTCGTTCTTCCAAATCTCGACGTGCCTGCCGATGCGCCGCCGGCATATGGAAGTCATCATGATCAGCTGCAGTTCTCGCGGACAGGGTTTGAGGCTGGAGCCATCTTGACAGGTGTGTGGCTGCGCTCCCTTGGTTCTTGAGGCACACTGGATGAGCGAGGGGTTATTGGTGTATTGGAGCTGGACAAAGTGTTCTGACAAGTGGATAGCCGATGGAAGAGTCAACATCAATATCAACACCAAGAACCAGAGACTTGCGGAGCTTCTTGGGCCGAGCATCGCCAGCCAGATCGCAGCCCAGCCGTCATTACCACCGGCATATACGTTGCCGAGTCTCGCAGGTGAGCCCGGCAAGGAGCCTCCTCCGCGGCTCAACGTCGTCATTCAGATTGTGGGATCGCGTGGCGATGTCCAGCCATTTGTTGCTCTCGGTCAAGTATTGAAAGACACGTATGGCCACCGGATCCGCATCGCAACGCATGCGACTTTCAAGACATTTGTCGAAGAGAATGGCCTCGAGTTCTTCAACATAGGCGGAGACCCCGCTGAGCTCATGGCATTTATGGTGAAGCATCCAGGCCTCATGCCGGGTATAGACGCTCTGAAGAGTGGTGAGATCAGAAGGCGCCGCAAGGGAGTCCAGGAGATGATGCTTGGGTGCTGGAGATCCTGCATCGAGGCGGGAGACGGACTGGGACCGCCACCGGAACCGCATAGGAGAATGGAGCAGTGGGATCCATCAGCGGGCATGCCTGGAGATCCGAATCATGAACCTTTCGTCGCCGACGCCATTATTGCGAATCCACCCAGTTTCGCTCACATTCACATTGCGGAAAAGCTTGGAATTCCTTTGCATATGATGTTTACGTGAGTATCTTATCTCAGCTTCTGCACACAACCACGGCTAACAAGTCCGCCAGAATGCCCTGGACACCCACACGAGCGTTTCCCCATCCACTTGCTAATATTCAATCTTCAAATGCCGACGATGTCCTTACCAACTACCTAACGTACACGCTCGTGGAGATGATGACTTGGCAGGGACTGGGAGACATCATCAACCGATTCCGCGAAAATGCTTTGGACCTTGCTCCTCTCTCCCTAATCTGGGCCCCGGGACTCCTCAACAGACTCAAAATCTCATACACTTACTGTTGGTATGTAGATGTTAAACGACCCCTTGGTAATCTCTTCTAATGGAACGCCCATAGGTCACCCGCATTGATTCCAAAGCCAAATGATTGGGGCCCAAACATTGACGTTGCGGGCTTTTATTTCTTGAACCTTGCATCCTCGTTCACGCCAGAGCCTGATCTTGCTGCCTTCTTAGAGGCTGGCCCTCCGCCGGTGTATATCGGCTTTGGCTCCATTGTCGTGGATGATCCCAATGCCATGACAAGGCTGATCCTGGACGCTATTCACCTGGCTGGCGTACGAGCTCTAGTTTCCAAAGGCTGGGGAGGCCTAGGAATCGACGCAGTAGGAGTCCCTGACGGCGTATTCATGCTCGGCAATGTTCCCCACGACTGGCTCTTTGAAAGAGTATCTTGCGTTGTCCACCATGGCGGCGCTGGAACGACCGCGGCTGGCATCAAAGCCGGCAAACCTACTATTGTCGTTCCATTCTTTGGTGATCAGCCGTTTTGGGGAGCCATGATTGCAAGGGCCAAGGCTGGACCGCCCCCCATTCCTCAAAAGGCCTTGACGGCCGAGAAACTTGCCGAGGCGATAACATTCTGTCTCCAGCCGGATACTCAGGCGCAAGCCCAAGCACTTGGCTGCAAGATCCGAGAGGAGAAGGGTACAGAAGCTGGAAGCCGAAGCTTCCATAATCATCTCAATGTGGATTCTCTTCGCTGTTCCGTGGCTCCCAGTCGAGCTGCGGCCTGGCGTCTGAAAAGGACAAAAGTGCGACTCAGCCCGTTGGCTGCCGCTGTGCTCGTTCAACGACGTCTCATACAATATTCAGACTTGAAGCTGTAAGCCAATTTCACAACAACCAACTCTCAACGTGAAGCTGACTGGCTGTTAGATACCGTCCATACGAGTACAACACAGAGGATCAGCCTCCGGACCCAATCACCGCAGGTGCTTGCTCTTTAGTCACCGACATCAGCGACATAGGCATGGCGATTGTGGACATGCCATTGGATATACTCAAGAGCCCCAGAAAAGCTAGGGAAGCGATGGGGGATGCCGCCAGTCAAGCTAGCGGTGATGACAGCGACGCAGCATCGATACCTGGCTCGCTCAAAGGGCGCCCTGGTACTAAAACCCCAACAGCAGCCAGCGCTGCAGAGACCGTGGGTGATGCAAGCTCTGTAGCACCACTTGGCCATTCTCCCTCATTACCGGCTGAAATCGATAGGACCCGATCTCCTACCGCTGGTAGTGGAGGAGGAAGCCGCTCATCATCCCGTCGAAGGGCGCTTTCTGCCACAACTATGGAGGCTGCAGTTGGCACGAGCAGGAATGTTGGACGTATCGTGACAACGGGAGTCAAATCACCTATGAACTTCTGCCTTGGTCTCGCCAAAGGGTTCAGGAATATTCCCCGACTGTACAACGATGATACTGTTCGAACGGTCGAAAAGGTGACGGACTTCAACAGCGGCGTACGTGTTGCGAGTAAAGAGCTTGGCTACGGTCTTTACGATGGGATCTCAGGACTCGTCACGCAGCCGATGAGGGGAGCGCAGAAAGACGGTGCTGCCGGGCTGCTCAAGGGCTTTGGGAAGGGTGTCGGTGGGCTTATCGCCAAGCCCGCGGCAGGTGAGTTGACATCAATATCTACTCTTCTTTCCAATTTGCTAACCCTGCGTGTCAGGCTTCTGGGGCCTTCCCGCATACGTAATGCAAGGCGCGTATGCTGAGCTCAACAAGTTTCTGTCAAGGAGCGTGCAGAACTATATCATCACCTCGAGAGTTGTCCAAGGCGAGCGGGAACTGCAAATGGCATCGGAAGGAGAGAAGGCGGATATTGTCAATCGCTGGAAGCACGATGCTGAGCTGGGGGCCCTTTATCAAAGAAATGCAAAAGGCCAGGAACGAGGACATTCCCGGATCAGTTCTGGAGATGGATCGAGCTTTTGGCGTTCCCCTCTTTCAGAAGGACGGCGTCAACTCGGCGCTGCGCTGGGGGATTCAAAACAACAGCAACCAAGTCGGACCATGGAGCGCTCCTATTCTCCCGTTCGGAAATCCGCAGACACAGCGTCTGTTGCCGATACGGAATACGAGGCGGCCATCAGAGCTTCAGTCATGGAGACTTCTCGTGGCGATGTAGAGGAGGACGCCATGATTGAGGCGGCTATTCGCGAGAGCGTCAAAGCGATGCGACAGCAAGGCTCGCTGCCCGACCCTGTCGATTTGGCGGCAACTGTCAAGCATCATGACCTGTTTGAGGACGAGGACTACAAGATTACGGATGAGGAATACCAGAATCTCATCGAACAGGCTCTTCGCGAAAGCCTGGTTGGACACGCGGCCGATCCCAGCGTAGCCCAAGCATCCAGCAGCAACCAGGAGCTTGACGCTGGGAAATCCGCCCCGCCAGCTTATGAGGGTCACACACGTAGTAGTGGTTCGGCGTTTACTCCGATGAGCGACGAAGATGCTGACTTGCAGCGGGCCATTGAGGAATCACGAAGGCCGCCCCCTACCCTCCCGCCCCGTATCTCGCCATCTCAGCAGGTGGAGGATGATGAGGAAGAGGAACAGCTAAGGAGAGCCATTGAGGAGTCTAAAAATGAAATGGAGCGGGCCCAGAATAAGAGGACAGAGGAAGACATTGTTTTGGAATATGTCAAGAAGCAGAGCCTCGCCGAAGAGGAATATCGGAAACAGCATCTGGCCAAAGGAAAGGGGAAGGAAGTGGCGGATGCTGCCGACGACGACGACGAGGAAGAGTTGAGGAGGGCCATTGAGGAGAGCTTGAGGCTGAGCGGAGAGGGTAGTTCCGCGCCACCTGAAGCTTGAGGGAAACGAGCATTGATGGGAGTTGATATGTTGTCTTGAAAGATGTACAGATTACATGCTACCATCTCATATCATCCCTGAAGCATGTTCTTTGACGTGTGTCTCACTGACGAATAACGAACCCTGTGCTTATATAAAAGCAACTCTGAATTTGTAGTTCATATATGAATTAGCTTGCTTGAAATACTATTAGAAGCATTTAGAAACGCAACGAAATCGAATTGCTATTCAGGACACATATCCGCAGGGTATCATTCATCAACATTGCAACGCGTCAAACGCCACGAGGCCCATCCAACACTCTCCCACACACATTTAACGTGCGCATCCCACTCCGTAGTTCCAGCGACAAGTTTCGACCGAGGTATCCCAGCACGAAACGACGATTGGGCACCTGAACTGCCATCGCCTCGATGCAAAGGTCCATCAAGCGCCCAAGGAGGCCAAAACCCCCCCCACACCGCGAGTCTCTCTCATCAAGGTGACACCAGACCTGCATAAGACGTACGCATTTGCCATTGCATTGCATTGCATTGCCTCATGCCGTGCACGCAAGGGTGGTCATTAATTACCCTCCGACCCATTGAGACCAAATGAACAACTTCCTTTGTCGTATAATAGATAGATAGATAGATAGATTCTTATCCATATCTCGCCGGAGGCTGGCCCTGATACTGCTGTTGCTGTCCTCCCCATCCCGGATTCGCCGGCGGGGGATACGGCCCGGCACCGGGATTCCCGCCGTTGGCCATGGAGACGACGTCGGGTCTGTTTTTGAGGGGCTGCTTGAAGTTGCATATGTGGCAGACGACTTCGACGAAGCCTGATATGGTGAATGGTATGATGGGCTACATGTCATGAGCGTCACGAGTTAGTACCGTGTGTTTCACCCCCCCCCTCCGAGTTTCCTCTAAGAGAAGGAAAGGAAAATGTACGGGGCTTAGGTGTAATTTTTGATTTAAGATTGTTCTTTTTAGATAGGTGACAACTTACCACGAAGCAAAAGGTAAAGAATGGCCGGCTCTTGATGACGCGGGCGGACATGTTGCCGCAGTTGTGGCACTGGCAGATGACGCCCTCGTAGCCCTTGACTTCTGAGCGGAATGTGTATTCGCCGCAGACGAAGAAGAAGAAGACCATGGCTGCTGGGTAAATAAGACGCTTTTCTTTTTCTCCTTTTTCTTCTTTTATTTTCTTTTCTCTTATTTGCGATTTTTTCAAATGATGGACGGGGGTTATAGAAGCTGTTTGTGAGGAGAATGAAAGAGGGAGGAAAGAAACGAGGAAAGAATGAAAGATGGGTGGTGAGTGAGGCTGTGTAGGTAAAGTAGGTAGGTAAGTAAGTAGCTTTTGGAGGAAAAAGAAGCGGAGAGAATGAGTAGTACGTATGCGCCAAGCTTATTTGGCCGGATCTGCTGATTGAAATGGCCGGGTTTCTTTCTGTACCTAGCTTGGGGTTATGGCAAGGCACGATGGTGGCGATGATGTGCTGATTCCCCGTCTGCTCTTATTACCTAGGCTAAGGGTTCAAAGTCCATTTATATATCTTGTACGTATCCAGCTCTATCGCCAGTACTCTGAGTCAGATGCCAATTGAGTGATGCAGAGAGACTATTGGTGATTGTGAGTTAATACTCGAAATTCAAGAAGACTGAATGGATGACACGATAGAAGATTGATTAAGTCATCCTGGCGTCAAAGTCAAGCTTCTTCATCCCTTCCTCAAACCCTCCCAAAGCACAGGCGGGTGCTGACTCGATATGGCCTAGCGTCCTACATACTAGTATATGCACTTTGGTAGCGGTACCTGCGACCCCACCAATCGCCGCCGACAAACGCGCCCAATCCGATAAGCTACCTAGAATTTCCTGCGATTCCTTCAACACCAGAAGAAAAAAGTTTGGATATCTCAACTTCAACCCTCGTTTGCGCCTCGCCTCACCTCAGCCTCGAACAACGCTGCGCCCGAATCAATTGATCTACGAACCTCGAATTACAGCACCACCGCGACGACCAGGTCCTTCAACCATCATCATCACCTCCCAATTGCGGGAATGCCCAGCTAAGGCACACACACACACACACACACACACCATGGCCCTCTACGACCTCAACATCGCCTGGTCCCCCGCCACGCCCACCGACCGCCTCCTCCAGACCCTCACAACCGCGCACTCCCTCGGCTACACCACCGTCGCCCTCAACCACACCCTCGAGCTCCCCTTTCCCGCAAACCCCACAGCGCCCTTCCCATCCTTACCCTCCTCCTCCTCCTCAACATCAACATCAACATCCTCCTCCTCATCAACATCAACATCAACATCCCCAAAGCCCCTCCCCCACATCCTCCACCGCGCAACCCTCCCCCTCGCCGACCCCTCCGCCTCAAACTACCGCCTCCCCTCCCTCACCTCCGTATACGACATCCTCGCCATCCGGCCCCTCACCGAAAAGGCCTTCCAAAACGCCTGCCTCACCCTCGACATCCCCCTCATCTCCCTCGACATGGCCCAGCACTTCCCCTTCTACTTCCGCCCAAAGCCCTGCATGGCCGCCGTCGCCCGCGGCGTCCGCTTCGAGCTGTGCTACGCCCAGGCCCTCAGCCCAAACGACGCCCGCGCCCGCGCACACTTCATTTCGAATGCCACCAGCCTCATACGCGCCACCCGCGGCCGCGGCATCATCATCAGCAGCGAGGCGAAATCCGCGTTCGGGTTGCGCGCCCCCGCCGACGTCGTTAACCTCTTCAACGTCTGGGGCCTGCAGAGCGAAAAGGCAATGGAGGGCCTGCGCACGATACCCCGCAGCGTCGTCGTCAACGAGGGCCTCAAGAGGGACGGCTTCAGGGGCGTCATCAACATCGTCCAGGTGGCCAAGAAGCCCGCCGCCGTCGGGCGCGAGCAGACAGACGACCAGTCCTCGGCGGCGGAACAAGGCGGCAAGAGGAAGAACCAGAAGCGCAAGAATGGCGCCGAGGATGCCCAGCCTGTTAGCAAGCGGGGGGCTAAGAAGATGAAACTGGCGGCAAGGGCAGCGGCGTCTGAAAACAAGGCGTCATGACGCGTCATTGGTGTTTGCACGCCGAGCTTGTAACGCTGTGGACGTCTGCATTTACCCCAAAGGAAGCATTAGAGGAGCTACGAGGCATGATACCCCATATGAGAGAGAAGACGAGAGCGAGGCTGGGTTCACATACCATTTCCTTACAGTCTCGCCCGGAACAAGTCCGAATCCAATCTATTAGCCTTGTGCAAATATTCGTGTCTTTTCATTCCTAAGTATAGTGTGATGGCTACAAATGGTATCTCGATCTCTCTCTAAGTGGTCCAAACTTCCTAACCCCCTTGCTCCTTTACATCCATTACACCTCCTCTCCTTCGCCCCCTTACAACTTACGCAAATTTCCTCAACGTCTAGAAGAATCCTTACCCAATGACCAGGGTAGGTGCCGCAGCTGCAGACACCTTAGTCGGCGTGGCCGCTTGTATGCCGACCAAGGCACCCAAGTTCAATGCGCTGCTAAGCTGATATCCTTGAAGGTCGGGTGGCGGCGCGGAGAAAGCCACAGGCAGGGTGGGCGCTGCGGGAGGGATGAAGAAACCAGGCTGGCCGTCTGCCGAAGGAGCGCTGGGAGCAAGGTTCCCAAGTACGAGGCTGGTGGCGGGCTCGGATGGAGCAGCGGGCTCGGGCGCAGCAGTAGGGACTACTGGAGTTTCCGGAGGAGCTGTAGTTGCGGGAGGCGAAACCGTTGTCGGCGCTTCGGATGCGACGGCCGAGTCTGAAGAAGCTGCTGCTGAGGTGCTCGTGGCAGCGGTGGTTGACGCAGGCTTTGTGGTGGATTTGGGCGAAGTCGTCACCGTCGCAGAGGATGTCGTCGCGGCATCGGTAGTCGCAGAAGAGGTTGGTGCAGACGCAACGGTCGTAGAGCTCTGGGCTGTAGTCGAGCTTTCAGCAGTCGTAGAAACCTCAACAGACGTAGAAGTCTCGGCAGCCGTGGAAGTCTCGACGGCTGTAGAACTTTGAGCTGTGGTGGAGGTTTCCGCAGGGGGTGCAGCTGGTGGCGGAGACGAAGCACTCGTAACAGGGGCAGCCGTAGAGCTGGTCGCGGGAGGTTCGGTCGCAGAAAGAGTTGTCGATGCCGGAGTCGTCGTTGCTGGAGGCGGCGGGGGCGGAGGCGAAGTCGCACTTTCAGCTGGAGGAACGGTCTCGGTCGGAGGGACCTCCGAAACAGTGCTTGCTGGGGGAGGAGGCGGGGGAGGAGGGACAGTCTCGGCGGGAGGTGGCACTTCCGTGGTCGCTGGCGGAGGAGGAGGGGCGGCCGGGGGAGCTCCCGGAATCAGTGTCACGAACCCAGGAAAGGTCTGGACTGGGGGGGTTCCAACAATAGTCGTTGCTGGCGGAGGGGCTCCAGCGGGAGGAGCTCCAGGGATGAGGGTAATGAAGCCAGAAAAGATGGGAGGGAGGACCACGGGGTTCGCCGGCGGAGCAGGAGAAGCACCAGCAGGAGGGGCTCCGGGAATCAGGGTAACGAACTGAGGGAACGTCTGGGCCGGAGGGGCCTCAGGAACCGTGGTTGCCGGAGGAGGTGGAGGGACGACTGCCGGAGGGACAGTTGGCTCAGCAGCAATTGTCGATGGAGGCGCAACTGTTTGCGAAGAGGCAGTCGATTCCAGAGCAGAAGTTGTCGTCTCCTGGGCGGCAGACGTTTCCACAGGTACAGATGTTTCCGCGGGGGTGGTCGATTGCAGAGGAAGAGTGACAATAATCGGCCTTGGGGTCGTTTGCGTAGTGGCCGATGACTCTTGAGCGTCAATCGTCTCCGAGGGGGCGGAAGTTGCCTTTGAAACTATTGTCTGGGAAAGAATTGGCGCTGGCGAAGAGGCCGTGGAGAGTGTCGCCTCTGAAGAGGTATCAGAAGCAGAACTTGTTGTTGAGAGAAGAGGCTCTGTCATCAATGTCAGTCTCATATTCGCCATCTGTCGGGATTTCGATGAACGAGCGTCCATGACATACCCGGGGCGAGAGTTGTCGTCGGCAGCAAAGACGGAGCAGCTGAAGTAGTTCCGGCAACGGCGGTGATTACGGTATTGACGGCACCTCCCTTCTCGTCTCGCTCCTCTCCTCTGTGGCTAAACACCTGACCCAAACGATCCAACAAACCGTCACGTCGTGCTAAATTGCCATTGGCATCCCGGTTGAGAACAGCGCCCTGCCAGTTGTGAGTTTTCAAGCTCCATGTTTCGTCCAGCCTGCGGATAAGCTCATACCTGAACTGCAGAAGAGGCGAGCAGAGCGTAAAAAATTGCAGACCTCATCGTGAATGCTAAGAACCCGCTGGAAGAGAACCTTAGATGAACAATGAAAAAGAGAGATAAGAGAACAAATAAAACCACGAGGCTGTGTCCGCAACGTAGACAAGGAGGCGAAGAATAAACAAGTAAAGAAACAGAAGACGATTTTGTTTATCAGCCAGCTGGATATCGAAACGAAACAGTAACCGATGCCAAATCAATCTCAGTCGAGCAGCGAAAGCAAAAATTAAAGAGTGAACGGCAACGGTTGAGTAAAAGGCGGCGCCAGGCCCGTAATCCCGAATTGAGGGTAAAGAAAACGATCACCGACCAAATGGACGATGGGTGAAGAGAAGAACAGAACAACACGGGAGAGAGGTGAAGATGAAGCAGCCCAAGAGAAAGAAGCCTCGTGAAAAGGAAAGCAGCAGGGCCCCGTCCACCCAAGCACCTGGCTCCGGCAAGAACACAAGCGCCAGGCTGACGACTCCCCTTCATTTTCTTGGACTATGCTGCTATGCTCGAAACCCGACTCTGTCTGGAGCGTTGCCAAGACGCCATGGCTTCCAGGCCAATTCGGGGGCTCAAACGGCGGCGCGAGGCGAGGTTGAAGTCTAGACTGCGATACCTGGGCTGTCGGCGTATAACCCCGTAAAGAGAGGCTTCAGGCATCGTGCCGGGGCTAGACCTGGATCTGAGACATGGTTCAGACGCCTCCTGTATGAGACCTGGCTCGCGATGGTGGGGCGGGAGAAGGACTATGGCAGAAGCCGCTGAGCTAAATCGACGTCGGACATTTCTTGAGCTCGTCAATGGATGAGCCGCGTGTGACTGAAGACTGCCGTGTGCAGAAAGCTGGCGATTCTGGTGTCATGTAGATTGGGCGCGAAGCCGTATCGTGTTTTTTTTCGCAGCGGTTTTGCTGTGGGATTGATGCGATGCGATGCGATGGGAAGCGGAGGCAGAGCATGGCTTTGGGATGTGGGGGGGTTTGCCGATGGTGCTCAGATCTCCAACTTTAACCCTATGATTGAGTGTATGCTCATTCTTCGCATCGTCAGTGAGAAATCGGTCGAGTTTGTGGATTGCGTACTTGTACGGCAGGGGCAAAGAGCGACAACGGACATGGTGTGGGACGTCGTTTTCCAAATCTGGACCGGGTTCGTCAAGACGGCGTCGCCATGCATGAAGAAACAATCTCGAAACGAGATTGTCAAGGCGGAGGATGTGAGAGGAGATCGCAGGAAGCATCTTTGAAGGCGGCCAATCCTGTCGGATAAGAAGAAGAGTACTTCGGTGCCGAAAAGGGTTTTGTCTGATGCTCCTTCCCGAATATTTGAGTTCAAGTTGTTGGTCAAGTGCGACCAAGTGCCGTGCAGCAGGAGCAACAGACGGCTCCTACCAACTAACAACAACAGTGATGTTTGGGGTGATGCATGAACGGGCCGGAGCTTTGCATCCATGACTGCCTAACCCGATCAGGCAGACGGAATGCCTCATGGTTGTCTCTCACTCCAAGGCAAGGTCCACGTAAGACAAGGTATCAGAAAGACCATTCAGATTCAGTAGCTGATGACTGTTACTTACCGGGCAGTGGGCAAGTATAGTAGCAGGTGGTTTCTGTAGTAGACGCGACTACATCTCATTGCTTGCTTTGTCACGACATTGACCAGCTTTCCGTCTTAGTCCTTGCCCAAGTTCTTGGCCATCTCGCACTCAACTTCGGATAGACGGCAGATGCAGTAATAAGTTATTACAATGAATGAGGTAGGTGACTCAAAAACGCCCTTGGTATATATATCGTGTATGTGTATATGTCTCCTATGCGTATACTCAACCAGGTCCCAACAAACCCGACACTTCAATCGAATTGTAAAAGAAAAAAGCTCTGAAAAGCGAATCAACACCAGTAAACATCACAGTCATCAGCATATTGTGCTCCAGTTCTCACCAATCAATAAGAACCCCATCCATCTCCTCTTCCCAAACAAATAAACGCAATAGTAGAACGCCTTGCTCACTCAATCCAAGAGCTCCTGAGTCCCACTATACTCAACACTGCTCGACCTCTCCGAATGCGCCTCGGAGCCCTCTGGGATGGGCACCATGGCGCTCTTCGTCCAGATATGAATCGCCTTTGTCCAGTCGAGGCCCTCTATGCAGCCGCCCTTGACGGAGAGTACGTTTTTCGACTTTGCCACCGCAAGAGTTTGGACATTTCGCGTCAGCCTTTTGGTGGCAAATGTGTGAAGCTATGGAAGAGTAAAATGATGGTGCTGTGGGATAAGGATCAAAAAACATAGATACATACCGGCGTCATGTGGATGAGTCGTGTTCCGCAGTTGCGGCAGAAATAGCTACACACAAGCACCCATTAGTCAAGACTTGCCAGATGTCGTGAAATCTCGCCTTTGCATCGTACCAGTAGAGTGTTTCCCCTGACGCCGTCGGCCGCCTGTTATATTCAGTCGAGTAGATAGATATCAGCATCAAATTCGGGCCCTGACTATACCCCCTCCACTTCTCCCAAAAGAAACATCACCACAATTCGCCGTATATGAATGAAGGATTAGGCCAAGCATACGCATAGCAGTTGAGGAAATCCGTCTCAGGGAGCTTAAAGTGCGGGAAAATGGCCGAGGCACCAAATGCCGAACCCGTCTGTCTCCTGCACTCGGAGCAGTGGCATATATACAGCGCCAGGGGCTCGGGCAGCGGCGTCTTGAACGAGACGGAACCGCATTGACATCTGGCGTTCATGGTAAAGGAGAGAAAAAAGTAGACGATGAGAAATGAGAGAAGAAGAAAAAAAAAATCTAAAAAAGGAAAAGAGAGGTGCGTGTGCGTTGTTGGTTTCCGGCGTGAGTGGATGATGTTTGATAGATTCAAGCCGTGATGAATGGAGGTGTGTTTTCAGCCCGGTTTCGCAAGCTATCAATTCAAAACCCAACTAGGATGGCAGACTGTGACATGTATTCCGTGTCTGAATTCATATACGAGATAAATATAAAGAAGACACGGCATCAAATAGTCATGAAATGGATTCGAGTCCCTGAGATGTAGGTGTAAAAGTCACGGCAAGACGTCAGCGAGGTCGGATCTCCCAAACCACCCGTTTTGCATGTGCCTAGGCGCATCTGCTAGGCTACAGGATACAGCACCCGTCCTACCTACTTAGTTCCTATCACAAGGTGGTAATCATTTGTCCTCCCTCGATCGACGTCAGTCTCCCCCGATATCGACGTCCATTCCCTCAGGTACAGCTCCTTCAATCGTCGAGGCAGAAAAGAAGAATAGCCCCGTTCCATTGCGCCGAAGAGTCACGACGACGAACAGCCACTATATTCGCCGGTCTTCGCACCTGCAAAGACACGCATCCCCCATGCCATGGGGCCACAGCAAGCCAACAGCCCAAAACAGAAGGCAGCTTTCAGGCAGGATTGTCTACTAGATTAAAAATTCCCCGAGATTTGTTTGGCTCGCTCATCGCCTTTTGCTTCCCTCTCCGGCCGGGACTAGATACCTAGAACGACAAGCTGACAACAAGGGGGCCCGCAACCGCATCTCGGCAGATGCGATTCCGCCTAGAATCGCCCGTCTGCGCTCATGATACCCGTCACTCTGAGTGCATCTGTTCTTCCTCTGCTCATCCTTCCTGTGTCATCTGCTCTTCTCAAATCCTCTGTCTGCACACATGAAGTCAAGCAAAGGCGAGTGACTCATCCCGTGCACTCGAGCGTGAACAAGAGGTCGATAGTGACCATAGAGCATCTCCACCAAGCTAAGCCGGGGCAGATCGCACTCAATACTCTGGATCTTGATTACTAGCTTCTCGTCCTGGCTTGCCTGTTCTCATACCACGTACAGTACATAGAAGCACGGATTGGCCTGGCCGAGTCTTTCTAACATCACAAGATAAGGCTGCTTAGTATTACATACCTACTTTATGCATGTATCGACCAATCTAGACGTCTGTCTTTGAAGCAACCTCCCATCTGTCTGGCTACCGTCCACTTACATACAACATTATAAGCGGCTACCCACGGCAAGCAATGGCTTCAATCGCAACCCCAAACCAGAACACACTTCATTCGGTCCTAACAATCCCCGTTCACCAAGCGTCAGTCAAAAGAAAGCATCCAAAGCTTGCACTCCGATAACCGGTCCGCTCACCTCTCCGCTCCGAAATGCATCTACACTCGTGATTGCCGTTGGCAGTATACATAAGGTACATAGGTAGCTGCCTTGTGTACCTCATATGGTGTGTTACCTAGGTATGCTCAAGATGCAATGTTACGTGTCACCCGAATATGCGTATTTACATACATACAGCCTTCCCGTCCAACGGAACCAACCCCAGAGTTCGCTCAACCCTCGCCGGTCCGAATCGAGATGAAGTGCCCGATGCTTATGTAGCTTTTATACACTCCAGCTCTGTCTATGGAGCAACGTCTTGAATTATGTGGATCAACGGCTCGACTAGAAGCAAATTGTCAAGCTAGTAGTGTCGTATGGAACAATAGCTGCCGAGGCCGACTTTGCAAGCTTCCCTAAGCTCCCGAAGCCGAAGCCGAGCTCGTTCTACGAGTACAGCTTCACGCCGAAAGGAACACATCTCGGATCCTTGTATATGAGAAAATATAGTCCATTGACGTTGCAATTCATATCATGACATGTCTGTTTGTTGTTGTAGAGACTTTGATGAAAGCCCCAAAACCATGATCCATAACCCGACACAACGCCCAACACCCCTCAGAACATGTATTTCAAAGAAAAAACAAGCTCACAAGATCCTGCCCATGGCCGCAACCACCGCGTTGGACCCCTTCTCCCTCAAGGCGTCCTGAACAGCCGCGCACCACGCAATCTTGTCCTCGGTGCTCCACGAGTTCTTGATAATCTCAATCTCCAGCCGCTCCAGGTTCTCCATCTCCGCCAGCCGCCCGCCCTCCACCCACCGCCTCGCACCGCCAGCCTCCTCCAGCCCGTCGACAAACTCGTCGTCGTCCTTTTGGTCGTCGGTGCTCCTCCGGCCGATCTGGCCCACGACTTTCACCCGAAGGCCCCGGAGCCCGCGGGTCCACGACGCCGCGCGTCCCGGGCTGCACAGGTCCGCCCACTTGCTCAGCGCCGCCTTGCGTGCCAGATCCTCGGCCATAATCTCCAGCCTCGCGTACCGCATCGCCAGCCGCTGCCACGGCCGCTGTGACTTGGTCACGGCGGACGCTGCGTTGAGGCCCGACGAGAACCAGTTCAGAAAGACAAACTCGTTTTCGGCAAACGGCACCTCGCGGGCCTCAAAGTAGATCTGCCGACAGGTGCGGAGCAAGTTTGTGGGAATGCCCGCCAGCGGTCGCTCCGAGCTGAGCAGGCCGGGGGTGTTTCTGTTGAGCTCCCGCATCCGCTCCTTTGTCCGCTCCTTGACCAGCTTCTTCCTCTCCTGCTCCGCCTTCATCTTCTCCCACTTCCCCTGGCTCGCCTGGCTGCCCTCGGAGCCCTCCATGACCGGGCCGGATTCATCTGGCTTTGCGAGCTCGATGACGGCCTCCTCAGCCTCTATTTCCTCTTCAATCTTCTTCTCAAGATCAGGGTCGAGAGGGTGCAGCACGTAACGGCACAGCATTGGGATGGGGTATCCCGCTGCCAGCTCCTTGGGCTGGATGGGACTCATCCTGTAAGCCCAGTAGTAGATCCTCAGCCGTATCTCTACCGGGAGAGACAGCAGCCGCGAGTTCTGTGGCTGAGTCGCGCCATTCGAGTCCTTTTCCTCGATATCGCCATGCGGCTTGATGTCTCTCCCGTCCGTCGCCGCCCCCTCATTCTCCTCGTCTTCGTCAACTCCAGGCCCGAATCGTTTGTAGTAGCAGACAGCAGGCGGGTACCAGAACATGAATGGGCAGTATTCATACTCAGCCCCTGCCATGACTAGATGAATTGCGTGAGTATCCTGTACATTGATATCCATGTTGAAGTATTTCGTGGAACAGCTTGAAGAGGATGAACAGTAGAAAGGAGGGAAGAGCATGCATGCAGTTGGGGTTTAAGTATCTTGTCATCATTCTTTTTGACTTTTGCATCTTGCCTTTTTTTTCTTATGCCTTTTTTAGAAATCTTCTACTTCTCATCCTTCGTTTCCCCCCTTCGGCAGCGACATAGAACCTCGGCCTCACGTAAAGCCTGTTCTCACCCCGTGGATATCGCGGAACAAAGGCAACGAGACAAGGGGAAACACGTAAAAGCACATACCGATATGTGTTATGCAGCACGGCAGCATTGTGAGCACTAAATGGATGGTCAGCTGGCTCGTCTTATATCGTCTCACTAGCTGGAGTCGTGGCGGCTTACTGCTGGGCCGGTTCGCAGCGATGTGCGAAGTGACTGGCTTGGAAACGTTAAACAGGTCGGCCTCTGCCGCCGCTCTAAGCAATGAGCTCATGGTCAAAGGTGCAGGAAATGAGGAGTGAGGAGAGCACTAGATGATCGGTTTGCCATCCGGTCGGATCTGGGAAGAGGGGAGCCTATAAAGAGCGAGCGTGCTCTGCGGGGAAACGTCACGATTACATATCCGAGGCATATGAACCCTTTGATGCCAGCGTTGCATCCGAGGCCATTTCCGATCCTGGACATTCATTTTGTGAACCGTTGATGCATCCAGTCTATAATATTCCAAGCCCGCGAGCTGATGGAGCTTGGCCAGAATATCTACCGGTCTGTCGGGTAAGGAAATAAGTCAAAAGCCACAGGGGACCGCTGGCTTAACACGAGCATACAGAGATCCAATAAGATTCAGAGAGGCGAGAGATTTTAGCGCTGAAATGTGTGCATATTTGCTCTTCCCCGTGTGCTCGTTTTCTCCCAACCCCGGTTGTTTTGCCTTACCGGCCAGCTGCTTGCTTATCTCTTTCCGTCGAGTAGTTTTGGGGACCCTGCAACGTCATTTGAGATAGCCCTTGGCTGAAATTTGATTCGCTGGGCAGACTGCTTTTCACATTGATTCGTGTTCAAGGGTTGGCCCTCATCACCACCGTCTCATAGGCTCGTCATACCTCGTAGCTGCATCCTGCAAGCTTCGGCGAAGCCATCCAAGGCCGAAGTAGATCAGGGGTATGTCGCTAGTCCAGAACGTGGTGCTCTCGGGCGTTGGGTTCGTGGCTACACAGTAGTTCTCGTGACCCTTGTAGTAGTAGTAAAAGGAGTCGCCTCGAACAAGTATGATATCCGATAGGAGAGAAAGAAGGGGAGAGGGGAAGATGGAGGGGAATGATGGAAGCTGACAAATGTACTCGGAGGTTTTCGTCGTCGTCGTTTCCACCAAGAGCCGCGAGACGCTCTATAACCCTCCTATTCAACGACAGGAAGTTCGGCATTGTTTGACCATGCCCCCCGGCGTTTTATGAAAATCCGCGGAGAAAATCGTTGAATTCGTCTTCCTAGGACGATCCGGATCCTGGTGGTATATTGACTCCATCAAACCCCCTTTTGACTCCGTACTTGTTTTCGTACTCGATGTTCCGCGGAAGCTCGAAGTCGCCCCTTGCCGCAAACCACAACAGCGTCTCTGGCTCCGGACCCCTACCCACCAGCGTCGATTTTGCCGGGTCGCCATCATTGGCCTCACCCATGTCTTCGTTTTCATCGTCGCCATCTTCGTCCTCGTCCTCATCATCTTCCTCGTCGCTGTCTTCGTCAAGACCCTTCCTCAGACCTGTGCGCACTTTGTCGATGCCCATCTCCCTTTCCGCTTTCGTGTAGACGTCTTCGGCCTCCTCTTTGACATATGTGGCAATCCTCGATTGTGTCCATAACCTCAATTCGTCCCATATGTTCTGCAGCTCGGCAATGCCCTCGGGCGTAACGAGGCGTGCCGTCTCGCGACCCTGTGCCACAAGCTCCTCCACGTCTGGTTCCAGCTTCTTGCGCAGGAGTTGCGTCAGAACGTTTTCTTGTGTCCGTCCGGGATAGTTCGTCGAGGGATGCACGGCAATCCGCGAGAAGAGCTCTGAGTTTTCGCTCAAGTTATCCAAAACGGTCTGGAGGTTGCGCTGGAGGATCTGGGCCGAGGCTTGTAACGAGGAGCTGCGGAAGGGTTCAGCGCGTCAGAATCGCCAGATATTACGCAGCGAGGGGGGCTAAACATACGGATGGGGCAGCGGGTTGCTCTTGAGAATGTCCATCTTGAGGCTCTGTATGCTGCTCGAGAGCTGCGCCAGCCGAGCCAGCGTCTGCTCAACCGACTTGAGCTCGTCGTCGTCCAAGCCCAGCGCGGCCATGGCTGCAGCTTGTTGCAGATGTAGCTGATTTCCCGTAGATGCTGGTCTGCGTTTGAGCGTCGGAGGAGGTGCAAAGGCGGTAGTGAAGAGCTTGTAGGCGACGAGGGAGAAGAGCAGCACAGGTCTGTCTTTGGAGAGTGAATTGAAGTCGAGGTTGAGGTTGAATTTGTTTGAGTGAATGCGATGACTTTAGCTCAAGGCGAAAGTCGCCGACAGCTGCATCCGAGTCGTGGGGCAGGCGCTAGCGAATGCTTCTTTCCGTGGCTGGTGGTCGTTCCTGCCGATGAAAGCGTGAAGTGGGGCAATTATACTGATCGCAGAACTGCTGCTCTCCTGGTGAAAGCTTCACATAACATGATAACTCTAGGCTTGAATTAGATACTACCTTGAATATCATTTCTTCTCCCACGTTATCCTTGTGATGTTTTTCTCTTATTTTTTATTGAGTCACTCTACTCGGTAAACAAATATGATACATATGCCTGCTACACCATACACCGAATCACGCCCTCTCAAGATAATAACCAGATGCCGCTATAGATATACTCCGTGAATGAAACCCCATGATGCTAAGAAGGAGATGGAATAAAAAAAAAAAACAAGAAAGAATCGAGTGTCTGGCGACCAGAGTTACCCTCGGGTCGCATTGATCGTCTTGGAAATCTCGTACCCCTGCGCATCGACAAAGGGATATCTCGCACGCCTCTCCAAGTCGTCCAGCGGAATGTTTGAGCGGATATACCTGAACGACCATGATTAGCAAAACATGTCCTTTAAAAAGAGAAGGAAACCAAACAAAAGAAGAAGAAGAAAGGAGCAATGTGAAAGAGTTTTGAAACAGAAAAAAAAAAAAAAAAAAAAAAAAAAAAAAAAAAAAAAAAAACTCACTTTAGCCTGCCATCATCCTCCGGGTTATGGTCCCAGCTGGTAAAGGTCCCCTTGCTCAACGCATCCCACACCAAGCGTCTGCTCCGTTGCGACTGCAGCACCTTTTCCGTAATGGCATCAAAGTCCCACTTGGCCTTGGCCTCGGCCTCAAAGCCCTCAAACACAGCCTTGGCCTCTCTCTCAAACTCCGTCTGAGGCGGCTCAGCCTTGGCGACGCGCGCGAGGTTGTCCAGCTCCAGGGGATCCTTGTCGAGGTTGAACAGCTGCGGCTCGTCGGCCGGACAGGTAATGTACTTCCAGGCGCCTCTCCGAATCATCATCATCGGCCGGACGGTGCCCTCTCCCGTGTACTCGGCAAAGACGGTATCGCCTCCCTCGCGGCCCAGCAGGTGCGGCAGCATGCTCACGCCATCCATGGGCAGGTACGGCGCGGGCTTGGTGCCGATGAGGTCGCAGATGGTGGGCAGCAGGTCCAGGGTCGAGACGTTGTGCTTGACGCGGCGAGGCGCGAACCACTTGGGGTAGTGAACCAGCATGGGGACGCGCGCGGAGGACTCAAAGTAGCTCATCTTGTACCACAGGCCGCGCTCGCCCAGCATGTCGCCGTGGTCGCCGCTGAAGATGACAATGGTGTTGTCCATCAGCCCGGCGTCCTCGAGCGTCTCGAGCAGCTTGCCGATGCAGTCGTCGACGTAGCTCACGGAGCCGTAGTACGCCCTCTTGGCCCTCTTGATCTGCTCGTCGCTGAAGTCGAGATCCCACAGGTCGCACACCTTGAGCAGCCGCTTGCTGTGGGAGTCCTGCTTCTCCTTGGCGATGCGGACCTTGGGCAGCGCAATGTCCACGTCCTCGTACAGGTTCCAGTACTTCTTGGTGATGGTGTACGGGTCGTGCGGGTGGGTGAGAGATACGGTCAAGGCAAAGGGGCGCTTGTCCGGTCCTTCGCGGACGTGGTCCCAGAGATACTGAGTGCTCTTGTACATGACCTCCTCGTCATAGTCCAGCTGGTTGCTTCGCCCACAGGGGCCGGCCTGGAGGATCGAGCTGGCGTTGTGGTACCACTCGAGACGCGTGTCCGGCTCGTCCCAGTTCACGACCCAGCCAAAGTCGCCCGGGTAGATGTCGCTGGTGAGGCGCTGCTCGTAGCCGTGCAGCTGGTCGCCCACAAAGTGCATCTTGCCCGCCAGAGCGGTGTGGTAGCCCTTGGAGCGCAGATAGTGCGCATACGTCGGGACCTCGGAGTTGATCTGAGACGCGTTGTCGTAGGAGCCAATCTTCATGGGCAAGAGGCCGGAGATCATGCTCATTCTCGAGGGCGCGCAGAGCGGTGAGGGGCAGTATGCCGAGTCGAACTGAACGGATGAAGCCGCCAGACGATCCAGGTTGGGCGTCTTGATCTGAGAGTCGGGGTTGTACATTTTGAGCTGGGGAGCCGCCAGCTGGTCGGCCATGATATAGAGGATGTTGGGCTTCTGCTCCGGGTTGAAGGCGGAGGAGGGGGGAGCCTCTGAGCGAGGGAGAGTGTTGAGATCCGGAGCCATGGCGGCGAAGTCGATGGACGAGTTGGGATTGTCTTTTGAAATGAAGGTGTTTTCAAGGATATGAGATTGATGATACGTCTGTAATCTGAGCCTGTCCGTGTTTCTCAATGACCCGAGCCTCTGGTGTGGGAAGAGACGGAGGACACGATAATGGGTAGATGTAGGTGTAGGTGTAGGTGTAGATGTAGGTGTGCTACAACGTGTCTCTTATCAACAGTCAAAGGCCACAGGGTATTATGAAAGGAGCTTTCTTGAGAGTCAGACACGCCACGTAATGATCATGAGAAAAGAAATCGAGGGCTTAAGAATAGAGAAATAGTTCACAAGATGAGAAAAGAGGTTTCTGTTCCGTCTAGACCAAAGTCCCGTGCCAACACGCCCATCCAGCCATTCTTATAATCATCCCCCCAACCAATTTCCATGTGGAGAATAAATACTAGTATAGTACATAGTAGGCGCGACGAAAACGAAAACCCCCCGACTTCCGAGTCGTACTACATCACGCGAGCACGCAAGAGGGAGCAGCATAATGCAAATGCGCAGTACGAGTAATAGCCACCTACATTAGCCTCTCTGCGTGCATTGTTACATGTTTCGTTCTTCTCATAGTCGTTCTCTCTTCTTGCCGACACTGTATGGCGTCCCCTTCACTTTGGTGCATAAATCCGGCTCTCTTGTTCTCGAACAACGTCTTCTAGTCTGGTGTCAGATAATGGGGGACCGCGATCTCAATTAGCCCGCTAACAAACACAGGCAACAGACTTTCTGATTCCGCCCATTCTCTCTGGGGGATTTGCCCGTCGTGTCTTAGACTACGCTTTGTGAGAAGCGAAAAAGTGGCTTTTCAGGCTTCTGACAAGACAAAATAAGTGCGTCGTCCAAAGAAAGCACATCATACCTACTAATACCTTATGCTGTGCCACACCTCATCCATCGTCAACTTCCTTAATGAATCTCCGTCGGAGAGCACATCTTTGTAGCCTCACACGATATGAATCAAACCTAAGCGACGACCCGACACACACTCCCAACACACACAAACAACATGTCGTAAGCCCTGGTTTCTTATCAAATCCTCACTCCCTTTTTTCTTTTCACCGATCGATTTGGTCTGATCACATGCACATCCGAGCTCAATTTCTCTCTCTCCCCCCCTGCGCAAGCGCCAGAAAAGCTCCCAATTCCTTCCTTTCTCTTCCACTCTTATTCCCTAGCTTCACTCTTTATCCAGCCATGGACCCTTAAACTACCCGATTCGGCATCGGCCATTTGCTCCCCCCCAAGTTTCCCCACGGTTTTTTATCTTCCTCTTTGAATTCCGTGTCTTCCAGAGCTAGACAAGCACGAACAAGCTAGAGTAAGGTAGCTCACACAAAGACTGCCCCCGATTGCGTGATCCAGACCTCCGTAGGCGTGCGAAGCGTTTGCATCACCACAAGATTCCATACAAGTACGACAGGCAGCACTGTATGGAAAACTGTATAGACACTTCTGCTTTGCTGCATGTGGGGTGAGAAATATTCACGTCGTAATAATACTCTGCTTGCTTGGCAAAGGAGGAGGAGCAGCATCAACAACGACACAACAGAGCTCCGTAGGACATTGTGGCGATCAAGCTCAGCTGACAGAAAACCCTTGCCTCTGCCTATCCCCCTATTCTTCCTCCACATACATACATACATAGTATCAGCCTTCCATCGAACACAAAGACGCATCATCCGAACAATGTCCATCCAAATAAACTCCTATTACCGGGTTACTACTCACTTGCAGTTAGTGCTAGCATGAAATGATCGTCACCCCCTTCCATCTTGTCGATCAGAAAGGATGACGGCTGAGGGGCGTTGTTTTCGCAACATTCAGTATCACAACAGGTCAGCTAATGACGACGAACCTACATTCTTATGCTTCTTGTAGACCGCCTCTCAGAGGGACAGTTTGTCTCTAGGTTGGGTAGCATACCTAACGGTAGATGGAAAGATCTGCAAGACTATTAGTATTCAATATTACCAGTATTCATCATGTCCGAGTGCAACGAATACATACGCATCCTCCGACCCAAGCATCACCACATGTCAGCTCACGATGCACTTCACATTGATCCAAACACTACCTAACCACACGAGCCTCAAACCTCCAAAGTCAACTCACACACCATTCAATTCGCCTGACCTCACTTAAACTATAACCTCTATACAAAAGGCAAGGTATCAACATGCATTTTACCATTGATAGTAGCCCAAGTACATGATGTAATTACTCGTCTCTTATATTCAAACCCCAAGCTCATCCCCCCCTTTCCACGACCACTCCCGCATTTCCATTCCCTATTCTTATGAACCGCCACCGTCAGAAACAACAAAGTGCAAATGCAGAAGAGTATCCTGCAGTCAGAAGAAATCTACCATATGTAACCGATGACAATGGCCATGACGATGATGATGATGATGATACCCTCACCCTTGTCAGCCCGCCCGACGATTTTCACAATTTGGACTCTGGCACCCCCTTTTCCCCTCCCTCCTCTGTACATCACCTCCCATCCTCGTCAAGAGTTCCTCCATGTCCATATGAGCATATTCAGCCATGTATAGAAAGTTTCTTCGAAAATCTGAAAATCCCAATCCGCCCCGGCCAACCACCCCCCCTTAGAGAATGAAAGAATGCCAAACTCCGTCAAACACCGTGCATGGTCAGTTCGCCTCGCTCCATGTTCCGTGAAGAAGAAAAATTACTGCATCATCAAGCGACGTCAACGGCTCCTGTCCGCTTACTCGCCCCCCCTCCCCATCGGCTCAGGCTGCTGTCCCATCACTGCGTCCGGTAAAACTTCCTGTAGATGAGATGCAGCAGCAGGTTCACGTTGAGCTTGAGGTTGCCCTCGAACAGCGTCATGAACTGATGAGCCTCGAACTGGGCCTGGAGCATGTCCTCAATGGGCACTTGGGCCGTCGCTCCAGGAATCTGAATGTGGCTTCGCGTGCCCTCAATGGTAAACACGCCCACCTGGTCGCACGAGATTGTCAAGTCAATCTTGTCCCATTCGCGGTCAGACGTGCCGGTCCACGACACCAAAACGCCCTTTTCTGACAGTGCTCGCGCGCTATACTTGTAGCTTCCAAACTTGGGCACCCGGCCGCTGCGTTCAAGCTCCCGTTGATGGTTGTACTGCTTGGTAAAGGGCATCAGGAACCGTTTTCGCCTATCATCACTGTTAGCTACCATGGCCGTGATTCTCAACACGTCTGAGACATCCTTACCCCTTCTTGTTCTGGAGCGTCTTCATGGCCTGCTCAATGTAGTCGTCGTAGCTCTTGCGTTGCTGCTCAAGGTACTTGGCCTTCTCGTTCAGGTTGGCAAGCGTCAGCCGCACGCCGTCCAGCTCTCGTTGTCTCTGGACACGCCTGCGGCTCTGGGTCCGGATATCGCTAGCAATGGCGTTGAGCACGTCTTGGTACTGGTTCTGCTTGGTGATCCTTCCCATCTGCTCCAGCTGCATAATGTTCTCCAGAGCCGTTCGCTTAAGGTCGTAGTAGGACATGGAGGTGATGTCAGCCATCTTAGCGTCTGAATACGCCCCTCGGGAGTTGCTGCCTGCCGCAAATTCCTCGCGGAGAAGCGCCTCCCACTTGTCCTCATCCTCGGGGGTGATTGGCTTGACGAGGATCTCCAAAAGGTTGGCCCCCGTTTGCACCCTGATGATGTACAAAACGCACCGCTTCGTCTCCATGAACAAAGCCTTGATATCCGCCTCGGGATCCTCGAGGTCGTGCAGCCTGGGAGTCAGAAACATCTGAATATCCGCCGCTCCGGCTGCACTCATCTCGTTCTCGTTGCTCTTGGCGCTGCCCAGATCCTGCATGATTTCTCGCAGAACGTCGTCTCGGGTTGGAGCCATGACCATGAGCTCGGCTGCCACGAGATTGTGAATGGCAAACACATCCGACATCTTGACGTACAAGGTGGGCTTGTTCTTCGCATACAGATCGTTGAATTCGTCAATGTCAAACGTCCTCTCGGCATCTGGCACGGTGATGAGGTCGCTGGTGATCTGCTGCAGGCGCTCGATGGACTCGCCGATGAAGGCATTCAGGGGCTGCAGGTAGATGTTTTCGCCGCCAAACGGCCGGCCCAGCGCAATCTGGCCGACCACCTTGGCGACCTCGCCGAGGTTTCGCTTCTGGAGGGGGCTGAGCGACTTGTCAATGACGCCCATGTTTTCGGGCATGGTGACGGCTGGCTGCAGGTAAAACTTCCACAGCCAGTGGGACACCATCTGCATGAGGTTCTCTTGGGGCTCGCGAGTGAAGTGCTGGCGCAGCGCCTGGAACATCTCGCTGCAGACGAACCGGAGGCCGTAGGGCATTTTATGCACCTGCTCCTCCAAGGCCAGGAACAACTGGTCGCAAATCTCTCGCAAGTCGCGCAGATGGTCGATGAAGAGGCGTCGCGTCTCAGGATCGCGGATGGCAACCTCACGAGGCACATCCAGAGGTCGATGATCCGGCCTTCCTGTCCGCAGCTCCTCGTTGTTGATGGCGGATCTGTAGATCTGCATCGGGTCACTCTCCAGGTCAAGCGCCGGGTCCTCGATGATGTTGTCGCGGATCAAGGGCCCCAATAGGGATCGGAGATACTTGCGATCCCGTGGAGACCGCGTATAGTTGGCAAGCAGCTTGGCCCAAAAGTAGTGGCCTCGGGAATACTCCAAGGCGCTCGTGGTGCTCTCGACCTCTTCCCGTATCGACCGGGCAATCAGCTTCAGGAGGTAGTACTCCTCTCGCCGCTTCTGGGCATAGCCAAACAGGCTCATCATAAGAAGCTCGATGCGCCGGCTCTCCTTTTCGGCCGTCGCCTGCACACGGATGTGCTTGAACAAGCGGGCGAGATAATGCGGCTGCGTCTGGAGCGCAAAGAAGAGCTGCTGGTAAGACTCCAACTTTTTCCTGGAGCTCTTGTTGAGTGCCTTGAGGTCAAACTGGTTCGTGGATGCCATCGTAGAGTTGGCCAGTAGACCCATCGACGTCCCGCCAAAAGTGTGCTGATGCCTGACGACTTCATCAAGCGTAATCTTGTTCTTGACGAGGAGAGCAATCTTGATATCCAGCTGATCAATGTACTGCTCAAGCATTTCGTTTTGCCGCACGTGCTGGACCACCGTCTTCCGCATCCGCTCAAACTCGACTTCCTCGTTGAAGTCAAAGTCGCTGTCATTAAGCAGGTGCACAAAGTTCTTGACGGCGCTGACGGGCGGGTTTTTGCCCGTGGTAAGGCTCTTGTATGCCTCGCCCTGCACCTTGGCACGTACGAAGCTCTGGATCTTGATCACCTTCTTCATGTTCTCCTCGTAGAACCGCTTCTTCTCTTCGAACCGAAGCCTAATCAGGTAAGCCTTGGCAGCTGCTTGGAAAATGACAATAGAGTCTTCCTCCTCGAGAAGCTCGGTGAGCAAGTCATCAATCCTCGCGCGCTCCATCATGGCCTTGAGGATGGCTTGGAACTCGGCAGTCGCCGCATCGTGAGATGCCAGCTCCTCACACAAGGCGGAGTGATACCGCCGGTACAAGAAGCCTCGAATCTGGGCTTGCAACTCGACGACTGCGGGTTCCTCTCGGTCGAGTTCGTCCAGGATTGCCGCCACTCTGCGCCTCTCAAACATGGCCCTAATGAGTGCTTGTAGTTCAATAATAGCAGGTTCGTCCTCCTTTAAGCCGTCGAGAAGAGTTGAAACCTCTCTCCTGACGGCAGCTGCTCGCATGGCAGCTTGGAGCTGTCCAACCATGGGCACATGCTCGGCCAGTTCGGCCTTGAGAACCTCCTGCTCCTTTCGAGCGGCACGACCACGAATCGCACTCTGAAGGGAGGTCCATGTATCGGTGAAAGAATTGAGATCCTGTTGTTGCTGTTCAATTTTCGCTCGCAACAGCGTAGCCCTGACAGCAGCTTGGAGGCTGGCAACCATCGGCGTATGCTCCTCGAGCTGGCGCAACTCTTTGCTGACTTGATACCGCAGCAACATTCCTCTGGCGAGTGCCTGGAGATCCTCCACCTTGCCATTTGTCTTGTCGAGTTGGTGCAGTTCCTTGCTGACTTTGTTGCGCATCAGCATTCCTCTGGCGAGAGCCTGGAGAGTCTGCACTTCATGCGTCGCCTGCTTTGTCTCCTGTTGCTGGATGGTTTGAGCTTTGCGCAGCAAGAAGCCCTTGGACATTGCTTGAATTGCCCTGATTGGGCCTTCGCAACGAGCCATGACATTCTTGAGGCCCTGCATCTCGTTTCGAACCTTCTGAGCACGAAGCATACTCTGGAAGGCTAAGATGGCAGGCTCGGCAGCTTTCCTGTCTTGGTCACTCTTCTTGAGTCCTCTCCGAACAAGGAATCCGCGGACAAGGCTCTGGACGAGTATGGTCGCTTTCCTCATCTGCATTCGGTAGTCTGCGATCTGGCGGGCAAAGTTGCCCCGTATTCTGGCCTGTAAGTCAATCAACCACGCCTCCTCATCCCAAAAGCCTTGCATCATCTCTCCCAGCTTCAACCGGAGCAGCGCGCCACGAAGCTGGGCCTGGAAGTCGATAATCATAGCCTCGTTCTCTGCCAGTTCGCGGTCGATCCTCTCCTCTTCAGTCTCCTCAGGCTCGGGTTCGGGCTCGGGCTCCGGAACGCCAAAGTCAGCCCCCATGTTGCCAAAGCTGGGCATGTTGACGCCCAGCATGTCCAACCCCTTTTGCATGGCCTCCAGTTCATGATGTTCGAATTCCAGCTGACCAATGAGGTTGCCAATGCGAAAGTCAACGATGCCCTTGCGAAATAGGAGCCAACTCAGGGCATGGATACAGTAGATGACTTTCGGAATGTTCTTCTTTTCGTAGAGATCGATAAGCTCAAAACGGAACAGGTCGGGTAGCTCAACCTCGTCCAGATATCGGAAGAAAATAGCAATGTTATCAGAATGTCGAAATTGCAGCTTTGGATTCCTGAATATTCGATACCGTCTGTCCGGATTTAGCGACTCAACCACTTCTGCCAGCGTAACACCGTCGCGCAATGCCTCCTCCAGCTCGACAATGGGCGGTAGCGTCTGCTGGATGACATCTTCAATCCACTCCTTGGCCTCACCAATATGGCAGAGGTATTCGTATGCCTGGAGGAACCTGCGCTGCTTGTCCATCCAGTTGCGTCCCTCCCAGCCATAGTTGGTCCTCGGCCCGCGACCGCCAGCGGTCTTGTCGGTGCGCTGCAGCTTCCGCCGGCCTCGGAGACCAGCCACTTCCTGCGCGGGCGAGATGATGCTAAAGTCCTCTGCCTCCTCGGATTTGGCAAGCTGAGAAAGAGTCCGAAGCTGGCTGGTGGACGATCTGCCCAGCCGCTCAAGATCAGGGCGAGCTATATGAGCGCTGTGGGAATGTCCATGACGTGAGGGCGGCACGACCGCTTCTTCTGGGATCGCAGGCTCGCCTCGGGACATGAACATGGAGGTTGGGCGCGGTGGCAAAGGTCGCGGAGTCGCAGTCGTGGTCGGCGAGGCAGAGCCTTCGTTCTGGGACAGTGACAGTCGGCCGATGTCGATGCTCTGGCCTCTCTCGCGCGGCCTGGATGCATGCGGCGGCGTCGCTGGGGCTTCGATGGAAGAAGCCGTAGGGGTTCGCGGCAATGGGCGGAGCGACTGTCGGACTGAGCCGTAGATGTTGTCCGGGCCCTTGGCCGTGCTGGAGCTGCTCGCCTCCGCCGTCTCGAAGAATCGGGCTCGGGCAATGACATCGCTCTGGCCGCGCTTGTGGCCCGTGGATCCGTAAACGCTAGTTGCCGACGTCGACTGGCTGTTGATGCTGTGGTCAGAGGCGTACGAGTATCCCGACGAGGCTGACGAAGTCGTCGACGGGTTGCGATTGATGCTGGAGCTGGCGGCAGCCAGGTCGACGGCGTGGGACTGCCGCCGAGGGCTGTTCCGATACGACGACGACATGTTGCAGGAGGCGGTCTCGCCCAGTCCGGGCTGAGGCTTGGTGCAAGCGCACAATATCTGCGTCGATGCTGGTGATTTGGTTCGGGGGGGTATATCAGAGAACTCTTGTGCGGCGCTATCAAGACATCCTTCCTGCGGCGGTGGAGGATTGAGAGAGGGAAGGAATGCAGAGTGCCGGCGCGAGGCAAGAAAGAATGAATCAGCCTCTAAGACATGCGCGTGGGGAGGCCCGATGTCAACAAAAGGTCGAGCAAAGGTTAAGGTAGGTAGGTAGGTAGATACGGCGGCGTTCGAGCAGAGAGCGAAACGACGACAACAACAACAACAACAAAAGGAGATGGACGCTGGTGAGAGAGCGAGAAAAGAGTGTGTGTTGCAAGCCGAACCGCGCGCAGATGCCGCCCAAAAGATGCAGCGCGAATGCCGTCACAGATGGACCAATGTTTTCTTTTCCTGCTTTTTTCCCTCCAGTCTGCGGCAGCTTTCAGTGATTGCAGCTGCTGGAAGCGCCGGCACAGCAGAGCAAAGCAGGGCAGGCCAGGGCAAGGGGATCAACCACAGCGCGGGGCTGGGATCAATCCAAGCTCCATGTGCTGCATCTGCTAAAAGTTGGGCAGCGAGCGTAAACAAACGGCCGGGACAACCGCGTAGCAACGAGCCCTTTGCGGCGCTGCGATTGGCTGCAGGCGCCGGATGGCTCCAGTTTTCCGCCCTCTGCGTGGTGCCCTCGGGGCCGCTGTAAGCCATGCTTGCGTGCATTGCACGCTTCTGCAGGGCCATCACACGAGGGAAATCAATCTAAAACTATGGAGCAGAGGCGGGTTGGCGGGATCAGCTGTGGCCATGGAAAAGGCAGCAGCAGAGTCCAGGCGTTTAGCCATGATGCTGATGCTGGAAAGGGGTGGAGAAGACGAGTCCCTCGGTTATGCTCCTGAATTCTGACAGGGTTGAGAGCGGACAGAATATCCGCTGCGTACCTCAGAATACGTGGTTGGAAAGTAACCCTGTCACTCGTATAGGAAAGAATCTTCGTACGAGAAGCTTCTCGTCTTGAGATGCGAATCCTGATGATAATTACATCGTGAACTTTACGCGTTGCAGCTTTCACGACGTCATTCAGCTCCTGTGGGTAGAAAACTGCAGCAAATGAAACTACGGCCACTAGCGGCATATCATTCCACAAAAGCTACGGTGTGTTTCAAGTCCCCATTGGTTGAGACGACACCGACAAGGTGTACCAAGAAAAGTTGCCAAAAGCGCTCATCCACTCTGCGCTTACATAGGCCCATACTCCTAGCTGCTGTTAATGGTGAGAAAACAAGAGGCGAGCTCACAGCTTTACCACTAGAGATTGTGTAAAAGGACAATTACATATAGCCGTTTTTTTTTAACATCTGAATGAAATTACTTGGCGTTGCGAAAAGCAGTGAACATGTGAAAATCACATCGGCTCCAGGGTAGGCAAGCTACCAATTGCGCTCCTGTTTGCACACATAAGGAGAAAGTGTGTAGTATGAGTAGTAGTGGGGCTGGATGAGGTCACTACCTTATCGCCAGAAGCAGCTACAGCTGGAGAGTTTCTCGTCTTCAAACTTCAACCACATCAGCTTTTGCACCTCCAACGGCATCGTTGCCAACTCCGCGGCATCTCTCGCGAATCACCGTCTGGATGCTCACATCTCTCCTTGCATAGAATAGCCGTGCCCTTGTCACAATCTCTCCGCGGGAGCCACGCCTGTGCTCACCATGTCGGCGAAACAGCAGAGGCCGTCCGTCCTGGTACGTTGGACAGCTTCAGGGCTCCGAAGGCGCTCAATTGATGCAACAAACCCGTGCTAGACTGACAATGGCGGTAATAGGTCACGGACGCGAGAGAGAGGGCTGACCAGCGACGAGCACCACGGCGCCCTGGCACGTCGTCTGGCGCCCCTGGACGAACCCCGATGCGATTCATGACGGTCGACAACATCCTCCAGCACGACTCCCAGATCCCATCGGGCCAGCCTCGCGGCCCGCCTGCTCCAGCGCAAAGGCCGCATACCTCCGGCGGTCTTCCTCCGGGCGCTCGGCGGGTATCAGCTGGCGGCCTGCCAAATGTTCCATCTCGTACCGGCAAACCGATGCCTTCGCGAACCACTAAAATTAGCGAAAAACTCGTCCTTCTGCCGGTAGCCGAAAATGAGGACGTGGATGAGGAGCTCGAGGGTGAAGTAGTGACCAATTTGCACTTGCAGGACGAAGCGGGCCGGCCGCTGAGAGACGAGGAGCTGGATGTGCTTCGGAAAAGGGGCGGTATCCGTGGCAAGACGTATGCGGAACGGCTGCCCAAGGTCCAGCGGACGGACAAGGTCAGCCGATTGACTGCCTACTGCACCGCGCAGGCGTTCAAGACGAAGGAGGCGGCCGAGTTTCTGAGGAAGAAGCACGAGGTCAAGACCAAGCTCTACGACGATTGCCTCTACGCCATCTATGCTCTGCCGCTGATGAACGGCATCGAGGGCTACCGAGTACGCAGCCGGCCGATCCTGAAGACGCCCGGGACGGGGAAAACCGTGCTGGATCTGGAAATCGAACGCAGCGAACAGCGGGATCACCACGAGGGCTACTTTGACCACAACTCGTTCAGTTCGGGTAACGAGGACTCTGGAGAGGGCGAGAGAAGGCCGTCAGCCTTTGCGGATCCTTCTTCACTGCCAGAAGACGGCCTGTTGTCTCCGAGGGAGTCCTACCCCGCCGCCGATGACGGCATTTCCTCCCAGATGAACCGTCTTGCGCCGGATGCAAAACACTTTGCGGAGATGTTCGTCTTTTCGTACGGAGTTGTTGTGTTTTGGAATTTCACGGAGCACCAAGAAAAGGATATCCTTGCAGACTTTACATTTGCCGATGCCGAGGACGGTGTTAGTTTGCTCTCTGGGCCCTTGGACCAGGGCGACTACGAGACGGAAGAGTTCCATTTCGAATACAGCCCCGATGTGCAGCGCCCACGGATATTCAACGACATGATTACGCTGCTGCCACGTTCCGACCACATGATCAAGCTGACGATTAGCCACGCAATAGCGCAGAGCACCAAGCTTTGCTTTTTCGAGGAGAGGATGAGCGAGACGATGCTGGATGCGCAGCATGTCCCCAAGACGCTGGCCTTGACGGGAGAGCTGGGCATGACACGGACCGAGATTGTCAAGATTATGGGCCGGCTATTCAAGAATCGCGTGGATATCAATCTATGTATGTTTGTTGTGTTTCAATGTTTACAAGCATCTCAGCTGACTTGCCGTGGTAGCATCGAATATCCTTGACGTGCCCAACTTCTTCTGGGACTCTGAGCCTACGCTGCATCCGTTGTACGAAGCGATCCGCGAGTACCTTGAGATTGACGTCCGCATCAAAGTCCTCAACGAGCGCTGCCGCGTGTTCTTGGACCTTGCCGAAATCCTCTCCGACTCGGACGCCGATGCTAAGATGAGCTACATAACATGGATCATCATTGCGCTCATCGTCCTCAGCATCCTCGTGACGGTCACGGAGGTGGGCTTACGCTTTGGCATGCTGCAAAAGAGCAAGCGTGACGACGAGGGCGGGCATAACAACACCAGCTGCTCTGGAAGCGACATGGCCTGGAGCAGCAAACTGCCCGAAGTCGTGCTCGAGACACCGCTGTCACAGCCCGCGAGCGGGTCAATGAGGCACGCTGCCCTGGCATCGAGCGATCTCGAGATGCTCGCCCGTGCACTAGGCTTGGAGGAAAGTGCTTCGGTTGAGGACGTCCGGCGCGGCATATGGCATCTGCGACAGGGAAGCAGTGTGGGATCGCGATACGACGGTCAGATGGAGGACGTGGATTGATTGAGCTCATGGAAATTTGAGAAACGCTGCTGGAACTTGCGAATACACCTTTGACGTCCCTCGAAATCGGCGCACAATCTCAGGTCAAGGGAAAAAAAAAGGGGGGGTTTGTCTGTTGACATCAGGCTATCGCTGTGCTGTTTGGATTCTGCTCGACTTTGGTCTTTTGGCGTTTGCTCTTTTGTACAATGCAACACACAAACGGGGTGTACAGCGACGGGTATCTCCTTTTTCAAAGGCGTCTGGTCACGAATTAGTTGGTTGGCGTTCTACCTTAATTGCTCTAATAATTACTCAGTATCATTTCTTCTCTACTTTCTCTATTAACGAGAATGCCAATTGACTCATAACTCTACACACACAGCCCAGCCAACATAACGCAACGAGACACAGGCTGCGCAGGCGTCTGTAATACCGTACAGGCACACTGCATCAAATATTGTCAATCACTAACGGCCTACCTCTCCACCTACCTAGGTACCTACGTACGTAAGCTTCAAGGTAGAGAGGGAATGAAACGCTCGATTGATCTGTAATACAGCATAGAGTCCAGTACCTGAGTCAGCCCTACCAACTTCGGATGGGCCAAAGAAAGAAAAAGAAAAAAAAAAAATACAAGAAAACACATTCTCCTGGCCTTATCACAGTAATAGTCGTATGTATGTATGTGCTTTATTTGCATGTTCGTCTGTCCCCCATTTCCCAGCATCGCACCAGATAATCTCCGTCTTTCCGACTCAACCGACTCTTCCACCCCCCTCTGGACCCTTTTCGACAACACCCCTCGCAAGCCTTACGCAAGCCTCCCTCCCCCCCTCCCCTCCTCACGCACGTCGTCTATTCCCCTGTTTGTTTTCACGGAGGGAAATTTTTCTTTTCCCCTTTGGTCGATAATCAAAAGAGTGTAAGCTATAGATGCTAGCGGTTGATAGATCCCGTCAATAGCTCGACTCGCTAGCAGATTCAGGTGTAAGAATTTGCAACTTCCAAAAACGTGGCAGATTCTTTTCGGATCTCATCTATTTCATATGGATGTCTACCGCCTAATAGGCGCGTGATGATGCTGTCATGAAAGGCAGAAAGAGAGCAAGAAACGGTAAAAAGACACAATATTGACCATGGAAGAAGAAGAATAGGGCCATTGGGCCCCCCTCAAGCTATCCTAAAGGCAGGGGTTTTTGACCCCCCTCTGTCGCACAACACCCGCTGATACACAAGTCTTTGCCATTGCGTTGCCAGTTTCACACTTCCCTAACGCCGTTTCCCGTCTGATTTGTGACAACCTCTCGCAACACCCCAAGAATCTCTTCCTGCAGCTGCCAGTAGCCGAGAGCGGGCAGTAGTCAAAAAGAAAAAAAAAAGTGTATATTAAAACATGGGCCCCGTCAAGGCGTTAGAAGCATCTCTGTGTGGCGGGCCAAGGCTGAGCTGGATCCAAATGTCTCGGTCCAACGAGTGCCTTGTCCTGGCCTTTTTTCTCTCCAATTTCCATCTTCGTAGTATATCATCAATTAAAGGTAAAGAAAGGGGGAGAGTATATCAAAATGCGTAATGCCCTTGCTGCCAGAATGGTCGCTACCTCTGCTCGGTGGGCTTAAAGGTCGCCTCCTGCTTCTTCTTTCGGTTCTTGTTGTCCAACTCGGCTTTGCTGTAGATGGCAGCACCCACCATGGTGACGGCCATGCCGGCGCCGTTGAGGAAATCGACCGTGACGTTGAACAAGAAAATACCAAGCATGACAGTCAAGCACTGCTTGAGGTTGCCGCAAACAGTCATGGTCAGGGCACCGGCCAGCTTGTTGGTGTTGAACGACGAGATGTTGAGCAGCAGGGCCAGGAAACCGTTACCGGCCAGAGACAAAGAGGAAGAGACGGGGTTGAAGCCGCCGGTCCTGACTTGTTCGCGGAAGGCAGCCACTTCGCCGGTGGCCGTGGCGCAGGCCAGAGCCTGAAGCGCAGCGAGAGGAGACATGCGCATGAGAAATTCGACGGGCGGGAGCGCCAGTGATCCGGTCATGAATCGGTTGGTGACGACAGTCTTGGAGCACATCTGGTTAGCCCTTTCAAGCCGAATAGTGCTGCCGCATGCCAACGTACCTTGAGAGCGGCGAGGATGACGCCCAGAATGGTCAAGAGGAAGCCGGCATCTGAAAAGCTCATCTCACCGGCGGTGGTCATAGTAGCACCGATAATCAAGGGAATGAGAGACAGATACGTCATGGTGCTGTACGTCCGGCCGTACCACACACGGAAGATGAGGATGGTGAAGATGGGGCACAGCATGCGCATCGTCTGGTAGAAGGGAACGGAGACCATGGCGAGAGACAGGTTCGAGACGGCAATGTTGGCAGTGAACAGGGCGCTGAATGCGACAAGGGCGAGGTTTTCGCGACGGCCGAGGCGTGACAGCTTGAAGTAGCCCATCTGCAGCATGCCATATGTGCCCAGACTGGCGAACAGAGTGTGGAGGAACGTCAGAAGCCATGGGAAGTGAAACTAGATTGCGCCGAATCGGCATTAGCAGCCAGTCGGGGGAGAACAAGTCCGCATCGATCCGAGAGAGAGAAAGCGGCGGCTGCGGGAAGCACATGGGGACATACCTTGCCGAGAACCAGCTTGTTGTAGAGCGTCAGGACGAGAGAAAAGAAGAAGTAGGTGCCCAGCCAGGTGAATTTGACGGCGCTGGGTATTGAGTATTCATGGTCGAGGTTTTGATCCTTGGAGTCGCCGTGGCTCTTTCCAGCCTCGAGATCGTCCGACTTGAGATCCCGCTCCTCGGGAGACAGGAGGGCGACGTCTTGCGAGTTTCTAGACATGGTGGGCGAGGAGGTATGTCGATGCAGCCGGGTATGCCAGGGAGGAGGTTGGGTATAAAAAAGCGCTCGAGCACCTTAGAATAGCCCTGCCAGCATAATTCGGACAACTGAGACGGGGGGGAGGAGAGGTTCGCTCGGGAGTGAAATTGCCGACCGGATTTGGGAAGGGTGACGGAGCGGGAAAGCAACAAGAAGGAATACGAAGGTGTCGCGAGTGGATCGGGGTCGCGTAGGGTCCAATCCGTAGGGCAGAGGCGTGCGGAAGCAAGAAGAAGCAGAAGAGAAAAACCGACGTCGAACTCGAAATCGAGGCAGAGGCCGCTGCTGCTGGACACGGGAGGCCGTTGGGACTTGTCCAAGACGGAACAGAAGGACGCAAGGCGGCGCGAAAAGAGCGAGTGACAGCTGGAACAATCCAAAAGACAGAGCGGACGAGCTCGGCTCCTGCAAAAGGGCAGCTTGATTCGTTTGGCGTCTCTCCTGCAGCTGGACTGAAGGCGGAGGAGGGAGGGGGGGGGAGAGGAATCGAAGTCAGGAAGCAGCAGAAGCAGCAGAAGCGCAAAGGCGAAGCAGAGCGGCTGACTAGTAGTATTACTGTATGTAGGTAGGTACGAGTGCTGAGGAGGGAAAAAAAAAGTGGCGTGGCCCGTGAGATTGAACGCCCAGCCTGGAGGCGTGGCTGCTGCTGCGCTAATCGCTGTGCGGCAAGACTCCCGTCAGGCGTTGGTGGGAATTCAGGAGCCCAGCAGCAGTTGGCACTGGGTCGGCTAGGGCCTGGCTCTGCACTAACGGTGCCTGGACGGAGCGTCTGAGCCCGCTGAGGCCGCTTGCGTTTGCGCGTGCGGGGGCTGCTGCTGGCACTGTGCGCGCCCACATGCTTGGCGCATGCTTGGCGCTGCGGCGATAAAATTGGACCGATTCGTTGCACGAACAACGAGGGCCAAGCACTGGAGATACGATGAGTTTGGGGACCCTAGGTAGATGGCTTGGAATATGTAGAGGCACAGGTGCTGGTATGGAGTAGAGGGAGAGGTGCTGTTCCTTCCGACAAGTACATACATACAGTACAGCCCGCTGGGTGGACAGCCTGAGGGGCTTGAGGGAATCATGTACTATATCATGATTCAGGGGGGGGGGGGGCACTTGCACGGTGCCAGTAGGAGAAGGATGGCATCTACAGCCAATCAAGGGCAGCATCGAGAGGGGAGGATGGCTGCTTGGTTTGATTGATTGCCGTGAATCCAAGAGCAGAGCACACAGTATCTTTTGGTGACTGTCAATAAAACGACCGGCACTTGGTCCTCCGTCCAGGCACCGCGACACCAAACAGCAGCGAATGGCGAGCCGCAAACTGATGGGCAGCTGAGCCTGGCTGGACAAGGGGGGGGGCCTGTCCTTGTCTTGGAACGTCAGCGCTGCAGCTCTTGGCAAACAAGCGGCGCGGGAATTTGAAGGGATTGAACGACGACGACGACGACGACGGGTTTGTTATGTTTGCGGCGTTGCTGCTGCCGCGTTGGTTGGTCTGATGAGAGATCTCGAGACGCTCAGATACGAGTTCCTAGTATTCCCATAAGGTATTCCCATGAGGTATTCCCATATTCCCGGTGCCCCAGTGCGCTTTCTGGTTGGCTGCTCCCACGATCAGGCACATGCCGTTTCTCCGAGCCTCCGACACTGCGGGAATGCCTCCAACATATAGGAGCTAACGCCAATACGAGGCTCGAGAGCACTGCACATGGATGCAGGCGTTTGACAACCTCCGTCGTGTTGATGAGTTTTGATAGGGTTTATAGAATACCTATAAGCCGGTGAGTGGGAAAGATATTACTCGGGCACATGCGACTCTGCGGCATTCGTTGCTACCTTGGGCATATCGCTTGAGGAATAGGTACGAACCCTTTGTCATTTCTGGATAGGTAGGTACCTAAGCTCAAGAACAAATATGCCTCCAAGATTGCTCCTGAGGAAATACTTGACTCTGTGCTGTATAGATTGCGCGCACGGTCCGTGCCTCATGCTCTCCTCAGGAACTTGCGGCACAGACGTCATGTCGAACAGACGGAATCGACGCATTTGCAGATGCCGGGGCCATCTAGATGTCAATTGCAACGCCACTGCGCCATCTTGTCATGGTTGCTGGAAGCTTAAAGCTTATGACGACCCAACGTTATGCTGATTGTCAAATCGATGTCTCGACGTGTAACGAACTGCTTCAAGACAGACATCAGTGTCTACCTATATAGAATGTACATAAATCTATCTTTGGCACAACAGCCCCTGAAGATGCCGTCATTCTTGCCCAAACAACACAGACGATCCCAATTCGACGCCCAAAAGTCGTGCTCGCAAGCATGCATGACAGAATCGACATGGCTATTTATGGGCAAAAGACTGCAGCAAAGATCGTCGGATGTGCATCATCACATGGAGCCCACAACAGACCCCTTCTTCGGGTATCTGCCTTAGAGCTTGCGTCCAGATGGACTAATGCTGCAGATCGACACTCTGACAGCTCAAGGTAACACTTGCACCCCATAGTATGACTTGGTCTCTAACTGACACACAGCACTTGATGATGATGTACGTACAATGGTATAATACCAGCTTTCTTAGGCATTGTTGCGGCTTCTCGCGGTCAAAGTCAACATAAGGTAAAGGAACCCGGGCATATATATGCCGGGGGAGTCGATCCGCTGGAGGGGGCCTTGGCTCGAAATGACCCCATCACGGCGGACGAGAAGCGCATATTGAAGCAAACCGAACTTGATAGTAAAAGCACGATGCCTGCCAACATGGCGTTGTCTAGTTGCACCATTTCTACGCCTAACAGATCTGTATACATGCACCCATAGGTACTCATATGGAAACATCCCTTCTTCCGCCATACCTCATCTTCAGAGCGCACAGGTGCTCCCTAAATGCTCATCCAGTCTCTCAAGGCTGCTTATTTGCCAAGGTCCAAAGACTGCAAGGAGAGCTGTGACTGACTTCTGCCTTCTCTGTTTGTCTCTGTCTTACCGAATCTTGTGTCCTGGTCCTTCCACCCTCCCCGGGAATTTCCCCCTTTCAACGCGTGTGCCTTGAACCACACTTCATCTTCGTGGCACTTTTGGTTCCTTGTCCTATAACATCTTCTCCTTATTCTCTTTCTCCCTGTTTCTCGTTCCTAAGGCTTTTACTTGGTCGGCCTCATCGTTTTATTGCTCGGCCGTTGGGTTGTCCGACATGCATACCACTCTTAGGAAGCAGCGGAGGACTTCCGCCATCATATTGATCGCCTTCCTCGTCGGGGCACTTGTCTACTACCATTCATACGTTGATTCTGTATGGGTGTCTTCATCCTCATTACTTCTTCTCTGCTCATTATTCGTGTTATCTCCTCATTTGCGTGACCGCATGGAGCTGACTTGACTGCCTCTCTCACATAGGAAAGCCTCATTGCTATGATCCGACAGGGTACGAGACTCTAGATCTGTACATATTCCTCCTACCTGGCGTCATGAAACTGAGACTCAGATCAGACTTTGACCCTCCCGAAAAGACGTCAAGGCTACACTACCTGATCCCCGCCAGCCAACCCAATCTCCAGCTCTGCTACAACCTCGTCTCCTCAGCCGTCAACCGCTATCCGGTCCCTATCCTGCTTGGCTGGCACGGCGTCGATGAGTTCGATGCCGCGAAAACTCATCTTGCAAAGCTCCGAGCCATGCAGCGCTACTTGGATTCCCTCCCACCTCAAGAAGACGATGACTTGGCCATCATCGTCGATGGATACGACGTCCTCATCCAGCTCCCTCCCGAGATCATGGTGGAGCGGTATTTCCAGCTTGTCCAGCGCGCTAATGCTCATCTGGCGCAAAAATTCCAGGTCAGCGTCAGCGAGCTTCACCAAAGCGGCCTTCGCCAGACCATATTCATGGGGCCAGACAAGATCTGCTGGCCGATTAATTATCGTGCGCCCCGTTGTTGGGCAGCTCCCGAATCACCCATTCCACCAGCAGCATGGGGCGAAGATAAAGGGTATGGCGAGGTGTTCCATTCTGACCCTCGATGGCTGAACTCAGGGACCATCATGGGGCCGATTGGTGATCTGAAGAGATATATTGCCGCCACCATGGACGAGATCCAGGCAACGTACGATCCCATATACGAGTTCAGAGAGTCGGACCAGTACTACCTCTCCAATGTATGGGGCAGACAGGAATACTGGCGCTCAAAGACGATGGATGTCAAGATTCCCGTCCCTCCCAACGGGTATCTCCCCTTGAAGAACGCACCCTTCCAGCAGACGGAGTACCACGTCGCCATCGAGTACGAATCCGGCCTCTTCCAAACCAAGGCTTGGTACGAGCCGTATTTCGGATACCTGCAATTTAACCAAGCCAATCTCACGGCCAAACTTGCCGCTGACATCCGCGGCGAAGGATCTGCGTTTGAGCCTCCTACCGTCCAGATGCCTGCAAACGTTGCCGCTGCGCTAGCCAAGCTATACGATGCCATTCCCGAGGCCCATCCCGGATCAGCCTCTGCAGACTGGCTCGCCGTCGTCCGACTGGGCGTCAACTTTGTCACGCAGCACATCTACGGCGTGTGGCACTGCACGGGATCCAAGCAGTTCATCCAGCTCGAGTATCCCACCATGTGGTTCTACCCCTTTGCCAGGTCTCTGCTCAGGGCGGCCGTCGCAGCTTCTCAGGCCGGTGAGCCGCTCACGCGGAAGCTCATCGATGGTCGGAGATGGGTGCCGAAGAGGTTCTATCCTCCTGCTGCTGCTGCTGCTGCTGATGTCGTGGGGATTGGGTACGGCGGCGTGTGGACGGATTTGGATGGCGAGTTTGTTCCTTGGAGGGACGTGTGTCAGACGTACAATAGGGTGCTTTTCAAGGGACAAGTGGATGGGCAAGCGGCATGAGTGACGAGAAGCAGGTTTTGGTGTTCATTTGGATAGGTAGATAAGGTAGGCAGGCAGGCTTTGATGAAGGGGGCACTGTTTTTCTTTCTATTCATGAGGCTTGGCGATGGGGTCCAGTAGTGTTTCTCGGTATAGGGGCATGTCGGAAAAGCAGACCTGTTACGTATCGTAATGTCAGAATGGAGAGGAATCACAACCCAACACAGACCACCGTCAGTCTACCCACGAGATTCGCAGTGCCAAACCATCCTTGAGAACATTGTATTGAATCTTCCAACAAATACTCATGACATAAACAAACGAGACTGATATCTGTTCCTAAACTCCGTACATAATCTTTCAACACGCGCGCTATGCTTCACGGCCCGGCCATAGCGAGCCCTTCCTGATAAATCAAAAGTTCCCTCCTCCCAAAATCCCCTCTGTCCTCTGGAACATATTTCCAACAAACAAACAAAACAACAACAGCATAATGAAAAGACCACTCAGACCTCTAAATTCTCCAACGCCACGTAACCCTCCTCACGCTTCCCTCTCCTGACGCGTCCAAACGTCTCCTTAGCCCAGCCAACGATGCCCGTGCCGCTCATCCAGCGCAGGCCACCCGCCGGTTCGGACGCCTCGTCCATCCACTGCGGTCGTTGCCACCATCGGAGCGCCAGGCTGCTAACCACTACACTAATGCTACTGCAGGCCATGGCGAACCCGGCGAACATGGGGTGCATGTGGATGCCAAACGGCAGGAAGAAACCCATGGCAATGGGCAGGCCGACAATGTTGTAGATGCATGCCCACGCCAGGTTCAGCTTGATGCGGCGGAAGATGGTCCGAGTGAGGTGGATGGCGGACGGGATGCTCAGCAGGTCGTCGGGACGCATAAGCACAACATCTGCGGCCTCCATGGCCACGTCCGTTCCGCTCGACATGGCGATACCAACGTCGGCCGTAGCGAGGGCCGGCGAGTCGTTGATGCCGTCTCCCACCATGGCGACCACCTCTCCCTGGTTCTGGAACTGCTGTACTATCACCTGCTTCTGGTCGGGGCTGACGCCGGCAAACACGTCCTCGGGAGAGATGCCCACGAGGGCGGCAACGGCCAGGGCGGTGGGTCGCTGGTCTCCCGTCACCATGGCCGTCTTGATGCCCATGCTATGCAGTACAGAAATGACCCCGGCCGCCCCATCTTTGATGGTGTCGGAGAGACAAAGGTGGCCGCTGTACTTTCCATCAATGGCGACAAAGATGTTGGTCGTGCCCGCAGTCACAGCCTTGGCTCGTGAGCTCTTGACGGACGAGTTGATTCGCTCTGCTGCCTCGACGGCATCCTTGGGGACCTCGACGCCGTTCTCTTCAAGGAAGGTGACATTTCCAGCAAGGACCCTATAGCGTGTCCGATCACCGGATAATGCAGGTTCAACGATAGCATCGATGCCCTTGCCAACAGTCAACTTGAAATCATTGACGCTTCCTGGAATGGCGGCTTCGGCTTCAAGGATGCCGACTTCTGCCTTGGCCGCTGCCAGAATCGCCCTTCCGATAGGGTGCTCGCTGCCCATTTCCGCCAGACCGACAGCGGCCCACCAGACTTTGGTCTGCGACACGTTGTCATTCCAGGGAAACACAAGGCCGCTCTTGGCGACCTCCATTTTGCCACGAGTGATTGTGCCGGTTTTGTCCAAGACGACTTTGGTAACCTGGGTGGTTCGCTCCAGCGCAGCTCCGCCTTTGATGAGGATGCCATTCTCAGCGCCCACGCCCGTGCCTACCATGACAGCTGTCGGCGTGGCCAGGCCCAGAGCACAAGGGCATGCAAATACAATGACGGAGATGCACAGCTTGACGCAAATCATGACCTTGCCACCACTGGTGTTCTTCAAGAAAATCATAGGGGGGTGCGACAGGGCGTGGCTGAGGATCAACCAGCCAAGGAAGGTGAGGATGCCGAGCAGCAAGATTGTAGGCACAAAGTAGCCAGCCAAAGTGTCGGCCACCTTTTGAATAGGCGCCCTCGTCGTCTGCGCGTCCTGAACAAGCTTGACAATCTGACTGAGCTGGGTATCCCGCCCGGCTCGGGTGACGCGAAAGTCCACTCTGCCGTTGCCGTTGACCGTGCCTCCAATCACGTTGCTGCCAATCCTCTTCTGCACCGGCATTGCCTCTCCGGTGACCATGCTCTCGTCGACGTAGGTCTCTCCTCGCATAACGACGCCGTCCGCCGGAATCTTATCACCGGGTCGGATGACGACGATATCTCCCACCTGAAGCAGCTCAGTAGGGATGCTCTTCTCCTCGTACGACGAGCCGCTCGCATCTCCAGACGGTTGGCCTTTCGCATCCGCGGGTGTATCGGTTGACTTGGCCCATGATTCTGCTGCCTTCTCCGCGGCAATGGGATCCGTGTAGATGGTGGCCATCGACGGGGCTAGAGACATGAGACGGGACAGAGCCTTTGATGTCTGACCCTTGGCGCTGTTCTCAAGATAGCGGCCCAAGGTCACAAAGGTGATGAGCATGGTGCTGGTGTCAAAGATCGTGCCCGGCGGGGAATGAGGCTCGAAGAGGATAGAGATGACCATGGAGAAGATGCTGAAGAAGTAAGCGCAGGAGGTGCCGAGCATGACGAGCACATCCATAGTCGGCGAACGGTGCTTGAGCGACTTGAAGGCCGAGACGTAAAAGCGCTTTCCAACCCCAAACTGAACAGGTGTTGTGAGTACCAAGTTGACGACGTCGCCGAGGTAGAGACCATGGCCAAGGTGGATTAGACTCAGGTTCAGACTGTCTGAGATCATAGGCAACACCATGGAAAGAACGAATACCGGAATGGCGAACGAGGCGGACGTCTTGCACGCCGTCCTCCATTCCTGGATCTCGCGAGTCTTGGCCAAGGATTCGAGTTGCGCGTTGTTGTCGTGGCTGTCCGCCACCAAAGCATTCAGGCCTTGCGCCTCTACCGCCTCGACGATCCCTCGGAGCCCAATGACGGCAGGCTGGTGCGTGACGGACAGGCGGTCCGTTGATAGGCTGAGGGAAGCAGATTTAACACCAGCAAGTGCCAGCAGCTTTTCCTCCAGCTCCTTTGCAGTGGCGGCGTCCGGGCTGCCATAGATTTTGAACTGCGAGGTCGTACTGCTGAGATCGTTTGCCTCCGGGACGGTGGACAAAACCGTAGCACCAAATCCCCGGTCTTCAACGATTTCGGAAATCTGTTCGGCGGAGATCTTGGTGACATCGTGAGTAATGACTGCCCTTTCGGCCAGAAGACTGATGTTGAATTTCAGGATGCCGTCAACTCCCTGAAAGCCTCCCTCAACAGCAGACGTACAGGCACCGCAAGTCATTCCTTCGATGGCTACCGTCGTAGTCACGACATGACTTGCTGGGTTCTCAGCCTCGGTACTGCTGCCAGGTTGCGCCTTCACGGAATCGACGATTTCGGCACCAAAGCCCCGGTCTTCGATGATTTCGGTAATCTTGTCGGTGGGCAAAAGTTCTGGATCGTGTTCGATGACGGCTCGCTCAGAAAGAAGCGAGATGCTGAAGCTCTTGACACCTGGGATATCCTTGAATCCACCCTCGACAGCAGATGTACAGGCGCCACACGTCATGCCTTCGATGGCTACCGTGGTCGTCAAGAGGCCGCTATCGATGTCCTCATCCCCCTTGGCATCCGAGAATCGAGGGACGAGTGGGCTCAAGAGGTCCGTCGACAGCAGCTCAGCGTCGAATCCACAATCTTCGATAATCTCTCGAACCTGTTCAGCGCTGATGATCCGGGGGTCGTGCATTACGACAGCCCTCTCCATAACAAGGCTGACGGAGACGGTACCAACGCCCTTGACGCCCTTGAAGCCGCCCTCGACGGCTGCTGTGCACGAACCACATCTGCAAGAAGAAGTGTTAGAAAGAATGACCAGCCATGCTTGTGCTGCAGACCTTGGCCGGAAGCACAGCCGGAAACGGACGAAACCTACGTCATGCCACCAACGCGCAGAGTGGTTGTGGCCATGTGCGCGCTCTTTGGCGTAAGGGTCGCACTCGCATGCTCATCATTGTCCCGCCCGGGGACTTTGATGTATGTTGGGGCCATGGTTGTCGTCGCCAAGGTCTGCGATGGCCACCTCTACTTCTCTCGTAGGTAAACAGAAGACTGGAAAGGTCTGCGCAGGAAGACGCCAGGACACCTCTATATCCGGGAATGTCCTTAACTTGAAGCCGCAAGCATTGCACAGACGAGGAACGTGAGAGGAGATTGGAGGATGATCTGGGCACTGCCACACGACACGCACTCAGCCAGATGCCTCCGGCAAGATGTCGCAACTGTTCCAGAGACCGGCCCTGGAGGAACAGAAAAACGCAATGGCGGCTGTGAGGACTTAAGAATTCGGCCGAATCGGATTTCGTCAGCAAAAGTTGTCTCTCCGAACAAGCCGCGCTATGATGAGGTATCGTCGGCTAGGATACCCGTCCAGGCTCCCCACCAGCAACAGAATCTGGCAGTTGTTTCTGGGCTGTGACGGCGAGAAACGTACGATGCAAGGGGCGGGAGAGCTTTGTCGATTATAAATTGGGTTAGGAAGAGAAGGAAGAGAAGAAGAAAATAGAAAAGGACAAGTTCCGTAGCGCCACGGCGCAAAGATCAACCAGGGATCCTCGAGATGGGTGTGTGACTTGCGCTCGGGGTTGGTCGCTCGATGCAGAACGGAAAAAGTAGCGTGGCACGAAAGAAGGGCAAAATAGGCCGTGAATAGGTACCTAAGGTAAGGTAGGGTAGGTACATGTAGGTAAGCTGTCGGCGTGGCTCAGGCGCGGGAGCTGCAGGTGCCGACAGGGTCAAGGCTAGCGGGTGCGTTTGCAGCGGGAATATGCACGCTGACCAACCAAGCTGTCAGATTGCAGGAAGACAGGAAGAGAAGAAACAGGGAAGAGACGAAAGAAGAGATGAAAGAGAAAAAAAAGGGCAGTCCTCAGGTGAAGAAAGCGGGAAACAGAGGCAGTGAGTGAGTGAGTGAGTGAACGAGGACGGAAACGGCAACAAGGGGGAGAGAAGAAAAGGAACCCGCCAGGGGATGATGACAATAACAAAGAAGGGAAATGAGAAAAGAAAGAACAAGAGGAGAGAAAGAGAAGAAAAAAAGGGAAACAGAATCTAGAACAACGCTTCGCTGCCCTGACAGACACTCACCCGGCAGTTTATACCAAACGAAATCTCGGCCTGGGATAGAATAGGAGGGATCAATCAAGTCAACAAGTCAATCTGGATGCCCGTCTGGCGCCTCTGCATGTGTCGCACGATGGCCGATGGCGCCTATCGCAGAGCCCCCCGGAGTGCCAGAGCTGTTTGCGCCTGTGTTTCAGCGCCGTCCCCGATGCCTGTCAATGAATCGCGCCGGATGCTTGCAGAGACGAGGGCGCGAGAGGGTGGAGTGCACAGACGGAAGACCCCCCGGGCCTGTCAAGCGGTGCTGAAGAAGGGCAATTGAAGGACCGGCGCCATTTCGTTTGCGGCGGCGTGATTGGGCCTTTGCGGGCAGATATAAAACACGCTCACCAGCAGCCCTGCTTACATACCTCGGGTCCTTGATGAATCATCTGACTTCGATGTCAGTACGACATCTGGTCTGCTATACTCCGGAGTGTGCGTTCATTTCCCGCTCTGAACGATGTGAACAACATCTCCCATTCCAGAGTCGACAAATCGACAAACACCAAGAATGGCTGCCAAGAATATTTGCATCTATTGATTGATGCTCCTCCTGCTGGATCGGGCTTCGGCGTTGCAGCGAATGCGGGCATTCCTCGGCACTTTCAGATGCTGCTCGTGATGCTGGTCTTTAACCGCTGTATCAATATTCGGTCCAACTTTGGTAGTACTACCCTTTTCTATTAGCGCGCCCTCGATTGATGGATTGATGGAGGCTCATCAATAGTCCTAGTATTATGCTGTGCTTCCTTTCGTATAAGCCCAGCAGGCAATAGATCAGCCAAGCTGCTAGCTCAGAGCAATCGATACCAAGCCTTAGCACGATCTACCTACCTACGCGTACATCACCAATCCAAAGTCTAATACAGCCTTCACTCTATCTGCTCACCTATCAAAGGAAATACTTCAAAGTGCTGCAATTCAAACAAAGCTGAGCAAGCTGAACATTTCGACTGCCATCATATCCTAGCATTTCCAAGTGTAGCTCCTCGGGCCCAGCAGCCGAGTCCCCTGTTGATGTTTGATGCTTTGATGTTTCACCCCACTAGAACGCTGCCCCGCGGCCACTATAGTACCTTACCAAGGTACGAGCTTAGATTGGATACCTCTAGTCCACCTGCAGGTTAGCGACCGCCTAGAAGTTGCACCTCTGCTCAACACCACACCTCCAACGCCCAAACCATCTCTTGACACACCCAAGCAACAGCACCGCGGATTCTCGGCTTTAAACCAGCAGCTGCCCTCAAACGCATCTCGTGCAGCTCCTCATACGACTCCCACTATTCCATTACTGCTAGCATCTCACAATCATCGTGGTCGCCTCGCCTATCAGATCGAGATCCAACCCCACTCTCGCCTGCGCATGCCGCAGCCTCGCCAAGTTGTCTTCCAAGCCTGACATCACGATCCACGATCCACGATCCAGCGAAACAAGAACGTGAAACAAAGAGGCACTCGAGACATCGTCTCTCCCTACTCTTTCCGTCATGGAGCAGACCAAAGCCTTGAACGCCCTAGAGGTACGACATCACCACACCTGCACCCTTCATCGCCCCCCCCCCTCACAACGTCACGCACCCCAAATAACTAACAACATCAACTCCAAAATCTCCAGCCATTCCTCGCACTCTCCAAATCAGCAACCTCCCACCGCGCCGCCGCCGACCTCGTCACCCGCGCAACCTCCGCCCCAAACACCTTCCTCTTCACCGAGCTCCTCCAGACGCCCCAGATCCAGGCCCTCGCCTCCAGCCCCGAGTTCACGCCCTACCTCACCCTCCTCCAGATCTTCTCCTACGGCTCCTACGGGACCTACAGCGCCACCCCCGACCTCCCCGCCCTCAACGACACACAGGCCCTCAAGCTCAGGCAGCTATCGCTCGTATCCCTCGCCAGCGACCGGGCGAGCTTATCCTACGATGCCCTGCAGAGAGCCCTAGGCCTCGGCTCCGCTCGAGAAGTGGAGGAGCTCGTCATCGCAGCTATATACGCCGGCCTGCTGCATGCGACTCTCGATCCCGCCCGCGAGGCCGTTCAAGTGACCAGCGTCGCCCCCCTTCGCGATCTCGCCCCCGGCACCATCCCAGACATGATCAGCGCCCTGCAGAACTGGGCCGGCCGGTGCCAGTCTACGCTCCGAGACCTTGAGGACCAGATGAACGGCATTCGCGCTGCGGCCATTGCGCGGGAGACGGAGAAGCGAGCATCAGAAGCCCTGTTCCAGAGCGTGGCCGACAGCTTGGGCGATGCGGACAAGGGTGGCGGCGGCGGCGTGCTCTCGGCTTACCAGCGCGACAGTCTAGCCCGCAGAGCCCTGAGCAAGCGCGCCATGGCTGAGAGCCTGGGCGCCGAGTCGATGGACCTTGATGATGCCTCCGCGGCAGACGATCTGGCCAAGAGAGCCGGCAAAAGGAAGTTGTAGCAAGAACAGCGGCACAGTCATGACCTGAGAAGCAAGAAGGAGCCTTTAGACGCATTATGAACTTTTGATAGCCACGGACAATTATGATATAATACACAAATCAACACGTAACAGGCAATCCGGTGCTCTGCTAAAGATTAAAAGAAAAGTTGAGCCGGCAACTCCCGAGCTGTGGCTGTAGATACGATTGCCAGTAATGCACAAAAAGGAAGTAAACTCTAGAAGCTCGCGCCAGAAATCCATATCGAACCTCATTCCCTCTTGGATCTAAATATCAAACAGAAATTATCCCTTCGCCCAACTGATCCCTAAATAAAAGACATATGTTCGTTACGGTCGTGATCTGGATTAGTAAGTCTTGCTCAGCGGTCGGCACGGAGAACCTCTGTGTTCGGAGCGCTGCATTGAGGACAAGCCGGCACAGTGCCCCATCCCTGGTCTGAAAGCAGAAGAAGACGACGATGCCTTGTATCTCAAAGCCTCTTGCCTGGAACAAGAATGAACAAGACACACAGTCCGGCGTCGATGAGGAGGGTCACAGCCAACACCATGACTGCTCGCTTCGCCAGGAGGCGACGGACGTAGGGTTCTCGAATGCGAGAGAAATTGAATGGTGTGTACTCGCTGAAACCAATGAGCGCCAAGATGGGGTCAAGGGAATACTGGTATGAGGCAAGGAAGTAAACGCCAATTGTAAAGGGTAGAATCAGCTGGAAGCAGGAAATGTTAGTGCATCATGCCAAGATTGCTTATGATACCAACAGAGACCCTTACCCAGCATCGAGTCGCTCTAGACTTGTCAAGAAAGATGAGGATAAATGAAGCCCAGAATGCTCCAAACATGGAAACAAGTCCAACAATAAGGCGCATAACGAGTGTCGGTGGAATTAGATTGCCCAAAGCCTTCATGCGCAAGAAGCCTGGGAATGCATCTCGCTCCATCGCCTGGAAAACGTAGTCCTTAGCCACATCAAAGACCTCCGGGTCGTCTCGACCATATTCTTCGATAGATGCCGTAACATCCTGGGTAATGGATCCAGGCAGCGTGATTTCTCTTTCAGCTCCAGGCATCAGGAAAGTGTAGAGAATCTTCTCTGCAGACGCCCTGATATCAGCCCGGGCAACCGTATGGGCGGGGGAGTTGGAGTCCGTTGGGTTACGAGATAGGCTGAAAGGGCTCGGCTTGGTCTGATTTGAGGCGGTCTGAGTCCCGGGTGAATCATGGCTCACGTCTTCACGCAGAAAGGCCGACATCTGGGCGTCCTGGTCTCTCTCCTTCTCTGTCCCATACATCGACGGTCCAGCCGCACGTGAGTCCATGTCGCCAAGATCCAGTATCTGGGACGATCGCTTAGATCCCTTTTCCAGGTCCGGAGTCGCTATGAGAACAGATCGTCGAAGCTCGCGCACATAATGGCGACAAAGGGACATGTGCTGCGCCACATCCAACCTGATCAACAAGTCAGTATTTGATCGATAATGCAGCTCATGTCGCGCCCTAAGCGATCAAGGCAACAGAGCTCGCGGCAAGCTCGTACCAAAAGTCAAGATAATCAACAGATCGCTGCTGATCTCGCATATAGATGTAAAATGAAAACAAATCAACCGGCGGCAGCGTGCGACGGCTCAACACCTCGAACAGAGTCGGCAATCGATTGCGCGTCATATCGGGCTGGGGCGTAGTTGACGCCGTGGTATCTCGGGGGTCGTCCATGGCGTTGCTGGGGTGTGATGGATGAGATGAAATGAGGGGATTCTCGGGGGCGCTCGGTATGATAAAATCGATGCGCTATTGCTCTCGGCTCTCGTCGCAAGCTGAGGTGGTTCGTGTAACGGGCAACAAAGGCTTCGCGAGGAGAGAACGAAATCTCCCTGCCAGGGGAGGGATTGCGATCCTTGGGGCGACCGAAGCTACGGACGATGATGCGATAGGGCGAACGAGCGAGAGCGCAAGAGAAGCTGTCGCACAGAGGAGCTTGTAGCTGCCCGTTGCCGGTGGTGATGGATGGAATGATGGCGTTGAGGCTGAATGGAGCAAACGGGTCAATTAGATTGGCGCCGGTTTCAATTTCCACTTGGCGCAAGTTTGGCGTGGGAAAATGGATGCCTCAGGAGACAACGCAGCTGCGTGACGGCGAATCACGTGAGCTTCGACGGGTCCAGATCTGGCTGCTGCATGATTGGCTCGCTACCCCCCCACCACCAGAATTTCCAGCCTGCCCTACGCACAAAGATTTTGTGGAATTTAGCATTTCCGACTTCAACCACCCTCTCTAAACGTCCAGAACCGTGAAGAGTCGATCCGCAGGTACGAAGCGCTCCAGCCCTCATTTTCTCATCCACGGAATCTCTGCCGAACCTCTCGTTCGCAAGAGAATCCTTAACACTTGCCGCCCACACGAAGACCTCAATCCGAGCCGAAAGAAGCTGACCGTCAAACCCCGATTCAGAAATGTCGTCAAAGAAGCCTGCCCAGCGCTCCGCCATTGCGGACGTGGTTGCCCGCGAGTACACCATCCACATGCACAAGAGAGTACGTCGCCTCGATCGCCCGGCCGTCATTGTCGGGACAAAGAGAAGAAGAAGAAAGTTGGAAGGGTTCTGGAAAGAGGAGTGCTAACATGCGTATGAAGCTGCATGGTGTCACTTTCAAGAAGAGGGCTCCCCGTGCCATCAAGGAGATCAAGTCTTTCGCCACCAAGGCCATGGTACGACCCCCCCCCCCCCCCCCCCAAAACAACAGCAACAACATCCCGCTAGGCGCTGCTTGACGATCGTCGAAACGAACGACTTCGGACTTCTTGGTCAATGGACCAGGGCAGAGGAGAGACAGACAGTACTAACCCGTCATTCTACAAACAGGGCACCACCGACGTCCGGATCGACCCCCAGCTCAACAAGAAGGTCTGGGAGCAGGGTGTCAAGGGTGTTGCTTACAGAATCCGAGTACGAATCTCCCGACGACGAAACGACGAGGAGGGCGCCAAGGAGAAGTTGTACAGCTACGTTCAGGCAGTCAATGTTAAGAACCCCAAGGGCCTTGCGACCGAGGTCGTTGAGGAGTAAAGAAAATTTGTTTCTCTTTGGGAATGGTTCTGGGGTGGCATGGCATTACGGAGTTGCAACCGGCTCTTCTAGCTTTTCACGCTGAAAATAAAAAGACGGCAATGTGATCAAAGGATTTTTTTTTATTCCACGGCAAAGCAAACACCCCTGCGACAACGATTGCTGGCGGTAGAGTCCCTGACTTGCTATGGAAGGGAGAGTGACGGAGAAGAGACCGCCTGGTGAGGCGATGATTGGTCATGATATATTCGACAAGGTTCAATTATCGGTTGTAACCTGTCATGCGCTTGCGGAAGGGATAAGGAAGCCCTCCTTTTTTCCCCAACCCCTGGCTGCAGAAATGCAAAATACACCCAAATACCCTTACAAATGATTGTTTCGTGCTCCAAGGACTCCGAGTACCCAATACCGTAAAATCATGAAGCTGCACGCTATGAATTGCTTTACTCCTCCTCAATGTCGCGATGTCGCCCCAGCACCTTCTTCTTGAACTCGGCCATGTCCTTGTCCCAGAGCTCCGCAGCTTCGCCATTCAAAGGGGAGGCGCTGTGGGAATGCCGGTTAGTGTCATTTGTCATTTCTTCTGTACCTATGCCGGCAACAGAAAGGGTGGACATACTTGTTGGGCTCGCCGAGCAAGCTCTGCAGACTCAGCAGAACAGTCTGGATGTTGTAGGCAGCAGTCCACTTGTCCTTGAGGATGTCGAGGCAGATACGGCCCGAGAAGTCGACGTTGGGGTGGTAGATGGGCGTCTTGAAGAGGACCGTAGGGGGCGCATAGGGATAGTTTGAGGGAAACGCGAAGCTCAGCTTGAACGTGAGCCCGGAATACGGCGTGTCGTCGGGGCCCTCGATGGTGGCGGTCCACGACATGAGGTTACCGTCGGCAGAGGGAAACGCAGAGATGCCGGGTGCCGGCGATGTCATGAGGGTCATCAGCTCGGTTTGGAGGCTATCGAGAAGACGCGTTAGCATCGAGCTGAGGTTGGGCTTCTTCTTCCTTTTTGCCCGTTCGTCATGGGGAGCGGCTACCGTTTGGTGACGCTCTGGGAATCGGGGCCCTTGCGAGCGGCATTGAGCTTGGATGCTTGGACGCTCCCGGGAGCAGAGTTCTGGTCGTCTCCGGAGTAGTCCATTGTGATCAAGCAGACGACGGTTCCGCCAGGCGCAACAAAAAAGACGGGCGAAAGAGTGGTTCTGAAAAAGATGGGAAGTAATGATTCTTCCAAAAGTACACCAATCGAACAACACAAAAGTCTCCCTGCAAGAGATTATTATGAGAAGAAGAAAGCTGACAAAAGGTGAGGTGGGTATGCAAACAAGCGGCAGCGTTCCGCGTTGGGCAATAATGGCGACGCCTCCGAAGTACTCCCAAGAAAGCAGTTGATGCAGGATGCAGTTGTAGGTGGAAACCTAACGAAGTAAGGAGGCAACGAGAATCTGAACAGAAAAGGCACGTAGGGGAAAGCTGCCTGAATAAGTAAGAAAGAGTAAAAGTACACGGCAAGCAGGGGTCGAGGGCAACGAACAAAGACGAGATGGTCTCACGAACAAGGAATGGATGGAGAGGTCAAGATCGACTGAGAACGAGCAGGAAAAAAAACAACCGGCTTCTGTTTGTTTAAGACACGCTTCCAGGTTGTTGCCGGTCAGCCTCTCTAGGGCGGGGGAAAAGCCACAGAGCCCGCCTACCTAAGCTTACAGGCGATGTAGTGAGCGAAGACCACTGAAGAGAACCTTGAACGCCCTGTTTGCCGCAGCAACGCCCGGACGACGGAGCCAGGCAGCCAATGGACGGAGGCGGGGCGGTCCAGGACAAAAACATTCAGCAGTCACCAAAAGCTGGACCTCTTTACACGGGGCTAAGGCGCGACTTGGTCTGGACGCGCTCATGAGCAATCCAAAAGCTCGTACTGCTGCCTGATGCTGCTTCAGCCATGATATCCGAATAACGCTCGAATCTGTATTATGTTGTTCTCTTAGTTCCTTGGTTCGATTCTTTGATTATACTGTCACTTGTCGAATTTTCTCCTCCCCTCTTTGCTGGCTTCACTTGTTCACAAGGTATTATTCGGTTGGATCGAAGAGGCTGCGTCGACGTAGCTTCACTAATAAATCGCAATCATGGTGAGTCAACCCCAATCTTTTACAGTGAGATACACTCAAATACGACTCAATTCATCGTAGAAGTCAGTCTCAGGTTCATTGACTTACTCCCTTGCAGTCTCAGCTTGATCCACTACCCAAGGAGCTGCCCTTTCGTATCATATCCAAGACCGTCGGCCGCGGTGCCTATGCTTCGTATGTCCTACTTTACCCCCCTGAAGTGGCCTCATGCACCGAACTGACATCAACAGAATAAAAAAGGCAATTCCACTAGACTCTCAAAGCCCAGTATTCGCCGTCAAGCTCATACACAAGGGGTACGCCACTAAGCATGGCCGCATCTCCGCAAAGCAGCTTGCCATGGAAGTCTCCCTCCACTCCCACATCGGCCAGCATCCCAACATCATCGAGTGGTTTGCCTCGGGGGAAGATGCCGTATGGCGGTGGATAGCCATGGAGTATGCCGAGGGCGGCGACCTTTTCGACAAGATTGAGGCAGACGTCGGCGTGAGGGAGGACATTGCCCAGCTCTACTTCTTGCAGCTGGTGGGCGGCGTGAGCTTCATGCACTCCAAGGGCGTGGCACATCGAGATCTCAAGCCAGAAAACATACTCTTGTCGCAAGATGGAAGTCTGAAGTTGGCCGACTTTGGAATGGCCACCATGTTTGAGTACAAGGGCCAGCGCAAGGCCAGCTCAACGCTCTGTGGCAGCCCACCATATATTGCTCCCGAGATTCTTGCCTGTGGAAAGGTGGACAAAAGAGCTCCCAATACCGCTAAATATGACCCCGATCTCGTCGACATCTGGTCCTGCGGAGTCATCCTGTTTGTTCTGCTTGTCGGCAACACGCCGTGGGATGAGCCGTCTTCCACAAGCTGGGAGTACAGCGAGTACGTCAAGACGTCAGGGAAGAGCTCAGATCCGCTGTGGGGGAGGATACCTCCTGAAGCCCTCTCCCTCCTCAGGGGCATGATGTCCATTGATCCGCAGAAACGCTTCACCTTTGCGCAGATACGGCAGCATCCATGGTACACGCGCCACAACCCTCTGCTCACTGCCGACGGCAGGATATCAGATCCAATTGTTCTTGCCACCAAGATGCTAGAGAACCTGCGTATCGACCTCGGCAAGATACCTCAAACTACGCTGACCTACCCACCAGCTTCTCACGACCCCACAGTCGACTCTGGGCTCAACGCAGGCCGATTCTCGTCCACCCAGCCGGAAGCCCCCGTAACTCCCATCACCGACATCGACTGGGACTGGGAAGCGCCCGTACTCCGCTCAAGGGCTCAGCCGTCTTCTCTGCCGCCAGGGACGTCTGGCCATCGTCGGATGCTCTTCGACACCCTTGCCGACGAGCCAACAATGTCACAGTTCTCGCACATGCCGGGTCCGTCCATGACTCTCACGCAGCAAGCCCGGCGGTTCCGCGACATCTGCCCCCCTGAATCCCTCACCCGTTTCTTCTCGCACGTCCCCGCCACGCACATTGTCCAGATGCTCAGCGACGCGCTGCATCAAATAAACGTGCCCCTGGCACCCGTTACGCCAAATCCGTACGGCAGTCCCATAGTCACCCTCAAGGTTCGCGCCGTCGACGGCCGCCGGCAGAGCCTGCATGGAGAAATCTGCGTAGACAAGCAGCCGCTTCCCGATGGCTTCGAGGTGCTGGACATTCGGTTCGTCAAGGTCAAGGGAGACCCGCTCGAGTGGCGGCGGTTCTTCAAGAAGGTGGTGGTGCTGTGCAAGGATGGCGTCTATGTCCCGGAAGCTTAGGGGAGGACGGGGCAGCTGTTTGCTCATGATGGGAAGATGATGAGGCCGCCTGAAACGGCAGCGATAATACTTTCTGGATAGAGACATTGTACTTATGTATTTGCGTATGTATGAGCATGAGTATGATCGTGGCCATCAGGCATGACAGGCGAAACAAAAATCATCATTTTGACAAATTAGTGCCTGGGTCAGAGGTCTTTGCGTAAGTCAATGGTGCTCCGTGTAGATATATAATGGTTCATGTTATCTTGTCCTCATTCCGAATCGACGCCTTATTCCGTCTGTGTCGGAGCCTCGATCTCCTTGTCTTGATCTTGCCATTCAAACGCTAAGCAACCCGTTAGTCCCCGTGATAACACGCATCTTCATCAGTATCCGAAGGGATCAGGTAGAGGACATACGCTGTCGACACATTGGGCATTGTCCCTTTGCCGACTCCTGCTTGATCCATTCCATGATGCAATGCTGCAGCTCAGTCAGCACACACCAACTCCCATCATCACACTCGCCAGACAGACCACCTACCATGTGAAAACTATGGCCGCATTTTCCAGACACTTGATAGCAAAGCGTGTTAACGCGTCTCGTCCAAGCGGTGAGTGTATTAAGGCCATTTTTTACTCACAAAGGCTGCAGTCGTCGCCGGGGTATTTGCACGTCGGACACGTCCCGTCAAAATGCACCTGACAGATGCCGCAGACGTCGTCCTCGGGTATGTCCCATTGCCATGTGGCGACTGAGTTCCATTCCTTGATGGTGACTTTCATGATTGCAGAATAATGCCCTCGTAAAGAGGGAGAGCAATTCCTCAAAGCATGGGTGGAGTTATGACGCAAAGTGGCTGTGTTGATGTTGATGTTGCGATGAAGTCCGACGGTGTTGCCGGGGAGAGCGCCCAGTTTGTACTTTGTCGGCTCTAGGGTAGCAGTCTCGTGACCAGGCTTGGACTTGGGGAATTTATGCTTCAATTGCATCTCAACTAAAGGAAGCACTCGTCGTTGATGCCATTGCCAAATTCTCACCTACAAAGGCCAATAATCTCTAGATGGACTTCATGTGTTCAGCTGATGCCATCAGTTCCTCTCTCGTGATCCATCCGACCATGACCAAGGCTCCCGGACCGCCGAGACACCCAATAACGGCGGAAGTAATCAAGATTCTAGCCCAAGACAGTCGGCATATGCCAGCACTCTTCAAGTCTGCAAAGTGATATGCCAACCAAAGCAACAAGGCCGTAAAAGAAACGATATAGTCCCACTGAAATATAGTATGAAGCGCCACAAGCGGACTCTCGGGAGCCTCGATGAGATATTTCGGAATAAGCACTTCTGAGACAGGCAAAGGCGAGCTGAGGATCATGGACCAGTAGCACATCACGCTGAGGCCTATCATGAAGCCGCCGATAGTGCGAATGGCCGTCTTGTTACGCCGCTGAACAGTTTCAACGCGCTCGTCGAGAAACGGCCGAATTGCAGTTGAGAATGCAAACAAGAGAATGGAGCCCCATACAGGGAAAACCTGCCATATCCAATTCACCCAGTGTCTGACTTGGAGGTCAGGGTGGACGAGGGAAACGACATGAGGGACGAAGAACGCCACAAGTAGTGCTGGGAGGACAGCAAGCACACCAGCGCTATCAATCTGTCGGGCGCTGGCTGTCGAGTACTTTTGGAGGGGAGACAAGACATAGAATAGGTAAAAGTAGGATGGCGTCGTGATTCCGAGAGTTATCATCTGGGCGACAAACAAAGGCAGGGCAAACCTAGAGCGTGTAAGAGAGCATTTCAAACGAGCAACTGGACTAAGCATCCTCTTACGTCTGGAAGAAAGTCCCTTTGTTCGCATTTCTCAGAGACTCGAGCATCCATATGGCACAGAGACCAGCGTAATCGGCGAAGAAGACGAGGCACTGCCACCATATCGTAGGGTCGTCATCAAAGACCAGCTGGCCGAAGCTGATGGCAATCCGAGCAAATGCATCGTCAAGGACGGGAACGCCAAAGAAGGTCCTCAGAACAGGCACATGAGTCCCATTCTGGAGGACATATCGTCCCTCGCTGTAGGCCTCTTCCACAACGGGCGCAAGTGGACCAGTCATGGCCATGGCTCGGATCATGAAGGCCGTTGGCAGCAGCATTGGCAGGGCTTTCAGCGCCCGACCTAGAGACGCCATCCTTGGAGCTCGCGACGCTATCAATCAATCACGGGCTATGAAACAAGGCAATTCGAGCGGCTGAACCAATCAAACAATTCGCTTCGTCTAGCGGACAGACGCCACCAATGGCTCTAGAAAGAAGGGCAACGAACAAGAGCAGCAGAACGCAGCCGAGGTTTGGCGCATGACGATGCCAGCGAGGGGATTTTCTGGGGCCAAAAGCTGGCGGGGATGCAGTCACTGCAGTGCAGTTCGCACGAGCTTTATCGGGAAGCGCACATCAGTCACCAAATGTCATGCATGGTCCAAGCTCCTCCCCCCACCACAAGCGCCAGTCGCAACTTTCGGGTCCATGATCGAATCCGAACCTCATCCTCCGCCCAAAAAACCCGCTGCTCTTTCGCATTGCAATGGCTGCGCTGCCAGTCGCTTGAGGTCAGGCCATCGAGATACAGCTGGACGAGGCGTGACTACGGCAGACTCTCATCAGCGCGGCTCTCGAGTGAAGCACAGCTACAGCGGCTCGACCACCGGCGCAATCCATCACCTCACGCGGCCAAATACGCCATATCGCAACCTCACGCCCGCCCTCGATGGCCTCAGTCGTTGCCGGCCAGTCAATGCGGATTGGTCTTCCAAGACTGGGCAACCGGTTCCTGCGGCCCAGCATGTCGACTAGACGCAACCTCTCCTCGTACCTGGTCACTCCTAAGGAGCTCCACGAGGCGCTGAAGAAGAACCCTCCTTCTCCGATCAGCCCCGATCCCCGAGTGATCCCTCTATGCGCTGCGTGGTTCCTCCCCAACGATGAACGGACTGGCATCCAGGTCTTCCGCGAGCAGCGCATCCCCAAGGCGCGATTCTTTGACCTCGACAAGGCCATCGACAAGCGCAGCCCGTACCCTCACATGCTACCGGACCCCAAGGGCTTCGCCGCGGCCATGAGCGAGCTGGGCATCCGGCGAGACGATATTGTCGTCGTCTACGATACAAAGGAGCTCGGGATCTTTAGTGCCCCCCGTGTGGCGTGGACCTTCCGGGCGTTTGGCCACCCCAAGGTGCACATCCTGAACAACTTCAGGCAGTGGGTTGCTGAGGGACTGCCCACCGAGTCCGGAGAGTTGTACAGCGTCGAATGCAACCCATACCCCATTCCGGAGCTTGCGTCGGACAGGGTTGCCTCGTTCGAGCAGGTCAAGGAGGCGGTGCTGGATTACAACAAGGAGGGCGCAGAAGGAATCCAGATCTTGGACGCCCGACCAAATGGCCGATTTACGGGCCAGGACCCAGAACCCCGCGAGGGTCTGTCATCTGGCCACATGCCAGGATCCATCAATATTCCTTTCAGCTCTGTTCTTGATCCCGAGACCAAGACGTTTCTTCCGGCTGATAAGCTGAAGAAGTTGTTTGAAGAGAAGGGTGTGGACCCCAACAAGCCCATCATCTCGACTTGCGGAACCGGCGTCACGGCATGCGCCATTGATACGGCCCTGGAAGTAGCAGGATACCCCAACTCCCGGAAGGTGTACGACGGTAGTTGGACGTAAGTGGCCTTTTCTGTCAAGATCTGAGAACTGTAGACTAACAAGACGCAGGGAATGGGCTCAGCGGGTTCATCCATCAGAGAACTTGATCGTCAAGTCGGAGTAGGGAGACTTTTAGCACAGCTTTGCTGTCGATTTGTTTGAGCCACGATACCCTCCCCTTTCTTTGCCATGATTACTACACTTCTCATGCCGCTTGTACAAAATATTGAACTATGGAGTATCTCCAGCTCGTGTGTGTTTCTTTGCTTTGATCGATATCGTGGCTCAGCCTTTTTTCGATTTTCGATGCGGAACCGCGATGGTGAACATTGAGTGATACTCGGTCCATGTTTGCGCAGCCAAAAGGAATTATCTGTCAAAAAATGCATGGTCCACCACTTCCGGCCCTTTTCTCTCTCCTCATACCCAGTGATTCTAACTGTGAATGATTGATCCCTATGCTCTCTTGTCTTCCACTCACAACAAAACAGCTTGGGGCGCTTGCTCACCTCGGTGAGCTCTTACTCAGCATCTCGGTCTGTCGGTGAATCACTCACCGATCCACAGATTCTCGCCTAACAATTGAGGCAGCGACCCACAAGTCCTGTTAGGGCTCGCCTAACCCGACCACACCCGCAAAATTCCCAAGCGGTACTAGGCCCCCGCCAGCGAAAAAAGTTCCCCCCCCAGTACGAAGGGCCACAACTCGCAAGCAAATACAACATCCAGGGCCGATCCTGCGCAAACCGTCTCATCGCGAGTCCCCCCAAAAAGCCTTCGACTCCCCCTTCGCCCCTCCGAAACAACAAAAAAAATAATCAACAACAATGGCTGATCGCGGCGGTGCTCGTGGCGGTGGTTTCGCTTCTCGGGGCGGCGCCCGTGGTGGTGATCGTGGTGGTCGTGGCCGTGGTCGTGGCCGTGGTCGCCGTGGCGGCAAGAGCGAGGAGAAGGAGTGGCAGCCTGTCACCAAGCTGGGCCGTCTTGTCAAGGCTGGCAAGATCAACAGCATGGAGGAGATCTACCTGCACTCCCTGCCCATCAAGGAGTACCAGATTGTCGACCAGTTCCTGCCCAAGCTCAAGGACGAGGTCATGAAGGTGCGAATTGCCTCTGTGTAACTTGTCTTTGACGATGAAGCTCTGCCGATTATGCCCTCGCTTCTTCCGTTCACGGGATTCGGGGAAAAGAAGATGGGCGAATGAGAAGGCGGAGAGCAATGAGGCAGAAAAGCTTCCAAACGGAGACAAACCGAGACACAGTTGCGCTAACAGGCCTTGCTTTTTCACGAAATACAGATCAAGCCCGTCCAGAAGCAGACCCGTGCCGGTCAGCGCACCCGATTCAAGGCCATTGTCATCATCGGTGACTCTGAGGGCCACGTCGGTCTCGGAATCAAGACCTCCAAGGAAGTCGCCACTGCCATCCGTGCCGCCATCATCATCGCCAAGCTGAGCGTCATCCCCGTCCGAAGAGGCTACTGGGGCTCCAACCTCGGTCTCCCTCACTCCCTGCCCTGCAAGGAGTCTGGCAAGTGCGGTTCCGTCACCGTCCGAGTAAGACTTCGCCCCGAATTACCGCAGTTTGCGCAAATCGAGAGAAATGACCTTTTGCTAATGTCCAACTTTCTATAGCTGATCCCTGCCCCCCGTGGTACCGGCATTGTCGCCTCCCCCGCCGTCAAGCGATTCCTCCAGCTCGCCGGTGTCGAGGACGCCTACTCCTCATCCGCCGGCTCCACCAAGACCCTCGAGAACACCCTCAAGGCCACCTTCTCCGCCGTGTCCAACACCTACGGCTTCCTGACCCCCAACCTGTGGAAGGAGACGAAGCTGATCCGAAGCCCTCTGGAGGAGTTCTCCGATACCCTGCGCGAAGGCAAGCGATACTAAGCGCTTGGGAGAGGGAACGGGAGAAAGAGTGTGGTTGTTGAAGAAGGGGGACTGGAAACGGTGCCGCGGAGTCAACGAAGACAAACTTGTGTTTCATTGCATGGTTTTTGGCCGGTTAGGAACTTTTTCGGACATGAGCGTCATGAGGATATAAAAATGGGCCATGATCTGGAATGAGAGAAAAGAGAAAAATTTTCAACTGGCGTTTCTTCTTTCAAACTGCGCCTACAAAAGTGTTTTGGTGACTGGTGTGAACTGCTGCCTCTTGAGAAGGGAGTTTCGTTGATAGGGGGGCCTCTGTCATGGTCCCTTCCCCTTCTTTTCGGTTGTGAACTCGTCTCATAATACTAAACAGCTGCCATTCAGATTCTCATCTACTATTCAGGGGCTCCTTTACCCCTGATTCCAAACTCCATACTAAACACTTATACAGTTCATTCAACAGCAACAAGGAAGCTAATCAATCCCTCTTCACCGGAACCTTGAACTCAACCACAGGCCCATCAACCTCCATCAACCTCCCCACGCCCCCTTTCCACTTCATCTCCATGTCAGGGATGCGATACGTTATCTGCCCTGCCCTGGAATACGTGCCCCGATACTGCACCGGGACGACCGGCTTCGGCGGCTCTCCCGTCTCGCCCCTGGCTATCGCGAACAGATCAGGCTTCTGCTCCTCGCCCAGCTTGCGCAAAGGACCCTCGGTGCGCTGCATCTTGGCAGGTCGACTTTCGGGTATCAAGTGTTCCGGCACAGCTGGCAGTTCAAAGTGGTGGGTTACACCAGCAGCGGGCTCGGTGGTCGAAGAGCCAAAGACGGCTTGTTTGAGGACATCTCCCCAGGTGCGTTTCTTAGCCGGCGGTGCAAGTCCTGCATTTACATCAAATCGTTAGTCAATCTTCATCGAGCACAGGATAAAGGACGGGGTAGAAGGAGGTTAAGGGAGGGGGTAAACTCACTCATCTTCATCCTCTCCTCAAACACCCTCCTCTGCAACGGCGTATCCCCCATCCAAAACTCCTCCCTCCCAGGCACAAACCTGCGCTTCCTCTCCGCAGCCTTCCAGTACGGCATCTCGCCATCCTGCTCCAGCTCCAGATCCTCCGCCAAGGCAGCAACCAAGTCGTCGTTGTCGCCAACATTCTCCACGCTAGCGGCGGCTGCCCTCTCCGGACCCCTCGACGCAATGACTCTCCGTCTGCCCTCGGACTGCAGGTGCACCGGCCAGTTGTTGATGTCCCAGAAGAGGTGCACGGCCTTCTTCCTCGACGGGTGAGCAAACGTCCAGACGGGCTCGCGGCGCATGGTGGTGGTGGTGCGGCTGTTCTGCGCCCGCGCGGCGAGGGCGTCGTCGGCCTGCTTCTTCTCGTCTTGCGCCTGTTCCTTGCGGAGCTGGACCTGCAGCGCCTCGATGCGCGCGCCCCTGGTGCCCCGGTCGACCGTGCGCCATATCTCGTCGCTCTCCTTCTGGAACCTGTCTTTCCAGGGGGTCGGGTCCGCGACTCGATACCGCGTGACGTAGCTGTTGTACGGGAGGTGCAGCGGCCACAGCATCGTCTTGTTGTCGGCGGCCTCGCGCAGGAGATTCCTCCTCACGAGGTCGTACGCGACGCCCTGGTCGGGATACTCCTTCTCCGCCCACTCCGCCCTGTGCTGCTCGTAGACTTCGGGCTCGGCGATCCTAACGACGTCGGTCCAGAGCATGGTGATTCGCCAGTCCCTCGTGTTGGCCCTGTTCTTGGTGCGGTCGTTGGGACGCTTCCTCGTGTCGTCTTCCCAGTACTCGATGATAGCGTCGAGAAACCTGCCGTTGTGCTCTTGCACCTCTGGGTCTTGCAGCTTCTTCTCGTCCTCTTCGTGCTGCCTCTGCAGGGCTACGAGGGTCTTGCCCAGGCGGTAACCCAGGCAGAAGAAGAAGTTGGCAGTCTTGTCGTGCCACTCGGGGCTTCGCACGGGGTCCTTGATGAACTCGTGGAGGGAGAGGACGTCTTTCCGTTGGGGCATGTCGGGGGGGTACATGTGGAAGTCTTCGGATGATGCGGGCACGGAGATTTTGGTCGAGATTGTGCTGTCTGAGGCCACGCTTGCGTCGTCTCGCATCTTCTCCTTGCCCTTGTTCTTAGGTCTTGCCTGAGAGGTGTAGGAGGTGAACGGCTTCTTCTCCAGAGATGACTGGGGTCCAGCTTCCGGCCACTTGACCAAGTCTTCGGGATGAAACTCCGTCTCTGGCCGTCCAAACATCAACTCCCCGCTTGTCCGGTTTCTATAAAGTCTGCTTTTCTCGTCAGCTTCTTCTTTTCATTCATTCATCATTGGGTCAGAAGAACATGGGGGCAACACTCACTTCAAAACCTTCAACTCGTGCAGCTTTGGAGCAAGCACCTTCACCTCTCGCTCAGTAAACTCGTGCCTCTTCACCGGCCCACGGCATCCCACGTTCAGCTCCCTCAGAAAGTGCTCCATCGTCCTAGGCCTCATGTCGCTGAAGAGCGAAACGGGGCTCAAGTCGCGCATCATCTGCGTGACCCTGGAAAGCAGAAGCTCTCCCTTCTTCCCAAGAGCCTCCTGGAGCGTGTGCGGGCGATTCCGCGAAGGCTGGCAGATGTACTCCAGCCACGCTGCCTCCGTCGGCCTCAGGTTGGCAAGAGAAACCCCATCAGCATCAAACTCATGCCCGCCAAACCTCAGCTTTGTCTTTCCGATCGACGACCCCGACAAGCCCTTGTTCACAGCCGTCAGAAGATCAAAGATGAAGCCCCGAGGAGCCCGCCTCGCCGCCCGCTTCAACCCCTGGTGAATCCTTTGGCAGCGCCGCAAGAGCTCGTACGTCTTCTTCATCTCGAGGTTCATCAGGTCGGGCTGCACGGGGCCTTTGTAGTTCTTGGGGAGCTGCATGACGGGCTCGTCGCTGCCCTGCCAGAGCTTGTGCGCGTACGACTCCTTGACGGCGTGCTCCCTCGCCCACTGCGCCCATCGCAGCTCCTCCTGCTTGAAGAACTGGTAGGCCCTGGTGTAGGCCCAGGGGTCTCGCGACTCCTTCTCCGGAGGGTGTGTGAGCCTCTTCATGGCGTAGATGATGCCCGCGTCTGGCTTCTTCCCGGCCGCAGAAGAAGGATGAGAAAGGGGGGAAACGCGCCCCGAGGCGTCATTGAGGGGTGAGCTATCACCCTCCTTCATGGATCTAGTGACTACATCCCGAGGCCTCAGTTCAATCTCGGGCCCGGGAAGCTGCGGCAGCCTCGTGCTTCTCTTGGGCCAAAAGCCCGTCGGAAAGTCGACAATCAGCTGCTGCTCGCCGTAGTAGTAATTCTCAAATATCCAGTGCGCGCGCAGCATGTCGAGCGCCTCGCCGAGGTCGTGGATCCAGGCCTCGCCCCGGGACTTGGACTGCAGGTAGGCAAAGTACTCGGCCAGCTCGGCAAACTTGCGCTTCCAGTTCGCAGTGCGGTCGATGTCGCCGTCGGCGAGGAAGTTCTTTGCTCGGGCGAGCTGGATCCGGGGGTCTTCGATGAGCCAGCCTTTGTAGTTGTGATGTTGCATGTTGCTGGAGGTGGTGACGACGGCATCGGGCCGTCTGTTTGTATCGTCCGTGGGCTCAGAGTCGACGTTCAGGCTCTCAGTGTTGCCCTCGTCCGCGTCTGTGGACTCGTCTGGTCCAATGGTCATCTCCAGCTCGATGCCCGTCCTGGCCGGCATCTCCGCGAATGCTTTACTCTGGAACTCGCCCTGGAACCTTTGCGAGATGTCCGACAGTTTGGCGAAGCGTTGAGCAAAGGCCTGCTTGAGCTGAGGCGCCATATTGGGCAGTTCGTGTAGGAGATTGCCGACTGACTCTTTGCTGAGGAGCGTGTCCATGTGCTGGTACATTTTCTCCACGATTTCAAGCTCCTGGAGAGATATGGACCATGTTGGTGTCGGGGAATTGGCCGAGTCGTTGTAGAGGGGGTCGAAGCCGTTGAATGCGTCTATGGCCTCAGAGAGGGCGTTGTTTGATGCCAGATTTGCTGGGTGAATGCCTTTCTTGATGGTCACGGTATTTACAATGTCACCGTTTTCTTCTCTTCGTGTCAGCCATGTGACCAATCTATCAGGAACTCAAGTGATTGATCAGGAAAGGGTTACTTGACTCACCTTTGACAGTGGGCTGCCAGCTCACTCCTCCAGTCGTCGAGGGCCCGCCCTTCAACCTCTCATCAAGAGCAGCTTGCAGTCCCTCAACGGGCACCGAAGACGCTGCTGCTCGATCAACCACTTCACCAATGACCCCTGAACCAGGCCCTCTGAGATGCGGATATCGACAGCCAAACAGCTGTGAAAAGTGTCGACGAGCAACAGGATGTTCCGCGAGGAAGTCATCCAGGACATGATCCCTCACAAGTGTGTTCAAACGCTGCAACAGGTCACCTGGCCTTCCAGAGGCGCCGAGTTGCTGCACCTGCAACGGCAGCTTGTCAAAGTTGCCAGACAGGACTTTTCCTATCCTCTCTGTAAACCCCCCGAAATCAGCAAATCAGACAATGGTCGACTCATCTGGGAGGAAGCTTGCTTACCGAGAATGCCTTCTACGCGATCCAAGAGCTCGAGCTGCAAAGTCCCCGCGGCTGCGTCTCTCGTCGTCCTAGTTGTAGGTCCTCGCAGCCGAAGCATCAGACCTCGCGAGTCGGGGTCCATGGCCACCTCTGTGGCCGGTGGAAGAGTCGACATGGTGATGGCGTCGGTTGCTTCAGTCTTGCCTTGAGCGGTGGCTTCAGATGGCTCGAAACTCTTGGTTTTTCTTTTTCTTCTTCTCCTTCTGATATCGTCGTAGCCAGGCAACTTGAATCGCTTCGCAAGAGAAGGATTGCGGACTCGCACAAACTCGTTTAAGCGGAAGAGGACTCGAAACGAAGAGGAGGAATCAGGTTTATCAGACTTTCATTCTCGCATTTGATGCAACTCTATCTAGAAATGCTATTTTGGGAACAAGGCGTCCTTTGTGTGCTTCTTCCGGACGTTTCAAGAAGCACACAAAGGTGTTCCAGAAGTCGTCTACGCGAGTCAAAGGCAGCAGCAGCTCTTTGTTGAGTTGACTGCGGCTGACAGACTGCATCTCGGGAACGGGATGTATCAACGGATGCTCTCTACAACCATGCTTAGGTGCTGGGACTCGTCTTGTTGCGGTGCTTTCGGAGCAGGGAGATGATTGCAGCCTTTAGCAAAAGAAGAAGAGGATATGTTGCTTTGACCAAGTAGTCGTGCTATTCGCATCAAGAGGTCCATAGGTTGACTCTACGCTCTTTTGGATGACTGCGCGTGCAGTTCCCGAGTATTGTCATCCAGATGCGTCCCGAATCTCTCTACCCCAGATGATATCCTACTCTTACACAACATCGAGCCTTCTTCAACCTCGCGATACTTTGGGACTGCACGACAGACATGGTTGTAATGCGCCTGGTCCATCTGTCGCATCAATCCTTATTTTCATCTGTATTGTTGCCTATCTCCGACTTGCACCAACGTCACCAACCATAACCCATGATGACAACGAAATGAAGAGCACTCACCGCTACCCTCTTGGACATCTCCAGAGTACATACTATGTCGTCAAACCTCACTCAACCCCTCCAAGCCTACATCACCACCACATCCATAAAACCATCAAAGCCCGCCCCAGAGCAAAGCAAAGCATCCCTCGGACCACCCAATCCAACGAAGCACAGGCACACCCACTCCTTTTCCCACAAAGAAATCGACATACGCCACCCAATCATCTTCTCACCAAAGCACAGATCCCATTCTCGACCCTCCGGACAAACAAAGAAACAAACAAGCAAACAAACAACATCCCCCCCTCCTTTTCCAACGCAATCCCCTGCTAATCACATATCTCGCTTCCCTCCCAATCGCAAACAACCACACACATACTTTGTTCCTCGCCCCCCTCGTTTCATTCTCTCTTTCTTTGCCCCGTTTCACATCAAATCACATGGCAATCCGTCTCATCTTCTCCTCTCAATACCTATGCATCCGTCCCCACATTACAGAGAAATTCAACCTCCTCTTACACTCTTCGGTAGAGCAAAGTAAGGTCCTTTGTTATCCCCCAGATCGTCCATCCTTCCATCGTACACGCACCGCTTCTCAATGGTCGGCATCACCTATCAACCTCCTTTAACCCCCCAACACCAACAGCGCCCCCCAACCTCTGTCTCTCTCTCACTCTCTCTCACGCTCATCAACCCTTCACTCCCATCGTCTTTCTTCCCACAACCCCATCCTTCCCACACCCCAAACCTCACCCAATCTCGCAAAAAAAGAACTTCCAATCCAATAGCCCCATATCCCCCAAACCCCTCTAAATCCGCAACTCGCAAAACTAACTCCATGCTCATTCTAATCAGACTCCATACAGTTCTTGGTGTTTCCCCCCAAATTACAACGTTGCAAGGCTCTCTCTCATTCCCCCTCATGCATCATATCATCAGGTAATAGTACTACCCGCATCCGTGCACCACACAAAATCAACCTGTCAAATCTCAACCCTTGCTCCAACAAAGTCACTTCCTCTCCTTCTCTCCTTCTCTCCCTCTCTCCCTCGCACACACAGACACTGCATTCCTCCCTCTACTACTACCACCCAACAAATAAACAGTCACATGATATCCCAAATTGCGCATATACGTACGCCTTCAGAAGAACGAAGAATACCTAGAGTCATAATAGGCAAATTGTGCATTCATGATCATATCGAAACTTGACAACCTCCCGCTTAAGACTGTACAGCCTAGCTTAGTCATTCTCTCAATCCAGTCCCCAGAACCAACCTCATTAAACTCGTTCCCACCACAAAAAAAAAAGCTCCAACCGTCAAAGGTCCCTGAGTTGACCGAGATTAAAGACCTTCGCATATGCACATCTCAGGCAATGATACCCTGCCTTAAGTGAAGTACTAGGAAGAGAAGTGCTACTCTCTCGTAACGTACTTTGCAGTACTGGGCTGTCAGTACCTAGGTACCTAGGCAGTAATACTAGTAGAAAGAAAAGACAAAGAGAGAATCGCCAATGCCCTCATTCTGATCAAAACCATCACCAGCATCATTCAATTAAAGGAGGGCTCAACTCTTGTCGTCATCGCTCGCCAGTTGCAGGCGCGAAACAGTCCCATACAACTAGCTGTCTACCACATTACATACAAGATGGAACAGAGACAGGTCTCGCGTTCTACCAATTCATCCACAGCCACTTTAAAGCACACGCACTTGCTTTCTTGTTCAAAGAACTTTCAACTTTTTTTTTCTCTCTTCTTTTCTTTCCTTTCTTTGTGCCTGTTCGCACTACCTCATATGTACAGGCCGAGCGGAGATGATAATGCGAAAAAAAACAGGCTGATAACCTAGGGCAGCAGCCCATGCATGCATGCATGTATCACCATGCGCATCTTGTGCCGCCTCCTTCGACCAACCAACAGGCGGCAAACAGCACCTTGTCCAAACCCCTTCTTTCCAGAAGAGACCGATGGGTATCAATCCGTCCGCCGCCTTTCCAATCTGCTCTTGTATCGAGAAGAATTATAAACCAATAGCCTTGCCTTGCAACAAAGCCCATGTTCTTCCTCCCAGACGCCAAGTAGAGATCAGATCCGAAAGTCGAAAACGGGGGTTGTTCAGAAAAGAAAGAAGAAAAGAAAAGAAAAGAAAAAGACCTTCCGGCTGCTTCTCGCACCTACTCTCCACCTCCGCTCCGTGGTATTCTTAAGACGCTTTTTTTCTTCTCCTCCAAGGGGGCCACTGTGCATTCTGAAGAGTCCTCGTTCCTCCCCGGTTCTCAAGGCTGGCCGAATCCCCCTTTCAACTCCTCTATCCCCCCTTCAATACTATATCCACCGCAACATAGGCCTCCCTCTGGATAGGGAGCCGCGCAACTCCTGGATCCATGTAGGCGTGCTCCATGCCCGTGGAAACCACGCAAAGCGCCCAGAAGCGCAGAAGCTGAAAAAAAAAAATAGAAAACAAAATGTCAGATAAAAAACGATTCGAGGAAAATTTGGGTATGATCCGCGTTCCATTTTTTTGGTGCCATAAGAGACTTGCTGAAAGATTTGACTGCGAAGATGAACTGGAGAAATAAAAAAGGATTTGGGAGAAAAAAATTGGAATTAAAAATCAATCGCTAAATGCCATGACGTAGATATGAGACAGATCATTCTGGAGAATTGACCATCAAGTTTGAATGTGATTGCTTGGAGGACTGAGAGTCCAAAGCCATGACCTCGAAGTTTGAAACATGAACGTCCCTCCCATCCGCAAGTGAATGCGGACAAGGAGAGAGGAAAGAAGCGTGTGCTGGATTAATCGACCAATGCCAAAGGTATGCGCCACCAAATCTCCTATTGTTGGTGGATACCGTGCTGGTTCACAAAGGCAGCGTACTGCTGCACGTGTTGGGGATATGAAGAAGAATGGCTCTGGGGAGTTGGCGTGACTGGACATCGGGGTGGCAGCTGGTGGTATGAGTCCACCTTTGCCGTGTTTCCGTAGGCGTTGTCGGGGGTGATGGGAGGCGTGAGGTAGCCGTCGAACCCGGCGGCAGCGCCGTGGCCCTTCTGGGGGGTGCTGTAGATGTCGGAGTGCCTTGAGACAGGCTCGGCAGGGGGCGACTGGGGGTTGGCCTGGAGCCGTGCCATCGCGGCCTGCTCGGCCATGAAGTCGGCCAGCTTCTGGGAAACCTTGGACAGGGATGATGAAGAGTACTTGCGGGCCAGGGTCGGCGAGGGCTGGTTGAGGTGCTGAGAAAGGGTCAAGAGCGTCAGGTTCTCGGTGTGGTCCCAGTCGCCGTCGTTGATCTCGGGCCTTCCCAGGATGGCCCTGGCCAAGGCTAATGAGGAGCGAGCCATGATGGAGGACTTGGTCGAAACGAAATCGCGGTGGTACAGGGCAATCTCGCAGAGGTAGGCGGCCATGTGCTCCACCTCCTTGTCGTCCTGCTCCTCGGCAGCCATGAGCTGGGTAAAGAAGTCGACGGTGGGGTGGCCAATGGTCCATTCCAGGGTGTTGAGGACGTGCATCTCCATCTGGGTGAACATGCCGGCGTCGTACAGGCCGCAGCACATGTTGTTGAGTTCATGAATCTGGGGCACGCGGTCCTTCTTGTCGCCGTACTTGGCCGCGATGAGAAGAGCGGCACAGCCGACGAGCTGGTAGTGCTGCTTGTACACCACACGGCGTGAGCAGTACCGGTCCAGCAGGTTGACGGTGAGGAACAGTGTCTCGGGCAGCAGGGCGAAGGCGGCGTGGGCCTCGATGAGGAAGTCGATGAGGTACGGGCGCATAAACCATTGGATCTCACGCTGCATATCGATGAGGTTGGCATCGGGAAGAGTCTCGTCCTGTTCGGAGGTTAGCGCAATTGCAATAGGGGACAAGGACAATGCCAGGTTTATCCCTCAGGCGTGGAGGTCAACGTGCCTCCATGTGTCGCATATGCTTCATGATGTCTCCCAGGTACTCCTCGCCGGCAAGACGAGAGAGCTCGCAGGCAATGGTCTCTTGTCGGCTGCGCGCGAGCATCTTGGCGGTCTCCCGGGCGCGAGTACTGGACTGGGGCTCATCGGTCTCGATGAAGAAGTGTTCGTCAGGCTGAGCGTAGGCCATGATGTCGGACGAAGTGTGGCGAACGGGGGGGTTTGGTGTTGTAAAATTAGTTTTTTCGGCGGTGTTATATGTCTAAAAGAGTGACGGCAAGTTCTCCAGGAAGCTTTGAGTGGGAGAGACTATTGGGGGGGGGGAAAAGAGCGAGCCTCGGGTGTATCAAGGAGTGAATGCCACCCTAGGAATTAAGGTATTAAGATATTAAGGAGCGTGGTGAAAAAACTAATGGAAAAGAGTGACTGTGGCTGGGAAGAAAGCCGGGATCATGTAGACTGAATATTCAATCGAAAATGCAAAAGGGACCGGGCGGAAAGGGGGGGCGCCGTTCAAGGACGTCCAAGGGGACCGACTCGACTGCTTCTAATAGGAAAAATCGAATGCGTTAGCTCTCATTTGTGCCAATATAAAGAGAAAGATAGAAAGCCCGATATAGAAATGCAATCTGGGGAGAGGAAGAGGGCCAAGACATGGGGTTGGAAAATGATGCGTCGCAAGAGAGCCTTCCCCTGAGCTGGGCTTTGGCAGAGCCCACCCGATTCGCTCCCTTTACTCAATGGAGGGGGTTGGCTGGCATGGAAGCGCACGATGGATTGGCACGAGGGCGCGATGGACCGAGCAGGGGGGGGCAGATGAAGAGGTCTCTTACCGCCACGTACGAGGAGACAAGGGACAGAGAGTAGTCAATGAGACACCTCGGGCAATTGGCGGGATCAACGAGTGAACGTCTCCCGCAGAGCAATGCACCGAATGAGAGGTAGAAGGTCGAGCGCAGCTGTGGAGATCTGCTGAGAATGCGGAGCGGGCTCGGGTATGCAGCTGTCAAGGGAGCGCACATCGAATAGATTAGACTATGCTGCGGACACTGGCGAACCTCGAGAGCCTGGCGGGAGGAGGAGAATGAAGGGGGGAGAAGGCAGGAGAAAGGAGAGAGATGGAGAAATGCTAGTGAGGTAGTGGATGGATATGGATGAGTAGGAGATAGGAAAAGAGAGCTTGGTCCTACCTGTTGTCACACTTGAACACCTTGAACCTGGAGGGCACCGAAAGGCGGTGGGAAGAAACGATTAAATCATACGAGGTGAGCCCAAGGTCAAGAGGCTGACTCTTTAAGCGCAAGCCGGCGAGAAGAAAAAGGTGAGGAGGAACTGAAGGTCAGATCCACACAAGCACCTCAAAATCCTGCCGATTTGGAGACGAAACTGGGGAGCCTTGGGTGAATTGGATCGAGACAAAGCGATGGAAGCCCGTCTACGATTGGCAGTCTCGGAAAGGAGAAAAATTTTCCTTCTCTTTTTTCCTTCGTCGTCTATCCTTCTCGATTTGATCGTCTCGTGGGTGGCCGGAGAACGAAAAGGGCGAGAAAAGAAGCGGTTGGCGAGCCAAAGTGCTGCAAGAAATTCCTTGTCGCTAGAGGTAAGGAATTCCAGCACTCGAAGGGGGCCGGGCGAAGAAAGAAGATCGAGGTGGGGGAAAAAAAAAAGAGAAGACAACGAAGAAGGGCAAGAAAGAATCAAAGAATACCAGTGAATAAAACAAGAAGAATACCAGTCCTGATTCACTTTTATTCCTCTCCTCTCTCTTTTTATCCGTCTCGGAGCTTCTCCTTGGTCGCTTTATAAGAGGGCCGCAGAAGAAGGGGGAGCGCTGGTTCTTCGAGCGGTAGCCGGTCGGGGGGGGGATTCGATTCTCCTCAGTCCAAGGCCAGAACTCCTATTTCGACCGTGTCTAGGGGTCGGCAGAGGAAGCGGTGGAATGGATGAGGGAATGAGTGGATGGGAGAGAGAGAGAGAGGGGAGGAAGAGGAAGAGGGAAGAGGAAGAGAGGTGGGATAAGAGGTAGGAGCAGGATGCAAGAAGAGAGCGAGGGCTGGCCGGGCGGTAGTTTTAACTGGCCAGGGCGCTCTCTCGGGGCTCTGGCACAGCGCCGCTCAGCACAGCTCAGCACAGCTCCAGTTGGCTTAGGTCCTCCATCTTGCTTCCCCAGCACAGCACTGGAGCGCGAGCAGCGCAGCGGGTGAGGGTACGAGCTGAGCGGTACTGTGTACGAGAGCCAGTGCAGGTACCTGCCCCGTGCGACAGGTACCGCGCTGCTAGCACTGCAGCCCCCCCTGTCGGGCGCGGTACTTTGAAGTGGTGCGTGTTCTGCGTGGTCCAGGTGAGGTAGCGTGTACCTGGCCTCGCGCTGGTGTGCCCAGCAGTCGCTGCGTCTGGGCTGCGTACCGAGTACGGCAAGCTTGTACGTAAGGTACAGCAGCCCGCAGCGTGGAGCAGCCTGTGGGAGCAGGCCTGGGAGTCGGAAAGGGCATGGAGCAGCAGAGATGGAGCCCGGACAAGGAACATGGAACAAGGGACATTGATGGGAGGGACATGGAGCATCAAGCCATCCATCCATGGAGCCTGGTCCTGGCCGGGGGAGGCTCCAGGGCTCCTCTCCTCTGCTGAGGCCGGCCCTCAGTGGTTCAGCGCGTGCCAGAGGCTCCAGCCGGCGGCCCCCAGCGCAGTTCTGGTCTCTTCTTACTTTTTGGCGGCCTTTCCTGCTTTTTCCTCGAGTGTTACGACAAGCTGTCAGTGGATCCTGTGGCTGAGGCAAACCTGTACAACGTACAGGTTTCCTTTTTCTAGCGTAAAAGATCAATTTCAAGGTCAATTTTAGCGTAAGAGGAAACCCGTACATTGTACAGGTTTCCTCAAGGTATCACGTGCTTCCTCCCTTACCCCTCAGTACCTTGCAGTACCTACCTACCTGACCTACAGCACACAGCCCAGTCAGGAATTGGCCTTACAGCAGCCGTGCTGTGTCTGTGTTGCAATTGAATTTCCAGTGCCTTCCGACCAGTCAATCAACCACATCGCGATTAATTACAGGTCAATCAGCCACATCGCAATCAACCACATCGCAATCAACCACATCGCAATCAACCACATCGCAATCAACCACATCGCAATCAACCACATCGCAATTTATCGCAATCAATCAGCTGCATTACAGTCAATCAGCTGCATTACAGTCAATCAGCTACATTATAGTCAATCAGCTATATTATAGCTATATTATAAGGTAAGGTATAGCTGATCCTTATGTAGTTAATTAACTGGTCGGAAGGCACTGGAAATTCAATTACAACACACACACAGCACGGCTGCTGTAAGGCCAATTCCCGACCGGGCTGTGTGCTGTAGGTCAGGTAGTAGGTAGGTACTGCAAGGTACTGAGGGGTAAGGGAGGAAGCACGTGATACCCCAAGGAAACCTGTACAATGTACGGGTTTCCTTTTTTTAGTGTGAAAGGAAACCTGTACAATGTACAGGATTGCCTCAGCCACAGGATCCACTGACAGCTTATGTGTATACTCTTTTTCCTCTTCCCTGCGCACCGCGTCGGCGAGAGAAGGACGAGTGTGTGGGCTGCTGGGCGGGCTACAAGGGGGGAGTGAGCAAGGCCACAAGAGGGCCAGAAGGGGGTGTGCGAGCCTGGCTGAGAGGGCGAAGAGGCGCTCAATCAAATCTCGAGATGGCCAGGTCCCCCCCGTGCATGGCGGAAAGTATCAGAACGGCAATACTAATACAAGTACAGCCCTGGAGTAGTAGTATGGTGGTTTGGTGGGTGGTGAAGGTAGGGGGGGGTGGCCGTTTTGTTTGTCAACGCCAGAGAGGGCCTTTTTTTTCTCCTCCCACAGGATCTGTTCTGGTACGTGTTTACATAACAACTTGATCAAGTCGCTACTACTAGTACTAATAGAAGGCACTGGATGCGCTGCGATGCGTGTTGGATCCTCAATCCCGTGGATGCGGTACGGGGAGACGTGTGCGTGTGCGTGTGTGCGTCAAGCTCGTGTTTGCGAGGCCCGGACGATGCGAGGAGACGAAATAGACGCGCACAAACTCACAACAAACTCCGGTATCCGCACGAAAATAGTACATACCTACAGTATCTCTTCTACGCAGGATGTATTGTATTAGTATATCGTTGTGCACTCTTGGCGATGCGATCCTGATGCCCATGCCGTGACACATGTCGACAAGTCAAAAGGGAAAAAGAAGGCGTCGGCGAGGCGAGGCGAGGCAAGGCGACTCCAACACAAACGCCAGACGAGACAGTCTCCTCCTACCTACCTGTGCCTACCTACCTAAGGTATTAGGTATTTACTCACTCACTGCTCCCTACATCAAAGTTGCACTCGGGCACTGAATATCATTCGCGCATGAGGCGAGGTAGAGGTAGCAGCAGAAACATGCTCCCCCCCCCTTCCCTTCTTCTTCGCTCTGCCAGACTCCCAATTTCTTCTGCAGTGGCTGGATTTGATTTGATTTGATCTGAATTTGATTTGATTGCCGTCCATCAAACGTCGGGTGCGTGGAGTGGAGGTGCCTTCAATTCTCTGACAAAGGCGGTGTCGCTGCTGACGAGGGCTGTGGTGGTGGCAGTATGTAGGTAGTATTACCGAATTCGAGCACAAGTTGCTGCACCTCACATATCCAATTCGCACGCTGAGATTTGCCCGGACCCAAGCCCCTTTTCCCCCTCCCACGGCTCCCTCTCTGTAATACTACCAAGTAATAGCACTTGTAATAATACATAGGTGGCAGCTCAGAGTGCCCACGCAGGCAGGGATTCGGCCTGGACTTCGGCGACGGGGCGGGTTGGCGTTGGTGATGGGCATCTGCTAACGCTTGCCTTGCAATCCTTTTCCCGAATCTTGAATCCCGTCTCTGTGGTTTGTACAGTACATACAGCAGTACTTACATACACGCTCCATCCGTGCCTGATGTGACGAGGTGAACGGAAATGCAACAAACACCACCACCACCACCACCACCAGCAGCTCGTAAAAGCGCAACGATAGCTTCAACGTTAAACAAAAGGCAGCTCAAGTCAGTGTATGTATGTACCTTTGCAAATGTTCAAGTACCTACTTTCTCGGATAAGCAGTCGACCCCCTGTCCGCTTCTAATGCGGAGTAGTGCCTCGTGCATATGCATGCATTAATGGCTGCCCATCAACCTATCCCGACATGTTCCAGCGAATATTGGCTCCAACTGTGGCTTGTGCACCGCCCAGAAGCAGATACAATCGGCATCCACGCCAATGTACGATATCGTCATGACTTTTTTTTTTTTTTTTTCCTCTTCCCGCTTTTCGAGCTTCTTTTCTCTGTTTTCCTTGCTCTGGATGCGTCTTTCGAGATGGTGAGGCGGCCGCCGAATCGGGCCTCGCTGCAAATGACGACAAACTAGTACCACCAACTCGAAGTCTTCAGCTGAAAGCCGCGGGCCGGCGACGTTGCAGCTGAGACTTGTTTTTCTTTTTTTTTTTTTTTGTTCGGGTCCTGTTGATGTTATTTGCAAACAAATCAGTGTTCAGGTCCATCAGATTTGTTTGTTTGTTTCTTGTCGGGTCCAGAATCGGGTCCCTCTCTCTGGTCGCTGGACCAAAGGGAACCCCCGATTTCGCATCTTTTGCGCGTGCGCTGCGTGACAAGCCCAGAGCTTGTGCCAGCCGCTGCTCCATCCGGGCTCTCTCGTGTGACCGGGACTTTCAAGCGGTAAAAACACCATCTAGTAATGCTACTTCTAGTACTACTACTAGTCCAGGCACCTGTAGGAGATATCGGAAAGCTTGTTGACGACTATTTTATGACGGCAATTTGACTTTTGCTGGATCTGAAGTTGGAGGGTGCACCAACTTCCCGATGGGGGTGGAGTTCTCTCTTAGCATCAAGTCCAAGATACCTACTGTAAGAACTTCTACCAGCTGCTCAACCCTGAAAACGGCCATTATGCTTTCTGTTGGTGAGAGCCCTTTCGATACAGACAGAGTTGCCGTGTATAAGTAGAACAGCCTCTGCACGTGTCCAACCTCAAGCTCCTCCCAACACCCCCGAAAAGGAGCAAACGCCAAACGTGCCCCAGAAACAGCATCAATCATCCATCATCACCAACGACACATTGCTTATTCTGGAATGTCCAGTGGAACGACGCAACCCCAATCACACCGCATGCGAAGAAAAACACGAAAGAGAGAAAAATAAGCCCTGTCAAAGTTCCGCGCCGAGCGAGCGGGAAAAAGGCCTGATGCGTCGATGATACTACCTTGAACAAGAAGAAGAAGGAAACCCCCCGAGACGCGCGCGCGCGCGCGCTGCATCCAATGGATCCCCGTAGCCGTTCGCGCATGTTTGGCGCAACGATGGGCGGATCGTGCCTGGGATCTCTTTGCGTGGCACGAAGGGGGGGTGAGGAGGCGGCGCATCGCCATCTTGTATAAGACAAGATGATGACTTGCTGTCATTAATACAGAACTTGAAGCATGAATTCACAGAAGAGGCAACGAGCTGCAGCCAGACGTGCAGCCGGCGGATGCCATTTCGAGAAGATGCGGAGATGCTGCCTAGATGGCGGCCCCCCTGGTGATAGTACTTACATACATACAGTACCTATTACTTGCCCTCCAGCATCTTGTATCTGCAGATTTACAGGTTTGTTGGTGCGTCGGGGATGCTTCAACGTTCTCTTGACCGCGCTTTCGCAAACGGCACTTGGCCTGCGCTCTGCATGCAGGTGTGGCGATGATCATGCTCTTCCGTAAAACCACAGATGACCTCAAAAAGAAAAAGGCACCTATTGCCTACTTTGTGATGCACATGTCCATAGGTGCCTTGCGTGCCTTACTCCCTTGACATCTGTCTGCCCATAGTAGTAGTACTATTTCTCAGTTTGATACTACTGGAAATAGCGTCTGCCACTATCGCGACATTTCGGCTTATACCCCGTATTCTGACCCATACAATAGTAGCGCCAACCCCCCATCTCCAACTCGGCATGCCCACGTTCGCTGCCTCGAAACCAAATGCCCTCAAACAGCCAAGAACTCCACGCCGATACTATCACCACCACTTAGTATGGCTGTACTCTTAAGGTAGTTTAGCAGTGGCTGCAGCCCCGACGCTGAGACGAACGCCTCGACGCAGAAAGACCCGCCAACCTCCAAGGGATGAGGGTCCGCCGCCGCCGCTCTTTTCTCTCTCTCTCTCTCTCTCTCTCTCTCTTTCGTGTCTCCAGCCAATCACTACGTCCAGACGCGCTCTTTTGCTGCACGACTTTTGGGACGGGAAATCCATCCTTGATGCATGTCATGAGCATGGGAAAAAAAGGGTGTTGTCTTGTCCGTCTCCTCTCACACCAGTCCAATCAGATTCGGCCTGCCGGGCTGCTGTGGCTTGTTTGTGTGTGAGAGAAAGAGAGTGTGTGTGGGAAAAGGGCTGCCTCTTGGGGGCCGTGCTGTTGCATTTTGGACTTTGGCGCTGGTTTTTTGCATCTCGCGGCTCTGGTTGGTGCTTGGGCTTGTCAGACAATATATTATCAATTGCAGAGGAGGACTTCTCCTGCTTGTTTGGCATGATAATGGGATTCTCTCAGTTTGTATGTGATCTTACATGCTACGTCTTGATCACTACATGCAATGTGGTGATAGGTAGGTCGTAAATACATGTATGCAGAGCTGATGTTCCGCAAGGCGGCCAATTGACACAGTCAAGTCAACCTCGCCGAATGCCCACGAGACGCACCATAGCCGAAGCAATGACAGGCGCTCCCAAGTCTCCCTCGGCTGCTTCCAGTTACATCCGAGAACATCGCTCCGTCTGAATTGCTTTTCATGTGGTCTTTTTATCTAGGTAGGTAGTACTACCTGGAACAGAGGTGCCAACAACAACGCCACTGGTCAGAGACACATGATACATACGATTTTCATCGTCCAGACGCATCAGAGTTGACGCGATCGACTAGCAATTCAGGTTCCAAGCCATCGATGATAGAGTTTTTAGTACAGAGCATGTCTGTCAAGCTCAAGATACCCCAGGTTCCTGACGCTTGTTTGCTCCCCCCCATGTGTGTGTGTGCTTGCTGGAGTGTGGAGCGCAACGCCCGCAGAACCTGTAAGGTACCTTACTACTAGTAGGTACCTGCAACTGTAGCTTCATCCAACTACCTAGGTATAGTAGGTACAGAAAGCATCTCAAGTCCGAAAGAGGCCGTTCCTGATCAAGTGCAATGACTTGGAGGTGGAGATGCCCTCAAGAAGTCGTCCCATGTTGTCCTTGATCGGAAACGCCTGTATCTTAGTCGGAGTGCTACTAGTACTCCTATAACCACTGAGGTACCTACCTAGTGAAGCCTCATCTCTGGCTCGATAACACCCCGCACCAGCCAACGAGCAGCATGCCAGAGCCCAAGACTGAAGCCGGGCCGGCCTTTAATCTCCCCACAGATTCAGACACCGTGCATGAACAGCGAGCCTTATTAAACCTGGGCCAACATACGGAGAAGGCAGAAGTGGTTATACATAGCAGTAATATGTACTCGCAGAGTTCATTATTCCTGTAGTACTAGCTACCGCATTGAGAAATCACAAAACGCCCCTCAGCTTATTCGCATGTGTCAACGGGAACACAAGAGTTGCCAATCAGGCCCAATCGGGACAGTCATCACCAAATCGGTCAACATTGGGTTCGTGACTCCCACAGTGGCATCATTCATTTCATCAGAGCAGATAAGTGAAGCTGCCTTCAATGGCTGCTTGGCTGCCACAGACTCGCAGAGACTTGTGTGGGACAGGGCGCCTCCGTCTTGAGCCCTTCGAAACTTAAAAGAGACGGGATACCCATGCTTATTACTGGGCCCCTTGATCCCGACCGGCCTTTTCTGACGAAGCTTGAATGGTCTGAGACCTTGAGTAGAATTTGATAGATTACGGTCCAGTGCCATGGCAAGCATCTGACACAAAGAGCATCTGACACAGAAAAGGGGACGTCTCGGAGTCGAATGAGGAAACCCAAAGGTTAGTACTAGTACTACTGTGATTACATGTACCTTGCCTACAGGCGCTTCTCCCTCGATCTCTCAAGGTTCCAGGTCCGTTCAGGCACGGGAATGACTTCTCGACTTTGGGGGATCTTCGTCTGCTTGCCATTCCAAGCATGGGCCGTAGGTATGTATTTCACAGGCATCGCACTTGTACTACAGTACCTTAGATACTCCCTAGGTATCAGTCTAGTGCTCGCACTTCGTATCATCGCATATCCCTGCAGAACAAGAGGCAGATGCAAGACTCGATGCAGTGCAGCCGACCAAGCGGCCTTTTCACTGGAAGGGCAAAGCAAAGCAAAGCAAAGCAAGATGACGATTTGCGCCGGCTAAGATGAGATCCGTTGCGCCCAGCTGCATGGACGCGTGGGCATACAGTATTACATCCGGCGATGCACAAGAGGTGTTAATCCGGGGCGAGCAATTCGTCCATGTGCCGTATTCAGAAACACTTGTCGCCTATGATTTGGACTCGTTCTCTGGCTGTCGACATCAGAATGCCGGCGTACCTGAGCACTGCTTCGCACATGTTCATGAATGGTACATGAAATAAATAACGGCTCTCTACAGAACTCGCTTACACTCCGATTGCACACACACACACACACGCACAACCCGTCCGGATGCCACGCAACTGAGACGAAGAAGCCCCTTCACGAGATGGGCTTCCCAGGAAAGGAAAACAGGACCGACACACACAGAAAAGAAAAAAAAACACCCAGCGTCCAGCGATCGCCCATCCCAACCAGCATCGGTCATGTTTAGCCTGCCGCGCCATTTGTCTAGTAGGTATACTACTACTATCAAGACGACCGACCAAACCACGCGATGCCCCCCTCTTCCCCCGAAGAAACCCCCATCTCTCGGAGAGAATTCATAGGGCGCGTTTTCTCCAAGTGTGTTTTGCGTGGGTGAGATTTAATTAAATTTCAATGCCTCTGTCAACGCGCGCGCGCGCTCTCTCTCTCTCTCATGCCTTGGGGGGGAGGGGGAACCCGGCGCCCAATTAAACGCGCCCCCGGACGCGCAACTTGTTGGATGAAACACCGAGGAACGAGTATGGATTACATGGAGTCTTCCAAGACGCACCCCACGCCAATTGGAATCAGCACTATACATAATACTACATACAAGATACAGACTGATATGGAAGTGCTGCCCTCGTGATGACGATGCTGGAGACTGGTGAGATTCACACGCTGCGCTTGGACTTTGTAGGGCTGGCGAGGTGGAGATGGCGATGCTTCCTTGGCTTTTTCCTTGCATCTTCGAGGCTCAACTTGGCGCTGTTCTGTTCGTACATACATACTACATCAATGCATCCTCGTACCTACCTACGTATAACAACGGCCAGCCTGTCCAGTTTCAATTCAGGCTGAGCTCGCGATGCTACCTCCCGCCTCCTATTCCTAGTACATACCTACTAAAAGCTCGAACCCAATCCTGCTCCGGCTTCCCACTCCTGCTTTAATCTCAGTAGTACTTGTATAATAATAGCCCTCCTGCTCATGCCTAATCGTGATAGAACCCGAGGCGTCGATTGGACCAGACTTTTGCCTCGCCTTTCTCCCGCTCTCCTCTCGTCTTACCCCTCACCCGCAGCACCAGCACCAGCACCAGCACCAGCAACAGTGGACACCTCAGGAACAACGACGAAAACCAACGCGGGAAGCCGTGCCAATCTGACGGTATTACTTATGGATGATGCCATTTTCCCCCCTTTGCGGCTGCGGTCATCGCAATCTCCCGGTTGCGTCGTTGCTCCAATCACGGCCATCTCAGGCAGGCTGACGCGCAGTGCTAAGGGACAGTATTAGCTACATATATACAAGCACAGCACATCTCCTCTCGCCAACTCGGGAATCGATGTTCGTTGCTTTAGTTGTTAGATGGGTTTTGTTGCATATACTGTACCTACAGATGCCCCCTATTGGATGCACAAGAGACATCGTTCAGGAGATGATTGCGGTTCTTACGCACGATGATTAGATACATGTATGTAATGAGGTATAGATGCAGAATATTGGAGGACCTGGCGCTTGCACCCGGCCGCCTCGTTTCTTCAGGCGATCGTCGTCCACGCGGCGGGTGCCACTTGGATATCTTGCGGTCTGAAGGTCCCGATTTATGTACTTTCCGCGAGGGGGGGGGGGGGGGGGGGGGGGGGGGGAAAGCCATTATTAGATGCCCGTGACTGACGATCTGTATTCCCTCCTTCGCGGTACATAGTTGTATTACCCCGTAATACTGTACGAGATACACTGATGGAACAACATGCGATATGCATCCGTATCTGGGCAAAACCGCCTCCAGTCGCGAACCAGCGCTACGCTCCAAGGAACCATGAACCCGGACCCCGAGGCTGATCCATCGCATTTACACACAGGTACATACATACCAATACTGTAGAGCGGGAAAAAACGCCATTCGATAGCATCAGCATTAGCATTTGCCCGGTCTGTTGACGAACGAAGCCTTGATTCGCAGTCCATCTACTCTAGCGGGCGCGCGCGCGCATCGGAGTGTTTCGTCCCCCAAACCAAGCAAGCAGACAACCTGTTTTCAATAACGATGATTTCTTGGTCTCCATATTCAAAAGTCACGACCATCGCCCCCTTCCCCTCCTCCATTATATGGCTCAGATCTCGCAAGAGATCCCGAGCCTATCCTACCTATTATTAGCTTGGCCATGGAAGTCCTCTTTTCCCTTACGCCCGCGTAACGACGGCGGCACTTTAGGCGATATTGAAGAAGTCGCACTCTTTACGAGGCCGGCCATGCAGCAGGCCGAGAGGGCCAATCTTTGGCAGACCTACGTAATGCCGCCACTGTTGGAGCGAGAGTAGCAAGACATAAAAAGGTCCCTTCTGTTTGACCTAAGATTGGGCAGAATCAGGTCACGTCTTGACAATGCCTCTCTAAGGGGTCATGATGAGATGAGAGAGAACTGGCCGTTCTCTTCTCCTGTCGCTGGTTCAGGTGGCACTTGTGGCGAGTACCTAGGTGTCGATCATGTGTATTACATAGGTACCTTCTAAGCCTCAGATGAAGCACGAATCATTCTTGATTTGCCTCTGCGCATCAGATCATATCCAATTATCCCCTGCAATCAATCTTACCTTGGCCAAGTATCAGTGATATAAAACTCAGAACCAAAGGACCAGCCAAAACCCCCCTTCAAGCCATCACAGTGACAACATCAGTCAACGCTCCAGGCATCTAGGTAGGGTGGAGAACCTCCAATCGTCCAGCGACCCAGTAACACTAGGTAGCATCAACCCACTGAAGCCTTGACAGCCTCAAATCCCCCGCCTCCCTTTCCACGTCTACATACCCTGTAAGTGTGCTTTTCTGTCGCAACACATCCCCTTCTCAGTATAACACTAAATCCTGCGACCATCCGGTCACTGCCGCCTCCCCGAGACAAGCAGGAAAAAAAAGGGAGGAGAGGAAAAGGAACAGGAAGAGGCTGTGCCGAGCGCCTCTCGGGAAGGATAGCCTTGCGTTCCGCGAGACCTTGTGCGTTTCAGCAGAAATCATGTCTAATCACGTGGGAAAGGGAACCCAGCCCCTTCGCATACTGTATTACTATGTTCATCAAACAAGACCAACGAAGATCCATCACTTTACAAGGCGCAAGCAAGATTTACAGGGGCTCGGGTTCTCTAAGTGAGTTATTGTAAGATACGGCGGCAGAGGGAATTATTCAAGTATCATGCAAAAGGCACGCCTCAAACATACCTACCTAGCGAAAGAGAGGTTGAGGCATCGAAAAGACATCGCTATATCATAAGACTTCCAAGTATATCACGTCGTAAAACGCAAAGCCATTGGAGCACTTTACGTATAGAAAGGGAGCAAGACGAAGCTACTCTACGCATACCGTTACTACATAACGACACATGCACATGCGCCTACTCAACCTCCTGCCGACACTCTGTATTATTACTGTAGACCCCTACCCACCTTGCTTCACATGCAGGGAGACATTGTCATCCAGCCTTGAATCCAAAGTCGAAAATGGAACACTTTCCAAATGAGGGGTGCATTTTTAAATTGACAAAATTCATCTCTTGTCTTTGATCTTCTTTCTTCTTCTTTCGGCTCGGCACTGGGATTCCCTTGCAACTCGATGATGAGGAGTCGCGAGCAATCTTTTCGTCTACTACTACTAGCATTGGAGCTAGGTATGTACCATGACTATGTACCTACGCTGCCGAAGCAAAATCCATTTGATAAACGAGGCTCCAGTTTGAGGGCGTGTGTGTTTGTGTATCCAAATTGGCCCGTGCAGCGCCAGGGAACCTCAACAAGGTACGAGGTATCCGGCGAAAGTAGTAGCCATTGCATGAGTACCGACCAGGGTAGTCTGACAGGGGTCCCAAGGTACCCAAGAATCCGCGTTTCTGTTAACCTTCGCCAAATCCGTCAAACCAAGTCGCCGAGATACTAATGCAGACCCAGTTAAGCCCTTGCCAATACCTGTATGGTGGCCACTACTTACCCTGGAGACCTCGTAAGCCTACAAGCAGGGCCAGAACTCCTCCTACTCTGCGTCTAATGAAAGAGCCAAAACGTCCGCGCTATTCATGCCTGCAGTCTCGATCAAAAGAGGAAAAGAGGAGTCAAGCAAATAAGAACAAAAAAAAAAAAAAACACAAACGTTGAAGCAAGGTTGTGGATATCGCGGCACTTGGTTGTCTGGAGAATGCAAAATTTTTCCTCTTTTTTTACTGTTTCTTTTCTTTCGTCGGCTATTTGGCTGAATGTTGGGTGACGGGATGGCGCCATACTGACATCTACTCGGGCGAGCTTTCCGAACACCCATACAGGTGCAAAAAAGTTTTTACTTTACTGACGCTGAATTGGTGGAGTTCTTCTTATTGCAATTCTCTTCTCTGCCTCTGCCCCTTCTCGATTGTTGTTGTCTGCAGTAACAAAGTCGAATCACAAGTGCCCAAGCCAATGCAAGCACTACTGTCCGAAATTAGTGCTATACATAGCACAAGCCTGTGCACTGAAACGTCATAAAACGGACGGGGAGAGCATTAGTAGTAGTGCTAGCATTTCGTGGTTCGGCTTGGGTGCATTCGACAATGCGGGTCTTCCTTCTGGAAGCCTTCCGTATGCGGCATGGTCAAGCGGGAAGGCAAAACGAGGCTGAAGAGCTGTCCCGAAGAGGAAAAGAATCTTTCTCCGCTTCTCTTCTGTTCGTTGGGTCCGTCGGCTGATGCTGCGGTGGGGAAGGCCTTGCTTGACAACTTCAATCTTTGCTCTTTAATCCTTTGTTTTACTTTGATGAAGCTCGTCGAAGGCATCTATATCAGTGAGAAATGGCGGTCTCATGAGCCAATTGCCTTGTCTTTTGTTGCATCCATCACCAAGGCAGAACAGAAGCCTCAACCCGCCGGATGGATGCCGCGGCACCACCTGGACCGGTCTTCACATCCTGCTACCGCCGTGGTGTCAGGGCCGTTAGCCTCTGGGGCAGCCGAGACTGAGGCATGTGTTGACTAGTAGCGTCTCGCCGAAATCTTCCCGTGCTCGGGAACTCGATGCATGCGCGGACATGCTCAGAGGACGTCGAACGTAGTAGTATCTCCTCGATGACAGATCTGTCTTATCCCCACCACTACCGCTGAGTAGGTTCTGATGTTCTCCGTATGGCATGTACTTGAGGTATCTGTGGATTAATAGTGCCGGCTTTTAGGAGGAGGTCGTAGTGAGTTCGGGCACGACGTACCCCGTGGTTCGCGCCATTAGATCGGTTTGCAACGAGGCGTCATGTACGGAGCACCTCGAGTTACTAGTGAGAAAAAGAGGATCAAAGAGGCACGTCGCAGACGCGTCTCCATAGCCGCGCTTCTAGAGTAAGTTCATATTCGTACAGGTAGGGTCCAAGTAGACTCTCGGGGCGTGTACACTACATATACACACCACAGGTTCCGTAGCGGCTGGGTTTCGTGCACTCGAATCCGTGGCTTTACGTTCAACGGCTCTTGGGCGAGTGAGAAGCCGCCCCAATAATCCCTCCGGATCGCGAGTCCGTCGGCATATTAGGTACTTGTAGTAGAACCTCCTATCGTACATGTGCAAAAAACCTTGGCCATGCCTTGACGCAGATCAACATAGAAAAGTCATAAATAAGCACCGCTGGCGAAGAAAAGTGACTTCCATACTCGTACGTAGTAGGTATGATAGCAGTACTGGATTGGGCGGAGAAGAAGACAAAAAAAAAAAAAAAAAACTTCCCGAAGCATCCATAATGGGGCGTATCCAGTGGAGGAAAGCGTTGAAAAAAAAAAAGAAAAAAACCTTTGCCGATTGGAGGGAAACTATTTCCACTCTCCAAGAGTAGTTTCCGCGGTGGAACAGGAAATGGGGGGAAAAAAAAAAGGAAGGAAAAGAAAAATTGAAAATAAAGCAAAAAAAAAAGCCCCAAAAACTTCCAAAGATGCCAGCCTGTCGTGATAACTTGTACCCTGTCGCATGGTACTGTAGCCACATGCAGCTTTCACCGCCAGCAGCTCACATGTACGAGTCCATGTACCAAGACATGAGGGTCACTGAGAATTCGGATGAAATGCGGATGCATGTGCTCGCTGGGCTTGGCCATTGTATCGAGGACAAGCAGCTGGTTGATTGGCAGTGGACTCGGCGTATGCCTAAACCGTGTCGATGGCTGGTCAGTCGGCTACTGACCTCGCTGATGATGAGGCACGATGCCGCCGTAATAGAGGCTTCCCGCCCACTATCGCCGATGGCTTCTCCGTAGGCGAGGGTCTCACGTAACAGCCGCCAGGCTCGGTGGCAAGATGACGGCGGTCCCAAGCAGTTAGCGGTGTGTGTGCTACTTCGCAGCAGACGCGCCCATTCCATGCAGCAACCTATCTGCCCGGCTCATGCGTGAACGGAACACAGGAGGAAAGTGACACATACCTAGTACATACCTGGGGAGGGCACAATTAGACCCGGGATATTACTGTAGCATGCCGCTCTTGACAAGCCAGCAAAACCCTTGGCCATGCATTCGAGGTGCCTGAAGTACAGAAGAATAGAGCCATCACACCCAAGACACGACTTCGTGATGGCTGGCACCGCGACAATGCAAGAATGAGCGCGCAGGGCGGACACTTCACAAGAGCCGCTGAGGAGACAACGCCTCCGGCCTCCGGAATGCCCGTACGCGTGCAACTCCGACTTAAGTCGGCGCGGCCGCCGTCAGCCACGCTCAAGTCCGGCGGTGGCCGGCACACCATCGGTCTTGTCTGCCCCGTATCACACGGTGCGTCGTCTCTGATGACCTCCGTCCATCTGTCAAGTTCCCAAAGCCTTCGTCGGAAGACATAGGTGCGTATGTCGCCTAGACTGCATGGGTGATTCCTTCAGCCAGTCGCTGCCTCCTTCTCAGACCAATCTTTGCTCTTCCAATCACGAGAGATCATGATGTGGTTCGCAGCAACGCCCCTCCAACTGTACAAGTACGTCGGGCTGAGGTCACGGTGTCCGAACGGAGCCGGTTTGTTGCGGGTGCCTCGCTGGCGCGCACAAGTTCTCGTACCTGCTGGCTCTGGCACCGATATGCACGTATGTACATACATGTATCCCGCACTTGGTAACATGCCGGGCTTTCCTTGCCTTTTCCTCAACACGTCTGCCAATGAATTGACAGCTGATTCGGGGCGCGGCCATGTGCTACTGCGTCGCGTCCGCCCCTCAACGGATGCGCCGACTGGGGACTCGCATGCAGAGACGTGCTGTGCCAGGGGTCCCATTGGATTGGAATCTCGGATCAAGGCTCTAGTTTCGTGGGGCGCAGCGTCCTGCGAGTCTTGGCCAACAGGCGGCCCTGCATCGGAACAGCAGTCGAGCATATTGGAGATGGTGGTGATAATAACTCGTCACTTGCTCGACGCACAATTTCTTGGTAAGCTGAACCGGCACGAGATGACACCTTGGGCTTTGGCTGCAGTCGATTGCATCGGCGTGAAAAAATGCCTTAGGATTCAGGCGGTAGAGTGAACGCAGCATGGGCAACGTCACACCGTATCTGCAGTAGCGAAAATACCAAACTGGCGTCTCAACACGACAGTTGGATCCCGGAAGCTGTCCCCACCTAAGTCGGCTCATCAACACGCCCAAGGTCAGTGATTCCCCAAGGTCTTCGGATGCAACAAAGTACGAGTAATAGTACTCTTGGTCCGACATCCACTAGGCCGGACTAACCTCTGAGGGTTCTTTGTGGACAAGATTGAGGAGGAAAAAGAGAGCCATGACAAACCGCCACAAGCTGACGTCCCAACGTCACCAATTCCTCGATATAAAGCATCGATAATGGCATAAAACGCCACACGCAAGGATGAGGCCCCTAACTGCAGAGAATAGCATGTGACGCGAAATCGCCACGGCGTAGACAGCGGCTATTGGACGCATTCAGACGTTCCGATTTTGTAGTGTCAAGGCGCGTGGGGCTTCGGGAAGGGCAGATCCTGGTTCTTGAGCTGAGTCCAAGAGGTTGAAGCCTGTTCCTTGTCACGTCAACACGTCCAGCGCTGCGTCGTACAAGTACTACATACATTGATACCGCCTGTACGGACATGTGCGCTCCGTACTCGCACCTGTGAGCATCCAGCCACGGCGACGTTACTGGACGAGCAATCTCGGGCTTCGGCGATGTTGCCCAGGCCACTCATACTTCCCATTGACCGCATATCGTATTATATGAGCAGCATGGCCGTCAGCGGGCCAGGTTGAGCAAGCTGGACTAGCCACTTGGAATGACGTCTAGTAGTCAACTACAGACGCCATAGTGCATCTGATCCACCACCTGTTAGCACACGTTCCAATGATGGCTATTTGGTCGAGGTTGAAGGGCTTTGCTGATACTACCAGGCTCCTCGCTGCCTGGACTTGTTGACGCCTCTTTGCAATATCACTGAAGTGATGATCCCGAAGCACGGCAGAATCCATCCGAGACCAGCCAATTGTGTAGGCCCAGCTGCTCGATGGCAACCCGTTGGCACTATGCTAAGCTCCGTCTAGCTCGGCCATTTAGCAAATCGTGGCCTGAGACTTGGTCCAGACAAGCTAGATGGAGAAAGGAGGAGCCAAAGAGAGAAAAAAATCGTCGAGGCATGTGAGGGAGAAGAATCGAGTACAGCATGCAGAGGTACGCAGGTAATCCGGAGCACGAGTATCAAGGTAGGTAACTTCCGGCTAGTGGAAGCTGCGGTCCAAAGTACTACCTACCTTCGAAATACAGTAGCAGAAGTGGGATTAGCAGAGCCAAGGAAGGCGCTCTGCGCATTGAACGACAAAGTGCAGGTGCATACGAGTCTGGACGGAGTCTAGAAGTGGTGCTCCGTGCCTGCCGTGCTGGAACCATTGTCCAACCAAGGAAGGCAGTCCCCACAGCCTGCCGAGTCGGACATGGAAGAAAAAAAACGAGTTACGCTGCAAAATCCAGCGCTGGCCAAACTTCGACCTTACAACCACCGGCGATGGAAGCTTTCCAGCCATTCGCAGTGCTTCAAGCCGTATCTATAGCATCTGTTTGCTGGCCGTGCGGAACAGGCTGGGTCAGATATCCGACAGATATGCGGCTCTTGAGCTCTGCTGGCCTCAGCCATTGAGGGTCGCATTTGCTCTGACAACAAAACACCAATCATGCTTCCAGCCTGGGGTCTTTGTCTTGCAGCCTCTGCTATCACTGCTCCCTCCGACGCTCTGCATGATGGCACATGAAGATGGTGCGATGCCTCGCTATTACCAGTTCGTTGTTCGATGGGCCAATCGCTCAACCCGGTCGCTCTTTTCAAATCATGCCCTGGGATGTTGAGGCAATGTTGCATTTGCCAGTTATTGACTAGGCATGCACAGGCTCGGCGTCATCTGAGCTGGCCTATGAGAGCCCTTATCGACGATAAAGCCGCAGCATAGAGAAACGCACTTGTGCCTTGGACGATGCTGCATGAAATAGCCACAACGCCACCAGTCAGATTAGGCTAGAATTCAGCTGAGTTCTGGCACGCCTGCGGGGGGTCGTCTCGAGATAAGCCGAATGAACATGCGAGTTGATTTCAGACTGCGCCCTCGATCAGCCTCGAGTAAAAGAATACTACCGTCATGTTTGACTTGGCGTTCGTGCATAGGGCATCTTGACGGAGGTTCACAAGTGGCTGCTACACAGTTATGTGGGAAGAGGGTTGGATCGCGATGTGCACATAATATGGCCTCTATACCGACTTTTTCGAGCTTCCCAAACTGGTTACCGCCTTTCGCGTTCTGCCTTGCTACCACCCTCATGCGATCCTAGATCCGATCTGAGGGCCGACTGCGAAGTCGCCAGCTGGGAGCACTCCACCGAAGCGTCTGGCTCTAGTACTACCACGAGCAATCTTGCCGTCAGATCCAGGGTGGCCATTGTTGGCGTCAGCCTGTCGCAGGTTCTCTGGGAGGAGCAATGGGCCTCAGGATCCAAAGTCAAGGCAGCCAGGACCGTCTGATTCTTCCTCTACGAGCCGTGGCCAACAATCAAAGTACAACGGCAAAAGATGCGGACGGAACAGCCAACCCGAGAGCATTGTGCCGCAAAGTTATCGAGCTCGTAATGATGTGTGTTTCCTATTGTGGATTATGACATACCACCCTGGCCAAGCTGCTGGGACTTGCTTCTCCACACCCCGTCTTCATTTCGAATACGGAGCATCTCTGGTACTCGCACGCAGCTGGCAGCAAGACGCACGAAGTGAAGCCCAGACGGATTTGAGCCGTTTGGTCCGGGGACCTGGGCCCTCGCAAGCAACTCGTCGTGATTGCCTCCAAGCCGCCTCCTTATCGACCTCCCACGGACAGGATGTTGCAATCAGCTTGTGTTCCGCCCGCATATTGGCACAAGCACTTGTTGGTACGGCCTGCTGCGTGCGAGTACAAACGGCCCCCTTCGCTTCTGCCCGCATCTGCGGCTAATAATGAGCAGGGAACTGGCACGGGCGTATCAAAGTGCGGTGCAATCAAAAGAGCTCGTCTCCGAGCTCGCCTGTTCCCGCTTTGAGCAGCTGCTCCGACTGCGATTGACGACACGACACGCCCCCGTTTCTCCGTGCCTGCAATCCTCTCCTGAGCGTGCCCCTGGGTGTTGGAAATCTCGATTGCGGACGCCATGGGCGCGAATAAATGACTACTACCTGCTTTGCCGTATATCCAGCTGCTGCTTGCTTCTCTAGGAAGCACCGCTCACTTTATTCCAGACGCTGCAGCGGGCGTGTGCCAGCAGCTGCGAAGTATTCCGATGCGCATTTCCGTGAGCCATGACGCCTCTCCTGCTATTGCTCCCTCGTATGTACCCTTGGGAACCTTTACTCTCAAACATTATTGTGATACACACCGAAGGGAGAAAGCCCGCCAGCACTGGCGCTGTGTCGATACAAGGATTTAACTGCACAAGTGCTGCTACATATTTAATGACTTGCCAACATGCCTTGCAGCACTTCTTGTCTATCCCTCAGACCCCTAATTATACTGTACGGAGGAGACCCTTGGGGGAATCTGCTGCCCGCCCCGTTGCTGTAGCACCTCATCTCAAACCCCATGCCAACAACAGAATGGGGATACTACTTCCATCCATACTAATGCGTCTTACGACATGCACGGAGGCCGTGCACCGGCCACGTCGAGGAGGCCATTCCCGGTGACACTTCTGACACAATTACTGTACAGATGCACTGCTTGTACCCTGAGCAACAACGAGGATCAACCACTCATACACTCATACACGCCTGATAGGGACGAGGATCCCTTTCCCTTACGGTGCCTTTTCTTCCCTGTCTCTTTCTGATGCAGATGGCCAATCTCGCTTTACCTGGCCAATTTTGAAGTCAGGGTCTCTTTTCTCCCCGTTTTCGTGGAATGGCGTGTGCAGCTTTACGCCCCCTCGCAGCTCTCCGAGGCCCTGACTTGCATTGTGCTTCAATGGACGGCCGTGGATGCTTGCCTGCCTCTGCAGCTGTACAAGGCACGATGCTGCTCGTGCCGTTGCCGTTGCTGTTGAATGCTGCTTTCACTAATTAGAGCAGCAGCAGCAGAAGTATACATTCGATCTTGAAGTCCAAAGAGTCCCTTGCCCAAAGCCGGCTTCTCCATATCGCCGTGTCATTATACCGATGCCCAAACAACCATAGCCACGTTGTGATCTGCCTCCCATGGATGTATATGACATGGTCAGCCTCCCTAGGGGACCTGGTCCAGCCAAGCGATGGCTTACCGGGTGTTCTCTATCCAAGGGTCTTCTTCCGCAGCCCATCTCCCTCGTTCTGAACCGATGACAATCGTGGGCTTGTATCTGCGGATGTTCTTCCATGGGAACAGTCCACTGGTCTGTTTGAAAGAGACTCTGGCAGCTCACTGTGCGTCTAATCAGGTGGAGCGAAGGGAGTGAGCCAAGAACACCCGTAGTAGTATATGTCTCGTCCTCCCTCGTGGCCAACGTTGTCGAGACCGCTTGAATGGGTCACGATTATTGTGTTTTGCTCGGTAAACACGGGATATGCATATCGTTCTGTTTGAGTCTTGAGTCTCCGGTCTAGGTTGAGTATACATGCTCGCTCCATATAATGATGAACAAGTCAGAGGTGTAACATATTGTGATACACCAAGATATGTTCGTCAAAGTAAGGTATCGTGGGTTAGAAAATCAAGCTCTTCTATTTATAGGACGACCTATCACTATGGCGTCCCCCGGTAAATCTCCATGCCCTCTCCATGTCTGTTTCCTACAGGCCTAGCAAGTATCTACATACCAGTACTATGTGCATAGGTAGGTATGGATCGCTATATATATATATAGTATATTATAACAAGGGAAGGGGAGTCAGGCTCGCCAAAATTCAACGGCCGTCTCAGGTCATGCTCGCTACGCACGCTCCATGTCAAAAAATCCACGCGAGCGAGATACGAAGTACAAATGGTAACTGTGCAGTTGGAAAGCTTGCAAGCATGAGCTTCTTCTTTCTCGGTTCGAAGCAACAGCCGAAAGAAAGGTTCGGCATTGTGGAACTGATGTTATACACTGCAGTATATTGGGTGCTTCTCTCTTGGTGAGTGACGTTGAGGCATTTCTACATAGATACGTGGCATGACTCTGGAAGTCGGATGACTTGGGGAGGATAAAGGGGGAGTTCTTCATGGGGATGTCTGTGATACGAACTGAAGAAGAAGAACTATTCGTCCAGTTTGGGCGTCAAGTACTATATAGCAGTAAATACCTTATCCAACGAAAGGTGTGTTAATACGTGGTGAAGGAAAAGTGCCATCGTAGTAGAGATGGAATGTTCTTTAACTCGTGTTTCTTCGAATTGATTGCTCTGTAAATGTGAGCTGAACTGGAAGCATATCACGAGGCCAAGGCCAGGGAGAAGAGCAAAGTAGGCTTGCCCTGATATTCGCCGAAAAGTTCATATATCGCTACCCAAAAGATACTCCAGGTCATCATATAATAGAGTACACGCCAGTTCACACAAAGAGATTCACCTCAACTTCTTCAGTCAATGTGCCAATGCCGCTAATCTATTGAATGGAAAGCATTGTACCAAATGATCGCTTTTACATCAACCAGATTCTCGCGCTCTTTCTCTTTCCATTGCCGGTCAACCGTCGTCGACCCAGAGAGCCGTCGATACCTCTCCTGAACAAAAAGACACCCTCCTCTAGATAATAACCTGGTAGCCCATCAAAAAGAGAAAGAAAGTAAGAGATATGTTACAACCAAGTTCGCAAAATCTAATGAGAGTTTTGTTGTCCTTTCTCACCCGAATCATGATGAACGCCAGCCCATAGTCAAAACCCCGCGAGACCACAAAAGGAAAACTATTAGAATAAAGACTAAGATCAAAGGGAGGAGGCGTGTGAGAAAGGTCACAAACTTCCCGTGTGGAAAACTGAAGATGTGGCAACGGTTGCTGGAGAATTGGCTCAAGTCGAGTGACTTGTTAGAAGACATCCAACACGTGCATGAATGTGCGAAGACGCGCAGAGGAATCAAACTCAGTGCTCATGTTGATGCTCCTCGTGGGAGGATGCGCTGTCCCGTCGACTTGAGCATGCCGACGAAGTTTCGACAATACAGCATCCCTCTGCTTGGCAGTCATCGACGCACTCAAGGAGACACGGACGAAGCTGCTCATCCGACGCCCCATCGAGGGCAAGGGCAGCCGCGTCGCCATCGTGCTGGTGCTTGTTATCGAGGCAGAACTCGGGCTGAATAGTGGCGCTGTGAATGCCATAGGCATGTAGGCATCTCCGTGCTCTCTTAGCCAGCTGCATGTACTTCTCCCCGCTGTTTTTGTCGAACGGAAATGACACCTGGAGATGCATGCTGGCAATGATCTTGGTATCAGAGAGTTGCCAGACGTGGATGTGGTGGCAGCTGACGACTCCGGGCAGCCTCTCGATGTCTTGCCGGATATGAGAGATGCTAATATTCTCCGGAGTTGCTTGTAACAGGACACGGGAGGTGGCAAGCGTCAGAGGGATGGACGTCTTGAGAATGATGGCAGTAATGAGAAGCGACACTGCCGGGTCAGCGTAGAGCTTGCCGGGCCAGTTGGTGAGCCATATTATGAGCGCCGTAACAATGACACCGACATTTCCCAGCGCATCGCCAATCACATGCAGCATCATGGCATGCATGCCCATGTCGGCATGGTTGTGCCCGCTGACTTTGGAACCCGGCTTGATGGGGAGAGTGTGATGGTGATCATTGTGGATGTGGACGCTCGAATCCCGACGGCTTCTCGAATTCTTCGAAGTCGACCTACGAGTGTAGGAAAGCCGAGAACCCTTTGTGTCCTGAAGGAGTGGTGACGTCTCGTTCGGGCCGTTTTCCGCATCAGAACCGGGAGACTCATCGCCAGAACCGTTTGCGCAGACGGTTGACGACGCAGCCCTACTGACAGCGAGAATCTCCTGTCGGAAACTGGCCGGGTGAATGCTCATATCCTCAATGCTGGAGAAGCGGGAGTGCCCCTTGGTGGATTGGCGCTGGTGATCTCGGCCCCTAGAATGGGAGGTTCGGCTTGCTCTGGTGTTGGATTCGTCTCGATTCGTGGATTCGTCGCCGAAGTGAATGCGCCTAGCGGTCTCGGGACTCTCCGTGCTGGCTCGACCTCCTACCATGCTGGCTCGACCTCCTACCATGCTGGCTCTCCTGACAATCACCTCGGGAAGCACGTCGCCAACGGGCCCATACTCATCAGCAATGCTTGAAGTACCGTCGCGCTGGCCATGGGCATGAGAATGCGAGTGGTCGTGTCCGTGTGCGTGTCCGTGTGCGTGTCCCTCTTCATGGTCGTGGTCGTGATCGTGGTCATGGTCGTCCCCATGGTCGTGCCCGTGTCCTCCCAAGACGACAAAGCCCAGCAAGTTGGAGAAGAGGCCGGCGCAGCCCACGATCAGGATAAGCTTGGGGTTGTTGATTTCGGGCGGTTCGACGAAGCGCGTCAGGGCTTCAAGAATGATGGAGACGCAGAGAGCAATCAAGAAGACGGCGTTGAAGAAGGCACCGAGAATCTCGGCTCGAACCCACTGCGAGAAACCACTTGTCAGCCGTGTTCCGTTCTCGGGCCCGGTTTGCGCAAAGCCCATTACTTACCCCAAAGGTGAACTCGTCGGTTGTAGCTTTCTGAGAGGCAATGACCGCCCACAGACCGATCGCCAGAGAGATGATATCATTCAGCTAGGAAACAATTAGCAGCGAGCTTCCCCTTACTTCCAACGTCCATATCGCCGCGAGAAAAGGAGAGGCTATGGCGCATCGTACCATGTGGAAGGCGTCGGCCGTCAGCGCCAGGGAATGCGCCAGGAAACCGCAAATCAGCTCGAGCAGAAAGAAGGCCGTGTCAATAGCGATCATGACCTTGATGCGGGTGCTCTTGGACCACACCAGCCGGGAGGAGGAGTTTGCCATTGCGACGAGGGTTGAAGCGCCAAAGCTGGCGCGCCGTGTCCGGAAGCTGCAGAAGGAAACGGCACTTGATCTAGGTTGGCGAGGAGAATCGAAGCAGAGAGAGCGACGATGGCTCTCGAGAGGCGACGAGAAGGGCAGGCAGATATACACAATCGCCTCTGGAATTTTTCCGCCCTCGGGATCGGACGTGTGTGTTGTGTGGAAGAGAATCAAATGCGCCTTCGCGAATCGAGTTGGCAGTCGAAATGCTGTTGGTCGCAGGTGGGGTCGCCAGCGTCAGACCACTGTAATCCAATGGCAGACGCTGGAAGCACAGGCTAGAAGGTCGCCGTCAGTGGCGCTGGGGCTGCAAGATGCTGCGCTCCAGAGCACTAAGCAGGTTGACAATAGTAGCATCAATCAATGCGCGGGTTGCTGCGAGCTGGCCCTGCGAGGCGTGTTTGGATTGTTGTGAGGCGGGCGGGCATCGGCATGCATGCATGCATGTATGCAGAGGAGAGAATACTCGTAGAAGACGAGAGACAGGCACGTGAGAGAGAATCAGGCACAGTGTCGTCCGAGCTGCTGAGGTAATGATGACAGCAGGGGGGGAATCGGAGAGAAGCGTCGCCCGCAGAGAGCAGCAGCACCTCAAGCTTTGCCACTGGGTTGAGAATCTAAAGGGTAAGTAGGTGACCAACAGCCCAGCCACATAGACAAAGTTCTCAATAGAGTCAAGAGGCTGGTCATCAACTCTATGCCTCGAGCTAATAGATACTGCTTGCTAAAGGAGTCCGGGTCGCTTGTGTCATATTATACCTATCTCAAGCCATGTTGCCTCGCCTTAGTCATACCTCCCTCCCTCCCTCCCCCGTCGTGGGCAACTCGGAAGTACGAAGCCTTCACACTCACCTCACAGTCGGAGGATCATACAGTATATCCGCTTGTGCAAGAATTCAAACATTGTACTGTCCACAGAAATTGAAGCCTTTGAACAATTGACTTACAATATAGTACCGCAAGAGTCTTCATTTCCATGCAGTATTGAATCAAAGACTTACACTGCCTAAGTGCCATCGGTGCCTACCTAGGTACCTAGGTAGTATGTTCTGTGAAGCCCTCATGAGACTGCTTGTGTTTACGGCTTCCATGTTCCTGCATCACGATGCTACTGTCGCATGCAAGCATCATCGCGATCGCCTTGCACTGTGCAGATACGAACCAGCATGACCAGCACCTGAATTCCAGCGGTCAAACTGCAGCTCGGTCCCCATCGGCTCGGCGGGACATCGCTCTCCCGTCAACACGAACACGACATCATCCATCGCCTTGAGTGGCAACAGGCCACGACGTCAACCAGCCCTCAAGGCACGTTTGGGCACCCGAAATAGGAGGGAGTCGATCTAGATCGAATGTCACTCTGCTGCGCGGTGCATATGCATGGTCAACATGCAGGTATTCCAGGTTGACAAACGGCTGTTTGAGAAACTATGGCAGTGAATGCGCGAAGCCCAAACACAAGCGTCTCGTGTTGATGTGCACCATCTTGATCATAAGCCAGTTACTTACACTGCTCGACCTGTTTCAGTGACGTGCCTCGTACATTCTTTGGGAGACCTCTCATGCGCATTACCGAGAGATCATTCCATTGACAATGCTTCCTTGCCAGCAATTACCCCATCAGTCAGGCCACTCCGAAGCATTAGGCGGTATCACAGGGTAGTGAGCCCGAAGCCTCATGGATTGGACTGACATCAAGCATGGCACGCAGCGCTACACAACAGCTTCCCAACTCCAGAAACCCCTCATTTCAATGCACGAATCTCAGTCGAGGCCATCGATAGGTCTACGGATCACGTAAAAGGAGTCTTAACCCTTGCAGTCCATTGACCGGTGAGAGCTTCGAATGTCGTGCTACCCTGAAGAAAACGGCCGCTCGATGGATGCATTTCAGCAAGCGGGCAAGCAACTCGAAGAAACTGCAGCCCCCAATGCCGATATCATCGTGTTACAGGACAGCCCTCGAAAGACTTTCTCACGTTTGCAAATGAATGGACGGCCGTTGGACGCCAATAATCACTTGAGACATGACACGTAGAATAGATAGAGTCCATCCTCCTGGGATCTGATGTCAACAACTCATCCGCATTCCACGGGCTGAGAATCTCACGCACAACTCGGAAACTCAAACTCAAAAAATCATACCAAGACGACTCTCTTATTATATGATGAGAATACGTTAGGACTCGTAGACTCCACAGTCTTGAATCTGCAACACATGTCGTTGGACTTAAAACCCCCCCATCAGGCCTTACCCATCTTTGCCGCCCAAACCCCTGCTCGTGTAAGAGACAACGAATAGGACATGTGCCGAGCCGCCCAGTCTGCCTCTACATTCTGCACCACCTGAAGAAAGTTTACAGAGGACAACCAACAGCGTAGTATCAGGCCTTGTTGAACCAATGCTTTAAAACTTCCGTACTCGATTGCCCCCCTTTGCCCCCCCATGTAAGAAGCGCTGGAACCCTTGGGCTTTGCGCAATAGGATGCATTGCTGCCTTTGGGAAGAGGCAGTGCCCGTTTTGCTGCCAGGGGGGCGATCCTCTAGGACTGGACGCCCATTTCTTCCTCCACGAGGGTCTCTTCGTGTTGAATCACAGTTTGCTTGTCTTCCGTGTAATTGTTCCATTCCTTCTATACGTGTGCCACCTCGTCTTCCTCAGCGGTGCCCATCTTACAGCGACAAAAAGAAGAGACATGCCCGGCACTACCAACTTCGATGTAATCCAAGCCGTCCCCCGCGTGGCAACGCTCATATACCAAACCCACCAGCTATGGCAAGAAATCAAGGAGGTCCCTGAGGGGATCCAAAGCCTCGTGGACCACCTCAAAGCCCTCGAGCCAATCTTTGCAGACATTGAAGACCAGTTCAGCCACGATGAAGCCTCTGCGCCGTTCAAGAACTGTCTCGATCTGTCGAGGAAGGCGCACGACTCTCTGGGCGCGCTGGTTGCGGATATGAGGACGCAGCTGCAGGCCAATAAGCGACTCAGGCGCAAGTATGCGGCCGTCAAGGTTGTCCTCAATAAGACTGTCTTGACGAGGCTGGAGCAGAGTCTTTCGCGGTGTATGAATTTTTTGCAGTTGGCTATTCAGGCGTACCAGATGTGAGCTTGAGACTTCATGGTTCCAAGTCGACTTGTTTACATGGAATGTGATTCTAAAGCTTGGATCACTAGGGCAATGCTCCGAAAGCTAAGCTTAAACACCCAGACGTTGGCAGTGCGAGTTCAGCCACAGCATCAGAGCCAGATCTCCCGCTCCCCCTCACCACAACTGGAAGAGAAAATGCCCCAGGAACAGATTGAAACAGATGAGGAGATTTTGCCGACTCATGATGTGGTGGCGAGATCGAAGAACACGACAGAGATGTTCACTCTCAATTTGGCACACTATGTCAAATTTGCTCTGGCTCGTACCAAATCAACCGGCGCTTGGCAAGCACAGCTACAGATACCAGGATGGCTTTCAACTTCAGTTTACGAGCTGATATCAGCCCCGGCTGTCGCGGGATGGACGTATACCTATCGCGTATACAACGTGATACCAGATAACTCAGAAATCATCCTCAAGGTCAAAAGGGGGGATCTGGTTGGCGTTCGGCAGATGTTTAGCAGCAAGCAAGCATCCCCGTTCGATAAGAGTCAGAGAGGAGATTCCCTTTTACATGTATGTATGTCCGACTACCAGTTGAGACCGAAACTGACTTCTCTCAGTACGCGGCCTCCAATAGACAGTATGAAATATGCCAGCTTCTACTCCAATTAGGCCTTCAACCATTGCTCGATAATAGAGGAAGATAGTACGTCCTATATGCAGTTGCAATCCGCGTCCGCTAACATGCATAAACAGCTCTTCCCCTGCCGAGTCTATAGCCAGTGATATGGTGAAGACGATCGTGCAGAAGTGGACCTGGCCTGCCAGTTCACATCCAAAGAGAATAGCGGACCTATTCGCAACATATCTCCAAGAGCCTCACTCTTTACCCGCCGAAAGGCTTCTGGACTTTATCCGAGATTTCGCACCAGATGACAGATTGCTCTCCAATTTTCGAAGCTTATTCATGCCGAACTATTATCTGCGTCTGCTGAGAGACCGGCTTGAAGCTGTTCGCTTGGGGGCATTCAATGTCTTGGACGCGAGAACGTTTGGGAGCCTTCTTTCGGAAGATATGACCTTTTCCAAGGAAGATGTCAGCCAGTCGACTCGCGAGAAGGTCTCTCTGGTACATTCGGCAGCTTTGGCATTTGGCTCTCGATACCCAGAGACATTGTTGTCTTACCAAAAGCCGCGGCCTTGGCTGCATGCATACGATGAAGATTGGGGAGATGTCGTCATCAAGGTAGCCTCAGTAGCTACCCTCGATGATCTTACCAGCATCGAAACAATTGTGCCTTGGGACGCTTATGAGGTCACGGCATGGGAGGGCACGCCCTTGATGTCGCTCATCGGAGGGGCGCTGTGCTACTTGTGTCCCAACATTAGCTTTAATCACTGGGACGAGCTCTTTCACGGGTGTTTGCACAAATGGCTTCTGCTGCTGGACACAGCTCGAGTTGATCTAGTCGAATACGGCAAGAGGGAGACTTCGATCCTTCATGGCCTTCAGAAGAACACTAAAGGTGCTTTCGACGCCGACGCAATTGATGCTTCGAGAACCATGCTGCGGCATCCTATGACTCGAGGCACCCCGAAAGCCAAGCTATATCACATTGGTCTCAAGAACGGCCACATGGATTGTGTCGACAGATCTGGCGAACAATACTGGATACCCTTTCGAATAATAGATCTCCAGACTGGCCCAACCCCAGGCGATTGGAAGTTGAAATGGGCTCCAGAATTCGAGCATATGGCGTGCCAGTTCTGGGACTTGATGGAGACCAAACAAAAGGTCATGCCTGGAGCTTGGGTAGATTGGTGAAAGGGCTCGTGTTGGTACGAGTGCTTCAGAAGAGGTTGGCGCTCGTGGATTCTTGCCTGCTATAATTGGTAGGCTACGTTTGCGATAATAACTGAACTGGCGCCGATGAATATGCCCATCAATGCTATTTCCCGCTCACGGGGTGTAATTGTAGACACTTGTGCACACATACATATACGGGTCGTAGGAATCACCGAAATACCTTGCATCTCGATCTGTCACGAGGTAGAACTCGAATCAAGGGGTTTGTGTAAAGCCATTGAAATAGAGAGATTATATGGTGGTGGCACGGATACGACATTAGTAATTTCCACAGCTTCATGTTTTGACTCAAATCAATAGTAGCTTTCCGGCCTCTGATTAGCAGAGATGAGTAGTACCTCGCCTGTGACGTATTACGACCTATGCTAGCACCTTCCTTCTTATCGAAGAAGGTTTATGAAGGTTCTTGCTTAAAGATGATGTCCACTACTGTGAGTAACCCCGCATATGAGGCGGGGCCGCGACTGCTTAAATCTGGGCCTCACCTGCTTCTTCGTGAGCCGTAATTGTTCGAATTGCTATTGAGTTATATTTATCTATCTCCAGGTAGATTTGGTTTACATTTGTCAAGGCATAACTTGACAGATAGCTCTGGAGAGCTCAGTTCGCACGAAATGGATACTAGACCGGCTTCAAAGGCAGGCTCGTGGTATGAGAAGACTCCGGCCAAGTTGATGAAAACTCTCGACAACTATCTGGCGGACGTTCCTGAAACCGTCGACGGTTCTTCACTGCCTATACCGGGGGCTCGAGTCATCATCGCACCGTAAGTCATCCCCATCTACGAGGGCTCCATCTGGCAAACTACAACTCATATGTCTATAAAGACACGCAGGATATGCCTACTCCGGGCCTAACGCTGCCTGGGCGTACAGCTGCCTCGATCTGAGCAAGGCAAAGCGGGTATTTATTCTTGGACCGTCTCACACTTACGGCTTGTCTGGCTGCGCTGTCACAACGTTTTCAAAGTGGGCCACACCATTCGGCGACTTCACTGTTGATAGGGATGTCCTCGAGCGAGTTAAGGAAGCAGGCGGAATGGGTGATGTGCCACCGGAGAACGATGTCGCGGAACATTCTCTCGAGATGCACTTGCCATATCTCTACAAGCGCTGCCAACAGACCTTTGAGTCTCCCGAAGACTTTCCAACGATTGTCCCCATAATCGTCGGAAGTCTGAGTCGATCACGTGAGAAGGATGTCGGCCGAGTGCTTTTGTCCTATCTCAAGGACGAGGAAAATGCCTTCATTATCAGCTCAGACTTCTGTCACTGGGGCACGCGGTTCGGCTATGCCGTTTACTCCCCCAATGGGGACATCCAAAGATTGACGACTCTGCACGATTATAGCCCAAAGCCATCTGGTCCTCCCATCTACGAGACGATTCGCCTGCTCGATGAAGCGGCTATGGATGCTGTCAAGAGCGGCAGTCATGATGCCTTTGTCGAAAACCTTCGACATACTGGAAACACGGTGTGCGGGAGACATCCTATTGGAGTTGCCATGGCTGCCCTTGAGCTTTACGCCAAGGAGCTCAACGAGGAAGACAAGAGCCGCTTCAAGATTGTGAAATATGACCGCAGCAGTGAAGTCGTTTGGCCTGATGACTCAAGCGTTAGTTATGTTTCCGCATATGCGGTTCTGTGAGTGCAAGAGATGGAATTAGTAACTGAGTAATCGGGTGAATAATATGGTCTGAATTATAGCACTATGCTGTTACCTAGGTTTCTGCTAGGGCGTCTCTTATAGATTTCGTTCTGAACTCGCTTTGTCAACGCCATTCTGCAGAGTGATACTCCTGCAGCTCAACCCAATGTTGGCTGCAATTCAGTGCCTCGCCCACTATTCGAATCCTGCCAATTCGCTTTCACCTCTCAGGAGCTTGTTGGACAGGGTCGTCATAATCATTGCGGTCATCTGAATAATATCCTGTTTTCATTGAAGCGATGGTCAACATCGTCGTGGTCTGAAGTATTATGCATCTGCAACTATCCGATCCGTCGTTGGGCCTCACTGAGCGTGGAGGCAGTGTCGAGGATTGTCGCCTAACCAGTGAGGCTGCCCGCATGTTCTATTTTAAGACGCCCGTGTCAATGCTGACGGCCATGCCGTTACGCAGCAAGGAGTGGCGCAAGACGGGCGGCGCTATTGCCGTCGTCAGCGTGAAGAGTTGGGGAAACCAAGCTGGAGCTCTGCAGCTCGGTGTGTCTGGCGAAGAATCGAAGAATCGAAGCCATTCGCTAGCAGCACCATCCCGTGTGGATGGCGATTGTCCGATCGACTGTCCAGCCGAAGCTCAAACAAGCGCAGCAATTTCATCAGCGACTCGGGACAAACCAAGCAAAGAAAAGGCACGCACCAAACAGGCATGGCGGTGATCCCCTGGCGCTACCAGCTGCTACCCCCCCGTATTCTGCGGTGCAATCTCTGCGACTCATCAAAACCCTGGCAGGGACCCGATGCCACACCCGCCCATTCAGCCAGGGCAAACTCCATGCACGCCACTGGCCGGCCGTCCACTAGCCTGCGTCGTGCTGCAGCTGCTGGTCCAATCACGGCCGCTGGTTGTCGAGACCATCTGACGGCTGGAGCGAGGATGAAGAAGGGAGAGAGACAAAGCAAAGGCGAGAATGCGCCTTGCCCCAGGATTCGATGCGGCTGCTGGCGGCTGATTGCCTGCTGTTGAGGGCGTCTTGGCTGCTCGCCTATCAGTTGTCGGGTTGCTTATACGAATGCTGAACCTGGTCGCAACTGGGAAGGTCTCCGTATTCTGGCTGGTGATTTCGTTTGCGTCGTCGATCTCCTGGCCGCCGGCACTGAGAGTCTCTAGCGGCGAGAGCAAGATTACTGTACGCTTCGTGATGGTGCAGGTGTTAATATTGCGGCTGCCTTCCACTTTGTCTTCATTTTAAACCTGGAGCCACGGCGCAGGGTCTTTGTACCGGTACTGCCTCGAGGCCTGAAACTGCACCGTCGGAGCTGCCTCCAGCAAGTATACCTTAACTGCTGCTACCAGGGCCCCAGGACTCGTAGGGCCGCCCCTTCCCTGTCGCGGCTCCGCTATTGTGCAGGTGCCCCCTTCTCGCCTTCCTCGCGACCCCTGTCTGGAAACCGGGGCTTGGACCTCCTGCTCCTGGACCATTTCACTTGTATTGTATTACAGCACGGCACCCTCTTTCTACCGACTATCTACCTTCAACCCTCTCTCTGCCTCTGTAATTTTACCTTGGCTGTTCGCATCTTGGCTTGCTTCACGACAGAGCTATCGCCTTGCTTTTTGTCGGTGCCCTTTTCTCCCCCTTTCGCCTCTTGAGCTGCGCATTGCACAGAAGCCGTCGTCGATACCCTCGATTCCCACTCGACCAGCTTCTGCAGCCCGCAGCATCTCGCCAGCCAGCCTCTTGAGTCCCGGGATCCTCCTTGGCCGAGCCCACAATGAGTGTGAGTGTTTCACCCCATCTCTCCTACCACTGCTGTTTCAATGCAGATGGTCGACCAGACAAGAAAACTGTCTCTGTTCGCACTGCCGTCTGCCCAATCTCCCCCTTCTTCTCATGAAGTCCTCCTATACACACATACACACACACACACACACACACACGCGCGCATAATACCTTAACGCGCCAATCTATGATTCCGCGAATAACTCGCTAACAATGTCACAACAGTACGGGTTAGTAGTAGACCTTCTGGATCAGCCACGAGCGATCTGGGGCAGCAGCTTGCGATGCCCCTCGATCTCAACATTCCAGTCGCTGACTGCAGTCTCACATTAGATACAATAATAAGCAAAACCCCTACGACCAACGGGACGACAACTACGGCGGCGGTGGCTATGACCAGGGCGGCTATGACAACCCTCCTCCCGGCTACAACAACGCACCCTATGGCTCTGGTGGCCGAGGTGGTGGTTACCAGCAGCAACCCGGTATGTCTGATCTGATGATACGCCCTTTGCCGTCTGGACGACTCAAATGTTAATCCTGATTCGACAGGCAACGCAGTAGAGATGGCTCCTTTGACGCAAAACGCCGGCGGCATGGCCCGCGAGGACCCCAACGCAATCCGCAACGAGTGCCGTGACATCAGCAACAGCGTCCGTCAAGTCGAAAGCAACCTTGAACAGATCAAAGTTCTTCAGTCCCGAGTCCTCAGCGATGTCGACAGCTCCTCGTCCAGCCAATCCAACCGCCAATTGGATGCCCTGACCACCGAGACCATGGCCACCTACCGCGCTCTCGCCGACCGAGTGCGTGCCGTCAAGTCCAAGCCCGAAGGCCGAAGTGCTATGAACAGCGGCCACGTGGACCGAGTCGATCGAGAGGTCAAGGCCGTCATCACCAAGTACCAGACTGTCGAATCCGAGTTCCAGGCCGCCGTCAAGCAACAGATGGGCCGCCAGTACCGTATTGTCCGCCCCGAGGCTACGGAAGAGGAGGTCCAGGCTGCAGTTGACGGCACCGGCAACAGCCAGATCTTCAGCCAGGCTCTGATGCAGAGCGACAGACAGGGCCGTGCTCGTGCGGCACTGAGCGCCGTCCAGGACCGCCACAAGGAGCTGCTCAAGATTGAGCAGCAGATGACGGAGCTGTTCCAGCTGATGCAGGATCTCGACACTCTCGTCGTCCAGCAGGATGCCGCCATTGTGCAGATTGAGCAGAAGGGTGAGGAGATTGTCGATAACCTCGATAAGGGTAACGAGGAGATTGCGGTGGCCGTTACAACTGCCAGAGCTACCCGCAAGAAGAAGTGGATCTGCCTTGGTATTGTTGGTATGTTGGTTCCTGGGTACCTTCTGCGCGGCTCAAACATCAAGCTAACCAACCTTTGTAGTTGCCATCATCGCCATCGTTGTCATCATTGTTCTCATCTACATCTTCGTCATTCGAGGAGGCAGCGGCAACAACAACAACAAGCGAGCTTTGCTGGAAGAAGTTGCCGTGCCAGCTGTCCGTCTCAGTGCCCGCATGCCCTTGAATGTCGACTTGGCCGCGAAGCTTGGCCGCATAGCACACGGAAGACCTCACATGCCCGTTGCACTTGGGCAGTAGAGATCGAGCTCAACAGGAGAGGGCCACCAACGACGAAGTGAACTCAAGGAAGGAAAGAGTAAAGAAGCACAAAAGGAACGCACACACACGTTTGGACTCCATTTTCATCGAAGACATTGTATAAAAGTAGCTATCGACATGCGGGCAAGGACATGTGCCTCTATTTCTTTTGTTTTCGCCCCTTGGATCCGGGCACCACACGCAAGGGCTGAAACCATTCCGACGTCTGTTGAGGGGAGGGATGAGCCTTGGATTTTCTGATTTTCTTATGTCGTTGAAGACTGGGAGATGCCGCTTGGATTGACTGTTTTTAGATGCCTCTGCGATTGTCTTTTTTTTTTCGTTTACGCTTGTCGGGCTACAGTTTTTCGTTTTGGGAAGATATATCTTTGGAGTTTAGCATTTGAGGCGCTCAGCAGAAAGTTACCCCTTTAAATCGAATTTTAATCAAACTATTCTCCTTCTTGCCTCACTTTTGAGCTGACGACGATGCGGACTTGATGTGAGGATTGTCAAATAGAATATCATTGAGATTGACCACGGCAGCTAGGTCTGTGTCCAGAAGGAAATCTAGTGAGCGGAGAACAAGTCTTGAGCTCAAAGGTCAAACGAGATAGAATCAATAAGCCAGATAGAATGAGGAAATTGAGCATTGGAGAAAAAAAGAGTTATCCCGAAGATCCTTATTACATAGAGAATTGAAAGAAGAAAAAAAAAAAGAAAAAGAAAAAGGCAGATCTAAGCCCGATGCAGGCGACTGGACGCCAAAGCGATGCTTTCCAAACTAGGTAGCTTGCGTTTGCAAGTCGTTCATCTTTGAGAGGGAAGAGAGAGGTTCGTAAGTGGAGAGTTGGAGTGAGGGGTGTGATGGGTGTTCTTTGCCCTTGAAAGTGTTGGGTCATTGATGGGATGTTGGGTGCTGTAGTGGGCTGAGGTTGTTGCTCGGAAGAGATAAAGAGTCGAGCATGGCAGAGATGGTGTGTAATTGTAAAGAGGCAGAGGAAGATGGGAACTTGATGAACCATGGGATCAAGCCCTCTCCATGTTTTTGGACAGCCCGTGGATGTCATCTCCTCCGTCCAGCCTCTCAGCCAGTACCGTCATCTTCCAGAACCACAGGCGGCCCCGTTGGCTCTGCTGGCGGTGCATCCTGTGCATCCTCTCCCTGTCCGGAATGCACACCCTCCTCATGTAACCTCGCCATCGCCTCCTTCCGCCTCTCCCCTTCCTCGACAACCTTCTTCAGCACGCCCATCCGCCGCCTAAACTCCTCGACGAGCTGCTCGACATTCTCCCTGCCGACGATGCCGCTTCCCGAAGCAGGAAGACTATTCGACCTCGAACTGACGGGCTCGCGCTCCACGCCCTCGACGCGAAGCATGACGGACGTGGTAGCAGCGTTCTCGTTGCCGTTATCAGCAGCGGCAATAGGAGCACCGCCGCTGTTGTTGCTGCCGTGCTGCTGGAGGGAGAGCTGCGAGCTCGTGACGGCAAAGTCGGGCGTCAGGCTCGACGCCCAGGACACGCTCCATTTGCCGTTGGGCGCGGAAGGCGGAGCGAGGTCGACGACGAGGGCGCGGTGTAAGGGGTCGGTCTGCGGGGCGGTGAAGACGGGCGAGGCGTCGTCGTCGCTGAAGATGTAGTGCACGCGGGGGTGGACGGTGGTGTTGGTGGTGGTGTTTGTCAGGAGGGTGAAGATGGGCTCGAAGGGCGGGAAGGAGGCGGACTCGGATTCGTGGCCTGCGGCGGCGGCGGCAGTGGTTGGCGGATCGTCGTCATTGTTGGGGTTGTCGTCGGTTTCGGTGTTGACGATGTCGCTGTCGTTTCCATGGCCCTGATGATGATGCTGCTGCTGTTGTTGTTGTTGACGTTGCTGATCGAGGGGAGACTGAGCTTCCCCAGGCCGAGCTCCCATGGCAGCTCCTTCTGACGCGACGACGAACTGCTGCTGTTGCTGTCGATGAGGCGGCTGAGATAAACCCTGGCCCTGACCCTGATTTTGGTTCTGGCGATAATGCTGGCTTGAACGCCGCTGCACAGGTGACGATGCCGCCGCCAAGGACGACGACGAGCCGCCGTGATGATGCTGATGGTATCCCGCGGGAGAGGCTGACGTCTCCGCGACAGGCTGATCCCTATCTGGGCCGGACATGGTGATGAGACTGGACGACAGTGACGCAGAGGAAGGGCGACGACAGAGGCGGCATCTTTCAAGAGACGCTGAAGCCCATCCCAAGGGAATTAGAGAGAAAAACGAAGAGGAAGACCCCCAAAGCCAGAAGGGGAAATAAAGGGCTGTTGGTTTTCCCTCTTTTTTCCTCTGCTTGTCCCGTCAGCCGTGGTGTCACCGCCCGTGGTTGGTGTTCGATTGGGGGGAAGCGTGAGAGTGAGGCTGCGCGGCTACCGGAAGCGTCCAGGCGCCTTGCCGTGGGTGCTGCTACCGAGCTGTAGTATTAGTGTCGGGAGGAGTAGTACGTGGTATGGACCTGGGCGGCGGCAGCAACTCCGCCCCGACAGCCGGTACAGCACGAGTAGGGGTACCAATGGCACAAGCACAGGACTGGAAGCTGTGCTCTTCTCCAGCTGTCAGATGCACCGTAAGGCACCCGTAGGTGGCGCCTCGTCCTCGCTGCAAGTCGGCTGATGCCAGGTAAGGTACCTATTGTACGTAGGTGCCTAGTAGGTAGGCACCTATCAGAATCACGCCGAGGCGCCGCACCACAGCTGGATGGATGAGCTGTTCCCGATGCCTTTATGCAAGAAGACGGTCTTCTCTCTGGCCACCAACAGAGACAACAATAACGGCAGATGCTGCAAGTTGCTGTCACTTCCATCCCGTCCCGACCTGACATGACAGATGACGCACTCCCTCCAGAGCAGCTGCAGCAGCTGGCCCAACTGCATCCCATATCTTATCGCCACGTGAGAGCCGCATGCAAGCAAGCATCATACCGCAGCAATGAGCCACCTTCAATGAGACACACATCCTGTAGACACACACACACTCACAAAAAGGCGCCAAGCAAACGAAGAGACCAACACGCAGTCCCAGACATCGGCATCCACCTCGTCTCGTCTCGTCTCTCTCCTCTGCCCCGACTCCCCAGTCCAGAAAGAAAAGCTCCAAGAGCCAGCAAAGAGAGCCCCATCTCCCTCTCTCCCTCTCTCCATCATACTCTCCATCATCGGGCACAACTCGGCATGGCTAACATCGCCGGTCTGTTGATTGATTGATTGACCTCCTCTCCGGTCGACTGTCTCTTCCTGCTCGACGTGCTTATACGAAGTCCCCCAGTCGGTCGGTCTGTATCCATACGTAATAAACAAACGACGTCGCCCATTGGAAAGAAAAAGGTCGCAGCCTCTTCTTTGCTGTCTCGCCGACTCCATTTTCTGCTAGCGTCGAGGCTAATCTAGTACCTGTCCTACTGCAGAGCCATTGGGCTTATGCGGAGCAGCACGCCATGCCTGGATCCGTGAGGTCGAGTATGTATCATGGACAAAAAGGGCATGAGGACGGGAAATAATTCAACTGTTGCTGGTGCTGGCGTGAGGGCATCAAGTCGTGGTGGCCGCCAAGCAAGTTGTCGTAGCCACTGCTCACACAACATGACCAATACCAGTAGCATCTGACTTATCAGCATGGCGTCTTCCTCATGCCAACCTTTGCGTCAGAGGTCGAGAGAGAGAGAGAGACAGAGAGAGGGAGAGAGGGGGGCTCTCCAAAAGGCCAGCAGATCCTGCAGCTTCTCCTCAGCTCACGGCGGCGCCAGACGAGCGGGACGGAGCGAAGACAAGGCCGTGGCCTTCGTTCGATGGCGTTCTAGCACCATATGGAGAGCTCGCAAATGGCACCGACCTGATGAACAGCAGAGTTCCACCAGTCCCAACACTCAAAGTCGAGAACCTTTGTGTCGCCCAAGTAGCCCGACCTCGGCCACAGCCGCTCCGCTCCAGTGCGTCCCGGCTTTCTGTCAACCAAACCGTCACCGATCCTGCGTTGGCCCCTTCTCGACGAGAGCCCCTTCGGCCAGTCAAGGCTCTCGGGCCCGATTTTCTGCACCACCACAAAAGCTGCATTGCTTTTGGGGGGTCCCAAATTTCCATCTGCAGACCAAGACCACCTTCTTACCCCAGTTGGGCGTGCCGACTTGGCTTTGAAACGCACCGCTCTGCTCAGTGACGTTGTCCTCTGCCCGGCGCCACAAAAAAAGTCTTCTTGGCTGCTTCGACGTGCCTTTTCCAGTGACGCTGCAGTAACCTAATGACGCTATGAATAGCCATTGGACCCGTCCGTGTGGTTCGTGCCCATCAAGAGGCGGACGGCCTCGAGGCGCCAGTGTGCTGGTTACGCTGAAGCTCCCCAGTGGTGCGCGAGGGAGAAAGACGGCGCAGAGAGAGACGAGGTGGATACAGAAAGTTTGTTGCAATTAGCCCTTCCTCCATATTGAGAAATGCATCCAAAGAAAGGCAAAAGAATATCAAACGCCTGTTCCCCATCTATTTGATAGTAGTCTATAAAGGGATATCATCGAAATATATGGGCTCCCCTCTCTCTCCGCCCACATACGTACCCATTGGACTTGCGTCTCCTTCATTCCTGGCCCTCCTCCTTCTGCCTTGCCCGAGAGAAAATCTTGCGCCGAGGAACAAGATCCGTCACCGCACCGCAGAACGGGACGATGGCTGACAGGCTCTTGCTGCAAAGATGTCCGAGTCATGCTGCTGCTTGCACAAGTCGACCCCCCTCTCTTCCGTCGGCTCCTGTCAACAATAGCGGTAAGGCGAAGGCCGCAATATCCATAGGCGTATGCGTCATGAAAATTTCATATGCACCAGGTTGTGGGAAAAAAAATAAAGTAATAAGAAAAGACGTCATAATCATCGTGTGGAAGCACCGCCTCATCAAGACGTGTGCAGGGCGCGGAAACCCGCCGCGATCAGGCTTCTAGATTGATCTCGAGAATCCGCCGGTCCGTTCCAGTAGAAGAGGCCCTATGTTGCCGAGGACACACGCGTTAGCAAATCATCTTCTGACCGTCTCTCAAACGTTGGGATGAACATGAGCTCCACAAACCCCTAGGCCCTTTTGCTTGCAAAATTCCGCCTTCACCTTCACCGTCTCGTGGTTGTCGTACGTGACAAACCCCCCATCGCCGCCGACGCATTGGGCCGCAATATAGCGTCTATCCACAATCTCTTTGCATCCTTTCCGTGGTAGTTCGCTGTACTCAAAGGTGCCGTCTTGGCCGCCGACGCCGTTGAACTCCTGTCCGGGCCCGTTGGATTTCAAGAAGCTTCGTCCGTACGTAGGAATTCCGAGCAGGATGTTCTTTGCAGGGAACCCTTGGGCCATGAGATATGCCACGCCCGACGACGCTGACGGCTCGTCCTTATTTAACGTGTATAGCTGTGCGTGATGGCCGCTCTTGGACGTCCATGTGCCGAAGAAATCGTACGCCACAAGGTTGATGTAGTCGAGGTACTCGGCTGCCCTCGCCAGATCGATGAGCTGGAGAACCTCCTTGGCTGCAGGAAGCACGGCGGTCAAGATGAAACGATCATCGGGCAGATGAATCCGAACTGCTGCCAGCAGTGCCAGGAAGTCTTGGCCATGCCTGGCCTCGGACGGGAACTCCCATGCAACTAGTCATCCGGTCATCGTACGGTTAGCTGTGGACGAGAGTGAGGTAAAGAAGGGCTGGATTGGGATGAGTGATTGAGAGCGAGTGAACTGTCAGGTAGGAAGAGTGATTGAGAGTGAACGTGCTGCGAATGGGTATGGGCAATTGTCTGAGAGAGTCTTGTACTCACTGTCGATGCCGTCCAAACCGGAAGCCTCAACAAGGCCCAGGGCGGACCGGGCAAAATTGTCTCTGAGCAGGGTGTTTGACGCAACAATGGGAAACACCTCGGACGCCGTGCTGCCGCCAATGGACAAGACAACCTGCAGGTGAGGGTGCCTCTGCTTGAGATGCATCAAAGACCCCAAGCCACCATGAACGCCGTCCACTGGCGCTCTCGCATCGGCCCACTCATCGCCAAGCTGGGCCACACGTCACAAAAAGTCAGCCATGCCGAGCAACATCATGCAGGTGAAATCTCCTCAACCATGTCCGGAAGCAAAGGCTCGGGGAGAAGCCACTATCACAATGGTGGCTTGCGGGCTCTTCATCAGGACTCACAAGTACATTGCCGTCCGCGGTCACGCTGGCATAAGCATAATACACGTGGTTGATGCAGCTGTAATTGAGCATGCCCGGCGAATCACCTTGGTATATCCGGCTGCTAGGGAAGTACACTGCATTGGTGTACATGACTCTGGCCACGCTGGTGGCCATCCGTGACTTGCGTGAGACGCCGCTCATGTTGTCGGTTCACGGCCAGAAAAGCCCGGAGGAGAGCGGCGATGTTGCGAACAGGGACGGCGTCGTTCAGGAATAGCCGTGGCCGTCAACGGGTTCATCAATTTGGAGCCGAGTCTTTGAAACACATAGAGAGGCGCCAAGGGATGGCTCTCGGAGTTCTTGCGAGAAGATGGGAGAAAACAAACGAGGCAGCAGCATCGGATCGTTTTGTAGTCAATCGGCAACATTGTGAAGATCCAATCTTAGAGACCCTGCCGGAGGAGACGTACTACTCGGTGCGGGCTAGCTCCGGAAGACCAAACGACCAAGACAGCAACTCAGGTTAGGCATCAAGGGGGTGGGCGGCCGTGCTGGGGCTCGGTGCCGGCGTGTCGTGTGTCCCTTGGGGGGCATGGCCTGCCAAACACCATCCACGCGCGGCGTCGTACGGAGCGCTCACCCATACGAGCATACACCGATACAGCAGGAGGGAGTCCAAACCATGGGCCGAGAAAAAACACCAGCGCGGTCCAGACAGTGGGACGGGCAACAGTCGAGCAGCAGGTCGCAGTGGGGACCGGGGCTTCGAGGTGTCTTGGGCACTGAGAACGCAGATACGGTACAGGACACCAAGAAGAATTGCAAATTACGCACAGGAAAAAAACAGATGAGGGTCCAAAGAAACGCCTGGGAGTGGTCAGAGGCCGGGGAGAGACGAGGCCATCCACGATGCATGACATAATTGCGGGGAGCCCAACTGCTGACTTGCGTGCGAGGAGGAGAATGACATGTATAGAGAGGCAGAGGCAGTGACAGCATGCGTGGGATGGATGGCTAGATCCGAGGAGAGCGTTGGATGGAGCCGGTACCTGCTGGCCGCGTTGATGAGCCACCTCTGGCGGACCCAGTCGTCCAGTCTGCTCCAACGTTGTATGGGATGGATCCCTGGTGAACGTGGTTTCCTTCCCTCGCACGTATATGCCAGATAGAGCCATGGCCCCCCCCTCGTTGTTCGCCCATGCTCAGTTCAGAGCATACTCGTGCTCATAATTGACTGGGCCGTCGGCGATCTGACTCCAGTGGAGGGGGTGTGATGTGACCCATTGGGAGCCCTGGACACGATGGATGCTGGATAGCTAGACTTGTGAGGTGGACATTCGTCTCAAAAGGCCCGTCCTAATCCAGATCCCGCTATTGCTCTTTTCCAAGCCAGCAGCGGCGGCGGCCGTGGCCAATCCCCTTGTCGAAGCTTGCCATATTGCCATGTTTGGGTTATCTCTTTGCTGTCATTGTCATTCTTCGTCTTCTCTGGAATCCCTCCCAACTCCAGCCGCACGGACTCTGGGTCCTAAATTTAGGCTGCTTCCACCCATGTTTGTCGTCGTCTTAGATCGGGTTTGTGACTTCACAGAAGCCTCCCAATCGCCGTGGCTACAGCCCGTCTCGTGAATAGCAGAGGTGATGCGTGTTTGCTGCCTTTCTTGACCGCCGGCTTCACCCTCCTTGCTTCGCAATGCCATTTTTGCGCATCTGTTCGGGTCGGCAGCCGTGGAATGAGACAGGCTAATGCGATACTAGCCCGACGCCTCGACGATGGCTCCCCAATGAAACCCAATATTAACAGGACGAGCCAACACTCCGAGAGGTGGTGAGACATCCTTGACCGACTTCCTCCACCGAAACACATGCCTCATACCATCTCAAAATGCGTCAGATTCGTCTGGCGGCCATGCGTCAACAGTGAGACGGGGATATCGAGGCGGCGAGACCGAAGTGATCGTGGAGTCGCTCCCTTGCTCCATCGAAGTCACCGAAGCCATCCCCGGGTGCCAGGTGGCGAAGGCAAAGCAGGCAACGGGGCATGCCTTGCCGAATCGTACGGGAAAGGACGTTCTGGTCGACGGCACTGGCTGGCAAGCGATGGGCGTGGAATGCTCACTGTGAGACAGGTGAGAAATCGCCCACAAGCTGGACTCTGGAGGCTGAAAAATCGACGGCGTGGAGCCGCCACGACACAGCACGACATGGCACAGCACAGCCTGTGTTTGTCTGGATGGCCTGGTTGTGTACGGCCTGGTTGGGCCTGGTTGGGCCTTGTTCTGTCATGGAACAGCGCATCTGTGCGAGGGCGAAGTGAACAAGGAAGAGAGACGGGAGGGAGGGAGAAGAGAGGAGAGGTCAAAGCTGAGGCTGTGGTTGATTGGCAAGTGCAGGGGGATTCAACCTGCCGCGCAAGGCTGTGAATACGGGCACCCTCAGGCATCAACCGTTCATTCCTCCTCTGCGCCTTCCTTGCGTCCAACTCCGATGCCTCTTCCTCGTCGTTCCGACTTCTCTTGTCCTCTCCTCTCTTCTCCTGTCTTCTCTTCTCTTCACTTCTCTTCACTTCTCTTCTTCACCGCTCTCTCCTTGCTTGAGTGCTGTCACCATACGCACCAAGTCGGCTGGAAGGAGAGTGCAACTCCCAGGGCAATTCAATTTCCTCGTGTGGGCTGAGAGCCTAAGCGACAAACCCTCCGTTATGCTGTTCTGGATGGAGAATCATGACAAAGAGGAGAATAGTCGATTCTCCATCGAGCGAATTTTTTTCCCGCTCTGCTACTATGTGCTGTTCCGCCTCCTCCCCCTCAGGTTGACCAATGAACGGATAGGTAACGTAGAACGTTCGTCGTTGAACGCAGACCATGCTCATTCTTGTGCTTACCAAGTGCAGAATCTCGCCTGATCATCATGCTTCTCATACGCTGCGCATAAATTGCATCCTCAGAAGACATCGTAACTACTAGCAATGGCCTCCCTGACCAGCTGCGCTTGGCTACACCGAGCCATGACTCCAAGCTGAGTTGCGCTGCTCATGCCTGACTGTTGGCTGAGCTGAGCCCCATCCATATGCAAGCTTGAGCCTTGGGAAGGCACATGACAGGCTTCAGGATCATCAGAAGCACTTCACCGACATTGAGGGCTCAACCCCAGACTCCCATCTCAGGCGTACCTGGCTGCAAAGTCTAGAAGCCAATGGTATCACTAGAACGCCCCAAGTTTCGGCGAGGTAGGTCTCCAGTGCGTACCGAACATCGTCCTATCCCTTGGCATTGTATCCGTTGCGGCGGCCCAACGCTCAGCTCATGTTGGTTTCATGCCTTTGCTCCAGTTTACGACGTCAGCCGCTGCACGAGCTACGCGACTACAGGATGGTGCATGATACGCTGTACAGACTGCCACGCCGGCTAGACATCCCCTGTTGTCACGTACCGTCAACCGGTGTAGCATTACCTCAAGGGCATGGAGCGGTCATGAACAAGTCTCCGATGGCAAGACGAGGCGGGGAACAGAGGTTAGGATCCTTGCTCTTTGGTGGACACCGAATCACCTGTTGCAGGCGTCTCTGCGCCTTGACTGGATACCTTTTGTGAATGCCACGTTTTGATCTGCTATGAGTGCTCCGTTCACGTGAGCGAAACAAGAGGCGCATCAGGAGTCTTCGAGTCGTATGCCAGCAAAGGCAAGCATGAGTCTAGGCATGCCCTGTCCGCCGGTCCACTGCTTGGCTGCCCGAGAGATCCATGAAGAACGATGAAAGACAGATATTGTGAGAACACGGCGCACTCAGTTGGTAAGCATATTCCCTCCCAGTACCCGATGGCATGTGCTGACAACCTTGAATTGTTGTTCAGGCCTGGAAGGCTATCACGAGGTATTCACGTGGACTGCTAGACTCTGGTGTGCCCAAGATCTGCTACGCAGCTATCCTCCACCGCGGCTCATCTTGGCCCAACAATGCTTTGAAACCAACAGGCGATGGGGGCACACTGCGACTCACAGCCGCCCGGACCAGAGGCGTAGCCCCCCCCCTGATAGGCCAAGAGAATCGCATGTCTATCAATGCTGGACTTGCATCACCCTGTTTCTGCAGTCTGTGATAGGAGGAAAAAAACGAGGGACGAGACGAGACGAGCCAAGCACAGCACGGCTTGAATATTTCCCGAACGTGTGATGACACTCTTCAAAATTCTTCAACTCTTCCCCGCGTGCGCATCCTCCGCAGCCGCATATCTACCACACTAGCCATATGTATGTTGCGTGCCGCTCTGGGAGGATCTCGGATGCTGCCGGGGTGCTTCTAGACCTCTCTCAATGCCCCCGGAACTGGAAGGCATCGGCGGGCGTTGTATCGCAAATATCACAGTTACCGCGTGTGTACCTGAGCGTTACCGCGGGTATCACTCTTACCGCCATCAAAACAATGCTACGCCATTCCCATCGCGAAGGCATTCGGCTGATCGCAACATGATGCTGTTGAAGGACGGAGCCGGATCAGCCTCCATCTCATTTGCTTGTCCCGGCAGAAACTGCTGGGAAAATACCTCAGCCACCTGTATGTGTCAAAGGCACTACTGTGCCGTGTTCATGGCCATATCCATGCTCACCCCTACAGGTATGGCTCAGGGCAGAGTACAGAGTTCGTACGAGTACAAGCTGTATCCACGACAACGACGTAATAAGCGAGCTTGCTACATACACGTACGTGAACGGTGCATGGTTGTCTGCGCGCCTACAGGGCAAAACACAGGCCCCTAGTCTCTGTTCATCAGCCCAGTGCCACGGGTTTGGCTCGTTCAAGTGTTGTCTGTTGGTTACAAGTACTATGCGCAAGAGCGGTAGACGCGTGCACGAACTGTCCGCAAGAACTCCGGAGTTGCTCTGGGGACTGATGCCTCCTCAACGCGGTAAGATGTCAAACATGGTCGACCTGAAAGATCGGCTCCGAAGATGGAAGACTATGTAGGCTGACGAACCCGATGAGCAGGCTTTTGACACATTGACGGCCAACCCACGAGTGCAGTATTCATCAGGTATCTGCCGAGTAGTGCTACTCCGTGCTCCTTGAGGGATGAAGTACACACAACTCGACACATGTACGTGAGAACCGAGGCGATTGCGAGCTGATCCGACACCAACCATTGGCCCGAGCCTCTTGAAATCCTGCTCGGCCCGTTAGCGCCGCGAAGCCAAAGCAGCACCTCGACCTCAACCAGCCGCTTGTAACAACACCTCGACCAAGCTGCTGCCAAGCTGTCACCGTCACCGGGCCTCTTCCCCCTCGGCAGTTGGATGCCCAGGAAGCTTCTGGCGGACGAGACAAGAAAAGAGGCAGGCTGCTAGGCCCGGAGCCTAAGGTAATTAGGGGACCCCTCATCTGGACGGACCGGAAATGCCTGCTAGTGCTCTGGCAGGGAACAAGGGAAAGGGCCTAATCTTCAACGGTGGAGCTTGAAGGTTCCACTTCGGTCTTAACCGTCTTGTCTCTTAAGCCAAACAAAGGGTCATGGCTCCGGCTGGATTCAAGTCCAACTCAGCTTCTTACCCACACGCATCTAGGGATTCTAGGGCACCTTGGGCACCATGTATGACGACGATGACACCACGTTTTCGCTGGTGTCAACCGCGTCGGTGACGGATGCCACGAGCGTCACCACGCGGACCGAGCTCGAGCTGGACCACGCCGACGACGACGCCGAGGCCGAGGCCGGCTTTGCGGGCGTCAACGATGCCAGCAGCGACTTCGAGAGCGGCTGGGAGGTGTCGTCGGGGCCGTCCACGTCGGTGCCGCCGAGCGTCTACGAGGATGAGATTGCGTACGGGCGACGCTATCACGGCTTCCGCAGAGGCATCTATCCCATGCCCAATGACGAGGTCGAGCGGCATAGAGAGGAAACTGTCCATGCTCTTTTTCTCCAGCTGATGGTATGTCCGGATGAAGCGGGGGTATTCCTTTGTCTTCTGGCTCCTTGCGACGGCGGCATCCATCGCCGATTTCTTCAGCCGTGCCGGAACGACCGAGTATTGAGATGCTCACATGTTTTGGATACCAGGGCGGGCATTTATTCTATTCCAACATTGGCGGCCATCCCCAGAAGATTATCGATATTGGCACCGGAATTGGTGAGTTCCTTGCCCAGCTGACGCGCAGTCTTTCGCCTACCTGGGTGGTTTGCTAACCAGCCGACGAAACAGGAATCTGGCCTATTGATGGTACTGCCACGCTCTTGAACATCGTTTCCATGCTTACCGGCGGCGCGGCTTGGACTCGTCTTTTGCGCACATGACTGACCGATGTCCTGGTGGTAGTTGCTGACCAGCACCCGAGCGCAAGCGTCATCGGCACCGACCTGTCACCGATCCAGCCATCATGGGTACCCATCAACGTCCGTATGTTCATCGAAGACAGCGAAGAGCCCGAATGGCTCCACGGCTCCGAATTCGATCTGGTCCACTTCCGGCAAATGACGGATGTTTTGCGAGACCTCAAGGGCCTTCTTACCAAGATATACCCGTTTGTACTCGCTGCTCACGATGCGAAACACGCATCGACTATCAAGGACGGTGGCTGATATTGGCGGATAGACACGTCAAGAACGGCGGCTGGGTCGAGTTCCACGAACTCATGACGGAGATCCGATGCGATGATGGCACCATGAAAGACGACGATCCCCTGCGAGTGTTCCTTGATACGGTGAAGGACGGCCTGCGAGTCTACGGCATCAACATTCTTGCTATTACCGATATCGAGCAGATTCTTCGAGAGACCGGCTTTAGCAATGTTCACTGCATCACAAAGAAGGTACCGATATCGACGTGGCCGCGGGACAAGACCCTGCGGGCCCTCGGCGTCTTCATGAAGACGACCATCAACGATTCTCTTGGCGCTATGGCAGCGAAGCCCCTGGCAGCTCTGAACCTGTCCCCGGAACAGCGAGTGGCCATGTTGGAGGCGGCACGAGAGAGCCTCGAGGACGCCTCGATCCACCGCTACGTCAACTGCTGCGTGTGCTACGCTCAAAAGAGAGAGGGCGACTTCGCCGACTCTCTGTACTGAACGGCCTTGTCTCATCCTCTTTCGGTGTTTTACTACGACTACGGAACTTTTCTCCCTGGGGCGGAATCACAACCTTGACCAGGCTTGAATGCCTGCCTGGCCCTTTGGGACAGCTGGGTGCATGGATATTTCTGCTTTTTCCCTTTCCTTATGCGGAGTTGCTTGTGGGTTCTTTTTTAGAGATTGCGTATCGGGGCTGCTTGCTGGTATCAAAAGGCTCGCCAAGTCTGCGTTCTGTCTGTCTGTCTGTCTGTCTGTCTGTCTGTCTGTCTGTCTGTCTGTCTGTCTGTCTGTCTGTTTGTTTGTTCGCGTGTTTTGCTCGGGCGGTCTCTTATCTGCTTTTTCTGTTCTCTTGGTCACTCATTCTCGATGCCTCGTCTTCTTCACAAGGCATGTTTTGATACTCATATGGCATTATAATACCCTCGGCATCTGCAATGCCGCTTAGTTACCGGCTCTATTTCGCATAGCTGCTTCATCTCGGTTTCGGAGGATACTGCCAAGGCCGGTATGTTTTCCGAGACTCCCTATGAGGCCATCACGGTCTATGGTTGAGTTTGATGCTGGGACGTCTACCAATCGAATCAAGTTGTAATACATGTTGAATTAATTTGCGAACAAAGTCTTGGTTCATCCGATCTTGTGTCTCGTAGATGATGAGCTATGACGTGCATAAGGTAGCAAGATGTCAGTGCCTATGTATGTACATGTACTGAAGCCTACCTCTAGAAGGTCGAAGGTGTGGCTGACAAATGCGCCACTAGTGGCTGAAGCTGGGGTTGAGTGCCAAGCACAAGCAACAGACGACCATCCTCGACTTTCTCCATCCAAGCTTCAACTTTTCGCCTTGCCATATCACTGCACTCTCTGCCATTGCTCCCCAACGACGCCCTTACCAACGCTCTCACGATCCCACGAACCTACGAATCAAACGACTCTCTCTCACGCAATCTCTCCATCTCCGTACATTCGACATCCCAGCTCCAGATAAAGCAATCTGTTCCGGCGCTCGTCCGCCAGACATTAACCGATTCAACCAAACCCGGGCGTTTTCTGCCCTCCCACCTCATATCACAAGGGCCCCTTCACAATGGCCACGACAACGACGCACCCCAAGCACGTCGACGCCATCCTCAACCACTCCGCGCAGCCCTACACCTTCCGCTTCTCGCCCTTCCTGCGGCAGACGTACCAGGTCGGCCTGCCAGCGGACCGGCCGATATGCAAGGCCTTCCAGGCAGGCAGCTGCCCCAACGGGACGCGATGCGCGGAGCGGCACGCGTCAGAAGGCCGGTCGTCGCGCGGTGATGGCCACGGCGGCCAGCAGCAGCAGCAGCCGACGGGCGGGCTCAACTCGCTCGTGTGCAAGCACTGGCTGCGCGGGCTGTGCAAGAAGGGCGAGCACTGCGAGTTCCTGCACGAGTACAACCTGCGCAAGATGCCCGAGTGCAACTTCTTCATGCGCAACGGGTACTGCTCCAACGGCGAGGAGTGTCTGTACCTGCACGTTGATCCGCTGTCGAAGCTGCCGCCGTGTCCGCACTACGACATGGGCTTCTGTCCGCTGGGGCCGATTTGCTCCAAGAAGCACGTCCGGAGGAAGCTGTGCGTTTTCTATCTCGCGGGCTTTTGTCCCGATGGGCCCGAGTGCAAGGTCGGCGCGCATCCGAAGTGGTCCAAGGATTTGGAGAAGCCGGTGCCCAAGAGCGCGGAGAAGAGCGAGGAGGAGCTCAAGATGGAGATGCAGCAGCTGCAGATGCAGCAGCAACAGCAGCAGCAGCAGCAGTTTGGGAGGGATGACGATGGGGATCGGTTTAGGGACCGGGGGGACAGGGATGGGCGGGAGGATAGAGGGCATGGGCGGCATGGGAGGGGTGGAGGGGGGAGGTGGAGGGGTGGTGGTGGACGGGGGAGATTCAGGGGGAGAGGGCACTGATGATGATGATGATGATGATGATGATGTTGACGATGGTGGATATGGAATATATGACACAAGCAGCAAGCTGGGATTTGACAGTTTTGGTGGTGGGCAGAGATCACGGCTGTTACGATGTTTACAGTCTTCGAGGACATTTCATGATACCCTAATGGGATGGAGGCTATATATCACGTCAAGGGAACAATCACACATGCGCATGTTTTCCCTCTACATATACGGGTCTAAGAAACAAGACGGCGTTACACATGAAGCATCTTGACGAAACAGCTCAATGCGTGAATGAATAAATGAATGATAGCGTAAATTCAAAAAGTCGTGAGCGTATCTATGTACCGTTTGATGAGATCAGAGTGGGTTTCCTTCCATGCATACATAAAACATCCAATCGTTAAATACGGGCCTCCAGCATACATATATATACACATATATACTAGATAGTGTACCCATAGATTTCCAGCTCGAGGCCATGCTGTTCCGGCAAGCTGTTTTGCGTCATCATTGTAAAAAGAAGGGTTAAACAGCTTTCATGCCCTTTATTTTTTTTGTGTGTTTGGTTGTTTTGTTTGGGGGTTTTTTTTTTTTGCTTTCTGTTCAAGCATTCTGTTAAGGAGCAGGAGCATCGACAGGAGGCTGCTCCCACTTGGCCGTCTCGCCCGAGCCCCAGACATTATCATCGGACTGGACGGCGATAAACTCCTTGCTCTCGGAGATGGATCCCTCCGGGCCGTCCTCGCCGTCGTCGCTGCCGTCCTCGGAGCCCTCGTACGAGCTCGTCTTCCAGGTGGACAGCTCGTCTACCTTGCGGATGCCCATCATCCACGAGACGAGGCTCCGCGGGGCCCACCGGCCGACGAAGCCGTAGATGCTGGCGCCGAGGCCGATGCGGACAGTGTCGGCCTTGATGGAGCCGTCGATGACATCAAAAACGGTGGCGTGGAGGTGGCGGAGGGAGCTGCCCTTGAGGCCGCGGATGCGGGCGCCGGAGATGGCCGACGCCGTCTGGGCGACAAAGTTGCGTCCGTAGACGTGCCGGGCGCCGTCGGGCCAGACCAGCGTGTCCTCGGGGTTGCCGGCGTTGGTAACCAGGCCCTGGGTCGGCGAGCCGGTGCGGATGGGCACGAAGCCGGAGAAGTCAAAGGTGCCGAGCTGCATGTGGGTCACGGGGATGTCGAGCGGGCGCAGTTCGGCCGTCAGGACCTCGGTGAAGGCCGACAGGGCGGAGCAGACGGTGGCCTCGGGGGCGTGGAAGGGCGGGTTGATGGAGGAGATGATGGACGGGGTGAAGACGAGGACCTTGGGAGGGACCCATTTCTCGCCGACGGGGTTGAGCCTCGACGTGAGCAGCGGGAGGAAGGTCTGGATGGTGAGGATGGGCTGCAGCAGGTGCGTGTTGAAGAGGTCGGCAAAGGCTGATGGCGGGATAGTGGCGATGGGAGACGTCTGGTAGTGGAGGCTGGGGATGAGGAAGACGGACTTGAGCGTCAGCTGGTTGGGCTTGATGTTGGGGCCGGGCGCTCGGGGAGATGTGAGGAAGTGGGCGAAACGCTCGATGGCCAGTCCGGCATTGGGAGGCTGTGTTTTGGAAGTATGACATTGGTCAGCTCATTGACTTTTGCGGCTTATATCTTGCGAAGAAGACCGCTGAGAGAAACTCACGTTGGTGGTATCAATGGTGAGGGGCAGGATGTCTGCGCGAGACAGGGACTTGACGGCGGCCTCGTCCTCGACCGCATTGCACACGATGAAGACGATGAAGCCGCGCCTCTCCATGTCGAGCGCCAGCGTCTTGGTCAGCGGCAGCCGGGGCGAGCCGGCAATGACAATGACCTCGGAGCGGCCGCCATTCTTGCTGCGCTTGGCCCGCCGGACCTTGCGCACGTACTTGTTCTGCTGGTAGCCCTTGTAGGCGACGGTGCCGGTGATGACGACGGCGGCGCCGATGAGGTACTTGTTGCGCGCGAACCAGCCCTGCAGCTTCTCGAGCGTCGACAGCGGCACGACGATGACCTCGGGCTTGGGCGGGGGCAGCGGCTTGACAATGTCGGGCAGCCAGTCGACGGTGGCCAGGCGCTCGCGGACGGCCTCGGACGCCTTGTCGACGCCCTTGTCGATGAAGTCGGCGGCGTTGTCCGTGACGCGCCGGAAGTGGCCCGAGATGGTGGACAGCTAAAGGAGGTTGGAGAGAGTTAGCCGCGGCTTTATGAAACGGAGGAGTTGATGGCTGCTTGTTTGCCGTCAAAAGAAGCAACGAGGAGATCATGAGGCGAGGGGGGGGGAGCATTTACCACGTCCATCACCTGCTGGTTGCCGTCGGACGCCATGACTGGGGGGGGGAGAGGCTCTCTGAATGAAAAGCCTGGAGAAGGAGAGAAGTCACAGACAGAGGAGGAGAGGGAAAGAAGAGGTAGAAGAGAGGAGGAGGAGTAGCAAGCAGAGCGTTAAAAAAAAAAAAAAGCTCTGGTTAGGCTCTGAACCTGATGACGGTATTCAGAGGCAGAGGCTTTCACGAGACGGTGTGGAGAACGGCCAGCTGGTCCGGCTAACGGGTCCCCGAATGCGGCTTTAGGGAGGGAAGCGAGCGCTACAGGGCACTACAGGGCGCTATGAGTGCGCTATAGCGGGCGGAGCGGTCCTGTGATTGGTGGCTGCTGCACGGCTAGAGGGAGGAGGACAAGGGCGTCCAAGTGCTTGTCTAGGGCTAGCGGCGCTCATGAGGAGAAGAGATGGAAATGCATCTGATAAAGGCGATTGAAGGGCTGGGGAAGTGGTGACTTGCTTCACTCGTACATGTATGAATGCTCGAGTAGCTTCGGTTTAGCTACGTGGACGGCATAAGTGAGTGAAAGCCATCAGTAATAAGGCACGTATGCATGAGCCAAGATGAGGGGGGAATTGGGTTCTCACGAGTGATGAACAGCCAGCATTTCATCTCTACCTGCACTGAAAACACACGTCGACAGGCTCACACGTGTCACATGTGGGCTCTTGGATCCGAGGTGCTGCAGCTCACCGCTCAGGGCATTCGGGACGGATGATGAGGCCCCGATTTCACGCAGACAGCATGAGCCGATGCATTGATGGTGCTTTTGAGACGGGGGCAGGGCTCTGTCGGAAGGGTTCAATACATGGATATACTCTCTCCAGCCAGACAGGGCATCTCCTTCAATGGCTGTTACAAGACGCTGTCTGGCTGCAGGCATCTTCCCCCCTTTCCCCCCTCTCAACCCCAGACTCCACAGGCATAAAACAAACCAATTGATGGATCTGCATACATTGTAACCTCCAGTCATTTACCACTGTAGTAATCGGCATCTCTGGTAATGCCCCTCCTGCTCCTGACCCTGGTCTATCTGTAAGTATGTAGGTATGTATTGTATGTATGTACGTACGAGTACATGCATCTGCCCCCCAAGATACGTGGTACCAGATGCCTACCTTACCGACCTACCCATCCATACCCATGTCCATGTAAGGCATTGATGCACGTCTCGCTCACTCGCATTCAACCAAAACAAACAACGTGGGTGGGTATCACTTCAATGGCTCTCCCCAGAAGACAAGAAAAGAAAATCATCATCATCATCTGCATGTTGTCCACCTCCACCCACCACCCAGCACCAAACATGCTCCTGACCTAGACAAACGAAACGTACACGAGCGGGGTGACATATGCAGCGTACGTGCTGGGCTTGAAGTACTGCGTCCACGTCAGATAGATGCCGTCGTCGTACTCGCGCAGCAGGTGAGGATGCGCCTGCAGGCTGTACGACGGCAGGTCTCCGTCGCCGTTGGGCCCCGAGTAGAGCAGGTATGGCGCCGTCCAGGGCCCCTCGGCGCTGGGGGCCGTCGTCACGTAAAAGTCGGCCCAAATGCTGGGGCTGGCCTGGCCGATCCAGACGTACGACTGGGCCCGTTGCGAGTAGTAAAAGGTGCCCTGGCCTGTCGTCCCCGCGTTGGGAACCGCGGCGGCTGTGTCGTTGATGGCCGGCCTGGTCCTTGTCCAGCTGCCGCTCATGTAGTACTCGTACTTGCTCTTGTCCTCGATGCTGTCGACGGGAACCCGTGCTAGGGCGACGCCTCCTGGCCGCAGCAGTCCGTAGAGATAGGCGTACTCCCCCCTGACAACGTTGCCATAGGTTCCGTATCCGATCTCGTGCTCTCCCCAAAAGGCCACATCCACAGTCGTAACAGCCGGAAGCACATCTGGGTCAGTATCGGGCGTGTAAGTCATCTTGTAGAGGGCGGTGGAAGGCTGAGGCGTCAGTAACTCCAGTGTCGTGGTGGAGATGTGGTTGTTGGACACCCAGGTATAAGCCGTGACGGTCCCATCCTGAGCCGTGTCTGTGATCATTGGTGGCGAGTCCGGCCAGCCAGTCCATCTGGTCGTCCCGTCGGCACATATTCCTGACTTTGGGCACATGTTGGGGCCCAAGGGGTAGAACGTAGGAAGAGTTGGCCGGGGGCCCTTCATGAGGAGGACGCTATTGGTGCCGTCCGATCCTGCTCCAACCGGCCCGCTGGTCTGAATATCAGGCGCTCCGTCCTCGCGATAGTCCGTCCAGCCCACCGAGTTGGCAAAGACGAAGCCATACTGGTCCGTGTCAGGGATGCGGATGGACGTGTCTCGACAGGTCCAAAACGTCCGGTTCCCCATCTTCGCCGAGCCGCACGAATCGCGGCTGAGGTCGGGATCCGTGACATTGGCCAGCAGTGTTGCGCTCTTGGCCTGAGGCTTATATGGCGATGCCAGGGCCGGCTTCTGTGAGACGACAAAGATCTTGTCGTCGTCAAACTCAATCGGGGCCGCATGGGCGACTGAGGCGGCCAGGAGAGCGGCCAGAAGGCGTTTTGCTTGCATTGTCTACTGTTGAGGCACAGCAGACAAGCAAAGATGTTATAAACAAGGCAGATCTCCGCAAGAGGGATACATATAGGGCTCTGCAAGAGAGGCAACGAAAGGAAGGAATACACTTCAGGTGAGGCCAGAGACTCTCAGCGTCAGCAAACGATGATCGGGCGTCGACAAACTTAAGAAGAGGGAATAACGAATGCAAAAGTGGCGTCGTTGGGTGCCAGCCCCAGAACAGACGGTGCCTGCGGAGTCAATGAATGTTAACGAAGCGAAGAGGGATCTCGGCCTGCCATCCTGCGGCAGAAAGAAGGAGGTCAAAGAGGTCAAGGAGGAGAGGAAAATATTGAGAAAACGGGTACATCTCGCCGCTGGGGCAGTGTCGCCTTGCGCCATGTAGCAGCATGCACAGGGCCAGTCGGACCCTGGGCGCGTGTGGCTTCTCTGCCCCTGTCATTCGTTGCCTTTCTGGGACTCATGATAAGGCAGCGTCGCAGTCCAGTTGGAGACGGCGTCTAGTGACTCAGTTGGCATGATCTGAGGCTCCCGATTGCTGTCAACATGACATGGAAAAAACAGATGCAGCATGCTGTGAGCGCGTGGAAAGGCGACTTGGGCCAATAGTCTGCTGCTAGAGCCAACGGCACGATGCAGGTTGGCTCGCAGATAGTCTCGGCCACTGCCGAATCCGTGAGGTGTGATCTGTTCTGTGGTCGAGACTTACGGATAATATACATACATACGATCCAGAAGGGGCGGAGACGGGGCGGAACAGGCGGCGAGCTCGGATAGTTGAAGCCGTGAAGCTGGCCTGCAGCTACAGTGATGCACTTCTGCCTATATAACTTGAAGTTCCTTTGATGCATGCTTCTTAGAGGTCTGGGATCTTAGGTAGTCTAATTTGGACAACCTGGAGCTGTAACTCTGAGCTGCAGGTTTCACTCATACATTCACATGTCAGGCGATATGAAACGGTCGAAGTAAACAAAGGCACCATGAAAGACAAATTGGTGAACTACTTCAAGGCATGATGCATTGGTTCAAACAATCTAGAGAAGTCTCTCTACTTTAATATGAAATTGCTGACAGATACCTAGGGAAACATTTCCCAAAGGAAACGCTCCGTCAGAGTCCTTAGTACAGTGCCACCATACCATCAAAACACACTGTGTGCATTTACTGCCCCTCATTTTGCTCGCATCCTTCCAGCTTTCAAACCACCACCTTTTCACATCATCGCCATCAACACACAACGCAACAAGACCGACGACAGAAAAGGAGAAAAAAAAAGGGCAAAAATGAAAAGACATACAACAGCCGGTGTTCGCCAGTGGTCACCCACCTGACTACTAATCTGCCGGTTAGTGGCTTGTCTATGGGGGAGCAGACGGGACCCCGAATTTTCCACTACCTATGGTCGTATGTGCTTGGTAGGCGACGTAGACTGCCTCATGACTGCGTCTTCAACATGGAAATCACAGAGAGTGCCTACCTGGTCATGCAGAAGAGAACACTGGAATGATGGTTGTATTGATGTCTACATGTAGGACCCCTGACTTGGCTAATCTTCAACGGCCAGCCAGACAACTCGTGCATAACGCTGCAAATCTTCAGTCGTTATAATGAAATCTCCCTCTTCTGGGCCTGGATCTCTCAGAAAGAGCAGCCGGAACGGAAGCACCAAGTCGCTTCTACTAGAAGCGATACTAGAAGCGACTTGATGTGAACCAGTAGCCGGATCCTGTGTGATGGTGATGCTTTGCTTCAACACAGGCTGACTGGCGCCAGACATCGCTGCCCTTCTGGTTGTTGTAGCGCCAGGACGGGTGGCAGCTTCTTCTTCCTCCCATCTCTCAATGATAATCTGTCGAAGACGGTGGTCAAACTTGGCAAGCAGAGTAATCTTGACCTGATGGTCTGATGCGGAAAACCACCATCTCATGTCGTCTCGTAGGGCATGCAACGGTTCGGAATCTCCTGCCTCGATGACCAGGGTTGGCCAGGCGTGCGGACCGTGGCGAACTGATACTGGGCCACCACTTGAGTCGCCTTCACCACCGTCTCCAGGGTGACCTTGTGGACGAAAGGTCGTCCTCCCGATTGGTTTCCAGATATCTAGCGCTATCGGACCAATCTTAAACATGAACGCCTGGTAAATGCCCATGTGGAGTGCTTCATGTAGGGCAGTAGGTATTGTGATGATTAACAGTCTCCTGTCGGCGTGATAACGTCGCAGGCGAAAACCGCGACGTTCTGGGCGGCTGATTTCCTCAAAATCAGCAGGAGAAACATCTGATAATGAGTATTTAGTATAGCATATCCTAGGTAGGGATGTAATTACGCTAGATGGTAAATACTTTGGACAATGAGGAAATCGCCTGGAACCTGCCTAATCACCTGATAGAGCTCTTTGACGTTTGTATATGTGATTGTCGGTGGCTGCTCCTCCCCCTGCGAAGCCAGCGACACCTGGAATGCTTCAAGGGCCTGAGTCAGCATCGAAACAGGAAACCCCGTCGGTGGTGGATCGTTTGGGCAGGAGGAAGGTGCAGGAAACGAGTGGGGCGAAGAAGCTACTAAGAGAGGACCCCCTGGTTCGATGACCTTTATAAGTCGCATCACGTGACCTTGAACAGAACCCAAGAGCTGCTGACAGCCGTTATTCACGTACCTCTGTACCTAACAAGCAGGCTGTGGAAGAAAAACACCAGGGTAGCTTACACACTCTTCCTAGGCATATATATGGTGCCTATTATTCCTACCTACTATTACTACTGATATCTATAAAGGAAAAGGGCCTTTATTTTCTGCTACTAGCGCTATGTAGTTCTATTCTACTGAAGTACCTACGTTCTATAAATTCCAGTTGATGTATCCATACTCGGTAGACTGTGTTACGGAAATCTAGCGTTAAACGAGACCGCATGCCCTAAAGGTATGGTCGTATGTGCTCGGTCTTAATGCTATTCGCCTTGTAGCAGCAGGCTCTGTTTCCTACGTGTTTCTTATCTTTGTAAGTTTTATACGACTCTGAACACGCCTTCGAGTAACATCACGATGCGAACCTGCTTCGTAGTCTTCATGGACAAGGTTTGCTCACACCACGAGATCGAGGCCGCGACTGGTATCAAGCCCTCGCAGACCTTGAAATTGATGAAAGATGGAATGGACGGGTTTGGGTAGAAGGCAAGATTATCCTGCACAACCATGTTACTCACAATTGTTGACCTGGGAGATCTCGTCGAGTTACTGAGAATGCGAATACCATGGGGTGGTATAAGGAGTCAGCGGAGGAAGACGAAGACAAAGACGAAGGAGAAGACGCTTGCTGGACTCCTTTGATGATACTCCTACTGCGACTTGGACCCCCTTTACTATAGCTTGAACCCGTTTCAATGATAGTGCGATTGTCCGTATTGGCCTCATGGCTCCTCTGACAGATCTGCCGAGCAAAACATGTTCACCCTGGTTTTGCTGGGAGGGGAGGGGTATTGTAGCCCGAGCCCAAAGAAATGGATTTTGGAAACTCATGCAGCTGGAACCATGAGAAATTTCTCGCATGTCGTAAGATCAAAAGGAGCCGCAGGCGCAATACTACTGATCCGTTCTCTTGCGTTGATGTCTGGATTGGAAAGTCAGTCCGCACCAGGACGGGCGCGATGTCAAAGTCTTTCTGACAGATGGTGTTGCCGACCTTACTGTTGCCTACTTAATATAAAGAAGTGCCTGAGACGGTCAAAGGCTTCATTATAGCCTCGAGATTGTCGAAGCTGACCTTACATGGCTGCTTGTCCTTTGGACACCGATCGACTGAATGTCATCGCGTCAAGTTCCCGCTGGTGTGAAGCCGTCTTTCCATAGCCTTTCAAGCATCTGCGTTGCCTGTGTGTCGCGGTAAGTAAGACGACGTCTCCTGGGCAAGTCTCCTAACCACCGTTTTACGTGTGTTATACCTGTATTGTCTGCGGGAGAGTCATATAGATCAAGACGATTTGGTCTGCGCAGAATGAACATGACTGACTTGCCAACGCTGCGTCTTGTGCATAGTCGCACGGTGGAAAGACTTTTCGTATGAGTAGTTCTGGATATAGGTACGCACCTTGAGATTGAGAGTCACTGTCAGTCTTGGTGTGTTTCCGTATAGAGCTTGCATGTGCTGGCACCACCACGACTCGCAGATTGCACGTTCTTCCAGCGTGTTTTCTTTGATCCAAGGCCTGAGGTGTGAAATCAGTGGCCAAGTGGCTCTGATGTCAGGAGATTTTGAGGGATCACTCGATGTGCTAACATTGCTTCAATGCTGATGTTACCCCGGTCGGTACGCGGGTAGTCGAGCGGCGGATGAGAGGGGAGAATGTGCGGGATGATGTGAGATGCTATACCAAGAGACATGGATCGGTGGAATATGTCGAAGCGATATGACAACAATAGAAAACAGGTCTGTATGCACCGGTGTCATACCACCATCCTCTTGCGCAACGCATATGTATGGAGTGTCTCGCTCTTGGGTGTTCGCAGCAGCACTGGAGGAGCCTGTTGCGATTGGGCCATCCCACCTCCACAAAGTTCCATGCCGATAACCTGTCATGTCTCGAAACAAGCGAGTCGAGAACTGACGGGTGATGCTGGTCTGCAGCCTTTGACAAGGAGGCATGCCACACATCCCCATTGGAGCGTCTGCCCCCCTCAGCATGTATGAGGAGAAGACAATATATACTGATAACTCATTGACCTGTCTCTCAGCGGCCCGAATCAGGTGGCCACACGCACCACGGCTATCATATATAGCATGCATATTGCGAGAGAGAAATGACAGGCTTGTGCTTACAAGTGTCAACGGCCATCCTTGCCCCGTAGTCCCTGTTCACATCCATCTGTAGGGCGATCTAACGGGTGGTGTTGATAAGGATACTTACGCTCTTTGTAGACGTGACAGCTGGGATACAAGGGGGGGACCGGGACCATTCTAGAACATGTGTACGTCTTGAGCTGCGAGGGCTCGCTGTCGTGCTATTTGCTGAGCACCTCAGTTTGTTCAGGGTCCATGTGACGCCCGGTGGACTTGTAGAAACGGGACCTGCCAAACGTGTAATTACACAGTGTGTCTTTGCCTGCAGCTCCGGAGTCCCCCGGTAGCCAGATGGTATTGGCGAGCGATGAATAGGCAAGGGATAGTTAAACAAGATGGACTAATTTACCCGCTTGAAAGCAGTTTCTGACATTAGCAAAGAACCGTGGTATTGGAACTGCTTGAGAGCCTTAAAATGAGTCTCTCTGCTCCATATGCCGAAAGGCATCAATGAGCCCTGCTGGTGGGAGAAGTACGACGGTGTCTCTTTTCATTTCTCATACGGCTAGATTCTATGAGTGAGTCAGTTTTGCAGAGCTGGTAGACTCAGTGTTTGCTTCTGAGCAAAAGATTGACTTTCTATTGTAGGAGTGTACATAATCTCCTGTAAGTTGACTTTCGAGTGTCAGGTAGGTACATACGATCACCACGACTCAGGGGCGTGTCATACTCGAAAGACGATCGGTCACCTCAACGTCTCTCATTTACCTTTCCCGTCTTTGAATCACACATTTGCAATCAGACACAGAATATCACATATAGGGAACATTTGATTCGAAGTGTTAATCGCTGCCAGAGCTTCTGATTTCGCTGTGAAAATATTACTGAGGAGCCAAAGGGCGTTGCTCATTCACCCGGCACCGGGCTTAGTCATCAGGCCGCGTAGACTTTGCGCCTTACCTTGCCTTTCAATGATGCTTAGAAAGCCGTCGAATCCCAATCGTGAACATGGCAAGGTCGAAATGCCTGAGTGGTGACACGACTCAAGGCATCTGCTGTGACGTGGCGAGTCACTGGAAGACCTGATAGAACATTTGAAGTCATGTAGACCGCGATCTCTTCTCTCTTTAGACTCCTCTCTGCTGCGTTGTCCTGCAACACCACACTTGAAGACCCCTTCTTTTCGTGCTCAGCGGGCTGTGGTTTGATATCCCGGACACAGATTATATATCCAGACAAAATCAAGATGCCGGAACACGATCCCCTCGTTCTGTCCTACTCGCACCTCGCGCAGTTCCGCCGCGCAGATGAGGCGCTGACAATCCTCAAGAAGGTGGCCTCCCTCGTGAAGCCCATCATGCGGAACCGCGGGTGGAAGGTCAGGGAGCTGGCCGAGTTCTATCCCAACGAGACAAACCTACTCGGTGCGCATGGCACTTTGGATGCATAGCTCGTCCAGCCTGGTTGGTAGTCTGACTGACGGGTGGTAGGCCTCAACGTCAACCGCGGCATGAAGATATGCCTGCGGCTACGCTATCCGCAGGACCAGAATCAGTTCCTCGCTACGGAGAGCATCGTCGACACGATGCTGCACGAGCTGTGCCACATTGTCCATGGGCCTCACGACGGCAAATTCCACGCCCTCTGGGACCAGCTGCGCGACGAATGGCAGGGCCTTCTCTTCAAGGGATACACAGGCGAAGGGTTCCTGTCCGAGGGCCATCGGCTGGGAGGCAGGCAGGCACTGCCGGTCCGCGAAGTGCAGCGACTCGCCCGCTCTGCGGCGGAAAAGCGAAAGGCTCACGAGCAGTTGACTCGCGGCTCGGGACGGCGGCTTGGCGGAGGTGATGTGTCGCGGCCGCCAAGGCCAGGTCGGAACCTGCGCCAAGCGGCTGCTGCGGCGGCTGAGAAGCGCAACAAGGCCCTTCAGGGTTGCGCCACGGACAAGCTGAGCGACAATGAGATCCGCGCCATTGCTGATACAGCGTCCAGGAACGGGTTCCGCACGCAGGCGGAAGAGGACGAGGCCAACGACCTTGCCATTGCGCAGGCTCTGTGGGAGCTAGCCCAGGAAGATGAGATGACCAACCTGGGCGGCGGGTCCTATATGAATTCATCGCCTGCGGAGAAAGTCATGAAAGGCACTGCGGGCACGGGGGTATCCTTTGATGGAAACTCGGGCAGTAGCAGCAGCAACAGCAGCGGCAGCGCCAGAGGCAATGCTACAGGCAGCCAGAGAATGGCGCCTACTAGCCAGCCAGACGGCGAGCAGTTCTGGATCTGTTCGATATGCACTCTGCACAACCCTCAGAACTTCTTGTGCTGCGGTGCCTGCGGGGTGGAGCGCAGCGAGGCAACGGTACACGCGCCGGTGACGCCGAGACAGCCTGGGCCGAGGCCGGCTGTGATTGACCTGACGAGCAGTCCGCCCAGGACGAAGACGAACCCTCGCGAGACACGGCGAACATCAACAACAACAACAGCTCAGCGCCCAGCAGCAGCAGCGAACCCTAGCCAGGCTAATAAGGCTCCAGTTCCAGCACCTCCAGCAACTTGGCGCTGCGAGTATTGCGCCACGGAAATGGAGCGGCAGTGGTGGACCTGCTCTACCTGCGGGCAGATGAAGTTTAACTCTCGATAAGACTGTCACTGCTAGCGAGGAGCCAAAGCCGAAGCATCGGACTGGTCTGGACTGGGCTTGGCCTGTCTCAACCTGACGTGGAGTGCCTGCTGTGGAGTTGCCCGACCTGTGGCAGATGCAAACTTCGAGCTGTTTTTGCTGCATGGGATTCACTACCTATGTACGCATCACGAGCGGTACCAAAATTGGAGTCATTTTTTGCATGACTGGCAGCTTGGCAAGCTGGCTGATGGTGGTGTTGAAGCTAAAGCACGACCTACATGTACATACATGGGCACTTTACTGCTTGCAGCAAGACGCCCTCCCCCCTCCCTGGGCAAACGAGAGAGGAAAAAAAAAAAGAAAAGAAAAAAGAAAGAAGAGAAAATATTGAGACCAGGGTCCGTCTCGTGTTGCTGTCCATTTATTCTGGAGCCGGGGCGACGGTTAGGAAAGGCGCCGATTGGAAAATGGAGTTTAGATCGTCCTTTGGTGGAGATGGGTCCAGCTCGAGCTTGTTCTGATGCGATTCGCTGTCCGTCCTTTTTGTCTTTCTGTCTGTCTGTCTAATACCAAATCTGTTCTGTCTGTTCTGTTTCTGTCTGTTGGGGTGTTTGATCTGAAGCTGAGGCTGTTTTGACTCGAGAGCGGTTTACATGTACCTATTGAATGGGCCAGCGAGCGACGTCTCTGCTTATTGTTTCCTGCGCGTGGTTACAGGTCCTCCATCTGTTAGCACCCTCACTTTTTTTTATCCAATACGACTTTGATAGTTTTGTTTCAGATGGCTGCAGCAGCCTGCATGGTACATACAAATGCGGCGGGCGAGTGGGAGGCTGGCGTTGGGACGGACCTCGTTCCGTCCTGTGAGAGCCCGCGTGCGTTGTGTTAGTGCTGCTCATGATACAAAATAGTCTGCCCGCCCCATGGAGATGATGCATGGATGTCACCTGGTACGAGACAGGCTTGTATGAGGTACCTTGAGTGGCTTGAGTGAAGTCGGAGAAATTGAATTGTGAATTGTCGCATCTCGGAAAAAAATGTACAGCGAAGTATTACCTACTCGTGCGAGAGACGAGGGGATGTGAGACAAGAGAGACATAACAGCCCAAGACAGGAGGGGTTGGAGGAGGAGGAGGAGGGAGGATGGATGAAAGGAACGGGCTCCGGACACCGGTACACGTTATCTGATGCTGGCACCTTTCAGCCGTGGAAATGCATGCTCTGTACGGGTGCAGATGTCGATATCCGTTTTGCAGCTTCTCCATACCTAGGTAGTAAATGAAGCATTTTAAAATTCTTCAACATGAGTACCTATAATGACCATGACACTACATCGCCCGATACGAGTCCCTTCATGTCTGGTCAAAATAGAATGACAATGAACATAGTCGGTCAGTTTCATCTACATACATAGAACTCGGCATCCGCAAACTTCACAATAATAGCACAAACTGTCCATCACCCGAAGCTCGTCCACGTTCTGGACAACGGGTGGATCCCGAGCTCTGCTCAGCAGCAATCGGGAGGACCCCTGGTCGACTGCAAACAGCGGTAACGGGCAGGGGTCCTGTGGGTAGGTTTGTGTGCGAAGGCTTGCTATTCGTGAGCAGCCAGTCAAAAGCCAAGCCGGGTGCTCCTTGCAAGGCAACCGGGCTTGCCATCAGAAAAGAAGAAAAAAAAAAAGAGGCGGGCGAGAGAGAGCGAGCCTGGGAGGAAGAGAAGATGGGAGAGGGTCTTGGTCGTCCATGGGCCAAAGGGTCCATACTATGAAGTCCTGTAGTGGTTATGGTCCACATACTTAGGTACTACAGTATACCTAGGTCATTCATGATACGGCAAAGCTTCCAGTGTCTGTGACGAGCACGTAGACTATGGCGGAGGGATGATGGTTGGCCCTTTGAAGAGGAGGAGAGCATTGCCAAGACATCCAAGCTACATGTAGTATTCCAGCTTTGTCACCTTGACCCCAGATAGCTCACACTCACCAACATGTTCACCTTCTTTGATGTGACGAGGATGGAGTGAACCAGGTTCATGATGCTAGTATTAGCAGCCTTCACCTAATAAGCCCTGCGCCTTGTGCGGCACCTGTCGCCGGTCTTGCGCCCGTTGGAAGAGGGACGACAAAAGCAGGACAAGAGAATCTAAAGAGACGCCGCGCTGCCAACGTGCTTGGCGTATCAGATGCTCGTATTGTCTCTTACCCCTTGAGTCTTTTTTTGTCGCCGCTCTTTGTTCTAGATGATTGAGGCGTAGACGCTGCAGGATGTGTACACTGTACAGCATCTCCGCACCTTGCCTACCTACTGGCTTCTCAAAGAGCTGTCCTGTCGGGTGGATCAGGTCTGTCTGCCCTCTCAGTGTCTGGCCCGTATTACGAGTAGGCGCACGAATTGCAGCACTCAAGCCCCCCTGAACGTCTCAGCGCAGAAAATGAAGCCATTTTAGCTGCAGTAGTGATTTGCATGTCGGAGGGGCCCTTGGGAACTCGAGCATGTCGAGACGAGCTGGGCATGGGTCAAGCCAGTCAGATCGGGAGGGATTCGGGATTTGCTGGTGGAGGGGGGGGGGAACAACGGCCGCATTAGCAGCCACAATGTAATGGCTTGGACTATTACGATGGTCTCTTGATTTCTTCGTTCCTTGTGCCAAACAAGTTATTCAGAGCATGGAAGGAATGGCAATATTGACGCGTGATAAGACTAGAAGAGGGGCGGAAATCTCACGCTCTTCTTCCTCTCGATCGCAGGAGTGGTGTGACGACATAGGAGCCGCAAGGCTGATCGTGGAGCTTCCTGCTGGAGTTCGGCCTCGCCAGGACGTGAGGCGCCACTGCTGATCCTCTCGTGTCCTTGGAATCAAGCTTTGCAGCACGCTTGGTTTTTGGAGTCGCCACCGCAGCTCGACGATGGAGTCGGATGGGTCGAACTTCATGCCCGTCTGTGACGTCCCACCACCCACACGGCCGGCTGCCCTAAACAAAGCTGCCCAGATTCCCGACAATGGCCCTCATGGCAAAGGCAAATAGGGCGGGCAATAGGGGTTCAGTCAAATGGATGCATGCCTCGCAGCAACGACGGGTCACCGGGCTTTCAGGCTCCCTCCCTTTGGTTGCACCCGCACCATGGCAAGACAAGACTAGGACGAGGCCGGAGCGCCATACATACACACGCCCGAATCGGAGGCGCAAACCGAGAACCCAAATGTCCATCTTCCCGGTTCTCGTCCTCTTCCCATTTGCTCCCTCCTGCTTCGGCTGGCTGTGGGCAGGACTGGCGTCTCACCTTGGACGGGGCACATGGACACCGAGGTCTTTGAGGTGTGCGAATGTGCGGTCTGGTAAAGTCCGAAAGGCCCCCATGCCATATGCCTGGCCTTACCAGATGTGACCTTGTTTCCCTTAGTTCCCCCCGTTAGTCCACGGTACCTCAGCAGGAAGGCTGCATGCTCCAGCTCCAGAAGATCCACCGCATCTGTTTGCATGCGGCTTTCTGATCTCGACCCGATTCCACCTCGTTCTTGTCCATGTGCCACTTGGCCCGCGTCTCCCGCCAGCCGAACCGAAACGCCCAGGACCAGCGGCCGCCTCATTTTTATTCGCCCCATGGCTAAAATCCAGGATCTGTCTTGCCGGGGCGTAAGACGGATTGTTTGGCCTGGGCAGATGCTTTGGACGCCTCTTTATGTAGGGGGAAGGGAGGTGATGCAGCAGGTTCTGCATAGGTAGTCAGGTAGGGGTCCAGCCGGAGCTACTGGACGATAATACTAGTACATACTGCTCGGGAACCACCTCAGTCGATGACAGGTGAGGTGTGCTGGTAATACCTTGCCTACTAATGTGCCTTATACTTGCATGATGATGGTGGAATGCAGCGGTTCTGGACGAGGCGGGCATCTTCTCACGGGTACCGTTGACAGAGCAAGCATCCAAGTACCTTACCGTTGTGAAGATACCTGCAGAGGCCATCAGGCGTGTCTCAGCTCGCCGGCGTCCCACCGCTCAGGTCAACCTGATAGGCACATTGGTACCTAGCATTGCAGCAGAGGCTAATCACCAAGGTAGGTAATGGACAAAGGGCATTCTCTCAGCACTGCCCCTGATGCGGCACCTTTCTGTTGGTGGTTCATTATGCCCTCAAAGTGCGTCGAGCCAGAGCCCGAGGCCAAGAGGTGCGAATGAACCAGGTGAGGTACATGTACCCAAAGGGTACGCCTGCTGCTAACATCGCCTGGGCACAGCTGGCACGGCCGTCTGCTACCGGCTGCCGGCCGAGAGAGGTACCTCCTCCTCGAGGTCCAGACCTCGACCTCGCTGCAGCCACAAGCCCTGCCCTCGAAATCGCCTCATTCTCGCGTCCCTGCATCTTCTCATTCTCCTCCCGAACCCTCTCCTCCTCCCCCCCTCCCCTGCGCCCTTGTCCAACCGCCTTACAGCACATGCTATACGTACTCACGGAACAAGCACCGCTAGGACCCGGCAGTGCTACCGTGTATCGCATCTCACCTCACCTTACCTTACCTTTCCGCTGCCCTGTGTGTCTCAGCTCAGGGTCCCGTCGATTCTAGTTCCAAGCCATCAAATCCTAGCCTCAAGCCCCAGTCCCCACGCTGCCTGTTCGCGGCCCTCGACGGCGACAGGAATAGTCGACAGCCACCAAGTCCGCTTCATTCGACCTCTTCGTTTCAACCCCCCCGCTTCCGGTCCGCAATTGATCTTCCTCCTCCCAGGGTTCCAGCTGCCTTGCCAACTGTGTCTCTGCCTCGCCCTGCCGCCAACTCCATCGCCGTCCTGCCAGGGCCAGCCGGATCTTTCCCTCCCTCCTTACGCTACGACTCGCCTTGCCAGCTCGGTACTCGGCCACTCTCTCGTCAGCCAGTCCTGTCCGTCCTATGACCTTGTTGCTCGCCTCTGACTTGTATTAGCCAGTGCCCCATTCCACGACTCCAGGAAGACGCCCATCCAGCCATCGAATGGGTGGAGCCCGAGATCTGCAATATACCACGCCATTGCGATACCGGCATAGCTTCGTCAAGTAAAAGCAGCACTAACGCATCGAGTCGCGGGTTGCCGTGCTTCCTTTGGTTTCCTTCTCCTTTGTTTCCGTTCCTGCAACTGCTTCAGCCTGCTCCCCAGACTGCCTCCCCGTCCAGCTGGACTCTTGCCAGCTTGTGCTTGCTTCCGAGTGAGCCTGGCAAGGCTTATCATCAACACCAACCCGGCTGCCATCCTCGACCTGCTTTTCGAACCAACCCAGCAGAGCAGAAGCAGTCTCTTGAATTTGTTGTTCTAAGAGGCAGGACGGCGGATGCCCACCCGCTGCTGCCTTTGAAGCGCATCCGAGCCTCTCCCTCCACATCTCTCCTCCCATGCGTGGAATGACCACGACATGACATCTCTTGGACATGCTCGCGAGAGCAGCCAGTCTCAATCTTCACAGTCTGCTCCAGCTGCCACCTCTTCTGCCTCACCCGCCGCCCACAATGCCCCGCGAGGTCCTCCAGACCTCGATTTCGACATGGGAGCGCCTGGCATCAAGGCTCGATCGCCGCCCAAGACGGCCTCAGCGGACATGAACAGCCATGCTGAGCAAAGTCCCCGATCTCTGGGTGGTGGACGATTCCTCAGAGACCCCGGATATGGCGTCCGTTCCAAGTCCCAGAGCCCATTTCGGCTTCCCATGCCTTCGATATCGCCGGGCCAGGTTGCCTTTTCTGCAATGCAATACCTGCCGGTCCCTGTCATTATACTCAACAGCCTCAAGACTGTCGTTCTCGCCAATGAAGCCATGGGGAGGATGCTCGGTGTCATATCTGATGACACCAGTGATGAAGAGGTCTCGGTTGTGATGGACAAGTTGCGCGGCCAGACCTTGTCACAGGTGGGCATCGACATGATACAGGATGGCCGCCCGGTCTGGGTTACATGGGAAGCTTTCCTAGACACCTTGATCACGGACGTCGGCGTACGACCACCGGCCTCGAGCCAGCAACGACGACCGTCCTACCTTGGTGGTGGCGACGCCACGCCAACTGCTACCATGGCCCTTGATCAAGCGAATGAACAGCCCAAGCCCATCGATCGGCCGACCCAGGATGCGACAGTAGAGGTTATCATCACGAGAAAGGACATCACCAAAACTACCTTCAATAGCCGGTACAAGTCCAAAGAGTCCGAATACCATGCCTTTGCCAAGATGATCATCACGATCTGGGAGGTTGAGGATAGACAGACCTTCTTCACTCTGACCTTTACCAACACCCAGTCCGCTCCGACGATTCCCGTCAGTGGCAGAAGGGTCATTGCTCGATCCAGCATCCTGGAGGCTGTCGACAAAAAGTCCATTACCACCTCGAACCCGTCGTCTGTCGCCTCTAGCCGAGACTCTACCTCGCCCTTGTTCTACAGCCCGGGCGTCATCACCATGTCCTCAAGCCCGTTCCCTCCCATGGGGCCTCCGACCATTGCGTCTCACTCGCATTCAAACACCCCCTCGGTGCTGCAGAAGATGATCAGGATGAAGGACGCTCTCATCGACAGTACGCAGATGCCCGTCGTCGCCATGTGGAAGGATGGCAGCGTGATATTTCCGAATAAGGCTGCGAGGCAGCTCTTCCCCATCGACGCCGACCTCGACACCGCCGGCGATGGCTTCCATCTGCTGGCCAAGTGGCAGGTGTGGAACGAAGATTTCACAAGGCAGCTAGATGTCAGCGAGTATCCAATATCCACTCTGCTTCGGACAGAGACGCCGTTTGCGAGCATGCGAATAGGCATGTATGCACGCGACGGAAAGAAGATTATCTTTGACGTGTTGGGAGAAGGCATCTACGACGACACTACGCACGAGTTTCTCGCCGGCGTTGTGACTGGCCGTGATGTGACAATGATGAGGGAGGAGATCACCCACATCAAGGAGCGTGACGAGGAGCGCTTCAAGGCCATATGTGATGCTATGCCTCAGCTAGTGTGGACAGCGCGGCCCGATGGAACTCACGACTTCTTCAACACCAGATGGCACGCATATACAGGCGTGACCCGTCAAAAGTGCGTTGATATCGACTGGAAAGGAGCATTCCATCCTGACGATAGAGCCGAGGCGCTTTCCCGGTGGACTCATTCTGTACAGACCGGAGACCCCTTTGTCATGGAGTACCGCTGTCTTAGCAAGGAAGGCGAGTGGCGGTGGTTCCTCGGCCGGGCCCTTGCTGTACGCGACAAAGAAACGGGCAATATTGAGAAGTGGTTCGGTATGTTCACTTGACGAGGGGGGAGACTGTCCGGCTACGAAGCTAATCACTTGAGGTCAAATAGGAACCAGCACCGACATACACGAGAGCATGCAGACGAAATTGAGTGCTAAGCGTACTCGCCAGCAGTTGCTAAGCGTCATTGCCCACTCGCACGTCACCATCTTCACTGTTGATCCCGATCGCCGCGTTACGATGCTCGAGGGCGCCTTGATATGGAATAGCGCCTCTGAAGATAACCATGAAAAGAGCAGGTGGTATGTTGGAGAAAATATGTACACCGTGTTCAACCGAATTGCCGAAAGGGCATCTGATGGGGACCGTCCAACGTGGCTTCGGCCCATTGAGGACATTCTCGAGGGGAGGAGCAACGAGGACGTAAAGGAACACGGACTTCGTAAGTTTTTACGCGAAAAACGTTACGCGAAACCGCTCCCTCTTTGAAGAAAATACCTGATGGACTGACTTTTGTGTGACAGATGACCGCTGGTATCGAACACGATTTCATCCGATGCTGGGGAAAAAGACCAAAGACGGCATGCCCACCAAGGAGACGTGTGTTGAAGGAGTCATTGGCGTCATAATGGATGTCACCGAGCTCAAGGTGAGGGGAGAAGCGTTGCGAGAGCAGTCCAAGGAAAAGCGACGCGCAATGGCAAACGAGGCTGCTGCCAAAGAGGCTACACGACTAAAAAGCCAGTTTCTGGCCAACATGTCTCACGAGATCAGAACACCCATCACCGGCGTCCTCGGCATGGCAGAATTGCTGGGCGATATGGAGCTGACGAAGGAGCAGCGCGAATATGTTGACAACATACAGAGCTCTGCTACGTCGCTGCTCACGGTGATCAACGACATTCTGGACTTTTCAAAGGTGGAATCCGGCCGCTTGGACATTGAAGAAGTCCAGTTTTCCCTCTCCCACATTGTGCAGGATGTGAGGAAGATGCTCAAATTCGCCGTTGAGCGGAAGAATCTGGATTTCCTGTCCGACGTCGAAACAGACATTGCCAACGAACGGATCGTCATTGGCGACCCCGGCAGGCTGCGGCAGATTATTACCAATCTTCTCACCAACAGTATCAAATTTACAAATCAGGGTTATGTCAAGTTCTCGGTTCTCAAAGAGCGTGAGACAGCCGATACAATCGAGGTTCGATTCATCATTGAAGACTCGGGGATCGGCATCGAGGACGAGGTTCGGAAGAAACTCTTCAAGCCGTTTAGCCAAGGAGACCCAAGCACAGCCCGAAAGTTCGGGGGGACTGGACTCGGGCTTACGATTTGCAAAAACCTGCTGGACTTGATGAATGGTCGCATCACGCTCGAGTCGAACGTGGGATCAGGAACCAAGGCAACGTTTTGGATTCCTTTCATGAAGCCGACCGAGGCAAGGGCTCCTACATTAGTCGAGCCCGGTGCTATTCCCGATCGACTTCAGTCTGAGCTGAGCCTCTCATGTAATAGCTCGGAGCATGAACAGGTGACGGCTTCTCAAGGCTCAGATGGCATAACGAGCGGCTCCGGTACCAAATTACGCTGGCCCGCATCTACACGCACGCCCCCTCCCGCTGAACAAGAGTTGCCCCTTTCCGAACGATCCAAATTGCATATCTTGGTCGTCGAGGACAAGTAAGTTTTCACACGTTTGACCCTCCTGATGAATGTGTCTGATTTGGCTACTAACCTGGTTGATTAGCCCGGTAAATCAAAAGATCGCCACGCGGACTATCGGCAAACTTGGCTTTCAGGTGTCTGCAACCTGGAATGGCAAAGAAGCACTTGACTACATGATTGGCGCATCGAAAGGCGAGAAGAAAATGCCAGACATTATCTTGATGGACGTGCAGATGCCCATCATTGATGGCTACAAGTGCACCCATCTACTTCGACATCATCTTCCATACAAGAGTCTGGTTCAGCATGTGCCCATCGTGGCCATGACTGCATCAGCGATACACGGAGATCGCGAGAAATGCACAAAGGCCGGCATGGACGACTACCTCCCGAAGCCAGTGACGATGAAGGTGCTGGAGAGGATGCTGATCCGATGGTCACTGACAAGGCGACGCCCACAATCGGAGCCACCAGCTTCTGATTGCTCTGAGATGGGCGAGCATTGCGACAATGCAGATATTCCACACCTCGGCATTGAGGAAAACGATCCATCTCCCCTGTCAGCGTCTGAAGAGCTTCCCGCAGGCCCCATCACACCGCGGCCACTTACGCTCAACGGAGGAGAGGAGCCCTCGCCGTTTGACCAGGCCCTTGAGGTTGAAATGTCACCCCAAATTCGCCGGCCCGAAGGCGAGCAGGAGTGGTCAAACATGCTTCACGGTACGAAGCTCATTGATGCGGCGGGAGGTGTGCCGGCCGACCTTCGCAAGAATTCTCTTCCCGAGTCGGGAGCAGGAGAAGCTCTGACTGAAGAGAATGTCAACAAGTTGGAGAATGGGACGTCGATTTGAGTTTCCTTTCTCAAGTATTTTGCGACCTCCTTTCTGCCAGCGATTCTTCAACCTCCATTTTCAGCGAGAAAAAGCTTTGGATTTTTGGTTTGAAACAAAAGCGTATTCCCCGTTTTGCTATGCGCATCACTCATTCTGTAAGACGCGGATCTCACGATTACGATTTCGTTCTACAACTTTCTTTTGGTCTGTCTTCATGTTCCTTTTTTTTTTTCTCTTTCTTTTCACTTTCACTATATTTGCTCCAAGAAGAGGCGTTTGGGAGGAAAGAAAACGGGCTGAACATTTTTGGGTTCAAAGGGACAAGGACAGCACAAGGATAGGAAACGGGTGTCATGACGATTTGATCAACAGCAGTTTAATTATCACAAGCAGGACCTTTTGAGGCAAGGGTCAAGGACAAGGGCGGATGGACACTGGGATGTGGATTTCTCTATGCTTCTTTTGTGGTCATTTACTTTCCTTTTTTCCTTCTTTCCTTCTTCCTTCTTCTGATATATTCACATGCGGAGCAATGTCCTTGCTTTTTACCCCTTGATAGATTGGGAGATGGAAGGGTTTCTTTGACATTTGGGAAGGGGAAACACATATATGGAGCAGGGATGAGCACATATACTGGATGAAAGGGTTACTTGCTGAGCCTGTCATGGGCAGTGTATCTATGCTTGAAGCTTCAGGCGATAGGGATTAGATAGGAAGCCATACATGGACAAATTACACATATTCGTCGAGTCTCCCCGGAGCTTCCCCTGGACTGAAGCCATTTGGAAGATGATGACTTCAGAGCATGAGGCAAGCTCTGGTATACAGTACCCAAGGCAGCGAGGAAGAAGCTAGCCGTGGAAAGTACCTGTACTTTTGCCACGCTTCACTTTCACCTTACCTACATCCAGCGGCTTGTAGCCTTGTTTCTCAGGCCAACTCGTTTTTCCCTTGCAGCGCAGGTGAGGCTTCCTTAGCGGCATGCTTAAACGTGACATTTTTTCCCCCAACACCACCAATTGCGACTTGACCAACGAAAACCGACAGTTTTGCCTGGCGCAAATTGGGAGGACAAACGAACATTCAGCAGAACGGAGTAGAAGAGACGGTCACCACCATCACCTTCCGATTGACGACTCTCTTCCGCACCCCGTCGATCCTTCTTCGAGCAGACAATAGGAGGAGCAATTCGAACAAGAATCTGATTTTGACTTCGTCGCCGCCAGATTCTTTCTTCAGTCTCGCCTTCAGGTGTCGCTTTTTTTTTTCCCCCTTCTTCCCCTGCATCCCGCCCACCAGCCGCTGCTGCCCCGCGATTATCTTCGAATCCCGCCTTCTCCAAGAAAAAAAAATAAAAAAAAGCCCCGAGCTTTTTCTTCATCCTTCTTTCTTATTCTCCTCCGGCTTTTCTTCGACTCCTCGACTCTTCGTCGCCTTCACCTTTTTTTCTTCTCTATCGACGAAAAAGGTTCGAATCGTTTCTGCCGCCCAACGAACTCTTGTTAAGAAAACAATAAACCCCTTACAACACAATGGCTAGCGCTGCTGTCGACGGGGCAAACATGGACCAGCAGGTCGACCTCACCTCGATCCCCATCTCCCCCAACGGTGACGAGCACGCGGGCGAGACCAAGGAGAACAAGGACGACGGCAAGCCTGTGACTGTCTTCCACGACAAGGATAACTTCACCGTCAAGCACCCTCTCCAGAGCAAGTGGACTCTGTGGTTCACCAAGCCTCCGAGCGGCAAGGTATGGAGCGTTCACCCTCTCTTTTTTTTTTTTTTCTTCTCCTCCGATAGCGCCTGGAGGAGGGTAACGGGCTGGGCTGGGCTGGGCTGGAAAGAGGTGGAAGAAGGGGGGCGTCGTGTTGAGCTGGCGAGCCTGTGGCGGGGTGTGATATGCGTTGATTGAAGAGGATGGGAGCTAACATGGCATGCGTGCTTTGCAGGGCGATAACTGGAATGACCTGTTGAAGGAGGTCATTACTTTCGATTCCGTCGAGGAGTTCTGGGGCGTCTACGTAGGTCCATCCTTGCTTGCAAACTGAATCGCTTGCGCTTGACAACAGCGAAGAGGTGCCGACTTTTCCAATGCCGTGTTTCACCTGGCTGACCCTTTCGGATGCTGCAGAACAACGTTGCTCCTGTTTCAGAACTTGCTCTCAAGTCCGACTACCATCTGTTCAAGGCTGGCGTGCGTCCTGAGTGGGAAGATCCCCAGAACAAGCACGGTGGCAAATGGTCCTACCAGTACAAGGACAAGCGCAACGTCGATGTCGACCGCCTCTGGCTGCAAGTCATGATGGCTGCTATTGGCGAGACGCTCGAGGAGGAGGAGGATGGCGAAGTCATGGGGGTCGTCGTCAACGTCCGCAAGGGCTTCTACCGTATCGGTGTCTGGACTCGCACCATTGGCAAGAGCATTCCCGGACGAGGCGACGGAGACGTTGCTGGTGGAAAGGGCCGAAGCAACGAGAAGGGCAAGGAGATCCTCATGAACATTGGTCGCCGGTTCAAGGAGACGCTGGAGCTCCCTGCCAACGAGCAGATTGAGTTTTCAGGCCACACCGACAGTGCTCACGCCGGCAGCACCCGAGCCAAGGCCAAGTATGTCGTGTAAACACCTCGAAGAGAGATGTTGAAACTATTGGACGAAACAACGGGCCATATCAGCTTCACCCACATTACCGCAACCATATATCCATAACACATTACGCCGGTCTCTCCAGCTCAGGGCTTTTCTATCCTGGATTGAAGGCTGGCCAGAAGGGCTTCTGTGGTCAGAGACATGATTTACTCCTTTTCTTTTCCTTTGTCGGATTCGGTCCGGGGGTTGCGCACGGCAAGGCTTGGACTTGGCTTCTCGGGCAACTAATGACTGTGGAGCGATGGCATCCTTTTCACATTATCGACGGCGTTGGCTCTGGAGCTCTCGTTCTGTCCCTTTGTGGGAAATCGTCAAGGAGCCGCGCCAGACGATGATGGCATGCGGCGGATGAGGAACGAGACGGAGGTATCCTCTTACAAAGAAAAATAGATGTTTGATGTTCGGACCAAGAATGCTTTGCTATTTCTACTCTTATGCATCTATTTTCTTTTGATTCAAGATTTTCTCCAACACTTGATGTACTGCCGCGCGGAAATGCATGTGACATACTCCTCCATATTCTTCATATACAATGAAGGAATCTACCGAGTGAAGCGACATACACCAACAAGACATAGTCAAAGCGGAGAATGTTATACAAGTCTAATGCACAAAGGGCAGAATTCAGGGGCAATCTAGGCAGCCTCATCGCCGCTATGCTCATCGGCAAAGACGGCGCTGACAAGCTGCTTCTTGTTGATCTTGCCCATGGCGTTGCGGGGGATGCTGTCGACGACCTTCATGACCTGCGGGATCTTGTAGTTTGCGAGCCTGGGCTTGAGGGCGCGCCTCATGTCGAGGGCGGACCACTTGCGGCCGTCGTCGGGGACGGCAGCCGGGTCGAGGACGACGACGGCGCCGACCTTGTGGCCCCAGGAGCCGCTGGGGACGGCGACGACGGCGGCCTCTGCGACCTGCGGGAGGGAGAGGAGCTCGCGCTCGACCTCGAGGGCGCTGACCTTTTCGCCGCCCGTCTTGATGATGTCGGCGGACTTGCGGCCCTGGATGAAGTAGAGCGGGCCGTGGGCCCAGGGCTGGCGGAGGGAGTTGAGGCCTGCGGTGGGGACGGGGCGGCGGACGGCGACGTCGCCTGTTTTGAACCAGGGGCCGAGGCCATCGTCGGGATCAGCATGCGTGAACTCCTTGGCCGTGGCGGAGGGGTTGCGCCAGTACTCCTTGAAGATTGTTGGGCCGCGGAGTTGGATCTCGCCTGATCGCTCGCGGCCTTGGGCATCGACGTCTTGGCCCAGGGGGATGAGCTCGCCCGAGTCGACGTCGACGAGGCGGGCCTGGACGGAGGGCAAGGGCCAGCCGACGGAGGCGTCGACGCGGTCGGCGAAGGAGAGGCCGCAGGAGAGGGCCATGCCGACCTCTGTCATGCCGTAGCGCTCGAGGAGGACGTTGCCGTTGCTGAGGGAGGCCCAGGCGGACTTGACCGGGGTGGGGAGGGCGGCGGAGCCCGAGATGTTGAGGCGGAGGTTGTGCGGGGAGATGGCTTCCCGGGAGGCGGCGCGGACGTCGGCGGGGAGGGACTTGTGGGTGTTGAGGAGGCGGCTGTATATCGTTGGGACGGCGGTGAAGAAGGTGATTTTCTCCTTGGTGGTTTGGTGGGGGGATGAGGTGTTGCCGTTGCCGTTGGTGGCGTTGGGCGAGGAGGAGGATGAGGGAGGGGGGAGGAAGGGCGCTGCGAAGCGGTGCCAGACTGCGTCTGCGTTGAAGGGGAACATGAACTCGATGGAGGAGCCGGCGATGAGGGGGGTGAGGATGGCGTTGACGACGCCGTGGATGTGGTGCAGGGGCAGGAGGTGCAGGAGGTGGTCTGCGGGAGAGTATTCCCAGGCCTCATGGAGGGAGCGGGCCTGGGCGGTTAGGACGGACTGGGGGAGCAGGACGCCTTTCTGGAGATGGACTTAGAATGCGCGATGGCTAGCAAGGACTACAAAGGGCCACAGTTTCTTACCGGCTTGTTGGTGGTGCCCGATGTGTAGAGCATGAGGCCTGCTTGGCCCGGGTTGAGATCGTCTTCCAGGGGGACATGCTCGCCGTCTGCGACAGCACTTTCAATGTGCTTGGGTATCTCCACGTAGGTTGGCTTGGACGTCAGGTCTGCGGCCAGGACCTGCTGGGCCTTGGAGGCGAACTTGGGCGACGAGACGAGCAGCGATGCCTCGCTGTGGTTGACGACATACTCCAGCTCGGGGATGGGAAAGGCAGGAGACAGCGGCACGGCTATGGCGCGGGCGGCGAGGATGGCCAGGAAGGTGACTGCGTAGATGACGAGGACATGTGATATCAGCGAGGATGACTTCTCATATAGGTACACACGGACGGAACAAGGGCGCATTGACGAGCGACGCGACTATGGAGGGACATGTCTTCTTGACTGCGCAAGCCCAAAGGGGGATAATCGCTCACCTACGTAGTCGTAGCTATTCTCTACCAGAAAGGCGACCCTCTCGCCGTCGAGATCCTCGCCTTGGCCCCTCCCCCGCGCCTCGAGCAGCCGATGCCGGGCTCGGCGCACGTCGCCCAGCAGCTGGCCGTAGGCGAAGCGGCGGCCAGACAGCGAGTGGACCACGGCGAGGGAGGCGGCATCGTGCCGGGCCACGGCTTCGAAGACGGGCAGGCGAGGCAGGGCGGCGGCAGACGCAGACGCAGACGCGGACATGGTGGACGCCATCCTCATGCTAGCGGCGGCTGTGGCTGGGTAGGAAGAAGAGGAGGAGGAGAGGAGGGCAGCAGCAGCATGACGAAGAGGGAGCGAAGCAGACGAGAGGGAGTGGGAGTGGGAGTGGGAGGAGGAGGAGGGTGCAGGCGAGGCCCCGCAGGGTCGGCAAGGAAGCAGAAGCAGAGAAGAGGGGCCATGCGAGTGAAGGCGGGAGGAGGAGGAGGCCGAGGCGAGGCGGCGCAGGGCTGGTGAGGAGATCATTGGGGAGGAGGGTGGGATGGACAAAGACAAGAGCGAGGGTGAGGATGAGGGTGAGGCTGAGGATGGACCTGGGCTACCGTATCTGCCTTCAAGAGACTCAGATGCTGCTGTTCTGTTGATGGGCGTCCTCGAAGCAGCGCAAGAGAGATACCACGTCCTCGTTACCAATACCCAGTAATATCTAGCCAACAATGAGAGAAGCCGGCCAGTGAGCCGAGCGAGACACTGCGAGAGGCAGACGGGCAGAGAGAGGGGTACTAGTAGAGTGCAAATCCGGAGACTGGACCAGGGGGGGTGGAGGACATGCGGCCTCGTTTCCGGCCGACCTGGTGGTTTCGCTGCTGCTGCTGCTGCTGCTGCTGCTGCTGCTGCTGCGAGTGACGAGTCAAGCAGCCGTTCGGGAGCGAGCCACGATCGGGACAGTGCTGCCGGTGCTGATTTGCGCTGTTGCGGCGTTGGTTCTGATATCTGGTGCCGATACCTGGTGCCGATGCTGGCTGTCAAATGTTGTGGTGATTGATGGTTTTTGATGGTGGTGATGGTTCAAAATTGTTTGACGGCATCTACCCACCAGGCCAAGTTGACGTCTACTAGTACGAGTACCTACCTATAGCCACTAACACCTCCAGGCCTTAGGCACCCGATCCGGCTCGGCTCAGGCTCTGGCCCGCACGTTGGACGAGCCGCCGGAACATCGGGCCAAGGAGCGCCGTTGCCCGGGGAGGGAAGAGGCCAGCCCGCGAGCGCTGTTTCTGGTGGCTGAGCCCCTCCATTGAGTGCTGTGCTTCTATTGCGGGTTCCAGCGCTGTTTCAGCGAGCGCAGGCCGCTAACATTCAGCCCATGGAAGACGGGAGATCGATTGATCCCCGCCGGTCTCGTGTGTCCCGGGTGGGATGGATTCCATGAGATGGACTGTACTCGTACAGTACCTACGAAGCACAGGTGATACGTGACGCATCTTCAGGACGGGGTTGCACGGCAGCACGTTGTCCATACATAAGGGAGGTACCTTAGTAGCTGTACATAGTAGTACTGTACTTGTACGCCAGGCCTGACCGTTGTGTGTGTTACTACCTACGGCTCGTTGTGTTGCACAAAGGACACGGCATATGGGACGATGATGACTTGATCCGCGGGCAACCTCATGGGACTGCACAAGCTGAATCCATCCATCCCTTTGACTAGTAGTAACTGAAATGTATCAATGCTGCCGCTGGACCAGGCTAGCAGGGACCGAGGCAATGAGAGATGCAAAGTCGGTGGGCTGCGGAACCAAACAGGCGGGATAAACATGACAAAAAGGCGGAGAGGGGAAAACAACTCCTTTGCTGGCCCCCATGCACCACGCGGGAGACGAGAAGGTGAGTTGAGTTGAGTGAGTGTGTCTGTGTGTGTGTGTGTGTGTGTGAGAGAGAGAGAGAGAGAGCGGGGACCGCCACTTTTTGGTTGCAGGCAGGGGTGTTGCAAGGCAATAGGGCGGTCACTGAAAGGGAAAAAAGAGGAGGCGCGGCTTTTGACGAGGGTGTGAGAATTGGGTGAAGTGGAAGCCCATGGGGCCAACCAGCGAGCATCCCGACTTTTGCCAGGAGATCTGCTGTCTGTCAGTCACCCAGCAGTCGCTTCTGTCACCTTCTGGGTCCGGACGGTGGTTCGTTTTCTTTTGTTTTCTTTTTTTTTTCTTTTTTTTTTTTGCGGGTTTTTGGCGACCCGGCGGGCTGGAGACGGTCCAAGGGGGGGGGGAGTTGAGTTTGAGTGAGGTGGAGTGACTGGAGGTTTGGAAGAGCAGAAGCTGTGATGGCTGACTTTGTGGGCATCGCTGGATCTGTGGGTGACGGATCACGGCGAACGGTGACACACACGGGTTTTTTGAGTGTGTGTGGTTTTACAGAGCCGTTGCAACTGGCTGGTACATACAGTACTTGTGTAAGGTAGGTATGTATGTATTTTCGTAGAGATGCCAAGTTGCTGTGGACGGAATGCACGTCGAATGGCAATCTCTTGAGGCCAAGACGTAAAACAGAGTTGTCATATTTTTATCATTGATACCTGCTTGCCGGCCTTGTGCATACAGTGGCCCAGGCCTCATGTAAGGGAGACGGCGAAGACCAGCAGCAAGCAGCTTTCTAGTAGTTGGACGAGTGTTATTAATTACCGCCTCTCTTAGTTGCAGATGGCCGGCGAATAACCAAGGCTCTCCCTTACAAGGTATCTCAGCTGCGCTGCCAATGAGTGAGTGAGAGATTGAGCACAGCGCATCATGCACCTGAGATGAACAGCAGCGGTATGTTAAATGCCTGCACGCCTGAGGTGTCCTGAGAGGGAATCCTCCATCCGATTGCCCGCTTTCCTTTTCATGTTCTCTTTCTTTTCTCACCTGCTCCGATGCCCCAACCGTCTCTCTTTCGTGTCCCAGCTGGAGGTTTCAATATCCATGTCCATGTCCAGGTCCATGTCCAGGTCCATGTCCAGTCTTCCATGCTTAGGTACATGTACCTAATACATGCACCATCAATGGGTTAAAGAAAGTACCTATTACCGACCCTGCTGATCCAAGTACATACTACATACTATTATATCCACACAAGCCTCGTACGAGCCAGCACAAACTGAATGCAACATGATCGCGGCTTCGATCGAGCGAGAAAAGACACAGACGGACGGTGGGCACGAGCTAAAAAGGGCGGTCTCCCATATCCCGACCTGGTGGGTGGTGCGTGGCACGCAGGCCCTGGCCCTGGCCCAATTGCCGGGCGAGCAACGCGCAGCACAAGCAACCAGCCCTGCAGGAGGCTTCATCCACACATACGAGTGCTAGTACATACATACACACCCCTTGCTCGATGTGACTGGCGGCCCGGGGCCTTTTGGCTCCAGGACGGCTGGAGGAACGTACATACATAATACAGACATGGTCTTAGTGTATTACTATAGGCAAGCCGGGGGGGGAGAACAAGCAAAGAGGAGGTGAGAGGATGATTGTCAGTGTCGAGTGCTGCTGGAGAGGAGAGAGGGAGTTGAGGGGGAGGGGGGGAGATGCCATAGAGGGCATCTTTCTGCTGCTGTGGGGGAGGGGGGGGGGGGGGGGGGGGGGGGATTTTCCGGGCATCGATCGAAAGTGTTGGGTATCGATCTGTGTGCAGTCCTGGAGCTCATCATTGAGTTGAAGTTGATGGGTCGGCATCGAGCCTTTTGTCTCAGCGCCCGGGTCTCTCCTGGCGAGGCCCGTCGTGATGGCGGCTTTGGGCATTGGCTGCTTCGTGCCGACGGCCTGTGCTGTCACGACTCGGCGCCTCGTACAGCTCCCTGCCTCTAGCCGTGCTGGCTTCCCTTTTTTGCCTTTGGGCCGTCGTCGAGACATGTATGTAGTATGTAGGTAGGTATTAGGGCAGGTGCTGCACCCAACAAAATTCTCTTCGTTTATACGGTCAAGAGGCCTTTTGGTGTCAAGTGGTGGTGGCGCACTGCTAGCCTCCTCCAGAGTTACACCATCTGCTGATTTCTACTGATCATGGCCCCCAAATTATGGCATCCAGTGCAGGGCAAACGACACACACACAGAGATACCTACCTAGAAAAAGATGCAAATCAATAAGAAGCAATAAACATTATTAGCAAACATGCTGGGGGCGTGTGGGAAACAACAAAGAAGAAAAAAGGACAGAATTCCTTTCGCTGCTTGTTGCCCCCTATCTCTCTCTCTCTCTCACACACACACACACACTCTCTCTCTCTCTCTCTCTCTTTCTTTCTCTCTACGAGTACTATAATCTCGCCCTCTTCCTCCTCCCCTCCCTTCAAAAACACCCCCCTCCCCCCCCTGACCTGGTGCAACCACTTGCAAGCCCGCGAATATGCAGAGCTGGAACCACGCCCAGCGTCCAGGTCCAGGAACCCGCCGCTTCTTCCCCCCCTCGTCACCGCTCCATGGTTCCCGGGGCCTGTCAGCGCCCCTCATTGGATCGCCGCCACTCTGGGAGGAGTCATGCATGCCGCACTTGTTGCTTCTTCTCACCGACTTCACCGAATCTCGCGCCTTGTTTGCCCATGCAACGATAAAAAGAAAAAACATACAAGTACTGCCTTGCTTGCTGCTCCTGCTCTCGGCTCTTGCCCTCCTGGCTCAGGACCGTCTTTGGACTTTTTTTTACTATTTCACCTTTAACTTCTCTCATCCCTCTCACCTCCCTTTTATTTTTCCTACATAAAGTCACCCACGGCCTCTCTCCAACTCCATCATCCACCTCCCGTCTCTCAAGCCACTAAGAGAGAAAGAGAAAAAAAAAATCTCGATTCTGCCGGCTCTCACACACCCGCGACCGCCTCTCTCCATCAGCAGCTTCACACCAAAAGTCTCGTGATTTCCGTCTGGCGCACAGGGACCGCCCAGCAGAGCCTCAACCAGCTCCACTAACGACGACGCATCTCGACTTTTTTTTTTTCCCTCCTTCCATTCTCTCTTCCTCCTTCTTATTCTCATCACCATGTTCCGGCGATACGCTCTCGGCTTCTCCAACGTCAGCCGTCAACTTTCCACCATGGGCTCAGCAACCCCCCTTGAAGATGCAATCCGCGCAAAGGTATGTTCTGATTCCTCCTTTATTCAACTTCAACTCGCCACCGTCTTACAACTTCATACCCGTTCAACCATGCAATCCTTTTGTGATGCGCGCAGCTGACGTCTTTTCCTCCCCCATCCACAGCTGACTGCGGCTCTCAGCCCGCTGACGCTGGAGATTTACAATGACTCGCACCTCCACTCCCACCACAAGGCCATGGCCGGCAACACCTCCAAGGAGACGCACTTCCGGTAAGGCTCTCTCGGCTGCCCCTCCGCCAAACTGGGTTGTATCTTTTTTTTACTGTCTTGTGCTTCTTGCTCTGACCAATTCCTGCAGCCTCGTCATCATCTCCGACGTCTTCGCCACCAAGATGCAGCCCGCGCGGCATCGCATGGTCTACGCCCTGCTGCGCGACGAGATGGCCCAGGAGGGCGGCATCCACGCCCTGCAGCTGCGGACGCTGACGCCCGAGGAGGAGCGGCGCCAGCAGAAGAAGAAGGCGGCCGAGGCGGCGGCCAAGGAAGAGCGCTCCAAGCAGCGCGACGATGCAGCCGCGTCCGAAAAGGCCGAGTCCAAGACGGAATCCAAGACGGATACGCCCGTTTCGAAGCGCGAGGCAGAGCCGACAGAAGCCTAGATGCAGCAGCGGGCCGGAAGTTGTGCGTGTGTCCAGTCCCGATCCAACGCTTGCTGTGTGTGCTTCGTACTCGCTTTCTCTCGCATCGACGACCATCTTCCGAGCCGTCCTCTCTGCAGCCAGCCTGATGGCGCACCACTGGCCCCCCTCCCAACAAGCAGACCGGGCCGACCATCCTCTTTCTACTACGTTTCATCAACGCAACGACGACTTTTTTCCCTTCTAATGCTTACACGACACGTCATGATTTACATTCCTACTACCATTTTTTTTTTTTCTGAAATCCCTCCTATCCGCCACTTCGACACCTTTTTTTTTTCTCCTTTCGATCCTACACCAGGTATCACACAGCAAATGGACATGAGAAGAATAAAAAAAGATGAAATCAGAGACATCTCCAGGGCCCCTTTACTGGCGGGCCATGTCATTTGATTTACCGCGGACCTTTGCATTCGGCATATTGAGACAACAGAAAAACACAACAAAGCGGGGGAAAAAGATATCTTCCACCAGGGGCGTTTATCTTCCCGCTGTTGCTGTTGAGTTCAACATGAAAAAGATTTTGTTTTTTTATTCATCCTTCTGGAACGAGACGGATTAGATGGTTCGCTAGCGCTCCTCAAGGAGCCGGTTTTTTTTTTTTCCTCTTCTTCTTTTTTTCCTTTTCTCTTTAAACCAATTCTACTTTTTCGACCAGACTTTTTGTCTATTCTTTGTTTCTATGAGTTCTTCTTCTATCCTACTATTCTTCATGACGAGGTTCATTTGTTGCTGATGATTGTTTGGACGGTCGGGTTTGATCTGATGGCTTGATGAATGCTCATGTGAACGAATTGCATCTTGTCATGACTGGGGGGGACCATTTTCTTCTCATCCCGTCTTCTTTTATAGCTGTGTGACCGACTGCGTCCACGCTTTTCATCTGAACTAGACCAGATCTCTGAGAGAGAGAGAGAGAGAGAGATCATCACAAAATGCGAAATAGGCGAGATGGAAATACTCTCTTCGTCTTACTTTTCCTTGTCTGATTGGAAGTGACATTCTCAATGGGATATCATTATTTGGAACATCGCGCCTGAAATTCAGTAGGAGGAACCTTCAATGAATGCCCCCCCTAGATGCTTAGTGTTTGCCTTGTTAATCCAACCTGACTGACTTGTTTGTTGCTATTGTCCATTTTCAATCCAATGCTCGCCCGCATAGTATGTAAGGATTCCATTTATACAAATCGTAAGAAAAAAAAAAAAAAAACACCCAGTCGCTCCGACTTTTCTCGCGCCCGTCACCAGATCCATCCACCATTCACCTTTTTGGTTTCTCTTTCCTTCATGAAGACGTATAGATAAAAGGGCAAAGTTCATAAAGAATCATCAGCCAATCAAGTTGACCGAGTGTAAGTCGGGTCCCCCTTCATTCCAACCCGCTCCCAACATGGCTCGTCGACGACGAAGTAGCCTTCTTCCGGAAATGCTCCTTCAGCCGCGCCCTCTCCTCGGCCGTTCTCTTGCGCAGTTTCGGAATGGGTCGGTTGGTGGTGGTGGTGGTGGTGGTGGTGCTTGAGCTGGGAATGGGGCGACTGCTGCTCGGGACGGCGTAGCCTGGGCCATTGTGCTGCTGTTGTTGTTGTTCGGTTATTAGGCGGTGGGGAGATTTCGGTCGAGGACGTTTGGATGGCGCTGCTGTTGTAATTGTTGTTGATGACGGGGGAGGCGCTGCGGAAGATGCTGGGGCGGGCGGGTTGGAGGCTGTTTGCCGACGTTTGGGGGATTGGCGTTGGGGGAGCGTGAGTTGTCTCTGTGGCTGTTGCTGTGTTTGTGGTCTTGGTCTTGGCTGAGCTTGTGCTTCGCGCGCGCGCGATGGCTGACGGGACTGCGAGGGCGATCTTGACCGTGATCGCGAGCGTGGTCGCGGTCTTGCTGATGATGGCGGCTTGGGCGGTAGAGGGGGGGTATCGAAATAGTCGTCGCTGCCTAGCTCTGGAGACGCCGGCCGTGGAGGCGGCGGAGGGGCTGTGCGTGAAGGCGCCGGCAGGGATGGTGCTTGTCTCGTGGGAGGAGGGGGTGGAGGAGGAGGAGGAGGAGGAGGAGGGGAAGGAAGATGCCGCCCAGCCTGTGGTTCCATGTCCGCGGTGATGTCCATGGCGCCGTCGCTGGTTGCAATGTCAATGACTTCGGGCTCGCGTCTTCGCTTCCGCCGAGGCTCGGGCTCTGGCCTCCTATCTGGCTCCGGCTCCGTATCCAGCTCCAGATCCATCTCTGTCCCTGGAAGCATCTCCGGCTCCGGCTCCGGCCCCGGCTCTGGGCTCTGCTCCGTCTGCAGGCTTCTCTCGAGTATGGCTTTGATCCTTGACGCCTCTTCCGGATATGCGCTTAGGACCACGTCGATGTTGCCTGCATTCACACACATACGGTTGAAGAGAATGGGGCCTTTGAGCATGTTGAACCATTCGACGGCAGGCAGTGGCTCCTGTCCAGGGCCAGCGTTTTGCACATACGGTAGAAAGCCGCTTGACCAGGCACGGATGAAGTCGTCGTACAGATACTCGCGCATCCGCCGCTCCTCCTGGAGCATTCGCAGGTAGACACACGCCTGGATAAAGCTGAGCAGGTTACCAGAATGGACCGTGGTGTAGTCGGGATACGTAGTGGTGAAAGCGCGATAGGGTGCCACACGGTCACTGATGGATACGTTGACTGCCGCCTGTATCCGGTACAGCTGGTGCATGGGGGTCTGACGGGATGGAGAGATTTCTCGACTAACAGCGCCGTCGAGCTGGCCATATGATCCGTGCTGCGTGGTAGCACTTCTGGTAAAATTGTGAGGGGGAGGTGGTGGTGGAGGAGGGGATGGAAACCTCTCTGCCCTTTCCCGCTCGTATGGGGCTGGGGTATCCGAGCTCGAATAGAGTGAGTTGTCGACATTGGACCTGGGCAATGACCGCATGGAAGGCCGTCGCGTGAAGGGGCTCGGGTTCGGCGCGAACCCAGCGGCTTTTGGGCTGTTGTCATCGCTAAAGGCGATCGGCTTCATGCGTCGCGACCGGCCGTGAGCTGCAATAGCTTTCACCACGGATGACTTTGGGGTTCCCGACGAGGTAGCGGCTTGCGGCTGCGCGCATGGCGGCGTGTCCGTGGTGCTCGGCAGGCTTGTAACCAGGCTCGCGGGCTCTTGAGTCGCCGCTACAGGGCGCAGCACAGTCGCCATGCGGTTGATTGGCGCCTCGCGGGCCTCATGAGCTTGCGGGAGCTCCATCTCGAGATCTTCGGGCTCGCTGAGAGCCGACGGGTTCGGCGTGGCATGGAAGAGCGGTTGGCTGAGCACCTCGGGAACAACCATGTGCATAGGACTTCCGGGCGTCTCGTCGGGCGCATCGGCATCGGACGTTGCATCTTGCTCGCGGCCTCTCGATCGAGCTGGAGACTCTGACCAGGACGAGATGGGGACTTCCGGCGACGAGGGGGGCGGACTGCTTGGCCTCGCGGCCGTCGAGCCGGGCAGATGTCCGTTCTGCCTGCCACGCTCGTTGGTAGCAGAGAGACGAGGTAGTTTGGGGTTCTCTTCATCTTCCTCGTCGTCGTCTTCCTCGTCGTCTTCCTCTTCCTCTTCTTCTTCTTCTTCTTCAGAGTTCTCCTTCTCCGTCTCTCCCTGGAGGCGGATAAAGGCCTCTTTCAGCGTCTGCAGAACCTGTTTCGGCACCGTTGCCATGCCCTTTGTTCCATCTTGATCAACGGCCCACGAATCCTTCCGCTCCAGCAGCGACTTCTGATCCTTGGGAATGGTGCTGATGTTCCGGCGGCCCAGCAGCTTGGCGACATCGTGCACGGGGGACGTCGCGAGAGCCATGGGAGCTCGAGGCGGCGGCTTGTCAGGCTTCATATGATGATGCGGCTCGGTGGGCACATTTGTACCGGCAGAACAAACAAGACTCGTTCGTTGGTTTCGACGCCCAGTGAGCTCCAGCCGATGCTCGTCAATCGCACGTCTCCGTCACACAAACACGGCGAGTTCCTGGCGCGCTGGGAGAGCTTTCAGTCCCATGACTCGAACGACAAGCACCATGCAAGCGGGCGGGATGTCGCAAAACGCGGTCCAGGGATTTTTTGGAGTTGAGGATTCGAGATCGCGTCGTTCCGGAGGTGGGGGGAGGCCATACAGCCCAACCCACTGGAAGCCTTGCAGGGTGCTGGGATTGGCGAGATACAGCGCACGAAAGCGCTAATGGCCGGGGGATGTGCGGGCGGTTCCAGCGCACGGCCGGCGCAGTGCAAGTACCAAGTGACCAGCGGTCCAGGCCGCAAACACCGCTGCCACCGCCTGCGTTGGGTGCACTGGCCAGGTATCCTGGTACGAGTCCCGGCGCCGACCTTGTCAGGTCGCATCAGGGCCTAGAGCTGCTGGGACGCGACGCTACCTCGCCCTAGCCGAGCGCTTGGAGCGTCCGAATCTATCGCGGCGGGAGCACGAGGACGACAGTGACATTATCAGCACCAATATCACACATTATCTGTGCTCCAGCTTCTGCCATCACCAGCCCTGATTGCCGCAATCCTACTGCTTCTCTTGTCCTACACTACGACTCCCGCCTAGGCCGTTCGCAGCACTAGCTCCAGCTCCCCGTCGGGTCTCTGCCAGATCGGGTGCCTCGCTGCCTCCCAATCATTGACGACATTCGTGAGCCCCTCGCAGACGAGCTTCTGCCTGCATTTCCACCCGCATCTCCAGCCTTCTCTGCTCAACTGTCTCGCATATTCCCGCCTGCAGCCTACACAACCCTACTTACATACGCATACATACAGCCAGCCAGCCAGCCAGCCAGCAGGTCCTGGTCCCGGTCCCCGTCCTGGTCCTGGCCCTGCGTGTACCTACAGCGCCCCCGACAGCACGCAGAGTACCTACTTGCGTGTTGCATGCCGCTCTGACGTAGGGGCAGCGGGCAGCACAAAAGAAAGAGAGAAAAAACTCCCCGCGGCTGCATCGCAAGAGCTTGGCTTGGTCACGAAGCAGGCTCAACGCTTGCGCCTCAGGCCTTCCGGAGCGCTCCGCCCGTCGTCTACGGCTTCTCCTCGCTGTTCCTCCTACACCACCATGCCAGCGACACTCCGGATGCGCCTTCGCTTGGATATAGTCGTCTGAGCGGCGGGCTGGTGTTTCCATACCAAAGCACCTCCCCATACCTGCTCGTATCTACATGCCATTCTCCCTTCCTAGAGGCCCATCCATGCCTGTGTCTCTACACAACACGCATAGCGAAGTTTCTTTGATTCAAAACAAATTCTGGTGCCGCCGACTCGCCGATATTCTCCGTCTTGCCCGCGACACCCGACCATGGCGAGCAATCTCACCACCTCGAAACCCCTCGACGGCTCCTCCTTCTCCGGCTCCCTCATCTCTCCCACACGCTCGCGAGACCGTCGTGACTCGATCAACTCCGTTTCTGTAAGCTCCGGCCTCGAAAAGGAGCAGCTGGCCCAGGCCCTCGACCAGATACACACCACGGCCAGCCGAACCGATTCGCTGACGCTTTTCAACGAGTTCAACCCTCCGCCGGTTGTCCCCCAGGATACGGAGAGCCGAGGAACGGTGCAGCAAGGCCTGAGCGGGCTCTACAGCCGACTCCGGGTCGCTGTTGGTGGCGGAAGCTCGTCCAAGGCTGCTCAGCGGGAGGACGATGTCGACAAGCTGGAGAACTTGGCCCGAAAGGCCTCGGCGAGTGGAGACGGACACAAGTCCAAGCCGTCCACCTCGTCTCTGAGCCGCGCGGACACCGCGGCGACTGCGTCCACCGCATCGTCTCAGCTGCTCCAGCAGGATGCTGTCTCTCCCACGGCTTCAGGGCCTGCGGATGGCCGGCCGATGCCCTCCACGGCCAAGTCTGGAAGCATCAGCTTGATAGGTGGCGCCAAGTCTCTCTCATCTGGTCGGCAGAGCCTCCCGACAAACGCCACAAGCGATGTGATTGCAGATCCCACAATCACATCGGCGAGGAAACGTGAGCCAAGCCGTAGTTCTATCCACACTGAAGACAGCGGGACCCAGAGTTCGCGCCGAAGAAGCACTAGCAGAGCTGAGTTCCAATCGCGACTCCCTCCCGTCGACTCTCCTGAAGGCAGCATCCCCTCGAGGTCGCCAGAAGACGAGAGCATTTCCAGCATGGATGGAGGAAGCGTCGATTCCCCCATGAGCCCGGTCAAGGGAAAGACGCCTCTCATGTCGCCATTGCAAACTCTCCATTCCCGAAGTCCCTCTGCGGCGTCCTCTCTGCTGTCTCCCGATGATGGTCGGCGGAAGCCGGCTGTTATCGACCGTATTAGCCACGCAAATCGCCTCAGATTTCCCGCCTCGAGGGACTCGTCTGTCGATCGTGGAACGGCTGAGGCCAGTCCCATAAGCACAGCTGCTCACAACTCAGTGCATCACAATTCCTTCTCCCAAGAGTCCAACCCTCAGCATCTGCGCACTGGTGATGTTCGCATCCCAGGCACCACGGCGAGCCATCAGGGAGCAACCGATCAGATGAACGCCCAACTAGACAGGATGCGCAGGCAGATTCTAAGCAAGGAGTTCTGGATGAAGGACGAGACAGTAAAAGAATGCTTCCTTTGTCAAGCTCAGTTCACGGCGTTCCGGAGAAAGCATCACTGCCGAACGTGCGGCTTCATCTTTGACTCCAAGTGCACCATGGTCATTCCAGGCGACAGATTTGGCCTTCCCGGCAGTCTCAGGGTGTGTAAGCGCTGTCTCGATGTCATCACTCGGCGCTTCGACGCCAGTGCCTCCGAGGACTCTGGAGATGAGCAGTCTTATCTACCAAGGATATTCGGCGCGGAAGATCCCAGGAAGGCGACTCTATCCTTGGCGCAGCACCCCAGGGAGCATGAGATCTTTGAGGGTTCGGGTTCTTCGAGGCCAGTCACGACTCCGATGATGACGATACCCGCAACCCGTCGCGTCAAGGAGTCGAACAACACCTCTTCCGTCCTCGAGATTGGCGCTCCGCAGCTGAGTCGTCCAAGTTCGTCACGCTCTCTCAGGTCCCTCTCCTCTGTTCGACCGCAATCGTCGGCCGGCCATAAGAGACACCATTCCAAGCATGGCTTGCTCGGGAGGATTAAGCCTGACCAGGCTCCGTTCAGGAGAGGCATCCAGGAAGAGTATGCCAAACGGACAAAGTTTCCAGCCTTCCACGATGACAACATCATCGACCCAGAATTGGCAGACTTCATGTCGGATGACTCAAGTGGTGATGAGGAGCAGCAGATTGGCAGTATCTTTGAAACTCTCAACTCGCCGACCGAGATCTCCCCCACCTCCTATGAGGCCGACAAGTCGAATCTCTCAGCGCTTGTCAACACATCCAGGAAACCTCACCACCATCGCCACAGAGGCGGCGAAAAGAGCATCAGCGGAATGAGCCACTTCAGCCGAAGCGGATTCGGGCTCGATGATATGGCTCCCGGGTTTGCCAGCCATCGTAGGACCACCCGACGCCGCAATCTCAGCAATGTCAGCGGTAGCATTCATCATTTTGGATCCCCCCGTCCTAAGTCCGTTTACAAGGGGCCGTCGGCCTCATCCGAGATGTTGTTCCCCGTAGATAACTCACTTCACCCCAGCCACAGCGGGACTCAACTGGTCAGGAGCAACTCCCTGCAAAAGCTCAAGGCCGCCAAAACCAAGCTCAACGAATCCAGCTTGAAGCATGTTGACAAGCTCCTCCATCAGCTCTTGATTGACGACGATATCCCCAACCCCGCCGCCTGGCAGAAGGCGCTCGTTCCTATCCTCTTGCAAGCCACCGACGATGTATCACCCGACGTCGCAAATGGCGAATCCATGGACATTCGGACCTACGTGAAGCTCAAGAGAATACCAGGAGGCAAGCCTGGCGATACATCCTACATCTCCGGTATAGTCTTCACCAAGAACCTTGCGCTCAAGAGCATGCCACGAAAAATTGCAAACCCGAGGATCCTGCTTGTAGGATTCCCGATTGAGTATCAGAGACACCAGCAGCAATTTATGAGCTTGGAGCCGGTCATTGCACAGGAGAAGGAGTTTCTGAGAATCGTGGTGCAGAGGATCGCAGCCCTTAAGCCTCAGGTTCTGCTCGCCGAAAAGGCCATTTCTGGCTTGGCCTTGCAGTATCTCTCCGAGGCCAACATCTCGGTGGCCTTCAATGTCAAGCGATCTGTCATTGCTGCCGTCGCCCGCTGCACAGAGACCAAGATCATTGAGTCTCTTGACATGCTAGAGGCCCAAGTCGGAAGATGTAGCGCCTTTGAAGTCCGCACCTTTGTGAACAATGACTATCCGGGTCGGAAAAAGTCTTACATCTTCCTTTCTGGGTGCAGACCCGAGCTGGGCTGCACTATTACGCTTCGAGGAGCCAGCGATGCTCTCCTGGCCAAGATGAAGTACATCACCGACTTTATGGTCTACGTCGTGTACAATCTCAAGCTTGAGTCGAGTCTGTTACGGGACGAATCCGTCGAGCCGCCCGATGCCAACGAAGCTGCCTCAATGTCCAACTCATTCCAAGCATTGAACGACAGCATCCGGTCACTGAGCTCGGCCGGCCAAACGACCGCCGGCGGCGGCGGCGGCAGAAGTGGCCCTATTGTCGTGGTCAACCAACCCTCGAGTGAAAGCGAACCGCCCACGCAGACTACAATGGAAAGCTCGAGCTTCGGGGGCACTGATGAAGCTCAGTCGCAGCCTCCGATGGAACAGGTGCCGTCAGAGCCACCCAAGCTGCTCTCGTTGCACGAGTCTCACGCCCATGACTCTACATTCAGTCAGGTTCCAGATGATGTCCCAATGCCGACATTCTACAGCGACATGGTGGCCAAGTATGAGACCAAGATCCTCTCGGCATCGCCATATGTACGGTTTCCTCAGCCGTATCTTCTCATGAAAGCTCGCGAGCAAGAGAGACGCCTCTTGTATCTCAAACGCCTCAGAGATCAGGACATGATTGAAGAAGATGTGGAAAAGAGCGAGCCTCCAGAGTTCCAGCTCATCAAGCCCGAAATGGTCGAAGAGCTGGGCCGGAGGGCGCCCCGTCAGATTATGGAGATTCTCCACGCCGTACATGACGCCGAGTACGACAAGGCCCTCTATAACTACCAGACCCAAACTCGCCAGTGGGAGACGTACATCCAGGGCAATCTGGACTTGTTCGATCCCTATTCTCACCAGAACATCATCATACTGTACTCCGTCATCTGCACCGAAACCAAGATTCCCTGCACAGAGCCCAGCTTGGTCGGCATCAATTTCTACGATGAGCAGCGCGAAGACACCAGCATGGATCCGGACTGCACCCTCGGCCAATACATCGAGTACTTGATAAACAGCAAGGATGAAATCTGCGACTCCAACGGGTGCGATCGCAAGATGTCCCAGCATCATCGTACTTTTGTCCACGACCAGTTCCGGATCACCGTGTTCGTAGAGCATCTGCCCAACGCCCCTCCGAGGTCACCGGAACTGGGCGATGGAATTGTCATGTGGACATACTGCAAGGTCTGCCAGAAGGACTCTGAGGAGATTGCAATGTCTGAGACTACTTTCAAATACTCGTTTGGAAAGTACCTGGAGCTCCTTTACTGGGGCCGCGGCTTGCGCATGAAGGATGCCATGGAGTGCCCTCACGACCATCAAAAGGACCACGTTCGCTACTTTAGTCTACATGATTCTCGTGTTCGGATTCACTGGGACCCCATCGATCTTCTCGAGATTATCGTCCCTCGAGCCAGACTCACGTGGAAGGTGAGCAACGACCTGAAGCTCAAGAACGACATATACGCCAAGATGGAGGAGCGCTGGACGAAATTCATGGCGACCGTGATAGCTCGGCTCGAGAGCATCAGGATCGACAGTGTTCTCCCTGAAAAGGCCGAGTCGTGCAAAGCAGAGCTGGAGCGGTTGATGCAGAAGGCTAAGGAAGACAAAGCCCTCATGGTCCACCGCTTGCAGGAGATATATGTCAACTCCAAGTATTACGAGGTCGTCCCGTTCAACATTATTGTTCGTGAAATGTTGGAGACGGCTAGCGAATGGGACCAGATCTTTGCCACATTCGAGGCCGATTTCTTGGGAGACAAGGACATGCGGCAGCTTACAATGCTGCAATTGAAGAAGATGTTCACGGATAACGAATCCAAGGAATCGCTTGTGTCCACCGAGGGAACCGGATCTGCCGGAGACAGCGAGGAACGTCCATCCCAAACCTTTTCCGAAGCGGAAGAAAAATCGACGCAGCCGACAGACCCCGCCGATAGCAGCATGGAAGCCAGTGTTGCCTCTACGAAGCCGACTGAAGAGAAGCCCGAGGTCGACGGCGACGGCCCAGCTCCTTCTACCGAGGACAAGGCTGAGTCTATCAAGCCCCCGGAGTCGGCTAGAACAGCACCTGCCGCGATACCTATCATCCAAGCTACAGCTGAGGGCGATGATGCCAAACCCGCTGTGACAACGACGCCGGCTGAGGCAGCACTGGCAACACAAATGCCTGCATCGCCCAGCAGGATGGCTAGAAGCCCCACAAACTCGTCCATTTCTGGGCAGTCACTCAGCGAGAGGGTCGACGCATCTCGGCGTGAGAAAGCTATGCAGCCTCGGCAGTCGCAGGAGTCTAGCGAGCGGCCGGCCGATGCGGAAGCACACAGGCAGGTCTCCGAACAAGGCGCTCGACGAAAATCCGCCACCACCAGCACATCGCCACCGATCACGAGAGCCATGTCACAGCCATCGCGGACGCTGTCTAGACTGCAGTCCCTCGGCAAATCATCCGGTTCTTCTGATGTCATATCGAAGAGCCCCGAGCCAGAGCAGCAGTCAGAGGGCTCTATCAAGTCAGAGAAGAAGCTTTCCGAGCGACTGGGCCTGAACGTGTTGAAGAACCGAGGGAAGATGGGCGGATCAGGCATTCCACGTCTTGTTCCAAAGAAGAGGGAATCAAAGGTGACTACGCTCGCGAAACATTTCGAACAGCTCAGCAGGGAGTTCAGCAGAGAGTTTGAAAAGGAGCGCATCCGAGACCGTAAAAAGCGCGCGGCCAGCATGCGCAACCCTCGTCCGATGCTCCCCAAGACGTCAACGCAAGCAATTGTGCAAGTATACGACAACGTCAACGAGGCATTCGATGAGCCAGCCGTGACAAGCGAGCCAAACACCGAGCAAGACATTGAATCGCAGGATGCATCCTCATCCCTCCCAGGGGGCAAAGCAGAAGGATCAGCCAAGCTAGAGGTGCACACTGCACCGCCAACCCCCGGCGAACCCGCTGCGTCCTTGGATAGCCAGCCCCGCTGGGACGAGGACACCACCAACGTAAACACAAGCCAGGGCATGTCTGACGACGAGGGCGGTGGTAGTGACGCCGAGCCATCTGTATCTGATGAGTACATGCCTGACATCAAAGAGATGGCCGACTCAAACGCTGAAGTCCCGCTGGAGCTTCCAAAACACCAAAAGATGAGCCTGATGAAGTACTTGGCCAACTTCTGGGCTGAGCGCTCAGCCAGCGGGTGGCCTGCGCTGGAGTACCCAGTCAATGCCACGGACCACATCTTTGTGGACTCGGACATTATCGTTCGCGAGGATGAGCCTAGCTCGGTTATTGCGCTCGCCCTCAACAGCGACGACTACAAGGAGAAGCTGGCCAACATCCGCCGAGATGCGCACCAGACGATGCTTCGCGAAGCAGACAGCGTTCTGGATGCCAAAATGGACGGCAACGCGGACGGCAATCCTGATGGGGGCGCTGAGCGTGATGTCGATGGTGACCTGGACGCCGAGCCCAAATCAGCGCCGGTATCAGACAGCGCGGACTGGGCTACGGACGAGTCTGAGCTGGAGAAGAGCTTGCTCCGAGCCACTGGCACGCATCTCAAGTATCAGTTCAAGGAAGGCGCCGCAGTCATGACTTGCAAGATCTTCTACGCAGAGCAATTCGATGCGCTTCGACGAAAGTGTGGGGTTGCCGAGCGCATCGTAGAATCGCTGTCGCGGTGCCTGCAATGGGACTCGAAGGGTGGTAAAACAAAGTCTGTCTTTTTGAAGACGCTGGATGATCGGCTCGTCTTGAAGGTAAGGGGAACACGGGACACGGCATGATGAGGAGTGTGTTTTGTGCTAACCAATTGACCTCCACAGTCTCTTTCGACAGTCGAGACGTCTGCATTCTTGCGATTTGCGCCGGGATACTTTAGCATCATGGCCGAGGCACTTTTCCACGACTTGCCGTCGGTGATTGCAAAGATGATGGGGTTTTTCCAAGTCGTCATCAAGAATCCGGTGACAGGCACGGATATCAAGCTGGACCTGCTTGTCACGGAGAATTTGTTCTACGACCGGTCGCCAACGAGAATCTTTGACTTGAAGGGCTCGATGCGCAACCGCAAGATCCAGTCGACGGGCGAACAGAACGAGGTGCTCCTGGACGAGAACATGGTGGAGTACATTTACGAGTCCCCTCTCTTTGCGCGGGAACATTCCAAGAAGCTTCTCAGGGCGTCGGTGTGGAACGACACGCTGTTTTTGGCGCGCCAGAACGTGATGGACTACTCGTTGATGATTGCGGTTGATGAGAAGAGAAAGGAGCTGGTGGTGGGCATCATTGACTGCATCAGGACGTACACGTGGGACAAGAAGCTCGAAAGCTGGATCAAGGACCGGGGTTTTGCAGGCGGTGGCCGCAACAGGCCGACCGTGACCAGTCCGAAGGAATACAAGTCTCGATTCAGGGAGGCCATGGCAAGGTGGGTTTTGAGCCTTTTTCTTCTTTTCCCCCGATACATACGGGGCTTGAGTAACTGGTGGCTAATCATACCGCAGATACATTTTGCAAGCTCCAAACTGTTGGCATCTGTTTAACAAGCCTCAGATCAACATGTACTATGGTCGAGCACGGTTTGATGATGCAGAGGCGTGAGTGGGCTGAGTGAGGAACAACCTTTTGGTGTATTCTTTTTCTTAAGGCGTCATGGGTGTGTTGGTGTAGGGTATTGATGATTGTTTCATACGTTGTTTGCTACCAAATCCACTACAGAGCTGTCGACGCGCATTCTGCTTATGTTGGAATAAGGAGGGGGGGGAGATTATCGAAGCAGCGCCGAGATACCCTAAATGTAATAATGTCAGAGGAATTTTCATGTTGTGAACAAAGGCAAAAATGCAAGTGGTTTAGTCCTAAATGTATTGGTTCAACTAGAGCAGTAATCCTAAGCCTTGGTTTTTTCCTCCCCTTTTTCTTTTATTATATTCTTTCTCCTTTTGAGGGTTTTGGAGATACTAAGGTACCTAGGTAACGCCTCGAAGACCAGGGCAAGGTACATACCATATTGTGCTAAGATATTGCCGTATAAGTGAAGATTGAGGCCAAAGAAACTCACCACTGAAATCCACACTAAAACCCCCCACTCAAACACGTCAATGATGCTCACCTCACGACTGGCATCTCCTTTGAGTTCTTCATCCTTTTGCTTCATGTCACTCTAGCGCTCAATATAAAGATCCTGACCAAAGCTGCCGGGCAGCACCAAAAAAGAACTCTGCTAGCCGTCGAATCCGTGCTCTTACTTTTGCTTCCTCATTCTCCCAATGTCGATTGACCTCAACTGGGAGACGCTGACGACGGGCCCGGACGGCGAGGCGCTGGCCGAGAGCATCCGGACCTTCATCCACAGCAAGTTCCAGACGGTGCAGCTGCCGCGCTTCATCCGGTCGGTCAACGTGCACGGGTTCGACTTTGGGACGATTCCTCCGGAGCTGGAGTTGAAGGACATTACGGACCCTCTGCCGGATTTCTACGAGCAGGATGATGATGATGATGATGATGATGATGATGATGAGGATGGGGGTGATGAGGAGGGCGGGGAGAGCGGTGGAGATGACAAGAGCTTTGCGGAGAGGGATAGGAATAGGGACAGGGACAGGGACAGGGACAGGGAAAAGGAACGGCTGGCGGCGGCGATGATGGAGGCGAGGAGGAGGGAAAACGGGCTGCGGGAGCTGCGCAGCGAGATGAGCATGAACATGGGCGGTGGCCTGGGGATGGGGATGGGGATGGGAACAGGGACGGGGATGGGGCTCGGCTTGGGCTCGCACATGAACGCCAGCACGCCCAACATGCACACGATGAGCATGAGCCCCGGCATGAACCTCAGCGGGCACGACCTCGGGCGGGCGTTTCTGGGGACGTCGACGCCGGGAATCCTGGGCGTGGGCGGGCAGGGCCGGAGCAACTACTTCCAGGCGCACCTGGCGACGGGCACGCAGACGCCGCTGGCGGCGGTGGCCGGGGCGCATCTCGGGGCGGCGACGGGGTGGATGGGGGGTTCGATGACGGCGGCGGCGGCGGAGCAGGCGCCGAGTTATCACAGCCGAGAGGCGTCGCTGAGCTCGATTGATAACCTGCAGGCGGCGCTGGGGGCGGGACAGGACGCGGGATCGGGGCAGCAGGGGCAGCAGCAGCAGCAACAGGGGCAGAGCATGGCCAAGTCAGACGTCTCGAGCACGCTGGGCCCGCCGTCGCGGCCATCTACGAGCCACGGCCCGGGGAGCGGCTCGGCCGTTGAAGACGATGACGACGACGACGACGATGACGCGGACAACGAGAGGCGGCGCGAGCCCCGCGTCGAGGACGTCCAGGCCGTCTTCCGGATCCGCTACTCGGGCGACGTGCGGCTGAACCTGACGGCGGAGATCCTGCTCGACTACCCGATGCCGAGCTTCGTCGGCATCCCGCTCAAGCTTAACATCACGGGCCTGACGTTTGACGGGGTGGGCGTGCTGGCACATATTCGCAGGAGGGTGCATTTCTGCTTCTTGAACCCGGATGACGCGCTTGCTGCGGTTGGGCCGGAGGCGGCGGAGGAGGCATCGCCGACAACGACAACGACGACGACGACAACTACGTCATCAACAGCAGGAGGAGGGAATGGAGGAGGAGGAGACTTGCAGGCATCGTCGGCTGGGAAGAAGCAGCCCGCTGGGAGGTTTGGCGGGCTGCTGCAGGAGATCAAGGTCGAGAGCGAGATTGGGGAGAGGGAGAGCGGGCGGCAGAGCCTTAAGAATGTGGGCAAGGTAGAGAGGTTTGTGCTGGAGCAGGTGAGGAGGATCTTTGAGGAGGAGTTTGTCTATCCCAGTTTCTGGACGTTTCTGGTGTGATTGGGGAGAAGGGGGGAAAGTTGCGGCATCAGCATATATATGATTCTATCATTATTCGCATTATCATGGCATCACCTGGGCTCTCTAGATACAAAATATAGACTGCTGGAAAACAACAACGTTACGGCATTACAGCATCACGTCAAGGTCCGCCTGAAGCCCTGATACGCCTGCTGGATGTCCAGCTCCAGCTCCCTGGCCTGCTGCTCGCTCAGCTCGTCCGACGCCTTCATCTGGTTGAGCGTGATGAGCCACTGCACAATCTTGCCCCTGCTGTCAAAGTCCTTGTCCGTGACGCGGTTGACCGACTGGATCACGTCCGACAGCAGCGGGTGCAGCTGGTCCTTGGACAACAGGCCGAGCTTGACGGCGTCGAGGAAGGTGATGAACTCCTGCGTCGCCTCGAGGATGAGCACGCCGCTGGGGTTGTTGCCGCCGCCGCCGCCACCACCACCACCGCCGGCGGACGCGGCAGCGGTAGAAGCCGACGAGGGCGCCGCGGAGGATGCGGTGATGGTTGTGGAGGGCATGCCGACGCGGAGGCGCTCGGTTGCGCGGGGGACGTCGAGCTGTTTTCAATCGATTTTGGGTTCGTGTTAGCTGGATCTACTTTGCTCTTTTTCTACTGCTTCGAGTTGAGAAAGTGAAAAGAGAGAGAGAGAGAGAGAGAGAGAGAGAGAGAGAGAGAGAGAGAGAGAGAGAGAGAGAGAGAGACAGAGAGAGAGAGAGGCGTTGTTATACCTCCCACTTGGCCTTAAAGTCCTCCAGGTCCCGAAACTCGGCCGCAATCGTCTCGTCCGCCAGCAGCGCCTTGTACTGCCTCAGCGAGCGCTCGCAAATGTCCGTGTACTCGGCCTCGGGGATGGCATCCTTGAGGAAGGCCTTTTCCAGCTCGTCGAGCGTGACGATGATGCTGAAGAGTTCGCCTAGAGAGTCTTGGAGATCGCGCTCGGCGCGAGTGCTGGTGAGCGTCACCTCCTGGGTTGCGGTCCGTCAGCTATGCTTTTCACTATATACATGTATGAAGCTATATCTGAGCTGAGGGAGCGGGGAAGGGGTTTAGCAGGCGCTTGACTGGGGCTCGTTACTTACTTCATCGAGGTTGATGGTTGCTGAGAGGCTCGTGTTGGGGACGTAGCTGTGAGGAGTGGGTGCGTAGCTCTGACGCGTGTTCATGATGCTGAGACGAGGCGAGGCATCGGGAGGAGGATTAGAGAGAGGAAGAGGTCGGACGTGAAGCTTCACCAGGTTTGGTGGTGGTGACGACACCCGACTCTAATTACAGGCCACCCACTTGCAGCATAGCGGTTGATGCAGCACCTGAGCCCGCTGTAGGAACCACTAAGAGCTGGCGCTACGACACGGTCCAGGGACCAGCCGGCAGAATCCCTTGACCGCCCAAAAGTCGAGTGGAGCTGCTGTTATCGATAGCGGTCGACGGCCGAAAATTTTTGGGAAAGTGCAATTGGTAACGTCGAGGCGCGACGCTTCCCATCTCCAGATCTCGGCCTCTTTTTTTCCATTCTCTTTTTTCTTCTTCTTTTTCCCTGTCCTCCTTTTGCTTGGTTCCCTCACATCGCAGCCTCGTAACAGCGGCTGCAACACATCCAGTCAAAATGGGGTCTTCAAAAAAGAATCTCAAAGCGACCAAGAAGTTCGAGAAGAAGCACCTCAAGGATGTCCTGGACAAGAGAAAGGCGGGCGCAAAGCTCAAGCAGAAGCTGCAGATCAGAGAAAAGCAAAAGGCGAAGCGAGCGCAAGACTCTGAATTCATAAAGGGCTCAAAAGAGGGCCAGGATGGCGCCGCCGTCAAGAAGCCGGCTGGCAAGGTCAAGAAGGTCACCGAAATGAGCGTCGACGATTTCTTCCAGGGCGGCTTCGAGGACATCATCGACAACAAGGCCAAGGCTGGCAAGCTCGGCAAGCGGAAGCGAGGCGACACCAAGGAGGCGGAGGACGAGGCGAGCGAGGGAAGCGAGTCCGAGGTCTCCATCAACGGCGCGCCTGTTGCGAGCGACAGCGACGACGATGAGAGCGGCGACGATGACGACGACGATGCCGCTGGGCCTGGCATGAGCAAAGAAGCCATGAAGGGCCTCGCCGAGAAGGATCCCGAGTTCTACAAGTTCCTGAAGGAGAACGATCCCGAAGCGCTGGATTTTGACGAAAACGCAGACCTCGCAGAGGTGGACGAGCTCAGTGCCGGCGAGGAGGACTCGGACTCAGAGCTGCCCAAGAAGAAGAGGAAGAAGGGCAACAAGGCCGAAGAGGTGGCGGCGCAAACCAACGAGCTGACGCGCAGCCAAGTCGCAGCTTGGAGAAAAGCCATGACTGAGACCAAGTCTCTGCGGGCCACGAGACAGGTGGTGCTCGCGTTCCGATGCGCTGCCCATTTGAACGAGGCCGACGAGGAAGGCCAGGCTGACCAGCGACGGTCCATTAACAGCCCCGAGGTCTTCAATGACATCCTGCTGCTTGCCCTCAAGGAGGTGCCGCTGGTGATGAACCACCACTTGCCGGTGAAGGAGTCCGCGGCCGGCAAAGTCTACGTGCAGACGGAGGGAAAGAAGTTCAAGACGCTGTCGCTGCTGCTCAAGTCTTACATCTCCTCCATCATGCACCTCCTCAGCTCGCTGTCGGACGACGGCACCATCACAGTCACGCTCCTGGCCATTGTGGAGATTCTGCCCTACCTGCTCTCCTTCAAGAAGCTCATCAAGGCTCTGGCCAAGTCCATGGTCAACCTGTGGGCTCAAGCCGCCGGCTCCCACTCATCTCGCGTGACCGCTTTCCGAGTCATTCGCCGGCTCGTCATCATCGGCGACAAGGGCATCAGGGAGACGGTCCTCAAGGCCGTCTACCAGGGCCTCGTCCAGGGCTGCCGCGTCACCAACCACAACACGCTCCCGGGCATCGACATGATGAAGTTCTCGGCCGCCGGTCTCTGGGGCATCGACCAGGCCGTCGGCTACACCACCGCTTTCACCTTTATCCGCCAGCTCGCCATCCACCTCCGCAACAGCATCGTCAACAACAAGAACAACTCGTTCCGCATGGTCTACAACTGGCAGTTCACCCACTCGCTCGACTTCTGGGCCCGCGTCCTTGCCGAGCACTGCACGCCCCTGAAGGAGGCCGAGGCCGGCAAGGAGAGCCAGCTGAGGCCGCTCATCTACCCCCTCGTGCAGGTCACCCTCGGCGCGATGCGCCTCATCCCGACATCCCTCTACTTCCCCCTCCGCTTCCACCTCGTCCGCTCGCTGCTGGTGCTGTCGCAGGCCGCCGACGTCTACATCCCGCTGGCCTCGCCGCTGCTGGAGGTGCTCAACTCGGCCGAGATGAAGAAGCCCCCGAAGGCGTCAACGCTCAAGCCCCTGGACTTTGCCGTCTCCTACAGAGCCCCCAAGGCCTATCTCCGCACGCGCGTCTACCAGGACGGCATCGGCGACGAGGTGGCCGAGCTGATGAGCGGCTTCCTGTACATCTGGTCCAAGTCCATCTCCTTCCCCGAGCTTGCCCTCCCCGTCATCATCCAGCTCAAGCGCTGGCTGAAGCAAGTCAGCTCCAAGTCGAGCGGCAACAAGAACGCCAAGCTCGTCTCGCAGTTCTCCGTGCTGGTGCAGAAGCTCGAGGCCAATGCAAAGTTCATCGAGGAGAAGCGCGCGAGGGTGGATTTCGCGCCCAAGCACCGCAGCCAGGTGGACGCCTTCCTCAAGGACTTTGACGCGGCCAAGACGCCGCTGGGCGCGTACGTCGTGGCGCAGGCGGCGGCGAGGGCGGAGCGCGCAAAGGTGCTTGCTGAGGCGAGGAAGGAAGATGAGAAGAAGAGGAAGGAGGATGAAAAGGCCGGATTGAAGGGGGATGATGATGTTGAGGAGGAGGAGGAGGACAGTGAGGAGGATGTTGATCTAGCAGAGGAGGACGATGATGATGAGGAAGAAGGGGGTGAAGATGACGAGGATGACGAGTAGAAGCTTGTATATAGCTTGATGGATGTCAGATAATACGGAGTTTTGGTTTTCGTCTTTCCTGTTTTGAAAAAGGGGGGATCAACTGTGTTTTGTAGAGAACTTTGTAACTTGATGAATGTTCACGTCCTGTTATTTCAGGCTGAGCATCGCATTCAGTCGTCACATTTGCTTCCATCGCTGTACATCTCGCTTGCCTCTCCCATCAACAAATAAGTCATTCCTGACGATCGCTATCGAAAGTGAAAGTGAGGACCAGGAGGAAAGAGCATCAGCCTGAAGAGCTCAAGTCAAATTATTCATACAACATAGAACGTCTTTACGTTCCATAATTTGCCCCCAAAAACGCCGTCCGTCCATACATGATGCCAATGATGATGCGTGAAAAGGAAAAGAAAACTAACAAATGATCGCAAACAAGAGCCGTAAAGAGACTCTGATCCAGCCTCTCAAACGCCCCTATTGTCCTTGATCCCAATGCCAATGCCAAATGCCGGTGTGCCAGTGCTAATCGCATTCAATGGCGAACCCCCCTTAACGCGCAAACAGAATTGCCAGTTTCGCTCCCATACTCCGTGCTAGTCATCCACCCGAGAGAGGAGAACCTGTTCATAAGACGGCTCAAGCTTCCGCGAGCCCTTCCCACGTCAAGTCACTCACGCTCGTGGCGTCTCGCACAGTCATGCCCGTAATGTTGAGAACCGTCATCTCCACCTGCTCGTCCGTCATCTCCTGGCCGGCAGCCTTCTGCCCCTCGAGCACATCGTACAAGCTGTAAATCTGGTCATTCTTGGCCTCGACGCGCTTCAGCAGCTGGTGAATCGCCTCCGACAGCGCCTGCCGCTCCCGACGACCCATCGACTTGTCGCTCTTATTGTATCGAGCCTGCAGGCGGGTCAGCTCCAGCTGGATGTGCTGCGACTCGTCTTCCAGGCCCTTGATCACCAGGGCCAGAGCATAGCCGGGAGAGTGCGCCGGCCGAACCGTGTGGTCGCCTCCCGAGACGCCGCGATCGCTGACAGGAACGGGCCGCGGTATCGACACGCGCTTCTTGCCGGCGGCCACGTCGGTCGAGGAGATGACGCCCGAGTGGGCCGTGATGCGGCTGCAGACGGTGCAGTTCTGGCAGTTGTGCCCGCAGAGATCGTCCAGGATGCGTCGGGCATTATTCGACAGCGCCGGGCACACATCTCGCTCGCCAATCCTAACGGTTCGCACACCCGTCTCGGCAGCCAGGACCGTCCTCTTGGGCGGCTGGAACTTGGACTCAATGTGCACAACCTTGGGCGCCGACCTGGCGCCGCTGCTGCTGCGTGCCTGTTTCGTCTCTTTGCCCATGGCTCCGTCCCTATGGTCCGTGGTATTCAAGTTGAGGGAAATGGCGAGATCCTGAGAGATGTTATCCATGGACAGCATGCCGGTCGTATCTTCGTCGCCATAGGGATCCAAGTCTGGAACCGAGAGCCGGCTGCGACGCTTGCTGCCTTGGTTGGCCACCGTAGACTTGGAACCTTGCGTCGACTTTTCGGCGGCCTTGTCGGGAAGGGCAAAGGCGACCTTTTGAGCGGTGCCGCCGTTCTTCGAGGGTGATGACCTGACACTACTCCTAGATCGGTGTCTCCCATCGGCTTTCTCACCAGCTGCCTCACGTTTCTGCGCGGTCCTACTCTCTCGGCTTCCAGATTCGTGAGCACTTGTCGTTCCGGGCAAGTCGTGCATGTCCTTGGTGTCGGTGGCGTCGTCGTTCGACCTGACGGTGATGTCGGGAACAAAGAAGGCAGATGTCATGTTTTCCTCCGTCTCGCCATCCTGGCGCGTGGGTTCGCTCTTGCCAGACGGTCGGTAGTGATCCAGCTGCCTTTTCAAAGCCTCAATCTCTTCCTTCAGCTTGAGGTTTCGATCATGCAGGTCATGGACACTGTGCTCGAAGCCAGCATTCTCACGGCGGAGGATCTTGTTCTCGCTAAAGTATTTCTCGTTTTGCCGAACCAGGTTTGCATTGTCTTCGCGCAGAGTCGCTTGCTTCTGCTTCAACGACTGGAGCTCTCGCCGGAGCGCCTCGTTTTCCTCCCGAGCGGCCTCGAGCTCCTGTTGAATGCCATCCATGTTCTCCTGAAGATCCTCGTTCTCGTCCATTAGTGTCTTGTTGTTGGTCCGCAACGTCCTGTTCTCGCTGGCTAGTGTTTGCTGGTCCTGCCGAAGGCCCTTGCCGTCGGTACGCAGCGATTGGGCTTCTTGACGGTAGTGCTGCAGCTCGCGCCGTAGCGCCTCGACTTCTTCTCGAAGAGCATCATTGTCCTGCTTGAGCGCCGTGACATCTCGGCGCAGAGAGTCGTTGTCCTGGCGGATCTGCTCGGTCGATCCGAGCTGCTTGTGAGTGTTTTCGAGCTGCTTCTCCGTAGTGTTAAGCTTCCGTGTCAGCTTGCTGATGTCTTCGCAAGCCTCCTGTAGGCGACTAATAACGCGGTCTCGCTCCTGAGTCAGGGTGTCGTTCTCCTGATGACCGGTGCTGATACGGCGCGCCGCCTGGTCCAGTCGTTTCTGAAGAGATGCCACTTCGGCTTCGAGCTCTGCACGTTTCTAGATGAGCAAGGGTTATCGTACCAGCAGAGGGGTCCGGGGGGGTAATTACCATTCTTCTTTGCCAAGAGCTGCTCGTTTGCATTAAAAACGCTGAGCCCCCCGTCTGTGCTCTTACGCGACCTGTGCCTTTGTACCTCGTTCTCCAGAGTGGCAGAATACTGCTGGAGCTTCTCGTGCTGCTCCCGAAGAGAAAGGATCTCGTCGCGGATCATATCAATCGACACAAAAATCTTCTCCTCATCCTCGGGCAACTTGATACCGTCCACCTCTGCGTACCGCACGCCGAAGGGCTTCACCTTCTGGTCATGCACCTGGCCGTGCTTCACGAGGACCGGCACGCCATCCTTCACTTGTCCGTTAAATTTCAGAGTGCCGGTGAGAAAGTCGTCAAGGTGAGAGATATCCGGCATCAATAATGAGCGGGCATTCGGTGTGTCATGTTCCGGGCTGGCCAGTACAGGCGATGGCGAAGGAGGCACCGCCGTCAAGCTGGATTTCGCAGAGGACATGTTGGGAGAACTCTGGTTGTGGGAAGAAACTCGCCGGTCGTCCTCGCGGTTGTTGGACGCCGCCCTACGAATCTTGTCCAGCGCTTCCTCGAGAGACATGTGTCGTTGCTTCTCGGGAGCCTCTTCTCTCGGAGGAGACTGGTTGTGGATCTTGGATAAGGGGCTGGGGTTGTGGGGAGCTGCGTAGTTGAAGCCGTACGTGGAGAGGCCTCTAGTAACAGGTGGGCGGGAGACAATCTGTGAGAGATCGGGGTCGTTTTCAACGCGTGGCTGCATCTCGGCGCGGGTCCTCTTAGAGCCGTTCCACGCGTCCTCGGTGGTGTCGTCAATGTACTTGGTCACTGGCGGCGCGGGCTTCCTGTCGATGTTGGGGTGCGGGATCTCGGCCAGGGGCGTCGTGTCCGTGTGGTCGTCAAAGACGGGCCGGGTCTGCTTGGGCTGGGCGTAGAAGTCGGGCCACTTGCGGCGGGCGGCGTCCCAGTTGACGGGCAGCTTGCGGGGGGCGGCGACGCGGGCAATGTCCTCCTGCAGCCGGCGCGTGGACTCGCCCTCGGGGTCGGAGAAGACGGAGGACAGCGTCGGGCTCGCGCGGCCGGTGGACGAGGGCGGGGAGTCGAAGGGATTCTCGCGGCTGGCCTTCATTTCCCTAAGAATGCGCGAACGATATCTGGTAACTGCGTCGGACTCCATCGCTCTGCCACGCGCTGCTGCACGCGATGCCGGAGCCGCAAGAGTCGACGATGGCTACTTCGGGGGCTGGTGAATGGCGGTAAGCGGGTGCAAAGGCCTGCGCGTCGCGTCGGTTTTTTATTATTATGTGCGCTTTCTGCGGCTGCAGCTGCGGGCTGGAGTGCGCCAGGGCGGCGGATGCGCTGGCGGCAGGCGCTGGCAATGCGGTGGCAGGCGCAGCGGTCGGGTATCTCGATGAAGCAGCCAGGCGTGATGCGAGACGAGGCGGCGGCTGTGGTGAGAAGTCCAGGATTTTGGCGGTGCAAAGGGAAAAGGTGGGAGAAACTGGCCAGGGCTGGACGAGGAAGCCGAAATTGACAGTCATGATCCTTGGGGGGGGCAGTTCCGGGATTTGTTTTGGGGGAAGGAGCGAAAGTAAACAAAGACTAGGCCGGATTGGGCGCTGCGGGGGTTCGCTTCTGGTGCGCTTCGACCAATGGAAACGATCGAATCGAGCTGGCAGCGACGCGGGTTCAGCGCATGCGAGTCGCTGCAGGTATCTGCAAGTACCTGCGTGCGCGCGGAGGTGCAGCGCCGTGCCTCGTCAAGCACGCAGGTAGTGCTGCGTCTCTGACGTTACAGGGTGGCTGCTCCCCTGCCAACCCAGCGCGACAGCGAATGAGGTGCTGGTATTCGCGGGTACCAATAGAAAGCGAATGTGTTTCGATATTGACGTTGGCTAAGGTAGTACCTACCTTACCTTAGGTAAAGTTGTACAAAGAGCATGGATCCGTAACACGATTCTACAGCCCTAGAAGAAGCTTGGAAATGACGCAGTGGCAGCGTCCCAATCCCTGTAATAATGCTCAGACCAGCTCATGCATCCTCTAGCTCCGTGAGCCTGTCTGTTGACCAAGACATTCGTCAAGCGCTTGTAGCCCGAGGTACCAAATGGGCCCCGAGATGGCTCTTCATTGACCTTGAGTCGACGCCTCAAGATGGCCGTTCTGCCCTGCTCAATTCACCCACTTTGAATGACACTGAGCCGATGTCTAAGTGGTTTTCGATTGCCAAAACAGGCTCCTCAATATATGTCCAACTGGAAGATAATGGCTCTGATACCTAAGGTAGGTAGGTAGTTAGTGTACACATAATAACAAGACCTTATGCTTCTTGCTCCTTATACAGGGGGAATGAAACACCCAAGACGACAGTTTCCGCGCTTACAAGCGAAAGTAAACTCTCGTCATTCTCTCTGGCCTCATGGGTAGGCGGACGATAATGATGCTAAACTTCTATTGAACATTTGAACAAGCTCTTGCCAACTAATCATTGCTCGTAGTCATCAAATACCCAGCCAACCAATGTCTTACCAATTGCTATTACGAGTACCTTTCCTTGTTACCCCTCAGCCACAACCACCCGCCTCCTCGATCCGGCCCGACGATGCTTCATCCTCATCCACATGCTATGGTATACAACCATTTAGAATTCGACTTGCAAACCCATCAGCACCTTGGCATTCATGCGTTCTCACTTTGAATATACTCATATGACTCTTATTCTCAATGGCCGTGGGTCACACTGCATAACTTTTAGCTATTACAGGGTACGTCCTCCTGGAATGTTACTCCATGTGACTCTCCCGCAGCCCGATGTCACCGTGTTGTTGATCCGGCTTGCTTCTCAACTCTGTATGAACGACGGTCGTTCCTGTCCACGTGAATCTCTCATCCTGCCTCTGCCTACTAACGTGTGCTCCTTTGTAGCCGCATCAATCACGTTGCAAGAACTTATTGCTCCTCGAATTGTCATATTATTTCGCTTCCTATGTATCCCCTCAAGAATGACCTTGGCGCCTTTGCCTATATATGGAGCATCTTCTCTATCGAACATACCTACAACTCGTCAACGTCCTGAACAACAAGACCTAGAGATAGAATTGGCTTCTTACTCACATCGCATGGCCTATTGCACCTCATATACTCCATCATGAGAGCCACTCTTCCTACAACGACTCTCATTATCCTAGCTTCCTCGCCTCTGGCGGCCGGCGCCCCTGTCTTATACAAACCAGAAGCCTGCTCTGTGATAGCCTCTGGCTCCGCGGAATGCCGTCAATCTCCAGCAGACTTCCTCCGCGTTCCGGCGGGAAACCATGCGTTCATCAATGCTAGCACTGAAATCCTGCAAGATGCCTTCTCGGCCCTCGCCGTGTTACAGAACGAATACTACCAGATCGGAAGAAGCACTTGGCCGTCGGCGATAGACTGGACAGCTGCCGTGACCCAAACTGTAGTTTCGGGCATGTTGTCAACCCTCACCAGGTCGCTCGACTTGGTCGACCCGGGCGCCACCTCGAGTTTTCAAGAAGCGCATGAGAACCTCGTCTCGTCCGTGTACGATCAAATCATTGGCTATTATTATGGGCAGGACATTGTTGCGATCAAAGACGAGGTACGCCCCTTGTTTCACCATGACCTCAGGCTACCTTATATACCTATATACTTGGCTTAAAGAGACTGTCCATCTAGGCCTTTGATGACATACTATGGGTGGTGCTTGGCTGGATAGAGGCCATGAACTTTGCGCGACTGCACGACAGCCTCCATTTCCCCAAAGCCGAGCACAATCCCAACGCCACCTTGCCTACCGATATCCATGTCGCTTTGGCGACGCTGCCCTGGCGGGGTCGATTCTGGATCCCTTCGTTCCAGAGTCGTGCTCAGAGCTTCTGGCTCCTTGGGGCCGAAGGATGGGACACGGAGTTGTGCCACGGAGGCATGGTCTGGAACCCGCGCCTGGAGCCCTACAAGAACGCCATCACAAACGAGCTATACATCTCTGCCTCCATCTCCATGTACCGGCACTTTGCCGACGACAGCACGGTCGATGGGGACCCAGTGTATCTTCAGGCAGCCATCGAGGGCTACAAATGGCTCGTCAACAGCAACATGACCAACGACGCAGGCTTGTTTGTAGATGGATTCCACATTGGCGGACTTGCGGACGGCAATATTGAGTGCAATGTCCGCGATGAGATGGTGTACACTTACAACCAGGGCGTGCTGCTCACCGGCCAACGAGGGCTATGGGAAGTGACTGGGAGTCCTTCATACCTAGCGGATGGCCATGATCTTATTCAAGCAGTTATTAACGCCACTGGCTGGGATCTGGAGACGAACCAACCAATCGACGCAGTGGGTGTGCCCTCGGAACTTCCTAGATGGAGAGGCCTTGGTCGGGGCGGCATTCTAGAAGACGCGTGCGATGCAAGCGGCACATGCTCCCAGGACAGCCAAACGTTCAAGGGCATCTACTTTCACCACCTGAACGAGTTCTGTCGACCCTTGGATCGGAACAGTTTCAAGGAGCACAAGTCCTTCAACGTAAACAGTTTCAATTCCGTCAAGGCAGCTCACAGATCGGCCTGCCAGGCGTATCTCGGGTGGATCAAGCACAACGCCCTGGCAGCGTTGGAGACTCGAGATGCACGAGGCCGATTTGGCATGTGGTGGGGTGCAGGACTTGTTGGCAACAGCATCGCCGTGTCTTCGCAAGGCGACGGGATCGATCACGATGCCGCAAACACTACCGACTATCGCAATCATGGGACTCCTCAAGACGACATCTGGGGGCGAGCGTCGAGATGGCTGCCAGGGCCTCAGAAGGGAGGGTTGGGCAAGCAAGTCGTGGCACGGCATCTGGAATCCACGGACACGGACACGGACATGGGCATGAACATGAACATGAACATGATGGAGTCGGTGACGAAGTCGCCTGCTGGGAGACAGATGCCAAGGTCGACGGATCCTAATGATCGCGGCAGGGGGCGGACGGTGGAAACGCAGGTGGGAGGACTGGCCTTGCTCCGCGCATACTGGGATGTTTCGCAGTCTGTCTCGACTTGAACGTGGTTGTGGTTTGTGGTTTGTGGTTGTGATTGTGGTTGCGATTGTGATTGCGATTGTGGCTGTGGTGTTGCAGTTGCATCGAGTCGGTGTAGATATACCTATGTAGGTCCCTAGCCTGAGACTACTAGGTACCTATCTAGGTATTGCTTGTTCTTCTTCTTCTAGACCAGAGCCTCATTTCGAGGTTTCGTTTAGGCCTCCTCGTCCTCGTTTGTGCCTCGTCTTCGTTTAGGCTTCGTCCTCGTTTAGGCTTCCCGTCGTCCTCGTTTAGGCTTCTCGTCGTCCTCGTTTAGGCTTCTCGTCGTCCTCGTTTAGGCTTCTCGTCGTCCTCGTTTAGGCTTTCGATGTCCCCTGTTCCCGCCTGATGTCGATTCGGCGAATCCCCGATTAGGTATTTCAACTGGGCAGATCTCTGGGCGAATTCGAAACGGGGCCCAAAAAGAGCGACAAGCCGAATTGAAAGGCGGAGACTCGGAGCCGGGGGGGCGGCACTGGCGCTAGACCCGATTAAGAAGAGCGATTCGAGACGGGAGGATTCAAAAGATTTGAGTTTTGGGTTTTAGGGGGAGGTCGCGTGGGGAAGCGAATGAGGCTCAGACTCTGTTTCGCTGGCTGGTTTGACTGAGCCTCGCAGGAGGAGGCGGTGCGAAAGAGGGGGGAAGCAATCCATTTGTGTGTGATGGAAGAGTCATGATTTGGGTTTGCTGGTATTTGGAATTTGGGCGCTGTCAGTAGTAGAGCATTAATGCGAGTTTGTATAAGAGTCGGCGCATCGCTCTTTGGTTGATGATTTCTTGTCCATCATCATCGCAACACCTCACAAGGTCGCCTCGCCTGTCTGATCCAGCACCAACTCCCACCAAGCCGAGTCACTACCTACCTATTATAGCACTCTTTTGTCATACTACTCTTGGCGCAGTGTTCCATCACCACAACTTCCAGTTATTATCGACCTTTTTACTTGGCTGTCTTACCGGTCCTTTTGATTATTACCCTTTACGTATTACCTACACCATCAATACCGATCAATCAATCAATCATGGCCCTCGTCATCGGCCTCGTCGCAGCGGCCGCCAAAGCCATAAGCAGCAACGACAACGACCGGCACCAGAACAACAACCACAGCAGGTTCCGCGACGGCCTGTATCACCACCACAACAGCCACAACAGCCACAACAGCGGCCACCACAGCTGCTGTAACAGTCATCACAACAGCTGCTGCAACACCACCTCATCTCCCCTTGCCGCTTACTCTCCCCTATTGACGGGCAGCCGCCGCGCCGAGCGTCGGATGGAGAGAAAGCTGCGCAAGGCGGAGCGAAAGGGCAGAAACACCGACATGCTGCTGTCCATGATGGGCGGTTCCAGGGGGGCTTCCGGTTCAACAGGGCTGTCTGGTGACAGCGCTACAGCGAGTACGCATCATCATCATCAGCCTGGTCATGGTGGTGGTGTCCCTTACGTGGGCTACGGCGAGAGCTCAAGGGGTCGAGATGTGTCTCCCGAGTCACAGAGGGGGCATCAATGGCGGGATGACGATGAGTTCCAGGGTCACGAGCGGACGGGAAGCTCCTCGGAGGCGTTGCCGTCGTATGAGCAGGCGGTTCGCCGGTCGGATAAGTCGAGGAGATGAGATGTGACGATGCAAGAGCGTGGTGGTGGTTCAGCTGCATTCTCCCTGGCCTGGTGTGCCTGTATGATAGGCTTGTTTTGTTTGGAGGGCTTGCTGAGGTTCACGCGGGATGACGTGGGAAGATATATTGGGTTCGTCTGAAGAGGGACATATTTCATCTAGATACCATTAGAATGAGTAAATGAGTGCTTGGCTTCTTACTATGCAATTTTGACGAGGACTAAGATTCTGTGCCTGGTTCGATGAGAGTGAATTAACACGATACTTCTACAGGTGTCTTACGGGTACCTACCTATAGTAGCAGGTGCTGTACTAACAGAAGAATTGAGGGCAAGTGGGCGCTGCTGGCTCAACTCCGATATCGATGCGCCTGGGCTCCATGTCTTGATTGACTCAGTGCGCGCTGCAGCTGCTTCACAGACATGCATCGAGCTGAGGCTCCATCGTGACATTCGGGTCTCTTGGCTTATTATTTCCCTTTTCTGTGAAGTATTACGCTGTCAATTGACGGCAGTTCAACTGCTGAAGAGAGTATAAAAAAGGGCGCCGCATCCGGATCAAGTCAGAGAGAGCGCAGCCTCTCCATTCCATCAGGGCGGTCGCTAGCACATGCACATGCAACTGACGCCACCTTTCTTGGGGATTCTCCAGAAAAAAACTCTTGGAGGGGTCCGATTTATCGGAGGCTATCGCTCATACCAGACCTTAATCATCCTGCAACCGGCCATCACAGTTGCCTGCTGAACCTCCTTCTCCTCCATCCACCTCCACCCTCATCTATTCACCAGCAGAGAGGGCAGCAAAATAACGACTCGAGCGGCTGCATTGTTTTCCAGTACCTTTTTGTGACTTTATATCTACAATGCCGGGCGTCAATGGCACGTCGTTAATGCCCAACGGCGACGTGGGACACGGCACTCGCCGGCCCTCGTCGTCGTCGGCATTCAAGAACATGGCCCTGACAGAATACAGCGCAAACCCGTCACCACCGCCAGAGACGATAGATGATGGCGCCGCGCTGGTGCCGGAGGATCTGCAGCTTCCAGACGGACATCCTGACGTGAGTGCCCTGTAGCCTTGTAGCCCTGCAGCCCTGCAGACGGCTGCCCTGTGTTCCTGTTTCTGCCCCCCTCCAAGACGCCTACAAGAAGACTGACGCAGCACCCTCGCCGAGACACAGTACCTGCGCATGATTGCCAGCGCAACCTCCCGAGTCTACGAGGCCTGCAAGATCACGCCGCTCGAAAAGGCCATCAACCTGAGCAACCGGTGCGAGTGCAATGTCATGCTCAAGCGCGAGGACCTGCAGCCCGTCTTCAGCTTCAAGCTGCGCGGCGCCTACAACAAGATGGCCCATCTCGACCCGGCCGAGAGCTGGCGCGGCGTCGTCTGCTGCTCCGCCGGCAACCATGCCCAGGGCGTCGCATACTCTGCGCGCAAGCTCAAGATACCCGCCACCATCGTCATGCCCGAGGGCACGCCAAGCATCAAGCACCTCAACGTCGCCCGCCTCGGCGGCCACGTCGTCCTGCACGGCGCCGACTTCGATGCCGCAAAGGAGGAGTGCGCGCGCCGCGCCAAGCACGATGGCCTCATCAACATCCCGCCCTTCGACGACCCCTACGTCATTGCTGGGCAGGGCACCATTGGCAGCGAAATGTTCAGCCAGGTCAACATGGCCAAGGTGGAGGCCATCTTCTGCGGAGTCGGCGGTGGCGGCCTCATTGCGGGCATTGGCTTGTACATCAAGCGCATGGCACCCCACGTCAAGATCATTGGCGTCGAGGCGTCTGATGCGAACGCCATGGCGCAATCTCTAAAGCTGGGGAAGAAGGTTACGCTGCCAGAGGTCGGTCTGTTTGCTGATGGTGCGGCTGTCAAAGTCCCCGGAGAGGAAACGTTCCGCATCTGCCGCGAGGTTGTTGACGAGGTCATCGAGGTCACCACCGACGAGATCTGCGCCGCCATCAAAGACATGTATGATGATACCAGGTCCGGCCTGGAACCGGCGGGTGCCCTGTCCATTGCCGGCTTGAAGAAGTACGTTGCGCGGGAGCCGTCTGTTGATTTTAAGAGGACACTCATCGCAGTGACCTCGGGCGCCAACATGAACTTTGATCGACTAAGATTTGTCGCTGAGCGTGCCACGCTGGGTGAGGGCAAGGAGGTGCTCATGGCCGCCAGCATCCCCGAGCGCCCTGGAGCTTTTGCCAAGCTCGTCGACACCATCATGCCTCGCCCCGTCACAGAGTTTTCCTACCGCTACTCCTCTGGCGACGTTGCCAACGTCCTCATTGGTCTCTCCATTACGGTGCCGGCGGCCCAGAGAGCCGAGGAGGTGCGCTCGCTCATGGAGCGCATCCGCGGCGAGGGCATGGAGGTGACGGACCTTTCCAACGACGAACTCGCCAAGAGCCATGTGCGCTACCTGATTGGCGGCCGCACCGGCGTGGAGAATGAGCGCGTCTTCATGTTCAACTTCCCCGAACGGCCGGGGGCGCTGGAAAAGTTCCTCTCCACGCTGCGGCCCAAGTTCAACATCAGCCTGTTCCAGTATCGTACATATGGCGGAGACGTGGCCAAGGTGCTGGCAGGCATCCAGTGCCCGCCGGAAGAGAACGCCGAGCTGGAGCAGTTCCTCGAGGAACTGGGGTACCCGTCAGAGGAGTGTACCAACTCGGCAGTTTTCAACATGTTTTTGAAAAGTACCAGCCAGTAGGACGGCATTAAATCGGGATGAATGGGTGACGGGAACATATCCGCGGCGTTTGGTTTACATGATTGTTTAAAAGGATATCTTTCTTTTCCTTTCTTCTGTTTCGTTATTCCTATTGCGGACTTGCGGTGCTGTTCTTTTCGCTACGCATAGGATAAAAAGGTGCCCGACTGGGAAGCTGTATACAATAGAATTGAAGCCATGATTCCATCTGCAAGCGAAGCCGAGCCTGTATTAACGACCTAGCGAGAGCGGCAGAGCGGCTACACGGATCTGTGGAAGACAAAGAGGGAAAGCGGTTGCGTGCATACCTATAGTAGGTACTTGGTCACTCAGGAATTTCCGAACGTGTGGCATGGCTTGGCTGATTTGTGAATGACTTGGGTATGAGGCATTCTTGTCAGCTTTGGGGGCTCTTTTCTTGGCCCCCTCCCTAGAAGGTGCGCTGTTTGGTTCTGCTTACGGGGACACACGGCGGCAGAGTTTTGGTGTGAATGAGTGCTTTGGAAAATACCATAGTTGGCTGAAAACATGCGTGAGAATGAGAAGAATGTTTAGAATGGTGGTTTAGGTGGTGACAAACCATCAGGCACGAGCATCACGTTTTCTATAATCGACGGAGGAACTTACCGCAAGTGGCGTTTCAACGGAGTGTCACTTCGGAGGCAGATGCGAGATTGCCGAGGGCTGCTTCTTGGTGTGCTATTGATGTTGTTTCTGCATGAAACGTTTTCTCTCGCCCGGCAAAATTGGTGGTCAGAGAGCGTTGTGCTGAGGTACATGTCACCTGCTCGGTCTGGTAATGATGCAAAGGAAGGCCTCTTGAATGCGGACTTTGGATACCTTATGATATACCCCAGGCATGCGTAGGGCTAGGGATCAACGCCTCTAGATCTACATACACGGAGGTACTGTACGCACGTATGTATGCATTATTGAGCTGAAACTTGGGAGGTCAGCACAGCGATTTCCAGATATCGGACGGCTTATGCCAGAGGGAACGTGGTATCAACGGACGAGGTGGTGCATGCGGCTTGGATGCCCAGAAAGGTACGAGTTCCTGATAATCATAAGGTCATTCAGGTACGTATGCAAGGAACGTGTAACATCACTGTAAATGGATTTAATCACATCATTTTCAACCCCATTAATCCTTCTATTGGTTTCTTCTTTCATGAGAAAAAAAATTGTCGCTTTATATCCCTTGGGCCCTTGCAGTGAGATCGCGCGAAGCCTCGCTGCACAACAGGCCGAATACTTTGACATGGGATTGATTGTACATAGTATTTGGCTGTTACGAGGACCTGGTCGGCAAGGCAGGGCAAGGTAATAAGGGCAGCTTCCAAACTGCCTTCCATTCTGATTCTGTTGTTCTTTTTTAGGGAACCCCCCCCTGGTCAGTGCGTCACGGCTAGATGGCCCGTGCTTTTTTCTTCCCATCCCGAGCGCACGGATTGTTTAGCGCGCTGTGCAGAGGGGGGGATTGGTACATCTCTTCTGTCGGGTGCCTGTACAATTACTCTTGTGTTGGCTTCCACGAGTAGCACTCATACGATAGGTGCAATCTATATCAACTTGGAACGGAGTGGCAATGCCGTACAAGGAACGCAGTGATATAGTTGGCGGGACGAGGCAAGGCTGGCTGGCACAGTCCAACTGAGAGGGTTTCTGCTTGTATGTTCTGTACTGTAGCGCAGGTCAGCCATGAAGGATCGTGGTGGCGTCTCATTGGAGGCACATGTACCTCTACCTACCTAGGTGCTAGGTAAGGTATTGTTCTATTGTTCTGCGAATGTTCCTTGGCCTGATGGAGTTTGGCGAGACTGGCGGGCATATCCCTTTACTGTCCATCTGTCTGAGAGAGATAGGCGAATTTTAGGAAATAGATTCTTTTCTTTTTATCTCCAAACGAGAAACGCCTCGAGATGACCAGACTGCCTTCTACAGAAGATGCGCCGTTGCATTGTCAAGCCCTTTGATTGCCACGTTTTCAAGGGACCCTGTGGTTGAGGTGAAAAGGATTTGGCGCCGCTGGCGTCATCTCGACTTCGGCAATAGGGCCGTAGCTCGACTCCAGCCTGTCTTGGGCTTAGCCTGGTCGGTACAGCTACCTACCTTATGCGTTACAAGTACAGTACCACTCGATGCCAGCGCTGTCAAAGGCCCTTCGAGGTCTTCCATGCAAAGTCGCTGCAGAGAAAATCTCTGGAGGAATCGACATCACCCTTGACATGTCGCAAAACCCCCCTTGCTGTGCCCGCATGCAGTAGTATCTAGAAGTGCACGTACCGAGTACAGAACCAAAGACGGACCCCCCCTTGCTGTTTGCTGCCGAGATGCTGCACTCGCCCTGGTCGTGAGGCTCTCCGTCCGCGCTACGGGTTAGCACCTCATCTGCGTTACAGGCGGTACGGGGGACTCCGTGGCGGTGGTACAGGTACCTCCTGACTTTGGAGGTGCAACCTTGAGGTACTCGTACAAGCCCAACTCCCCGTCTCTCCCTACTGCTACTAGGTACCTTACCTGACGAGGCTCGACCGACAACTGACTGTTAGGTAGTTTGTCATCCCTCTTCCCTCAGCCCAGCCCGTCTCTCCGTCCGTTTACTACTAGCACTTTCATTGTGCATACCTCTTAAACATACATACTGTGCTCCCCCATCCCATCCCATCGCCAGCCCTTCTCGGCGTGGCCGTTGATCGACCGCTGCTTGATCAGTCCATCTCGGCTGTTGTCTGCCACCCCCCGGCAGCGCTCCGCTGCAGGGCTCCTGCAGGCTCTCGCTCGCTCGCTCGCTGAGACCGCCTCCAACAGAACCCTAGCCTACCTGCTGTACATACCTTACTAGCCACAGCTCGCCACGCCAGACCTCGGAGTTACCCCACGTCAACGTCAAGGGAAAAAAAAGCTGTAGCATCCATACCAGCAGCCGGCGGGATTTGCTTGTTCTTCTGCTAAGGCATGACTAGGTAGGTAGGTAATAGCCTCCCCTCGCTGCCGTTGTACTAACTACAGGAGTTGGTGTGTGTGTGTGTGCGTGCGCAGAAGCGCTGCGTCTCGTCTGCGCAGTGACCCTCCACTCTCGCTGCTCCGGACCCTCTTCCATCGACCCTCCCTCCGTGTCGTCTCTTTCTTCCTCTCTCCAGCTCCGAAGCCGACCCTTGATCTCAGCCGCTCACTAACACTCGAGTGTGCAGCCCCAAGACGCTCGGAGACGCCTTCCCTATCATCGTCAACCCTCAGCAAACCCGTCGCTCCTTGATTGCTGCGGTGCAGCTCCTCTATCCTTGGTGGGCATCCCTCTCCGCCACTTTGGCCTGGGCTGCCGTTGTTTGCTAATGACCTCGACCTAGCCTGTTGGCTGCTGGCACGCGACCGCCTCTGCCCTGCGCCGAGTTCCAGAGACAATTCAAACGGTCGCCAATGTTGCCGAGCATTGGGCTGTCATCTTTTCCATCAATATCCTCCCTCATTTCATCATCATAGCGAAGCCTTGCAACAATCTTCGAGCTGAACCTCCTTTCTACGCAATAGTCGGTGACAGCTGGACCGCCTCCCGTCACCGCGACATCCACAACCCTGGCCCGATATCGCTTACCCAAACGCATAATTCCGAAGCCTTTGTGTCGAACTCGTCGCTACGAATACGTAAAGGGCTATCGTTGCGAAGAACTTTCCATGCGAAGCTGCCGCTGGACGAGCCAGAGCACGAGCACGGCATCTGTCAGCTTTGTCCGAAAAAGAGCATGACCCGGGCTTCATCACGACGCTTCCGAATCCAACAGCGACACCTCACGATCAGTGGCCAGGAACAAGATAGAATCAGCTAAAGGCAGCGTGGGAGACGCTTGCTTTCAAGCAAAAACAAATCTCCCCAAGGCTTTCTGCGAACGCGCGGTGCGGACAGCCGCAAAACCGCCGAGGCGTCTTGCACAGCCCGACATCATAACGGTCCCCGCACACAGATTTGGCCCATCAAGAGCATCAACATGAGACGCAGTCGCTCCCCAAGTGCGCCTTCGCACTATCGGGCGCTGGGCCATCATGGCAACGGGGCCAAGTCCGACTCCATCGCGCTCATCCGGTCGTTCAATGTCGAGAACAACCCGACACGGCCGATGCGACCATCCCCGCTCACGGCGTCGACCATCAGGGACATGCCATTGGACCTGGTAGATCGCATCCGAAGCTTTCCCCTCTTCCAGTCTGCGTCGGAAGAGTTTTTAGTAGCCATTGGCAATCATCTGAAACCGCAGGTCCACGCGCCCAACGACCACATCATCACAGAGGGGGACGACGCAAAGGCCATGTACTGGCTGGTGCGAGGCGTCGTCGCAGTCACGTCTCGCGACGGCGAAGCGGTTTATGCAGAACTCAAGGCCGGTGCGTTTTTCGGCGAGATCGGAGTGCTCATGGACATGCCTAGGACGGCCACCATTGTCGCCCGAACCAAGTGCCTGTTGCTGGTGCTGAAAAAGGAAGACCTGCAGACCGTCATGCCCAAGTTCCCGGAGATGGAAAAGGCCATTCGGCAGGAGGCGGAGGAGAGGCTGAGCGTGCTCAAGAAGAAGCGACTCGAGCGCGGCGCCAGGCTCAAGTCTGCCAAGAGCGATGCTGCTGCGCGAGCGACGGCGCCTGGCGAAGTGTCGACGGGAGAGACGGGCGCGATCAAGGACGGCACGGTGGTCAAGTCCAAGAAGCGAAAATCCCCCAGCCCCAGCGTCATCGAAGACCCGGCCCTCGGCAGCGCATTGGGGAGCGGCTTTGTCAACATCCGAAAGACGCTCAAGGAACTCCCTCTCTTCTCGAACCTGCCGCCCGACGTCCTCCACTTCCTCGGCTTGAGCGTCCAGCCAAAGACGTACCCGCCCTTTACCGACATCGTACGCGAGGGCAGCCCTGGCCACGAGATCTTCTTCATCGTCCGAGGCGAGGCGGAGGTTATCCATCAGCAGCAGCCCAAGACGGATAGGGAAGCCGAAAGCTTGACCCGATCGATCCAGAAGAGACCCCGGCTGAAGGCTGGGCAATACTTTGGAGAGGTTGCGAGCCTGGGCCTGTCTCGTGGGCGCACCGCGACCGTCAGGTCAATCACAACGGTGGAATGCTTGATGATACCGGGGGAAACGCTGGATGAGCTGTGGTCTCGCTGCTCTCCCGACATCAAGTCACAGGTGGAACAGACGGCATGGCATCGCTACAACTATCGGGACGAGGACGTTGACATGGCCGATGTCGACCCGCGACGCAAGGCGAGCAAGTCAGACCCTCCAACGCCGAAACTCGCCCGGCTCAGCATTCCCGATGTCGGTTTCACAACACCCTTCAAACCGCTATCCGCGTCTCCCCGGGATGCTTCCGAGGTCATGGAGCCCAAGGATCCGGATCCTTTTCTGAGCGTCGACATGGAGAATCTGAGAAACCGAAGGAGACATTCGGTAGCACCGCCCACCGCGCCCACCACGCCCACCACGCCGACCGAGACTGCACCCACAACACCTGCGAAGCAAAATGGGACACGGACTCATTTGCCAGAGCAACCGTCTCCCATGTCCGTGACTGCGCCAGAGCCCGAGTTGTTTGACATGCCGGCTAAGCGGGCTAAGACCCTGTCACACCGGCCGCACTCTCTCCGGCCTAATACAATCACGGACAATATCCTGGTGCACATCTTCCAGTATGCTGATATTGGAGAGCTCTTGAGGCTGCGGCGTGTCAACAGCCACTGGAAGCACCTCTTGACTACGTCCCCGAAGCTGTGCAGATATGTCGATCTCTCCTACTACAACAGGAAGGTCACTGACCAGGTCATCATCGAGGTCCTGGCGCCCTTTATCGGAACGCGCGCGCTCGTGATAGACCTCAACAACTGCTTCCACATCACCGATGAGGGCTTCTCCGTGCTGTGGAAGACGTGCGGCAAGAATGTGCAGAGGTGGAGGATGCGCTCGCTATGGGACGTTTCGGCGAACCAGATTCTCGAGATGAGCGAAAACGCCAAGGGCCTCAGGGAAGTGGACTGGAGCAACTGTCGCAAAGTCGGGGACAATTTGCTTGGGCGAGTTGTGGGATGGGTTGTCCCCGAACCTCCGCCAGTGAGCAACAGCAAGGTGGTGATTGCCAGCTCGGGGAGAAAGGCGAAGGAGAAGGCTGCCCAGCAACCCGCCCCCAACATGCCGCCTCCCGGAACGGTCATTGGTTGCCCCAAGCTGAACACGCTGAACCTCTCGTACTGCAAGCACATCACGGACCGATCGATGGGCCACCTGGCCGCTCATGCCTCGAATCGGCTCGAGTCGCTGTCCCTTACTCGCTGCACGTCCATCACAGACGCGGGGTTCCAGGCTTGGGCGCAGTTCAAGTTTGAGAAGCTGACGCATCTGTGCCTGGCGGATTGCACCTATCTCTCCGACAACGCCATTGTGGCCCTCGTCAACGCGGCCAAGAACCTGACCCATCTCGACCTGTCCTTTTGTTGCGCGCTTTCCGACACAGCAACGGAGGTTGTCGCCCTCGGTCTTCCCCGGCTGCGCGAGCTGAGGCTTGCCTTCTGCGGTAGCGCCGTGAGCGACGCCAGCCTGGAGAGCGTGGCCCTGCACCTCAACGAGCTCGAGGGCCTCTCTGTTCGCGGCTGCGTCCGCGTGACGGGCAAGGGCCTGGAATACATTCTCAGGGGCTGCACGCGCCTCAAGTGGGTCGACGTCAGTCAGTGTCGCAACCTGGAACCGTGGCTGCGGGCAGGCAGCATATCGAAATGGGGATTCGACAGCCGGGCTGGGAAGCCGGAGGCGACGTCGGTGAATAGCTGGCCAACGACGGCATTCGACAGCGTGATTGGAGACTTGCCCACGCCGCGGACGATGAGCGTTGCGATGCTCACGACGCCCAACTTTTTCCCGCGGCCGGGCGCCTCGCTCTTGGGCAGGAGAACGAGGCAGCCTGTCAAGTTTATCATAGAAAAGGGGACCGACGGGCTTCGATAACCTGGTCCTTGACCCCAATTCTCATCACTCAGCATCTTATCGGGAAAGGAATCTCATCATCATTGTTATCATTATCTTAGCGAAAGCAATCATCTTTAATGTCCTTGCGAGTTCCTTTTCTTTTCTGTACAAGGAATAGTCCTACTATAAGGCATCTCACACCTGTATCTTATTCACAAAACTCATGGCAAGGAGAAGGGAGCATCTACCGGTGTTGGCAGGGAGGGCTATCTAGAAAAGGGCAAGAGCAAGGAGTACCACAGGGAAGGGAAAAGGGGTCGGGAGCACTGGGCTATACGATGTGACGATACCCTCCGATGTATGCAGCATGAAGCGTTTCGGTTGGCTGGTGATGGTTAGACGGGGGCATGAGTGTTTTTTTTTTTTTTTTAATTGGGTAACATGTAATTGCATAGTGAATGGAGCACATGGAATGGGAAAGCATTCAGCCGGAGCATCTGGAACTATGAGGCACAAGACGAAAGAAGTATGCGGAACTTGGCGGAGTTGACGTCGATGACTCGGTCGAGGCAGAACACACTCAGCAGTCATAGAGTGAGTGTACTTAGACAAGGTACCTAAGGCAGTAGAGGTAAGGTATGTGAAGTTGAGGCACTGCCTTAGTCATCGCCGTCGTCGCCCGAAAGGCTTCGGCGCCACTGCGGGAGGCTTCCACAGGCTTCTAGCACGTGACGCGGACTTAGGTATGGCGGGCATCCGGCCAACGTCATGGCCCAGCTTTACTGGCAGCTTGCAGCTGGAACCCCCAAAATATATGACCTCGATATTTCTGATCCGTTTCTCCCCTCTTCATAATAGTACAACAACCAAACAGCCACACGACAACCGAAACAACAGTCATCTCTCCAACCACGAAAATACGACTGCAAATCTCGACACCTCCGAAACAGACAACATTCTCGATTATAGAGCAGCAAAACCCGGCACAGCCATGTCCTTTACGCTGAGCATTCAGCAAGGCCCTGCGCGCATTGCGCAGCAGCGGCTCCTCCCCGCGCTCACGAAATCCGCCCTCCGGACGCCCATGTCGATGCGCAGCTTCCACCAGCTCAAGACGCCCAAGAGCAGCGGCGCCTTCTTCACCTCGCGCCTGGGCTCGGCGACGACGCGGCACGGCTTCGCGCGCTCCTACTACCAAGAGACGACCAGCCAGTCGCAGGCGTCGTCGGCGACGAGCGGGACGGGGCTGCGCAAGCTGCTGGTTGGAGGCGCCATCTTTGGCGGCACGCTCGTGGCCATCAACGCCGTCTTCAACCGCGAGACGAGGGAGGACGGCGGGATGCCGCTGTTTGAGCGCGAGTACCTCAACAACACGTTCCTGCACACGGGCCTGGGCGTGGGCATCATTGGGTTGACGGCGAGGCAGATGGTGCAGACGGGCTTCGTGTACCGGCTGATGGTGACGAACCCGTGGGTGGTGGGCTTGGGAGGACTGGCGCTGAGCTTTGCGACGATGATTGGGACTCGGTCCATTAGCCCTGACAAGTGAGTATCTTTTTTTGTTTCCCCCCCCTTCTGCATCAGAAAGAAGAGATGGAAGATGGAATGATTCAGTATACTGACATGCATGGGTAACTGCAGCTACATCCCCAAGTATGCCCTCTGGACCGCCTTCAACGCCACGCAGGCCGCCTTTGTCGCTCCCCTGCTGGCCTTTGTCCCCGTTCCGCTGCTCGCCCGCGCCGGTCTCTACACCGTCGCCATGATGGGCTCGCTGTCCATTGTCGGCGCCACGGCCAAGCAGGAGAAGTACCTCTACATTGGCGGCCCCCTGCTGGCCGGCGCCGCCATCGTCGCCGCCTCGGGCTTCGCGCCCCTGCTCATCCCCGCCACGGCCGTCCGGACGCTGGCCTTTACCGAGAGCATCTGGCTGTACGGCGGCCTGGCCGTGTTTGGCGGCTTCACGCTGTACGACGTGCAAAAGGTGCTGCACCATGCCCGGCTGGCGCAGGCGGGTGTGATTAAGCGGGATCCCGTCAACGAGAGCATCTCGCTGGAGCTGGACTTTTTGAACATTTTCATTCGCTTTGTGCAGATTCTGTCGATGAACCAGAACCGGAGGAAGTAAAAGGAACGGGGGATGAGATAAGGAGTTTGAGGAAGGTGTTTTTTGTTTTTTGAGATGATGTGTTCTCTCTTCTCATTGTATGACAAATGGAGAAAAATGGGTTGGTTGCGGGAGGAAGCACACTCCGCTCATTGGAATCGAGTATATAATACCACGGCATCTCTTACTGGGGAGATGCAGGGCAGCTTGTATGTAACATCTGCATCATCAAGTGGAGGACGAATTGCAAATCAGTAAAATAGTAAAACAGTAAAACATTAAAAAAAAAAAAAAAAAAAAAAAGAGGAAAATCAATTTTCAAAAACTTGAAATCAGTGTCATTGTGTTGATAAGCTATGTGACCCTTGGTTGAAGTTGTAATGAGTGCGCCGTAAATGTGCCGTAGATGTACAAATGGGTATAATGTTGAATGATAAACTCCATCCCGCCCCCCTTTCCTATTCGCATCCTCGTCTTCATATGCTCGACTTCATACCCTCCTCTTCACACCGTCCTCCTCTTCACATCGTCCTCCTCTTCACATCGTCCTCCTCTTCACATCGTCCTCCTCTTCACATCGTCCTCCTCTTCATATCGTCCTTCTTCTCCTTCTTCTCCTTCTTCTTCTCCTCCTCCTCGTTCCCTCTCTTCACAACGTCATCCTCATTCCCCGTCCCCCCATCCTCACACCAAAAACAATTCACTCCAAGTCCTTAAACGGCCTCAGATAATGACTCGGGCACTCATACCCGTCCGGGTTCCTCTCCAGATACAGCTGATGGTACTCCTCGGCGGTCCACCACTTGCCCGCGGGCACAATCTCGGTGACGACCTTGCCGCCCCACCACTGGCTGTTGACCTTGTCGGTGACCTCGCGCGCGATGCGCTCCTGCTCGGGCGAGTGGAAGTAGATTCCCGAGCGGTACTGCGGGCCCGTGTCGGGGCCTTGCTTGTTGAGCGTCGTGGGGTCGTGCATGCGGTAGAAGAACTCGAGGAGCTGGCGGTACGAGACTTGGGTTGGGTCGAAGATGATGTCTGCGGCTTCGGCGTCTTTTTATTTTTCAAAAGAAAGAAAAATTCTTGTCAGTAATGTTCCTGATGTGTTAATAAGGGGGCAGCTTCAGCTTACGACCAGTCTTTCCGCCGCAGACGGCGCGGTACGAAGGGTTCTCGAGGTCGCCGCCGATGAAGCCGACTTTTGCGTCAATGAGGCCCTTGCCGGTGAAGTGCTTGCGGTAGAGGTGCTCGGTGCCCCAGTAGCAGCCCGCGGCGAGGGTGCAGCGCTCGGCGCCCTCGGGGATGGAGGAGGAGGACGAGGAGGAGGGTGACGAGCCTGATGGGGATTCGGGGGCGATGGAGAGGCGGGAGGCGGTTGTGAAGGGGCGGGTGAGGCGGGCGAGGATGGTGGTGAGCATTGTGGGCGGTTGGTGTTGACGTTTGATGTTTTTTTGTTTGGGTTTTTCTTGGTGGTTTGTGTGTGGTGGAGTTTAGGTAGCTGGTAGTATGTATGTTTCGGAAGCTCGGATATGGGGGGGTTGTTAAGATATGAGTTGAAAGTTGAGGGTTGGTTGTGAGATGGGATATGTAGACGACAAAGATGCGGACAGAAGTCGTTATATATCAACCCCTCTCAACGTCTTTTGATGATTCATAGACAAGAAGGAGGATAAGACTGAAGACACACAATTGGGAGAGAAAATCACAAAAAATATTCCATTGCTGCTTCGGCTTATTTTTGCCATGTCTGATGGGGCTTTTTGCATGACGCAATTGGACCCCTTCACCATCTTGGTACTAGCGAGCGAACCGCCATGACAAATCGCGGGCCGGTCGTGACAAGTTCTAGACCAGCTTGTGTCAAGTACATACTACTACTATTACATCTAATGGGTAAGGAGGGTTATTTGTTCTGTTCTGACAAGATGGTACCTACTCTGGAGCTGATTGATGACAGGAACCCAAGACTATACGTGTATCCGTCTGAACTGACATAATCGCCAAGTCCTCTCCAGGTAAGCATTAAAGCCGATCTACCAACCCTGGACACCAATACCTAGGTCACTCACTATAAATGCACCAATCAGCGCCCTGCAACCGCTATAAACCACAGCGCCCTCAGGCCTCCCAAGGTCACATACCTCTAAACCACCCCCGCTTCAACCCCCCTGTACTTCACATGTACCGCCTCCCCCGCTCCCGCTGCAGCAGCCACGTTCGCGGTACATGTTGCATCCCGCGTGTGGTCAAACCTCCTCCAAAGGGAGAAGAAGAAAAAAAAAAAACTCCAGTTTTCCTGAAACATTCAAATGATTCCACAGCTTCTAACCTCCGAAATTCCAAATCGCGATTCCAGTCACTGCACCGTTTCCAAATCCGTGCTTCCTCCAGAGATACCGGCTCGCCGCATCAAAGACTCGATGATTCCTTGAGGGGTTTCTTGAATTGAGTTTCTTTTTTTTTGGATTGCTGTTCGCTGCTGTCTGGATTTGGCGTCCAGGTTTGGCGGCGACTGTTTTGGGTGCGAATGATGTCTTGGAACCTGACCAAAAGTGAGTCCCTGGCGATGCGCCCCCCCTACGCCTCATTCTTGCTGGCTTCAGCGCCCGTCTGCTCAAAGGGTCTCTCTATGCTCTTCATCATGACAATCTACAATTCGTCATCGTTCTCCATCATCCATCTGTATTGTCCGGGCGCAACAATGACCTGCTTGATGCGCCTGAACCTGGCGCTGGATTGATTCGATTCCCGAATAGCCTCCAGCTCCAGTCTCGGCCTCATTCGAGGTCTCACGCTGCGGCTGATCCGCAACCACACGTGTTACCTATCGATACAGATAGACATTTCTCCTCTTGTCTCTTGCTGACGAATCGTCCTATCAGAGCTCAAAGAAACCCACCTGGGCTTCAAATCGTCGCCCTCGACAAAGGAAAAGGAAAAGGCCAAGAGCGGTGCCACCACCCCGTCTGACGCCAACAGCGTCGCCGAGAGGACCAGCTCAGGTACATTAACCAACCTCATACTCGCCTCCTCCTCCTCCTCCTCCTTCTCTCCCCCAACATAACTGACCCCTCGTTCGCGCCCCGTAGAAGCCCTCTCGCAGGAACCTGTCATCAAGCCCACCAAGCCCGGCATCCTCGTCCTCACCCTCTACGAAGCCCGCGGCCTCTCCCTCCCCGAACAGTACCAAGATGCCCTCGCAGCGAGTCATCCAACCGGCGCCCGCTCGACCGGAGACGCGCTGACCGGCTCCTCGCGCACCGGCGCCTCTCGAAACCCCTCTGCCTTCTCCGGCAGCCTCGACAGACCGCAGTCCTCCTCCGCGTCTGGCTTCAAGGGCATCCCAACGAACCACGGCCGTGTCTCGGGCAAGTACATGCCCTACGCGCTCGTCGACTTTGACAAGAACCAAGTCTTTATCAATTCCGTGGATGGAAACCCCGAGAACCCTGTCTGGGCTGGCTCCAACACGCAGTACAAGTTTGACGTGTCGCGCGTCGGCGAGCTGACCGTCCAGCTGTTCATGAGAAACCCCTCTGCCGCCGCCGGCACGGGCAGGACCCAGGACATCTTCCTAGGCGCCGTCCGTGTCATGCCCAGATTCGAGCCCGTGCCCGAAAACGCGTCGTCGAGCAAAAAGGGACAAGCCGACCGACCGCAAACGCAGGGCCACAGCGGCATCGGCTGGTTCGACTTACAGAACGGAACTGGCAAGATCCAGATTGGCGTCAACTTTGTCGAAAACCGCGTCGGCAAGCTCTCCATCGACGACTTTGACCTTCTGACCCTGGTCGGCAAGGGAAGCTTTGGAAAGGTCATGCAGGTCCGCAAGAAGGATACCGGCCGCATCTACGCCATCAAGACGATCCGAAAGGCCAAGATCATCACGCGATCCGAAGTAACGCATACCCTCGCCGAGCGCTCCGTCCTCGCCCAGATTAACAACCCGTTCATCGTCCCCTTAAAGTTCAGTTTCCAGTCCCCTGAAAAGCTCTACTTTGTCCTGGCCTTTGTCAACGGCGGAGAGTTGTTCTACCATCTATCTAAAGAGGGGCGCTTTGACATCAACCGCTCCCGCTTCTACACGGCCGAGCTGCTGTGCGCGCTCGAATGTCTACACGGCTTTAACGTCATCTACCGAGACCTGAAGCCCGAGAACATCCTCCTCGACTACCAGGGCCACATTGCCCTCTGTGATTTCGGTCTCTGTAAACTGGAGATGAAGGACGAGGATTCCACAAATACCTTTGTCGGCACCCCCGAGTATCTGGCGCCAGAGCTCCTCAAGGGCGAGGGCTACGGCAAGACCGTTGACTGGTGGACGCTGGGTGTGCTGCTGTATGAGATGCTGACGGGCCTCCCGCCCTTTTACGATGAGAACACAAACGAAATGTATCGCAAAATCCTGACGGCCCCCCTCAACTTCCCCGGCTACGACATCGTGCCACCGGCGGCCAGGGACCTCCTGACGAAGCTGCTCGAGCGCGATCCCAGCAAGAGGCTGGGCGTCAACGGGTCCACCGAGATTAAGTCGCATCCATTCTTCCACGGCATCGACTGGAAGAAGTTGCTGCAGCGCAAATACGAGCCTGCGTTTAAGCCCAACGTGGTGAGTTTCTTCATGATTTCTCTTTTCATCTCTCTCATACACACACTCTCTCTCGCTCTCCATGATGTCCAAGGAAAAGCCAGCTAATGTTGTAAACACAGGCCAACGCTCTCGACGTAGGCAACTTTGACGACATCTTCGTCAACGAACCCGCCCAGGACTCTGTCCCCGACGACTTTGTGCTGTCCAAGACGATGCAGGACCAGTTTGTCAACTTCAGCTACAACAGACCCGTCGCGGGACTCGACGACGCGGGAGGAAGCATCAAGGATCCGTCCTTCTTAGAGGCCTCTGAGGCGCGCGGACGGAGGTAGGGGGAGGGCGTGGAGGTGACAACATTGGGGACGAGAGGGTTTAACGATGGCATGTTTGGCTTTGTTTTGTTTTACTGCCTTTGCCCTGTTTCGCACGTAGAACGTGTCGGGGCAACGCATCGAGCATTGGATTCGGTCGCATCAGGTGGATACTCGGGGAGTCAAGGCGGGTTTTCGTGTTGTGTTTTGGCATCACAAATTTGTGTGCGCGTTTCTGCTTTTCGGATCTCCGCTAGATATATACAGTCTTGTTCGTTCGCTTGACGGCACTGCGGTGCTTTTTCAGCCTGAAATAAAACGCTTTCTCATAGATTACAGAGTTTTCCCTTGGGGCAGAAACGGTCTCTCGCCTTATAGAAGCATCGCCTTCAAGCATACTAAGACGCGATCCGTTTGAAATAGAATTGGTGAGAAACAAACGTTCAGCTGATCGAGAGAGAAGAAGAAACACCAACAGGTCCGGAACCCATAGCTCGTTTGCTGTTCAAACCATTCATTCCATCATGCAATCGTCATTTCGTTCAACCCAGAGCCATATCGGGAGAGAAGCAGGAGAGAAAAGCCGAGGTCTTTTGAAAGCCGAAGAAGAAAAAGAGGAAAGATGATGAGAGCCGGAAGATGAGGGGGGCGAGGACGCGGGCATAATCCTAACTAGCCAGCAGCGCCGCATCCCAAACACCGAGCGATCAACGCAATACCCAGCCGAGACCGAAACGAGGATAATGTCCATGTAATGGTCAAAGGGAGCCCTTCCATCGTCTCGCTGAAGAGCAACGGATTCTCCGACAGCTCAGCTAAGCCCATCTCGCAAGAAACAACACGGGCACGGTCCAGGGATCGGGTCAGAAGTCTATCGAGCAGGCATCACGTTGGTCACTAGCGTCGAGCTGACTGAGGCGACACTCCCCGACGCTGCACCTCACCGCATTGCCGTCCACTCTGATACGTGTACGGAGTAATGAAGACCGTGGGAGAAACACTCCGTCCACCAATATGGATCAGTTGTATTGCTTGTATGAGGTTCGCAAGACGACGACGCCAGGAAACGGGTAAACGCGTCGCATCCGATGATCCCTTGGTCCTGGCTCTCTCTCTCTCTCGCACTTGTGGGCATAGTCGTGCTTGCTTCCGGATACTGAGGCGAAAACCAGGTGGTCCAGGTAGTATCCAATCGTGGCATGTGCTTATGATCACATGGCCTCGCCAACCTTGAAATCAAAAGAGGGGTTGAAAGCGAGGAACGAAAGGAGTGACAAACATGAGCCCCTCGCAGCCTTGTCCAGGCAGAAGTCAGAAATAGTTGCCATTAAAATGATGATACAAGTAAGTGAACAAGAGAAGAGGATAAACAGACATGCTAATACAGATTGGGAGAAGGTAAGGTATCGCTTTGTCTCGTCATTCGTGCCGGGTGAGTGCGAGCTCTCGCTCCAGGGTTGATCTCCAGTGTATCAAGTCTCTGTCCTCGTCCTCCCAGTAGGCCAGCATGCCGACGGTTTTGTAAACAGAATCCTCCCAGTCGGTGGGCATGGCACACCCCGCTTTGGCGGCTGCTAGCAAAACCAAGGCGCTTCGCGTGCAGGCCCGAATCATGAACATGCTCCCATGATGTCGATGATGGAAACCAGGCTTGTTGACGTGTACCTGATGCATGTGTGTCTCCAGGCCCCGTTTGGCAAACTCTGCCACAGCTGGCTTGACGGGACGCCTTGTGGCATGAGCGCTAATGCTGGCCATGACAAAAGGCCAGTAAATCTGCTCCAAGAGATTAATCATCCTGCCTCGGAGGACCGACCGGCATATGCCGTCCTCTTCCACGGGAGTATGGATGGAGAGGTCAGCGGGCAGGCTCTCCGACCACTCGCGGATCTGAGCCTCGTACTCGGGCATCATATCCAGCAGCATGTCGAGCAGTACCGAGTCAGAGGAATAGCGCTGGCGGAGATCTAAGGCTTCTCTGGAAAGGCGGCTGGTGAGACGGCGGAGCGAGATCTCGGCGAGGTAGAACAGCCAGGCGGCGCGAGCCCGCTGTGTCTCGGAGTCTGGCCCGTCCGGAGACTCGGCCGGGGCAATTGGAGGCGCGGGGAAAAAGGGCGGATACAAGGTGCTCCCGGAATGGAGGATGTCGAAATCAGGAAGGTCTAGCTCCTGTCGTAGCTCTCGTTCCGACTTCCACGCAGACCAGTACACGGCCTGTTCTTGGGTATCTTGGCGGCCCATTTCCATCGAGTCGAGCGAGGCGTTGAGGTTCTGGGCCCGAGCCAGGAAGGGAAAGTGTTGGCAAGCTGCCAGGGCCTGAGAGAAGAAGCGCCATGCGTAGACGGGTTGGAAGACCATCATCAGATAGACGCCTGATAGAAACAGACACTGGGCGCCGACAATATCGGAGCGCACGAGCAGAATGCCGATGCGCTTCTGGGCGGCCTGAAAGAAGATCTGAGAGTCGTTGTAGGTCTGCGTGCCCAGCTTGGTCTCGCCGCTGGGGCCAAAGGGCGTGGCGATGCAGCCGAGAGCGCATATGATGAGCGCCAGGCACGAGGCGGGAGACCAGTCAATGCCGTCCAGAAAAGCGTTGATTACCATGCGGCGTGCCAAGACTTCGTCGAGGATTGGGTTCTTGCAGTGAATGTGCAGAAAGAAGTTGTCTAGTAATCTGTATATGCGGTGGGAATCCATATCAATAAGGCCCGCCAGCGATGCCGAGCCGGAGGGAGGGGTCGAGATGGCATCGGGAGGGGCGCGGTACGAGGCCGGCGAGTGGTGGTGGCTGCCGGAGTTCTGGAAGACCGGCCACTGCAGGATGTGGTCTACCCGCTGAGGCAGAAGGCTGATGTCCATATTGTCGTCCGGGTGCCTGCGACCCGACACACTGCTGACACTTGAGCTAGGGGCGTGCATTGCACCACCGATGCCGTCAAAGGTCCTGGATCGCGAGAGTGGGGGCAGCCGCTGGTGGTTGGAGAAGCCTGTGGTCGGAGCCGGAGCGAGAGCCGACGATGGCGGCGCGGCAGCCTCGGGGCCGGGTATGGGGACGGCATGCCGCAGCAGACGCTCCAGCTCGTCAATGCGATCGAGGATCTTCAGGCTGGCGGGGTCGAAGCTGGACAGATCCACCGGGGACTGAATGCACGTGGCGCCGACGCTGACGCAGTAACTACAGGCGGGCTTCTTGTTATCGCACTTTGTCTTGCGGGCTCTGCAGACCTGGCAGGCGGTGTTGGCCCGTTTCCTCGGATAGAAGGCGGTGCCGCGGGCTGCCGGGCGCTTCCCGGGGCGGCGGTTGAGGCCGGCCGCGTCTGCCGGTGACTGTGGGCCGTTTGCGCTGGCGTCGGCGTCGACATCTAGGTCGTCGACTTCTGGGGTGAGAGCCAAGGAGAGAGACGACGCATCGTGGGGATGATGACGGGCCATGGCGTTGGTGGTACTAGCACCAGCACCTGCACCTGCACCTGCGCCAGGGCCAGCCACGCCACTGCCATTGATGGAGAAGCTGCCTGTGGAACGGGAACCGAGGCCATGAGCTTGGCCAGAAGTAGAGACAGAAACTGAGCCTGGACCAGGCCCAGAGGCGCCCGTATATGCCAGGGCCGTTGCGAGAAAGGGTAGCGGCTCCTGACGTTGCCCCGTGGCTGGAGCTGCAGCCAGACCTGGCGCCGGACCGTGAGGCTGCGGCATGGCGGGCGGGTGGCGGCACGCACCAGGACTCGAAGTACCTCTGCCGGCAAGGACTCGTAACAGGGCGAGAGGCCAGAGAGTCGCGATGCCGCGGGTGCAGATGTGGCTGCGGACGAGGGGAGAGAGAGTTTGTCGGGGAGTCTCGGTGGTGAGTTGGGACGAGATGCTGGCAGGGCGATCGATGCTACCGGCTATCAGGTGGCTCCTTGTCCTTTATCATGTGGGCGGGCGGCGTGAATTAGCCGCCCATTGTCTGGGGATGCCCCCAAGCTGGCTAGCGGCACGGCAGGGCTCTGCTGGCTTCGCGGGCTGGTGGTGGGCGGTGGCCGGCCATCTGCAGGGCCATGGGCCGAAAGGGAGGGGCGAGTCCGGGGCAGCTCTGGGGGATATGAGGCCGTCTGGGGCACTTTGTAGGGCATGATGGTGGCCTGGCAGCGGTTTCTGGGGGGTTGCTGAGCAGGCGCTATTCCTGGGCCGATCGATATTCAACCGAAAGGCGCACCGCACCGGCTGTTTCGACTCGCCAGCAGCCGTGAAGCGGTCGAGTTCGGCGTAGTGCCGGGCTAAAGAGACGAGAGCGTCGGCCGCTTTGCTGGAGCTGCTTCGGATGGTGGCGGCGACATGTAGGTACTAGTAGGTAGTGAGTGGTTGGTTGATTGACGATGTTGTTTGTGGGCAAGTTTGAAGCAGAGACACGAGGAGAGACACGAGGAGACACCAGAGGTGGAGGCAAGTGCCATCCAGGATGCCATGTGCTCTCAGTCTCGGCAGGGGGCAGAGTTTTCCATCCTCTATCCCTCCTTCCCTGTGGCCATTCGTTTCCCCGCCCCGGTCCCCTGTATGTACTTGTACTTCTGCCCGGTATTCACCGGCTGCTGCACCTTGATCCCGATTCGCCTCCAGCCGTCCATCACCTTTCTGTCTCTTTTCATCCTCATGCATTTCTACCCCGATACGCATAGGCAAGGTGACAAGCATCATGACTGTGCAATTGTCTTTTGCCGGGCCTCGTCCATCTTCATCAACCTCAAACGAAACTCGTTCTCGCTGATTGCAGTGCCACCGTGCCATCCCGCCTCTGTCCAGCCCGGGATGCTACCGCCACCCTGTTGAAGCATCCACAGGTCTCCCGACGGGCGCACAGGCTCGGCTTCGGCAGATTCGCTCAACTCACGGGATGTTTCTGTCCCTCAATCCCGGGATAGTACGGACAGGCATCTCGTATAAGGTCAGGACAACGCTGCGGAGCCATCAATCACCCTGTCGAGAGTACTCTCTGAGACCAAATAACAGCATCTCTGTGTGTCCAGACACACCCAAGCCTCCCCTCGCCGTCTGGCCATTCGTGCGCAGACCATCGAGCCACAAGTTGAATCGTTCTTCATCAACAGTCCCCGCACCGGCAGCACCAGGTTTCTCTTACTGCTGCAGACCAGCATCCACCACTGCTAGACTGCCCCCCTAGCTCCAAACTCCTCGCTTTACCCCACGACGGGAGAGGCAGCGTGACACGGCGCCGTCAAGGGGAAGCAGCCAATCGCGTCTTACACTCAGCGCCATCGACAACGCCTCTCCCTTTTGCTCAAACAAAGAGCTCGAGCCTGCGGTCAATTGGACCATCTCGAGAGGCACAACTGCCGGGGAGCGTCGCCCTCTACTTGTCGTGTACATACAGCCCCCAGACCCGACTCAGCTTCTTGCACCTCTGCTCGCCTTCCCCCATCTTTTGCTCCCCTGCACTCTCGCCTACCCCAGACTTCTCCAGGCTGCAAGCCCCATCCGACGCTTCTCCTCTTGCTACGCCGACCGGGCCCTAGACCTTCCGACTAGCTACTGCTTCTTCTTTAGCCGCTGCCAATCACGGAATCGGTCCGAACTCTCCACCGGCACCTTGTTGCATTTTGCAAAACAGGATGCATCAACACCATCGACCGAGACTTCAGATCCATGCGCGATGGCAATATTACTCTGCAGCGGGTGACTCTGACCGTGTCCTGCCAAGTATATGAAGCTCGGGCCGCCTCTGTTCCATCGACACTCTCCCGCTCCTGCTACGCTGTCAGCCACTCGATAGCCTCGTAGTGTCTGTGATCCAGAGGCTTCTGCCGGTTGCTGCTCGAAACAAAGTACTTGCCAGTGCCGGTGGTGAACAGAGAGACAACTTTGAGAGACGTCTGTTACTAGGTCGCCACCATGGGCTCTTCAGACGACGAAAAAAACGCCGGCATCCCGCTGGAAACGCACATTTCGGCCCTCGACGATGTCAGCCCCAAGGACGACACCGTGCGAGCGGATATCCAGCATGAGCATGAGCTGACCGTCAAGCAAGTCTTCATCAAGCACCCTGCCCTGGTCTTCTGGGCCTTTTACTGGGCCATGGCTGGAGTTGGTTGGTGAGTCTCGTCCTTGATCTTGCCCTCTCGTCGCCTATTCTCCAATTCTCTCCGTTCTCCTGCTTTCGTTGGGGGTTCAATGGTCTACGGCATCTGACATTCTCTCCAGGGGCTTCGACGCTCAGGTCAACGGAGGCATGCTCTCTGTTCTGTCCTTCCGCCGCGACTTTGGCTACTGGTACGATCACCGAAGTGACTGGGTCATTCCCGCCGATTGGCTCAGCGCCTTCAACACCATCAGTAGCGTCGGCCAGTTCTTTGGCGGCTTCGCCTGCTCCTGGGTGGCCGATCGCTGGGGCCGCAAGATGGCACTGCTTGCCGGCATTGCCCTCGTCACCGGCGGCATCTTTGGAGAGATGTTCTCGACCATCAGGGCCGCTTTCCTCATCTCCAAGCTCATCCTCGGCCTTGGCCTGGGCTTCTACCTGACCCTGTCGCCGCTCGCCGCCTCTGAGTGCGCTCCCGTCGCTTTCCGAGGCATCGCCACTGCGGGTGTCCAGTTTGGCATTGGCTCCGGCCAGCTGCTGTCCAATGCCGCCATCAAGGGCTTTGGCGGTTGGAGCGATCGCTGGGCCTACCGTGCGCCATTTGCCCTCCAGCTCTTCTTCTGCCTCTTCCTCATCGTTCTGCTGCCCTTCTGCCCCGAGACGCCATGGTATCTTGCCCGCGCCGGCAAGCGCGAACAGGCTCTCAAGTCTCTCCGCAGTCTGTACGGGCCCGACGTCGACATCAACGCGAAGCTTGCCACCCTTGAGGCCACGATTGCCGAGGAGGAGGCCTCCAGCTCGGAACAGGGCTCCTTCATCCAGTGCTTCAAGGGTACTAACCTTGTGCGAACCATGATCAGCATGGGCGTCTTCATATGCCAGCACTTTACCGGCATCATCTTCGTCATGGGCTTTTCCACCTACTTCTTCCAGCTCGCCGGTCTGCCCACGGAGAAAGCGTTTGATCTCGGCATCGGCGTCACCGCCTGCGGCCTGGGCGGCAACATCCTCAGTTGGGTCATCATGAACTCGTTCGGTCGCCGCAGCATCTTCGTGACGTGCATGTGCATCCTAACGGCCATTCTCTTCTTGATTGGCATCATGGACGTGGTGCCCACGGGCGCGGCCAAGTGGGTGCAGGCCTCGCTCACCGTCGTCTACGCCTTCTTCTACTACGTCGGCCTGGGCGCCATGGCCTTTGCCATCCTGGGAGAGGCGAGCAGCACGTCGCTCCGAGCGCCCACCATTGCCCTTGCCACGGCCACGCAGGCCGTCATGGGCATCATCTTCAACTTTGCCATCCCCTACATGGTCAACCCCGACGAGGGCAACCTCGAGGGCAAGGTGGGCTTCATCTTTGGCGGCCTGGCCCTCCTCGCCACCACCTGGAGCTGGTTCTACGTTCCCGAGCTCAAGGGCCGCACCTTTGACGAGATTGACCGCATGTTCCAGGCAAAGGTGCCTCCCAGGAAGATGGGATCTTACCATCTGTCTTATTAATCTTTATTTTTTTTTTTTCAATTATTCGTTATTTACCACGGGAAGGCACGGGTGCACAAGCTGGGTATTGGATGGGCATGAGTAACTACCTAGGCATTTTACAGTTATGAATGATGAAAAACTGATGTATATTTGCAATTTTCACCTCTGTTATATATGAATATGAATATATATATACCCTCCATGAGTACCATTACCCTCAATCCAGTGATTTTACCTTGACGACATACATAATGTGAAAAACAAAGTTATAAACCAAGCGCGCGCTTTTAAAGACAAGGTAAGGTAGGAAGATTCCGCTTGCATTCTCATCTTGGTAAAAACAAAAAATCTTTCCAATGGTCGACCCAACGCCGACACCATGAGATTTTATACAATCTGATATACCACGCACGCTTGTAATGTAGAAAGAATGGAAGCCATAAGAGAGAAAAACCAATGGCTGTAAAAGAATAGCTAGAAATAATCAACAAAAAAGACTTTGTGTGTCACTTACCCAAAACAACACCGACCAAAGGTTCAAGGCTCCTTTTCCGTGAGCCTCACCTGCACCACCTCGGGGCGCGTCTCCGGATCCTCCGACGGCGATGTCTGCAGCGAGTCACCGTCGGCATCGTCGTCGTCGCCGCGCGGGGGCAGAGGGCCCAGCTTGGCCCTCCAGCCCATGTACCACGGCCCGGCAAAGAGCTCGGCCATGCGCTCCATCGGGACGCCCTTGGTCTCGGGCGCCCAGAGGCCGAGCAGGACGAGGCCGACGAAGCAGACGCACGCCCAGAAGACGTACGCGCCCCAGACGTCGAGCGCCTCGAACATGGACGGCGTGGCGCGCACGACGGCGAACTGGAAGAACCAGTGCACCGTCATGTTGAAGGCGTAGCAGACGCCCCTGATGCGCGTGGGCAGGATCTCGGTGCCGTAGAGATACTGGATCGTGCACAGCCCGATGGACCAGCCCACGGCGTAGATGAAGACGGACGCCACGGCGGCATCAGACGCGGGCTTGTTGTGTGCGTCCATCCACAAGCCCATGTACACGGCCATGTAGACGTGCGTGATGCCCTGGATGAGCAGGCCCGTCATGAAGCAGACGCGCCTCCCAAAGACGTCAATGAGCCCCCACGTGAAGATCATGGTGAAAAAGAGCTTGAGTGCCCCGTAAGCACCCGAGTTAATCAGCGATATGTTGTCGCTTTGGACACCTGCATATTTGAAAATGGTGGGGATATAGTACGTGATGCCGTTGCCGCCCGTCCACTGGGCAACAGTCTGCATCGCAAAGCCCAGCAGAAAGCGTTTACGATAGCTGGGGATGGTGGCAACCTCCTTGATGATCGTCCACGTCGTGGTACCAGAGAGCTTTTGCTTCGCATCCCGCAGTTGGCCGGCAATCTCGGCATACTCCGCCGTGAGAGCGGAGTCGTTGGGAGGCAGCCCCCGCAGCCTGGATAGGACCAGCAGAGCCTCGTCGCTGCGGCCTTTGGAGGCAAGCCAACGCGGCGTGTCTTTGAGAAGTAGGGACGACAACAAGGCAATGCCTCCTGCGATCAAGGGCACGCATAACGCAGCACGATATTGCACCCTGGTTGGGGGCAGAGTGTTTCTGGCGCCATAACTGATGAAGAACCCTGCAACATGTCAATGTTAGACAAAGAGGCAAGTTGACGCGACATGGAGTGGCGTACCAAACATGAGAAAAGACAGCAGGAACACCATGTACACGGACACCACCATGCCTCGGGACTTTGATCGAGCAATCTCGGTGAGGTAGAGTGGCGCTACAACGGTGAGGCCGCCAGCACCGAGGCCGGACAAGAGCCGCGAGAACAGCAAGAGGCCCAATATCCCCGACGCAAACGTAGTGATGAAGAAGCCGGACATCCACGTGGCCATGAACAACTGCCACGTGCGCAGACGCCCGATTCTATCCGTGACAAGGATGGCGGCAATGGCGCCAAACGCCGCGCCGAGGACATTGAAGGACGTGATGTTGGCTTTCAGCTGGACAAGAGCGTGGCTGCTGCCCGTCCACTGTCCGGCCTGGAGGCCATAGTCGTGTTGGAAGGACGGCATGTCCGCCACGGCGGCGAAACCGCCCTCATCGTAACCTGATAACCAGCTGCCAGTCAGCCTTTGCCCCTTTCTGGCCTTTCTCTGACGGTTCGGGCATGTGGGAAGAGGTTGGGCGATGAGCGTGGGCCAGAATAAGACTGCAGGTAGAATGCCCAGGATCAAGGCCTTTGCTTGCACTCACCTTTTGGAATAGACCCGCTGGCAATGATGACGACGGTCAGGACGAAGAAGAGGTTAGGCCTCGCCATGATCGGCCGGCCGTGGTTCCTGCGTCGTTCCGGCGACCCTCGTGCAGATCTGACTCGCCGCTCTCCAATGATTCACTCGTCCCCCACAGGATCGAGCTACTTGCCGCTGAGCGAAGGATCGAGCCGCCGTGCCGCGTTTGCCCTCTTCCTCGATCTCTTGCCTCTCAATGGCCGTCTGGCTGCGCGGCTACGGCGAATCAATCGACTGCTGGCATCCAATGCCAGGCCGTAGCTTGGCAAAGTCAGGATAGACCAATCGCCAGCAGAACGGATGCCGGCACTGGAGAACAGACGCCGCTAAACAAAGAAAGCGCGGAATCAGATCTTTGGGGGGGCTCCAGTGGATCGTTGCTCGGGGTCTTTTGTCTCCGTCGTTGATTTAGGCTCGGGCTCAGCTCAGCTCGTCTCCGTCTCGTGGTCTCTCGGGCAAGATGACCGGATCGGAAGGCGTCAGGGGTCGATGAATCGCGCACGATTGCCCTCGGGATCGTCGCGGATTGCGCTGTGCTGTGCTGTGCTGTGCTCTGGCCACCGAGATTCTGTCGAGTGACGGGACGCCTCTTGTCGCGAGAGTGCAGTAGGGGGAAAGGATAGGTTCGGCCACGCCCCAGCCAGGTAGCGAGAGACATGCTGTCTAATATTGCTGAGGATAGTGTAGCCATTGATAATAAGGTAGCAGCAGCTCTTCCCAGAGCGGCCTCGTCCCCGGCCAGGCAGATGGCGAATGGGCGACCCCGCTCCTGCCTCTCTTCCAGTTGTTGGTCAGCGACAGGCCATGCAGTGCCTGGGGACAAGGTAGAGGCTACGGGAGGCTTGCGCTGGAAGGCTGTGTGGATGGAGGTATCCAGTACTGGCAGTGGCTTGGCCGCCATTCAGCCTATTCCCCAGCACCTTACCTGTGGTAGTAGCCCTTGCCCCGATCGAGAGCATGAGCCGTGATGCCTGAGGCCAACAGGCTGGGCAACGTGTTAATTGCAAAGCCAAAAAAAAGGAGAGATGCCTGGAGTAGCAGAGAAGGATTTCTTTTGATGTGCTCGAGGGTCAAGCCCAAGAAGAAGAAGAAGAAGAATAGAATGAAGCCCAGAAAAGCATCGCCAACTGCGATTCTTGGTGTTGCGCAGCAAGCTGAGACGCACGCACCCTAGGTATCTAAGCACCCCCCTCCCTTGCACTGCCGTCAAAGAGGGCACACTACATACGAGTAGGTACTTGTAGTACACTATTCTTCGTATGGAGCCTCAACAAACCGTTCATGCTGTGCTTCCATCAATTCGCATACCTTGCAATACCTACAGTACAGTATAGTACAGTATTTGTGACACCCGTCTTGTGTGGGGTTGGAACCAGCATCGGCCAACTTCCGATCCGAGATGCCCAAATGCCTCCTCTTCTCTCCTCTTTCCCGCTTGTCCTCCTCTGCTCCAAAAGACCTGTGCGCGGCGTCTGTGTCACCGGCCTGGTATGACTGGTCGAGCTTTGGTCGTGAGGCTCCATGCGTGAAGAAACCCAATAGTCTGGTCGACCGATCACCTGTTGTTGTTGTTTGCGTTTTTTGCGTTCCCCGGCCAGACACGAACCAACCGGCCCCCAGGACGAACGGACCAATGCGGCTGCTCCCGTCGACTTGCCTCCCTACCTATTTCCGCTTTGCGCAAGTCTCGCGCCCGGGAACAAGCCCCGAGACGGATCACGGAAAGGCTGGTACTAATAAGAGGCATCGGCCTTCGTGTACGACTCAGTATGCGTATGTGCTGTACATTTAGGTATGTACTACCTGACCTTTTATCCATCAGTGTCATGATTCCAGAAGACGGCGCCATGCATCTAGTGAGTAGCTGTCGTGGATATCGACCCTCCTTTGCGGGGCAGAACCCTCCCCCCCTGTTATCAGTCAGTCAGTCAGTCAGTCAGTCAGCTTCGATTTGTCTCATGATTGTCTGGTGTAGATTCTCATCACTCACAACTGATACTCACCCCCTTCGTTCGTACCCTCAACAGTGTAAGAGCTTGGCGAGGAGCTTGCATGCGCCTAGGGCGAAGGAGGTGGTGTTGCCTCACCAGGTGTTGTGTTGCTTGTATGCCAAGTCCAATGCCATCTCCAGATTTGATAGTCTCCCCCTTCTTCGACCCTGCTCTGTCCTCGAAACAGACATCTTTCATCCTCTCGTGCCAAAGTCAACGACCTCATCTGGGTGACTTGAGACAACCTCACGAGGTTGTGCTGCCTGTCCTTGGTCCGCGTTGAACAAGATGCCTGTAGTACCCCATCTTATGTCAACCACAATGTATCTCTCTACTACTTGTGCTACCATCAGCACTCCAAGTCGTCATCAATGACAGTCTTCAGGGGGTGTTGTGGGCTGGTGGATAAAAACCAACCTACCTACCTACTATCTACTGTAAAGTCCTCCCTTGCGTCTGCTCCATCTCTCCCCCATACTACTGATGCGACTATAATACATACCTTGGCCTCACTGGGACAAGCAAGCAATTCGAGAACCAGACAAGAACCCGGGCTCTAATTGTTGCTCAATAAGGCCTGTCAACCCACGAATCGTCAACTCGTCGCGAAGAGAGGACTTGCTTCTACAGAAACTCCTGGCCTAGCAGCAGCAGCAGTGTACTTTTGCACAACAGTGTCTTTGTTTGCCCCCCCCTCCAGTGTATTACTTCCCCAACTACACGAATAATAATCCCACGAATAGCATTCAAAAGGCAATCCATGGGTTCACGTCACTAGGTAAACTGAAGGTGATCAGTCAACAACGCCGTTCCTCATGATTACTGTCCTTGGGAAGCCCATTGGTTTCTCTCTTCCTTGAACTCGTAAATGACGACGCCTGTGTATCTGCGGAGTAGGTGCTATTCCATGCCGTCAAGTGACAAGTGACTCTCGAATCAAAACGTCCAAATTGTTCCAGCGTCGAGTCCCCATCATAATGCCTGAAGCATCTCTACTGCCCGAGATCTTGACTGAATTGATGAAAGACCAAATCGCTCCCTTTTCTTCCTGATTAGAGACCCCGCAGTCAGAGTCTCAAAGCTATAAATTTTACCTTCTTTCCGCACAACTATTATCTTTGACGCTTTCAGGAGAAAACCGAGAGCCGGGCGACGGGGTTCTGGGTCGAAGTGATGACATTCGGACAACTTCCGCCCTAGTTCCTCACGCTTTGACGCTACGGATCCGTGATACTACGGGTTACTTATTACTACTAGTACTAGCATCTTGTTTTCCGAGGTCTCGTTTTCTTATCAACGACTCCATCCTAAACATCGCCGAGCCATTTCCGGATGACGCCCCGCAGTATCTCGGTCTAAGCACCGACGATCGTGCCAGAGAATATGTATATAAAAGGCCATCCATCACCTGGGAGATAGAGAGGCTAAGGACTTGACCACCTTTCTCGCTCTCTGTCTTACAATCCCGCTAGTTTGCGATGGCACTCCTTTGACACACAGCAGTCCGTCTTGTCAATCGAGAAACAAAAGCAACATAGCATTTAGGTATCATCATGTCGTCTCTACCGTTACAATCCAATCGCTTGGTAATCCACCACCTCCGACGTTCGAACCGAGTTCGCTCGGAAACGCTCCGCGAGGTAGAGCCCCGAGATTCCAACGCCGGTCATACCGGAACTCAGCCCGGCATACTTGGGTCTCCGACGTTATTCGAGCTATAGAACATGTTCCAAGCCTTTCGAGCCTCAAACACTACCCTGGGACAAATTCCCGAAGACGATCTGCCCATACTTCAAAACGAGTCCTGATTTTCCGTAGGGGAAAGGGCCCCAACTCGGACGCTGAGTGGCTCCAGGGACGACATGGCCTCAAAGATGCCTGGGTCCATGGCCATTGAATGGGCACCATAGCTGTGGGTTGAGGGAACCTGAAACAGCGGATGAGCAGGCTGAGGCTGCGAAGACGACGCATCGACGGGCACATCGACGGCCGGAAATCCTGGGGCTATTGGAGGAAACTCAGTGACGGGGATTGGGGGTGGCTGCTGGTGCTGGGGCACGTCCAGCGAGATGCCGACAGCCGAGAGTTCCCTATTCAGCGCGCTGATAGCGCTGCCGATGACTACAAAACGTCAGGATCGAGCCGAACGACAAGCAGAAAAACAAAAGAAGCAAAGTCGCGCCAATACTCGACTTACCCGGGCTGAAAGTCTTGACTTGCTTCAAGGCCTGCATACAGTAGTTGAGCCGCCCTAGAGCTTGTCCGTCGCCCGGAGCCGCCTGAACCTGTAGCAGGAATATCGACGAAGCAATGTAGACGCTGTAAGCCAGCGACAGCACACAGTAGTTCATGGTAAAGGTTCGGCAGAAGAGATCAAAAATAGCGATGATGGCCGTGGCGGACGATACGCACTCGACGAGGTAGCGCTGGTTCGACGCAACATCGCCCTCCAGTATTCTCCGGGTGAGCATTGGACGGTACAATAGCACCTTGAACGTGTGATAGAGGCAGCTATTTGGACCGGTTAACGGAGAACGGAGAACGGCGTTCGGCACTTGGGACGGCAAGAACTTACTTGGTCGTGACGATGTGAGACGGTGGGGCCAAGCTGGGCAGAGCCATAGGCTCGAGCTTGAGATATGGAGCAAGCTCATCCCACCATTGCTGCAGGGCCGGCTCCTGGGTCGTCAGGCACTCGAGCACCTCGGACTCGGTGTTCTGCATGAGCGGGTCGTACATATGAATCAATATCTCGTTGAAGATGACTGACAGCCGGCACATGCTCAGAAAGCAAGAAGCCGAATGAGCAGTAGCAGGTGGGTACTTCCAGGGGGTGGTTTGGAGTGGAGGCGCCCCGAAGGGAACCCACAGCTCGTTTTCAGCAGAGTCGTCGACTTATAAGAAACAGCCGTCAGCATCAACGACCAACCAACCACCGCCAATGTGAGCGACAACGACAAGAGATGAGTATCGACAATCAGACTTACACATAATCTGAGGGGGAGAGACCGTCGTGTGCTTGAGTGATGGCGATCGACCAAGATACAGACTGATGATCTTGTCCCAGAAATAGCACGACCAAAAGACTCGATGCCGGATTTCCAAGTCTTCGTCGGTGAAGTGGACCGAGTTGATATATCGATCTCCATCCACACATATCCCCAAGTGGTCAATCAGCCGAAACGCCAGACCACTATACGTCCAGGCTTGGGTTGTGTTCCCAAGGCTGCATTCCTGTGCGCTTAGGAGAAGTAGTGTTTGGACCGTCGGGATCGTGCATACTCCCCTGCTGAGCTCGTCGAAAAGCATGCTGCGTGCGTGCTTGCCAAAGACGGCGCCTCCGTCGTACGACTCATCGAGAATCTGCTTTGTCTTGGGGTCGCTCTTCGCCCAGCGTATGGAGTGGGAGAGAACAGCATTGAGAAGCGTATGTGAGTAGTACGGCCCCATGGACTGCATATCGCCTACATGATTGGTAAATATCAGGGAAGAGAAGAAAGGGGGCGGGAAAAGTCATGACAAGCTACAAGGGTTTCGTACGGGTAAATGCTGGTCGGTAGATGAAGTTGAAGAGGGGCTGTATCCAACACCAGTGAACATTCAGAAGCGTCTGAAAGGGTTCCTGCGAGAGAGTTAAGGCATGAGACTTGAGCTGTCAAGCGACGACCACCACACTTGGACACGTACGGGAACCCCAGCAGTCTCCTCCAAGAAGCGCTGCTGCCACGCGTTCGAAACTAGTCGCTCTCTCCGCTGAGTTTCAATGTCAGTCGCGGCTGCGTGCATGTCGGCAGTTAGTGCCGCAGAGCTACGGTCACTGGGGAGATGGAAGAAGCTCGTGGTCCCATGGTAGGTGACGCCGCCCTTTTGGTCTATCTTGAGGCCGCGGAAGCTCCGGGAGATGCTGTCATCGATCTGCTGCCGGGTGTCTTGCTGACCGCTCCCCGAGGCTGTAGGGCTTGGATGACTTGATGGAGGGGATTTGCTGCCAATGGCCGCCGGTGGCGGTGTTGCAGCCGTGACTTGTGCAAGCTGCTCCTCCAGCTCTTTGATGCGATCCTCCAGCCGTTGCGTGTAGGACAGCGTCGGGTTCCTGCAGATGGGTGTCAGCCGCCAAGATCAGACGCTACTAGGCAGATGTAGATGTGCCCGGAGTGAGATATCAAGTCACACAATTTGTAGACGCAATCATCGTTGCGAGCAACGCAGCGTTGACACATGGGCTGCTCGCCGCCGCACTTGACCTAACGCCACCAGCAGAGTCAGCTCCAAGATGCCTCTCTTACACTCTCTCCATCCCTCCCAGCAAAGCCAGAGACACGCCAATAACACGATCTCCAAGCAGCCAGGCTTACCTTGCGGCGGCGACATGGCTCGCAGGAAAACGCGCTCTTCTTGGTCGCTTTAGCCGTCGACATGGCGGGTTCCCTGGCGACTGAGAAAAAAAGAGACCTGGACGGATGCTCAGGGCCGCAGGAAAAGAAACATTGGAGCCCCGGGCCAGAGCCAGAGCCTATGCCTAGGTATGCCGATGCCTGTCCCTCCTGCTATACCTGTATCTGTACCTGTCCCCGTACCTGTGCATGTGCATGTGTCTCGCTTGCGCCGGGCTTGCGCGTGTTGTTGGCCGGCCGTCAGTCCAGGTCAGATTCGGAGTCTAGTCGCGGCTCCAGCGAACAAGAGCCAGGCTGAGACTGACGGGAACTGCACCGAAAAAGCAGTGCCCCGCGTCTCATGCAATTGGATCCCCGCTCCCTGTCCGATCCCGCGCCCTGCAAATAGCGAGCCAGCCAACCCGCCTCACAGCTGTAAGTCTGATTGGTGTGCGTCGACGAGTGACCGGCGAGAGACGCTGGCGTAAAGGGCGCAACTGCTGCGCGTCCCTGATTCAGGTGCCAGGATGCTTGAATACGCAAGGCGGTGATGCGAGTAAGACAGATAAGGTAGATGTTGGTGGATTGAGGTTGAAGCCGTATAGTAGAAGGAAAAGTACATCATTTCGGGGTCGCTGATCAGGTGACTCGGCACTTGAGACTGAATTCTGGCAGGTGCGAAGCAGCAGCAGCAGCAGCAGCAGTCAAGGCGCAGATCTATCGGAAGGAACTACGATTGGGCAGTGACTGCCTTAGGATGAGGATTCCGGCACAGATGAGATGCAATCCGCCTTGATACGGATGCAGCTACGAATGACGACTGTTTGTCCAGGCAGGGCCTTGTTCAGCTGCCAGCTGGTCGATCTGCTTGCCTGATGAGTAATCGCAGTTCCCCTCCGATTCTCACACGGCATTCGCCGAGACCTGCATGGCACCAATTCCGAATACGAACAAAGGTGCTCGGCGAGTCCGTTCGCATGAAGAAGGCAGCCATATTTGCAAAGATGGCCTGTCTGTATATACTGACTGGGCAGTGAAGGTAGTTGGGATTGAGGCATTTGTGTGCAGCTATGCACTATATACACGGAAAGCTCCTTTGGTGCAGGAATGGTGGGTGCCATGGACCATTAAAGACATTGATGCTATTAAGATTCTTGGAGAGCGCTGTAAAGGACACTCTAAGCAGCTATTCGGAATGGCTACTAGTTGATCCCAAAAATTTTAACAGACCTAGATCCCTAGCCCAGTGATTTGAAGCAGATGTCTCTCTTCTAATACTGATCTTAGAATGATGAAGCAGATGTCTTTTCCTCAATACCTATTCTAGAAGGGTTGTACTCCCTAGTAGCTAGGTACTTCTACGCCGGAGCGGTCCCCGGAGGCCGGGCCGGCTGTGGGGCTCTTCAACGGCCATTACTATAGCTGACAGGGCATGTCTCAAATGATTTCACAATGCCTGACTATGAAGATGCTGTTCAGATCGATCGGGGTTCCTGAGCCGGTGACCAGTCACTTTTGTTACAACTGACATCGGAAACTGATCTGTTGACGCGGAAGACAAAATCACCCAAACCAATCACATGCACAAGTCATATACTAGAAGCAACAAGCACCAATCAATCAAGGCAACCCAAAATTTCTCTATATCAATTTCGCCCATATATCAAGACCTGCATTTGCTATATACATCAATGGTATCAAATCTCTACTGGGAGCAGAGGGAGGCGTGGACAGAAGCAGGGTAGGACGAAGCGTCGCCCCAGTCGTAGCTGGCGATCTGCTGGCCGAGGGGCGTTGAGCCGTCGGCACGGAGGTAGTCGGCTGCGTTTCCATCAGCAGAGCTCGTCACGTTTGCAAGCATCATCTCGAGGGTGCGAGATCCTGGGTAGACGTTTGACTTACAGGCGACGGGGAAATACCACCAGTCCTGGCTGCGGAAGGCGTTGTTGTCGAGCTGAGAGAGAGGGTCGTTCCAGCCCTACGTGAAAACATGAGAACTCGTTCAAAAGATACGCTATCAACTAGTATCATCATTTCTTTCGGACTTACAGTGTTGCGGTCATCAAAGTTGGCGTGCTTGCTCCAAGCAACGTAGACCTAAAGGAATCAAGTCAGTAAACGCCTTTCTTTTTCGTAGCTGATCGAGTCTTGGTACCTTGGGGTGGTCAAGGTTCTGGCGTCCGTTGTCACCGCCGCGCTGCAGGCTGGCGTCCTCGGTGTTGAAGGTGTTTTGGATGTCGCTCCAGTTCAGGCGGTCGTAGCCGGAGTGCTGGGACAGGAGGAGTTGACCGGGGACCCAGTTTCCGTCGGAGCCCTTGGACCACTCGACGATGACACGCTCCCAGTCGCTTTTGGGTGTTAGTAAGTGGGAAGCCGTTGCAAGCTGGTATCGAATTGGATAGTTCTTACTAAGGGTGGCCAAGGATACCCTGAGGCAGAGAGCTAAAGTGAGTTGGTCAGCATCGTAGACCTTCGTCTCCCGGTTTCGAGAACATCAAAGCTTACCCGTCCTTCTCGTAGAACAGAGAGTACTGGATACGGATGGTGGTGTCCGTGCACTTCTGGTAGCTGTAGTAGGTAGGGAACGATGGCGCAACGTTGGTGATGGGAACGCCGGGAGTGCGGCAGTTGCAGCCCATGTTGGGATAGGCGCAGAGAGCAGCAGAGGGAGTCTGGCCGCCGTTGGTGGTGGCAAAGGTAGGGATGCACGGAGGCTGGTTCATGGCCTGGCCGAAAAACCACATGGGCTGGGCTTTCATGGCGAGCTCGACGCCTCCGGCATTGAGCAGGTTGGTCATGTCGGAGTCGGAGACGGGGGTGACGGCCGAGGCCAGCGAGGCCAAGCCGGTGCCGGCGAGGAGGGTCTTGAGCGAAGACTTCATCTTGCTTTCTTTGACTGGATCGGACACCGTGAGATCTGGAAGGATTCGAGATTGTTGCTTGGGCTGGGGCGACAGTCCGAGTGAGAGATCGATGGAGTAGGGGGGGAAGTCAGCTACATTATATATCACTGCCATTTGCTACGATTATATGTCTGCACCCATATGCTCCCTAGGACCCCTTGCAGCTCATTGCAGAAGCCAAGAGGCTCGTGATGGGGCCATCGGTCCCAACCCGTGTCTCATCACTACCACTTGCACATTCCAGCGTTGACCTGCCTATTTCATTCAACGGCGGCTCTTTGACACCTCACTAATCGAGGGGGGGCCAATCGGATAGATGTAGGCTTGTCTACTCGGCCGAGTATTACTGTTATTCTGTAGCCTCTTTTGGCCCTGTTCGACCGATCAATGAAGGGCAGCTTTGTGCATTTGTCTCCTTTAGCCAGCGTCGTTTTTTTGGAAGAGGTTTGATACAATGCGGCAGGTCTTTTCGGGGTATGAGCCCGAAGCGTGGCTGATACTGAGTCGAGTGCTCACACAAAGTCACATTAGACCGTCACATCAATCATGCAAGACCACGCATCACCCCTGGCTAGATCGATGGGGTTGTTAGGTATCTTTTTCTGACCTCTCCCTAGTTTGCTAGTGAAGCCTAAGAGATAGCAGGTGCCTATTTGGGGATGGAGGTGGAAACTCGCGGGGAGGTGGAGGAAAATTTGGTGGGAAACGGTTCAGAGCGTCCACGGGGGAGCTTGCTAGACACCCATGGCCATGTTGAAGGTTGTCTCAAGACTCAAGATAGAGTTGCTAGGAGCGGAGATATTTTTCCGTCTTCTTAGTCTGTATGGGTTTTGAATTTGTCTTGAATGTCGAGGTTCTTACTTTGGGCACCTATACTGTGTGACCCTGTGTGGAGGTCTATATAAATCAGCAGTCTTCGATTGTCAAGCTGCATTTGGAACAAGGCTGCCGGAATGGCAAATAATATGATCATTTGCTTCCGGGATGTGACCACGGTAATAATACATTGAAGGTGCAGTCCGGCACTCTGTTACCGCTGGTTGTTGATATGCCGGATGAATGACCGATTGGAGGGCTCATCTGCTTTTCCGTCCACTTGACCCCTACCACCTCACTTTATTAGGTAGCAAAGATTTAGTACAAGTACAACTGGACGCTGTGAGACTCTTGCATGTCAGATCTTTTCGTATCTGGCGCCGCCAAGTGATCAGCGCTGCACGCAGTCAGGGCCACTGGGGCCGTCAGATGCCGTCACGGTATGTTCCAGCTGACCGACATCTTGTCCGCCCTTGGACTGCTGCGAGTGCATACTTGGGTACTCTGGTGCTATCTGGCTCGTTTCTTGGCCCTACGAGGAAGTACAGATTTCCACTGCAAATGATTCCCTTTCGTATGTCAGAGCTACATAATGTCGCTAAAGGGAGTTTGAATGAGGAACAAATACAAAAAAGGTGAAGAAGAGGGGAAGAAAGACGAGCTTGACAAGGTGCGTTTGCTAGTCCCTGGAAGCGGAAGGCCGGGAGTGCCAAGCTTGGAAGTACAGCCGATCCATGGTCCATGGGCAAGGGCACCATAGTAAATACCTAGTATTATAGTAAAAAAAAATAAAAGCATGAGAATAGTTGCGTTCGGTATCGAAATCGTTCAAGGACGCTTGTTCAAAGATGCAGCTATCAAACCCCCGTGGCCTCTCCATAGGACAGCAGCCGTCGAGAAGAAGGGCTGAACAAGCGGCCCTGGAGCGCAGGGTAGTGCAGCATGTAAGTTGAGCGCTTGCGAAATCAAAGGCGCCCAGGTGCTGAGTTGACAATGCGGGATTGGCCGTGATGTTTTTTTTTTTTTTTCTATTTCATGGAACTTTGTTCTGTCTGCCGGTGCCTTGATATGAAGTGTACAAGACGGAATGACCGCCGTTGAGGAGGAAATGGTTGCCCTGAAGTGCAGGCTCTACGGCAATGAGCGATCCATGGACAGGCATCCCATGCTAGGGCTTCTTGTTGTTCGCAAGGAACCAGGATAAATGTCACGTAGGACACCATCTTCGCCTTCTGTTTCTTTGCTGATCTTGGCCGTTGTTACGTCTCTCTGTAATATTCCACGTTCTACAGAGTAATAATTCCAAGGAAGCACGAAGAGCACAGTAGGACAGTACGGCATGTTATACTGAGTGCAACGTGCCTATGGCCTGGCACATGGCAATGCTCGAAGGCTCGTGCATCATTACACATGCCCGATGTACACGAGAACTGCAATCGTTCATGTCATGTAAAGAGCCATACATGTTGTCAAATATTAGAAGAAATATTTGTCGGATGGTCTTAAGGCTTTTCATCGGGCTGAGCAGAAGCCGTGATGGAGCTGCGGAGACGGGATAATCGCCTGCCGCAGAAAGAGAATCGGCCTGGAAGATGAAATTAGAGCCGACTATCGTAGGACTGTCAAAGACTCAAAGTCGTGTCATGTCTTTCATGCTTATAGTTTACGTTTGGGACAAGGTGAATCAGCCGAGACACGGCGCAGAGCAAGGGCATGCCAGAAGGGTTGCTGGTCTCAAATAAACTGTCGAGTAGTACTACCTACGTAGTATACAAGAAGATGAAAGGCTGATGATCTGAGTCAACCCAATTCAACTATTAATCTGACACAAAATGACACTTCATCTCGTACAAGCACCGATCATCTTTGACTTACACGTGCACAAGCACAGCTGGACATGAGGACCCGTGTAATACTATGTGCAACCACCGGAGGATATCGAAACGGTGTCACTGGACGCTCAACTTTGACCCTCCCCAAGCATTACGCCCCCGTTGAGGACATCTGGCAATTCTCTCATCATTCGCTTAGCAGAAATTAGAAATCTCCGTCTTCCTCAGCCTCATCCTGACGGCACTCGCAAGAGACGCGCTCTCATGCAAGCCGAAGCTTCAAGGGCTTCCCTGCAATCCACGCCTCCAAATCATTTGCCGCCTGCTCGTAAAAGCCATTGATGGCCGCCTCTTCCACATACCCCGTGTGCGGCGTCACCAACAGGTGGCTGCGGCCATTCTTACCCCAGCGGGCGCTCCTCCATTCGCTATCAAGAGGGAGCGGCTCCCGCCAGAAGACATCCAGCGCGGCGCCCCGAATCTTGCCCGCGTTGAGAGTGTCGAGCAGGTCCTCTTCGACAACCAGAGGACCCCTGGACGTGTTGACGAAGAAGGCTGACGGCTTCATTAGGTCCAAGTCCTGCTTCGTGATGAACCCCCGGGTGCGGTCCGAGAGCACGACGTGTAGACTGACGACGTCGGCGGTCTTGAACAGCTCCTCTCGGCTAACGGCCTTGAATGTCCTTTCACCTGCAGAGTTGATGACGGGTAAGCCAAAGTGTGCTGCTTGCTCATCGGCAAATTCTTGCGTCAGGTTCTGGCTCCAGGCAATGACCTTCATGCCGAACGCAACGTGAAGGATCCGAGCCGCGGCACCTCCCAGACGGCCCAGTCCGACGACGCCCAGCGTCTTTCCGGACAGGGAGGTGCAGAGATAGGGTTGCCAGAGGCCTGCTTTCAAGCCTGCGTCGTCGGCCGCAATGTTTCGCGCGAGAGCCATGATCATGGTGACAATGTGCTCAACCGTGCTCTCCACGGTGTTCTCGCCAGCCGGGTGGACGTGGATGGCTGTGGCGACGGGAATGCCCCGTGCTTTGAACGCATCAAGGTCCAGAGACAAGTTGCGACGGCCTTGCGTCAAGAGAAGCTGCAGGTTTGGCAGCCGGTTGACCAGTTCTGCAGGGAATGGCGTCCTCTCTCTTACGGTACCTGAGGCGTCTCAGCATCAATGATCGTAGATTTGTTGTGCACGCACTTTGATGATGGACATGCCATATCGAGAGACATACTGATGACGTTGAAGGGCTCAAGTCTTTCGACCAAGACATCTTTGACCAACTGCGGGGTGCCTGGACCATTGTATGGTGGCAAGGTGTCTGGGAAGTAGACAATCTCGTGATCGTCCTTGAATCTCGCAAAGTGCTTCTCAGCCACCCCTTGGTAGTCGTCCAGGACGGCGATTTTGAGTCTTTTGGCAGCCATTTCCCCAAGAAATCGCGCGTGAGCTCGTCGAATGCTTTCAGACACGATGTCGGTTTGACGGCTTGACGAGATTATAAATGCGATTGCGACATGGCTCAATCTGCTGGTGGCGTGATGGACCTGACCATTGCATCCCTACCAGACATTTTGTATCGGGATTGGTAGGCTCACTGTGTGCGTGTGTGCTCTTCCCGTCTGAAAGCGTTATATCCGCGTACAGTTACCGCTGCGAATTGATACTGTCTCATGCACTCCGCATCTGATAAAACGGCTTCTTCCACGGCAAATCTACCTGTCGGCGATTGCTTGCGACCTTTGGATCGCTTATTGGTAATAGTGCCATGATCTGAACGCGGTGAGAATCATCCACGCAAACAACGGGATGCTGAAGAAACGAGCCCACAAGCACCACATGCTGGCGACGGTGTTTGCCATCGCATAACGAAGCCTAGATGTAGAGGGCGGCAACGGTGCCAAGACTGCCAACCTGTGGAATCCAGGCGAGAAGATTCGTGTTATACGGGGGAGGATGTTTCTTTGTCGGGCATAGCGATGGAGCTTCCAGAAGGCGAGGTCCAGGAGAAAGAGCTCCAGGAAGAGCATCTTTGCGGCCAGCCAGACGTATCGGACCAGAACCAGAGCCGTGATTGCGAAACGACACCAGGCGGGACGTTGGCGTAGAGGATAGTATTCGTGTTGCAGCCGGTTCCGTATTCTGTCGTGGACCTCTTCTGCTGTCATGGACGCACTTATGCGGACATGTTGAAAGGCAAGGCTGAAGATGATGCGCCATTTTATAGAATTCCATGAGATCAGATGGCAGAAAAGGACAGCTATCGTGGCTGCAAGCCAGTCAACGACGCGCTGAAGCTGCTCCATGAGACTCAACATTGAACCTAGGCATCGGCCGTCTCACGAGGTTCAATTTTGATGCCTTCTATCGGCGAATGAACTGCAGACCACTGATGAAAACGAAGGCGCCATCCGTATCGCGCCTTTGAGAATACGCGTGAAAGAGAATGGATGGCTTGTTGAGGTTGTTGTGCTTGGTTTTGAGGTGAGCGAGGGCGTAGAGAGATGAAGGAAGATGAAGTGAATGAGGGACAGGAGGCATTGAAGTCTGAGGCTTCACTCTGGTGCTGTACAAAGTGTGGTGGGGCGAGTTCAACATGTGCACATGCACTTGGTTTTCGAACATGATAGTGAGAGCACGATCCAATATGAGAAGATTCAAGAGGAGCATGTACAGCAGAAGTATTGGCTCGAAAGGACACGAATTGCCCTGATACTGTTCATCTAGGGACAAATGATATTACATACACTCAACAAGCCACCACGGCTCGAGGCAAGCGCACAAGATAGACCACTTCAAAGCATGCAGATCCCAGGTCACTTAGATCTTTGCCAATCTCGATCCTCCATCCAGTCGAATAACAGTCCCGTTCAGCATGGGGTTCTCGATGATGTGTTTGACCTACAAAGAAGCCTGTCAATCTGGACCAGATTCATCCCCAGCACAGTAAGGTACGAGCTTCAACTTACCAGCATGGAGAATTCGGGCGGATTGCCCGCTCTGTTTGGGAACAGAAACGTCTGCGAGATGCTTTTCCACGCCTTCTCGCTCATCAACGACGACATGCCCGTCACAAACAGGTTGGGGGCAATGGCCACGACGCGGATGCCGTACCGAGCCAGATCGCGGGCCATGGGCAGAGCCATTGACGCGACAGCTCCCTTGGTCGCGCCGTAGACGACCTGGCCGTACTGTCCGTCATAGGCACTCGAGCTGCTGACGAGGATCACGACTCCGCGCTCTCCATCCGGGCCCTCGGGCTCGACCTTGGCGAGATGCACTGCGGATTGCCGGACGAGGTCGATTGTGCCCCTGACATTGACGCCGATGACAAAGTCCACGTCTTCTAGGCTGACGGTTTGGCCCTTGCTGTTGAGTATCTGCGTCTGGCAGTCAGCATCAAAAAGGAAGAAGAAGAATCGATCTTATATCGACGATACAGGTCAAGGGAGCATACAGCTGCTGGGAGGTTGACGCCCGCTGCCGGAATCACGCCGCCGAGGGGCTTCCCCGTCTTGCTCGCCCAATCCACGGCGCCCTGGACGGCCTTTGCGATGCTCTCCGTGTCCAGGACGTCGCAGTGGAAGAACTTTGCCGACGAGCCCAGCTCTTTTTCCACGGCTTGGCCGACTTCCGGGTCGACGCGGTCGAGGAGCGCGACGTAGCCGCCGGCTTGGACGAGCTCGAGGGCGGAGCCTTTGCCGAGGCCGGATGCGCCTCCGGAGATGATGAATGTGCGGTTTTGGACCTTCATGGCGTGGACTCCTTATTATTCTGGGAGAAGATGTATCAAAATAGAAGCAGGTTCTGTTGATTCCGGCTCATGTAAGATGACGATGCTGTAAAGTACCAGCTTGCGCGTTGTGGTCAGCCATGGGTTATAAGTGGCGGTCGTTGTACATAGCACATAGCCTGCCGTGCCGAGGTTCGAAGCTCAAAGCTCCAGCTTCCACCATGGCTTCCCGGTGGCTGCTCAGCACTAATGGCGAGGGTATACGGACATCTACTGCTATGGCTGGTAGATGCTATCAAAGTATTGTTATATATGCAAACAAGGCATTGTCTAGTTCTCTTTGGCAATCTCACCATTTCCCCCCTCTCTCTCTCCCACCTCTTTCGTGGAGCATCACCAGTCATGCAGCATCACCACATGACAGCTTCTTTTGGTGGGTTCCACGTCCAGTCCCCATCCATTCATGCCCAGCCGGCCGCTTAGTCATTGGGCTGCGCTCTCAGTGAGGTATTGAGCCTGGTGGGGGACCGTCTCTGCGGCTCCAGGGGTCCGTTACAGTGGCCATACAGCTACCGGCGACCACTGGAGCTTCAGCAGGTGAACTTGATGGACAAATCGGTGGTCCGTGCGCCGAGTCGAACCAGTGACACCATCCCTGCATCCCAAGCCGCTTTGGGTGACCAGAAGCGACATCACACATCCAATCCAGATTCTCTTTTGCTGCCAACGACATCTTTTTTTTCAACTGTGTGTGTTTCACTCTGACGACAATCCGGCGCTTTCGGGATCTCGCTTCCGCATCATCGATACAACCAGCGACGACGTACGATCTCTTCCCTTCTGCCCTCCTTCAATAAGCTCCTCTCCAACGAGGTTGCGCCCCATGATGCGGCCGCGGCGGTCGTCCGGGGCGAGCGAATCCAGCGCTGGAACAGCTCGCCCCGAGCAGGTGAGCAAATGCTCGAGACAAAGCCAGATAGGATGCTGGCATGGCGAGGGGACGTGTACTGAGACGGCGATGGAATGCTAGGAGCTCGGCAGCATGTACGACTACCTGGCCAAAGTCATACTGCTGGGACCCAGCGGCTCGGGCAAGTAAGTACCGCTACTTGAACGTATCTCTTGCGATAAGCATCATGGACGGCTGACAAGGCGATTTCTTTGGCTGCGCATAGGTCGTGTCTGCTTCACCGGTTTGTGAAGAACGAGTGGAGGGTGCTGTCGTCACAGACCATCGGCGTCGAGTTTGCAACCAAAATCATCAAGGTCGGGAGCGGGGCGAGACGGAAGCGGATAAAACTTCAAGTATAACCATCGCACCCCCGTCATGTCATATCCAACTACACGGGATCACGATGTGCTGATATGGATCTTTTCCGTTGGCAGCTATGGGATACAGCAGGCACCGAGCGCTTTCGATCGGTCTCGAGGTCGTACTATCGCGGAGCGGCGGGTGCGATCCTCGTCTACGACATTTCATCGCACATGTCCTTCCGAGGCCTGCAGCCGTTCCTCAACGATGCGCGGGCGCTGGCGTCCCCTCATCTGAGCGTTTTGCTGGTGGGCAACAAGTTGGACTTGGCTTCCGAGAACCTCATCGATACAAGCTTGCCTCCTCCGACTCCAAGCAGCGTGGGCTCCGTGGCGACTGTGACGGCGGGCGCCAATGGCAGCGTCTCGTCTTCGTACAGAGACCATGCCAACCCGATCGGGGCGGGCACGCAGCAGAGAGCTACCGAGGCGCCGGAGGGCCGCGAGATATCATCTGCCGAGGCGAGTCGGTGGGCGAGCACCGTGGGCATTCCGGTCGTGACAGAAGCAAGCGCCTTGAATGGAGAAGGCGTGGACGAGATCTTCAACCGATTAGCGAGGATGATCCTGACCAAGATTGAGTTGGGCGAAATCGACCCGGACGACCCCATGAGCGGCATCCAATACGGAGACGGCGGCGGCTGGAACACGGCTAGCGACGGAGGCAGCATCAAGAGCTCCGTTACGGGCGGCACACTGGATGAGAGTCTAAGCGGCCCGCGGAGGCGCAGACGAGGCAGACGAACCCAGAACTGGAACCTAAGGGAGTGGGAAGAGGTCTTTACGCTCAGCAGCCGCCGGAGGGGCCGAGGATGCTGCTGATGAAGACAGCCCGAGTTGTTACGAACGAATCTTGCAATCTTGGCCACTCGCCATGCTTTGAGCACTTGTTTTTGATCTTGCGAGGTCGGCCTTGTTCAGTCTCACTTGCGCGCGCGACAAAATGGGAGGAGTTGTGGAAGCAGTGTCAGTGCATACTGGGCCCCATCTCGTCTGTTGGTTCTCTGAATTTGTTATGCAAAAATGAGCTTTGAGAGATTAATGGCAGCAAGCAATGTTGGCGTTTGGGAGTGTTATAGAATCCTTGAATTGGCCTTGACATGACTTGACTTGTCTCTTTCGAATCTCCTTTCGAGTTTGTGCGTTTCTTTCTTTTGTTCTCATTGTATCACTAGATTAGCTGGACAAATCATTCATCTTCCATCAAGGATGATATTTTATCTGGCTCTATCTCTTCGGTCCGCACACATACCTAAAGGTACATCAACCATCTGATACTCGCACAAGGCATCATCATTGGGCATCGCCGTGCCACGCCAACTGAAGTCACTCTGCATCGCCTTTTATGCCAGATGAGGCACAGCGTCGACTCCCTTCTCCCTCTCCGCACGCTTTTGATTAGCCGCAACATGCGTCAATCATCACATCAGCATAAATTGCCTGCAGCAGTTCGCAGCTTTACTCGGCCTCTCCGCAGCAATTCTCGGGCATTTTGTGGCCGTTCGTTTTTGGTCGCTGCTGAGCAAGAAAAATGCTGCTGATTGCCGATATTCCCCGCCTTCCCGCTTTCAAACGCGGAGGTGCTCCTTCCGTCATGCCATTCTTATAAAGCTTCAAGAGCTCGGGTATAAGTAACTCCCTGCTCATATGACTGCTTCTACATCTACTCAATCCTCACTTTCTTCTCTTCTTCTTTCTCCCTCACAATCAAGAGAAGGACTCTTCTTTCGTCACCCAGGAGACTCACCCTCAGCTCACCTGCTGTCCGACGTCCCCCGCAATGGCGCCTCGCAAGATCATCCCCATCGATGCAAACTGGCAGTTTGGCCGAACAGACGTCGAGAAGCCAGACTTCCGGCCAGTCTCTCAGTTTCCTACCAACGTCCATCTCGATCTCCTGCATCACAAGCTCATTCCCGATCCCTTTATCGGCAAGAATGAATTGGATGTGCAATGGGTCGGAGAAGTGAGGGCATGGCAGTATCGCACCTCGTTCAAGTCTCCCACAATTGGCAGCCAAGAAAAGGCCGTCCTCGCATTTGACGGCTTGGACACCTTTGCCGAAGTGCTGCTCAACGACAAAAAGATCCTCGAAACGGACAACATGTTCATCCCCGAGCGGGTGGACGTCACTGCACTTCTCAACGAGACGGACAAGGACAACCAGCTCGTCATCACCTTTGACAGTGCGTATCTGCGAGGGTGGGAGCGAGTTGAGCAGATCCCTGAGCACAAATGGGGCACCTGGAATGGAGACCACTCCAGGCTGGCGGTTCGAAAAGCGCAGTATCACTGGGGCTGGGACTGGGGCCCCACGCTGTTGACTTGCGGGCCCTGGAAGCCCATCAACCTCGAGATCTACGAATCACGCCTATCCGATTTGTACGCAAACGTCACCTTGGACGAGTCTCTGAACAATGCCAAGATTGAGCTTCACGCAGAGACGGATGGCAAGGCGTCCAAGGTGCGGTTTGAGCTCTCACTCGGCAAGACAATCCTGAGTGATACTGTGGATGTATCAAAGGGGGCTGCAGTAGCTACCCTCTCAATAAGCAAGCCAGAGTTGTGGTATCCAGCCAGATACGGGAAGCAACCGTTGTACACTGCCAAAGCCACACTGCTGGATGGTGATGAAGAGGTCGATACTTTATCAAAGAGGATAGGCATCCGAAAGGTAGAGCTTGTGCAAAAGCCCCTCGAGGACCAACCTGGAACATCCTTCTTCTTCAAGGTGAACAATATTCCCATCTTCTGCGGAGGCAGCTGCTGGATTCCCGCCGACAACTTTACTCCCCGAATCACCAATGAAAAGTATCAAAACTGGATCAGACTCATGGTGGAAGGTAACCAGTCCATGATTCGCATCTGGGGAGGTGGTATCTACGAGGATGAGAGATTACTGGATGCATGCGATGAACAAGGCATCCTGGTCTGGGTTGACTTTCTCTTCGCCTGCGGCAACTACCCCTGCAACCCGGAGATGCTGCAATCGGTTGAAAGAGAAGCCCGAGCCAATATCAAGATTATGCGCCATCACCCCAGCATTGTCATTTACGCTGGGAATAACGAGGATTACCAGTTCCAGGAGAGCGAGGGGCTCACATACGATGTGCAAGACAAAGACCCTCAAAGCTGGCTAAAGTCAGACTTTCCCGCCCGCTACATCTACGAGCACCTTCTCGTGCAGGTGTGTCAAGAGCTGGTGCCAGAGACGTTCTATCACTATGGAAGCCCTTGGGGCGGCAAGACATCGTCGGATCCGACCGTTGGAGACATCCACCAGTGGAACGTATGGCACGGCTCTCAAGCAAGGTATCAGGACTTTGACAAGCTGATTGGAAGATTTGTCTCCGAGTTTGGCCTGGAGGCTTTCCCGTCAGCTCGAACCATTGATGCTGCGCTGCCCAAAGGGAAGGACGACCCGGACCGACACCCGCAGTCGGACATTGTGGACTTTCACAACAAGGCAGACGGACATGAGCGTCGAATTGCTCTGTATCTCGCTGAGAACATTCCGTATGTGACGAGCCCTCTGGAGCAGTACATCTACTCTACGCAGTTGCTTCAGGCAGAGTGCCTGTCGTCTGCCTTCCGGCTCTGGCGCCGTCAATGGAAAGGCCCTGGGCGAGAGTACTGCAGCGGCGCTCTCCTTTGGCAGCTGAATGACTGCTGGCCTGTGACATCGTGGGCCATCTGCGACTACTATCTGCGGCCGAAGCTCGCCTACTACACCGTCAAGAGAGAATTGCTTCCGGTGACGGTCGGAATCAAGCGGACGGAGCACCGCCATCCCAAGAGCAAGTACACGAGAGTCGATGTTGAAGTCAGCACCAAGCTTGAGATCTGGGCTTCCAACTTTACATTAAACGAGGTTAAAGTTGACTGCGTCGTCAAGGCTTGGGATGTGGAAACGGCCGAGGAGGTCTACAGCGAGACCATTGCATCGTCACAACAGCTGCCTGACAATCGAACCACAGAGTTGAAGACTATGGAAGTTCCGGTAAAGACGTCTAATGCCGGGCTTGAGGGCCGCACAGTAGTTGCGGCATACTTGTATCAGGATGGCAAGCTACTTGCTCGATATGTCGACTGGCCGCAGCCGCTGAAGCACGTTCACTTGCAGCAGCCTCAGAGCCTGAAGGTGAGGATCTCTGAGGATGGCAGTTCAGTCACTCTCAGTTCGGACGCGCCAGTCAAGGGCGTTGCCCTCGAGGTGGATGATGAAGACGTCAAGTTTGACGACAACCTAGTTGACCTCGTTCCGGGGGAAGAGGTGGTGATTGGCGTGACGGGCGCCTCGAAGAGCACGGTGTTTACCACGAGATATCTGGGAATGAGCAGCTAAATTACTGCTTCTGGATAACACCACGGCTTTGGTTCACATACTAGCAAGCATAATGTTATGTACTGGAGGTCGACGACTTTACCGCATTTTTATGGACAAGCCGCACTTTGGCAGACATTGATGTTCTCCCCACACTGAAGCAGGGAGGTCCATAATAGGTGACCTGTCGAAATCTTGATCGATGACCATCTGACGCGTGGCTGATAGGGCGACGTATCACTAAACATCTTCTTCATGCGGCAAGGGTCTGCATGATCTGCCGATGGAGGCTTGCCGGGGTTTCAGGGATCTAGAGGCGAGATGCGGAATCCCGCGGGCCTAAAGTCGAGCTATGGACAGCCTCTGCACGATCCCGGATATAGCCCTGGCGATAGCAAACTCCGGTCATCCCAGGTGAATCTGGATATGCTTACATGGAATGATTGAAGTATGAGACGAAAATGCAAGGTTATAAAAGCTTTGGAGATATACCTAGTGATGGCTTGGAGTAAGCTCCCTCTTGGAGAGGCCATCATCAGCCATTGGGGTTCTTCCAGATCACAGCCAGTGTATAGCCACATAATCTAGATTCAACCTCTCAACCTCTCAGCAATGGCTTCGCACTCTTCTTTACCTGCCACTCACCGAGCCCTCGTGCTACACACGCTCGACACCCCCCTCCAAGTCGAAACTCGCCCCATGCCACAGGTCACCCCAGGAAGCGTCGTCGTTCGAGTCCTTGCCGCCAATGTCCTCTCCTACGGCCGCGAGCTCCTGGACGGCACCCGTCCGTACCCCTATCCCAAGCCGTACGTCCCCGGCGGCAGCGCAGTGGGAAAAATCGCCGCCGTGGGGTCAGACTGCAGCATCTTTTCGCCCGGGCAACTGGTGCTCGTAGGCATCATGACGCGTGCCAGAGATGACGCTTCGGCGAGCTATCTGATGGGTATACATCAGGGGTTTTCGGAGACGACTGCGAAGCTTGCCAGTGATGAGTGGAGGGACTCGACGTATGCCGAGTTTGCAAAGGTTCCCCTTGAAAACGTGTATGCGCTTGATGAGGAACGGTTGTTGGGTGATGCTACAAAGGGCGGACTAGGATATACCGTCGAAGACCTGCCGTACTTGTATCGGCTTCTTGTTCCATTTGGTGGATTCAGGGACGTCGGCCTCAAGGTCGGTGAGACGATACTCATCGGCCCAGCCACGGGCCCGTACGGAACTGCTGCCGTTAGGCTTGCGCTCGCGCTGGGAGCCAACGTCGTTGCCATGGGTAGAAACGGCCAGGTGCTGGAGAAGCTGGCCGCGACAAGCGACAGGGTCAAGACGGTGCAGCTAACGGGAGACGTCAAAGACGGACACGGCGGCCATCAAGAGGCATGGCCCCATTGACGTCTTCTTTGACATTTCGCCTCCAGCGGCGATGTCCTCGACGCACATCATGAGCGGGATCCTTTCCCTTGAGCATTCGGGGCGGGTGAGCCTGATGGGGGGCATTGAGGGGGACGTGATGATCCCTTATGGGGCGATTATGTTTAACGATTTGAAGCTGCATGGCAAAGTTCATGTATGAGCGCAAGGATGTCCGGCAGTTGGTGAGGATGGTGGAGGCGGGGGTTTTGGGGCTGGGAGGGAGGATTGGGGCGAGGTGTGAGGGGCGGTTCAGGCTGGAGGAGTGGGATGAGGCTTTTGAGGCTGCGAGGGGGAATGCTGGGCCTGGGCAGTATGTTGTTATTACTCCTTGAGGCTTGTTCTGAATGATGGAGTGTGGTTATGGTGTTGGTTTGTTTGGGGGATGAGGTTGCTTGGGGAGAGGATTTGAGGTTGATGTGAGTGAGGGAGCTCGGTCAGGGGGGATGATAGTTTGATGGCACATCACTTGATTCTTCATCTCTGGCTTCCTTACAATCTCTTTCGGGATTGACGACCATTGAATCTGTTTAGATTTGATCCATCGTCTTACGGTAATTGTTGTGTGATGTCTGAGCCAATAATTTCCGGCTGCATATAACGCCTTGAGGACCAGGAATCAAACGATAGTTGAGCCAGGCGAACCTATTGGTATAACCGTGGCAGCTAAATATGTCACCTCGAGACGGACCTCGTTCAAGCCAGGACTCATGTAACAGATTGGATGACTCAGATGAAGAGCCAAGAGTGCACTGCAACTAGGTTCTTGAGGTTCCTGGGGTTCCTATCGCAGTGACTATAATAAATAACTGTATCACGCATGAGGAGATAATAGCATGAATTGTAAATCAAGGCAAATGGTCATGTAAGAAGCGCGCGCGATGTCCGTGAGGGAACGCTTGAACCGTGACAAGCGGGGGACTACTAGATGTAATTCTGTGGTCAAGTATTAATGCGTTGCTAATTCCGTATTTCCGTCGGCCTTTGCGCAGTTCGTCGTGTAAGCCGCGCGAATTGTGGCGTGATGAAAATGATGCGGTAGAGTTATATGAATCATCACTTGAGAACTCGTTTTTGCTAGGTATCGATAGGGAGTTGTCTATGGTTTTGTATCTGTTATTCCTAGTGCAAAAATGGAAGCCAGGTTTGTTATTGTTATTGAAGTTGACTTGATGAGTCGTCGTGAGAGGTTGTTGTAAAGGAGTGGGTGGGTGAAGTGGTAGTTGTTCTGAGTACATGGGATCGAACTGAAGACCTACCTAAGGTATTGGCCCAATGCCTGAAAAGCTTCTGGTTTATACAAGAGCCTAACGGTAAAATCATTTCATGCCATCCAATTACAAACGCCTTCCTTCTTTTCCCATGTGTATCAATGCGAGATGGCCTACAATGGTACCCCCCCCCTGCAGTGAACATTCAATCTGTAGAAACACACAGCAAGCCGACAAAACTCCCAAAGAAATGCAGAATATGATAATAAAAGGGGGCCGTCACATGCCCGTCTGTCCCTCCTCATTCATCTTGGCATTCAAGATAAACTCAAACGGATCAATCGACATGAGCGTCTCGACATCAAACATCCTCCAGTCAAAGTCCGGGTCGTGCGCCCCCGGGATGCTCATGGTGCTGCTGCTGCCTGCCTGGTGGCCCTCTGGCGGCTGCTGCTGCTGCTGCTGAAACGGCATCGCAGACGACCGCGTGCTGTTTGGCGCGTAATACGTCAGAGACATGGACGGCATCGAGGGCGGATAGCCAGATGCAGATGCTGCCGAGGTGTCCGAGGGCGTCAACAGGCTGCTGCCGTTGGGGTGCATGGGTAGACCAGCGGCGGCGCACTGGGGCGGGCCGCAGAGGCTCTGGAGGCCGCGGCAGGGGTTCGCGTTGGGGACGACGGTGCAGAGGATGCGGTTGATGGCCTTGATGAGGATCTGGATCTGGGACGGCGAGGCTTCGTTGGTGGGGGACATGGAGGAGAGGCAGTCGAGGGCGACGTGCAGCCAGGGGAGGTGGGCTTCGACCTTGCACTTGTCCTGGAGCATGTCGAAGCCTAGGACGTAGCAGGCGCCTTCGAGGAAGAAGGAGAAGTATTTGGTTTCCTGCACGGTTGCCCGATGTCAGTTCATGCGTTCCGTCAGCTCAGGCTTAATGGTGTACGGAAGACGGCACCTTGCAGAGGTCGTTAATCTCGCACGACTTGTTGATGTACTTGATGATCTGGCGGGCGGGCTCCAGGCAATACTCGCATGCCGTGTCGAGCCATGTGAGCTCCCGGAGCTTGTCGCACGACTCGGCGCCGACCTGCGGCGCGGGAGTCCTGAGCTTTCCGCGGAGGACCAAAAAGGGGCGGAACATGAGGAGCTGAACGTGGTGATACACTGCGAGACAACAAGTTAGCTTTTCTCATTTGACTTGGAAAAAGGGGGGGTTGATTCCACGTACTGGAGGCGATGATGGTCTTGCAGAACCCGCACTCGCCCGTCCCCGGCTCTCCCTGGATGTCGAGGTGGATGTCGAGGAGCTGCTCCTCCGCATACGCCTGCAGCTCGTGGCGAAGCTCCGTGGCGGCATTCCACATGTGCAGCAGCGACTCGTGATGCTGGTTGTAGATGCGAGCCGCGCATTTCGATATGAGCCTCGCCAGCCTGACGAGCGCCAGGATGAACTTTTCCTCGGCCGGGACGGGGACTCCGCCGCCTGGATCGGAGATGGACGTCGGGCGTCCGAGGCAGAAGCAGACCCAGCTGTAAAGATATTAGCATGAGTGACTTCAAGAAAAAAGGGGGGGGGGAGGAGAGTATAATAACATACGTCTCCATGATGAACAGGCTCCAAAACGTCAGCCGGCGCTGCAGACAGTCTCGCATCTGGCCCCTGATGCTGATCCCCCTATGCAGACCCGCGGCGACGGCCTTTCTCGACGCCACGCCGACGTAGAGAAAGGCAGAGTGCGGCCGCGACCGCTCGAGCTGGAACTGGGCCTGCAGCAGCGGAATGTGAATGGCCTGGATGTTGACGAGCTCGCCCAGCTTGTCGGCGCCCTGCGAGGCGCGCTGGAAGAGGAACTGGGCCATGGCCTCCTCCTCGAGGATGGAGGCGCCAATGGCCATGGCCAGCATGACGACGACGACGTCGGGGGCGTCAAAGGAGAAGAGCCCCGGCGAGGCGGACAGCAGGTCGGCGCGGCGGCGGAAGTCGTCCTTTGTCAGGATGGGCAGCAGGTGCCAGAAGGTGGACAGGTAGCGCTCGAGGGCGCGGCCGCACAGCTCCTTGTCGAGGAACATGGCCGAGTAGTCGCTCGAGATCAGGGGCGCCTTGCTGCCGTCGGCCAGGTCGCCGAAGAAGAGCTGGCGGTTCTGGAACAGGTCCAGCCCGGGGCCGACCTGGGCCACCTCCTCGCGGCGCGTCAGGGGCGTCTGGATGCCCGTGATGAGGCGGTAGATGGAGTGCAGCATGGAGAAGTTGGACGACGGGCCGTAGTGCAGCTGGATGATGGACGACGGCGACGTCGTGATGGCCGCCACGCTGTGCACGTGGAAGCCCCAGCTATTGTCGTCCCGCGGCTTGTCCCTGTCCTTGTCCTTGTCCTTGTCCCGGGGCTCCGGCGCCGGCGGCGTCTCGACGTCCGGGTTACTGGCCCCGGAGGAGGACGACGAGGAGGCTGCTGCTGCTGCCGTGGCCGCCGCCGGCGTCTGGGACTTGCGAGGCCGGTTCCGAGTCCGGGAGCGGTAGACGCACGACACGCTCCGGTTGAGGCACCGCGCGCACGGCTCCTTGCCGTCACATCTCGTCTTGCGGGCCCGGCATGCCTCGCAGGCTTTGCCGATGTTGGTCATCTGGTCCCGGGGGGGGGGGGGGGGGTTCCGGGAGCCGGTGGGAGGACCGGATGGGATTGGGGGGGAGGGAAGCAACGGACTCCGGATTTGCGGGATTCCAACACACGCAGCAAGTCGTAGAAGGACCTGAATGATGGTTTGTTTTGTCTCGACTGCGGAATAACAGCAAACGACAGCGGATACTATTCAGTGGGTGTTCCGCCGTGATGTTGCAGTTGCCATGAGTTGTAAGTCTGATGGAGAGGCGATGGAGAGAGCTGCATTTGTCAGCCTAGATGAGCGCTCATTCGATCTTGAAGACTGGAATTGCAACCACATACTATGTCACCGCTAATCGACATTGATCTTGTCGCTCTTCACCAATGAGATGATGGGATTGATGTTGAATCTTCTGGTAGAAACGACGGACCACGGAATTAGCATGATGTTGAGATACCAAGACTCGGTCAGATTGGATGTTATCGATACATAGTACCTTGGGTACCTTACCTACCTTACCTCTACTTGCTAGTAATCTATCCACACGAAGCGCAGAGTCGGAAATAGAGCGCCTCAAAGGCACTTCTGCTGACAATTCCGGCTCTCGTAATTCCGACGCTGCCGCCTCTATAGAAAGGGGTCGGCGAGACTATTTAAGAGGAGCATCCAGAGTCATGGTAGCCAAGATGTGTGCTATAATTGCGCTTAGCACTTACAAGGACTCATGTAGTTCATGTTGAGCGTCCACCTGGTGCAGACATCCCTAATCAAAATAAGGTACACAGCAATCGAGACTAGCAGCGAAATTCGGCTTGAGGCGCCTACCCGCAGCCATGGTCCATAGGTAGATAGAAAATCATTCGCAAGTCTTCTGTATGGTTGGAGACTTTGCACTGCCGTGATGCATTTCTCCAGTTTTGATTGCCTTGTCACTCGGGCTCAGTGGCTTGGTTCACGCCTCGATACATAGAAGCCTCTTCACAGCCCATTGACACCCCCTCCATCAAGGTTCCCTTCTGTGGACCATGCTTCTCTCATGCTTAGGAGGGAAAAGGTCCTGGTCAATCACTTCGTTTTAAGGGTGGGTTTTGAAGCTACCATAAACAACAGCACACCAGCTCTCTTGACAAGTGATTGCTTCTTCATTCTCTATCAAACTAAACATGAACACAAAGGATTTCCTGTACAAGTTTCCATATTCCAACCCTGACCACCTCCCAAATTGCCGTAACAAATGCCACCGACCATCTCCCAAACTGCCGTAACAAATGCCAATCATGTCTTCGCGTAGTACTAGATATTAAAAGGAATCATTCTATAGGACTTACATGTATACTTGAATAAAAGTTAATGTCAAATGACAGACATGAGAAGGGAAGAAAGACGTCAGCCAAGCAGAGCTGACGCCACATCAGCAACCACTCGCCGATTGCACAGAATGAATGGCGGAGTGTTGGATGTTCCGTCAAGAGCTCTTGATGGCATGCCGGATCATACCTAAGATGAAGCGAATGATCAAAGTGCAGTGCGAGCAGTTGTCGGCGGCTTAAATTCTCACGTCGCATGGCTGGTGATGCTGGTCTCGTTATAGTCGTGCAGTTCCGGCTCGATATCAACAATCTTGAGCCCGTCGTACTCGGCGTCATCGTACTCATAAAAGTTCCTCAGCCCCTGGAGGTCCCGTTCGCTGACTTGAAGTTCTCCCGGATGGTCATAATACAGCATGACCGACCGATCGTCGTCGCTTCCAAACAAGACAGAGTGTGGCTCCCTTCCTCTCTCGTGGGCGAAGCCGTGGCGAAGACCCAGGATGTGCCCGATTTCATGAGTCAGGATGTTGACCAGATATTCGGCCTTGTTCCGGCTCTTTTCGTGCACGACCAATTCGGCCGGTCCCGTGTCGGGCAGGAAGGACACGGCGTATCCCTTCTTGCATTTGCTGCTGTCGAACCTCAGGGCGAATGTCGCCGGAGAGTCGCGAGCAACTTGTTTGAAGGTCGCACCGATGCCCTGCCACCTGGAGATGGCCTTCTTCATGTCATCTTCCACCACGGGCGCCAGCGAAGGCGGGAACGTCTCGACGAGCGCGACGTAAGTGAGCAGGGCGCCCTTTCGCCAGCGAGGTATGCGGTCATTCCATCCGATGCGCAACTCGACACTGGCAAGTGCTTGGGTGACGCAATTGGAACTATACACGGTATTCCGTGTGGGAACAAGATCGGGACATTGGTGGGGACTTTCAGTGGCCATTCGTTCGCCAGCCATGGGATGGAGCCGTAGACTTGCAGGCTCGTCGCCGTCATCGTCCAACTCTATCTGAGCGCGGTAGTAGCCGGGAATCCCGTCGCTTGTCGGCTGGGTGCCTCCGCGTAGGTAGGCCAAAATAGGCTTGCGATCGTTGCCAGCATCGTGTGCACTGATCCATGAGCGCCCATTTTGAGCGTCAAGGCTCAGGTTGTTCATCATGCTGATGGCATCGACACCCACCTTCTCAAGATCGAGGTCATCCGCCACGTTTTGCACAGCGAGGCCGAGGTCAACGTCCTCGAGATCGAGGTCAGTGGTGCTCATAACCTCAATCAAGCCATGGCCAAGGTCAACGGCAGACGGGGTGCAAACACTCGTGCCGTCCGACGAAGAGGGCTCATAACCATCCTTGGGAGCCATTGCCAGGCCGAGGCCAGCGTTGGCGCCGTGGAGGTCATGGGGGGACCACGGAGGATCATCGTGGCGCGGGAGATCTGATATTGAAGTCATTGAGATTAGCAAACTCTTCTACCAGGCGACGCCATCATATGGTAACCAAGCGCACCACGCATCATCTCTGTCTTGTCCAACAGGTGCTCTGTCGGGGAAGAGACACGAGTAAAGTCGAATTTGGGGTCGTCGGAAGCCATGCTGGTTAGCTTGCGCTGTCGATGTCTCTGGTATGGCGTACGGTAGTCAGGCTGCCGCTCCAATGGTTCTTATGGCGCCCAGACGTGAGGATGAAGAGCATGATGGGGGGAAGACGACAGGATCCCGAATCCTGAACAACCTCTTCCGCCTCTCTGTAGTACGATAGAATCAGCCAGCTGGCGATGCTGAGCGTCAGGACACTTGTTTGCCAGCACTCAGTCAGTGGCATCAAGCCCAGGTTATATAGGTAAGGTAGGTAGGCGGACGAGATGCTTGGGGGGAAACAATGAATGTCACGGTTCGGTTCGCAGGGGGTGGTGGGCAGTAAGCTAGTACCTGACGGTGATGGCAGGGGACGTGGATCAAGGCGTCGCCAGGACGGACTGGACGCCTGAGGCTGCTGGGCACGACACGGTACGTACATGTACATTGCCAAGATTGCGTGCAGGGGCTTAATGGCGACAGCTCTTTTGGGACCTTGGCTTTGGATCGTGCATGCTGACTCCAGGCAATACCTAATAACAACCGCCCAAGCTGTATCAAGTACAGTAGGTAGGTAGTAAGTACCTAGGTTAGTAGTTGAGCTGGGGGCGCTGCAGTACGCGTATGTACTTCTAGTATGTTTCTAGGTACTACGTCTAAAGGCCTTCCCTAGTAGGTACCTAACCTACTGCGGTCAAGCGTGAAGCCCGTCAAAGGTGACGTGTCGGCCCCACCAAGCACAGCGTCTGTCACAACGATTTGATCTTCTCGATCCAACGCCGTTGTCCGGCTCGGCGACAAGCAGCGACCTGTTTGGGCATCTACAGTAATATTAAGCCCCCCCAGGTGAGCATCTTCGCCCAAGCTGCCGGGCTGAAGTTCCAGCATGCCGCTAGTACTGCAAAGTGACGCTGTCTCCGGCCAGGCTGAGCGGCCTTACCAGTAGCGGATATTGGCATGAACCGGTAGCTGATGCTGCTGGCAAACTCCAGATGGAAGAGGCGCAATGACAGTGAACCAATAACAGGTTGAGAGATGATTTAACCGGACGGACTGTCTAGACTACTATGTATCCGCTCGCATTGTGAGAGCCAACCTTGCCGGGAGCGGCTTGGAAGTTGAGTTGGACAATACCCGGGTACCTATTGCAGTGAAGGTCGTTGCGTGCACCCATGTAAGGCAGAACTGTCTCACATGCACATACTCGTACCATGTCTTCCCTTTTTTTTTTTTTTTTTTGATATCTGTTTTTTTTTATGACCCCTTTTCTTTTTGCTCTCTAACCCTCATGATACCCACAGCAGACAATCCAATCAGATGATGAATTGAACTTGCAAAGGACGCGGATGTGTTGGCATATTGATCCTTGGTGTATTCCCTTTAAGTGTGGCAGAGGACGACCAGTGTCATCCTCTCCACACTGTTCGACACGCTCGTACTCGTACTTCATCCGTTAACCAAATGATATGATGAGCAGACTAGACTGCTCATGGGAAGTTGAGCTACTCTCACCAAGGCGGAATTACATCAGATAGCTTTATCACCTATACCGTCCTCAAAAGCTACCTGAATTCTCCAACGCACTTGAAGGCCTCGGTAGCTCCCTTCGAGGTAGGTAGGTACATAGATCGGTGCCTAGTAGTCGACTGCGATGTGAGTGATTGGCTGATCAAAGCGCCTTAACAAGCGCCCTGCCTAGGTAATTTGAGATTCACATGCTTTTTTGGCCTCTCTGCTAGCATACAAACTTGACGAATCACGTTGCTGGTATTGTGACCCGGAGCTGCAAGCTCAGGAACAAAGGAGCGGCGTACAGCCTTACTTGTAGTAGTAGTATCCATATGCGTGCAAGTACAGCGGCTTTCTTTGCAAAGGGGCCCAAGTGACATGTAATCGGGAGGTGCCAGCTACCTCTTATCACAGGTTGAACTCTGCATCAAAGATACCGAAAGGATTGCACATGACTGCAGGTTTCGTGACACTATTTGGCAACAAGTGTTATTTGAATCAGGCAATTGCTCCGGCTGCTGCTTTGTACTAGGGTACGCTCCTTTCCATTGCCTTCAGACCAGTTTACAAGGTAGGTACAACTCGGAACAAGGCCCCTTCAACTACAAACCCGATCGGTCTTCTCCGTGCTTGCCCTGCCTCATGCAGGGCGCGAGTTGGCAGCCTGGGGGTGTGCACCAGGACTTACCTATGGCCGTGATGCGCTAATCAGCTGGGACCTGAGTAAGGTAGGTACTGTAGGTGACAAAATATCAGTGAACATTGGCCGAATATCCTGTCATCTTAGGTACCTAGGTACTCCCAATGGCTGTCAAGGTATCGCCGGCCGTCTGCAAGGGAGCGCAGAGATACAGATATATGGAGCATCAAGTATTCCCCGATCACCCTGTCTTCGGGGTCCCCTTGAGACACTCCGGAGAAAAGGAATGTCATCTTACCAAAAAAAAAAAAGAAAAAAAAAAAGAAGAAATCTACCTGATCCCGGTGTTCTCTCACTTGCTCCCAGGCCGCGTGACGGGTGTTGCCCATCCCTTGCAGCTTACAACCACTTTGACCGACTCCCCCGTAGAGGTATATCATCCTTCCGTGATAGGTATCTAGAAGCAGGTGCGGATTAGATCAACAGCAACCCATATATCGGGAATCACGCACATGCATCAGCCAAAGGACATGGGTATGTTCTAGATGTTCTTGGACATGTCAAGGCACGGGTGTTCGCCCTCGACTCGTACTCGAATGGCCAAGCAAAAGAGGCCTGAGGCGTCCATTTACTGCGGGGGTGGGACCAGACAAAATCAAGCCAAGTATAGGGGGCTCTTGTAATCGATAAGCCGCCCGCCAACAAAAGAGCAACCGCTGAGATTTTTTTCTCTTCGCCCAATTCTGCTGTCTCTTGTCACACAACAAAAGCTTCACACGAAGCTTTCAAAATCGATCGTGATTGATTCAACGCCGACGAGAAGCACAAGACTTGACTTAGTCTGAAATACGCTCAACTCGGCTCCCGGTAGGTCTTTGTAGTTTCTTCCTTTCCTTTGCACCCGCAGCACATCCATGCCAGCCACTCAGTTGTCCCACGAGTCTTTCTTCCTGGCGCGTCGCGTATTGCGATTGCGCCTGGAAGGGCTGGCGTATCGATCCTGCAGACGAGGTTACTCCGGTAATCTTCGCCTCCAGCTTTTCTGCTGCAAGACGAATGGGCCATCATAGTCCGTGTCGATTCGGTTTCTCCTTCTGGGGAAGATTTGCCCACATCGGCGCGGCTCCCAGCGCTCCTACATAAATATCTACCTTACCTTTTGCTATGTGACTAATTTGGCCCTGTGTATGATCTGTTGTTGTTCCCATTGTGTGTGTCAAGATCTCGGGTGGCGTATACGCTATTTCTAGGCTGGAAGTTGAAGGCTGCGGAGACGACAACGGCTATTTTGTAGTTGAACCAAGTCGTACAACATCTGCAACTGTGAGGCAACAAATGAGGGAAAATAGGAGAGAATAAGGCTTATGAAACCTGCCACTTTTCCTCATGTCCCAATCTGGAAGTGTGCAGAAGATCATGTATGTATCGTGACCTCGTGGTAACTGCTGCTGTACGTCGTCACCACATGGTTACGTCACTCGAGCCGTTCGCTCCATCTTCGGCATCCATCTTACCGGATTATCGTGCAACTCTCATGAGGCACAAGTACGACCTGCCTGTATATATTATACCTCAACACCAAAGCCGTCCCTATCATCACGCTCTTATTACATATTCTTCCCCTCACTTGGCCTCTATCTGTAGATGCCGGTATGAACAGCATCCTAAGAACAACCTCGTCTCGCCTCAGCAAATCCTCTAATATACATTGCACATCAACCCTCAGATACTCACCACAACGATCATCATCACCCCTCTGCTGTAAACCTCGCTCCTCATCCTCCCTCACCATGTCTTCTAGCAAGCCCACCAAGTTCAGCCATCTCCCGCTTAGCACGACCGGCCCCCTCGAGTGCGCCCTCACCGGCACCGCCCTCCTCAACAGCCCCATCTTCAACAAGGGCTCTGCCTTTCCGCTGTCCGAGCGTCGACAGTTCAACCTGACCGGACTGCTCCCGGCAAACGAGCAGACCCTGGACAACCAGGTCAAGCGCGCATACCAGCAGTACCAGTCCAGGGGCGACGACCTGGCCAAGAACACGTTCCTGACCTCGCTCAAGGACCAGAACGAGGTGCTGTACTTCAAGCTGCTGCTCACCCACCTCAAGGAAATGTTTAGCGTCGTGTATACGCCGACAGAGGGCGATGCCATTCAGAACTACTCGAGGCTGTTTCGTCGGCCAGAGGGCTGCTTCTTGAATATTGAGAATCCCGAACTCGTGGAGCAGGACCTTGCTCTTTGGGGAACTGCTGATGATGTCGACTACATCTGCGTTACAGGTGATGCTGACCTCATGTTTTGACAGCTCAATCTACGGCCACTTACTAACTCTCGTCACAGATGGCGAAGAGATTCTTGGAATCGGTGACCAGGTATGCTTCATAGCACCTCATACTGTCAAAGTGTAGTCTTGCTAACCTGCCCTCAGGGCGTGGGCGGCATTCTCATATCCGGAGCAAAGCTGACCCTCACGTCCCTCTGCGCCGGTATTCACCCCAACCGCACTCTCCCTGTAGTCCTAGACTGCGGCACAGACAACCAAGATCTGCTCAACGATGATCTCTATCTCGGTCTGCGCCAGCCTCGAGTTCGCGGAAAGCGCTACGATGACTTTATCCAGACATTCGTCGAAGCTGCTAGGAAGCTGTTTCCTCGAGCCTACATTCACTTTGAGGACTTTGGCACGAAAAACGGTAGAGATATTTCCCGGCTTCAGTTCTGCAGCAAAGGCTAACGGTCGTTTGTAACTGCAGCCCGGCGTCTTCTGGAGCTCTACCGCCCTAAGATTGCTTGCTTCAATGACGACGTTCAGGGCACAGGCTGCGTGACACTTGCCGCCCTCCTGGCAGCGTTGCATGCCAGCGACCAGAAGCTCAGCGACTCCCGCATCGTCATCTTTGGCGCCGGCAGTGCTGGAGTCGGAATTGCAGACCAAGTCAGAGACGCCATTGCCACGGAGCAGAACATTAGTCACGAGAAGGCTTCGCAGCAGATTTGGTACGATACTCGATCCATATACAATGCTCTCTACCCAATCTAAATTCCCCCAAATACTAATGCTTCACAGGTTAATTGACAAGGAAGGCCTCCTGACAACCAAGTCAGACGTCTCGGCCGCCCAAAAGGGGTACGTCAAAGACGCCTCCGAGTGGAGTGATAACACCACCCTCCTCTCCGTCGTCCAGCAGGTCAACCCCAACATCCTCATCGGCACGTCCACCGTGCCCGGCGCCTTCACCGAGGAAATCGTCAAGGCCATGCACGAGAACGCGCCCCGGCCCATCATCTTCCCGCTGTCCAACCCGACCCGGCTCCACGAGGCGAAGCCGGCGGACCTCCTCAACTGGACGAACGGCAAGGCGCTGGTCGCCACCGGGTCGCCGTTCGATCCCGTGACGGGGCCCTGGGGTCAAGATGGCGGGGATGTGACGATTGAGGTTGCCGAGTGCAACAACTCGGTGGTTTTCCCCGGCATAGGCCTCGGCTGCGTGCTCAGCCGGGCAAAGCTGCTCACGGATAAGATGCTCGTCGCGGCCGTCGAGGGCGTCGCCTCACTGAGCCCTGCGCTCAAAGACGCAACGGCGCCCTTACTCCCAGACGTTGAAGACGTGCGCCCCGTGAGCGTCCAGGTAGCCAAGCACGTGATCCAGGCCGCCGTGAAGGAGGGCGTGGCCACAGAAGAAGGGATTCCTTCGGACGACGGCGAGCTCGAGGAGTGGATCAGGGAGCAGATGTGGAATCCCGAGTACCGCCCGCTGAAGCTGGTCAAGATGGAGAACGCGACGAGGGCGGCCAAGGGAGAGCTTGGGAAGGCGATGCCGGGGCTGTAGCACAGGATGGTGAGGAGGAAGCGGAGGTAGACGAGGAACAGAATGATGAGGTTCGGTATTTTTGTTATTCATTACATTGATACAGCATGGTGTTGAAGGACTGGTTGTTGTTCATACCTAGACTGAGGGACTGGCTGTTGGGTATGGAGACACTTTGCAAGCATAGACACAAAGTACCTAGGTATCTTGCAGTTATAAAACGATATATATATGATGCACAACGCAAGGAGTGTCGAAAGCTCAGTTCAAAAAGCACGAAAAGTGCCGGGGATTTGTCCAGAAAGTACCTATATCAATCAATAACAAGCGCCAAAACGGTATCATTACTCCTCATCAGACTCCTCCTCTTCCTCTTCATCGTCATCCTCATCATCGTCATCATCAATCTTCTTCTCTCCCGCATTTGTCCTCGCGTGATTCACGCCCACCTGCATACGGCGAGCCACATACCACTGCGCTACAATGCCCACAGAGAGCGTCAGCGAATCCTTGAGCCACCCGGCGACCCACTCCCGGGGATCAAGCTCCCCCTCCTCAACGATGCTTCGAATGTCCTCGTGCACCCGGCTGTGCGGGGAGTCCGCGGCATCGTTCAAGGGACTCGGTGCTTCGAGCCAGCGAGCCCACTTGGCGGGGATGGGCTGGCTGATGGTGGCGTACTCGATCTCGTGGACCGGGTCGACGATGAAGATGGCGAATCGGAACTCGTCCTCGCTCTCGTCTTCGTCAGCATCCGAAGACTCCTTCTTCTCCTTTGCTGCGGCGGCAGTCCGGCCGAAGAGCGCCTTGTCCTGATCGGTGACGATGGCCTGAACAGACAGAAACACGTCCGACGTCCGGACGGAGCCTGGCTCGACGACACCCGACCTGGCCTTTGTCTTGACGGCCTCGATGCCGCCCTGGGAAGCAAAGTACTCGGTCGCGTACGACTCCGCATTGACGCGGCAGAGCTTGGTGCCCTCGACGAGCCCCTTGACGACGCCCAGCTCGCGGGGTTGGTCGACCTGTCTCCACCAGGGACCGTCGTCCCAGCCGGCGGTGTTGTCGTGAGGGCGCGAGGAGCCGCTGTCGTGGCCTCTCTGGACGACCTTGAGCTCGCCGCCCTCGACCTGCTGCATGACGTCGGAGAAGACGTCGTAGATGAGGGGGTCGAGGGACGGGTAGCCGACCAGGTCGTGCGTGATGTGGATGAGGAGGCGCTCGTGAGAGCCGATGGGCGGAGCAATGGTGTTGATGATGTTGGACAGCGTCGGCAGAGCGCGGTTGCGAAGCTCGTCGCCTTTTTTTGTCAATTAAAGACATTGTTTAGTCCATTGGTGAATATATTCTCCAAAAAGGGCGTTTTGCAGCAACTCACCATAGCTCTTGAGCGTGTTGACGTCGAGGTTGCTCCGCAAGCCCTTGACCTGCTCAGCCCACTTCTGGGCCTCCTCGTTCTGCTGGATCTGGTTGTACGCAGCCTCGGCCTGCTTCATGACGCCGGTCGCCGTCGAGAGGATGCCCCCCCACCAGCCGCCTCCGGACTGCTGCTGCTGCTGCTGCTGCGCCTGCTCGACGGGCCCTCGCCTCTCGGCATCGTGGAGCTCGGAGCTCGTGGCGCTGGGCGTGAAGCTGGCCTTGAGGCTCCGCGAGCTGTCGGTGGACTTGCGCGCCGCAGCTACAGACTTGCTGTTGCTGTCGTCGCCAATGGGGGGAGTCGCCGTCGAGCGGCGGGCAATGGCCTCCTTGAGCCGGGGCGTGTGCGGGCGGGAGGCGGGCTGGGGGGCCAGCTCGGACTCGAGGTCGGCGAGGATGTCGTCGTTGTTGCCAATGGCCTTTGCGGCGGCCGAGGTGGGCTTCTTCGGGGGCTTGTTCTTGGCCTTGGAGTCGTCGCCGCCGATGCCTGAGAAGAGCTCGTCGAGGTTGTCGTCGGCGGCGGCGGGGGCGGCCTTTGTCTTTTTGGAGGCCATGGCGGGGGATTGGATGTTGAAGAAGCTGGTGGGCGGGTGGTGGTGAAGGGGGATGCTACCTATGATGGGGGATGCAGCTGACGGTGGCGGCGGTGGTGGACCATGCAGAAGCTGATGATGATGATGATGATGATGCTACTGGCGATGGATCGAGCGTCGTTGTTTGTGTTGCGTTTGTTTGGTCAGGTAAGGTACCTTCTGGGAGGAGAGGTAGGCAAGGTACCCTACGGAGTAGCGCGGTGCTGAAGGAATGCCTGCAGTGGTGGGGTAGCGGTTTGGAGGAGGTCGAGATACTTGTGACAAAGTACAGAGACGCTGCTTGCAGTCGCTATGAACGGCAACGAAAGACGTGAATTGATGAGGCGCATGAGGCGTCAGTCGAGAGATGCTGTACGAGATGACATGCTAGCTATTGAATTTATTCTCGAGGATCATCTTCTACAGATCACGATCAAGCGGCAATTCGCATCAAAGACGGGCTCTGTAACTAATGTACAAAAGCACCCCAGATGTGGCAGATGCAGGCAGAATTAGTTTGTACCCGTACATGGAAAGATGGCTGGAAACATGGAGAACAACAGCAGCCAGATGCAGCGAAACGCAGTTGGCTTAGCGCGGCATCGCCTGGCAGATGCACCTCTTTCGCGCTGGACGTGCCCCTGGGGGGGATGGATGGTCACGTTGTAGCGGTACTTGCAGCCAAACCTCAGCTCTTGCCCTGCATTTCTTCATCAACAGTTTGCCTTGTTGAGATGGTATCGAGATCCAGAGCCCGCAATCTAATCGTACCTTACCAAAGGATCAATCAATCACCTTAACAGCATCCAAGGCCTCCTGGGCAAAAGCCACAGTGGACCATTGCTTGAAGCTGGCCCAGTCTGCAGTTTCTTTCCACCTTGTTATTACCTCCTTAGCCGATTAGGTGCCGATCTGTAATAACCCGTCGACCGCTACCATGGCTACCTAGACCAGCGTGAGGGTAGGCCTCACTTTGCACTCACTCTGCCCTCACCTCACTCTTGTGAGATGCCCTCACCTTGGACTCACTTTCTCTCCACCCACATTCACAGAGTGGAGCCGTCACCGCGATTGTGTCGATTGGCACAGTGACTGTCTTTGAGATTCGTGAGAGCTGTTGACGTTTTTTTCGAGGCGGCTGGTCGTAGAGAAAGTCTTCATCGTTCTCGTAGGCATCAAAACAACTTCAAGGTTGAGACTGGTGGAAACCATCAGATTCAGGGAGCGCACATCCAGGCACAGGTATCCAGTACGCAGACGTCACATCACTGCGCAGTGTGAGGCATTGTAGCGGATACTTTGCGGTACGTACCTCCTCCCGCGGCAGCGCTGGGCCAGTCAGAGCGCAGAACCGCAACAGCGCAGCCGTGGCTTATTCGATCCACGAAGCTGCAGCCGAAAAACGACTGACAGCCAGCAGAGCAGCACTGACACTGACGGCCAGCAGAGAAAATCTCTGATATCGAGCTCACCTTGGCCTCACCTGAGCAGCTGCCAGGCCCGTCAATTTCAGTTCCGGCCGCCTGCGCGTTTCATTGTCGCCAGCTGGTTGCTCTTCTTCTTCTTCTTCTTCTTCCCTCGCCTTCTGCTGCTCTCGCACAAAATCCTGCTCACCTGGACCCGGCACGTCACGCTTGGCCCGCCTTCACACTTTATACCCAGACGACCAAAACTTCAGCCAAAGCAGCCGTCACCATTTGCCCCCCCAGACGATTCTTCTCTTGCAACAACCATCTGCCACACTCCGCTCGTGTTTCCTCTCTCCTTCAACTTCTCTTTTTTCTCGTTTTTTTTTTCTATCTCGCAGCATCGTCTTTGTCTGCGGCCTCGCCTCGTTTCAATTTCGGTCTCGCGGATGACATCTTCCCTGCACTGCCTGTTATTCTCTTACACACCCCTTAACCACTCACACACTCAATCCTGTTTCCCTCACAGGCATCATGGACCGCGCTCGCCGCGCAGCAAACAGCCGCCGCAAGCCCCAGGGAGCCTCTTCGTCTCCGCCGTCTGCGTCTGCCTCTGCCTCTGCCCCTGCGTCTGCGTCTGTGTCGGCCTCGGACGCCTCGCGGGAGCGGCATCAGTCGTCGGCCAGTCCCATCATGGCGCATGCCACTAACACTCCCCAAACCGCACCGCAACCGCAAGGCCGGCGCGCCAACAAAGGCCTTCAGCCTGCCTTTACCTTTTCCACCCCAGGCCCTGTCCGGCCGTCGACGCTGAGGAAGAGGTCAAAGACCATGGACGACTACGCCGTGGCCGACGACGACTTTGAGCCCGACAGCAGCCCCAAAAAGGGCGGTCACAGCCTGCGCAAACGCGCGCGTGTCGACTACACCCTGGAGCAGATTGACGACGACGGTGACTTTGCGGCTGCTGCCAACCCTGCCTCTGCCTCTGCCTCTGCCTCTGCTTCCACTTCAGCCTCAGCCTCAGCCTCGGCAGCGACAGCAGCAGCGGCAGCAGCAGCGGCGGCGGCGGCGGCATCAACGTCTTCTTCAGCAGCCTCCCGCAACGGCAAGAAGCGGCGCACCGAGAGCTCGAACTACGACTCTGAGGATCTCTACGGGCCCAGCCCCAAGCGGCGAGGCGTCTCCGTGGACGCTGACACGCCCTCGAACCGGCGCCGCTCGTCCGCCCGCAAGCTGGTCGAGGCCAAGGCCTACAAGGACGACGTCGACGACGACGAAAAGGACGTCCAGGACACCATTGAGGTCGGCGTGACGGCCTTTGCAGGCCCCGACGAGTCGCCCTCGGATGCCTCGTCTGCAGACCTGTCTCTGTCTCTGTCTGCCGGCCCACAAAAATCTACACCCGTGCAGCAGCAGCCAGCCTCTGAGCAACAACAGCAACAGCAACAGCAGCATGACAGCAGCAGCAGCAGCACGACTCTTGCCGGCCTCGCCGACCAGCATCGCGACGCTCGTGCTCCGGCCTCAGCCTCGTCTGCCGCCGCTGCAGATCCGGATTCCTCCAGCATGGCCGCTGGTTCTGCCGCCGCGGCCACCGGCGCTCTCAAGCCGCACTCACACTCACCCTCTCACTCACCCTCGCCCGCTCCCGCAGACGCTCACCAGCCATCAGCGTCCGTGCACGCGCCACACCTCACCACCGCACCAGCCACAAACCCTCCTGAAGGCCCGGCCCAGCCACAACCCAAACCGCAAGCCCGCGACGCCACGTTTGTGCCCTTGTCTGCTTTGGACGATACAGTTCAAGGCGAGCACTCGGTAGCAAAGCCAGAGGCAGAGGCAGAGCCCGGCACATATATAAACAATGGCATCAACAACCCAAAGACCTCTGAAGAAGAAGCTGTGCCATCTTCCGTCTCTCTCCATCCGCCATCGTCGCCGCTTCCTGCATCGCAGACTGCCGCAGACGACGCTTACACGCCTGTGCCACCCGCCGCTGACAAAGACGCTGCTGATGCTGGAGCCGCCGCACCTCTCGAGCCGTCTCTCCAACTTCCCGAAAAGGAAATTCGCCAGGGCCGCGCTGTTGAGCCGCAGGACAGCGAGACGCCTGCCCAGCCGCGGCCTCAGTCTCGGTCCGGGCCTCGATTGAGCCCTCAGCCTGCTGCATCCGCCTCGGCTTGCGCTCAGGAGCAGCCATACTATCCTTCGACTGCCGCTCACCTGTACACCGTGTCTGCCGCATTGGCGCAGCCGCCTCATCCTCAACCTCAACCTCAACCTCAACCCCAACCTGAAGCTGAATCCCAGCCTCGAACTCAAGACCAAAACCCCCAAGATCAAGATCGATATCAAGATCAAGATCAGCCTCATACCCCTGCACCAGACATGTGCACCATCACCCAGGAGCAGTCGCCAGAGCAAGAGTCCAAGGCCTCCAGCCCTGTGCCTGCCGTGGCCATATCCGTGACCGTCGCCAGCTCTCCGGCCTCTCCCACCACCTCTGGCTTCGACTCGGCCATCATGGAGGCCTCGCAGTCGACAAGCGCCGATACAAAGTGCGCCGACCACCTCATGCCCCAGCCCGAGGGCGACGCCGTCACCGCTCAGCCATTGGCGGATGATGGGGTTCCCGACTTGGAGGCGGATTCCGCAAGCCGAGCATCGCAAGCTCTCTCCGAGCAAGACGCATTGCCCCGCGATTCCGTTCTCACGGGCAAATGGAGTCACCTTACCCCTTACATTGAAGGCGAATATGTCTGGTATCCCGAGAAGAAGGCGGCCCAAGAAGACGAGGCCGTCGCCAATGAGTACCCGGCTGCCGATGACTTGGAGCCGGTTGTCGAGGACAACGACGATGTCGCCGACGCCCCTGGCACCGGCCAGCCCTCCAACGCGCTCAACACCCCGCTGCGAGGATCGCCCGTGCTCGACTCCATGGACCCAACCGCCTACAACTCTCCCGCCGCTGCTGGAGAGGACGGCGACGAGGTGGACGTGTCCGAGGAGGTGCCCGAGCGTAGCCGATCATACCGCTACCGCAAAATCAGGTCGCCCGAGGAGTTCATTGAGCTCATCAAAGACTATGAAAACATGCCGACGGAGGAGCTCGCGCAGGCTCTGCACGTCGTCACAAACGCCATGGCTCACTGGCAAGACGAGTGGAACGTCCTCGGCCAAGAGGTTGACGACTACGAAAACTCGCTCCGCCGGCGCGCGGCAGACGCCAAGTACGAGAATCGCACACGCAACCTGAACCAGCAGGGCATCAGCTGGGAGGAGCCCGAGTTCGTCGTCAAGGGATACAAGGCCAAGGACAAAGAAGGCATGAGTGAGACGCGCTACCTCCAGAGCCAAGACAAGATCATGGCCGCCGCCTACGGCTTCGAGTACGATCCGCACCCATCCAAGATTGGTCGCCAGAATCCAGAGACCCAGCAGGCGGGCATCATGACGCGCGGCCGCTCGCTGCGCAACCAGCCCAAGCCCACGGCCAAGGCCACCGAGGCGGACGAGGTCACCGGCAAGAGGCAGCGCAAGCCCGTCCAGCTGTTCGACCCGGCCACGCAGGACGTCAGCCGCGCCGCGACGCCCGTGCCGCCCTCCAGGCCCCGCCGACGCAGGACCGCCAACGGCGACAACGACGACGGCCAGGCCAACGCCACCCCCGTCTTCAACGGCGAGCCCGTTGCCTCCGAGGAAGAGGCGACGACCGGCGATACCAAGCGAAGACGCAACCGCGCGACCCGCCCCAAGGCCGCTGTCGTCCCCAGCATTGTCGAGCAGCTCGTCGCCGCCGCCCCTGCCATCGAGGAGCCCGCCGTGCCAACCCCATCCAGGTCGGGCCGCAAGTCGCGTGCCAAGCAGCCCGTCAAGTACGACGACGAGCCGGTGCCCTTCCCCTCCGTCGAGGAGGAGGAGGAGCAGCAACAGGAAGAGGAGAAGCCTCAGCAGCCGCGGAAGCGCATGCTCACCCTCAAGATCCCCAAGGGCAAGAACTTCAGCGAGCCCTCTTCGGCCATTACGGACAATGGCGATTCGCGACCTTCGACAGCCAATTCCGAGTCTAGTGTACACACTGCCGAGTCGTCGTATTCGTTCCGCCCCAAGCGCCAGAAGCGATTCCGCGACGAGCCCGAGGAGAGCGAGGAGGCCGCCGCGCAGCCTCCTCCCGCCAAGAAGAGGAACAAGCGCAACAACGCCGCCCCTGCTGCTCCCGCGCAAGCTCCCACTCCCACTCCTGTGCCTACCATTGAAGATGAGCTCGCTGCCGCAGAGCCCATCATCGAGGCCGACGCAGCTACCGGAATCAATGGTCGCAAGATCCAGAAGATCAAGGTTGTCCGACAGACGCCCGCCAGCCGCAAGGCAACCCCATCGGCGTCGGTGCCACCCACCGGCGAGGAGGCTGAGGAGCCCCAGAAGGACTACAAGTCCATGACCAAGTCGGAGAAGATGTCCGCATCTATGAAGAGTGAGTATCATTGTCTCTTGTTCCCCCCTCCCAGTACCTCAACCCGCTAACAAACTTCGTGGCAGGTCGATGGGCCAATGGCAACATGGCTGGTGCTGTCGAGAAGCGAAAGGCGACCCTCGCTGCGAAAAAAGCCGCCCAGGCAGCGGCTGAGCAGAGGGTTGGACTGATCGCTCCGAAGCCCAAGGTGAAGGCGGCCAAGAAGGAGCCAGTCGAGCAGACGGAGATGCCTCCGGCTTATGCTCCTCAGCAGCCGCAGCCGCAGATTCCCGGAATGGATTATCCGTTCCCTCCCTCCTAAAGATACCCCGATCCGTATCAACATCATCAACCATCCAACAGAGCGTCCTCCCCCCTCCCGACACGGGATGGGCCTCGAGAGAGCCCAGACAGGTCTCCATTTTCGCATCTACAGCAGGTTGTTTTGACTGTCAGATCATTTATTGCCCGATTTTCCCGGTTCGCAGACTGAGCCTTTATATCTCGCAATTGCCGATTCATGTACCATACTTGGACGACAGGAGTCTGCTTGCTTTGCGCAGCCCAGAGCTGGCAAAGACGACTTGCACGAGTTGACTCGGAGCACATACATTGAGCACGCACATACACTGAGCCCGCACAAAAACACAAAATCAGAAGAAAACACAAAAAAAAAAGAGTTTCACCGAGAGGCACTGGATCGGTTCCAGACAGGATGGCACAGTCGCCCCGGGTTTGCGTTTGCGAAATTTAGAAGCGAACGAGCACGATGCTTATTGGACATCGGTCTAAGGGGTCTTGGACTCTTGGCTCTCTCCTCCGTTTCTTGTCTTTTCTCGCGTTTTTTTTTTCGTCGCCTTTTGTTTACCGGATTGGCATTGGCATTCGGACCAGCCTTTTGAAAGAGCATACAGCCGGTTGGTCCCTCCGGCGTTGGTTGGCCTCCTCGAGAGTCGCGGCTATACAGGAGGAAATGTTTGCTTATTTTTGTCCTACTTGTTTTTCTTTCCTCCTTTCGGCATTTGGTTTTGTGTTGTTTCCTCCTTTTCCCGGTCGTCGACTATTCATGTTCGACGCTCTTGAGGAAGTCTCTTTTCCACCGTTGTCGTTTTTACTACTATCCGGCTTTTTTTCTTTTCCCCTTCTTTTCTTTGTGCATCAAGGAAAAGAATACAGGAGGTTTACTGCGGATTCCCCCACCAACTCTGCATTTTGTACAACAAAACAAAAGCACTTTTCTGAAACGACGAGCCAACGAAACGAACGAACGAACGACTACGAAACACCGAACAACGCGTTTCTTTGAGGGGAAAGGGGCATGGATAGGGAGACTGAAGGGGCGATGGAAACAAACTCGGAGGCATCTTTGCGACAGCAGGGCAGGGCTGGAACGCAGAGACATGTTCACCTGGTACTTCTTCGACCTCTGTCTGTCCTTTTCTATATTTCACCCTGGTTATACCCATGGAGGCCTTTTTCTCTTGGTATTTGGTTTCCCGCGACAGCGAAGGCTTGCGGATTCTTGATTCGGTTGTACCTATTTGATTTCTCGATTCCGTCTTCTTGATTTCTGGTTTTTTTTTCTCCCCTTCCTTTTTTTCTTCATTGTTTCTCGCTCTGATATCCAGAGTAGTGAGCCGGCTGGCTGGATTAGTGGTTTCGGGGGTAGGGCGGAGGTAATACATTTGCTTTTTTTTTTTCGAGTTTCTAGTTAAAGGGTTCGTTGTTGAATAATAGGGTAGTGCCTAAGGGAAAATAAAAGTCGGCAGGTTTTGCACAAGTTGTCTTTTTTTTTTTCTATGATTCGTGAATGTGAAGTTAGTGTTGAAGTTGTAGGGATTTGCTTGGCATGGAGTGCGTGGTGAGGGATTGTAGATAGTTGGGGTGTAGAATGGACGTGCAAGGGTCTGGGTTGATCACGATATTATAGAGGATTGGTAGATTGAGCGATGGAAATTGTCTCTATCTTCCGGATTGGATACGTCGTAAGTGCGCATATATGTATTTCGTAGTGTTGCTGTTTCTCTTTGTTGCGACGTGGGTAGGTATGCAGGGTAAGTTCTTGAGGTGCTAGGCGTGAGGCTCTCACGACTATCTAGGTACCTACAGTAAGTCATCTTGCAAGCACTACCTTAACATTTAAACATCAGTAGCATGTAAGATGTCTCTCGGCCATGAATAAAGTAACGCAGAGAGAGGCTTGTAACATCTCATCCGAGAAGACACTGGGGGAAATGAACCAACAATTCTGATCTGTTCATTGTGGAAGTAGATCTGAAGACGGTCTTAGATTATCGCGTCGTCTGTCAATCCATTGACCAAGTGTGATCCGCTATGGGGATCTCAAGAAAGACAGAAAAGAAATCGTCGGCTCCAGTGATTTGAAATCCTCCATGGTAGACACAACACCATTGGCATGTCACAACAACATCTTCGTCACACGTTCGAGGAGACCCGACTTGGATATTTTTTTTTTGTCTTTGTCCGTTTGATGCGATACCTGATATTGAATCATCCTTACACGCCGCAAACCGAAATGCAAGAGCCTGCCGAAATCCAGCGACTTTACTTTCCCGCTTTTTTTCTTCTCCTCTTTCTCTCCCCTCAGAGCCCAGTTTTCTCCCATACGAACAAAGAAATTAGGAATAGAAAAACAGGGTTTGGGGGAGAAGAAGGGAGGGTGGGAAGGTGGAGAAGAAGAAGAACTTCCACGCTTCTATAAGTTCGCATCGAGGGACTTGGGTCATTGTGTTTCTTTTTTTCTTCCTCTTGATATAAAAAAAAAACTCCCTTCCTCCTTTCGTTTGAAAAAAACACCCTTTACATGACGACACCGGAGTTGCTGGCAATACGCTGGACGTGAGTGTTAGTATTGATAGTTCGTTCCGAGACGGTGTATTTGTCATGACTTACGGGCCACAGCTCAGCAGCCTCCTTGCCGACGGGGCCGGTGATGGCAGAGCCCTTCATCTCACCCTTGGGGTTGACGATCTGTAGCAGACATCTGATTAGTTTCTCTCTTTCCATATCGTGACCTGCCGGCACCAGTCTCGAATAGCATCCCAGCGTCGAAGCAGAAACTGGGGCCATTCTGAGACCAGCCTCAGAGAAATGGGAGTGCAAGTAATAAACATACAACACCAGCGTTGTCCTCGAAGTACAGGAAAACACCGTCGAATCGCTTCCAGGGCTTGGACTGTCGGACAATGACGGCAGGGTGGACCTTCTTTCGCAGCTCAGGCTTTCCCTTCTTGACGGTGGCCATGACCATGTCGCCGACACCGCCGGCGGGCAGGCGGTTCAGGCGGGCACCGATACCCTTGACGGAGATGATGTACAGGTTGCGGGCACCCGAGTTGTCGGCGCAGTTCATGACGGCACCGACGGGGAGACCCAGGGTCATCTTGAGCTTGCCACCGGGGGCACCACGACTGCAGTCACACGCTTGGTCAGTCCACGGCGTTCTCTCGAGACGTTTGGCCTTCGCGGTCCTGCTATCGTCTTTTGCGGTTCCTCGACGAGAATCATGAATACTGGTGCCGGCATGACGATGGCTAGGGCTCCCTTTCTTTCGAGAATTCGAGGTCGGTCGGTTTGCGAAATTGAGTCTCCAATGAAGACTCTGGCGAAGAGTCGTTGAGAGTGAAAAATTCGAGCAGCGTCGGTCGTCGATGTTGCGAAACTCTCAATCGTCGTCGTCGTCGTCGTCCAAATTCTCCATCCCCCCTCTTGCCCGGCATGGTTTTTTCCCCCCCAGTATTGCATTCATCTCGTCGAGGAAAGCAAAGAGACGCAAAAGACGCAAAGAACCTGCTTGTCAGAGATGAAGAGCAACTTACGATTGCTTGGCCATTGTGTCTGAGGGGTTGGGGCGTTAATTCGTGGGAAACGTGCCAAAGTCGCGGATTGCCGTCGTGAAGCTGAAGCTTTTCAGGGCCAAATTTTCCTCATGCAATCTGTGGGGGTGAGAAACCCTACGAGAAGCGAGTTTGTGTGGTGCACGTGAAGATAGCGCTTATCGCGCGGGCTGGCGGAGGAGGTCTCGAGACGTCCGCTGTGATTGGCGGGAGTGGGGCCGGGGCTAAAGAGAACCACGGCCCCGCCTTTTCTTCCTCCTCTGGTGCGTCTTCACAGCATTTTCGCGGTTGGGCACCCTCATGATCAGTCATATTGACGAGCTGCGGTGACAAAGATGATTGGCGATGCGCCTAATGGTACGCATATGTGTATGTATGACCATGGCTACACTGGAGTCGGCAATCGTGCATTCGGATCACGCGGAGAAGAAGCCATGGAACAAAATCTGCAAACATGAGATGTGAGCACTGTTCTGAGGCGGTCAAGGTATCATGACGAACAGGTCAACGACTGGACAGGCCTTATCAATAACAGAGCTCGCATTGGCGAAGTACTCGCAGAAGGGACTAAATAGCAGAAAGACAGGCCCAGATATCCAACCCAATCAAACAGCCACCACTTGGAACCATCTTCCACTCAGTTCAAGCACAACAGTGACGGCTTCTCATCTCCATGGGCGTCAGTCCCAAGCCTTGCCGGCATCCGAGACGGGCGAGTCGTTCGCCTCAGCTGCTGCGGCCTCCCCATTCGCCATTTGAGTATCGAGTTGCTTCATTTCGTCGTGAACGATTGTGACGAGTCTGCACGGGAGGTCGCCCTCGAAGTCATCGACAAATCTTTTCACCGCTGGGCTGCTGACACATCAACACTGAACAACACGTCCCCCATCGCCAGCTACAGAACACTTACGGGTCCTGTTTCTTCTCTTCGCCAGGCATGTTGAAAGTTCTTTGCTTGGTCTTGTGTGATTTGGGGGACTGAGGATCTCGAAAGATGACTACTGCGCGCTGCTTGTCACTGAAGAACCACGACATCTACCGTTCACTCTGGGGCAGCAGAATCTTCTTATATGCCCTCCTGTTTCTTTGCACCCATCAGCTCATGGACAGCCAGCCCGTCCACCATCAGCAAGAAGACATGCCAGCTCCCTTGCTGTCCCAACCATCATTCCCTTCATCAGGCTCGAACCTTTACAACATCTATCGTAGTGTGTGGCCGGCATCGCCAATGAAACCAAAACACATCTCCGTCTGCGGCTCTGCTCGTGCGACAAGAACAGGCTCACTGGCCCTCCCCGGGTTGATGGCGGCACGTGGTCCTGTCTCACTCTCACTGAAAGGAGGCACAACGCCTGCAATCCTTATATTACCTGCTTGCCACGGCCAATGAGGGAGGCGTCTCGACCTGCGCGTTGTTGTCGATGTTGTCTATCTGCATGCGGTGTGCATCGGATGCATCGAATGAGGTCATGTCGGTCTAGCGTCCAGACATGCCGCCCTCTCGAGAGTCGGACGAGCAGCGCTTGCCACTGACGGCCCCCAACCTCCATTGGCCAGGACTGCTTTTCGATGTCGACGCTCGAGCATCGCGGCCAGATACTCGAACCGACGGTGAGACGAGTGCATGCAACCACGCATGCATGGGCTGCGCGGTAAGCGCCCAAATGCGCTTCAGGTGTGTGAGGAGGGATGGCGAGTTGCAGCGTGGAAGCACTTATGCCTGACTTGCCCTTCTACGCCGGAAGTCGAAGCTATTCTGTACCCGTTGACCCGACATTCGCAAGAAGACGCACAACCCCTGGGATCCCGATGCTACCATTGATTGATAGTTGAGACTGGGCGGACATGTGAGATGGAACCGCGTCTCGCTTAGCGGCTAGTCCAGGTCCCAAGCCAGCGGAAGTCAAGCAAGCCAGGTACCAACGCTGAGAGGCTCTTCTCTCCATCTGTGCGACCTCATACTAATTCTCTCCATGTTGGTGCGGGTGGGCAAATGCGACCCAACGGTGTCTTGCCCTGCGCTAAGAGCGACCACTCTGCTGGAGCCCATTGGGGGCTATTGGAGGCCATTGGAGGCCATTGGAGACAAGGGACATGGAGAGAGGCAGTCCATCTGCCCGGTCTCAGACGTCGACGACTCGCAGCAATGTGCCAGCCATAACAAGCCTGGGCGGTGTTGGCTCTGTGCAAGCACACCACCCCAGACGCAGACAAGATGCTTGTTGATTCGCCAATCCCCCACACCCACGTGCGGGGTGATTCTGCGTGTCCTGGAGAGTGGCAATCCAACAAATGTCATCTGCAGAGCAGAGAATGGCTCAATGGACCCGGTGCCTTGGGCTCAGAAGCCCGCCGAAGTGGTAGCATTTTGTGTGCTGCTGCCCCTTGCGCGCATACAGGCTGAAGCGAGCAAGCAGAGCGAGATCGTGTGCGACATTGGGCTTTGCCTGCCTACCTACCTATCAGCCTTCTGCGGCTTTCTTGTCTGCGTCGGATGAAGGCGACATGAGGCGAGTCGATGACGGAAGAGGCAGCAGACGTGGCTTACCATTCTCCTCTATCGACTGACAAAGCTGACAAGACCAAGATGGATGGCAGAGATGGGTAAGATAGAGTTTTGCTAGAGTTTGCAGTATCCAAGCGGTAGCGTCCTAGTTGACGCCGCACGGGAATATACATCGGATATACCACTTTGGCAACCTGCTGCCGTGGTTCTCAGCTCGGGTTTGAAGATCCGCAGCGCACAAGGAGATGGATTCCCACGCCAAGGTATGTACGAGTAGCTGGTTACGATTCACGACAGGACTTGCGGACGTTGGTGTCGCCTCGCTTGTACGTTGCATAGTAATTCCAGTCAGCTTGTGTCCAGCAACCCTTGTAGTACGGCCACAAGGAGAGTACTACTACTAGTATCTCGAATCTAAACGAAGGATCGATCGTTTCTCCCCATCTCCTTACACTGTGCCATCACGTTGACATGCTAGGATCACACATACTAGATACCTAGTCAAAAGCTGTTGGCATGTGAGAACAAGGGCCGAGGTGGGTATTTGGCTGTCAAGAGGCCACAAACCCAGCTGGACAAGACAACCAACAGACACCACCTGCAAGGTTAGTAGTAGGTAAGGAATGTATTACTACCTACCTATTAGCTGGGCGTCTTACGAGTATCCGCACGGCGATTCGAATCCTTTTTCCATGTTGTATCCGCGGATCTGGAACCAAGCTCATGTGGGGGGGGGGGGCTGACGGTACTGTACAAAGTGCCTCTAAAAGCCTGCAACCTAAGGGGTAGTCTCGGTTTTATTTTTTTCACAACAATTGCAGATTTTTCTTCAAGCTTACCAATCTCTGTTCAACCTATTTACCTAAGGTACTGTACAATACTACTGCGTATCTGTGTAAATACGAGTTAGGTATGGAGTCTCAGGCGGTGTCTGCTGGAGGAGCCGCCAAGCCGAGTGAGAAGCGGTGGTTGTCAATCTGTCAATTTGCCGGCCTCAACACCTGCCTAGCTCGGCAGCCTGTTGGGTCCTCCTCCACAGCGCCCAGGGCTTGGATCGCCGAAAATACAGCCCTGGAGCAGTCCAACTCTTTCACGAGAGTACCTGCTACATACTCGTACCTGTAGGTAGTAATACAGGGGTGCGCATGGAAAGGTTACTACTACGTAGTACCTACCTTAGTAGTGGTCGTGAAGGATCTCGTCAATGTTCCTCGAGCTTCTCATGCCCAGCTGTGGCGGTGCAGCACCATGCAGATACAACCTATGTACAGGCGTTTAAGCGGCGCCAACAGCCACCTCGGACCTGTACAGGCACGACGCTGTGCACCGTCATACTACTTACTACCTACCAGACCATCTGCAGCGGCCCATGTGAAGGAAGCCTCTCCGGCTCAGACGGACGCTCTCTGGGCATCAGACGGCAAATAAACGTCGAGCCAGCCGCCCGAATCAGGCAATGCCACAGCTGGCCCCCCCAGCCCGCAAAGCTCCACAAGGCCAGCTCTAGCCCGCCTGACGTGTGGCTTGAACCGAGCCAAGGTCCTTCTCCAGGCCTCGCAATGGAAGCCCTGCTGCTCCTTGTCCTGTCCTTGTCCCGTCCTATCCTATCCTATCCTATCCTATCCTATGCTGTCCTATCCTAATCCTATCCCGGTCATGTCATGTCACGGTCCCCCGTTCTGCTGCCGTCTGCCAATCTGATACTGTACAGTAATACATACATACGTGCTGCCTCTTCAACCCCCCACCTGCAAGCATCAGCAGCAGCAGCAAGCCCCGTCTCCGTCTCCGTCTCCGTCCCTCCACACCTACCTACCTACAGTACCTACCTATCGCCGTCCACAGTCCCTTTTCCTTATCGAGCTCCCTATCGAGCCCGCCGGAATTGAGCCTCGAACCCTCTTCGCACCGACCCCGAACCTGCTTCTGCTGCTGTCTCTCCTGCACGGCGCTCGAGTCAGTCGCCACGCCGGAGCTGCCGCAGCATTGATGCCATTCAGGGCCCCCCCTCGAGTGCGATCCGCGGACGAAGCAGGCCGCTGGCCGTCCTCGACAACCTGACCCCGAAACCCGAACTCTGCGTCATTACCTTTGCTCTTTTTTTTTTTGCTGGTCTGGTCGCCGCATTGAAACCTCGTCGCTTGCTGTGAGGTCATCGATCGCCCTCGGCGCGCGCCCTTTCGAGCGACACGGCAGCGCCTGAGCACGAAGCGACGGAGGGGAGGCTCAAGCGGGAAGAAGTGGGAAGAAGACGTCTGGTGGTTGAGACTGGCCGGGAATGGCGGCTCATCTCGACTTCGGCGCCTCTGCCTCCTCCGCGACGCCGCCGCAGCAACAGCAGCAGCAGCAGTCGCACCCGCATCCGCACCCGCACGCCATGGCCGACCACAACGTCTCGTCGCCGCACCACCCGAGCAACGTCACCGTCTACCAGACGACGGGGCCCGATGCCCACTATGGCCCCGTCATGGCCCCCGGCGATGCGGGCACGCCGCTGCTCAACCCGCGATCCTGCGTCACCTGCCGCCGGCGCAAGGTGCGGTGCGACAAGCAGATGCCCTGCTCCAACTGCCGCCGCGCCCTGATTCCCTGCGTCTTTCCCGCGCCCGGCCGCGCGCCTCGCCAGCACCGGCCCAAGGACCCCAACGCCCCTCCCAAGGCCACGAGCCAGCGCGAGGTCGAGCTGGTCAAGCGGCTCAAGAAGCTCGAGGGCATCGTCGAGGAGCTGAGCGGCCAGATCGAGATCGAGACGGGCGGCAGGGTCTCGTCCGCCGGCGCCTCGCCTTCCAATGACGGATCGCCGTCGACTCAGCGGGCCAAGTCTACCAGCCTAGGCGCAATGACCTCGGGCCTTGCGGATCATGGCGACGGCCACAGCGCCGGAGATGGGAGCGAATCGCCAATGATGAGGGAGAGCCGGAAGCAGCTGGGCCGATTGGTCCTGAACGATAACAAGGGCACGTCTCGCTATGTGAGCAGTGGGTTCTGGTCGAGGCTGAACGACGAGGTACGGTGCCCCTCCTGCTGTCCCACCCCCTTGCTTTACCCCCCCGCGTGATACCATTTGGTGTGTGCTGACATTTATGCCTCCTCATCAATCAGTTGGATGCCATCCGAGAGGAAACACAAAAACTTACCGACGAAGACGCCGAGGACTCTGACTTTGAAGAATCGCCGCCCATTGACTCCCCCTTCACCGCCACCAGCAGCTCCGTCTATGACCACCATGGCTTCATCCTGGGATATCGATCAATCGATGTCAACATACAGAAATGCCATCCTCTGCCGTCCCACGGCACATTCCTCTGGTCGGTCTACCTAGAAAACGTCGATCCGTTACTCAAGATTCTCCATGTCCCGACCATGGAAGGGATACTGCGGGACGCCCGGCGGAATCCTGAAAAGCTGTCCCCAGGTAACGAATGCCTGGTGTTTGCGGTATACTTTGCGGCCGTTGTTACGCTCGACGATGCTGATGTAGGTGCTCCCATGCCTGGACATTGAGTTTCCCAGGACTCTGCTAACATCATCAGGTCCGAACCAACTTTAGTATTCGCAAAGAGGAATGCCTTGCTCAATTTCGATTCGCCGTGGAACAGTCGCTCGCCAGGGCCAACTTTCTAAACACGTCCGACATCACAGTCGTCCAGGCATTTGTTCTATTCCTCCTGGTAGTCAGGCGACACGATGAGTCTCGCTTTTCCTGGTCTCTCACCGCCCTCGTGGTTCGCATTGCCCAAGGCCTGGGTATTCACCGTGACGGAACACACTTTGGACTTTCTCCGTACGAAACAGAGCAGAGGCGGCGCCTCTGGTGGGCAATCCTAACTCTGGACTTTCGATCCTCGGAAGAAATGGGCACCGACTTGGTCGTGTCCGAGGGCGACTTTGACACCCAATTGCCTACTAGCATCAACGACACCGACATTACCCCCACGGGCACCCAATACCCAGTGGCAAGGGAAGGAAAGTCGGACACGACTATTTCTCTCGTGAGGTTCGAGGTCTGCGCCATGTCACGACGCTTATCCGAGGCGGCCAACAGCAAGAACTCATCTGCCAAGGGCGAAAGCGAAGGAATCGCCGAAAAGGAGCAGCTGCTCCTCGAGTTCTACAAGAGGATCGAAGACAAGTTCCTCTCGCACCTGGACGAGGACGTTGACGCGCTGTACTGGGTTGCAGCCATGATATCACGCATCATCATGGCCAAGATGTGCCTCATCATCTACCAGCCGATGCTCTTTCCAGGAACGGGCAGCGAGCCTACGGCGGAAATCCGAGACCGGATTTACATTGCCTCGATTGAGATTGTCGAGTACAACCACAAACTGAACCTGGACCCCAGAGGCAAGCAGTATCGGTGGCTGTTTCGGACCTACACCAATTGGCCCGCGATTGCTTATATCCTGGTGGAGACGTGCCGCCGTCCTTGGTCGGCCCTTGTCCAGCGCGGCTGGGAGGCCGTCGTCAGATACGACAAGGACCTCACAGAAAACATGAAGACGGCCGATCACGCCTCCGTGTTCCTCCCGCTGCGCAAACTGTTCACCAGAGCCAAGAGATATCAAACAATGGAGGTGGCGCGTCTCAGGGCCAACCCTGAAGAGGCCAGGCGCCTGGATCTCGCGGAGAGGATCAAGGCATCCCAGGCGCGATTCGATCCGATCCCGGGCGCCGAGGCGAGGATGCAGCAGGTCAGAGACCGATGGAGAACGATGGTCAATCTGGAAGGGGCCATCCCAGCCCCTCCAATAGAACAAGCACCCATGGTGCCTCCTGTATCTGAAGAGGCTCATCCACCATCTCAGCAGACACATACCGACCCCGGACAGCTCTACCAACAGTCGCAGATCCAGCCTCAGGTCAGTGGCGAAAGTTCAGTCCCCATGGACCTCTCCAATGTCACCATGGAGTACATGAACGCCATTATGGCGCACCCCAGCGTCCCCATGGCCGAGCTCTGGTCGGTGTCGTTGGGAGAAGACCCGGCCATGAGTATGGACGGAGGGCCGCAGGGCCAGGACAACATGCTCGGCCAGCAGCCGATGATGGCGACAAACCCGCAGCAAGCCAAGGGCGAGCATCATGTTCCGCCCTATCTCTGGCCTGAGTCCTTTGCGACGCCCAGTCAGAAGTTTGACCTGGAAGATGCGGACATGCTGGGGGCTGACTTTAACTGGCATGACTGGAGCCAGAGCGTCCGCGGCCTGATGGATGGGGGGCAGCCGAAGCCGGGGTGGTGAAGGCAGCCATGTGTGTGTCCGATTTGACATGTATCACGAGCTTGGGGTGTTCTTGACGTTGTATTACCATGCATCCGTACCGAGCTAATTGGGTGAGGGAGAAGCAATCAAGCTCCTGGTGTGTTTATATATAGGTATCTATGGCGTAGGGGGGGAGGTTGGGGGACTCAATACCTCACGATACCCTTGGGCGAATCAGGCGTTGTTCATTATGGGAATTAGACATGTGTGTATGAGTGTCACCTGGTGACGATGCCATTTATGGCTTGCGTTTTGTGTGTTCAGATTTGTTTTCACTTGGTATTTTTCACTTTTGTGCTCCCACATGGATTGATACTCATACGCCTCCTCTGCCAGTATTTCAAATACCCACCTAAACATGAGGCGTCTCACCTCTCAGCAGGTGTAAAGTCTCCCCTCCCTCTACAGCTTCATCGCCGGCAATACTTTCAGTTTGTCCTTGGTTGTCTACGCCAGTCAAGTTGCTCATCTCATTGGCCTATCGTGACAACAAACAGACAGACGCCCAGCCATCTGCGAAACTTGTTCCCCGACAAAGCGCGCATTCATCACCATCTCTCTCTACCTATTTTTGACTTTCTTGACGGCTAGATTACTTGCTACCGCCGACAGAAATTCAAGAGAATCACCCCTTTGTGTTGATGGGCGCCATCTAGGGTAAGTTCGCCGTAGAGGTAATATTACTCGGAGTAGTCTGTCATGTGACGCTACCAAGAATAGTTGGTCCTGACGGGAGGCTCTAGGGATCGGATCGGATGGAGCATCATCAAAAGAAAGGCCTTGCCGTCATCCCTTTTCTTTTTTTAGCGGACCGGGACTAAAAAAGCTTATCGGGGGAAGAAATACCGAGCGAACTAACGACAAGATTGGAGATCGCGAACCAACCACTGGTTCTAGCAGCTTCTGCCTGTGAACCTCGAACCTCGAATCTCGACTCTTCCCACGACACCACCATCGCGACAAACACTCCATCTCACGACGAAGCACGACAGGCAATCAATGGATCCCGGAAGACGAGCCATGATCGCAGAGCCGCGCGGCGCTCCGTCGAGCCGCCGCGATCCCACGGCGCCGCGCTCCGACTCGGGCTCGCGCGTGTCCAAGCCCAGTCGCCCAGGACCGTCGACGACCGCCCGCAACGCCGCCCGATACCTCAGCCAGGACGAGCAGTCGCGCCAGTTTGTGGCCGACGAGGACAAGTTTGTGCTGAAGCAGGCCAAGAAGAAGGCCGACATCCGCGTGCGCGAGGGCCGCGCCAAGCCCATTGACGTGCTGGCGTTCAACCTGCGCTTCATCGACGCGGACCGCGACCCCTTTGACGACGAGGACGCCGACGACGAGATCCAGGTCGACGCGCCCGCCAAGGTCATCGAGGGCCTGACGTCGGCCGCGCAGATCTCGGAGCTCGACTCCAACATTGTGTCGTACCACGTGCTGGAGACGGACCCGCGTAACCGGCGGTACTGGGAGGCGCTGCGGACGCTGTGCGCGGATCGCAGGGCCAAGCTCGACCCGCAGGGCCACGAGGGGAGGGTGGTGAGCAGCGTCGCCGACGACATTGACAGGATTCTGGCCCCCAAGACAATCGACCAGCTCGAGACGCTGGAGCAGCAGATCAAGGCCAAGCTGCGCTCCAACGAGGACATTGACACCGACTACTGGGAGCAGCTGCTCCGGAGCCTCAGGGTGTGGAAGGCCAAGGCCACGCTGGCCCGCATAGCGGAGGAGATTGAGGCCAAGAAGCAGGAGCGGCTCGCAAATCGCGCACCACGCTCGACGACGACAACGACAACGACGACGACGACGACATCCACGGCAGCGGAGGCGGCGAGAAGCAGCGGTGTGCCCGGAGGAAGCGGCAGCAGCAGCAGCAGCAGCAGCCATGTCACAGGTGGCGGCGTGGCGTCAACAAACAAGATGCAAGTCGAAACCGGGAACGAAGACGATTCGCAGGCTACAATGGCCCTCTACGACAGGGAGGCGGCCCGGGGAGTTTCTGAAAACGAAGAGGTCTTTGCGGCTGAAGAGGCCCTGCCCGACGGCTCCAAGCCCCCGCAGTGGACAGACAAGTATCAGCCTCGCAAGCCACGGTACTTCAACCGCGTGCAGATGGGCTACGAGTGGAACAAGTACAACCAGACGCACTACGACCACGACAACCCGCCGCCCAAGGTCGTGCAGGGATACAAGTTCAACATCTTCTACCCGGACCTGGTCGACAAGACCAAGGCGCCCACGTTCAAGATCATCCGCGAGCACGGCAGGCGGCGGGGCGAGTCGTTTGCCGCCGCCGGCGAGGTCGACACATGCCTGATCCGCTTCATCGCGGGCCCTCCGTACGAGGACATTGCGTTCCGCATCGTCGATCGCGAATGGGACTATAGCGCTAAGAAGGAGCGTGGCTTCAAGAGCTCATTTGACAAGGTATGATTGTTGTTGATGAGTCTTTTTTTTTCTTTTTTTTTGTTTCCAATTACCCGGTTTGCTCTCCCTGCCCGCTTTGACTATCATCGGCCACGGCTCCAAGCCTGGTCAGGGCCGGCCTGGACCATCTCTGGGCGTGTGTTTCTGTGTGTATGTGTGGCCTGGAACCGCAATCCTACGAGCGCCACCAGGAGAAGGATGCCCACCAGGTCTCAAGACAGCCGCGCCACACGCGCGGTTCTGTTGGCCGGACTCACTTCCGGCCCTTGTCGTTTCTAGTGCCTCCCTTGCTTTAGCATCCTGGACCCTGTCGAGCTAACGCTGCAACCTCAAACAGGGCATACTACAGTTACATTTTCAGTTCAAAAAGGTAAGCACAAGAGGAATAGAGGGAGAGGAAGAAGAGGAGGAGGAGGAGGAGGAGGAGGACGACGACGATGACGACGTCTCTGAGGCCGAATGGGGAGGGGAAGAGAGGGAAAGACGAGAAAACGACGAACATTGCTGACTTTGGTTTTTGCAGATATTTTACAGGAAATAAAACCCGAGACTGGCTGGGCGAGCCACAGTTGCATGGCGCACCCTCTCTGTGTTCCGTCCATGACATACTGTTCTTTACTCTCTTATTTCTTTTCTTTTCTGCCCTGATAGATGACAGAGACTGTATGATCTCCACGAATGGTCCTTATCTGGCACACCTTGTCACGGCGATGACAAAAGCAACGAGAGATGAGCGGAAGTGGACAAGCCGAGCGGACAGGATAAGACTCAGTCCACCGCACGAAGGAAATGATAACACCGATCCCTCGACCCACTACGCAGGAGGAAACAGGACTAGAGAATGGAGGACAGGTAGAGAAGGCTGCAGGATAAATTGGTACTCCGCAGGGCTGATAGACACAAAGCAAGGGAAAACAAGGCTATTCGCAGCCATGGACGGGCTTCTGCTGGCTTCGGCTGTATCTCTGCATATGCCACCTCACACATCAGTGCGCACAGTCCACCCTCTCTCGGCGGTGCTAAGCTTTCGAGATCCTGGTATCTGGCTCAGGACGATTGGCACACACAGGCATGCCACACGTTTCTGCCGCTCGTTTCACGCCTATGGAGGAGTGAAAGATGCGCGTGGCTGGGGTTCCATTTGCGGGAAGAGGCTAGAATGCTTCGCGAAGGGTTCAACAGCATCCTTTCTCTGGAGAAGCCCGGTGATCCCCGGCAGGGTTTTGGGGCCTTGATGTGTCGGACAGATTGGACGATGTGCAAGCCGCTCGATCCCACGATGCTGCTTGCCGGACGTTCTAGAAGAATCGGCTGTCCTTTCACTACGGGCCAGACAATCAAATTAAGGTCCGCTGGCTGGCATGGGACGAGCTGAGGAAGAGGCTTGCATAGAGAGAGGGGAGGGGGGAGGGACAGACGGGCAGAGTGGTGGACAGAAGGAAGAGCTGCCGGATGGGAGCCGCGTGAGTGGTGCGTATACGAGTATGCAGGGCGTGTTCCCTCTCGTGGCCTGACCGAATGAAAGCGGCTGCAGAGGCCTCTATTCGCACGCAACCAAGAATCTATGCGAAACGGGATGGGGAATGGGAAAGCAATCAAACTCTTTTTTTTTATCCCTCATGGCGGCGGCCCCCGGCTGAGTTCGCTTAATGCCTACATTTTGTTTTCCGCAATCGTCTCATGGCACGAGCCCCCGGAAACGCACCCTTTCGGCCTCCCAAGGCGCCTGAGCCGGCTCCCGCGACCCTTTGGACCATGTATGTGCTTTCGATGGGACGGGTGAACATTTGGCGTGGAAGCTTCTCTCTGGCTTCCTTGGTTCTTGTATCGATCCTCTCCTCTCCTCTCCACCTCGACTGTCTCTTGTGTCTTCCAAGGCTGGATCCCTGCCTTGAGTGCTGCTCGTGCCCGTGGGTCGATGTAGGGCTACGCAGTACGGTCGTTCAGCGGGACATCCCATCGCATCTGGCCTCACCAGCGCCGCGGAAGATGCAGCAAGCCGTCCAGGATCAACTGCTACTCTCCGCTCGCCCCCCTCCCATCTCCCCCCCTTCCCATGTGCTGCTGCCAATAGGAATCACAAGCGGGAGCTGACTCGAGGCTAGATTGTCCAAGGTGCAAGTGGCATCCCGGGGAGGGGAGCTACGTACAGCTGCATAGATGGCAACAGTTGTTTCTTCCCTTGCCTTTCCACCACCCACCCCTTTCATCCTCCCATCCCATCGTTCGTATATAGACCAATCGTGACGGCGAGAATATGGCCCAGGCAGAAGAGGCGCTCGCCAGAGGTTATCCGTGCTCCTCCGGAGTAGACGGTCCCTTTCCCCTGTGGAGACCGCTACCGTTTCGACGCGTGTCGTATCTTGTCGAGACAGAAGGCAGCCGGTGGTCATGGCATGGCATGGTTTAGGGATGATGCAGCCGCAGCGACGGCGTCATTAGCAAGCCTAGGGGGATTCCTGATTCACTGCCGGCGAGAAACCCGTGGCCGCCGATTTGTTGTTCTTCCCTGGTGGCTGTCTGACTCCTCTTCTGTGGCTCTCCAGCTCGAGCACACACGCGGACCCTCACCCTCATCCTCTCAGCCCCTCTCTCTGTCTCTTCTCCCCTTCCAACTCTGTCTTCCACCCTACCGGCCTCATGAGCTGGCCTTGGCTCTCTCCCCGTCACACAGAGCCCATCGCCTAAGCTCTGCCGGCCGGTCCATAATCTCATCCACATCTAACGGCCACCCGGCACCTGTTTCAACGAGCCTTTGCCCACGTTGCACAGGTGTAACCAGTGGCTGCTCCAAGGAGAAAAAAAAAGTACATATAGGTAGAAACGGACAGCAAGCGTGGTGTATCGATGGCCCAATCGAGGACCTGCCAGAGCTCCAGTTGTTCCTTTTCGCCCGTGGTGATGTTATTGCTCAGCTGTTTGGTGGACGGGGGGGCGTGTGCGTTGTAAAGCAGGTGATGTGTGGTGAGTTACACGAGGAAACGCCTGAGCTTTTGCTTGTTGACAAGGGTCGTTCTCGATGACGGCTGGATTGGCTGGCTGGTGTGGCTCTGGGGCGGGACAGCAAAAGGATGATTGTGCCTCGTCCACATGAGAGACGTACTGGCAAGTATATCTTTGTTCACCGGAGAGGAGCATATGATGTCTCTATTCTGGGAACTGACTTACACAATCTGCCTTCCCCCCCCCCAGCTCTGCCCGTCTACTTCTCCCTCTCTACCTCTCTCTCTTATGCCTGGCTGGCTGTCTGTCTGTATATCCCCCACTCCCTCACGGTCTCGGCCGTCCACTCCCCCTCTCCCGCTGTCCTCTCTCCTCCTGTCCATGCACATGCACATGCAAATGCACCTTGCGCACATACACACGCGCACTATCAGAGGTACCCACAGAGGGGGGGGGCAAGGTCTGAGCAGGCACCCTCTTGACACTAGTGTCCCATGGATGGTGTACGATGAAGACGACTGGGCTCACGCCCCCCGGGAGAGCCGATCTGGGATGAGAATCTGGTCCGGGAGTTTTCTAGCATCTCGGACCCCTGGTCGCGGGCAGAAGAGCGGGCGAGCAGGGCCCCCCTTCTACGGTCTAGCTACCCCATGGGAACCGGGGAGAGAGGCTGGGCCTTTCATCGTCAGATACCGCTGCTCTCTACCACGCAGCGTCTTGTTGTTGTTGTTGTCGTTCTTTCGCTTGATGGACGAATAAATACCTTCAGTCTCCCCAGACAAGGCCGGAGAACCAACCACTACGACAAGCCAAGAAGGGCGCGCTTATTCCACTCTACTCCTACCCAGCAATACCCTTTGTTCAGTCCGGGACAAGCAGCAGCGGACTCTGACAACCTCAAGCTCTCACATCACCTTGTTGTATCTTGTTCTTTCTTGTTGTCTGCTCATCACTGTCATCCCGTCGGCTGCTTCTTGTTTCCACCCTTCCCATAACTTCCCATAGCGTTCGGGTGTCCCATGCTGTCCTTCTTGTGACACTTTGTCCGCCTCCACTTACACGTCTGCTTGGGTTCAACGGCCCTTTCCCCCATTTTCCCGTCTTTGCCTGACGGCCTCGTTACGACATTGGAGAGACTTCTCTCTCTATCCTCTCTCTGTTTTGTCCTCCTTTCTTCTTTCTTCCTCCTCACGTTATCACTTCCTTTTTGTTGTCATTGACAAAAAAAGACAAGTTCCCTTTGGGAAAGCAAGCAAAGGCTCTAGCCGCCAAAACCCTCTTTCCACCCCTTTTTGCTCCGTCTTTGATACGAAACTTTCCTCCTTTGGCTTTGTTTCGAATCACACGCTCAAAGGTCCTCCCCTCCCCTCCGTTCCCGCCGTCCCATCTATGGCGTTGCCAATCCTGGGGAGAAAGCTTCCGGTGGACAGCTACACGGATTTCCGACACCCGCAGCAGACGGACCAGCAATCGTGCTTGATGGCGTGCTGCTCACCTGCGGCCCTGTCGACTTTGCCATCTGACTTTGGGCAGCAGGGGCCGCAACAGCATCACCAACCTGATACATGCTCGTTTCCTCCGGCGGTTTGCGCCCTCCCTCAAGAGCAGCAACGGCATCATCATCATCATCAGGAACAGCAACAACAACAGCAGCAGCAGCAGCAACAGCAGCCGCAGGACCTGCAAGACCACCAGCACGGGGGTCGGCTTCTCTCGCCAACGCCAGCCTGCAGCAGCAGCGACGCCGGCGGCGCCTATATGAGGCCGTACCTGTCGTCGTCGTCGTCGTCGCATCAACAGGCGAGAAGCGAATCCATCTGGCCGTCGCCTCCACTTGGACCGGGGGACATCCAGAGCTGTATATCATACCGCGACTCGCCCGTCTGCGGCAGCGCCCACCTATCCTACTACACCACGTCGCCTGCGTCCCCCAGTGGATGGTCATCCGCTTCATATCCTCCCCCGTCGACGGCGCTGTTCGATCCGCGAAACTCTGGCGATCAGGCACTCTTCCGACTGCGCACCCCCGTGTCGGCGCAGGAGCTCCCGGCCCAGCACCAGCCAGACATGACGTCCTCTACCCCTTACACGCCGGGCTTTGGCGCGGAAGCCGACGCGGACATCTCAGCTGGCCTGGGCATGTCGGCGGCGGTGCCTCTTGAGGAGATGGCCAGACGCGTTGCCACCCCGTCGCCTTGGCTGACGGACGTTTCAGTTGCGTCTGTCATGCCTAGAATGGTGGCGCGGTCGCCGATACCTTTTACGACGAAGTCGTTCAAGAGGGCTGCGGCAAGGCGCGAGGGAGAGGATGCAGGGTTCATGAAGTTGAGGAGGGCCACGCCCAAGCTTGCTTTTGCCCCTGCCCCTGCCCCAGCCCCAGCCCCGACCTCCGCCCCAGTCGAAGCCGTCACCATCCCAGACGACCCCGTCCAGACGGCGACGACGGGCGCCGGCGCCGTTGCTGTCGCGCACGAAGAGAAGAGCGACGAGCCGTACGCGAAGCTCATCTACAGAGCGCTCATGAGCCGGCCGGACTACACCATGACCCTGCAGGAGCTCTACCAGTGGTTCCGGGACAACACCACCAAGGCCAAGAACGAAAAGGGCGGGTGGCAGAACAGCATCCGGCACAATCTGAGCATGAACGGGGTGAGTCTTGGGTTCCCGCTGGACTCTTTCTTCTTTTTATGCACGTTTTCCCTCTCTCTCTCTCTCCTGTCTTTTTTTTTTTTTCCAACCTTCGTGGCGTTGCTCCCGCTTGTCATGATAAAGAATCTTGTCTTCACTTTCCTTTTTATCGGCCCTGATCGTCCCACAAGAACAGGTTCCCAGGGGCCCGTGTCGTTGGGGCCAACGCATAGAGCCGCCTCATTATTCACTGCTTTTAAATTGTGCTCTTCTGTTATCCATTTCCTTTACTACGTCGCCTGCTACTACTACTACTACTACTGCTGCTGCTGCTACTACTACTACTACTACTACTACTACTACTACTACTACTACTACTACTACTACTATATACGCATCTGGACACATGCTGACCCTCCCCTTCTGCTATAGGCCTTTGAAAGACGCGACCGCAAGCGTGCAAATGGCTCGGAGCCCTCAACGTGTACAGAAAAGACGGGCGAGTCCAACAAGCGGGCCAACGAATGGGTGCTGGCCGAGGCCGCCATCGGGAAGGGGGTGCAGAGCACGACCAGGTACCGCAAGGGCAACTCTGGGCGGCGCTCGAGCAGACGCAGCGCCAGCACCAGCCAGCCAGCGGGGGACCTTGTCGGCCGGGGCAGCAACAGCAGAAGCAGCCACCAACGCAGCTCGATCAAGGCGCTGTCGGGCCAGAAGGGCGGCTGCGCGGCCAGGAACGCGCGGGTCACCAGCCACCTGTACAGCCAGGGGCTGTCGCTGGCCGACGGGCGCCAGTACCGGCTGATCAAGAGCGGCCTGGGCTCGCCGCCGCCCTCAAGCATGCCGGACGCCTACTACTCGATGCCCATCGCCCTCCCGCGGTTCGATACCATGGCGGCGGCGCACGGGCACGATTTTGTTGGAGCCCCAGACACAGCAGCAGCCTCGGATCTCTTCGGGCTGCAGATGACGGCATCAGGACCACGCGCCGGCGGCGGCAGCGACGTCTCTGCCTCGTACATGGGCCACCATCATCACTCACAGGAGCAGCCGCTATACGTACCGGACTTCCCGTATAACATTGCAGATGTCCAGGTCCAGCTGGACTACTCGGGCGAGGACGGCAGCGCCGACCTCGCGGCCCAGCTGCGGCGATATGAGGCCATGACGGGCACGCCCAGGGTCGGCTGGGCCAGTCCTCACGGCATATGAAGGAAGCAGCAGCAGCAGCAGCAGCAGCAGCAGTAACAGCATGATGAGACTGTTTGCATCATGATGAAATGTTGCTTGCTTGCTTGCCCTCCGACTTGCTTTGCCGCCTGCTTGGCCTCTAGTACCTTGCTCTTCCTTAAGTCTCGCTTGGTTTCGCTTTGCTACGTTGTTACCTCATGGAGACAGAGAGGAATACCCAGACAGACAGAGATACAAGTTCCCTCAAGTACAGCCAAGGAAGGCCCAGCAAACCTTTGCCTCAGCAATACAAGTACACACACAACTGATGGAAAACCGAGCCGGTTCTCGGGGGGCGGAAGAGAGTTTGGCATACACAGCGTCACGCTTGGACGGTTGGCCGTGTTACACACATCCCCAGGCTGCCGTTCCGATTGGCGATGCAATATGACGGGCCACACACACACACACAGACAGACAGCACACATACACACATACACCCACTCCTGTCTCTCTTTCTCTCTCTTTCTCCCATAGGCTCACCCACATGCTCTCACACATGCACACGTTTTCTTCTTCTTCTTCTGGTTCTTCCCCCTGCTGCTGCTCACCGCGTCCCGCATGCCCATGTCAAACTTGCATATGCACGCGCAGGCATACACAGCAGCCTTCCTCACGGGGACGTATCCGGGATGGAAGGGTGGCGAGTACGTGCGGGCATGTATGGCAAGCAAGCATGCAAGCAGCTGCAAGCGAGAGCTTGTATAAAGACGGGCTTCAGCATGAGCGACGATAACGGCAGTAGCCAATGCTGTCAGCGATGAAAAAGCACGCAATTCTATCAACTAGGTCACGGTGGAAGGGATTGCAGAGACACCGCCACTACCAGAGTCTCCAAGCAGGATAAAAGAGCAACAACAAGCAAGCAAGCAACAACAACAACAACGGCATCAACAACGGTATCAACAGCAACAACAGCACTTGTCATGCCTATCAGATGGAGCATTCCTGAACTACCGCAGGTTCTAGACTTGCCCGCCCACCGGGCTGCTGCAATGGGACTCTCACGCCCCCCCAAAGGAGAAAAAGAAGGCGGAACTTGATACTTTTGTACGATGGGTGCGGCCCATGCGTCTTCTCAACGTGGCTCATGCCTTGCATGGGGTGACACAAGAAGCAAGCATCAGAGCGCCAAGCATCAAGCATCGAGCATCAAGCAATCCTCTCTTGTACTCTCCAAGTCTCGCGCGCATCACTCTCACCCAGTATCAATCTCTCTCGAACCGACCTGATTGCTATATCTGGAGTCACTTGATGCATACGCCGCCTCTTTTAATAGTCCATGGACGGACATACAGCATACGGTACAAGAGAACCAAACAAGAGATAGCGAGGCCGAGAGAGAAGGCCATGGACAGGGATGTCGTATACTCTTCCCTCTCCCCATGCTTCGTACAACATACCTACATGCAGAGCACACAAGGGCCATCCAGCCCATGGCCATCTCATACGAACCAACAGCCCGCCTGCAAGGATCCTGGGCACATGGGCGGAAAGCACGCTCCATGTCTTCCCCGTCTCTCTGAGCTACCTAAACAGGCGAACACAAGGCACTACTGGCCATCACATCACAACCTTCTGCGCAAAAAGGCGATGCCGCCGCCGCATAACGTGCATCTCTCTGTCATAGCGGAGCAAAGAGGGGGGGTGTGCGTATGTATAGATGTGGAATGGATGAGATCCGTTGAATCGTGGAGACACACACGCAGAGAATTCCGTTTACTTTGGTCTCTTCCTTATTGCCGACGAAAGGAGCTTAATTAGGCTCTGTTGTGCGGGCGACGATCTTGGAGACTACATGTCCTCATGTGTCTTGGCTCCCATGGTGTTGGGATCCAGATCCAGCCTTTTCCAGGTTGGTTTGGTGGCTTGGGGGCTTCTGGATGCTCTTCGATTTCGCAGCTCTTCTTATTGCTTACTGTTTTTGGGCCCTTCTTGACGGACCATCTGCTTTTTTTTCTTTTTTTTCTTTTTATGCTGGGAAGTTTTGCTTCCACCGCTTCCTTGGTTGATCTCCTTTGGCAAGGTAAAGGTTGGACCGATGAGGCTTGTGTGTTTGGTATACAAACGAGGATGACTCTTGCGATAAAAATCCAATTGGAGATTTTGAAAGGTATGCTGATTTTGGGCATTTGGATGGAAAAAGAGCATACGTTAGTGACCTGGATAATGGTGTGTTCCTCCTCTCTCCGGCCTGTTGTTCAAATGGGCGTCTTTTATACTGCGGGAGCGAGTTTCCTTGTCTTGTTTCTCATTTTATGCTGCATGCATGTTTTTGCCTCTCGATCTTGTTTTTGTTCTCCTGCTCTTTTCTTTTCTTTTCCTTTTGCTCTTTGCCTTTGGCGATGCCTGCTTTCTACTTTGCTTCTATTTGAGTTGAGTTGCACTTCATACCCATAGTGTTTTCTCCTGTTTCTCAATTTGTCCTGTCTTTTCTCTAAAGCTTAAAGTTTGCTTGTTTCTGAGTTCTATAAAGGTGGTGTGTATGCCTTTAGGCTAGTTTATTTGAAGATGATCTCACTTGTCTTTCTGATTCTGTATTATTGAGTGCCTTATCCCCGTACTATATCACACAACAAGCACGACTTGTAAGCGGTGATGCTTTGGGTGACAACCGATTGCCAGAAACAGTCAGTATAACTTTACTAGTAGAAGCACAAAAATAAACAGACAAGTAAAAAAAAAGGAAAGAAAAAAAAAAAAAAGCAAAGAGGCAAAGAAATTCAGCTTTCGCCCTCACCAAGCCGGCAAGTTCCGACCTAGATAGGATAAAAAAAAATCTTCCTAGCGTTAGATTTCCATCACGAACCAACAACACGAGAACACGAACGTAGTACTAGTACCTTCTGCTCTCTTCTTCTGCCTTCCGGCAGCAAGAATAGTCAGGGCCAAAGGCACCATTGCGCACTTCACACGCAGAAGGTACTTCATGGACGGACAACAAGGGTGGGGATGATCAGATCAGGTCCCGTCATCACCCATGCGTCAGCTGGGCATCTTGTCATATCGGGATATCGGACCAAGAACGCAACCTGCCCCTTGCTAATAGACTAGAAGAGAGCTGTAGCTGTGCTTGGGCCTGGAGATGGCGCGATTGGGGGGGGGGGGGGGGGGGTTCCAAGATGAGAGATGACACGCCACAGGCGAGTCCCAACATGGGTTTTCGATCAAGAGTCGGTGAAGACAGACGATGGATGATAAGATACATGCAGGAAGCATCGGAGTAACGCACTCGGACGTGCTCATGATGCATCATTGTTTCGTTTTGTGGGGGAGAGACAGGCGTGACAACAACAAGAAACCCAGTACGGCGGGTCTCGGCATCTCTCGCCAACAGGAACCCAAAGGAAAAGAAAGCAGCCAGCTAGGAATACAACCCCTACATCCCCGGGCACACAGTAGTAGTGCCCTGGAGCCGAGTCTCAAGATGACATTCGAGGGGATTGGGGGGGCGTAGACATGGCGTAAGGATACCTCATCGGTCCACAAGGTTGTCAAGCCTTCGGACAAGGCTGGGTAGGTGCATGAGGTGCATCGACAGTACACACCTCTCTACCACGTTCAAGGATACCCCCTGGCTCCTTTGTCTGGAGGATCTTCCCGGGGGCAAGGATATGGGCGTGGGCCTCGGTATGGCGAGCGTGCTTGTGTGGTGGCGATGGTGGGATAGACGCAAGGACGGCAGGAGAGGAGGCCCAGAAACATCCAGCCGCATGAGAGTCCCCCCATGTACGACTCGTACGAGTACCACCGTTGAAAAAGAAAGAAGCTGCATAAGGGCGTGGCTTCTTTCTTGATGAGCGAGGAAGAGCATTGGCTGAAAGAGAAGAATCAAGACGAGGTTTTTGAACCTCACAAGTGTTGGTGTACTCATGGATGAAAGTCAACAAGAGCTTCTCTCTTCTCGACATAGTCTCTCGAATCGGGCAAAGGGCTTGACTAACTCGGATAGACGTGATCGGGTGAGGTAGATAGAGCCAGAGGCTGGCATCTGCTCGCGGCCGCTCGTCAGATCGAGAATATGTGCAAGAGTCTCGAGCTTCCGTGATGTTCGTCTAGCTCGAGCATGCTTAACGCCGATGGACCTGGACGATCGATCTCCGTGCTCTTGAGTCCCGAGCAGCCATCGAGCGTCTGCCGTAATACTACTCACATGAGAGTGGCATCTAGCGGCAACAGAAGGACTGACTTGACGCTTGCACCATACATGAGGACATAACCATCAAGCCTCGGTGGACGACTAGGCACGCCCAGCCATTGGTGGATAGCTCCTCTCCCATGAGAAGCACCTTGGTGGCACCCTCCTTGCTTCCGGAGAGTTTTGTCCCATGCCCTGCCATTGTGCATAGACAACACATGGCATAACTCATGCAAGTTAGACGGTGGCTCTATCGGAACCAACCTGGGCCTGCACCAACAGTGCAAAAAGCCCTCGATGCGGTGCATTGCAGATCCCATTCGCATTCCCTTTGGCCCTCACCGCTACGCACATTGGCAGCCGCGCGAGAACATTGCCCGTCAAATCGAAGCAACTCCGGCTACTTTTCAGGTACCCGGGCGGAAGCATCGTGCTAGACGGATGCACGGATCATGGCTCTAGAAACCGCTCTGCTGAACACTGTCCCTTGCGTCTTTGCTTCCCCCCCTCTACCTTCTCGTCCCTCATGTGCACGCTTCGCCATTTCGATGGTACCTGGTCTGGCACTGGCCATGTGTTGCCTTGAGCGTGCCAAAGAGACCCCAGACTAGTAACCTGCATCTTCGTCCCATGGACCTCACTCCGGCGAGCAGCACCACAGGCGGGCGTTGTCCTCGCCCAGTCCCTCAGGCCCCGGCGATCATGTGGTCGTACAACAACCGGGGCATGTCGGGTTGGTGTCGAATGCTGTACAAGTAGCGGCAGCAGAAGTACCGTAGTAGTACGTGATGCGGAGCACAACAGCATTCCGTCGTAGTCTCCGGTTTCTCATCTTCATCTCAGGATACGGCCATCCCTGTACGTACCTCATGAATACGAAGGATGTATGCCTAGACACGCAAGACAACAGCATTCAGACGATGGTCAATCGAATAGTATTAGCGAGGAGCACTCCTTGGCAGCATGAAAGATCTTGAGCCACAGAGTCAGCAAAGAAATATCACTGACAAGGTCGCGTGGCACTGAGAAGTTGTTGCAGATTAGTGGACTTGGAATTCGTACGGAGTCACAACCATCGAATGTGGGAATTCCAAGCGAGGGACCGCCGGCAAGGCCCACAGGTGTATGGCAAAAAGGACTCGTTGAGAGCCATATCTGCCATAGGCTTTTCTCCGAGTGACTTCACTCCCCCTTTCTCTCCCAATGCCGTTGCGGCTCAATACTTCCCTAATCATGCCTCCAAAGAGTGGGGAGAGATTCTTGTTGACAAGGAGGCTGGACGAGGTTTCGTGTGGCAGCCCTTCGGTCCCGTGCAGGCTGCAAGGCGAGCTTGGCTGAGTAAGGAAGACATATTGGCTTAGTCGAAGGGCTGGTGGTGATGCATGTTGCTTCTTCCGGACTCCACGCTGCGGCTGACAGACAGTAGACCAGAGGGCTGAAACGTGCGATGCGTCCACTGCTACCGTAGCACCCCGGGACGGACGGATCGAGAGCAGGAGTGCATATGCCGGGGATAGGTGGCCACCCTCGTCGCCATAGTCCAGGAATATGGGACGCAATCTGGGCGCTTCGTGGTGATGCCCGATGCCAGGCAATGAATCCTCCTCGATAAGCATAATGCTGGTCGGCGAGCAAGATCGAGCGAGTCAACATCCCTCCGTTGTGGCTGCAAGCCCATGCAGCACTGCCTCTCATTGTCCAGGGGTTGCTGTTTCCCTCCTCTCTTGATTCTCCTGTCATGTCTCTCGAACCGGGATTACAGAGATTCCTCGGCGTTAGCCGATCTTCGCGGTCTGGGCGCTGAGAAGCCATCTCATCATCGTCCTGGAGGGTGGTCACGGGCATGCTATCAATAGCATGCAGGTGCTATATAGTGTCCCTTGGGCAGCCTGATTTGGAGGATCCACAAGCAAGACGAATACTATGCTTCGGGTTGACCATTGTGACACCATGTAGTTGCTGCTGAATCCTCGTTCCACCCTCGTTTTCGTTGCAGAGTAGTATCCAAACCCAAACTCAGGCAACGGTCGCGGTCATGCTGTGCAAAGAGAGGCGACTTTGCAGCGGGCTCCAGTATCTCGGTGTCTCGTTTCAAGTCTTCAGCCCGATCCTCCCACCTGGGGTCGCCTCGCATCTTGACGTTGCTGTGCGACTTGGAGAAGCAACCTCGTCCTGGCACCATGCATAGAGTAACACTGCTTTGTCAAGCAGCCACCCAGAGAACCCTGTCCTAGGCAATGTGCATTGACACCTCGACCGCTACGCGGCGGTTTACCGTACGGCTAGCCTCCAGCTGAGGACTTGACAGCCACTCGAGGTAAGGAATCAAGCGGCCCCATCCGCAGCCTGCCTCGAACGTGATATGACACTGGCCCTTTTCGTACACGCGCATGCAGACGTACGCGCCCAGTCGAGTGATGGATCTCGCCAGATGAGCGGCGTCAGCCGCAACAGCCAATCCGAAGCCGCGGCCGTCATATCTCCTCAAAAACCTCTTTTTCATGTTTCCTTTTCCTTCCAAGACTTGTGGTCTCCTGCTTGAGCCCTGTCGTAGCACGGCTTGACCACATGCATCCCATGCTCTGTCTCAGACGCAGTCTCGGGCGCGGTCGGGCGCAATGCATGCCTTCGGGATATTGGAAGGAGTGCTTCATGCAGCGCCGGGAGTCCACCTACAGTAGTTTCCCTCAAGCAAGCAGGAAACAGGGTCGGCCGACGATGCTTGGTGAAGCAGAAAGACGGGAGAGAGAGAATAGGCAAAATCGCCTCCGAGGCACTTCGAATGGCACTGACCGCCAGGAGGCTCTTGTTGCGCTGATTTCTTCACGCTTCTGCAGCAATTCCCAGGCAACATATGCCTCAAGCGGCGGATCGTTTCCTTTACGCCGTTACTGATGCTCTGGCTTGGTGTTTCTTGTCTCTCTGCAAGTCGGCCAAATGGATGCCGCTAGATATCAACCGATGTCAAAATGGGTCTCCGTGTAATGCATCCGCATCGGCGTCACAATCATCACGCAACGGCGGGTGTTCGTCTGTCTCTTCCAGGTTCTCTGTCTCTCAGATTCTCTGTCTCTTTCAGATTCTCCGTCTCTTCCAGAGCAGAGGGGGCTGCTGTTCCTCTCGGATACCTTGACATCTTCACTATTCCCCGTGCTTTTTCAAAGTCGATAGATCCAATGAGAGAACTTCCTGGAAAGCTTTGGTCAAATAAAACCTAGAAGGAAGATCGTGCAGGTCACCTACCTCAAGACGTAATCTATCCTCTGCATCGGACACAGTGGTAAATTGTATATTGATAGCCTGCGTATTTGGCAATACATCGATGTGTGTCGTCTACTTGGGCCGCCTACGTGTCAAGGCTCGAGCCATAGTCAGACCATATGTATCAAGAGAATACCTGTGTTGCAATGTTACACGAAAGCTTGGAACATGAGGACGGCAGTGTTCACACACACGCTTTTTTGAGATATTAACCATAAAGGACAGGGTCAAGGTCATGAGCCATTCGGCTGCCGACGGAAGACTTGCACACCAGGGCCAATGCGTATGATGGGAACCTATGTGTCGCGCGATGAGTTGCTGTCAGCAGGGGGCGCAAGATGTTGAGCACTAACTTATGCCGACAGCGTGTCGACAGTTCCAGATCGGAAGTCCTAGAGGACACCGTGACAGCATTTCGTGATCGGATTTGAAACTGTTGAACTCATACGCTGCATAGCAACGTGACATACAGATGGCTCAGGGGAGGACGATGGGTTTGACCGACGGTAACCTTGTAACCAACTCTAGCTAGGATGGAACGACTGCTGAACTGTGGTTGCAGAATATATGCTTCTTGCCGTGTCCCAAGAGGCACGGGAAAGCCCAGAAGCGTTGTGCAACCGATATCTCGGCCAGAATGAGTGACTATCGCTATTGAGAAGCTCGGTGATGAGGAAATTCAACAATTCGCTGGCCACGATGAAGCCATGATATAGACGCCGTGCTTTGATGATGCTGGATGTTCGAAAGATTAGGCCGCCGACTTAAAACCGCCTCCTTTTCTTCGCCGGACCAGCCGCTGCCTTTCTCTCGAGCTCCTTCTTCAACTCTTCGCGCCTCCGATCAGCACGATCCTGGGAAGTTTCTCTGGGTCCGTCTTCGTCATGGGATCCCTCCTGCTCCGTTGGGCGTCCACGTTTAGGACTGTCAGCTGCGGGCGCTTTTGAGCTCTCTGCATCTGCCTTCTTTCCGATATGGCCCAGCTTCTTTGGAGCGGGAGGCTTTGTAGTCGACCGGTCCTCCGTATACTCAGTCTCTTTGATCTCGGCAGCTGCTGCAGTCTCTGCCGCACGCCTCTTTGGAGTACCCCCAATGTGTCCTAACCCTCCAACCTTAGGGGTGGGCTGGGGTGATACTGGCGCAGGCATCGACGTCGGCTTGGGGGAAGATGCAGGAAGATGGGTTGAAGTCATGTCTTCGTCACTGGCTTCGGACGCCGTTTCTACATCGTCTTCCGGAACTGGGGCCGTTGTAGCCCGCGACCCAGTGGCCTTGGTATTCTGTAACGAGCGCTCAGGTTTCGATTTACCCGAGCCGGAATTGGCCAAACGTGACGCAGACTTTCCTGTGCTGGGTTGCGGATCTTGGTCAGACGGCGCTGGCTCCACTGTCAAATCATCTTCATCCGCTGTCGACTCATCGTCCGCAATGGCTACAGGCGAGCTTTTATGCTTGGACTGAAGATGTGGAGGCGTTGGCTGGACTTGAAAGTCGTCATCCTCTGCACTTGTCGACTTGGCTGCAGGTGATGGCGACTTCTTCGCTGATGGGGTTGTTTGCTGCTTGTGACGGTGCACCAGCTGTGACGTGCCCTTGAGATCCTGCCACCACTTATCCAGAGCTGGGGAGGCGTCCACTTGTATCTGGTAGCGTCTGTTCAGTCCTTCTCCGCTGAAGACACTCCGTGCAAGATCGCCAACGTTGGTCGGGCAGTCATCGATTGCCTTGAGGCCGGATGTCCAGCTATCTTGGCGAAACGGCGCCAGGCCCTTCACTTTGTCTTCCGCAGCGGCTCTCGACACCTTCTTTCTTCCCGAAAGGGACGTAAAGACGTGCTCGAGGCCTGTCCCGGTGGCCTCCAGCTTGTCAGCCAACTTGGCAATGACTGCGTCTTTCTGCTGCAACGCCTGCACCAGCGATTCAACCTCTTGGTTCCTCGCAAATTGCGCCTCGAGCAAGGGCAACACGAGATCAGTAGCAATAGCCGACGGCGGAGACTTGCTGAGATGGATAGGCCACCTGAGAGGTTGGAAACCCGGGAGCGGGCAGGTCACCAGCAGGGTGAGGCTATCCTTCCCAGCGTCTGCGGAGGAGCCCGGTGACAGGGTGAGCGAAGTCTGCCCATGGCCCGGCTGCGTGGGATCTAGGGCCGATCTCAGACTCGCAAGGAACTTGGCCATATTCTCGGGTGTGTCGCTCGGGTCTATGCTTGTGTTCTCGCTCCAACCCCTCATGAAGATGGCCTTTCGGTCCAGGCTCTCGACCCAGATGTTGGCCATGTCAGTGATTCGGACGGTGTACGCGGCCGCGCCAATATCTACCGAGACAAGGAGCATCGGTATGTCAGATGATGTGGCCTGCGGCAACGGCCGCCAGGTCAAGTCGCTAGACATGGTGCCACCACGATGTGTCCCCCAGATGCTGCCGCAGGTGGAAGAAGGAGTGTTGAAAGGTCAAAAGGGCCGCGTGCTTGTGAGGCAACACCCGTGTGCCCGTTAAGGGGGGGTTCTCGGTGAATACAAGCTGGGGTTCTGTAGTCGGAGCAAGAGAGAACAGGGTCGGCGTTGCACCGAGTGCTAGGCCGTGCGCAGCAAATCCGGCAGTCTAGGTCTGCCGCAGCGGATCTGTAGCCTATGGGCCGTCGAGATGGTGAGCTCGTGAGACGGACGCGGCCCCTCAATATCTGGGAGGCGTAGACCAGGTCCGCCTTGTGCCACCGAGCGGGAGAGGGCCGGCGGCGTTGGATATCGCTGTGTCGCCTTGAGCTCAGGATGATTCACATCCAAAACGTGTACAAGTTCGGCACGGCTGTCTCTCCTGAAGATGCCCTATGGATGGAACCGGAATCCTTCTGGAACCGAGGCGGAACGCGTTGAGGCCCAGCAGCGGCGCGGTCTGGCGATCGATAAGGCACCATTGAATCCTTGCCGGTGGCCAGGCAGCTTTTACCTGGGTAGTGAATCCGGACTGCGTCGCAGAAAATGTTAGCGCAAATAGCGGCTCTGCGCTCGGCCGGCACTTTGGCCTGGCGGCAGTTGCCCGGAGTCGCTGTCGAGATGGCGCATCATTCACCAGCCAAGGTCGCAGACTGTTTTGACGACGATCTGGTGTTTTAGTAGGAGAGATGCTGGTCAGTACTACCTACCTAGTAGGTATGTGGTAGGTGGTGAATGAAGTTTGGTGATGCTTTTCCGGAAGTAAAATGTGCTTGTAGCTGTGATAAGGTCGCACCTTCCATTACCTATCTTGTAGCCATCAGTACTAGGTAGTAAGACACTTCGTACCGTATACTGGGCTTGTAGAGTCATTGTGTGAGTGACGCGAGGTATGTAGTACCCTTAGCGCTACCACCCATGATGACGATGATCACGCACAGCTCCCAATAAACTCGTCAACAACCACCTCTTCTTCCGAGAGACGTTGCAACACCGCATCATTCATCCCCTAAAGAGCTCCCCGAGACGTAATGCAAGAAGCCATTATTTATAAATGCCCCAGTCTGATTCGCCTACCGCTGCAATCACCGTCTCCGCCTTGTCTCGCCGTCTGGCGCAGGGATGCCAAGCCACTCCAATCGCGCCGAGTTCCAGCACCCAAAACTCGATCTCAAGACGCCATTGACGCAGACCACATCGAGGACCCTCAGTGCCATGCAAAGTTGAAAATCCAGAAGGGAGAGTCGTAAATAGGAGCGAGGAAGCTGAGACTGAAACTTTGCATCACCCTGTAGCCGTTTCCACACTATTTCCAATTTACAAAGTACTACATCTGTCATTTTCAATCTACAGACCCAAAAGCGTTGTAAATGAGCCTCAGGACTATCCGTGCCATCAGCCATCCTCAAGTCGCAAACAGAATCTATTCACAGCCACTTTCGTCGCTACAACCACCGCAAATTTCTTCACCGGCATTGAGATTCAGTACCATGCCTTTCAAAGGTGCAAAGAGAAAGACGGCTGTCCCTGTGGACAAGGCCAACGGGTTCCATACCAAAAAGCCCAAGCATGAAGCCAATGGAGGCGACCTTCGACAACCGCATCCATTCGCTCGTGAAGCTGAAGAGCATGGCATCGTGCTGCGACGGTTCTACCCTCCTGAGATGAGCAATTCTCGAGCTCAGGCGTACATCTCGGATCAACTTCCCAGGCCCATGGAGGTCCTCGTCAAAGCTCTGGAAGAGACTGCCCAAGCTCGCAAGCAAGTCAAGACCAAGGACGCAGTCGTTCATTGGTTCAAGATGGACCTACGACATACCGATAACCGATCGCTTGCACTGGCCAGTGCTAAAGCGAAAGAAGCTGGCGTCCCCCTTGTCTGCATGTACATCGTGAGCCCCCAGGACTTTGAGGCTCATCTTACCTCGCCAGTCAGAGTGGATTTCATGCTGAGAACGCTGAGCGTCCTGAAGCAGGACCTGGCAGCCCTCGATATTCCACTGTATGTGGAAACAGTGGATAAGAGGAAAGATATTCCACGGCGCATTTTCGAGATCATGGAAGAATGGGGCAGCAATCATCTCTTTGCCAATATCGAATACGAAGTTGACGAGCTACGCCGAGAAGCTCAAATGGTGCGCCACTTTGCAGAGAACAACAAGTCATTTGAAGTTGTCCATGACACGTGCGTTGTGCCTCCGGGGGAGCTACATACTGGTTCCGGCAAGCAGTACGCCGTCTACAGCCCCTGGTATCGCGCGTGGATGGCTCATATACATGAGAATCTGGATCTCCTGGAGCTCTTTGATCGGCCTGAGAGGAATCCAGACGGGGCGCGACAAAAGTTTCAGAAACTCTTCGATTGCAGCATCCCTGATGCGCCAGAGAACAAGCGGCTCAGCGATGCCGAGAAGAAGTCTCTGCGTGCCTTGTGGCCCTGCGGTGAACATGAGGCTATGGCTAGGCTCGAGAAGTACTGCGATGAGGCCATTGGCGATTACCACAACAAGCGGAATATTCCAGGAGACGATGGCACGTCACGGCTGTCTGTTCATCTTGCGAGTGGAACGATTAGCTCTAGGACCTGCGTTCGAACGGCCAGGGATAGAAACAAGACGAAGAAGCTGGATGGCGGCCACCAGGGTATCCAAGTCTGGATCAGCGAAGTCGCCTGGCGAGACTTTTACAAGCACGTCCTCGTCCATTGGCCATATGTTTGGTAAGCTGTGAATCCTGTACAAATTTCTGCGGCAAGTATGTATACTAATGACAACAAAATCAGCATGAACAAGCCATTCAAGCCAGAGTACTCCAACATCCAATGGTCCTATGATCGAGACCATTTCGCCGCATGGTGCGAAGGCCGGACGGGGTTTCCCATTGTCGACGCTGCGATGCGCCAGCTCAATCACATGGGATACATGCACAATCGGTGCCGAATGATTGTCGCTTCATTTCTCTCCAAGGACCTGCTCATCGATTGGCGCATGGGGGAGCGGTATTTCATGGAACACTTGATTGATGGCGATTTTGCGAGCAACAATGGCGGTTGGGGGTTCAGTGCAAGCGTGGGAGTCGATCCCCAGCCCTACTTCCGCATCTTCAACCCGCTGCTCCAGAGTGAAAAGTTTGATCCCAATGGCGACTACATCCGAAAATGGGTTCCGGAGTTGGCGGGATTGAGCGATAAAGAAATCCACGATCCCTACAATCGAGGTGCCGGTACGAAAGCGAAGAAGGTGGGCTATCCGAAGCAGATTGTCGAGCATAAAGGCGCAAGAGATCGTGCTTTGAGCGCGTACAAGGAAGGCATCGAGAGTGGAAAGTAGAGAGAAAGTCGAGTTTCTGGGAGTCAGCGTTGAGAGAGCAATGGTATATCTATTAGTCCAGATTAATATGAAAAACTCTCAAGCTGAACAACTAAACATGTATGACCCGTATCTGTACTATGACGAGCAACCTTAACCGCCACAGCTTTTTGAAGGCCACATGTTTCAATCTTCGGCTCGGGGGCTATCGAAGTAGCCCCAGAATCTCCCCGATCATGGAGAACAGAAAGGCGCTCGTTCGAGGAGACTTTGCTAGCCGGTGGGTGTTCAGGGAGATAGACGGTAGGAAATGTTCAAATCAACGTCACGTCCGCGTCGCATACTTCATTGTCGCCAGAATTGTCTCGAAACGGAGCCAAAACGCCTTGAATTGGATTTGCTATATGCAGCCAACTCTAGTTTCCACGCCTGCCTTCATACCCGAGCTAATCCCTACAGCCAGGTTAGCGAAACCTGGGTTCCTCGAATTCTCGTCGGCGGTTTCCTGTCGGCATTGGTGTGTACCTCCTCCATGTCTTCTTTTTTTCGTGATTTGCAACAAAATGGAAAAGATTTATCGCTGAGCGCTCCAGACGCTCTTGACGAGACCGTCGCGCTGGGCCAATCGGTTCAGAGAGTCGTCGGACTCGCCCATGGCGCGGATGAAGCCGCAGAGGGCATAGACGTGGTTCTCGCCGGGGACGGCGCGGCCGTTCTCGTCAACCTTGGCGATGGAGATCTGGACGGAGCCGTGGTCCTTGGCCTTGATGATGCGGTTGGTAGCGCTGCACTTGCGCGGGACGTAGCTGGACGGGCAACAATCAGCATTCCGGCATTCCTCCAGCAATTCTGCAGGAATCCTCCTTACAGGTCGACAATCTCGCCACGGTCGTTCTCCATTTTGGCTGTGAGGGGGGGGGTATTAAGGTGGTGGTGAAAAAGGCGGTTAGGATGCGTTTGGCGGGAAGAGGTTGTCGAGGGCCGTTGTGGTGGGATACAGCGAAAATTCGCCTAGGAAATTTGACATGGCCCATTGAATTTCGTGGGGCGGGGAGGGCTTTCTGTGCGTCAGCTGACCCGTCATGTGACACCGTGGCGATTCCGCGACTCTGCTGTGCCCCACTGTTTCTCCAGACGGCGTGATTGATATTGATGGGACCAAAAGCTTGGACATCATCGAACACGCTTCCAAGGTAGTCTACCATACCAAAGTTACCAAGAAGGACAGTGACGCCAAAGATCAGGAGTCAGTCGATGCGGTTATCGACAAGCAGCTCTCGTATCGGTTTATGAGTGCCACCTTGCAAGCTCATCATTTTGCTGCGCGGAGGCTTGCTGAGATGCGCGTTGCGCTCTCAGAGGTCTGCTCTCGGCGTGATGGCGTCTCCTAAGGCTTTCCTCTCCTCGCCATCACGGAGCGCCAACCGGAAATCTCACTTCTTCCGCTCATCGTCGCCTGATTTACCAGCCATTGGGGATATACTATCACGCGGTGCCAGGACTCAGTCACCAAAATGCGACGACCCGGCATTGCTCATCTCATCGGATGATGAGACGGAATTCACGAGAGCACGAACTACGCCGCATGCCGGGTCTTCGCAAAGGCCAAACCCACCAAATTCAAGGAGACCTGAAGCCGTAGAGGCAGCAGATACCTCCCTGATCATCATTGACCCTCCCGCCCCACGGACCCCTGAGGTTAGAAGGCATCATGCAGCGCCTCCCCGATTCAGATCGCAGTCTGGCTCCCCGGCGGCGGATCAACCCTGGAAAAGGTTCAAGTCAAAGTCAAACAGTTCTCAGAGTGACTTTGATGAGCCAAAACCGACTGATGTGGAAAAAGCTGAATCGATGCCGGCTCAAGAGATGACAGATGCGCCATGTCCGGGGGCCATGATCGAGTCATTGCGGAGTGCAAATGATATCAATGCGCCACTCAGGCTAGAGCCGGCCATGGTCCGGAGGATGGACTGGACTCCTCCATCTCACAAGCCCACAGCTATTCCGAAGCCAAGTTCTCCTGCTCTGAAGGGCCTGCGATCACTGGGAGAGCCTGGTGGAGATGCGAGGAACTTTGAGCAGCTTCTCGAAATTTACAAGTGCGCAGAGAATTTCCAGCAGAGTGCTACAACCACTACGGATGAAGATGCAACCATATTTCGAAAGCGAAAGCTCGTCGAGCTTGTCACGACATCTGCAGCACCCGCAGAAGCATCTGCCGACGCAGGTAATATGGGTCCCCCAAAACAGAAAGCAAAAGCACCGAAGAAGAAACCGCGTACCATAACAGAGATCGCAACATCGGCGTATAGGGCTCCAGAGCCGCCAGAGTCAGTGCCATTGGTTGCCGACGAAGATGCCACATCCAAGGAGCCAGATGCCACAACTGCGAAAGGAGTGAATAAGGCAAAGGCTAGAAAGAGGACGTCAAAAGCTTCTGCAGCCAAGAAGAAGAAGCCGGCTCGACCTCCACCACCAGTCTTGTTACCTCCAAAAGAGGCGCTCCAGGAAGTCGCCCGGCAAGATTTTGTCTTTGGGACGTCAAGCCAATTAGCGGTTGAAGCTTCGCCTACCTTTCTGCGGGATCTCCATGCTGCAATGAGGCGGTCTAATCAAGCGGAATATATAGATCTTGACGCCCTTCTGAACAGCGATGGCGTCGAGCCGCGAGAACGGAAAAGGTTATGGGCTGCTGGTGCTCGCGACAGTGACGGAGACTTGTTTGATGTTGAGTTGGCCAGAATCATGGAAAGGTCTTCTCCGCCGTTGCCTGCGCTGTCGGAAGATGATCCTTTTGGGTATACCGGCGGCGACAGGAAGATCACTCTGCCTATGGCGAACTTTGATAAGGTCGACGCAAACTCACATCGTGAGCCTCTCATCGGGTCAGTCGATAGTTCACCATCCAAGAAAATCGAGGCCACCAACTTTATCATCGCCGATAACTCTGTACAGCTGGGTAGCGATATCTCAACCGGATCGCCCGTAGCGAGACGACCCAAGCCAGCTGCCGAGAGTCCACCTCCGAAGCCACAAAGCGGTAACAGCGAGATAAAGCAAGCCGAGTGTCAAGCTTCAAAGCCCTCTTTCGAATTGTACACAGATGCTCGACTCTCCAAGGAAATTGCCTCCTATGGCTTCAAGGCAGTCAAGTCGCGGCAGGCCAAGATTGCCTTGTTAGAACAGTGCTGGCAAGGCAAAAACCAGCCCGTGCCTCGTGGTGCGAAGAGAACAGCCACTACATCTGCAGCAGCAGCAGCAGCAGCAGCAGCAGCGGATGCTCCACAGAGTGAGATCAAGACCCCTCGTGGGCGGCCGAGGAAGAATAGCGGGAGTTCACCCGAGGCGCAGGAACCTCCACCATCAGCACAGCCGCCGGCTTCACCATCAAAGCCTCGGGGCAGACCCAAGAAGGCAGCTAATGCCGCTTTGACTGCTGGAAAGCGTACTGCAGCAAGCTCCTCCAGGGCAAAGAAGATGCCATCAAAGACAGCGGCAGAAGCATCAACGGCACGGAAACGCAAGGCACCGGCCGCCAAAGTCATTGTCGAGATTCCAGATTCGGCATCCGAGAGCGACGGCAGTCTATCGCCGAATCCATCACCGTCTCCCGAGTGTGCCTCCTCACCGCTGCCAGTCGATCTCTCCATCTCTGTCATGGACGACACCGATCCGTCGCTGTCTCTTCATCCGACGGAAGATCGGCCCCTCAGCCATGAGTATATAACCAAAGCAGTCACCTCTGCACCAAGGACGACTGATCCCGCCAACCCTTCATGGCACGACAAGATGCTGCTTTACGACCCGATTGTGCTGGAGGATTTGACGACGTGGCTGAATTGCGGGCAATTGACACGCGTGGGATTTGACGGCGAGGTGAGCACCATGGAGGTGAAGCAGTGGTGCGAGTCGAAGAGCGTGTGCTGCTTGTGGAAAGTGAATCTGCGTGGTAAAGAAAGGAAGCGATACTGATGGAGGCGAGGGATTATGAGCACCAGGGACACGAGATCAGGCATGAGCATGAGCGTACAGGAGTTTCAGTGGGTTGTTGTTCTTTTTTCCTTTGCTGCTCTTTGTCCTGATTCCACTTTCTCTCCATCTAGCCTTTTGCGTTGTTGCACAGGACCTTGCCGTTTATTGTATAGAATAGATTACCGCTTTTCCCACGAGAACATGCTCACACTCACGACAGTGGCAACCCCTTGCAGCATAGCGCAATGGATGGCTCATGGCCCAGTTTATACCCGCGTGAGATGAGATGAGATCGGGGCCCCATTTTCTCCAGCCTTGGGAGTGATTTATAGGGCAGTTTCTCTTTCTCCCCCGCAAACTAAGGGCAGAGCCGGCAAACCGGACCTCGGCTCGTCGCCCCTCTCCGTGCAGTAAACAGGGGATGCGGGACACGCTGCATCTCACCACAACTCTCAGATCGCCTACCTCTCGATTCCGCTCCTTTCAGCCTCCGATGAATCCGGTCTCATGTGCACTCATCACCAGGTCGTTGCCTCGTCGTTTCAGCAGCCTGGCACCATCATCTGAGTGTGTCCGTCTCGCTAATCCTAGAGTCGTCCTCATGGCGTCAAAACCGCCGACCTGGACGCGTCTCTACTCGTCGCCCGCGTCTGCCCAGAAGGAAAAACAGAAGGACTCTGGCGCGACAAAGAAGCCGGTTCCCGAGCCGCGCCCGAGCTCTTCCATTGTGCTGCTGTCTCCCAGCAACGAGGTCCTGCTGCTTCATCGAGTCAAGACGTCCACATCATTTGCATTGGCGCACGTCTTTCCCGGGGGAAACTTGGATGCTTTTCACGATGGCGATATCCCGGCTCCTGGGTCGAAAGAGCGTCATGTTGATGGTCCGGCGTATAGGCTAGGTGCCATTCGCGAGTGCTTCGAAGAGACGGGCATCTTGCTAGCCACAAAGGACGGGCGCTTAGTTGATTTGCCTCAGCAGGAGAGAGACGAGGCGAGGAAGAGGATTCATGGGAGTCAAATCAAGTTTGCGGATTGGCTCAAGTTGATTGGCGCAGAGGCTGACCTGGGTTTGTTCAGAGCGACTACTCTTTCATGGAAGACTGCCTGTGAGTTGACACTTCTGCTGTAGATGGACTCATTCCTTTCACGAGATGGGTTACTCCAGTCGGCGTCCCGAAGCGCTTCACCACTCAGATGTACCTGTATCTGATCCCCATCTCCCGCACCGGCGTGCCCTCCGAGATGCTGGTTCCGACACCCGATGGCGGCGTCGAGCACACCGAGGCTCTCTTTGCTCCTCCGCAGACGTTTCTCTCGCGCGTGGCTGCGAATGAAATCATTCTCTTTCCACCGCAGTACTACATCCTCTCCCTTCTCACAAAGTTCCTCAAGGGGCCTACGGCTTCGGTGGAGGAGGGGCCTGTTTACTATACGAAGCAGCGCAGGGAGCTGCTCAAGTTTGTCAAGGCGGTTCCGACGGCGGATACGGAGAAGGGTCGTGAGCATCCTACGGCGAGCATTCCGTGGGCGGACAAGGTGATGAGTCCGCACAACTTGTTCATCAGGAAGAGCGATAAGAGGGTCGTGTTGGGTCTGGACAAGCCGGGGCCGGAGCTCAAGGACTCAGGGAGAGGAGGCGATTGGGAGAGGGTAGTGTTGGTGAGTTTCGGTAAGGCTGGGCCTTCTCGCGTGGAGGTCCGGTTGCGAGAGGATGTGTTGAGGGAGGAGAGGGAGGCTGCCGCTGAAGGGTCGAAGCTGTGATGTATCGATGGCGGAGGATTACCTGGGGCAGGAGTATCGGGGGCGGCCTTGATATAGATGAGACTTTCACCACCTATCATGCAATAGATACAAATACATCAACTAGAAGTATCAAATCTGGATATGATCAAGCAAGGCAAGCAATCTGCAGAGATGCTCTGCCTCTTATATCAGGCTAGAAACATCACACCTTAAGATGTTTGGTGAGCACCCCCGCCCCGACCGCCTTTGGCATAATTTCTTCAGGCATATAAGATACCCTTCTCTCTTCTCACTCTTCTGTCACTTTCCCCCCCAACTCTCACTTCTCACTCAAGCTTTCATTCAACTTGTTTTTCTTTCTTCTTCCTTGTCTCCAATGCTGACGATTAATCCCTCCTCACTCCAGGATTGCATCGACATCTTGATACCTCTTTGTCAAACTTCAAGGTATCCTCGGCGTGTGGTCCCATGATCATATCTTCAGCATCTTCAAACTCCATACAAAATTGCCTTGTATACTACTCCATCACGATGTGCTGCCTCGTGCCATTGCTAACCTCCAGCAGCAACAAAATCAACGACCATGTCCCAGTCTCCGATCACCAGCCAACAACAGATTCAAAGCGATAAATTATGCTACCCGCCATGCATCTATATCACACCAGAGGAAAAGAAACTGTACAAAAAGCTGAAAGACGTCTACCTCGACAACTACACCACCTGGGATGCTGAATCCCGCGAAGCGTGGCCTTACATTGTCGAACACGCATCGCTTCCAAAGTCGACCGTCGGCAAAATGACAAACCATTCCATTACGCGGAACATGATGTGCACCAAGGTGACGTGGGCTCACGTCGTTGCCCTTCGAATCATCTACAAGGCGCAAATCTTCAAGAGCAAGAAGATCATGAAGCTCATCCGAGACAAGTACCCAAGGGGCAACTTCAACACATATGCCTTCCACGAACACTACAGGACGCACGTAAAGGTTGACGAGAATGTCAAAGCAGAAAAGGCAGCGCAAAAGAGCCCTGCTGTTGCTCTCAACGCACGTGAGCCACGGGATTGCGTGGAGCGGCCGGTTGGAGAAGCTTCACAGCCCGCTGCTCGGCGTCTGAACGAGTCCTCCAATGGTTTCCTCAGTGATGAGGAGGATGCTCGGCAGAGTACATGGATCGTTGCTGCGCCCAGTTCTACCAGACGTGAGCCTACCTCCGCGGCCGAGAACAGGGGAAAAGAGGGCCATATGGCAATGAGCCAGCAAGACAAGGACGGTGCAAACCATCGACAGCATGTTGCATATCCGTCAAATCGGCGAAAAAGGGCTCTCCCCGAGGACATTGAAGGAGAAAGCGAAATCAGTCACAGTGCCGCCCGAGATCTCAAGCAGAGGAAGGGAAAGCCATCTACTGCAGCCAACGACGACCGCACACACGCCACGAGCTCAGGCAAAGGGCGGCATCGCGAGAGAGAAGGGAGGGGCTGCTCCCACAGAGAAAAGGAGGACCGCGACGATGAGCTAGACCGGTTTATTCAGGCGCTGACAGGCTTTGGCAAGTCCCTATCGGAGCATAGCAAGGCTGTGCATCGCAACTCGGAGCTACTCGAGAGACTGACTGAGCAGATACGGAAGAGAGGATCGAGAAGGGCTTGAGGGGGGGGTTATATTGCGAGATACAAGAGCAACTAGAGATGGATTCTTCTATCTGGTCTTGTGGGAGAAAAGGAAGATATTTGAAGCTACTTGAGAGGTTGGAGGTTGTTGTCATGCTTCAGTTTGGGGCATGTCATGAAGCAAAAGGGCGGAGGGAACAATTGATTCCGGACGGGGAAGATATTGATGCATCTGAGCTAGTAGTAGCTCGAGTCTCGCTCATATCTCAAGTCTGACCAAGTATATGGAGTAGACGTCTAGCAGAATGAGTAATATATCGTTCAAACGTCGCCTTTGGTATTCTATTCAAAGCTTGTTGTTCTCAGACGCAAGTTGGTCTGTAATTGACTCTAGGGTAAGATGGCGGATGTCTTATAAGCGCCCTCCAGTAGTTGACCAAAGTCCGGCTGGGGGAACCCAAAGCTGACACCCACAATCGATACTATCCGCCCGACAAAGTCCCATTGAGTCAGATATGATTCAAGTAAATCTAGAAGAAGCCGGATGCTGTGCTAGTAAATCAAGTAACCGGTTAGATCATGGACGCTTTTGGCCATCAGGCCATCTAGCACAATACATCTCGGCGAATTATAACCTACACTATACCTTTCCTTGCCATGTGGTAAAAGAAGACGATATCTGAAGACGGGAACATGTACAGTACTTCCCTAAGGTACCTACTAGGTATCCAGCGTACAAGACCTTTAAGGAGCCCGAACCGAATCGAAAGACAAAGAAAAACAAAAGCAATCAAATAAAGTACAAGTACCTCCCCAAAAAGAAACGGTCAAGCTGCAGAAAAAAAAGCAGCAGCCACAGCGCCGGGTCTCTGCGCTCTGTGCGTGCATTTGAGCAAGTTTTTGAGTCGTTGCACAGATGCCGGCCTTTCTGTGTGATACGCACCCAATCGGGACATGAGCCGCGTGCGAATCTACTACCATGACTGGCGCTGCGTGTGCAAAAATCTACATACTACTTGTTGCTCCATGCGTGTCTCGTCGACAAGGCTGTGGATTGCGAGGCACTGAGACAACAACAACAAAAGTGAGACATGTCATTGCAGACTCACCCAGTTCTTATACTATGCACTTATGATACCAAGATGTCAATGATATTCCATGTGATCGAGGCATTGATCCATCCCAGCCCAACCTTTCTCTCCTTTCTTCACTCATCTCAACCCATCATCACCCAAAGCCCCCCACCCCCTCATTCACAGACCCTGTGCAAATTGTCCACTCCACAAACCGCCTCTCCCTCGACTAACAGCAATATTGTGCTCAGATCATAGCAGGAGATCCACGACTAAACAAGGGAACCAAGCAGCAACAAGCCAATCGAATCACCCGCTCGTCATCCAGCCTTGGTCCAACTTATATGCTCAAAACAAGCTTAACAGTGACTATGTACCTACCTAGACTAGAGATTCCACCCCCCTGTGGCCTATCCAGGTACCCTTCTCTTCCCCCCCTCCCCGTAATGTGCCTGTACAACTGTCCGCCAGCTGAGATACTACCTTGATGGCCATAAATATCGTCTGTGTATCCCCCATCCCATCACATTCTTCAGGAAAGCAAGAAAAGGAAGGAAGAAAAAAAAAAAAAAAAAGGCCCTGGCCCATACTCCCCCAGCTGTGTGCCCTGACCTTTATACCCCTCCACTTCTTTCTCCTCCTCCTCTCTCTCTCTCCTCCCTCCCTTCTTCACCAAACCCACCCCCCTTCTTCTTCTTCTTCATCTCCTTCCATCACCACCACCACCAAACAACATATCCATCCTCACGCAAAAAACACACAACAATGGCCCTCAAGTCTCTCCTCCTCGGCCTCGCTGCCGTCCAGGCCGTCACCGCCCACTTCGCCGTCGTATACCCCGAATGGCGCGCCGACACCCTCGCTGAGGAAAACGAAGACAAGTACAGCCAGTGGGACTATCCCTGTACGTCCAGACTATCACACCTCATTCCCCTTTTCCTTTTAACTCATGCTAACAAATGTATTTCATCAAAAGGCGGCGGCGTCCCCTACAAGGCAGGCAACATCACCAACTGGCCCCTCGGCGGCGGCGCCCTCCAGCTCGAGCTGCACCACCCCTGGACCTACCTCTTCGTCAACCTCGGCCTCGGCGCCAACGCCACAAACTTCAACATCTCCCTCACCCCGGACCTCGTCAACGTCACCGGCAAGGGCACCCTCTGCATCGACAAGCTCGCCGTCCCCGACGACTCCATCAAGGAGGGCACCCTCGCCTCCATCCAGGTCGTCACCAGCGGCGAGTCCGGCAGCGCCCTCTACAACTGCGCCGACATCCGCTTCACCAAGAACGCCACCGGGCCCAGCAACTGCTCTACCTCTGACGGTCTGGAGATGCACACCATCAAGGAGGATGATGACGAGGACCACGACCATGACAACAGCACCGACTCGTCTTCACAGGATGGTGCGAGCGGCAACGGCTCTGCTCCCGCCGACAAGAAGAATGCTGCTGCTGGCTTGATGGGCTCCGACAAGTCTGTTTTGGCCACGGTTGTAGGCCTCGCCGTTGCCTTTTCCCTGGGCCTGGGCCTGTAAAGTTGACGTGACACATGACATAAATGATGAGGGGGTAATACGTTAAATACACCAAGACATACACGAAGACGGGGGCTTGTCATGCCTAATGAATTGAAAGATAATGATATTAGCGCAGTAGCGTAATCTTCAACACCTGATGCGTATATGCTGCCGTCTCTCATTCTTCTCTCTGTGTCTGTCTGTGAATGCCACCATGCAAACGCCATATGAAAAAGAAAAAACAAAGGAAAAAACTAATAATGGTACAAGAAGGTAAAAGGGGGTATATGTACAGGCAAATTCTTCAGTGCAAAGGTATCATGTAAATATCATAGAGCACAAGAGGAGGGAACAAGGGCAGAGATGACAAGGACTAGATAGAGCAGATAGCAGGGAAGGGGAAGATGTTTGTCGATTTCTTCTTCCCTGCTGTAGTCAGTCAATGCCAAAAGCCATAGAGCCGCACGCTGCTTACTCCGGTGGTCATCCCATCTTGTGCCTGCTTCGAACACGCTTGCCATCTGCCTCGTAAAATGATGTATGTGGTTCCCAAGTAAACTCCAGATCCCAATGTTTCTGTCGACTGTTCCATGACCGAAATGGTGGAAATGCAAAATATATAACCAAAAGCAGGTGTGAAACGATGTGAATGAATAGCTTTACAGGATAAGCCATTGTAGGCCTCGTCCCATTAGCGGCTTGTGCTTGTTGCCTCCACGGAAAGTTCTTTAACGATCCTCTCCATCGTGATCCGCTGAGCTGGGTTCGGCGCCAGCATGTCCCTGACCAGCCGCTCCAAGCGGTCCTTGGGGTTCAGCTTCTCTCTTGCTTCGTAAATCTCCGTGAGCCAGTCCCTCATCTGGTTCACCGCCGGCTGGCCATTGCCGTACTGCTTATAAGCGTAAGGCGGCGCTGGCTGGCCATGGATCTGCGCAATCTGCCAGTACAGCGGCTTGGGATGCTGCCTGCGGGCGCGCGAGTCTGGGAACTTGATGAAGCGCAACGTGTAGAGCATGGTGACTCCCAGCGCCCAGACGTCAGAGGCTGGGCCGCGGCTCTTGCGTGTGATGAACTCGGGAGGGATGTAGTAAGGAGTTCCGCCGCCAGAAGGTGAGCTCGCTGCCGGCGTCGTCAGCCCAAAGTCGCAGAGAACGGCGCCACGCTCGGGCGCGTACAGGATATTGGCGGGTTTGATGTCGTTGTGTACGAGTTTGCGGCCGTGGAGGTAGCTGAGGGCGCCCGAGATGTCGCGTAGTATCCGAACAGAGTCTTCGCGAGTTCCGACGAACTCGTCAGTAGCCTTGTTCCTCCATTTTGTAGGAGAAGTGAGGTCTTTGGCGTCAACGTGTTCCATGTAGAGGCTCAGGAACCTGGCATCTCCTCCGTAGTAGCGTACAATGGAGTCATGTTGCAAGTCCTGTTGGCTTTGGCACTCTCGCAGCCACATGTCTGCTTGGCGGATGACGCTTCGCTCATGCACCAGCGGCTTGTTGTCTGGGTTGGCGACCCTCGTCTTGAGCACCTTGACCGTGACAATGTTGTTGGGCACCTGCGAATGTGATGCAGTATAGACTGCCGACAGCGCCGTGGACGCAATGGGCTCGCGCTTCGTCAAGTGGTACTCGTCCAGCTCATACACTCCATTGACGGCAATGGTCTCGCCCTGCTCTGCGTCCAAGAGTGCATGGCCGTTGGAGGCAGACACTTCCTTGGCCTCCCTCGCGTTAGGAAGGGGGAAGACGAGAGGGTCCGCTGGTCCCAGAAACATGATGACGCCATCGTCGCGTCCGCCGCCGGTGTCCGTAAGCCTTCGTTTCGCTCTCTTGACGTCTTCCTCCGGGGTAAGTGCTCTCTTCATGCTTGCGTTGACTTGGTCAGAAGTGACGAATGATGGCGATGATGCGGGCGAGTCCTCCTCGGGCACTGCCAGCGAGACTGGCTGCTCATAGATTGCCACTGGACGTTTCTCCAAAATGCGAAAGTCGAGTACGGCAATGTCTCTCACTTTAATTCGAAAGGTGCCCGGTGTGAGGCCCTTGGCGAGGCCTGGGTTAATGACATGTCGTTCACTCGGTGGAGGGCTGGCAGCGGCGGCGACATGAGACACGCGGCCGAGCAGGATGGGCACATCCGACCGGTTGAGGAATATGACCTTGTCGCTGGCGGGATCGTAGTAGAGCTCGCACCAGAGGGGTGGCCGTGACAAGTCGTCCTCGGCAGATCCGGGGATCCTGACGGAGAACTTGATGTCCTTGGAGGTCTGAGTCACAGCCAGGACCTTGTGCTCAGGCTTGTCCGAGGAGGCCACCTCGGCGCGCAGGGCTAGCCACTGGCAATTGTCGCTGCCGGGGCTCACTGAGCGTGTGCCGGGAAGCTTGGTGAGAGGCCGCACAAGGATGCGGATGCCTTGTTTGTGGTGGTGATCTTCGACTTGCAAGACGTCGAGCGGAACGGCCTCGGGGTCCGCAGGGATGCCTGGCTCATCGTCTCCGACGCCGTGGAATCGGGCCTCGATCTCTGACTGAGAAAAGGGCTCGGTTTTCTCCTCCGAGACGCCCTGTGAGGGCTCGACGACCCTGGTTTCGAACATGAGGATGGCAGATGGTGCCTTACCAAAGGCCCATTCGCCAGCGGTGATGTTGTTGTCTCTCTCTACAACTCAACCTCCAACAGACGATGAACGACGGGCAACGAAATGAGTGCCTTGGATATAGAGTGGAGGGGGAACAGGCAGGCAAGCAGACTGGTTAGGCGGATAAAAAAGTACAGCCAGCGTACAGGTATGTAGGTAGGTAAACGTTTTGGTTGTGTACTCAGCAGCAGCCTGGGCAGCCCCAACAGCAGGCACACTCGTCCAGGCAGAAGCCGGGCTGACAGGAAGACGGTATGGATGGTTGAGAGGAAGCAGGCAGAACAGCAGCGGGGTTGACTGAGAGTGCAGATAGGTACTTGTGCAGATATGTGTCACAGCCAGCAGCAGAAGAAACAGCAGCAACGAGACGCAGCACAACGTTGGCAGGTTCAAGTTGAAGATGGTGAAGGGAAAAAGCCAGCTATTGCCCATATGCACAATAAATGCAAGGAGCCAGCAGCTGAAGCGCTATATCAGCGTCTGGTCATGGTAGCCAGCAGTCAGATGGCCAGAGTGCAAGACGAGGTTTCGGGCCTGGTGATGGAGTCTCAGCCGCCCGTACAGTCATGGACAGGTACAAATAGGAACGCTGGAGAAGGAGGGAAAAAGGCAGCCAACCACCAAGCCAGTGGGCACCGGGTGTGCCTTGCGGACCGCGCGGGCGAGACAACTGAGACTGCACGCGATGGGAGAGCCCCAGGGCGGGAACTAGGGGAGACCAGCCAGCAGCTGGTTGGTTTAGCCTCTCTGTGATGCGAGTGCTTGGTAGCTTGTTAACTGATAGGGACTCTGGACAGAGCACGACGAGGCGGGCAAGCGTAGGATTGGTGATAGACAAGGACCTTGCAAGACGATGGAATGAGGCGGTGCCAGCTCCTTGTCCAAGCTGCGCCTCATCCGCACTTGATAGCGGACAGAGCACGACAGACATCCCATGAAGCTGAGATAGGCTAGAAGGTATCCTTGCGGCAGCAACTGCTGTGCAGAGACCTTTCGGCTATCTGTATTTGTTTCCTTGAAGGATTCTGCTGGGAGCACCGCGACACTTTCAGGTTGTTGAAAAATAGTAACACTGCAGGAACTTGTTTGAAGCCTGTTCACCATTTCCTCCTAGGCCGTTGTAGCGGGAGATGGCAGTATCATTAGGATGCTGAACAGCAGTCAATGACGAAAGCATATTGCATGAGCAACTCACCAGACACTCTCGCGCCCGCTGCAATAAAGCCACAAACACTGCATCTCACGAGGGAGAGGATGGGGAGGATGGCAGAGTGAGAGCAGCCTCAGTTGCATCGAGGCTGAATTCCACCCACGTGATGCGTCCATAGAGCTCCGAGTCGATGTAAAGAGCCTCACAACAAGCTTCTGTACAAGGTGGTGCGAGTGACCGTAAGTAATCACTTGGGAGATCCGGCCAAACTTGCGTCAAACCGAGTTGGTATGCAGGACGCCCACGGCATCCTCCTGATCAGTCGCAGGCCGACTCCCCCGGTTGGAGGGTTGTCTCAGCTGCCTGGAGGAATGCGACTCTTCTCACGCTCGAGTCCAACAGTCAGCCGCAAGTCAACGTGACGGCCTCACACTCTGCGTCTCGTGTTACCGCGGGCGCCCCAGCAAAAGCATGTTGGTACCTGTGCGACTGGTCACTTGCCACTCGAATTCTGCGAACCTCTACCGCAGCCTGTACCGCAGTGGCGCGCAGGCTCTCGCAACTGATGGCAAACGGCACACCAGCCACAGCCGCCCGGAAGCAATGGGCAGGCCATTGATACGAGCGTCATCCTCTGGGCAGAGTTTTCTTCTCTCGACCAGGGTCCGCCAGCGTGTCGCCGCCGTTAACGGCCGCACCAGCTGAACAGTGTGGTGTGAGCGAAGACCACTGTAGCTGAGGCTATTGGGCAGCGACAGGGATGCTGGTCGAGGATAGCATCAGCAAGGGAGGGATCCATGTGCTGGCCGCATGAAGGAGTGGAACGAGATGCCAAATGCGAGCAAGTGTGTGTGCATGTTTGGCACCCGGAGACGCACAATCACATCATCTCAGCAGCAGCGCACAAAGCCGAGATGAAAGAGGAGAAAGACGTCGAAGCGAAGAAAAAAAAAAGGGTGAAGTGACTTGTCCTGATGATGCAGCATCTGTATGCGTATGAATGATTGCGATAATAATGAGAAACATGCCTGTGAGGACGGTGAAAGAATTTCGAGACGCCAAACTGATCATCGTGATCGAAGACAAAGGAAGAAACCGCCAAGAACAGAAATCGAACAAGTCGCTGCTGCCCGTCCAACCTGCAACCAGCCATGCAGCAAGAATAGCACGCACAGCCCAAGCTTTTCTAGGATTCAGCCACCGCCTCATGATTGGTCGCCTTTGACGGAGCTAGTGCAGCGCTAGGATGATGCTAATCTTGATCAGATCTAGTGCCTGCCGCAGCCGAGACCAGCAGCCAACCAACGCCGAGACGGTGGGTGCCGGGTGTAGGGCAAAGTGAATGCCTCAGGCTGCCACGGCCTCACGATCGGGTGCTGGGGGCAATGGGTATACGCGCGCCTCCCCCCAGCTGCTGTGGCAGAACTCCAAGGGCCCTGGCGACGTCGTTGAGGCCGCATCTCTAGCACTCTCCAGCACATTCACCACCTAATCATCATCCTCCCATCGCCCCCCCAAAGAGACTCACGACGACACGAGCAGCTATTCGACCAGTGATTGTCTGATAGTACTCGTCAGTGACTCTCCGCCATGGCCATGATCGCGACGAGTCCTATGCTCTAAGCGAGCCGTGTTGTTCTCGAATAACACCTTGCTCTCCTCACTTCTGCACCCGACGACTGCGCCTTTTGTATACCTAAATCCACCGACTCAACGCACGCCTTCTTCTCCCCCCCCGCCCAGCCTCTCTCCTCTGCGTCACTCGCGGAGAAACAACTCCCGACTCGCATCATGGACGACCCCGACATCTCATGGCCCGCATGGAAGTTTGGCCTGAAGCGGGACGACTTGTTTACGACGCTGCACGATCAGTACAACACCTTTACCTACACCCTGCAAGACCCCGAAGCCTTTCACCACGATGTCTACGAGATTTCCCACCGTGCGGACACGGCCGAAGAGTTCCATCGCTTCATGGCGGCTCGGCAGCGGCAGCGGCTCTCTGAACTCGAGGAGTCCCTTGAAACGCTCGCTGTAGAGATCATTGCCAACCCGAAGTTGATCGGTTCTGACCAGTGGCAGCACGCCCTTCAGCTCTTCCGGACCAAGTCGTTCGACTCCATCGTCCGATACTTTGCAAGCTACCTCCCCCATGACTACCTTGAGCGCCACGGGCCAGGCTCCGTGGCGTCGACGTCGTCGTCGTTTTCCGAAGCCGATTCTATTCGCACGACCAGCACAAAGGCCAGCAGCGCCGGCGATGCTCCTTACTTTGTCGACGACGACGATGACGGATTCTTTCCCCACGACTCCATCACCGCCGAGCCCTGCGCTCTCGATGCCTCCGACATGCCCCTGTCGCCCGAGTCCGAGGGCTCCCCATCCGAGTCGGCCGATTCGCCGGCATTCACCTCGACCAACCCGCCGTCGCGGTCCATGTCCTTCTCCGGCAAGCGCTCGGAACACTTGGGCTCCCACTTTATCAGGCGATCCTCGATTCATGACGACGACGACCAGACGTCTCAATCCGACGACGGCGACACGACCGTCACGTCCGTGTGCGATTCCACGGAGACTCGATCTACCTTTGACCCAACGGATGTCGCCGACGAGGGCAAGGAGGAGCACCTACCTGTACACATTGTAAATGGTGATGAGGAAGACGATGATTTCCCTCCCGCTCAACTACCCGAAGACGACTTCTGCATTTTAGACTCACTCGATACCGACTATGATACCCTTGACTCCGACACCCCTACCCCCAGGCAAGCCCCCGAATCCACAGGCTATGTCGACTATAAAATTCCGATTCTGCGGAAATCATCACCACCGCAGCAACGCCCTTCATGCCGCCGCTCTCCATCGCCGAGATCGCTTCTTGGCCGGCGGCGAGAGGGCACCCCCCCCCAAGACGTCCGGAGGAGTCCGGACGAGGCGCTCAGCAAGATACAAAAGCAGCCGCTGGGAGAGTCGTCCGTCCGGAGGAAGCCAAAGATCAGTAGCAGTAGCAGCAGCAGCAGTAGTAGCAGGAGGTGGTTGGCTTGACCCGAGGAGGCGGACGTGCGGCGCGGCGCGCTGGGCTTGTACATATATCATGATGCTCACTGTACATATTCCGAGTCTTATGACACTAATGATGATACAAAAAACATGAGAAAAAAGAGTCACGATCTCTCGCCCGTATGCGATGATGTCATCAAGTCTGGCACTTGTGGAACGGTGCTCATCTGCTATGGGACTTTTACCAAGTCAGCATGAGCGTCTTTGTCTGGTTAAAGGTAAGGTATATATGACCCGATTCCAAATGCTTTTTGTTCTTTTTTTGTTTCAAATCTGCTTTTGTCAACGACGTCGTTTTGGGGTCGAATGAGCGGCAAAGCTCATCACGGCTCTCGGAACGTGTGATCAGTTCTCGCATCACTTGCGCTGAGGTTGGTCACATGGCAGTTACCTATGCAGGAACCAGGAGTTTGGACTGCTATTTTGCATGTGAATGACGTCATTTCTCTATATTCGTTTTTTCTGTTTTTGGGTCTCTTGAATTTCGTGGGGATCCTCTTTTTCTTTCTTGGTTTGTTCTTGCGATATCGTTGATGGGTTTTGGTCTTTTTTGGAGTTGTGGTCGGGTATCTAACAAGTGCGGGAGATGGCTGAAGTTTACTGACTGCTACCTTATGTGTTACTCAACCTCACTCGGACTCTCTCGAGATCAACGCTGTTCGCTGAAGGTAAGGAAAACTCATACGGCGACGAGCTCCGTGATTATCCCTTCTACCTATCTGCTTGGTAAGTAAGTTACTTTCGAGTACCTACCTATATCGTGTGTGGTTGTATACTTTACCGTGCTTTGTCTGTCTCCTTGGTGTCGGAAAAGATACCCATATATGGCTTGATAACAGCATCAAAGGAATTGATCACGTCTCAACACCCCTTCATATAATGATCACGGCTGTACATTCTTCAAACATGGTTTCAGCAAATTTCCAGTACTCTAGATAAACAAAAACAGACGCGAGAAACGGATACACCCCCCTTCAAGTTTCAACCCAAACGAGGATTCAGATACGGCAGCTCCTCAACATGCTCCCTCCAAATCGCCAGCGCATCTTTCCCCTTGTCCACGCCATACAGATACGGCTTCTCATTGGCAAAGCACGCCGTCTCCTGCTCCTGCGGCAGCTCCCCATGCAGGATGAACCCCTTGGCAATGGCATCCGTGCAGTCGGACTTGTCCCGCGACGAATGGCCGTAGCCGTGGTGCGCAATCAGCCGCGCGTTGCTGCCCATCTCGGCGAGCAGCCGCCGCCCGTTGCGCAGCGGCGTGGCAGGGTCGTACGTCTCGGCAATCAGCAGCACCGGGTTCTTGAGCGTCTGGTTGAGGTCGCCGCGGTAGACCTCGGCGGGCGCGGGCCAGTACCGGGTGAAGCGCTGGCAGGGGAAGACGTCGAAGAAGCGCGAGTTGCCCGAGACCCACGACTTGGCCGTCATGTTGGCCCAGAGCGACTCCCACCAGTCGAGGCCGTCGTCGGGCAGCGCGGCGTCGTAGCCGTCGGAGCAGATGACCAGAAAGGTCAGCTCGTCGGTGGACGGCTTCTTGTTGGGAAGGGACGGCAGGGAAGGGTCGTACTCCCATGACGAGTGCTCGAGCATGATGGAGGCGAGCGTGGAGTTTCCCGCCTCCAGCTCGTACAGCAGAGTCGCCAGCGCCGGCCATGAGAATGCATTGTAGAGGGAGCCGTAGATGGCGCCCACCAGGCCAGAGTACGTGACGAGAGACGGCCCGCTGAAGTTTGTGTAGCCTGGCACCGGCCGCGTAATAAGCGAAGTGATGAGCGCTTCCATACGGGACTCCAGACCCTCCAGCGTGACAGCTTGGCCATCAACCGGCTTGGCCAAATCGCAATGGTCGGGTCCAGCGTTGATGCACTCCCCAAGGAAGCCATCGTGCCAGGCATCCGTGGCATTGTCCAAGGCGGTCCAGCCAAAGCCTCCCAGAAGCCTGTGGTCCTTGACATACTCGGTGCCGTCCAGGATCATCCTGCCCACGCTCGACGGAAACATGTTTGCATACGTCTGCCCTATGCCGGTGCCGTATGAGATCATGTGCGCCGTGAGCTCCTCTTCCCCAAGGGCCTTGCGGATCTCCTCCAAGTCGCGCGCGACAAAGGCCGTGCTGACGAACCGAGGCAGGTCGCCGTGCATCTTGTAGCAGGCGCCAAAGATGGCATCGTTCAGGGCATCGGCAACCTCGAGCTGAGCCCTCGGCGAGGCGAGGACCTCGCGGTACTGCCCGGCAAACATGGACCAGTGGTCTCTGTCGGCGTCAAAGGGGAAGCACGAGAGGGCGGGCAGAGTCGTGTTGACGCCCCGCGGATCCCAGCCCAGCACGTCAAAGGCGCCGTCGCTCAGACGCTTGGAGAAGATCTCGGCGGATCGCCAGACCAGAGACGTTCCGCTGCCGCCGGGGCCGCCGGGCTCAACGACAATGGTGCGCTTGCTCTTGCGGCCGGCTGACGGCCTGGAGCGGCCGCGGACGGGGGCGAGACCGGAGACCTGATACTTTGTCACGGCAAGGCGCGTGATGCGGGCATCGGAGGCGTTGGTGTAGTCGAGGGGGACGTCGAGCCATCCGCAGAGATAGATGCCGCGGCCGGCAAAGGGGTCGTGTTTGGGGTGAGCCTCGGTGTCGTTCTCCGTCTTGTTGCCCCAGCTCCAGTGCCTGGGGTTTGGATCAAACAGCTTCGACCAGCTCTTCTCAGGATGGGCGTCATCGAGAGCAGGAGGGACGGTCACGTTGGTGCATGGCAGAAAGTGAAAGGGATCGTTTCGCTTGGGAAATCTGCCGTAGGGAGAAGGTCTCTGGTGGTCATGGGGCGGTTCGTGATGATTGTGGTGATTGTGATTGTGATCGTGATCGTGATCGTGATGTGGATGATGATGGGGAGGATGAGGGTGAGGATGACGAGGAAGCTGGAGATGATGATACAGCCCGGCCAAGCAGACAAAGGCAGCAACGCAGGCCGCCCTGAGGTGCCACGACCTGCGCTTCCTGTTCTGCGGCGCAGTGGCTACGGGCAACGAGACCTGTGAGCCCGTCTTTTCCATCTTCCTCTCTTGTCTTTGTCTTTGTTGTTATTAATTATTACAGAGTCGTGAGGACAGTCAGCTGTGATAAGAGCTGGCTCACTCATTTATGCTGGCAAAAGGTACCCGGGACGCGCACGCAATTGACCGGGGGTGGCTTGTTTAGTAGTGCCCGGAACGGCACGAGAGGGGGCGCCTCTCCTCACCCAGTACCTAAGTATGTTCCTCAGCATGACACTCGAAACAGAGGCTTATACTGTTGGTTCAATCATTCAAGATGTTTGAAAACCCTTTGACAGCTCCATCGATTGCTTCTGAATACAATGAATGTATGTACCTCCTACCTTATATATGAAGGTCGTGATGGTCGGCCACGCTTGGTTGGCGCTGCATGCATACTTCCCTGTACTCTATTACCGTACGTGGACAATGAATGCCAACACAAGGCATCCTATGTACCTCCATAGTGATAGCCCCTGGCTTTGAGATTCCCAATTGGCTTGGAACAAGTACTACGTATTCTGGAGGCTTGAGCAACGCATATCTTCCGGTTGGTTGCCGCTTCGGGAGCCGTACCCAGGGACCAGAATATCCTATTCGGGTGCTTCAACATGAGTGGCGAGCATACCTATAGCATGTACATACAGTCCTCACATCAAGTAGCACGGCGTGTGAAACCGATATAGGGCGGGAGCTTTTGGTTGTTTGGTCAGTACCTACCTAAGTATAAAAAGCGGCCAGATGCAACAATGTGACAGTGGTCGTGATGCAGTTTCTTGTCCCTTCGTCTTTCGCTGCAGATCCCCTTCTCTACAACCTCAACGTGCTGTAGCAAAGTCTCTTCCACCAGAAATCGCACGCTACAACCACCCGCTTTCATGCTCACCACCTTCATCCCCCACCGGCCACTCGCCATGTTAGTCAAGAAGAAACAAGTCTCGTCCGACTACGGCTTCTGGCATTCGCCAATCTCCGCCGACTTTGTTGTTTCCAAAGTCCGGTCCCTCATCGCTCCTCGTGTTTGTGTAAGATGCCATGGACGATACCCTTGTCTATTCCTCTGCGATGTCATCCTGCCTGGCCTCAAGCTCATAATTCCCCCTTAGCCACGCACCGGACGGGCATATTTCACCGAGAGCAATGGGGCGCGGAGAACCATTGTGCAAGTCTCCCGCGACGACACCCTGAATGAGGTCCTCCCAAAGGAGCTCAGTTGCCAGAATGCTGTGGGTAGTTGAATAATATACATATGAGCCTTCATGAGTGCGTTTGTAATGAATGATTCACAGGTATACGAATACGGTGCCGGCTTATACGACGTGCTACCCGACGGCCGGCTCATCTTCTCCGACCAAGACAACGCAGTGAGGATCCTGGAGCCGGACGCCAAATACTCCTCCGTTTTGCTCAAGTCTCCCGTCCTGCGATACTCGAGCTTCCACGCAAACACAAAGACCCCCTGGGTGCTCGCCATCGAAGAGGACCACACCGAGGACACGCCGGCCAAGATCAGGAACCATCTCGTTACCATCAACATCCTGACGGCTAAAGTCAAGAGAATCGTCACTGGTGCCGACTTTTACTATCTGCCGCAGTCCAATGCGGATGGAAGCAGGATTGCTTGGCTCGAATGGAACCACCCGGGGCTCTTCATTGACGCCTGCAAGCTGTACGTTGCTGATTTCCATCTGGATGGCACTATCAGCCGTGTCCGCCACGTCGCTGGCGGAAACGGCGAGAGCACGACCGAGCCTCGATGGGGCGTGGACGGAGCTACTTTGTTCTTTGCTCAGGAAACTGGTGGCTATCGCCAGCTGTTCAGGCTCAATCCCGGTAGTGCCTCTCCCAGCAAGATCCAGCTCAGGGGCTTGGAGACTTCAGAGTTGGGCGAAATCAGCTTCTTCGAGGGCAGGTAAGTACCCTCTGTACCTGATGAAGCTGATTCTTCTCTCGATGAAAACGGCCTCGTTCAGTCGGCCTAACACGGGTATCTGATGTAGCCGTACGTTTGCCCCCGTCACGGAAAGGTATCTGGCAGCAGTCGGAACGTCCAATGGCACGTGTCGCCTCCTCATCATCGATCTCAACGACAACTCGTGGCGAGAGGCTGCTGATGGAGACGTTCTCTGTCGAATCGGTTGGGATGCCGTTGTTCGATTCGACGACTCTCACGTCCTTGTAGTCGGCACCGGGACTGACGTTCCCCAGGCAGTTCACAAGGTCAACGTTCACCAGCCGGAACGCAGCAAGATCCTGCGCCTCTCGATTGACGAGCAGTTTCCCAAGGCCCTCATTGCCCAGCCCGACCCCGTCTGTATCTCCTCCAAGGGCTTCCCGAACCATACCATCTACGGCTTCTTCTGGGAACCCACCAGCGACAAGTACGAAATCGACCTGAGCGTCCCATTCCCGCTCATCATCAACGCCCACGGCGGCCCAACCGGTCACGCAGGCCCCGGACTCTCATACAGGATCCAGTACTTTACCTCTCGAGGCTATGGCTACTTTGCCATAAACTACACGGGCTCGACCGGGTACGGACGAGACTTCCGCAACGCCCTATGGGGGAATTGGGGCCATGTTGATGCCGCTGATGTCGATGCTGCAGCAAGCTGGTTCGGCCAGATCAGCGCCATCGGGAACATTGGCATCACCGGCATCAGCGCTGGTGGCTATAATACCCTGCAGTGCCTGACGCGGTTCCCCAATACATTTGCTGGCGGAGTTTGTGCCTCTGGCATCTCAGATCTGAAAAAGTTCGATGAGAAGACGCACAAGCTGGAGTCGCACTACACGCAGGCACTCACCCTTCCCAAGGACGCAAATGACAAGGAGCGAGACGACATCTACAGAGAGCGCAGTGCGCTTTACAATGTCGAAAAGATCAAGTCTCCCCTGTTGCTGCTGCACGGCCAAGAAGACACAGTTGTGCCCCTGGAACAGGCGCGGTTGATGGCGGCGTCGCTTGAGGAGAAGGGGAAAGATGTCAGGCTTGTGGAGTTTCCAGGGGACGGACACATGCTTGCTCACCCGGAGAGTGCAAAAGGATGGCTGGAGGAAGAGGAGAAGTGGTGGAGGAAGACTTTGCTCTGAAGACTTGTCAAAACATAAGCAACAACTTCGTGACTGGCTGTTTTGCGACGAGCTCGATGATCCTTCAACAAGCGCAGTGACCCATGATTTCAAGCTCCTTAGGAGGCGAGCATTGATGCAACAATGTCATTTGTTCAAACGAGTGAGTAGAGAAATTAGTAACTCGGCGGAGATGACAAGTCCCCTATTCGAAGAAGTGAAAGAACATTCTGGGCTCTCCAGGCATCCTGCATCGTATGCATCACCACCATTACAGGTAGTCCCTCGTCTTCTCGGCACAAAAATCCCAAAACTCCTGGGCCCTTCCCGACCCTCCCTCCTCGGTGGGTTTCGAGGCCTTGACCAGGTCTTCCCTAACATTGTGTGAGATTCGCCCCCAAGGAATGACGTAGCATCCATTGTTCTCCAAGCCAATGTCCGTCGAAAGCCCAGCGTAAAGCTCGCTCAGAGCTCCCATCCGGGGCTTGTGCAGCAGCGGGTAGGCCAGGTACTTGAGATGAGGCGTGTGGCGCAGGAGATTGGAGTTGATGGCGCCCGGATTCAGAGACACGCTCACGATGGATGAGGGACCCTCTCTCCGAGCAAGCTCGGTAGCGAGGAAGTAGTTTCCAGTCTTTGAGTTGGTGTAGTTGCGGTTTCGGTCTTTGGTAGGCGTCTGGACTTCACTCAAGATGATGCCGTCGGGAGGAGCAGATAGCTCCATGACCTGGCTGGAAAGCCAGACTACACGAACCGAACCCTTGGGCGTGGCCTCATCTGCAGCCGTCGATTTGAGTAGAGGAAGAAGCAGCTGCGTAAAGGCAAACGGCCCGAGACAGTTTGTAGCAAGCTGCAGCTCAATGCCCTGGGCCGAGACGCTCCCAAGGGGGGGCTGGGAGACCCCGGCGTTGTTCCAGAGTACATGAAGCTTGGATTCCTTAGCCAGGAATTCCTGGGCTGAGGCTTTGATGCTGGCCAGGTCGGCCAGGTCCAGGTGCAGGAACTCGAGGCTGCCGTTGGAGGTGCCAGAGGCCTGGATGTCGGCGATTGCTTTGCGAGCCTTTTCCTCGGAGCGCGTGGCAATGTAGACTTTTCCGTTCTTGAGGTACAGAACCCGGGCGACTTCGAGGCCGATGCCAGAGGCGCCGCCGGTGACGATGAAGACCTTGCCCTCTTGATTGTCGACGTTTGCCTCTGTAAAGGTTGGCTTAGGAGGGAAGAACTGCGACCACTGGGCTCCCATTGTGGCGTTGGCGGGGGGGCTGAAGCGAGTGTGACCTAGATGGTGATGTTCTTGTTGGTGATGTTGGCGTTGGTGATGGGGACGAAGAGAGGGAAAAGAAGACAACACGACCCTTGATCACAACTCTGAGAGAGGAAATAAAGCCAACCTATGTAGAAGGAGATATGCCACAACCCTGCGCATTCTGCCCATCCACACGCATGGAGCGAGCGGCCAACAGCAGCCTCTTATATCCGCATCAGCAGGGATAAGGTCGTGTTGGACAGCCGTGAGGGGGAAGACGCAGCACGAATCCGCCCAAGTGCATCCGGTCGTATCATGTGCATTCCATCGTCATCCAGTCAAAAAGAAGAAGAAAAGGAGAGGAGAGGAGAAGAGAGGAGTGAGGCACTGTTTCAGGCTCGCTTGTGCATGATGATGTGATTTGATGCTGCTGCGCAAGCGACCGGAGGCAGGAGCAGAGCACTCCGGGGGGGGGGGGCAGGCGGCAGTTCATTCCTGGTGCAGGTACGGAGCCCAGGGAAGTACAGCTACAGTACTGCGACTTATCAAGATGGTGTGGGATGAGGTCGCTGCTCCTCGTGAGCTCGTATCCACTGATCCTCCGCAAAGTTCCTCTACAGACAACTAGTAGATACGGTACCTCTGCCCACCGCGGCTTGAAATGGAAATCGCGGCCATCACTGGGTAGATACTTCCTGTTTGATCGTCCACTCCCCGTATGGTACCGCTGCCTAACCTAACTCGGGCTAAATCACGGAGCCAAATCCAACCACAGGTCGGCTGCACTACCACCCTCTTCTCACCCTCTCCTCTCTCCCTCCACCATGCATACCTGGTACTACTACTACGACCAAAAAGTCCAGGCACAGATACTACAAACAACCGATACACAAACGCACGCAAAGCCTCTCCGCCTACAGCTCGTGGTATCGCGGGCAGTAGATGCTCCAGACCAGGTTGCCGCTGCAGCTGTACATGACGGCCTCGACGTACGCGCGCACATCCCGCGATAGCGCCAGGTTCCGCTTCGTCTCGTCCACGTTGTCACAGAAGATGCGGGCATACCGCCGGATCTCCTCGGCGCAAATGGCCTTGGCCTCCTCCTCGCTGACCTGCCGCTCGTGCATAATGACCCAGATGGCGTTGAAGACATAGTCCTGGCCCGCCCTCTCGGCCGCCTGCCGCTCCTTGGGCCACGAGTACAGATCGTTGGTGAGGCCCAGCACGGCATAACCCGGCCGGGCCAGCTCCATACACAGATCATACTCTTCGTCCGGGATCGTCAAACCCATCCCAAAAGTTAGCGTGCCAAACCAGATGCTCGACTGCAAGTCAGTATGTGCTTCGTTGAAGGGAGACTCCTGCTACAACAGACTCGCTGGAACTCACAGTTCGCCAGCATCAACGACCCTCGCGGGCACGTATTCTGCCAATGTTCGAAACGGTGACGCTCTGGTCTGCGATGCGAGCTGCACGAATCTGGCCCACGCCTTCATCGTCGTGATGGCCCGCGGCGGGTCAATGGCAAGCATCTCCTTCAGAATCTGTGCCTGGAGCCGCTTCTCGGGGCGTGATTTGCCGTCCGTCTTGCTATCCAAAACGCCCTTGTAGAATGTGTCGAGGATGCCTGGCTCGGCGGTGGAGATGTTTTCAAGATCCATGTTCTCCATTTCGTCTCAACAAGACTGTTAGCTCGAGAGGACTCGGCCAGTCATGCTTGCCAGGGATGAAAGCAATCACTTACCATCATAGATGAACGCATACTCGTTTGCATACGAAATGATCTCAAGCCTCTCGGGCAAGCATTCCGGCACAGTCACCTGCATGAAGCCGAAACGATCTCCGAGACCGCCCTTGTAGTCACCGAGTGGCTTTACATGCTTGGACCAGTCGCCCTGAGCTCGCCGTGCCCCGCGGACTTCTTTCATAGGCTCCTTGTGCCCTCGGAGAGCAATGCCATTGTCCAGACCATGCGTCTCATAGACATTGGGGTCAATGAGTTCTGAGTAGCGATACTCCATGGTTTCTGATGGTATTCTTGGCTGCACGGCAGTGGACCAATAATACAGAGTGATGCAACAACTGAAAGTTACCTTGTTACCTTATATGCCAGAGCCCAGCATTGAGCGAAAAGCAGCGACATTTTATCCTCCACCAGGGCAGCCTTGTGTCTCGTTGGAACACAGCCAACCGCTTGACCACGGGGGATGAGACGATTGCGCACGAATAACCGCCCATATCTCGTTTGACGATGCCCTTTCCCCAATGTTACACTGTATATGGCGCCGCGGATCCTGGAACTATCTGGGTGACGGCGCAGAGCTGCCGCTTATAGAAAGTCCAGGTTGTCAGCAATCCCGGCACTTACACCCGCAGCTCCCTGTGCTATCAGGCTGGACCCGGCGCGTCCTGCTTTTGGCGGCACCGAATGAGCCACCAAGGTTCACGAGATGCACGTTGGTCCTTATTCACACACCTCATCCTCATGCAACCTATTAATATTGCATACGATGCAACATCGGACGCCCCTCATCTTGCCACAACTTACGAGCCGCGAGTCGTTGGCCCTACACATCTCGGGTCGACTTTACATGTCCCCCGGCGCCGTATTACCCGCACCACATGGGATGAAGGATTCACTCCTTTGGAGAAGGCTGAAGGATCCCCGTATGTCGGTACGTGCAGGCTTCATTCGATCAGCCCCGAGCCACTGGTTGGTCTTATCCAGAGACGGGTCAACTGGGAGCCCGAAACAGCATCTCAGTGGCATGGTTCCGCAACACCATCTACAAATATGCCCCTGCATATAACAGCTGCTGCTAGTAAAGGCCGGGGTGAGTACATGTGATGTAGGGTCTCTTTTCATATCTTCTCCCCTCGAGGCCAACTTGACGTCTTTTCTTATTGCCCTCTCGCACAATCCAGACTTGTCTTTCTTTCTCTTCTGTGTCTCCCATTTTCTACCCCCTCCATCAACTCAAGAGCAGTGCTGCAATGTACTTGACAAGCATCGTGGATAGGGTGGCGTCGCAGCCTCTTGCGACGACCGTCCTTTGGGCTACAGTCTTGTACTTCGTCGTCTACAATGTGTATCTCACGATATACCGCCTCTGGTTCTCCCCGCTGGCCAAGTTTCCAGGTCCCAAGTTTGCCGCCGCCTCTTTCTGGTATGAGTTTTACTATGATTACTGGCTAGACGGCAAATATCTGTTTGAGATTGAGAAGATGCACAAGAGATATGGTATGTGAAACGACCCTCTGCATGTCCGGTACGGGAACTGATTCCATCTATTTCTAGGCCCTATCGTTCGTGTAAATCCAGATGAACTTTCTATCCATGACCCAGACTTCTACAATGAGGTCTATGTTACGGAAAGCAAGAGACGAACCGAAAGCTACGATGTGTTTTGCAAGGGCATCGACTTTGATGGTGAGACTGATAACCAAGTCCAAAACAAAAACAAGAGAATGTATATGCTGAATCTTCCGCTACAGGCTCCCATCTGCTCACAACAGACCACGACCTGCATAGAAAGAGGAGAAAGCCCATGGAGGGCTTCTTTTCGCGAAAGGGAATCACGAGACTGCAGCCCATGCTCGCAGAAGTGGCTCTGCACCTCGAGTCACGCTTCAGAGAGCTCGAAGGCACAAACTCGGTTATCCGGCTAGACCACGCCTTTTCTGCCTTTTCGGGCGACATCATCGGAAGGATTTGCCTTGGCACCGATGACAGAGGATCTCACGGCGACCGGTTTCTCGATTCTCAAGATTTTGCTTCAGACTGGTATGCCGCCACCTGTTTTTTCACGGAATCAGTGCTGATAATGCTGGACTACCAGGTACGATGTCATCCATGCAATTGTGCGATCCATCCCCCTGTTCACCGGCTTTCCTCAAATCATTCAGTAAGTCACAGATCTTGGCAAAGCGCCTGGCGAGAACTAACACGATATCAGAGTCTTGAGCCTTCTCCCAGAGAGCTTGCTGCTCAAGATCTATCCGAAAGGGCAAATGTTCAACATCTTCCGTCAAGTGAGTGTGCAGGTTCCCTCCAGCCGTAAGAGATTCCTAACAACGCTTCCCAGCGAGCCTTGGAGCAAATCCGCATTGCAAACAGGGACAAGTCCGAAAAGGACGCCAACGACATCTCCATCTTTCGGCATATTGCAAACAGCGACATGCCAGCAGAGGAAAGGACCGAAGAACGACTGGCCAAGGAAGCCCAAGTCCTGCTTGGCGGCGGCACTGCAAGCACGGCACGCACCATCGGCTTCGCCTCCTACTATATCCTCTCCCGGCCAGAGTTGCGAAGCAAGCTCGAGGCTGAGCTAAGGGAGCCGATGGCCAACTGGCCCCAGCAGGTTCCCACCTGGGCCGAGCTCGAGCAGCTGCCGCTCTTACAGGCGATCATCAAGGAATCCCTCAGGTACGTTGGGAACTTGGGACGAATGGGCCAACAAGAACCGTCCGTTGCTAACACACACATGTGTGTAAATCAGGCTCAGCTATGGCGTCATGCACCGCTTGCCGAGAGTATTTCCCGACCAACCACTCCAGTACAAGGACTGGGTGATACCGATTGGGGTGAGGCAGTCTGACCACCTCCTTCGTGCTCGTTATGGCGCTACATTCGTATATCTGCGTCAAGTACTAGGTAACAGTGGCTAATCAATGGCTATAGGTCCCGGTGGGCATGTCTGCCTATCTGATGCACTCAGACCCTCAGGTCTACCCGAATCCGGGCGAGTTCATCCCCGAGCGGTGGATTCACAATGTAACCCCGGCCATGCATCGGTCCTACGTGCCCTTCTGCCGCGGATCGAGGAATTGTCTGGGAATGAAGTAAGCAGGCTCCTAATCGCTCTTCCCTTTGCCGCTCTGGCAAACGGGATCGGGGTTGTAGTCGTACGAGAAGGAAGCTGACACGATATCAAAACAGCCTGGCCATGGCGGAGATGAGTCTTATTTTGGCAGTTCTCTATCGCCCCAACGGCCCCAAACTGGAGCTGTACGAAACAGACGAGAGCGATGTCAAGCAGGCGCATGACTTCTTGATCCCTCTGCCAAAGCTAAGCACAAAGGGCGTACGCGCATTGATCCGTTAGAGGGGGGGAGTCCTGTTTCTCTTTGCGTAGTATTCACGGCGGGGGCGGAGTGACATTCAGGGCAGACACAGGGTGTTATATATGGAACCTTGATGGAACCGCAGTCCACAAGTATGCCGCTCCAAAAAACGTGGCATCATTCACCTGTAAAAAAGCGAGCGGGTTGAGCTCTTCAGCTTGTGTCCATTCTAAAGGTTTTGTCCAAGGCCAGGGATGTGGAAGAACATCAGGCCGGCATGATACGTTTACGGTTATTACTCACCCCTTGCTGGAGGAGGCAGATCTATGGTCAGATAATTCCCGACATGAGCAGCAATCGCTCCATCGCCTTCGAATGCCGAGATGAGATACAAAGACTTTCCAAGACAATCGCCTGGATTCTCTTTGGTCCACGTACTGCCGCGTCTGTGACTGGCATCAGCATCCTTCAAAATGCCTTATCCGTCATCCTTCCACATCCCTCCGGCCAGCCGAGTGAGTGTATGCTGGTGTTTGGGGGCCAAAGAGACCGAGATCCTAAGACAAATGGAGGAGGAACAAGCCCCTCCCCCCCACCGATGGCGATCTCTCCGCCGCTCAGACCACCGCATCTGTCGACATCGTGCGCGATATCTAGTAGTATCCAATCCCATGGCTGAGAATAGGCTATACAGGCCCTGCAAGCGAAGGTGCATAATCAGGATGATGCGCAAAAGCCTCGGCCCAGATCCAATGAGAGGTATCTATGGGACCCAAAATAAAGGCCCCAAGAGGTATAAGTTGCATGTCCGGCCATGTAACGCTGGGCTGAGAGAGACGGGAACGTCTCGCCACATGCCTGCCTGCCCGTCTGCCTGGCGCTTAGATGCCGTCGTTGTTGGATGGTACGTGAGGCACAGCGCAAGCGCGTAAAACGGAGCACGAGATGTGAGAAGTGTTAGTATTATGGAGAGAGAGAGACACGGCTGATGGGACGGGAAGCATGATTTTGGGGGCGCAGGCAGAATGCAAAAAAAAAGTATCACCCACACGACACGATGCAACACCAAGAGGCGCGGCAGCGTTACGACTTGAACGAGGACGGAGTGGCTAAGGAGAGAGGGGGGAACAAGAGAGACAAAACAAGGCATGTATGTAGAATGGGCACGAGAAGGAGGATGACTGCGACTGGGATTTGGCCCCCATCTGCCGATTTTGTTACTAGTAGTACTGCTGCAACGCTCAACGAAACTTGCCGTGTCTTTCTCTCTGTTCAAAGCTGGGGTTTTACATGCCTACACAAGAAGTCTCACTCATAGACCACAGTGCAGGAAAAAGGCCAACCGTGTTCTGACAGCTTACTACCTGCAGGTTTTCGGCGTGCGACCACCAACAAGCAACTCGCAATCTCTTCATGTGGGCGATACGGGGGACAAGGGGGGAGGGGGCATGTCAATCGCTTCTTGTGTCTTGTCCAACACCCGCGGTCCAACCTCCCCCCCTGTCCGAGCCCGATATCCCTGTAAACCTTGCGAGCACCACAGCAGTTGGACAAGAAACAGAAACAGAAATAGAATCACAACACGATGACGAGCTCCTGTACAGTAAGTCGATATACGTAGTAAAGCTATGCGACGGAGCCGGCGGCAGTGTCCCTGAGCCGCACCCGCACCTCAATCGGGCGCTTCTCTACCAGCAGAAACGTCCTCAGGTCCTCCCAGCGCGTCCTGCGATCCTCCACCACCGCAAAGTCAAACGTCCAGAGCAGCTTGGTCATGATGAGGCGCATCTCGGCCCACGCCAGGTGCTGGCCCAGGCAGGCCCGGGGCCCGTCGCTGAACGGCTGCACAACCTGGAGGCGATCATGGAAGAAGGGCGACGCTGGGTCCGTGCGGCTGGCGGGAAGCCAGCGCTCCGGTTCGAATGACGTGGCCGCGTGGAAGTTGGCCGGGTCGCGGTTCATGGAGTATGCCTGTATTGAGACGGGAGTCTGGGGGGTTCATTCGTGGTCAGCACCCCAAGTTCCAGGGATTCACACCGGGGGGGTGAGAAATGCAACGGTTGCACGAGAGGAGGGGGGTGAGGGACGAGCAAAGACAGATGAGGACAAGAATTAAAGGAAGCAAGGCAAGGCAAAGCAAAGCAAAGCAAAGCAAAGAGAAGAATGAGCGCGGGTGGTGTTTGCCATACCCCTCCTGGAAGCCACGTTCCGCATACTGTATCTCCTCCCTCCGGGACGACCCTGGGAAGAACCCAGGGGATGGGCGGACAAAGCCTAAGGCCCTCGTTCAGCACGGCGTTGAGGTAGGGCAACTTGCGGAGGGAGTCGAGGTTGATGTCGTCCTCCTTCTCAAAGGCCCCGCGGATCTCTCGCGTCAGGGTCTCGAGCTTGTCGGGGTTGTTGACCAGGTAGTTGAGGGTTCCGCTCAGCGCCGTGGCCGTTGTCTCACTCCCTGCCGTCGTCAGCACCATGAACGTAGTGTGGATGGTCCCGGGAGGCAGCTCGCGGCGCTCTGTGCCTCGTATCACATGAGACATGATGTCGGGCCGCTCCAGCTCAAAGTTGAGACGCCGGTCGACCTTGTCGACGATCTGCTGGTAGTGGTCCCTCTGCATCTTGCGCAGAGACTGCGGGATGCACATGAGGAGCAGGCGCTGGACGATGGGGTAGAAGCGCGCTGCCGCAACAAACGACGCCGCCTTGACGCTGTTGAACAGCAGCGCGATCCAGGGGTGATACTTTGAGTCCTGGAGGCAGTTGAAGGACTCGCCGAAGCCGAGGTCGCCAAAGATGTCGAAGGCGATGAAGTTGAACCACGGCACGACGTCGACGACGGCGCCGCTGCTTTCGGGGTCCTTGCCCGCCAGCTCTCGGAACCGCTCCACCAGGAGGTTGACGTAAAAGTGCAGAATGCCCTCCTGCTCCTTGAGCGCCTTCGGGGTGAAGCCCGGCGCGAGGAGGCTGCGGATGCGCGCGTGACGCTTCGGGTCGATGGCGCTCAGCAGGGACTCGGGCATGCCAGGCTGAGACTTCCACCAGACGGGGTCCTTGAGGAACGGCTGGTGGTCTTTCCGCAGCTGGAAGATGTCTCGCCAGGCGTCCTCGTGGGCGAAGGTGACCTCGTTGGGCGCGATGCGCAGGACGGGGCCATGCTTGCGGTGCAGGCGCTCAATGTCATGGACGATGGTGCCCCTGAGCAGCGACCAGATAAAGGGCAGTCGAGAGGCTTTCCAGGCGGTTGCGCCAGGGACCTTGGCCAGGGGATGGAAGTACAGATTATAGATTATACGGAGCAGATTGTACTGGGAGTAGAAGTCGGTCAGCCCTCGATCTGCCTCTCTTTGTGTTCTGTTTCTTCACTCGTCTTGTGTGTTTCTCAGTCCGCTTGGCGCTCGTACGGTTATGAGGGTGAGGGCTGTGGTGCTGAGCCACGCCGAGGCCGAGACATGCCATCCCCAAACGGCCACCATCGTGTCACTCTTGTTGTATTCAATGAAAAGCTCCAGACGAGGGCTATTGTGCAGGAGAGAGGCGAGTTTCTGGAAAGACAGGTGAGAATCTCATCTTAGCATCTCTCTCTTTAAATGACAGACGAGACGAGCCCGTGAATGAATCGGACGTCTTGGCCAACACGCTGCCAACATGACGGACTTCGACAGATGTCCGAGCTTTCTCTCACGCCTCGAGACGCCACCCACGTTGTCCCGAGATTCCTTCACCTTTTCTGCCCTACCTGCGCCAAAAAATGCAACTCGGCCATGCCTCATCCCGTGTCTTACCATTCTCCAACTTACACTGGGACACAGCCAAGCCCCAGTTTACGAAGCAGGTCCTGATCCTCCAATTGGCAGCCTCGTGGGGGGAGGGTTACACCTAAAAGAGCCCGAAGGATTCGATGTTCGTTTGTGTGTGCCCACCACTCCCCCCCAAGCCTTGGCCCTTCTGTCTGCTGCAAGAATACGGCAAAAGGTGTGGGCGCATATTGAGAATGAATATTGGCTGAGAGGGGGGACGGGCTTTCTCTTTCCTGTGTCCCGTTCGGAGTAAAACAGATTTGCGGCCGTGGTGGAGGGTGTGAGTGGTGTGCGTCTGTGCTGTCTCTCTCCCTCTCTCCCGCTCTTCCGCTCTCTCTCGACAGGCAATCCGGCACACAATATTGAGGACGGGGGTGGGTTTCCAACAAGGCAGGCCGCTGCGCAGGTTTCTGCGGTTTGCGGTTTATTATCCTTGTGGCCGCAGGATCAGCTCTCGATGCGCTCCATTTAGATTGGCCATGCCTCCTCTCTCTCTCTCTCTCTGTGTGTGTGTATGCGTCCCTCAGCCCGGGTTCGTGTTTCTGTTTTCGGCGCATTACTGTCTTGCCCTTTTGCCGTCCGGAATACATACATATCAAGTTATGCGCCTCCGCTCCCCTGGGTTTCCTGGATCGTGCGTCTAACACGCACCGCTGATCTGCTGCTGCTGCTGCTGCTGCTGCTGCTGCTTCCCGAACTGCTGCAGATTCCTGCTTCCACTCTTTTGAACACAGCTCAGTGACCGAAACCCAAGACTTCAAACGAGCTCTCTACTCGGAAGGTTGCAAGATCCAGGGCAATCATGACTTCGCAATGGCTTGTTGGCGGGATGCCGCCGCCCCCGGGAGTCGAGCCCAACTTTATCGATCCGTATGACCATATGTCGGAGAACATTGCGCTGCACTCGACCTTATTGACGATAACCACGCTGGCCGTGGGCATGAGGCTGTACACGCGCGCTATCATCACAAAGGCCAAGCTGGGCGTGGACGACTGTGAGTTTTCTCGAGCTGCTATGACTGCACTGCGTGGAAAGAGCATCAAGTTTCTGACTTGTTGGGTAGACTTTTGTGTGATATCATACGTAAGCAGCATGGATAAAGATAGGCCATGCTTTGGACAACGTCAACTGACATGGGTAGTGTTTGGTTGTTGGGTTTTCGGTATTCATGTTTCTTTGTAAGTCAAAGTCGCCTCTATCGTCTACACTTACACGTCTCAGTAAAGTAACCGCGAGGACAGGTTACAACAAAGGCATCGGGCGCCATCTATGGAATGTTCCCGTTCAATATGTCGTAGATATGCTAAAGGTACAGTATTCCTTCTATCGCGCATGTTCGACTCGCGCAGCACGACTGACGGAGACGGCCTAGTTCTTCACCATCGGCTCGTACATCTACTTACTCGCCTCGGGCTGCGTCAAACTCACATTCCTCTTTTTCTACTACCGCATCTTTGCGGGATCTACTAGGATGCGCTATCTCATCATTGCCGGCATCGTCCTGACGTTTGGCTTCACCACCAGCCTCTTCTTCGGCACCGTCTTCAGCTGCATCCCCGTCGAGCGAGCGTGGAACCCGACTGTGCCTGGCCATTGTCTAAACCCTATCTATCTGCCATACGTCTCTGGTATCTCGAGCTCAGCTTTGGACCTGTACACGCTCGTGCTGCCTGTGCCTGTCGTGGTGGGACTCAACATGGACTTGAAGAGGAAGCTCAAGGTAGTTGCGGTGTTTGGCATTGGTCTCTTGTAAGTGACGAGCCATGCTATCTTACGAGTCTTGAGACGTGAGTGTCTGACCAGGATCCAACTTGATACTAGTGCCTGCGCTGCCAGCCTTGTCCGGCTTGGAATGACACCGATTCTCCGCAGCAATCCCGATGCTTCCTGGAACCTCTCCTGGATGGCCGTGTGGGCGTACGTTACATACCCAGCAGGACCTCTTCTAGTGTAACGCAGCATATACTTACTGATGGCTTACTGCAGCACCGTCGAGATCAACGTCGGCCTCACCTGCGCCTGTCTGATGCTTCTCCCCGCCTTCCTCAACCACGTCCTCGAGGGCCCCATCATGGACTCCATGTCTCGCCTCTTCTCCGGCGCCTTTGGGCGCATCTCCGGACGGAGAACGCAAGAGAGCAAGTCGCCCATCGGGGGCCACGACACTTGGGTGCCCTACGTTCAGCAGCGAGACTCGGATTCGCAGTTTAAAGGCATCAACAGCCACCAGATGACGGTGCGTGCGCAATAAAGGCAAACGGCGAAAAGGGGGAGCGAGAAAGCTAGCTATTTCCTGTGGCTGCTGTGTACTATCAACAATGGAGAATGTTTAGAAAAAGGCCGCGATATTCACTTCGGAGGTTTTCTGTTTGCCCTTTTGCGTTCATGATCACTTTCTTGAGGCCTGGGTCTACTTTTGAGCGAGTGGGTTGTTTGACTGTCTGTGATTATTTGCGATATAAAGCCTATTCTCAACGAAGAGGGTGCTTGCTATGACGATCAGGGGTCTCATCAGTTCCCCATCACTCTCGTCTGTCGCTGTGAGGAATGAGACGGAGACTGTGAATATTTGCTCGTCAGCCTTTCGACGAAGAACCACTTCCGTTTCGAGGCACTTTGCACAAGAGTGTAGCAGAGCTGCAATCAAGGTGAAACATTGCGGTCGATGCAGGAGACGAGTGAATGAAACCCTACGAGGTAGCAGCAGGATGCTCACGGTGATACTGAGTGGGCATTCTACAAGCTAAAGCTGCTTGGGCGTACTGAGTCAGGAGCGAGGAGAGAAGCCTATCAACTCAATCCAAGATAGGGATACAGCGCCCTTGTTGTAGGACGGACACGCTTCGATCTGAAGCATCAGCCCGGACAGACACAGTAACGAAGAACTTCATTTCGTGCGTTTGTTCTCATGAGCAAATAACTGTGAAATTTTTGTACTCAGAGGGTCTTGATCAAGCACATCTTGTAGGGCCGTTTCCTTCTTGTCGGCCTCCCACATGGTCAACGCTTACTCCAGTCTGCGGCCTCCCTTCGGGGAGCATCTAAAGTGGAATCTCTGCAAATTCGCCGCCATCCGCAGACAACCATTCGTAGACTACGAGTCTCCCGAAGCGGTAGCTGATACTGAGCGCACCTCTTCATGTGTGCAAGTCTCCCTTCATATTGAGTGCTGCTTTGCACCTCGCGTGAGGTCACCTGACTCACCGCTCTGAGCCATAACCCCTTCCTGCCTTTGCTCTTCTTCCCCCCCTTTCTCCTCCTCCTCCTCCTCATCATCATTACGGGCCCTCCAGTTGCAGACATTTCTCTTTCTGGCTTGCAGCATCAGCTCCGGGCTTCCATCAAGTCTCTCGTTGAATCTCCATCGTGGTAGCTGCGTTTATATAACCTGGGGTACTGCCCGAGTGACATCTTCCTGTACATCACCAGATACTACTTCTTCTTCTTCAGAACTCAATAGGCACTTGTCATATCATTCTTTTGTAGCATGGAAACTACCCATCAAGCCTTCGATGTGCGTGGATATGGCCATCGGCTTGCTGCGTCGAGATTCTGCTGGCCGCCGGCTGCCAGCTGGCAAGCCTTGGCCGCCCACTCCAGACAGCTGTCAAGGCCTGCGCGCCCAATATTTATCACGACGCGTTTCCAGCTTTCTGAGCTTTCCGTTTGCAAACTTTTCACACACCACAAACTCTGCCTTTCGCGCCCTCTCGTCTCTTCCGCTCTGCCATTTTGCGTCCCCAACCTCCAACCTCCCCCCAGCCCTTCGGCATGGCGTCGATACGGTCCATCATCGAGCATGCCGTGCTCCCTCCCAAGATACCAGGGGCAAAGGAAGACAACTACGACGCCATGTCGAGCGAGTTTCTCAACAGACTCGAGGCAGCGTGTGAGAGGGTGAAAGGTCTAGCGAGTTCGCCGTTCGCAGATGCCTTTCACTCCTTGAGCGAATCACTCCGAGCATGCAGAGCTCTGAACCAAGAAGGACTTGATAGAGTAACACTACTGGAGCATTTTCGCACACTTGGAACAAACGACGTTCTCATTTGTCACGTCGTCGAACAAAACGCTGCGATCCTCATCCGACGTGAGATCGACCAGTAAGTATTCATACTCTTCTGGCTGTTACACCGTTGCAGATTACTAACGATGCCTACGATAGAAGCAAACAAGAATTTGTCGTCTTTGAGTCTTTCGAAACCTCGCCAACCACTGAACATGTGTTGGCCGCGGATAATGCACTCGTCTGGGACTTCCCAGGCCGTGCTGTCCGTTTGAGCGCTGCGGAGTTCAGTGATGAGGAGCTGCAAAAGAACGTTGCTGAGTTTCTCGAGAAAGCGAGCAGAGAAGCCATCCACACCGTACAAGCCCAAGCAAGAAAAGCTCAAGTGTCAGTTGTCGAGGCTCGAGATACTGCTGATCCGGCTGTGATAACCCAGCTGTTCATGATCGTCCTCGAAGGTATTGGCGAGTCCGTCAATGTCCCTAAGCTGAGAAAGAGGGTCAGAGACGATGTTAACTTCGCGCCAAATGCTATACTACCATGGAGACGACTTCCCTTCTGGCTGGTGTTGCGGGTGGCGACTCAAAGGCATCTTCACCTTTCCCTTGGCAAATCGGGGAGAGCAAGCTACAAATTGTTGATGTGTGTCTTCTTTTCTCGGCTGCTTCAAGATGCTTCGGCTGAGCTTTCTCGGCTGAAAAATCTTGAACCTGATTTGGTCATCACACTTCAAGTCAAGCTGTGTCGTCGCATGGCAAAAGCTGAGAAACAAAAGGCCGGATTATCGTCGAGATACAAGGAGAGTTTCGAAAATGTCTTCGACAATATCGTCCCAGGCATTGAGGATTCAATTCAACAAGCAACCAAAACCGTCCAAAGCCTATGGGAGAACTTCAAGTCGAAGACGAAAAGACGTATTCGGGCGCTTCCCGCACAAGCTTCGGAAGACTCCCTCCGATTATCACTTCTCAATAGTGGTAGCCATCTTAAGAAGCTCTTGGAAAACTACAAAAGCATTGGACCGGTCTCTGGCACGACTTCTCTGCGTCTTCCCAGTTCCTTGGATAGACCAATGCAAGAGAAAATCGACTTCAATCAGAGGATATATGCCTTGGATCAGCTAGAGATGGGCGTCGAGAAGGATGTACGAACGAAGCCGACTAGTGAGCGAGAGGCGAAAGAGTTCTGCCAAACGCTTGCGAGAGACATTCACAACGTGTTCAGCCAAGTAGGCAGTCTCTATGACGGCGACCCCTTACAACAGAGCATCAAGATTCTCACGATATTTGAACTCTGGGTACGAATGGATGAGTGCGCGATTGGCGTCTGTCCACTCCTGCGTGGATATTGCCCTATTTTCACACCCGAGCTCTTGGATGCGCTTCAACTGCCTACTCTGGCTGGCATGAGCCGACTACAGACCGTCCAACTGTATATCGCTACGCGACAGAAAGATGCCAAGCACGCACATATTCTTCGCCCTCTGGCAGCTGACGCCTTTTCCTGTCAGTATGTTCGCCAATCAGAAGAAATGAGGCGGCTGATGGGTCGCATCCAAGCCTGTTCAGACGCCGACCGGGCGTCTAAAGAGGCAGCGTGGAAACAAGAGACAAACCAATACAAAGACTACACTGAGAAGATTAACAGTTTGAGTTGTCTCTGCACATGGAATGGCGGCGTTCGCAATGTCTCGCAGTGCAAACGATGCTTATACTACAGGCGGCGAAAACGCCTAGAGGTCAAAGTTCACGAGGATTTTCTTCCGGAGGATGAACTCAAACGACAGTCCATCGTTTTCGAGTTGGCTATCCCATCATTCTTGTCTGCCTATCGCAACGCTACATGGGTGATTGTTAGAGATTTGGCACACCCTCATCGACAGCCCTCGGCTTCGCCTCGAACGAGACTTGAGAAATGCCCTCCGCTACAACACCACATGACGGCAAACACCAGCTGCGTGACGTTTGCGTCAGCCAAAAAATGCTTTACTGAAACGCATTATAGTTTCAACAGTGGATTGGTTCCCTTGGCCAAGATTCTCTTGCCATTTGCTGCGGACTTTGATCTATATGATTCTGAAGCTCGACTCTGGGTGGCAGATCTCAACAAGCCGTTGACTTTACATCATCTGTGCGGCGTGCACATTCCGTCTGGGCTCTCTAGTACCGTGATGAGACCTCAAAGCCACCCAGCGCCGGATGTCGATGGTCCATCGTCTTACGAGACTCAAGCCAACATGACGAGACGTCCTCCTCATTTGTCGGCGGCCGAATTTTCCGCTTACCAGAAACTGATGTCGGGCAAATCACGCCGGTGGATCAATATTCTTGTTGAGTTGGGGTCCTCAAATCTCAACTTCAGCAACGAAGACACTGCTTTGATGCTATCCCAGCTGGCGTTCCAAGCTGGCCCTCGCTCAAGGGGGGTTCTCCGGTCTATCCACGCAGTCATGGAAGAACGGGAGTTTGTGACCAGCTTGGGGGACCAGATCAAAAATAAGCTATCGTCTATTTGCAGCAACTGGAGGGAAACGAATTGTATGGAATTGCTGATCAACTTGACTCTGCGGATGTTCTCGCTGTTGCCTCAAGGCGAAATGCGCGACCAGTCTAAACACCTACTTGACTCAGCTAGAGCAGCTATTCTTGAATGGATTGCACAGCTACAGATAGAATCGAGAAAAGCGGAAGACGGAGCAGTGGCAGGTCGTCTCGCCAGGTTTGGCCTCAAAGCAGCATTGCTTTGTCGTCGAACTTTTGCAACGCACCTTGATACTGGAGCAAGTCTGACGTCTTTTGAACTTCTTGCTTGGGTCAAAGCCTCGGTGGCCCTTCAGGAGAACTTGACGACAGACATCAACAATATGCCAAAGTTGTTGAAGAGTATGATGATTCGAGACGCCAAGATGGCTCATCGCCTGGAGAACTTGCTCCACGTTGCCATAGAAACCCACTATGAAGTTCTTCAGGATGCCCTTGGACTTACTGGGCAAAGTCCTCCTGAGGCAAAGGTTCACCAAAAGTCTCCTTGGACACATCTTCCACGCCCAAATTCGCATTGGACGGTATACCAAACCGAATCATATGGATGCTCGCAGAGTAGCCAAGTGTTTCACTTCAATATCCTGGAAGGACACTTTCTGGTCAACGGAAGACCGCGTGGTAGCCTCCCCCAGGAACTGCGCAACGATCCATCTGTTCGAGCCCTCTTTGGAGATCGCAACCTATTCGTCTACCCTTCGGCCGTCCCGGGTATGACCCATAGACTCGCAGATCTGGTTGAGGGACATGCTATTCATTTCGGCAAATACAAGTCTCACATTTCCATACGAGCGATTACAAGGGACGGGGACCAGCTTGACTTCATCAACAGTTCGATATTTCGGAGTCCAGACTCTGATTCTTTCGATTTACCGGCGAGCCTCTTGGAAGACTGCACACACTGGTTGAATTCAATGACCGGGGTGATCGAGGTGCGCCGACGGCCGTGGGTTCGACAGTGGCAGGATTGGCACATTGATCTTCGAAGCCGCCGTGCAACTCGTGGCGAGAATATAATACTCGTTGATCCCAGATCCTATGAGTTCAGGCAAATCTCTGAAGTCTTTGAGCATTTTGAGCAGCCGGAAAACTTGACAGTCATTCAATCTCGAAGAGGAAAGCTAGCGGTTCAGCTTCATCACCTCGACTTGTCATTCCACGTCAACAAAGCCAGATCACTTTACAGCCGTGAACTCAAGGCTTCCATTGACTTCAACCAGGACGTCGGTACATGGTATGGGCTTGCCAGTAAGATTGTGGTACGAGATGTCAAGGATAAGACCCGGAGGAGCATCATTATACCCATTGGAGAGCTGACTTGGAGCCGCAATAAGCATGGCATACATGTATTTGTGGGATTGAAGCGGACTGAAGGATACTGTCGCTTCGAAATTGATGACATCCTTGGCCGATTGTCATCGCCCCCAGAGCGTCGTTTGCTCGTTTTGAAAGCGTTATGCCATGCGGCCACGTCGTTCTGCTTGCCAGATCCTCTAACAGGACGTACCGGTACGGAAGAAGCACTTCAGATTCTTGGATCGGGTGCCGCTCAGCCTTGGGACCCATTAACCTCACCTGACATGCAAACGCTGGCCAGACTCCTCCCTCGACGGGAGTACTATCCTCAGGACATAAAGCGTTTGCAGAGAGTAACATGGGACCCCTCTCTGACGACAACCATCCAGAATGATGCATTTGAGCAATTCGTCAGGTCCATGGAGGGAAGAGCCACACTCCTGGCGAGATTTTCCTCTGTCAATGTGAAACCAGTGAGCTCCGTAGGGAATCTATCCCAGCTTCGCCATCGAGCGCAAATACGCCGCCAGCTTTATGAACGACCAGTCCACGATACAGCAACTTTGAAGCAAACTGAATACACTTATCCAGTTCGTGACAAGCGCACGACCCAAAGAAGCGATAGAGTGTACCTAGTTGTCAAGCTTCTTCGCGCGCCAAACCTACTCTTGAACATGAACAGCACGCTGGCGAAAGTCCTTGAGTCATGGACTTCCATCAACGGCTTCTGCTCCGGCGACTCTTCATGGAGTATACAGCCGCTTGCTATTCAGGTCGAAGAGCCCATCAGTTCACGCTGGGGAAGCCTGGTCAGCATGTTCCGTAACACAGAGGATGCTTTCTTGTGGGCTTTTCAACTGGGTCTATTGGCTTTCAACCCTCGAGTTGATATGGACATCTTGGTATCTCTTGTAGGATTCTGTCGCATCAAGCAAATCAGGCAACTGGAACCTCCGCTGCATGCTACATTCACGCACTTCAAGGACCGTGGTCCGCCTTCGGCCGACACTCTGGAGGCTTTAATCTCCCAGGCCTTCGTCCCTTTGCAGATTCCAAAGGGTAAGAAACAAAGCACTCAAAGTGAGAAAGAGACTCATCAGGAACGGTGCAAAGAGCAAGGCAAAATACTCGCGAAGCTCCTATCAGATCGGTGGCCCCATCTTCCACCCGACGCTGGCTTTACTGGCAACTGGGAACCGACAGCCATCAATGTTCCTTTGGTTCTGAAGAATATCAAGCCGGAGTGGGATCGCAGATGCCATAACGACCAGTTATGGGCTTATGTGAACAGGATTGATTCGATTCTGCGTCAACACTCTGGGCGCCGGTTCGAGGAACGACCTCAACGATGGATTCATAGTGTCCCCACATCCTTTGGAAAGAAAGATGAACGCACCATTCCATCTATCTCACAAGGCCTCGTCACTAAGCCCTGTCCAAGGCTCGAACGATTCAAGGTCAGATCTCTTACCGAGCCATTTGAGTCAACAAGCTCGCTGCCTGGAAAGGGGAACAGACAGGAGAGATTGCCAGAAGAAGTCTTCGAACTGGAAGATATTCTCACCTCGTTTAGCCGCTCGTCGAATGATCTTCGTCGGAGCTATGGCCAAGATCTATTGGGCAGCTTGGCGGCTTTCAAAACCAGCTATCCCGAACCATTTGATGTCGCACGGCGATCGAATCCCTCCGCAGAAACTGTTGCGAATGCAATTAACGGTATTCAATCTATGGGAGCTTCTTACCGGGATTGTATTCAGAAATCCCTCTGGGCAGCCGACTTGAGCTCCAAGTGGCTTACCATGGGTAACCTCTTGCCATGCTCGACAACTGTCGAGATGCTGGAGCTTTTGCGGTCAAAGGCCAATCATCAATTCGGACCTGGAATGAAAGATGCACTCATTCTCTATGGCTGCGCAATAGCAGAACTTCAGCGTCTGCGACGACTACGAACAGCGATCCTACGAAGAGACCAACGTGGTGTAGAGGAAGAGCTGCGCAACGTTGGCCATGAGAACTGGGATCCCGCCGAGGAAAACCCAGACTGGTTGCTCCTGGAGCTGGACAGCAATATCCTCATTCGTGCAGACCAGATCAACGTTGCGCGAGCCACTCTTAATCCAGCATCGGGCGAAAACAGTCTGCTACAACTGAATATGGGTAGAGGTAAGCCATAAGGTACCGTGTTCCTACACAGGCATGACAATGGCTAACTTATAGCGTAGGGAAAACGTCGTGTATCCTGCCCATGGCAGCGGCTGTCGTGGCCAATGGAACCAATCTTTCTCGTCTTGTGGTTCCAAAGTCACTCATCATGCAGACTGCGCAGATGATGCATGCAAGGCTGGGAGGCCTCGTTGGAAGAGCAATACTTCATATACCATTCTCACGGCAGACCCCAACATCCGACGACGTCCTACAAGCATACTGTGAGCTTCACAGAGAGGTTCAAAGTTCACAGGGCTTGATCTTGACTAGTCATGAACACATACTCTCCTACAGATTGTCCGGGCTACAGCGGCTCGCTGATAACAAGTTGGCTGAAGCGGAGAAGATGGTCAACTTCCAGACCTGGTTGGACGCGCACTGCCGTGATTTGCTTGATGAATCCGATTTCACTCTGTCTCCCAAGACTCAGCTAAACTACCCAAGCGGTGAAGAACTTCCGATCGATGGGCATCCTTTCCGATGGCAGGTTGCGCAAGGTCTGCTAGCTATGGTTGCAGAGTACATGCCACAGCTAGAAGCTGGCTTTCCGGGAAGCATCGAAGTGGTTGGTCGTTCGTCTTGGTTCCCATCTGTACAATTTCTCAGAAGCGACGTTGAAGATGAGCTTGATCGGCTCATAGTTGAAGATACCGCGAGCGGCAAAGTTCCATTCCTTCACATGGACAAGGCGGTGCACAAGTCAGCGCAAATAGCTATCAAGCGAGTCCTCACTGAGGAGAGATGTGATAACGATTTGCTTGATAAAGCCAGTCAGGCTTTCACCCAGCCAAACAACGCGAGGACCAAGCTGCTAGTCATCCGAGGCCTGATTGTTCACAAGATCCTGATTCTTTGCCTTGGGAAAAGATGGAATGTTCAATATGGCCTGCATCCGAACCGCCCTCCCGTCGCAGTTCCCTTCGCAGCCAAAGGTGTCCCATCCGAGCTATCAGAATACGGCCATCCAGATGTTGCCATTCTATTAACATGTTTGAGCTTTTATTCTACTGGCCTAACATTTGGTCAGTTCCGTGAAGGATTGAAGCGCATCCTGACCTCTGAAGATGCGGCTTTAGAGTACGAGCGATGGATTTCCGAGTCCAACCTGCCTCCAGCATTGGAGTCTTGGAATCTGATTAACTTGGATGATGAACTTCAGATGCAGGTTCTTTGGCAGCATTTGCGGAAGAATCGAGTCGTGACAAATCACTACATGAACAACTTTGTATTCCCAGATCATGCGAGACAATTTGCTGTCAAGCTTCAGGCTTCAGCGTGGGACGTGCCGCTCAAGTCGTCAGACGCACTACCTGGTGCGCGGACGACGGGCTTCAGCGGCACCAACGACAACAAGTACATGCTTCCCATGACGATTCAGCAAGAAGACCTTCCAGGCTTAGTTCAGACGAATGCCGAGGTTCTTTCATATTTGTTGCAGTGCCGGAATAGGGGATACGCGGTGTTGACTGACCGCAATAACCGGCGCCTCAGTGAATTCGAAATGCTCAAGATGCTCCACCGCCGAGGGATCAAGGTTCTGATTGATGCTGGCGCGTACATTCTAGAGACAGGAAATGGACACTTGGCTCGGATGTGGTTTGACATTGATCCCTTGGCCCAGTCAGCTGTTTATTTTCGCGACGACAACAGGGCCTGGGTGGCTTTTCGAGATGCAGCAAAACCAGAGATGCCGCTGTTGGCAACACGACTTGCCAACGATCTCACCGACTGCTTCGTCTACTTTGATGAGGCCCATACGAGAGGCGTGGATCTGAAGCTGCCGGAGGATGCACGAGCAGCGCTGACTTTGGCTCTGAAGCAGACAAAAGATAATACCATGCAAGGTGCGTTTCTTTAATCTTTCTCTTTTTTTTAAAAAACTTTAGATAAGGGCGCGAGAAAGAGCCGATGCTAATTGTGACATGTCATACATGATAGCGGCCATGCGGCTTCGACAGCTGGGAACAACACAGTCTGTAACATTCTTTGCTCCTCCCGAGGTCGATATAAGCATCAGAGACATCCGAACAAGGATCAATACTTCCTCGACTAAGCAGGAGATCCAGTCTCCCGACGTCATCTTTTGGCTTCTTGAGCAAACATGCTTGGCAAATGAAGATTTGCGGCCGCTCTTTTTGGCCCAGGGGATGGATTTTTGCAGGCGTGAGAGCGCATTGTTACAGTTCCCAAATTATTTGACATCAACGGCATCCAGATCCAAGCTGCTCAAGCTTCTACAAGAGCCTGAGCATCAGACACTTGACCAACTTTACGGAGCTGTTTCGGGCAATGCATCTTTGCAATCAGTTCAGCCACTCCATTCTCGGAGACTCCAGAAGTTCGCTGATAAGCTGAGCTCGTATCATGACACTGGTATCGTGCGTGTTGAAACTTTGGGTGAGGTAGAGCAAGAGCGAGCCGTTGAGGTGCAGATTGAGGCAGTCCGCGAGGTAGAGAAGCCTGTTCACTACCAAGCCCTCAAGTTTCCTGGGCTGAAGTCCAGCATATCGCGCTTCTTGAGAACCGGAGTTTTGGACACAAGTGATGGCGAAACGATCCATGCTCTCGATTACATCGGCAGGACCAAGGTGGGTAGGAAATTTGGCATCCACAGCTCAGGGTCGAGACTCTTTGTTTCACCAGAGTTTTGTCGAAGTATCGTGCTGCCCAAGTTGACTGAGACCGTTGAAGATCGCTTCCTGGTAAGTCTTACGTGCCATCTTAATGCCTGCCTTCGTCTCTAGTTCTCAAGTATAAGTGTACTGACGCCTTGAACAAAATGATAGCGCCCTGTAGAATGGATCCTATGGAGTCCGTCCACCCAGACTGCCCTCGTCGTCATTCCCGAAGAGGTCGAGCTGCTCATTCCGGAGCTTCGATCTTCCCCAGAGAAAGCAAAGATACACTTGATCGCCTACGCAGCTCCCGTTACCCGAGCTATGGTCCCTTTCAATGAGCTGCGATATTACTCTTTCCCGCCGATTCCGGCACATACGGCGTTTCCGACATGGCTCAAGGTCGAGCTGGGCATTCTAGCAGGCCGACTGTATACAGACTACGAAGAGTGGAAGCTCACGGACGACTACATCAGAAGGTCACAGGCCGGCAAGCTGACTAGTCCTGCATTCCTCTTGGAGTGGGTAGGTGTTCGTTGCAGAGCACATGACGTGCTTCACACGCCAATCGGGTATATATGCCTTGGAAGAGCAGCGACCGAGTCTCACCCATTCTTTGTCAGAAGTGAGGCCACGGTCACTCCCCAGCTTCCGGCCGCCGCAGTCGACGATGACATCGAGACGCCAGAGAGTGAAGCAATTGACGGAGATGTGGCCGACGAGATTGAGGGCGAAGACCGGGAGAGGAAGTTGCCTTTTGATGAGTCGAGTGACGAGGAGTCGGGGGATGAAGACCTGTCGGGAGATTTCACCGAGGAAACTGAGAGTGATGATGACGAGAAAGAATCGTCTGATGAAGAATGAACTATTTCGTTGAGCATCTGGATGAAGATGGGATTGCGGATGGCGGAGGATTAGAGAAGACCTTTTTGAGCTAACTGTACTGAAGTGAGGAGCTAATGTGTATGATCTTATGGGAAGGGTCATGAGGTTGCCCGTGGAAATAGTGAGCGAGAGGTATTGATGAGCTAGTCATCAGCTGCGAAGATGTAGAGAGAAAAGACTTTTTTAGTGTCCTGTAGGTCTATAGATGAATTGCTTTGCATTGTGTGTTGAGGTACGAAGAGTCTTCCATCTGATCAATCGTATCTACCTCATCCGTCGTTTTTGGCCATTAGTAATGTTCATTGTAGATGGGAAACATCATGTCTCATCCACACATCACAGCATACAACATTAGCAATGCTAGTCACTCATCCTCTTCAACAATCGTATGAAATACATCAAGCTTGAGCTTGACAATAGTCCATCATGTGCCATTCCTCGCCTCTATCTCTCGCTGAAAACTCATGCTTATGTATACCGCAAGGAAAGGAACAGTCACAAACACGTAAAGCAGCATATAAAGAGCAACATCTTCAGCTTGATCTACCCCAAACAAAGGCATGCTTAATGGCAGCTTACCACAAAGGCCCAAGCAATCCTATAGCCCAGTTTGGTTCATCCACCCCTGAAGTTCATCTTGTGTACTTACAAACCGCTACTCATTGCCACTGGGGCTTATCATTCTCACTTATACGAAGCATTATCATTGCTCCAACATTTGCCCACGGACACACGGACACGCCCCATCCTGTCCTCCTCCTTCTCCTCCTCCACTCTCCTCTCAAGATAGATACCCTCCCTTACCTGTACCTCAAGCCACGATACAAGCAAGGCAGAAGTCAAGGAGTGTAACACGCCCCTATTCGCCCCATCTCCCCATCAAATCACAAATCATGACCCCTTCTCCATGCCCCATCACCAGAACTTGCCCGCACTCCCTTCAAAGCCAGCACCATACAAGTACACATGCAACTTCACACCTGCCTTGCCATACGCGAGTGACTTGACCTCCATCCATATGCCCCGTACACTCCACACGCCCTGTATACGCCCTCCCTTTTCTCTCCTCATGAGGAAGCGCACCCCCCTTTTCCCTCCTCTCGGACCCCATGCCCACGCCGTATATCTCCCATAAACACCCCCTCCCCTGGCATGCTCAAGCAAGTTACTCTACATTTTCTTTTTTTGCCAAACCAAGGTTCCTCGCATAATTCCCCCTTCCTCCATTTCCCCGTCTCTCACATCCCCCATTCTCCATCCTCCTCCCCCCTCCCCCCCCCCCCCCCATCGCCGAGCCTTGCCTCCTTACGGGCTTTCCCCCCATATGTCTCCCGTCTCTTCTCTTCACAGATTTGCCTCCTCTCGGCCCTTTTCCACAGGACACATAACTTCCCCTCCCACAGCTCTATGGCATCCAGTCCCCAAAAGTTCCCAAGTTGCCCATGCAAAGTCCGAAACGTACACTAAGATAGCCCACCTCTTTCTGCCTTCTATTCCCTCCTTGTTCTCCTGCTCCTCCTCCTCCTCACCCCCCCAAACTTAACTCCGGCACAGATTCCTAGGCCTATCCACCTCTCTACCCCCAAGTTCAATCCTACAATCTATACCCTTCACAGACATGCCCCATACAAAAGACCCCCATGAGGCGCAGAACAGCGAAAGAAAAACAATAGTCTTTCTCTCTCTCCCTCTTCCCCTCTGTCCCCAAATCCTTTCCACACAGAACCATCAACAACCAATAAATAAGCATCAGGAGAGAGCCCAGTTTCTCCCCTATCCCATACCGAGATTCGTCCGGCCGGAACACAGAAGGTGCGAGAATTGGGGGAAGGGGGTGAAAGCACGGGGAAAAGGGCGTCTGGCGCCATGCTTCTTACGTGCAGTATAAGCCCAGATCTAGACTCCGGAGCCTAGGTACGTGGAGAGCCCCAGGGCAGCTATACGTCAGTAAGACGTCCGTATAGAACGCAGGTCTGTCCTTGTCTCGTTTATAAGTACCTACTATACATGGTGATGAATGGGGTGAATAAGGAATGTTTAGCAGCGTTTGGCTACACTCGGGATGCTGGGCAGCTGAGTTATGTTACTACGTAGCCACTCCCTCCTAAAGATGTCCATCTGGTTCATGGTCCATGCCCTTCTGCTTAACATGATACTCACTGGTACACTTCCACGGATAAGAAGAATACTACAAAGCCCCCGGAAATAGTCCAGGGAACACGTCTGGGTGATCAAAAATGTAGATTGAGAAGCTAAATGTGTGTCTCGCCGGGTCGTCCCTCAACAGACAGATATCGATATCATAATCATAACGTTGCCCATGTTCCATCGCAAGAAAAGTCCCATCCAAAACTCCTCCAGGGCTTCCCAGCCCTGTCCATAACAGCCCCAGCACGCGTATTCCCAATCCTAAGCCCTAGTTTACCCCCCCAAAGAATCGACTCTTTACACATCCAACGTCTTCTCGACAAACTCAACCTTTTCGTCCTTCTCATCGCCATCGCGGTGGAGAAGAGCAACCTCCAAGGAGGAGTAGATGACATCGGCATCACCAGTCCTTTCTTCGCCCTCGCGGGCAAACTCCCACTCTGAGCGCGTAAACCTCTCAAGTACCTCCGGAGCCATGTTGACAAAGCGGAACTGCAGCTCCTTGCCCAGGTACTTGCGCAGCGCCATCTTCAGCTCGATGAGGAGCAAGACGCCGGTCGTGTCGATGAATGAAATCATGCCGAAATCGAGCACAATATAGCGCAAGGGAGAGATGTCTGTGGAGATGGGCTGAATATGCAGTCTCTTGCGAATGTTGGCAACTCGGCGCTTCGTGGAGTCGTTCCACGTGCGGTTGTCCTCGGCAGCTCGTAGCATCGCCGCGTTTGGCGTGTAGCGAACCTTGATGTCATCAACAATCGCGTTCTTGAGACGCTCGGCGTTGGGAAACAGCAGATCATTCGTGAACCTGACGTAATACGCCTCGGGGGGAACATCAATCTCCGCATCGTTGGGGCGGCTCTTTGAGAGCGTCCAGTGGTTGGTCTCCGCCTGTGAATGAGAGACCTTGACCAAGCGAGGGAAAGCAAGTCTGAGAAGGGTATACACGAGGCTAAAGGCCACGGACACGGCCAGCCCAATCTCGGTTGAGGTGAAGAGCGTCACCCAGAAGCCGAGCATGGAAGCAATGAAGTCGATGAAGCTGATCCTCCAGTATCGGTAAAAGAGCTTGGGCGGGGAGACGAGATGAGCGACGGCCATGATCTAGGGGAGAGGTAGAACGTTAGCATTTGCTAGCTATCGACAGCAGCCCGAAATCAAACTTACAATGATGGCGGAAAGAGTTGCCTTGGGGATCCAGTACAAGGCCGGGGCAAGCTCGTAGAGAGTCAAGAGGACGAAGCCAGCAGTGAAGATGAAGTTCAACGGGGATTTTGAGCCGGCCTCGCTGGACACGGCCGTGCGGCTCATGGCACCTCCAGATGCCATCGAGCCCTGAATGCTAGCAACCATGTTGGCGGTTCCGAGGAACAATAGCTCCTGAGAGCGGTCAATGTCGTATCCGTTCCGCAGACCAAAGGCCTTTCCAACGCCCAGGTGCTCGATGGACATGGCAATAAAGGGAGCGACAGCTCGACCAGCCACCTTGGCAAGGAGAGAGGTATCATGAGACTTGGCCTTTTGCAGACCGCTGGAGTTGATCTCAGTCACAGCCCACATGTAATTGTCCTCTCCGCGGTTGTGGTTCACGCCCCAGGAGATCAAGGTGTAGATGACGAGGACGACTGCCGCTCGGCTGGTGCAGACAAACTTGATCCACTTGTTCTTCTTGCCAAGAGTCTTTCCGACGTGCTCAAAGACGAGGAGCATCGCAATGCCGGTCAAGCCAATGCAAGCCGTCATTCCCTGGATCTTGTCAAGATGGCCAAGGACGCCGCGGATGATTTCGACAGTGGTGCTGCCGACTGTGAGGCCGACGAGCGAGCCGACCTGACCAAGCAAGATGACCAGAGCAACGGCCGAAATCCAGCCGGTCAAGACAGGTCCGCTAACAAAGTCGAGGAGGAAACCGAGCTTGAGAGCCCCCACAATCAGGGCGTAGAGGCCAACCATGAACGCCACGGCCGAAGCAACAGTGGCCGGGTCCTCATCTGGCAGAGAGGCAACCGCCTCGGCGGTAAGAAGTCCAAGAACCGATGTCGGGCCACTGGAGACCTCTGTATGGGCGGAACAACTCATCAGTAAACGCTCAAGAGAAAGGCAGCATGTCCCGCCTTTATAAGGGAAACATGCGGGAGACCAGTCTTTGACTAACCTTTTGAAGTTCCCATGAAGAGATAGAGCAAGGACGGGATCCAGGCAGAGTACAGACCGTGTACCACCGGGATAGTGGCAATCTTGGCGTAGGAGATGCCCTGGGGCACAAACATGACACCAACGGTAATGCCGGCGATGAAGTCGTTCAGCAGCCACTTGGGGTTGTACCTGGGTAGCCATTGGACAATTGGCACCTTTTCGATGAGGTACTCGGCCGCTGCAGACGGGATGCGGCGAGCAATAGGCCCAGCCCAACGCTTGGCCCTGTTGATGTTGGCATCAGTACGATAGGCCGCGGCAGCATCTTCCTTAGCCTGAGAAAGGCCCTTGGAAACCTTCTCCATGTTGGCGGTTTCGGAGAGTCTCGGGATGTGATTCTGAAGCCCGAGTTCTGGGGGTTCGGAAAGGTCTCGGTGTTGCGGCAACCCGATCAAGCCTCAGCTTGTCTTAGAAATACACAAGTAGACGTGTGTATATAAGAACTAGGGCCAACCTTGATGCTGTCGATGGAGTCCAGATGCCGTTGGGTCAGAGCTGGGGAAGGGGAGATGAGGAAAAGGGGGGAGCTCCCCGAGGCTATATAGGTGCGAGGATGGCAACTTCCAAAACCCAGACGTCTCCTTGGGAACGATTATCAATGCCCGGGCACTTTACAACGAGCCTGCCTCACGCTGAATGGCTGTGCGATACTCGGGCTCAAGAACTTCAACGCGAACGAATGGTACCCTCCAAAAGGTACCGGCCCTTAGATTTGACAAGGAAATCCGAAGCTGTCGCTTGCAGGACACCAACTTTATCCGAGTCACCACCCTCCCTGGACAAGCAACAAAGGCGAGGAGGAGGCACACCAACCTTAATCAGAGTCGTCGACGGTTCACCGAGAGGGGTAGCATTGGGAGCTAAGAATTGCCTCGACGACAGCAGAACGCCAATCTCGAGACGCACGAGTGCCTGGCTCGGCAGTATTTCAAGGTCCTCTCCATATAGGGAACGTCATGTTGCATGGCCCCAGACGCCTCTTGCAATCGCCGCGTGCAGAGCAAGCGAGCAATTGCTCCGTGCATGCAGGCAACGTCGACAAGGAAGCCGGCCGTTCATTCCCATCCCATGTACGAAGTAATCCGGACTTCGTGCTAGTGCTCTATAACGACATGTGCAATCGGCCGCGTATTGAGCTGGGCTTATGGCCGGCCACTTGAGCTCCCGGAAGAGGACCAGGGCGTGTTACTCCGTGTATGCCTGTAAGTATCTTGACTAGGTCTCCCATGGCCCTACAGCTCCTTTCTGTCAGCCACGAGGAGCAGGTGAATAGGGATGATCACAGGGTGTGTGTACAGATACATACCTGAGAAGCGTCGGGACATCATGACAGCTTAGTTCTCATCCAAAAGCAAGGACCAACGGCTTCTAGTCAACGCCCCAAGTTCACGGGGGTAATATTCGCTAAGCAGCTTCTCCAAACGGGCGTGAGGAGTCGGGGGCTCAAGCTGGGACTGCTAGCACCGAGCCAATGGAGGCTACCAGAGCAAGGCCTTCCATCCCCCACGACGAGGCGATCTGTATGAGCATCACACAGTTGCGCCATGGCGAGCCCCTCAGTGGCGTCCTCTTGACGATGCATCGAAGGCCTCAAACCTAACGCCCCTGTCAGAGACTAAAGATGTTTAGCGGCCGACTAGCAACCATGCTGCCAGCAGTGGGCATTTCTTGTTGCGGTGTTGCAGGCATCTTCGACGGGGAGCTGGCCATGTTTTGCCCCTGTAGCCGTTCAATGTACCTTTGCTCCTCGGTTCTCTCAAGTCCACCTTTACTGCCGCCTAGATGAGCCGTCCAATCTTCTGCATGAACTCGAAAAGTAAGACCTCCAATCACGATGAAAGACCGGCTGGCGTCAACGACGTGATTTGTCGCTCGTCTCCGCATGAGAAGAAACAAGCGGGCGGGGTCGGGAGAATCCACGACCTTGCAGTTATATCGAGAGATGGCATCAAGCACGGCGACCAGGATGTTGCAAGATGGTACATGTTCTCAGTACTCTGTACTTCATATTCCGTCACGCAGGCACTCGTGCTCTGTCCTGGCCCATGCAGGTATCACGGCAAGGCTTAAGGGTCTCTCGCAATTCCACCAGGGGATCAGCATGCGAATGACAGAATATCATCAACGCTTCCAGCGTGCCGGTTTTCCGAAAATGGTGGTATCGCGTTGCACTGAATGCGAGCCAAGACCGTTACACAGCAGCGTGTGCCCAGAAGCGAGAAGGGAACCGTTTGACAGGCATCTGTCATGTACGTATGTACTACGTACAAGCAGTACCTTGTCAGCTGGAATACATAGGTAGAATGCCCCATGGGATGTAGCTCGTCAACCAACCGTCCTCCATTTGGAGGCTAAAGGGTCAGCTCTCAACTAGGATTCATCACACAAATGGAAAGAAGAAGGGAAAGGAAGAATAGCGAGGACCTCGGAGCAACATGGAGGAATTGAAGGTGGTTCTCGGGGGGGTGTGGCTGCTCGCTGGCCCCTGTTCCTGGCAAGGGGATCTCCAACAGCGCCAGTCCGGACCTCAAATGAAGAGGACGAGACCGCATCTGATGGCGATGGCATTCCGTGAGTGGCTGGCACAGGCACTCCGGCAGATGGCCCTGGCCTAGGCGGCTAGTGCGGAGGCCACTTCTTGACGCCGGGGGGGGGGCCTTTGCGTCTCCAGCTCGAGTGCATCTCCAGTAAGGTAGCCAACGGTTGGCATTGCCTGGTTCTCCTCGTCGACTTACTACTAGCTGGTTCCAGCCCTGCTAGTGTGGACTTGCCCTATCTGAATCACGCCCATCTGCTGTGATTGGGCTCGGCGATCCTGCACCACCTTTTGAGCACCCCCTCCTGGGCAAGTCGTCCACCTTTGGGAACAATGGGTCCCTCCAGCGGCAAGGAAACCAGGCAATGCAACGCTGAGGCTGCATGGGCTGTGTGTCCCGTTTTTAGAAACAGGCGACGGATAACTCGGGCAGCGATTCCCTGGCTGGAGTTGCATCAGCCAGCCAGAACCTCGGCCCCCCCTTGGTCCTGGTGCAGACAAGATGCTCGCTCGTCGAGGTGCCTGTACTGTAACAGTACTACATAGCACGTGCCGTTCTTTGTCAGCCTCTGCCTGCAGACGTTGAAGCTCGAGCTGCGAACATACAGGTAGGTAGGTAAAGACTCTCACTCACTCAGTCACTCACTCCTCTGGGTTCCCTCGCAAGATGCCGTGGAATCTGTCGTCAGCCAACTTGTTGATATGATAGTAGCTCGGCGCCTCTTTGCGGGGTACATTAGGCAAATGGAGATGAAGTGGAGAGAAGTGTCGCGGAAGGCGATGGAGCTAAAAGGCGGCAAGACCACGCAAAACCTCCACTATCTGGGGCTCGGGGAAGCCAAAGTACGGACGACTAGCGATTAGCACTGCTCCTAGTGTGGTTGAGCTTGTACATCTACCTGGCGCCGCGTTAGTGCTAATCTCGTAATCACCTCTGCTCCTCCTTGTCTGTTCTGCCTCTGGCAATAGGAGGTATTCTTCGTCCTACAACATTCACATTCTTTCTTTTCGAAGGCACCCTCCTGTCTGCCTCACTCGGACCGCACATTGCCACTGGAGTCCTCAGCAGGGCGTGTCCCCATGCAACGTCAACCCGTTGAGCCCTCTCAACAATCAGAAAAAAAAACACACATGGAGGAGGCGTGCATGCATTACTGGCACGGCGCGTGAGAGGTCCGACCAACGGCATGGGCCAGCTTCATCTCGACATGCTCCAGAGCACGAGTACCAGGGACTGACAAGCACAAGGATACTCTGTATGGGTCCCAGGTATGTATGTAGTATGTAGTTGTATGGACCCCCCACCCCCTGTCGTTCTGTCTCTCCGGCTCTCGCCAACGACCTACCGCGTATCTATTATACTCCAGAATCAGGCCAGCAAACTTGGCCTACTACCTAGATACCAGCTCGATCTCTCGCTGACTACATACCCGAGCGAATGATTCCATACTCAGCGTGTTGGCTCGGGAACTGGTTCGAAGCCAAGCGATTACATAAAGAGTCATCGCCAAGCTTTCAAGCCATGGACATGATGCCAGGCCTTTCATGGTATTACCTCTACGGTAAGTACTGACAGGGTGCAGAATACGGGGTGTAGAGGGCAGGCTATGTTCGCATTGCAGAGCATTGACAACGGAGTAGTACCGCCGACTACTCTCCCGTCTATTGCGCCCGTTAAGGCGGCCTAGAGCGAGCAAAGATCGCCCCTGGAGATCCTACCATGGTGCTGAAGTCGTGCTCCGGCCTCCGATGTTTACCTTTGATGAGAGGACCAGATAGGGGTTCTGCCTCGACACCCACCACTGCGAGGCCTGCCCTCTAGCATCCCACCATTCCTTGTCTTGCCTCAGCTATCTTGCAGCCTTCAGATTCCTCGTGCGCCAACCATTCGAGGAGAATCACTTACACCTTTGATACGGCCCGTAGGATGAAGCACGATTACGACATCTACGGCGTGGGAGACTTCATGCGTCGGCCATGTCGGTAACTGCCTGAAGCCGATTTTAGTCCGACTCTAGCTTGTCATGCCTTCTATTCCATGTCTTTGTGTTGCTCGCAGCGTTGAGGGTGGTCACGTTTCATCGATCGTCTTTTCCTCCCACGGGCATTCTAGCATAGCGTTTGCCCCCTACAAGCCTCTCTCCAACACCCCCCCTCCTCGACAATGCTGAAGCACTTGGGACATCTCAATCTCCAACGCAATGAAACACTCAAGCCAGCTCGGCATGTAATTCTTTGTGCCGAGAGCATGGCAAAGCCGACATCCCCTCCCATCTTGCAGCAAGCCACGGCTCCTATCCGAGACGTCCTCGTGTTTTGATCAGCCTATCTGGGTTTTTGAATGTGTCGCTCTGTCCGCGATTAGCCCAGTGATCAACATGCAGACAGTTGCGGATGCTCTCGTGCTGCGCAATTATCAAACCAATGCTCTCTATTTTGCTCCGGTGTGAAGTTATTCAACCGCTCGTAGCGTCACATCAAGGAGGAGCCTGACTGAAACCTTTCGGATGTTATGATGGGTCTATGGTGCAATTTCCGTTAAAACTGCCGGCCATGAACGCATCCAGGCAGTATTTGACATTGCAGATGCACGAATGTCGAGCTGTTGCCCGTTGATATGCCTTCCTTTTCGCCGTCAGCCAGCCCCCGCTCCCCCAAGACGCAAATCTGACACATAGACTACTAATACACAGAATCGCCACCTGCACGACGAGAAGCCCCATATCAAGACCATACCTCAGTATACCAGCGAATGAAGAGAGGGGGGCTATAAAGTGCTTGTTGATGAATAGTTCACTGCAGTAAGGCAAGTGGGTGTTGCGCAGATAACATTATAGTAATCCGATCTGATACTGGCCCAGGGCTCCTTTACCCAGCTGCCCAAACGGGTCAACGCCCGCAGACCCAACATGCCTTATCTCGAGCAGAAATAGCTGCTAGCTGTCCTCCGTGATTAGCCTCGGGATTTTTTCCCTTAAACATTAGGCAGAGCACAACTCTATCTGTAAAGCATGATTATCTTCCTCGATACGAGACGCACTGCGTTAAAGTACAGATTTGGGTCCTTTTGTTGTGAAGCTTACACTTTAGGTTGCGGGATGTTGTTATAGCGGCCGAGCTGCAGATATCTGACCCGGCTCAAGGGAATGGAATGGCTGCAATTCCCCGACGTGAACGAGTCTGGACGGATGGGTGCCCCAATGTCGGTTCTTGTAGGCCCTTCTTTCTACGGCTACGCGGTGATGCCAGGCTTCAGTATTGCGCAGGTTGGCTTGTCGCTACGGAGGGTGGAAGAAACTCTGGTCTGTCTATTCATGTCCATCCCCCCCCCTTTTCAAGAAAAAGCAAGAGCCGTATCACTGGAGAGCTGATAGTAGGCAAATTCGCCTATGGTTCCTTTGCAAGGCTAGAAGAGGAGCGTATATGCCATCAGCTCACTCTTTCTTTCACTCATACTGAGGCTCTAGGACACGCTACAAAATGGAAATATCAGGACACACAGGACGTACGATTGGACGAAGTGAAGGAAACGAACCACATCCATTTACCGAGAATTCTGCTAAGGGTCCACCGAAGCAAGCTTCTTGGGATTCTTAGGATATAGCCGAGAGAACGCGTGCTTTCGAGACATGTCATATGACCGTGAGCGCGAGTAGTATTCCTGACGGAAATTCACGGCAAAAAGTGCACAGTTAATTTCCCGGCCTCTCATTACACTTTCAATATCATCTCATCTCACCAAATACCACCTCACCTCATAGCATCTCATCTCAATTCACGGATATACCTAATACACTCATTGTAAACGTGTCGGATGAACCCGTACACGATATTCGTCAAGAACCTGGAAATACGATGCTCCTCACATCGGTATAAGTAGCGTCTTGCATGCGGCTGTTTACGTACGGAATGGCCTCGTGAGTGTGTGTGTGTGTGTGAGAGAGAGAGAAAGGAAGAGAGTACAGCAAAGATCGAGAACGAGATTATTGATATGCTTAAGAAAAAGTGTTATTCTGTCCACCAAAAGAATTTCCAAACTACAGTATAGCCTCAGATAACAGAGGCCCGGGAATTATAGATCGAGTTGAAATAGAAATCAAACGCCCCTCACCAATATTGACATGACCTCGAAATGCCGTCGTTGCCACATTTTGAAAAAAAAAATGTACATCTGATGATTCCTCATTACCCTTTTCCCTCCTGAACTGATGATTCTCCCTCGCCGTCCCTCACTTTGTAATCTCATCCTTCTTGGCATCCTTGACCTGCTCCCAAAACTTCTCGCCAGCCTCCTTGTCGTCGGCAAACAGGTGGTCGAGCACGAGGCGCTGGGGCGTCTCGCCCATCCACTGGAAGAGGGAAAAGTCGCGGAACTCGTCGGCGCGGAAGATTTCGAGCATCTCGACGGGCTCGTCGCCAATGTTCTGGACAAAGTGGCCCATGTTGCGGGGCACGATGCCGACGTCGCCGGCGACGTAGTCAAAGGTGCGGGCGGTGCCCTCGGCGGCGAAGATGGTGACGCGGGCGCGGCCGCTGATGAAGAAGGACCACTCGTCGGCGTTGGGGTGCCAGTGCATCTCGCGGATGGCGCCGGGCTCGATGACGGCGTGGGCGGCGGCCACCGTCTTGGAGATGGGGAAGTTGTTGGAGTCGGTGATGCGCACCTCGCCGCCCGTCGTCTTCTTGGGCTCCTGGTCGAGCATCTTGTGGGTGAACTGGTACATTGACTTTTTGACGTGCTTGCCCTTGGGCGCCTCGTCGTCGATGGCGCCGGGCACGGAGCCCTGGAAGATGTACTTTTCGCCCTTGGGCAGGTGGTCGAAGAGCTCGGGGGCGAGGTGGAAGTTTTCGGCAATGACGGACTTGGGGGTGTGGGCTGGTAATGAGAGGTTAGCATGATGAATACGTACAAGCCTGATATGACGGGAGTTTAAGAAGATGGCATACCCAGCCAGTCGGACAGGATAAAGGTCGACTCCTCGGAAAAGTTGCCGTCGTCAAAGATGAGGAGGAACTCGGTGCCGTTCTCGCCCAGGCCCTGCAGCGAGTGAGGCACGCCGCTGGGGAAGTACCACAGGTCGCCCTTCTTGAGGTCGTCGATGAAGTTGCCGCCCTCGTAGTCGAGAGCGGTGACGCGCACCTCGCCGTCCAGCACATACGCCCACTCGGCCTCCTTGTGCCAGTGGAGCTCGCGGATGACGCCCTGGTCGAGCCTCATGTTGACGCCGGCCAGCTCAACGCTGGTGGGCAGCTCGCGGACCGTCGTCTGCCGGGTCCAGCCTCCCTCCTACAAGGCAGCGCCAGGGGGTGTCAGCAAACGGATCGATTGGGCCGAGTTGAGGAATCAATTGGCGACGCCGCGAGTTTCGGATTCTCCCAAGCAGCTCGTCACGTCCACGTCATTCATGGATAGATGGCACCACATACCTCAATCCGCACGTGGGAATCGGTAAAGCTCCATCGCATGTTGGCAATGTTGCCGTGATCGGTGCTGGGCGGGCGGATCATGTCCGGGCTCTGGCGCGAGCGGTCGCGGTTGTAGGGCCCCAGGACGGAGGCTCCCAGGCCGTTGCGCCAGGGCTTGGGGTCGAGCTTCTTGCCGATGGCATCGACGTAGTTGTCGTTGGGGTCGCGGTGGCCGGGCGTGTAGGGCTTGCTGTCGTCGCCGTACTTGGCGGGCAGGTCCATGCCGTTGAGCAGGCGCTGGCGCGGGCTGTCGAGGTGAGGCAGGGCAGCGCTCAGGCCGGCTCCGGCAAGGAGCAGTTGGGCTGCTGAGAGCTTCATCTTGCTGGTGCTCCGTGTGTGTGTCTTTTGGAATCTTGCGATTGCCGGTCCGAGCTGTAGATGCCGTCAAACAGTCACGCGATGCCCGAGTCAATGCCGCAGAAGAGCTTCCTCCGCTGGTCAATTGTGCGAGAGAGAGGGAGGGAGAGAGTGAGAGAGGCTGAGGGTGAAGCTTCGGGATAGTCCAGCAAAGGACGAGAGGCGGGCAGGGTCCGGGTTATAAAAGCAATTGGAAGGCGTCTTGTCTGTCGTATGACAATCCATGCCTCCGCCACCGACTCCCGCCTGCCTCCATCTAGGTAGGTAGGTTCTATCTGCATCTACATCCAGAGTACCGCAGCCGGCGTCCGTGCATCCTCGTCATCGCGAGTACCCGCCAGGTCGCGCCGCATTGCTTCAGCCAGCCCACTCGGCGATGATGTGCGAGCGGGACCTCGCGGGCAAGCTTCCAGGTTCCAAGGGGGGGCATGCGGGAGCTCGCATGTACTGCCTGATAGCCCCGGTACCTGCGTCTGCCCGCAGCCAGCCACGGGGCTCGCAAGTACCGCGACCGCATCCCGCTACCACGACGAGCCGCGCCCTGACCGATTCCGAGGCAAGTCCGCGCTTGGCTCCTCTGATTGCGGCGGATCGCAGCCAATTGCAGCCGGGGCTGCGGCCTCAGATCTGGACTCCGCCAATGGCGAGCTCTCGCGTCCTTGCACAGCGTCACTTGTTCCTGGGCAAATCTGGGCCAAAAGTAGATGCCGGGTCTTTTTTTCTTTTCTACAGTAGCAGCAGAGAAACATCCCGGCTCTTCCTGTTACCCAGCTGAGACTCGCAGGGTGTCGCCGAGGCTCTGGTCCGGTTTGCGGCGTTGCAGAACGGCTCAAGCTTCGGTTTTAGCTTATTGCGCAATAGTATGCGATTTCGCCTCCCCGTCTGTGTGGTCATCAGATAATCATACCGACGACTCATCGAATCTTTGCCGACCACGATAAACGCGCAGCCATTGACTGGACCAAGTACCTCCTTTACATACCTAGGTACCTAGGTAACACTGGGCTGAACCCTTAACCGCCCCCCCTGCCAGGATATCAAGAAGCGGCCGTTCCCTCCCTCCCTCGACCCGCCTGGCGAGGCTTCATCTTCTCTTCTGGCTCCTGGTTCTGGTTCTGGTCCTAGTCTTGACTCTACCTACCTACCTATTGAACAATTCGTCTTGCCTCCATCAACCAATACACCAGCAATGACAACGTACGGCACCGCCAACGGCACCGCCAACGGCACCGCCAATGGCTCGGCAGCCGTGCCCAACGGCGTCCGCGGCGACGAGGAGCAGCCGCTGCTGCGCTCGCCCACCAAGCCGCGGTCCGCCGTGTCCCGGCTGCGCAGGCTGATGACGGCCGAGGTGTCGCGATCGTGGGCCGACATTGTGCTGCTGCTGTGCTACGTCGTCACGGGGCTGCTGGACAGCGCGTCGACGCAGGTCTGGGGCGCCTTTGTGTCGATGCAAACGGGTGAGTCGAGGTCCTTGTCCAACACATAATTGCGCGATGCCCTCGACAGACCTCATAGACACTCAAAACTAAACACTCATCCACAGGAAACACCGTCTACGTCGGCCTCGGCCTCGCCTCGCTCATCTACCCCCCGACCAACGCCCGCCTCTACAAGTCGGGCATCTCGCTCGCCTGCTTCTGCGTCGGATCCTTCCTCTTCGCCCGCTTCCACCGCTACTTCTCGCCCAAGCGCCGCTGGGTCCTCTGCGTCTCCTTCGCCGCCCAGACGCTCTTCATCGTCGCCGCCGCCCTCATCGTCACCCTGACGACGCCCTCGCCCGACAAGGACCACGTCGGCTGGACCGTCCTCGCGCCCCTCGCCCTCGTCGCCTTCCAGAGCTGCGGCCAGGCCGTCACCAGCCGCGCCCTCAAGTACAACGCCCTCACCAGCGTCGTCCTCACCAGCATCTACTGCGACCTCTTCTCCGACCAGGACCTGTTTGCCTTTCAAAACGCCGAGAGGAACCGGCGGGCGGCGGCGCCTACGCTCTTGCTTATTGGCGCTGTCGTGGGCGGCATCTTTTCGCACAGCTCCTTTGGCATTGCGGGTGCGTTGTGGACGGCCGCCACGCTCAAGGCGCTCATGGTGGTCGCATGGTTCTTCTGGCCGGCTGAGCCTTCAGAAGACGACGAGGAGTAGACTGGAAGGCGCTTCGGTTCATTTCAAATCTCAGCATAGGGGCGTTGGAGGGGGTTTTGGAGGAGGGGCATCAGCGTCAAGCATTTACTGTAGTACAGTCAGTCAGTCGTGGCGGCAGGCATTCAATCGCATACAGCCCTCGCATAGAGCTGCCACTATTAAACACTGCTTTTATCACTATAACACTTGAGGCCATCTCAAGACATGGCAATCCACTTTCTGCACCAATTGAAACCCCAATTGCTCTCGCACGCCATCGAAACTACAGCCGCAATGATCGCTCACTTTACCGTTTGGCTCTTTTGTTAGTTCTCTTTTCACACGATCTGAATTGACTGCTCGTTTTCCCCGTTCTTTTTTTCCGCCTTGTCGCGCGCTCGGCTTCCATTTCAAGGCCCCGAGACGTTCTAGAGTTCAACAGAGCGGCGCCCTAAATGTACTCCATGCCAAGAATGTCAATTGCCGGCAGTAACAATAAGCGACGACGAAGCATCTCCGACTTCCGACATATCTGTGACGCCAGAATGGCTTTTTTTTGCAATTGCCAGAGGCAGAACAGGCTGCGGCTTCATAATGATAGGGGGGACAATTTCGGATACATGCATGTTAGGTAGACATCCGAGGTGCTTATCAAGAGCGATCTGGTCCATCATAGAAATTCCATTCCAGAGGCTTGACGAACACATGGTTACTTTCCCTTGAATGTATCCTACGGTTGAGGGTGCAATGACAATACAAACATGAGTTCCAAAGAGCGAACGAGGAGACTTATCCGGGCTTTCAAGGTGGGTAGTTACAACGAAACCCCTTAACGACGATGATTCGTCTCCTAGAATAAATCTGCCAGTTCCCAGATGAACGAACAGTTTAAAATGGACCCTATAAAAGAAGCGAGGCGTCTGCAACTACTTCATACTGGCGCATAGTCGAGCAAGAACTCACTCATGACCTGGTAGGAACTTTGATAAGAGAGCTCTTCTTTCTCTTTCTTATAAGGGAGTGAGTGAGCTTGGAGGTCTTTGTATGACCCTAAATTAGCAGCGAATGGTGCCTCGACGAGTTGTTGGGTCTCGAGTCTCTTATAGCGTCCAAAGGTGTGTCGTCTTGCTAACGATTGACCTCGGGTCTCTGTAAGGACATGCTAGTGAAACTTTTAAGATAGTGACGCCTGATAGCAGATGGGCTGTCCGCTGACCGAAATTCCTCCCCCTTGGAGACGACTGTCATGCCAGGAGCTTTCAATACAGGGCCTTTCGCCAACGCAGTGAGGGGCGACTGTGACCGACAAGCGCAAAATACTTCTAATTGCGAAGCTGAGGGCTGAATTCGGGATGTGGCAAGGCTGTGTAAAGAGGGAGAAAGCAAACACATTGGACGCCAGAAGCAAACTGCTAGAATCTCATCCACCTCTCGCCTTATATTAATCTACCGCGAGCTTCATTGAGCTTTAGTCATGATCTGTGTTCTCATTACATTACAATGGCCTGCTCCAGTGACCGTTACCCGCCTGCCAGGCAATCAACAACAACTCCATCAGAGTGGCTTCTCTTCTGCTTTGTTCCATATGTTCGACCCAGTGGCGCGTCTCGGCTGGGGCGTAATTCATTGCGGGCGGCGATGGGGAAAAGGCAATAGTTGACGTGCTAGAAACGGTCAGGATCTCTGCCTGATTATCTGCGACAGACGACATTCTGAAGGTATCTCGGGAACGGCTTGGCTATCCAGTATCCCAGCAGGTTAGTAGTATCTTCTTACTGCTACTGCTGCTACTGCTGCTAGGTATATCCAGATAGGATATTTCCAGGTTACTTATATACTCTCTGCTACTATTGCTCCTTTCTTCTAATCTTAGTACAAGCGCCGCTCCTTTCAGATTTCGCCTGGAAAACACCTACCAATCTGTAAAACGCAAGTGGTGTATTTGTCCCTGCTTTTACCTATGTCTTGATCTCCTTCTTATCTACATAATCCCCTTCTCAATATCCTTAACCATTGGATCTATTCCCATTTTTCAATAAAGTCCCTTGATGAAGGTAATACTATCCTATTAAATAGGTATGCAGCTCCCCACCTATTACATTTATCAGCCTTTTGCACTTGCTTTCGAACTTTCTCCTCTGCCCTTTCGTTCTCTGCTAATAGAATGCTAACAGACTTGGCATAATATGCAGCTTTAGCAAGCCTCTTCTCTTTCTGAGGTTGTCTTTGCAAGCTCTGCATTTCCTCTCGTACTGCCATAGTCCACAACTCGGTTCTGTTCCTAGCTATCCTCCTTAAAAACGCAGTTCCGTGACATTCATTTACTTCTCTATCAGATAACAAAGGGATCGAAATAAATAATCAGGGCACTAGACTTAGTGGTTATAACAGATAACAATAAGTGTATATAATCTAACTAAAAGTGTAATACAGAAACTAAGCTAGCTAGGGTGTATATAAGGGTAGAGGGAACACTTATATTTATTTACTGTTAGGTAACCTTATACATAACCTGCAATATCCCTATTATAGAAAAAGCATAGTATCCTTACTATAAAGAAAATATAAAAAAGGAAAGAATTTATATAAAATGCATATAATAACTCTATATATATAGCAAAGGGTTCCCTTTTATCCTAACCTTAATCTATCTTCTATATATTATTTTAAGTCTATTATTTACTAAAAGGAGTCCTTAGGTTCTGCATTATTATTAGTCTAGGTCTAGGCCTTATTTATAGTTAGTGTATTATAAGGATAATCTACTAGTTCTACTAGATTAGCAGCTAACTTATTTAAGGTAGGGTTATCTTTATTAGTTAGTGTTCTTAAGGTTAAGTTAGTAATTACTACTTTAAGGGAAGGGATATTTATAAATATAGCTAGCTTATTAGCATTAGGAATATTAAAAGCACTAAGGGACTTAGATAGTTTACTAGGCATAAAGGTAGTGTCTTTATTAAATGTTATCTTCTAGCTATTAGTGTTTAAGGCTATGTCCTTATTTAACTGTTATCTTTAAAGTTATTATAAGGCATGTCCCTTCTTTCTGCGCTTTATGCAGGCCCTGTTTTATTATAAATTTAGGCCTTAGGTTATAGCTAAAGGGGCGTTTTTAACTTTACTAGGTATTAATTTATCCTTAGCTTTAATAGGCATAGAATTATCCCTAATTTCTAAGGATGCTAGCTTATCCTTAATCTTAAAGAGTGCAGAATTATTATAGCCCTTAATAAATATAGCTGCTTTAAAGGAGACCTTATTATCTGCGAGTTCTTAAGGCTTAGGGTTTTTATTAGGCGGTTAAGGCTTACTATTACTATAACTAGACTTTTTTATTAATTAGCGAAAATTAAATGCAATTTAATATTCTGCTTAAACTTAGGCTAATTATTATTAGGCTATATGTCTTTAGTTCTTAAAGTAAATAATCTTCTTTCCTTAATTATTATTAATTCTAGCTATAAGGAAGATAAAATAGTATATATTATTTAAAGGGCAGGTAGTATTTATAAAGGCAGAGGCCTAGGGATAGTAGCATTCTGTATAGTTACTAATATAAAAAGCATATATAAAGTATTCCCTGCAGCAGTCTTAAGTATAACTAGGTTAAAGATAATAAGTATAGAAAAACTTCTAGCCTATAGTAAGAATAATATAGCCTTATTTACCTAAGTATTATATTATATAAGATAGTGCAGAGGTATACTTTAGTATAACTGCCTTTTATTTTATAATAACTATAAGCATGCAGGCGCAGGTAGTTATTATAGCTAAATAATATTTATTTATTATAAAACCAGGCTGTTTTAACCTTACTAAATTATAAATAATAACCTCTGCCTAATAGCTAGGAGAGTTATTAATAGTCTAGATATTAATAAAGTCCTAAAGTATATCTTAGTTTAGGATTATATTAAAGAGTTATTAAAGGAGTTGCTTTTACTAACTATAGCCTATAATAATTAGTATCTTAGCCTAGCTATAAGTCTTTAAATTAGCCTTAAGGTTGCATATAAAGTTAAATATAGACTAAAGCAGGGCAGTTATAACTATATAGGAGACCAGTTTTATAATATACCTTGCATTAACTAGGTTTATAAAAAAGGTGCTAAGCTTCTCCTCCTAGCTATTAATAATATTTATAAAAACTATATTATATTTAGGTATAGTATCTTAAAATAGGCTATTTTAGCATTTAGCCTTTAACTACTTATAAATTACTAAAGTGTATTAGTTTTATTTATTAATAATAGACATTTAGTCTTAATAAAGGTAAATTTTTGCCTATTTATGCATATTGCTAAACGCTTAGTAGTTATTTATAAGAATAAAGTTAAGATATTTAGCAGATTTAGTATATTATAGCAGGCTATGTCTTTACTATTATATAAAAACAGCCTTATAAACTTAATTTTAATTAGCTATAGTATAAAGCCTAAATTATTTACTATCCCCTATTTAAATTACAGGAATAGTTAAGAAAGCTAAGATTAATATAATACTAGCTGCCTTAATTATACTGCCTGCTTTATTTATAATAATAAATAATAAAGTAATATTAAAAGCTTAATTAGTAAGGATCTTTATAGCAGCTGGCGTGCTAAGTATTATATATGCCTAAAATGCAAGTTAAATAAGGAGTTAATAAACTTCCTTTATATAGAGTCTCTGGTTAGTTATAAATGCAGTTAGGGATAATACCTATAAGGCCTAGGCTTTAGCTAGTATAAGGGAGAACTTAAGGTCTGCTTCTACCTTAACTTAAATCTATAAAGAGGCTAATATTAAGTTATACTCTAAACTATATTCTATTTAAAGGAGATTATAGTAGTTATTAAGGTGCTTAATAATTTCTACAGCCGCTTAAGATGCATTTGCAGATATAGTAAGGGTCTTAAAGGTTTAGGGAATAGAGGCTAGGAGAGCTTAGAATTCCTGTTTAAATAAGTAGAAACATATAATGCATTTATTAAAATAATAAGCTGTTAATCTTTCTACTGCATTTATTACTTAGGCGTTCTATAATGCTATTTATAAAATAAGACCTAGGTCTTATAGCAGGCTACTAATAGCTAGCTACTAAGTAAAGCTAGTTAACTTTATTTATAAATCCTTAAAATAAAGACTAGTA